TTTTTTTTTTTTTGAAGTGGCTTGATGGAAGCTACACCCGGAATTTGGGATGGCACAGGCGTTCAGGTCAACGGCCTGGCTTGATCGTTCCTACTTCTTCTCTAACTTCGTACAGTAGCGCACCTGAAGAGCTTCGACGATCAGCCCCAGAAACAACTGAGTAAACCGCTTGTAAATGTCGTTACATGGCTGCAGGTCTCGCTCTACAAGAACGAGGACCCTCATGCTCATTACGCTCTTGGTCGCGCCGTCGCTTCGTTGCGAGAGCAATGTATTGTCATCATCGGAGCTGGCATGTCGGTCCACAACCTCCGCGACATGCATTACATGTATGAGGAAAAATGGCCGCCGTGACCAAGCGCGGCGACGCCCACCAAGCGCGCCCTTTCATGGACCACCTGATGCCCGTGTATATCGCGGCGGGAGCGGCGGGAGGGGACTGGGGAAAGCAGACTTGGACGTTGCACGAGGGTAGCTTCGGATGGGCGCAGTATAGGTTCGGCGACGTCCCTGAGGTCCCTTCCGCTCCGAAGTTGTAATCGGATACGGGCTTGGGCATCAACAGCATGCCACATGCTTTGCGAGTAGGATTAGCTGACAAAATACCGTATCGGATCGGGTGCACAATCATGGCACTCAGGCATTAATATTGGCCCGACCTCAATTAAAGGATTATGTGACATGTGAGCAATCTTGACGGTGTGTCTGAACGTGGTGCTGGTGTGGTAAACAGAGTTGAAGCGGTTGCGGGAAGCCGGAGCGCATGATAACAATCTATAGGCCTAAAACGTCCACGTCACGAGCACATGAGTTGCAGTAATGTCCGAACCAGTCGAATACCGGGGGACAGTTTGGTGCCATCAGACCGCCTCAATTTCCCCGTGCTATAAAAAGCCAGTCCGTCGTCTCCGTGATGAGTTCTTCCATCCAAACCATAGTTCTTTTACCAGAGCAGACCCAGAGTCCTCACCATCAATAAATACCTACAAGCCCTTCTTGCCGTCTCTCAGCTTCGTTTGTTGCTTCTCCCTTGTCTGGGCCCTTTAGTACCCTGACTGCCCTTCTTTAGTACCCTAACTACCCTTCTTCACAACCTCACATCCTAATATGTCCTCTTCTTCTACTCCTACCTTTACCCCTGCCACCAGTAGCCAGACAGAGTATGTCCCATATATCTCTTCCTTTTCCTAGAAAAGAATCGCTACTCAAATTCCCACTAGGGCCCAGACCGGAAGCTCCATGCTCGCGCCGTTTATCTACGACACCTCGTCCCTCCAAGACCATCTTATACAAGCTTCAATCGGCGCGGGCGGGAGTGCCAACCTCCCTACCCCAGAACCGAACCAGGGTCAGAACAATGCGGCGGCGAGGATGTAAGCTGCAATGGGACCAACGGATGTAAAGCCGATGTGTCTGATGCCAGCGTGCCAATGTGGGAGAGGCGGCTGATGTCTGTGGGTCAAGCGTGCAAAGCGAATTTTACCATCGACATATAAAAGCGTACTCAAGGTTATTCTATATTCTATATCAAGTTAATTTACTTAGATATATTAATACAGATGAGAAAGACTTCGTGGACAGGGAATAATGCGTCTATGTTTGCGCATCGTGATGTACATTGTAGTTGCACACGTATAATTACACTTGATTGTACCTCCCCTGGTACGTCTGGCGATAGCGGCCATGGTCTCCCAAACATTCAATCCAAGTATCATCGAATACTGGCACTGTCTCATAGAGTAATGCCATCATACTATATGCAAGATATAAGAAGGTAAGCATATGTTCGAGGGATGCCGGCAATCAATGCCGGAGGAGTTCAAGAAAGGAATGGATGCCATGTCGCCACATCCGAGCGGGCATGGCATATTTTGAAGCAAGGCCACGTAGTGGCACACTAGCTGAAGGATGCTGGCTGGCAAGGAAGAAGTCATAATGCTCGTGAAGAAGTATTCGGTGCAGGGCGATTAAGGCCTGCCATTGCTCATTATTGAGTTTGTTAGCATCTATGTTTGACGACTGGGCATTGTCGACTTCTATGCACTTTGTTTCGACCATAACCAGGCCAGCATATATTGATTGATTGCGGGTGGTCGGCGAAGAGGGGGACGGTTGGGTATCAGAAGGTTGGGGACAGTAGTGATGCGGACATTGAGCCACTTCAGGTGGGAGGGAGCAACCTAGAAAGTGCAACATGTTGGCTGGAAAGATCTCGGGAATTGGGAGGGGCGTTGGCGTCGGTGTGGGAGAAAAAAATGCGCCCTGTTGCCTTATGTGGTTCGCAAACTGACCTGGTGCACAAACCATGCGGCTCTTTTGGGCCCCACCTTCCTCCCCGGTACTAAAGGTAGGCCCTCGAATGGGGCGGGACGAAGACAAGTTATCTGCATGCGGCAGTGCACGGCGGGAAAAGCGGAAGCGGCGGAAATGGCCCAATAACGGGGAGATCCGGTTCAATACAGGAGTAGCTCTGTATGAGCCAGAAGGAAGATAACTCTACGGCCAATTACGAAATGTTAATGAGATAGTTGCGACCGAATAATAAGCGAAGCTAATGGAGGAGGCGCACTGAGGGCTATAGCAGAAGGGGAATAGAGCGGGAGTGGAGCTGTATGCGGCGCGCCCGGCATAGCTGTAGCACTGGGTGTAGAGAAGTTAGAAACTACTAAATTCTCTTGATGGGACTTATTACTATGTTGATATATTAGCACTATATTAATTTTGCTATTTGTATAAGATTAAAGTAGTAGTAATTTTAAATTAGCTTTATATTGCTATTTAAATACTAGCCTTAATAATAATATTATTATTAATTCTTTAATAGTAAGTATTATTAAGTTTTTAGTATTAAATAGTTACTTTTATAAGATACTTTATATTATATAAGATAAATTAGAAGTAAGAGATTAATATAATCTTAAAGTAATTAAAGTAATAATAATTAATATAAGTAAGAAAAAAATAAAAATTACTTAATTTTAAAGAAACTAAATATTATAAAGTATAGCTATTTTTATTTAAATATATATAATAAAATTACTATTAAAAAATTAATTTTTTTATTTATTATTTTTATTTTTATTATAAAAAAGTAAATAATATTTAAAAATAGCTAATATAATTTATTATTTTTTATTTAAATATTATAAATAGTATAATAATAGCTTAAATAAATTTTCTTTTTTATTATAAGAGTATTTAAAGATTTATATTAAAAAAAGTAAATATAATATTATTAAAGTAATTATAAAAAAAAATTAAGTAGGTTATAATATTAGTTATTATAATTTTATATATAAATTTCTAATAGCGTTTTTATAACTTAAAAAAAGCTAAAATTAAAAGATAAATAAATATATATTATATAATTTAAATAAAGCTAGTAATAAATTTATTAATATAAACTTAATAATAATAATAAGCTTTTTAAAATAATAAAATAATATTATAATAAAATTTTTATTTTATAATTAAATAATTATAAGGTTTTTTTTTTAAATTAATTAAAGAAATTTTATAAGTTTAAATATAAATAAAATAATATATATTAAATAAATAAATAAATATTTTTTATTATTAAAAAATTAATTTCTTTTTAATATTTATTTTTTATTTTATAATAATTAATTTTAAATATATTAAATTTTATTTTAAAATTCTTATTATTAATAATATATTATATTTATATTATATAAATAATATTTAATATAATTTTAATTTTTTTAAAAAAATTAAAAATTAAATTAAAAAAATAAATCTTTTTTTTTAAAAAAACTTTCTTAAAAAAGAAAATTTATTTAAGCTATTATTATACTATTTATAATATTTAAATAAAAAATAATAAATTATATTAGCTATTTTTAAATATTATTTACTTTTTTATAATAAAAATAAAAATAATAAATAAAAAAATTAATTTTTTAATAGTAATTTTATTATATATATTTAAATAAAAATAGCTATACTTTATATATAGAATAATTATATATTTTCTTCTTTTAACTTAAATACCTATTTATCTATAGATAAATTTAAAAGAATATAATAAATTTTAAATAGTAATTTTCTATTAGTTTTTAAGTTATACTTTTAGTAGAAAATAAGCTTAAGACTACTTATAAAAACCTTCTTTCTTTTAATTTAATAGCTATAATAGTAAATTTTTCTTACTTAACTAGTTTTTTTTAAGATAAATAGTATTTCTAGTAATATTATTTTCTAATTAGCTATATATAAATTATACTAGCTAATTGCCTCTTTTAATAAAAAAACCTTAAATTTAGCTTCTTAAGCTTTAATTTTTAAAGGATACTAAAGTCTTTAAAATTTTTTACCTTAGTTACTATACTTTTAATTAAATTTAAATTAATAGTTTCTTTAAAGAAAATTTTAAGTATTTAATTACTATACTATAAAGATATAGCTATACTTTATAACTTAGTAAAAAATATTAATAATACTAATTTAAAAAGTTAAATCTTTTTTTAAAATATTATTAAAGCTTAATATAACCTCTAATTTTAAAAGCTATTATATTATATTAAGTTAATATAAATACTAACTATATAAAATACTAGCTAAAAAGAAAATTTAAATAAAATTTTTAAAATATTAAATTAAATTATAAAAGTTTTTATTATATAAAATAGTTATATATTTTCTTCTTTTAACTTAAATACCTATTTATCTATAAATAAATCTAAAAAAATATAATAAATTTTAAATAGTAATTCTTTTCTATTAATTCTTAAATTATACTTTTAATAGAAAAATAAGCTTAAGGCTACCTATAAAAACCTCCTTCTCTTTAATTTAGTAGCTATAATAGTAAATTTTTTCTTACTTATTTAATTTTAAGTTAAATAGTATTTCTAGCAATACTATTTTCTAATTAGCTATATATAGACTATACTAGCTAATTACCTCTTTTAATAAAAAGGTCTTGAGTTTAGTTTTCTAAGCTTTAATTTTAAAGAATATTAAAGCCTCTAAAATTTTTTTACCTTAGTTACTATACCCCCAGCTAGATTCAAATTAATAGCTTCTTTAAAGGAAATCCTAGATATTTAACTGCTATACTATAAAAGTAAAGTTTTTATTATATTTATTAAAATTAAAAATAAAAAAATTAAATAGAATTTTAATAAAGAAAAAAAAAATAGCTTAAAATTTAAAACTTAAGCTTTAATAACTATAATATATATATAATAAAAATACAATAAATTTAAATATTAAATTCTCTTATTAAAAAACTCTTAAAATATTATAATATTATAGCTACTTTTATTAGTAAAAGCTAGTATATAATTATATAAAGCTAAATTCTTATTAATATTAGCTTAAAAGATCTATAGCAATCTCTACTAATTAAGTTTCTACTATAAAAGTTATTATTCTATTTAATTAGAATCTTAGAAGCTTAATATCTACACTTATTAAGCGAGGGCGGGGGCGTTCCTTCTATAGGTCGTCGGGTCAGAGCCTTGCAGGGCGACGAGAGCCGGGCCCCGGCCTCGGGGGCCAGGGACGAACCGGCGGCGGCTGCGGCCACCTCCAGGTAGAGCTGGCGGAATAGCCGCTCGCCGATTTCCCGGATTCCGCGCTTTTCCGGCTGTGTTAACCGCTTCAAGACTCCGTTTTGTCGTCGAGGTCGGGCAGGGCATTTCCCATCGCCAGAGGGATGAGGGCCCCGGCAATTGAGGCATTGTGTCTCGTATTCGCAGGGCATCCCCTCGTGGGGGGTCCTTCCGCAGCTGACACAACGGGCAGTCCGGTTGCAGCTGTGTCGCGAGTGATAGTCCCAGCAAAGGTTGCACTGGTTAGGCTTAGCAGTCTTCCGGACCAGTCTTGCTAGCCGGCTCGTCCCAAAGAAGGTCCCAAAAGAGTAGGCCAAAAGATTGTCAATTGAATGAGATGCTAGAAGGGATGATTCTCTCCACCAGATGCTGTCTGAGACCTTCCCATTTTATGGCCCTGTCAGGGACTAAATGCACAATAGGGAGTGGAGATGGCAGACTCGCTACTAGATAGCAGCTTAGAAGGTGGTACTGGGGTGGTAACTGTATTGATCTCTGGCCTCTATCATTTCTGTGGGTGAAGACTGCTATTTATGCTTTCCATTTGGTATCCCGACTGCCGCCGAGCCGGAGGCGTGCCGGCGGCCTCGCAGCGTATCCGCCGAGGAAAGGGATGTGAGGCACGCATGAGGGGGAATCTAGCGTTCCGGACCACGCGTTTGCGTTCCAAGCGCGGCGTTGCATTCCGGCACCTGACACCCCAATAGGTCTGGCTACTGGTCCCTACCGGTACGGCACTTCCTGTTGAAGGAACCCACCAATGCTAGCCCTAGTGGCTGCAAGCATCCGATCAGATGACCTCTATCCCCAAAAGACTGGAAAACCCCGACTCACCAGCCAGAGAGGCCATTGATGCCGGCCATTCTTAATAATTCCCTTTTGACTTTTCCAGCCAGATGGTGGACTCGATACCCGTGGAGCCCAATGGGCGCCTCATCTCGCCGCCGCCGAGGAGGTCATCGGATTTGACGGCGATGACAAGATCGGAGAAGCCAATCCCCCTCTCTTGCATGCGCTTGATGTCTTGTTGAGTCTCGGCAGCACGCACTACCACGGTGGAGCGGGCAGATCCCTGGGGCACACCAATGTCGAGGGTATGCGAGTTTTGCTCGGCGGCAGGTTCCATCTTGGAGCCCAGAATCTTGGAATAGACGCGGGCATATTCGGTCTGCAGGTGCTTGGGTACGAGGATGTCGCAGGCCGCGATGCCAATGGCACCGCAAGGATGCGTCGTCTTCTTCTCGTCTTGACTTGGGACCCTGTCGGTGCGAGGGGTGACGTCGTGGCAGAAGAATGGGACGTCGATTCTGCCGTTGGCGAAAAGCTCTTGACCGGGCGTCTTGTCACCTTTGGAGAACTCTGGTCGTGTGACCTTCCACTTGATCTCCACGCCGTCAGCTTTCTTGCGTGATCCCGCAATCGGCTCGCCGAATTTGACACCAAGACCGGCATCTTTCTCGGGCCCCTCGGACAATCGTTCGTTGACGGCCTCTACCGACTCCTCTGCGGAGTGGGTTGTATCGGTGATTGCAAAGTCGATCAGTCCCGGGGTTTTCGGTCCCCAGAATCTCATGGGCAAGTGTTCATCGTCCAGAGACGGTGGCGTGTCGTACCAGTTGAAGAATTCCAGGTAGCTGCCATCAGCGAAGATGACTAATTTGTTGCGAGATGGTTGGCCATCGTGGTAGCCTCCAGGGGTGACGGTGAAGTTGTCGGTGACCCAGGCGGGCAGGTTTTCAAAGAAGGGGGTATCGACAAGAAGAACAATGTGATCTTGTTGTGTAGAAGTCATGGTGCCGGCTTTTGATTGTGGTTGATTGTGATGCGAGGATAATCTGATGAAGTCTTGGGAAGAAGTTTCGGGAAATGGAGGTCTCGAGAAGCCAATTAATTAGGACACGAATGGAGAGTATCTGTTCGATACTCCTAACGATCGGCGGCAGGTGATTTGACCGGAGCACAAATGGAAACACCACGCGCTGGGTATGCAGGGAGGACTTTTGTTGCTCGGTGAATCGGTCGTGTAATCGTGATGATGGCTGCACGTCGACGCATTGGACGCCTTATTCTGCAGGCGACGATATGCTAGGTTACCCTGATTCGCCAGAATCCACTACCCCTCCTTCGGGTTCAAAGTTCCCCGCATGCTGGCCAAGCGAGGTGAAGTAAGGCAACCTAAGACCTAAGGCAACCTAGGACAACCTAAGGCAACCTAAGGTAAGAGACTCGGAGTCGAATTCATTGCAGGTGAATCGGGGACCGTGACGGGCTTCATCCGGGATCCCAACAACACCAAAACCGTCATTGGCGTGCGCACGGCAAACCGGACCATCTGGAAAGCCAAGAAAGTCATCGTCTCCGTGGGGGCATACTCGGAAACGTTGCTCGACTTCAAGAACCAGCTGCACGCGGTGGGATACCCCGTCACGCATATACGCATGACCGAGGAACAGTACCAGCGGTACAAGGACCTGCCCGTGGTCGCCATCACGCGTTGAGGATACTTTTTCCCGCCCAACGAGGACCGCATCTTTAAGATCTGCAACATGGACATCACCGTCATCAACCGCGAGCGTTGGGCCGAGCCCGAGTGCGACTGGGGCGTGCGAAGCCTGCCGCGAGACCAGGCGTACCACCCCACAGACACGCAGCCGCGGGTCGGCCGGCAAAAGACGCTCGAGTTTGCACGGTACATCTTGCCCGAGTTTGGCGACGCCGAGGTGGAGAGCAGTAAGTTGTGCTGGGACGTCGAAACACACGACGATCACTGGATCATAGATTATCATGAATCCGCGCCAGATTCGTTGTTCATCGCGACGGGTGGCAGTGGTTATTCATTCAAGAACCTTACCAATGTTGGCAAGTACGTCGTGCAGGCGCTGGAGGGAACGTTGGATACCAAATGGAAGGATTACTGGCGTTGGCGGCCAGATCGTGTTGGCCAGTTTCCGGAGAGGGAGCAGAGGAATGCGCGATTCAAGTGTGACTTGCGGGACTGTGAGGGATGGAAGCACACTGCCACACAGCTGTGATGATGACAACTATTCGTTGCGTTACTTTTTTGGTGCCTCCGTCAGCATTTTCATTCGTGTCGGTGGCAACGATTAAAATACTACGTCACTTACTACAGCGTAAAGCCAAGTGAAGGCTCTCTGCGCGCCCGTGTCACGGTGTTATGGTAAGATGACGTGGCTACGTTGATACACACAAGTCCGTAGAATACGCACGAGTTGTTCTATTGAGCAAGAGTAGCCGCACCTACACGTAGGTAGCTACAGCATAACCCTGCGCCAGCAAAGTTCCATGCATGAATGTTCATTTACAGTATTCGCGCTAGTTAAGGCATAGCGTCTTTTCCCGTCGCTATGCCGAGCACGCGGGTGCCAACTTGCAGATAAGCTCGTGTTTGAACGCTGGTATTCTTCTTCAGATTCATAGGTGCTGGCCCAGCTCGACGCCCTCCCTCTCACACCTAGCTCAATATATGATACATACAAGAAAACGCTTAGTTGCCCTCAGTCCAGTCGGTAACAACAGTGTAGGGAGAATCACGCGTGGCGAGACCGCCCTGGATCAACTGCTGAGACTCAGCGCTAAAGCAACCATCCTGGATCTCGTCGGAGCAGATGGGCCACAGGGTCTTATCAGACATGCGGCAGAACTGGCCCTCGGCCTGGTTCACAAAGTCAGGACCGACAGAGCTGCCACTCTCGCAGAGGGTAGCCGTGGTGTGCTCGGGGTCGTTGTCCAGAACCAAGTGATTGGCGAATGGGTTGCTAGCGGAAGGTTCGGACGAGCTCTCATTGCGGGCAATAACACTAGAACGTCCGTGTCCGCGAGGAGTCCATGACTTTTGTCGCCGGGCCGGTGCCGTCGACTGGGCCGCCTCCGCTCGCTTGTTGTTGATGGTCCAGAAGGTGATGGTATCAGGGTCAGGCTCGGTGTAGGTCTTAAACGGAGCTCCGCTGTTGCAGAGATAGTCGCGCTTCGTGCCATCGGGGTCGACCGCGTCGCCGTCCTCCAAGACAAACTCTGGCCAGTGGATCTGGAATCCAGTTTGAGGCTGGTCGCCGTTGGCGTCAATCCACATGCAGTTGGGCTTGTAACTGGTTCCCTGGACGTAGACGTTGGAATAGTACCAAGTAGCGCCGCACTCGGAACCCCAGTCTCCGACCCAGCCGTACTGGTCGCCGTTGGCCCATGTCATGGTCATGTAGGCAATGCAGATGGCATCATTGTTAGCCGATAGCAGAGCGTACGTAGCCTGCTGGCCATTGCTGCTGTCCTCGTGTGTGATCTTAACTTCGCCGGTGCTGCCATCGGTGATGGAGTCACCCTTGTTATTAATTCCAATGAAGCCACCGGCCTCGTTGAAGAGGCGGACATCCGGCATGCTTCCGCCAGCGTTGTCCAGGCCGCCCGAGACATCCAGACCAACTGTGATTTTGACGCTGGAGGTCGTAGTGTCAACCTCCCCGAAGTTGTCCTGGGCAAAGGAAACAATCCCCAAGAGTCCAGAGATGACACCAATAACCTCGATAGCAGCAGCCATTTTGAGGAGTTATTTGTGGATGGATAATGTGTTAAGATGTAAAAAGAGGGTAAAATAAACCAGCAATCAATGCCGAGGCTGTAGAGACAGGAAGTGAGTGTTTAAAAGAAAGAAAGGAACAAAGGTTGAGATGATGATGTCCTCGTGTTGGAACTGGGTGTTGGTGGTGAAGATTCAACCATATCATCGGTGCGAGCAAGGTCCCATCTATATACTGAAACTCGATCAAGCACTTTGGTTCATCCGATATTGTCCACTCGGTATGATCCGACACAAGGCTGTGAAAACCTCAATACACTAATCTTGCTTCATTCTGTCAGACTTCGTCCCTTCAATCTTCCTTCAAGCCTCACCATCCACGTACGGAGGCGTCGGAAGTCGCGCGATGAGATGATTCAGTTTCGTTTTCAAGATGGCATCCTACGCTAGGAGCTCAGCCTTCATGCTAATTGCATCACGCGGAGGAGGCTGTGAATATGGGAGGTGAATCAGATAGATGGTGTCGCATCGTCGTGGGCTAATTTTCTCCCTTGCGCGCATTGGTTGCCAAGAACACTCGTTTGAAGTACACCTGGATGCTGTATCACCGCCACAGATTGCAGCACGATGGTAAAATGCTTTGTTTCAGGGTGCGGATGAACAAATGGTTGAGCCAATCACGTTGGTATTTCTTAGCTTCAATCATCAATTCAACCTTGGTGGATAAACGGAAGGATTTAACGTCCCTCTCAGAGTGGCACTAGAATCCTTCAGCTAATAAACATGTGCTCTAACGTCAAGTTAATGAGGCTGGGAAGTTGATACACTCTCGAGACGCATCACACGTCTTCCTTAAGGAACGAAACAAATGTTGTTTCGGTATGCACGCGACTGCACAAGGATCTGTCACCAAAGATACGGTAATCTGGGGTGAGGCCCACAAAAGTTTCTCCGGAAGGAATACATGGCCCTGTCACGATGAAACTAATAACAACCCGCTCTCCACCAAGATCAGGCCAAAGAGCCTTATCCGTCGCGTTTCTTGGTTCGCTAACTACCCCGTTGTTTTAATCCAAAATCCGCCCTAAGACATCGTGCTAAGCCCAGCCGCCGGAGCCTTTCCGCCATGGCGTGAAACTCTGACTTCTGTGGCTGTGTTGATCCTTGACGCGCTGCGGCCCGAAATTAAAGATCCGTCCCGTTGAGTGAGGTTCGTACATGACGAGCTGGGTGCCTTATCACACCGGTTCTTAAGTCGCTGAAATAATTGCGGCAGATGCAGGTTGGTGATACGTGGTGCCCATGGCTGTAGGTCACATCGAATAGCTTATCTTCTGCCGTTCCGGGGTAGTCCTAGGTCCAGCTGCAAGGTAGATGATCAACGAAACAGGAAGTCTAGATTCCAGGATCGACATGCCAGCGCAATGCTTCGTCAGGTGTGGCTGAATAGACTTACTGTATTTGTAAAGCGGGAGAGACCCTAGTATGCGGGTGAGACACGGGTCGGCTCTACATATGCCGGCAGAGACTGATCCCGACTCCCAACTCTGCCTAAGGGACGCCTTCGTCCGTCACGAGCGCGTAAAGTGGGACCAGGGGTATGGGGAACCAGCCAATCGTACGCCGAGGACGACAGGGAGGACGACAACAGAACTACCAGTAATGCGGTCTCGAGCAAGCACGGGGGATACTTTGTTTACGACCTTGCGAATGGCGCGGGAAGAGCATGGTGTTAGCAGATAACCTCAGACCGTCCTTCTCCAGAAATTTATTTCGAAGTCATAATTCTAATATTGAATAATGTTTGTAGACAAGATCTCAGCCAAGGCCCTGACTACCATGACACGTTCTGCCATCCATTCGACTGATAGCGGCAAGGTCTGTGTGTGATACCGGGTAGCTCATGTGACTCTTAACGGGTTCTTCTCGGCGAGATACAATTGTCTCGCTACTGGGCCGTTTCTATCGAGGAAATTCGGCGTCGATGTTATCCATTGGCCTATATTCCTAGTTTGGTATGGGCTGCAGGAAACGAGGCGAAACGAGGCCGACGTGGTTGGTACCTCGGCAGCTGCCGGCAGATCTATCTTTGGGTATCTTCTTACATTGGAAACCCTTGGCACTCTTTGACGCGGAAGGTCAGACAAGAATGCTAGTTCGACACGGATGAAAACTTCTGGTGCTGCCAACGTATGATACCCTTCAACAAGATGCTCCTCGGCCCCCTCGGCCCATCACGCTTTCACCCTCACTCAGTGAAACCTTGGAGACAGAGAGAGCTAGGAAGGGTTTTGTGGTGACTGAGTAGGTCACTTGAAAATGTAGATCTCGACGTGTGGCTGCCTGTTTTCTCTGATTTGGACTAGCTTTATGAAGTTATGCTTTCCAGGGTCAGGCCAAAGGTTCCAATAAAGCTGCATGTCTCACTTTCTCGTCAGCTGAGGCTTGGAACTTGAAGCCCGATGGAAGAGGACTATCTTTCGGGGAAATTTGGGCAGAAATTAATCTCGACGATATAAGGATCGGGTGGCACATAAACAGCATCATTCATCAAGCTGCATAATCATTGACTTCTACCCTCTCTCCACTTCAGGTGTGATCGCTACCATACAATGAAGCTAAGCATTTTCACTGTTATCGCTCAGGCCTCTCTAGGCTTGGCCCTTGTACGACGTGATCTCGGACGCAAGAACGTTGAGGTTGCGGAGGTCAAAGGCACCCAGCAGAAGGTCGACTACGAAAACCAGGAGATCGTTTTTGCTGACCCTGCATCCGACTTTGAGGATGTCTTCCGCTGCTCCAAGCGCCTCGGAAAGCAACTCACGTTCAATGTGGACAAGACGTTCGTGGCCTGCTGTGGGGTTGGCCAGGTTCTACTCGGTAGCCCGCAGACGGCGTTCGATTGCTGTGGATCTGGTCTTGACCTTGTAGGAGATACGAGCACGGGTTTTGCATGCTGTGCTTCGAGTGAGACCTACGATGGTTCCAAATGCAAGCCGAAGGTGAAGGTTTGCGCCAATGGGAAAGTCCTCGATGCAGCAAACGAGGAGTGTGTCTGTCCCTCGGGCACAGCTGAGGCTTCTGACGGCGGCTGCCTCGCAACATGCAGTTCGGGTGTTTCAGCAGGTGTGTGCTCCTGGCAGTGATTTCTGTGTAAGAGACCGGCTGACGGATCAATAGGAAAGTGCTACGTCTTTGCCTGGGAGAACGGCTACCGGTTTGGCTACAACGATCGCGGTTGGTACAGCGCAGCCAAGGACGGCCGCAATCACAGATTTGGCAAGTTTCAGCTCTGCAAAGACCAGACCTGTTCCGCAAGCGGAGATATCAATCCCAACGATGCTTTCCGCATCATGGATATCCACGGCCAGGCCAACAGCGGGCAAAATGCCAACCAATGGCTCAACGACGCAAAGGATTTCGGAAACATCGGAAAGACGTCTGATTACTCTCGTGCTGGTGTATTCACCATCACCAAATGGGCCTGTGGCAGGTACTGTCTCGGTGGGTTTGCGGCAGGCTTGGGTCCCTCGTACCCCAGCGACGAAGCTTCCGCCATGTTTACCTCGCTGGACAACCAAGCTTGTATCCCCATCGATATTACCGAGGTTCCCTGCGATATCCACAGTGTGCAGAATAATTGCATCACTCACAACGCCTCGGTGCCATGTCTCCTTGGAAATAACATGGACCGGGGAAGCTGTGATGGCTCTATCTCTGGGGGCAGTGGAGGAGGCACAGCCGTTTCCAACCAAACGAAATCTCCACCAACCCCGGATGGCTGTGATCCGTCAGCGAACGTCAAGCCGATCAAAGACGGTGCAACCAGGGCGGACCCTTGCAAAGGCGATACTAGCTACAATGAGGATGACTTCCCCTGTAGTAAGGGCAAGGAGAAACCCTGCCGCGGAGCCCAAGTCAAGGGATGGACTGCTGCAACACTCCCATGGGGAGGCGCTTATGTGCAGCCCGGTCCACCGAAGCCCCACGAAATGTGGGTAGAGTACGACTTCCCTGTGGTCATGAGTATTGTCGACGTTGAGGCCCAGTCTGAGCATTTCCTTCTCAAATTGGACGACAAGTTCTTGGGTGAGACGGGTGGCGAGAACGGCTACAAGAATGAGTACGTTGGCCAGTACTGGGACGCAGAGTGGTGCTTGACCAACGGGTACACTCGAGGCTACTTCCGCATTCCTGCCGGTGAGTTCTAAGAACCCTTTTCTGGTAAGAACAAACCTCATTAACCAAATCTAGGCCGGCATAAGATCACTATTGAGTGGCCACAGGGCACCGGAAAATACAAAACCAATGCTGGTGGTGCTTGGTGGTACGGTATTGCGAAGTACAGATTTGACCGTCTTTGTGACTCGAGCCAGTGCACATAGCGCTACTCTTGCTAATTAAGAGGTGGGTCGGGAATGAATCTGAGGCGGTCAGGCGCTTAATTTCTGTGTCCGAGAAAATATGGAACGATAGGGCTCCTGTTCAGGAATTTTGCGAATGCCACAAGCTAGAATTGACGGATGATTCGTGGGATAATGCCCCGTCCCCTGTGATTTCCCTTCATCCCGGCGTGCATAAAACAGTTAATCCGGAAACATCTCCATGTTAAGTAAAACACCAGTCTGCATACCACTTAGGTGAGGACCTCCATCCTTGTTAACGTGACCGTTGTTTCGCGAAGAAATGCGTAAGTGAGATACGTGATGAAAATGACGACGTTACATTTTTCGTAGGGGTGATACCCTACTGCAGCTACGGAGAGTCGTAAATATTATGCACTGCCTTACACATTTGGAAGGCTGCATATATTACGATATGCGGCTCAGAATTTTGACTCGATTAGATTCCAAACCTCGGGAGGAAAACAACCGTTCATCCAGTAATCGCCATTAGGGGTGCTTGTGAGAAAGGCACCATTCCTTGCCAGCATGTTATTTGGACTCACTCCCTGGACATGGTAGTAGACGGGACTGCTCTTCACCTTGGAGAGTGATGTAGCTCCATCTGCCGATGCCCGATGGCGACCACCGTGCTGAATGTTGTTCACAATCGCTGGCCCAAAGTCGAGCGACTCAAAGAGCCGAGCCTTGCTCCAGTTCGACATGTTCACCATAAAGGAGCTCGTGTCACCAAACATCGGCGGTATTCCAGATTTCTCAAGGGATTCTCGAGTCAGGCGGGCCAGAGCATGGACCGACGCTTCGGTTGTCTGCGTTTTGATAGTCTCTCGGATGGCCTGCGCTACAGTGCCGAGAGTGTCAGGCTTACGGGCGAGGATCTGAGAAGCTGGGAGAGTCGTCCAACAAGGGAACACGGCATTCTGCACATATGCCCCTTTCTCCTTCTCGGCGGGGAAGAGTGATGCACAGCGTCCGCGAAGGTCAAAAGCATTCGAGATACTGATCGTCCTGGTCGAGTTCCGTGCCAAGATCGCTTCGGTCGCCGTTACAGCCAGCCATGCTGCCACTACATCGCCGTCGCTAACAAACGGTGCCAAACTGGGCGTTGCTGCGAGAGAAGCCATTGCCTCGCTGCGTAGCTCTTGCACAGTCCTCCGTGGCAGAAAGACAGTTCTCGTCTCCATCGTTCGCCACCACACTAAGTCGAGGATGAAGCGAATACCCCAGAGGAACAGCCACCAGCCTCGGACTTGTTGCTCCTGGAGGGGATGTCGTTCAACAAAGACAGGGTCAATCCCAGCGCAAGCCATCGGATCCTCGCCTGCCGATAGCATCGGGGGAATATCGGACTCTCGCCCGGCGAGTACGAGACTCCACGCAGAACCGATCTCGCGAAGGCTCATTGCGTCGGCGCAAATGTGCGGCCAGCAGAGCGATACCAGGGTCGCGTCGGTAAAGGACACCACGTGAACCGTCAGCTGCGGGCAGTCGGACTTGAGGTAATCCTCGAGACAAACCGGTGCTCCTGGCGGGATGCCCAAGACCTTGAAGGCCGAGGGTCCACGTTGCACAGACGGCGCGTTGGGGGTGGCTACGGGAAGTGTAGATGCTAGAGGGTGCTCGTCGATGCTGACGTCGAACGAGTCGTGATGGAAATTGAGCGCTGGCCGTTGTGAGGTGAAGGCCATCGGGACGTGAATCTCGAGCTTCTCGTTATCCTGCCGAACGCCAGACTCTCGCCTACAGATTTGCGCTGCATAAACTGACATTGAGGCGAATTCGTCCTCCCAGCTTCCTCCATCCTGGCCGCTCAAGGAGCCTAGATAAGGATCCCCGCAGCATTTCTGCGTCCAGCGCGTCGTTGAACCTGAGCGTCAAACATTGCACGCTGTTGCGCAAAAGCGGCGTGTCATCAAAGTAGTAGACTTGTAGCACAGTGTCTGTGGGAACAGTTGCGCAGGTCGACAGCTTGTGCGCCTGGCCGAGAACGACTCTACGAAGGGCCTCCATTGCTGCTTCTAATTCTCGTAGAGCTGCCTGTTGACGCGTTGCCTTGCGTTTAGTGAAGTCCTGCTTGACAGTAAGCTGACGTATCTGATGATGTTGGATAGCGACCCTGTATTACGAAACCTCTGATAGATCGATATCCTGACCTTAGTGGCGGCGTAAGATGACAGAAATCCGCTCTAGGGACAAGACGGGGCCGGAAGGATCCGAGATCAAGACAAGCATCATCTTTGGTCTTCACATTGTCTTGAACGATATCACACTGATCAGGATAATCTCAACGATCGTGTCAATTTGACTATGTGAACCGTATGACAAAGTAGGAAAAAAAGCAGAGACCTAAATAAGTTTCATATTGTCTGCAACATTGAATAACCAAGCTTAGTTCAACTGACCGTTGACAAAGCCAAACAAAAGCAGTATTGTACAAGGGCCACATTCTTACCAAACGAAGGCTTCATATTTTGTCCTTTGATCTCGGGCCAAGTGGAAGCACGATGTTAATCCATCAGACCTATATCGCCAGCAAGAAAGAGGCAGAAAGGCTTAAGAGAGACCTGACAGCCGTGGCCAGCAAATCATATCGCTATAGTACTAGTCCAGGCGGTAAAGAATAGTTCCCCAGCCCAGCTGGTCGTAGCCGCCGCTGTTGGGGCCATAGCTCCCGCCACCGCCCTCGGCACCATCGCTGGCGTCGAGGACCATGTCGCGGTATTTGCCGGTCCAAGAAGCGTTCAAGCCCTTGACGCCGTTGTAATGGGCGTACAGCAGCTCGCCGATAGGACGGATGGTGCCGCGGCTGGAGTTGCTTATGACCGTGGCGGTGCCGTGGTTGTTGGTGTAAGTCTTGAAGGGAACGTCTTGGCCGACGTTGTACTTGAAGGCGTACTCGGAGCTTCATGTGGTCAGCAAGACAGATTGATCTCGTGGGAAGACCAGGGTGAAAGGAAGATATAAGCTCACCCCGCCAAGATCCGGTTAGAAGTCAGTGAGAACAGATCAGTACCCTGGTTGTAGCTCTGCTGCGCAAGAACGCCAAGCAGACCAAAGTCCAATGTGGCGTGGCCTTGGTCTCGACCAGCCTCCTGGCCCTGACCCAAGGGCTTCCCAGAGCCTTCCTCGGACCAGATGTACCAGATGGCATTAGCAAGGGCACCCATGCCAGACCCAGTCTTGAAGTAGGTGATAGCTTCGTTGACCATGGTCTGGTTGTCAGACAGAACGCCAATGCTGTGCATGGCACAGAGTGTGCAGAGGTCCCACTAGGAGAAGGTAGTTAATTCTCGTCTCTAGTCCAAAAAAAAAGTCATCTTGCTAACTCGCTAGGAAAGAACTCACATTTGCCCAATAATTGTCAATGCTGGCCCCGTTGTGACGAACGAGGAAATCGTGGTTCATAGGGTAGAAGATGTCAACCAGCATTTTGATAGCTGCGTCCAAACCGGTCCAGCCGTCATAGTCTCGCAGAATCTCAGCCACGTTAGCGAGCTGATATCCATAGAGGCCCGCAGCCAGCCAGCGGTCGGCACTACCGATAATCTCGGTGAGTTTCGAACTCCAGGCGTCCATGATGCGCACAGCAGCCTTGGCGTTGTCAGTCGTCCCGCGAATCCGCCAGACGAGAGCGTTCGCATAGGCCGCCGCGACGTCCTTGTACAAGCTGGCGTAGTTCTGAGTGCAGTCCGAGCTGCCCCGGCATACACTCGCCTGCGCGTTTGGAGTGTAGTCGGCATTGGCAGCCGCGGCCAGCTTCAGCCAGCCGTCGTACTGAGGACTGGCCTGGGCAGCCACATATCCCTTTATGCGGGCGAAATCGTCGTTGGTATGCAGAAGGCCAGGGTGGACGATTCTTCGCGGCTCGATGGCGAATGCCTCTGTGACACTGATGCCAATAGCACCGGCCAAGGTTACGGAGATGATGGCGCTGGCTCTCATGATTTGACAATGGTATTGTGACAGGTAGGCTTCAAGGACCAAAATGAGATTTGAAACTGGGTTGAAGAGAAAAAACAGAGCAAGGAAAGAAGATTGCTCAGCACGGTCTGAACTGTGTTTTCATGTAGATAACTGGAATGCTCGATCTCCTAGTGATAATAATGGTGCCGGGCCAACTGCGGCGCCGCCTTACTGGAGCTTTGTCAAGTTTGCTGATCCTTCCCTTTTTCTTCTATTAACCTTGTCCCTCGTGACCCTCTTTCATGGGGTATGCGGAAGAAGTCTCGGCTCACGCTGTTTAATGTCTCAAAATCTCGTGCTGTAGTGCTGCCCGAGCGTTGTGTTTCAAAATTCCGCGAGTCGTAAATCCGCAAACTTGCGGGCCATGATTGGATCGCATGACTAAAAAAAAATGCACAATGATCTGATAGGGAAGCACCAAGTCTCAGTTTAAGTAAGCGGACTTAATTTGGAACCTAGCCGTTGCCAAGGACCATCATTCCATATACTACGAGGAGGCGAAGCGTTCCAATCAAACGTGATGAATTAGCAGGGGAATGTATCACTCATAGACACACAAATCATACTGACCAGGACTGCTCGGGGCAGTGGGAAAGGCGACATTCTTGCACTGGCTACCGGCTCAAGTGCCGGCCGTAGTCCGATGGAATGTGTGCGGGGTGCATCATGGAAGAACGCTTCCATATTGATCTACAACGCATACAAGTTTTCCCACCCACTACATTCATTTCTCACTTTATCCGGGTTCCTTATTAGTCTCTATTATAGTTCCTCGTTTAACCGTCCGGTCCCATGCCTAACCGTAGCTTCCTCCGAAGTCAATTATTTGGGATGCGCACAATAGCAGTATCAAGAGGCACCGGACAAAGTCTCGGGAATTGAGAGAAATGACACTATGTATATTAAAGGCGTTGGCGGTAGCCAGGGTTGCATTCGCAGCACAACTCAATTTCTCAGCCCACTTCTCTAAGGCAAATTGTCTGCTCCTTCCAGTCAACGCAGTGTCGATCATGATCATCAAACCCCTCCTTCTCATTTCAGCCTTGCTCTGCGGAGTGCAGGCTAAGCTTAAGACATATCCCGTCCCATCGGGCATCGCCAAGAGCACGGCTTTTACTGCCAATGTCCGTACAAATCGCAACGGTGCCGTGTGGCAGCCTCTAGACATCTACGAGATTGGCCTGCATGAGATCAACACTACCACCGGCTCGGCTGCTGTGAGGACATCATCGTACACGTACTTTGATTTCACCGGCATGGTTGAGATCGCTGTCAGGTACAACAATGCCGTCGCTCAGAATGTCCGCGTCCGCCCAGACTCGTACGGCATCATCCCGCCAATAGTAGATGGCTGGGTCAACTTCACCATTTCTAAGCCCCAGAATCTCGTCATCCAAGTCAACAATCAAACCTTCGACGTGCTTCACGTTGCTGCCGCCCATGTTCAGACGCATGTGCCCTCCTCCACCGACCCGGATGTTATCTACTACGGCGCCGGCGTCCATGACGTTACTGGCGGAGTGGTCAACGTCCCCTCTGGCAAGACTCTCTACCTTGCTGGCGGTGCAGTGCTCCGAGCAGGCGTCACCCTCACCAACACCACAGGCTCTTCAATTCGCGGCAGAGGCATGATCTACAAGCCCAAGTCTGGTGTTGCCACCGCTTACGCCCAAGATACATTGATCGAGGGCATCACTCTCATTAGTGCAAATATTGGCGGTGGCCAAGCAACCGGCTTCCATATCCGTGATGTCAAGTCATTCAGTGCCGTTGGGTGGGGTGACGGCATGGACTTTTACTGCTCCAAGAATGTTCTGGTCGAGAGAGTCTTCATGCGCAACTCGGATGACTGTATCGCTATCTACAGCCATCGCGACAACTGGTGGGGCGACTCCAAGAATATCACCATCAAGGACTCGTCCCTCTGGGCTGACGTCGCCCACCCAATCAACATTGGTACTCATGGCAACTCTGATAACCCCGAGACGATCTCTGATCTTACAATCGAGAATATTGATATTCTGGATCATCGTGAGGCCCAGGTCGGATATCAGGGATGCATTGCTATCAACCCAGGTGACAGCAACGTGGTCAAGGACGTCCTCATCTCGGATGTCCGAGTGGAAGACTTCCGCCTCGGCGAGTTATTCACCCTTAGGGTCATGTACAACACCAAATACAACACCTCTCCGGGAAGAGGGATCAAGAATGTCGTGATCCGAAACCTTAACTATACTGGAACCCATGCCTCCATGGCCGTCATTGCTGGATATGACGAAACCCGTAACATTGAGAATGTCACGTTCCAAGGTCTTGTGATCAATGGCAAGGCCATTTATGATGCCATGAGAAAGCCAACTTGGTATCAGACTACGGACTTCATTCCTGCTTTTGTCAATGAGCATGTCAAGAATCTTACCTTCCTGTCGTAGGCAAGCATCTTAGAAACTAAGTAGAACATTTAGCTACCTCTGCTTTCAATACAGCTTGGTTACCTCAATTCGCGATTGAACAGTATCAAACCTAACAACAAAATTCTGATATTTGTTTTATCATGAGAGCATTCAATTCCTTTCTTGGGACTGACCCCAGCGTTGTTGGTTGGCTGCTTCTGGTAGCTAGTCAGCCCCAACCTTCCGCTCTTTGGCTGTGTGTCCATAGTGTACTCTGGTCGGATAATGAATCCGACAAGTGTGTTCTCTGGCTTGATCCAACCATACACTCTCTCGCGGATATCAAAGTACCCATCGGATGCCACTGGAGTAAAAGAATTCAACCTCGGACCTCCTAGCGTTTCCCTATCTTTGTGTTGATGGTTGAATTATGTTTCATGAACCTGGCTGTCCAGTGCACGACGATTGCACTTTACTGGTCTTGATGTTTCAAGAGGGCAGTCACCGTGGCAGGAACTTGGCTGTTGAAGTAACATAGCCTGGAGCTTCTTGTCGAAGGACGTATTTGACTATTCTGGCGTCCAGAGGGATTTCGGGATAACGGCATTGGGGTGGATCTGGAACTTTGGGCCTTGACACTATATGAAATGACGTCTCGTTATCGGTCAAAGAGAACCCGGACTTTTCAGCTTTGCCGAAACCTCCGAAAATTGGCAACTATAGTCAGCCGACCCATCCGAAGTACGGTATACGAAGTCGTCTAAGACGAAACCACAAGTTAACTTTCGCTTCCTTATCCGAACAAACCAATTCAAGGAACGACGACAGGGTACATTTGTCTTTGGCATGTTTAAGCTAGGGTCACCCCTGCATATAGTGATTTCAAGTTAGATGCAGCGGAGTCTAAAGTTTGGCTACGAATTGAATACTTGGGCCGCGCGCTCCCAAGGGAATCGTCGTATTAGAGGTCCCACAAGTAGAAGTATGCCGGAACATCAGCTGATTTCTAGTAACTATTTGTGACAAGTGACTGGGTATAAAGACGAATCACCCAGGGAAAGCAGCATCGAGAAACTACTCTTCCACCTTTAGACACTTTGCCTTTAATACTCAGTATCCCTATCTCGACACACCCACGCAATGACAGTTAAGATTCTTGGCACTGTGCTTTTACTAGCCAGCACACTTGCAAATGCCTTGAGCCTAGCGACAGCGAAAGAAAAAAACTTCATCCCTCGTAGCCTTTCGCCTGACAACGAGTCTCGACACCAGCTCCGAGATGTGAAGCACATGACGAGCTCCAATTGGAACGGAGGCGAAGTCGTTGGCCCACGTTTTGAGTCCGTCACGGCAGAGGTCGTTATCCCAAACATCACTTTTCCGTATGGATATAATTCCAGCGCATACTACGCCTCGTCGGTCTGGGTCGGCATCGGCGGAGACCAGCACACGTGCGATAGCCCGAATTGGGCCAACAATGGAGGGCTCATCCAGGGAGGTTACTACTATTTGTACGACAAAGAGGGCGACTTTGGTGTTTTTGCCTTCTATGAATGGTTCCCTAACCCACCGATCTTTCTGGACAACACTCGGGGTATTCTGACTGATATTGGGGATCATGTGCGCATGACTGTAACGCAGAAGGATAACACGACTGGCACTTTTACTTGGGAGAATCTCACTCAGGACAAGAAGTAAGCGATCATTGGAGAGTATTTCTATTTTACATGATCCTAACTTGCTTTGCAGATTTGAAGTCGACTTGACAGCTCCGGTGAATGGGACGCTGTGCACGAATCATGCAGAGTGGATCATTGAGACCTTTATGACACCCGAGAATCCCGAATCCTACTTCCCTGATTTTGGCGAGCTGTCGTTTACCAACATTGAGGCGGTGTCAGAAGCGGGCAAGGTGGCATCGCTGGCTGATGGGTACATCATAGCTGCGCAGCCCAAACCGAACAGTGGAAGGTACCTTACAAGCTGTGAGATAGTAGACGTCGATGGCACAACGTGCAAATGGCTTGGATATAAGGGAATCTTTGACTAGACGACCAAGGTGTTCCGTTTATTACCAATGGCACTTGAGAAGAGAAGGGCGGATTGGTTAATAGTACTTGAAGTGGTTATATCTACTATTATGATGGCAAACATTAAAATAAAGGAATATTTCATCACTGGTGTGCAGTTAAACTGCCCATGTAGTGAAGGGTTTGTGTTGAAAGGTGGGTGCGATCCACGGATGCACGATCTGTCGCGCCCCGTGGAGAGACCAGGCGGTCACTACTGGTAGTCACTACTGGCAGTAACGTGCACACCACTTTTCTTTCCGATTGAAATAAATCACCCGGACTCGCCGCAGGACCTGAGGGATTCGGACTAGAGTAAAATCAGGCTGTCTGTCGTTTCATCGTACGCGGGAAATAAATTGACCCCAAGTCGGCCCGTGCAAGGGATTGCTTTGACCCTGGCGCCAAGCAACATCAAGCATAAGACAACGCATGAAAACAATATCGCCACTGAAACTGGAGGATCAGAATGTTTCAAACATTTCTTGGTATCAGCAGCGCCACAATCCTTCCAAACACGTCGCCTTCGTGTCCCTCATTTCCAGTGTCCTCCCTCCATTCTTGTTCCGACAATTATCTAACATTGGATCAAACTAGTCCAGGGGCTTTCAAAGTGTATCGTTCTTCCGGTTGCGAATTATTCTTCTTCTAAATCAACATCTTTTCAATTCTTCTTTCGGACATACCCAACTCACCAAAACACCATGGCTCCCATGAATATGTTTCGTGCATTCTCCAGATCTCTCATCGCGCTGAGTGCTGCCAGCAGCGCTGTGGCCCAGTCCTACAATGAGAGCATCGTTGGATGCTCTACCGTCGGCTGTCCCACCGTCGAGGGCGGTACCACCAATGACTGCCGAGTTGTGGACAACAATTTTACGGTGATAGGAGTCGCTAGAATTCCCGTCAACACGTCTTCGTCGCTCTCCGGTGTGTCCTGGGTGCAAGGTGTGTCGGTAGTAAATATGACTGACAGTCAATATTCCTACGAAAAGACATTCTACCTCGGCACACCTGCTGAGATGGACATCAGCGATGTGGGTGCATGCGCCTTATTCTTCCACAACACTACTTCGATGGTAAAATTCGATGGCGGTGATGATGAAGAAAGCCAAGGCACCTGCCAAGAGGCCATGTCGGAGAGTTGCGTGGCAGCTATGAATGACCGCGCCAGGGTCCTTGACTACGATGGGCTTACCGTCGATGAGGCGTGCGCCAAGCTGCAGGAGGAGTTTGACAAGAACTTGGATTCCGAATGCACGTCCTTTGCAGGTTCAGATAAATGGACAAACATCACAGTCAAAGGTAAGTTAACCTCTCAGCTGCTTGCAAACCCCAGGCCAGAAATAAATGCTAACACAGCCAGCACTATCCGGCTTATCGGAAATTACCTCAAAGACAAACGGGTCTTCTAATTGTTGGCCAATCCTACCCAAGTCTGACAACCTAAACGTCGTTGAGTCTTATGAATACACCGTAAGTTGAATCCTGCCACTGTGGCACTATTGGTTCGGAACGATCTTACAGTGACATTTTACCAGGGAAACAACTCAGCTGCAGCCATTGCCAAGAACCTTTACGGAATCACGCCCATCCTGACCGTCTTCTTCCCCGGCAACGGGACCATGATCACAAATGCTAGCAGCCAAATGACGTGTATGAAGAGTCTAGGGGACAGCGTTCTGAGCGAGAGCACGAAGAGCAAGGGTGATGGCGATGAGGATAATGACAATGGTGCGACGACACTGGGTGCTAGTGTGGGCGTTAACATGCTGGGTGCAGGTTTCCTTAGTCTTCTATATTTCATTTGAACGTTGGGCTGGAACTGGTGTTTTAGTCAACGATTTACTCGAATTATGTCTTGTTTCTCTTAGTTATAGAAAAGGTCTTGGTTGATCTGCTGGTGCTAGGTCAAGGCTAAGCCCCTCCAGTTAAATTTGAAATGAGGTTCACGGACTGGGTCTTGTTGTTCGCCTCCATCTATGGGTGACCCAACCCAGAAATAGCATATCAAAATACCAACCAGATTGGATCACATGTCCCAATTTCATCGCAATCTTATTGAGCTTTTGGGGACGGACTATAAAACCTGCTATCACAACATTTCGAGGAAGCAAGTTGCGTGGTGGGACTAATATTCCACAAACACTTAGATTGCTACCCTACACCGGTTTTGAGGAGAGGCAGCTTGACTAGGTACTCAAAACTATTAAATCACCAATTGAATCACGGTTTTACCTCTAATATCATTTCCCGTTTGCATTAAATTTTTCCTCCTATTCCTTATTTCTTTCACGTTTAGCCGCGCTCACAATAATCGCCATGGATGCCGATGCCTCGGGATTGTTCGCCTCCCTTTCTCATTAATTCCCTCCCTGTCTCCTCCACGCACCGGGAAATAGCGGGAGATCACCCGCGGCTTGGCGAATATTGCCAGTTCCGTCACTTGCCCCCGCCAGAGCACAACCAGGCTCGTTCGGCACCTGTGGCGTAATTCGATACGATGTTATGTTGGTTGCCTGTTGCATAACAGCTCTGCCTAAAGCCGTGGTCCACCTTTTCCCCGCTGATAAGCCAATTAACACTCCATCTTGACAAATGCTCTCAGCGCTTTGTGTAAGCCTAGCACTAACTCGGCTCCGACACGATGCATCGGTCCCGAGACTAATCCAGCCAGGTAGATTCTGCTTACACCGGGCTGCTCGGGTACGTTAATATGTTGAATCTGACAAACAGACTCGATTGTTTGCCGGATCCTTCGGTTTCGTATAGGTGGAGTGGGCAACATGTTTTAGCCTTACTCGGTTCTCGGCCCTCGATGAATCGCCAGTGGTAACCTCTTATACTCTTAATAAAGGCCACCGCTGCCACCTCCTTGCAACAATAATCTCTACTATTTTCACATCTTTTACATTCAAGCAATACCAAACACATCCGCCGGCCCAAGTATGCCAAACGTGAACGTTGACAGTGGCGAATTGAAGGGCCTTATTCTCCCTAATGGCCTACGCCGTTTTCTAGGAATCCCCTATGCGGAGCCTCCGGTTGGTGACCTGCGCTGGCGGCCGCCGCAACCTGTGAGCCCCTGGACAAACCAGCGCAGTGCTCTGGATTATGGCCCAAGCAGTATGCAGAAACCACCTCTGGCAACATCAATCTACTCAGGCGGGGAGACCAACTTCAGTGAAGACTGCCTGTATCTGAATGTATGGACAGGGAGCGCTGAAGACACCGGTCGACCAGTCATAGTCTGGCTGCACTTCGGAGCGCACCAATTCGGCTCAGCCTCCAACCCGCAATACGACGGCGCTGCACTCGCTGCGGAGGGTATCACAGTTGTGTCGATCAATTGGCGACTGGGCCGCTTTGGCTTTCTGGCACACCCAGATTTGACTGCCGAGTCCGGCTATGGTGGCTCTGGCAACTACGGCCTCATGGATCAAATTGCTGCCCTACAGTGGATTCAACGGAACATCGCCGTCTTTGGCGGCGATCCTGCCAATGTCACCCTTGCTGGTGTCTCGGCGGGCGGGAATAGTGTGCATGCACTGCGAGCCTCACCATTGGCCAAAGGATTGTTCTCGAAAGTCATTGCCATGAGCGGATCAGGAGTAGCACCGCCTGCAGATGGACATGGGCATCCTGGAAATATATCCACACTGGCTGCAGCAGAGCAGGCTGGAACGGAGCTCGCTGAGATACTAGGGTCTCCATTCATTGCTGAAATGCGGAAGTTGCCCGCAGAGACGATCATGGCAGCTAAATGTAAGACCCCTGCCCCTACTTCTTAACACATCCCGTCATTATGAGTCACTTGTTCCCTGGGTCTGCAATCCTGATACTCATCTTTCGGGAAAACATTAACAATTCTCCGACATGTCATGAGCTGATTGCTAACTTTACCCATTTAGTACCTCGCATGAAAGGGTGTTGGTCCTTTGACATAATCCCAGGGGCCAAAATCAGTTTGCATGTGTTTGATACGGGCTACCCCATAGTTGATGGACATGTGCTGAGGCAGACACCCCTAAAAGCTTTCTTGTCTGGCACGGTTATTGATACTCCCATGCTGGCAAGCAACACCGGGAACGAGGCATCAGGCCTCCCTCATATCAAAACTGTGACTGAGTACCAGACATATGTCACGAAGACTTTCCCTTCACACGCAGAGAATATTCTCAAACTTTACCCAGCGAGCACCGATAACGATGCCAGGTTCGCCAGTTGGGATCTCATTCAGGATCAGATTTTCGTGTGGTCAACCTGGACTGCTGCGCGGCTTCAGTCACGGATGCTCAAGTCGCCAGTTTGGTACTCTCGATTCCTACGCGCGCCACCAATAGCGATCGGGGCGGCGGAGCGGGAGTATGCTGGGGCGTTTCATGCTGCCGACGTCATGTATGCTTTTGGGAATCTTGATAAGCGGCCTTGGGACTGGACTGATGATGACCGGACCCTCTCGGCGGCGTTGATGTGGACGTGGATCAACTTTGCGCGTACTGACAATCCAAATATGAAGGGCGAAGTGAGTTGGCCACATCTTGAGCTAGGAAGCAAGACGGTAAAGATTTGGGATATTGAGCCAAGGATGGAATTGGATGGGCCTGCACCGGAGAGAATGGCTTTCTGGGATGCATATCATGGGATCGATTCCTGTTTCATTTAGTCACAAATCCAAAAGCATCCTAGTCGTAGCACATTTAGTAACAGGCAGATCAAAGTGTTGGTACTGAACGGTGTGACGTCTGCTGGTATATCCAATGGATGATGGCGACTTTGATTTAGTCAAGGGAATTTCCTTGATCTCGTGACTATAAAGTCGATAGCACAGGTGAGAGAGGCATTCATCCAGGCGTTGAACGATTCTGGGCCCATAGCGTTTATCGGCATCGCTAATAGGAGTGAGAAAGTAGGTCATTTGTGCCCTGTCAAGAGTTACAGGACAACAGATGGGGCCCGAATGTGAAGGGCTCAGTTGCTGATCCGGGACAAGGACGGGGAGAGATACTGCCAAAATGACAGCATATTACCCTACGGGCTTCACCCTCGTTCAAGTTTCCACAGTAAATTGTGCGTGCTTCCGGGTTCGCACTGAGTGGCCGTTCCCGGTCCATCAATAACCGCTGGTTAGTGCATGGTTTAACCGCGGACTTCGACTTACCACTATTTCTTTAGTCAAATTACGAGCCGGGCCCAAGATGCCAAGGCTAGAGGACCCTTAGAACAGGCTTGCTACTCTCACCAGATATTCACGATTGCAATAGGTCTAGCCTAGCCTGGGGTTAATCTTCTCTACATGTAATGGTCACAACCGCTCGCTTCCTGGACCCTGGCTGGAACTCACAATTGCGGCGTGTCTCAGCTCATACATACATGGTCCGCAAAAGTGGAGTTGCGTACTACCAAGATGGGGGGAAGTCCCGAGACTCCGGAAACGGGGAGTTATGAGAGCCCGAGACTAAGTTGTCTATGAACACTCTTCACCAATCTACGAAAATTCAACCTTGATCACGTCAAATGAGGTGGCTAGTTCTCAGTCATTTAATATCTTGCATAACTAAGCCGCCATGGCTAACACTTACGGATCGCTCTCTTTGTAGCGATGTCTATTCCTCCTCACCGTGGCCTTGGCTCGGGTTGCCGGCGCCGCGGATCCCTGTGTCCCGGAAAACTTTTCGTTCCCCGAGATTTCGGGAATAGAGGGGGCAACGATCACTGCCTCCCGTCTTGCAGGCTACAAAGGATACTCTGGATGGAAGCCGGAAGCGAGTTTGATTGGTGCCGAGGGTGTTAGTGCCTGCAATGTCACCGTGTCGTATACACACGCCGGGGAGGGCGACCTGGTCACCGTACACATCTGGCTGCCGCTTGAAAATTACAACTCACGCTTCGTCGGCGCTGGTGGCGGTGGATGGCTGAGTGGCGAGATTGGTGAGGACATCATGTCTCTGTTCGCATACCAGGGCTACGCTGTTGCCGCTACTGATGGTGGCTACAACCACAATCCCTTCTCAACTGCGGACTCATGGCTCATGGAGAGCCCAGGGAAATTGGCTCTTCCACTTCTCACAAACTTCGCACATCGAGCAGTCCACGACATGACTCTAATCAGCAAGCATGTTGTGGCAAGCTACTACGGAGAGGAGCCAAAGTTCTCGTACTGGCAAGGCTGCTCAACTGGCGGGAGGCAGGGTCTTGACCTGGCACAGCGACATCCTGAGGACTATGATGGCATCTGGGCTAGCTGTCCTACAGTGAGCTTCCTCGCTCTCTTGATGTCGATGTTATGGCCGCAAGTGGTCATGAACACAGCACTGGTGTACCCATCTGCATGTCAGTTCGAAGCCATCAGAATGGCTGCTATTGAAGCCTGTGATGAGCTTGATGGGGTCAAGGATGGAGTCATCTCTCGAGATAATCTTTGCAAATTCGACCCAGAAACAGTCATCGGCAAAGAGTTCGATTGCGATGGAACTAAGATCAACATCTCTAAGGAGGTAGTGCAAGTCACGAAGGCAATGCTCCAGGGGCCAGTGGACGTCGAAGGAAAACAACTTTTCCCAGGAACAACCCATGGTACCGCAGCTGCTGGTTTCATGGCAACAGATAATACCGTCTGTACAGGCGAGAATTGCACGGCGGGTAGACCATTCACGATTTCAAGCGATTGGGTCCGACTGCTGTTGAAGAAGGACCCATCCTTCGACGTTACCACCATAAACCGGGAGGAGTTTACACAACTGTTTCACCAAAGTGTGCAGGAATACAACGATTTGATTGGTAGCAACAACCCTGATTTACGAAAGTTTCAAGAAGGGGGCAAGAAGATGATCACCTGGCATGCGACCAACGACGAAGCCATCAGCATCAACTCCATGCGGCAATACTACGACAGTGTCGTCGCGTTTGATATGCAGAACAACGTGGACACTGCGAGTTACTATCGGTTTTTCGAGGTTCCTGGAGCAACCCATTGCTCAGCGACTCCAGGGGTGTATTACCCCCTGAATGGGTTTAATGTTCTACAAGAGTGGGTGGAGAATGGTGTGGTGCCGACCATTTTGGATACTGTCCCATTGGGCGAGCATCAGAAGGGTGAAGGAGCGGAAAGTCATCCTCTTTACCCTTATCCGACGGTTTCTGCCCCAGCTGCAAAGGAGCTTATCCCCGATGACGCTGAGGATACGCATGACACCCAGAAAATTATCAAGGATGAGCTATGAGATGTCAAGTAAAGTATCATAGAAAGAGATGATGTCTCGTTCTGGATTTCTAAGACCCAGCTAAAAGCTGATGGTACACCAAGTGATCCATGCCCACTCATATTGCCATTATCGTTGTGAGCTCGTCAAACAACCTGCCAACTGAGATAGGTGACAGAGTGTAGATAAGAAGTGACAGGAGGTTGTGAAGCCATTAAACAGTAGAAGTATTGTGTTAATATCCACTTGTAACCAGCCGCGAGAACTTACCGCCGACACCGACAGCTATCTTAGATATCGTGTCTGAATCCCGAGTATTCTCCAGAAAAATCATCACGAGAGTGAATTTTCGTCCAGCGTTCGGCTTCTGCTGCCGCGTATCAGTGGATCCCATTTCATTCACCCCGCCCTTGCGTAGTCAATTGGCTAGTGCCGACTGTCCTCACCTCCATGAGTTCGGCCGTTGACGATATCTCGCACTCGCACATCACGACGGATGCAACCTCTTCTCTTGCTTTGACCCTCTCCCCGCTTCTTTGTACGGCTCAGCCTCAAGATTTCATACAATAATCAACTATCCTCGACGCGATACACAAAATGAGCTCTTATCAGCCAGCCCCGCTCCCCGTCTCCAACCCCACCTCGTCGTACTGGTTGAGTCAGCCTCATCCAGTGCTCGAAAACTTCTGCTCGTGAGCCACACAAGTTCGCCTTTGGGTGGATTCAGTCTTGAAATGAAGGGACTCTGACACATTAGGAGCAGCGGCGGGGAGCTTCCGTCGCATGCGGACACTGTTATCATTGGATCCGGTATCACCGGGGCTCTAATAGCGCAGCAGCTATTTGCAAGGAGCCCCAATGCGAACGGGAAGCGTATTGTGATGCTTGAAGCCCGAAGTGTTACTAGCGGGGCTACTGGTCGTAATGGTACGTGAATGCGATGACACTCTGCCTCCAGATGCTTCCTCTTCTATCGTTGAGTTGACGAAACGGCACGCTGATGTTGGATACTAAATTCAGGCGGCCATATCAAGCCAGATTGCTACAAGAACTTCGCTACCTTCCAAAAACGTCATGGTTCCGAAATGGCCAAGATGTTGTGCCGCTATGAGCTCGAAAATATGAAGGAATCAGCCCAGTTCATCATTGACCAAGGGCTCGATGACGTGGTTGATCTCGTCAAGACCCACGCAGTGGATGTCTTCATGGACAAAAAGGCCTGGGAAGACGCACAGCACTCGTTGAAACTGTACCGCGAAGCTGGTGGGGATTTGAGCGACATCACTGTGCATGACCAGGCCCAGTCAGAGCAGGTGAGTGCTCAGCAGACGGCGGAAGAAGACTATGTGTTGACCCAATGGCGCTTTGTAGAAATTCCGTTTCAAAGGTGTCCTTGGTGCAGTGTCGTACCCGGCATGTAGCCTCTGGCCTTACAAGCTGGCCGTTGGCCTCATCGAAAGAGCCGTCTCTGATGGGCTTCAGCTCTTCACCAACACACCAGCAGTAGCAATCTCCCCAGCACCGAATGGCAAATGGCATATCGAAACGAACAAAGGCCGCATCACGTGCGATAGGATTTTCCACGCTACAAATGCATACATCTCGAAACTGGTTCCGGACTTTGCGGGCAAAATCGTCCCAGTCAAGGGCAACGTCGTCGCTATTGATCCCGGATCTGGGTTCTCATCTCAGCCCCTAGATCATACATGCAGCATACAGTGGGGAAGTGACTTTGACTACATGATCCAGCGGCCCACGGATGGAAAGCCGTTCATCTTTGGCGGTGGTGATCTCGCGCACCCAAGAAAGCTTGCCGGACCCTTCGGTGACGCGGATGACTCAACCACGACTCCAGAGATCGTCGACGCTCTCCTCCAATTCCCCGCCAAGTACATGAAAGGGTGGGGCGATAAAGCATCTGCCCGTGTGGCTTGGTCTGGCATTATGGGATTCACGGCGGACGATCAGCCCTTCATCGGTGAACTACCGGGACGTACCGGTCAATTCGTGGCAGCTGGCTATACTGGCCATGGCAAGTTTCCAGATTTGATCAAACTAAAAAGGCACAAAGACTGACATCTAGCAGGAATGGCTCGAGTTTTTCTTGCCGCAAAAGCTTTGGTCCGGTTAGCTCACAATGAAACAGTTGATCCAAGAGTTCCGGGGGTTTACTTTGACATTGAGACAAGATTGAAGCAAAAGGATGAGGAATGGGATAGCATTTTGAAGGAAGGCTACAGCGGACTTGAGGAATCCCGACGCGTGCCGCTACAAAAACTTTAGATTCTCGCCCTGGTATTCCAGCCGAAGGATTGGCGAGAGACGAGTATATCTATTTGCTTCCCAATTTATGTCTCAAACATTTAGTCCAGGTTTATGTGCCTTGTCGTTAAATAACCAGACACTGTGAATTACTGCTTAGATTCAAATTCGGTATACCTCCCCGGCTACACAGGCTCGTATTTCTAGCAGTACAAGAGCGGAGAGAATTGCAGCTCTAGCAAGAGGTCACAGGCCGTTGACAATAAACATCCAGATTCAGGAATTCATTAAAAATACAAGCAAGAAGAAAAGTAAGGAATGAATATAATTTTGCTCAATTATCTTGCATGAAGCAGTGCAGTGTAAAATATAACCCCGGCGACTGATTGCTGCGTCCACCGAGCGATACCGAGGAGCTTAAGTGGGGACTTTCGGCAATTCCTCCAGGTCTATCCGAACTACCAATCTCTCTCTTCGACAAAGTGGCACAGAATTTAGGTTATTTCAGAAGGCCCTGTGGTTAAGCCATTGTGCGCATTAAGTAGAGGTAGCTTCAGCTAATTCTACAGTCGGAATGGGGAGAATGGTGCTTGCTTTCTAGAGTCCTTCCACTCGCCTTGCGACAGCCATTTCGAGCCAAACGTACCGAGCAATAAATAGAGGAGATATCCTAATCCTCGCCCACATATTCCTGCTTCTTGCTCAAGTCGTACCATATCTTTACTTAGCATATTAGAACCTGTAATTTTCAGTAACCTCTTGGTGGATCGCCATTCAATTCCGGTTGAAACTAAAATTCAGCTCCGAGGAGAGATTTAGCCACTTCAGCAAGATCGTACCTCGGCTGTGCGTCATGCCAACCGGAGATTTAGCCGCAAATCAGGCCATGATATTAACTAGCCGACGCAATTCTGTCAGGTTAGTGAACCTGCGGTGACAATTGGCATTCGCCAATCCCAATCGGGAGCATACTCATGCGCAATTCCCGCGGTCACTAGCCGACGGACATTTCGAGCTTCGCGTGCGGGGAAAGTAGACTTAACGCGCGATGACCCCCGGACTCCTCGGCGACCTAGAGGCAAGAAGGGAAAGTGAGATGGCGGAGTGCAAGGATACCTGATTTCGCACTGAAAAAGCTGCCGGTGTTTTATTTATAAAGGATTTAAGATGTCGATGTGTTGCCATTCGATCTTGTCTTGATTTTATCAGGAGTCGCATTAATAAAAGTTTGTGTACGTCAATAGGCTTTACATAGGCCCTGTGTTTATTAGGAAACATTGCCATCATGGTATTCACACCGCCGGCATGGGTTCCTCAGTTACCCATAGGTTCGTAACCAGCCACTCGATAGAGCTGGATTTTAATCCCCGTCACAGATCCGCCGGACTCCATCACCATCGCTGAGTTTATGAGCAACGAAACGTACGGCCGGTATCCCATCGTCAAATCTCGAAATCCTTACACCTGTGGTCTCACAGGTAAGACGTACAGTGCCGCTGAGGTGATTGAGAGAGAACACTGCCTCGCTCGCGGGATAGGGCAAGCGCTAGGCTTCGACCCTTACGACGGCTCGGAATGGGACAGGGTTGTTGCAATATTCTCTTTGAATACGGTATGACCATCCCACCCAGGTGGCGATATTGAGATGACTCATACTAGCATCAAGATTGACTATATTTCCGTCACACATGCGATTCATCGGCTCAATGGCATCGTCACACCCGCCAGTGCCGTGTACTCGACTTCGGAGCTTGAGCATCAGCTCCGCTATTCCGGTGCCAAGGCACTATTCACCTGTGTGCCACTATTACCAGTAGCTCTGAAGGCTGCTGATGCAGCTGGAATTCCGCGAGATAATATTTTTATCCTCCCAATGCCGAAGGCAGGTACTATGCTGCCATATAAGACGGTGGACGACCTAATAAATGCCGGCCGAGGTTTGCCTAAATTGCCACCTCTGAAATGGTCTCAGGGTCAAGGAAGTCGTCAGGTAGCATTTCTGTGCTATTCTAGTGGAACTTCTGGATTGCCTGTAAGTCTGGTATGAGCGGCGAGAGTTTTTAACTTCACTTACAAATGATTAGAAAGCTGTCATGATCTCACACCGCAATGTCATTGCCAATATTCTCCAAAAGAGGACCTTTGAGTCAATTCCACGAAAGTCGCAAGGTGTCGACACACAGGTGATCCTTGGCCTGTTACCCTTTAGTCACATTTACGGCCTTGTCTTGATTACCCATGTGAGCGCCTTTCGCGGAGACGAGGTTATCGTACAGCCACGGTTTGAGCTTGAACGGTGTCTGGCTGCCATTGCCCAGTTCAAGATTCAACAACTGAACCTCGTGCCCCCGATTTTGATTCAGATGTTGAAAAATCAGGAGAAGTGTCGAAAGTACGACCTTAGCAGCGTGCGCTTTGTCTACACGGGAGCAGCACCACTGGGTCGCGAAACTGCAGAAGATCTTATGTCGATTTATCCAAAATGGCACATTGGCCAGGGTTATGGTGAGATTCTCAATTATGTACCGGATAATCAGGATACTAATCCAAAAGTCAAGGTCTCACCGAAACGGCGACAGTCGTCACATCGACTAGCGAGCTGGACATACTTATAGGGTCAACAGGGTCTTTGGTTCCAGGAACGAAAGCCAAAATCATCGACTCTCAGGGAAGTGAGGTTACCGACTATGATGTTCCCGGCGAGTTGTTTGTGCAAAGTCCATCCGTGGTCCTGGGATATCTCAACAGCGAAAAGGCCACGGCAGAGACATTTGTGTGGCACGACGATGGCCGCTGGATGCGAACTGGCGACGAGGTGGTGGTACGAAAATCACCCGCGGGGAACGAGCATTTCTTTATCGTCGACCGCATCAAAGAGTTGATCAAAGTTAAGGTAAACGCTGTCTTATTTCTATGTCATGCGACGTTAATGAAGTCCGGAAAATACTGACAAAGCACACAGGGTCACCAAGTTGCTCCTGCAGAGTTAGAAGCGCACTTGTTGACACATCCATATGTTGCTGATTGTGCGGTTATCCAAGTTCCCCATGAAAGTTCCGGTGAAGTCCCGAAGGCATTTGTAGTCAAGTCGGAAGAAGCCAGGAGCAAAGTGGATACTGATGTAGTCGAGGATATCTGCAAGCATGTAGAGAATCATAAAGCAAGACACAAGTGGCTGAAGGGCGGGGTTGAGTTTGTGGACTCGATTCCAAAGAGTGCGACGGGTAAGATCTTGCGGCGACTATTGAGAGATAGAGAGAAGCAAGCGCGGAATGCGAAGAAGGAGAAATTGTAACGGTAGAAATAGAACTAATTGGAATTTGAGGATCAAGTTAGATTACAATCGATGAGTACTTGTCGATACCACTAACCATAATTGTAACATGAACCATGAAAGTACGATTCGGGTTATAAGGCGGTCACGCAGAATATGGCATTGAATATCTGTGAACACAGCCTTTCAGACTACTTAAACGTTTCTGGCATCTCAGCATGACTCGGCAACACAACCCAAAGTGGTCCCATACTTCACAGGGCCGCCAACTTGGGCGATCTGAAGCACACATAAGATAACATAACCAATACCTTCTCCGGCAACCCCTCCTGCAGCTACAGGATAGATATACCTCGCATGGGATACTGGTGACCATCTCTTCCAGAAGTGAGCAGCAACAGTTCCTATGGCCACTGTGATGGTGGTGGTGGAACCCGGAATAGTCATGGCGAGCCCAACTACTGACATGTTCGGAACGAACTTGGCCCAGCTGCTCAGTTTAGCATGGCGGACGAGCCAGCGTTTTAAGACGACACTCGCGACACCTATGAGAGATAATATGACGGAAAAGATCCAACTGGATCGGGATATCGGGAATTTCTCTGAAAGGATGGCTATGGTGACAATTCGCCAGGACGTGACCGCCGGCGTGGCAAACTGACAAGACGTTGCAGTAGAATCGATAATGCAAGGATATGCGTTCACGAACAGCATGAACAGGGCCGGAGAGACAATCACGGCAACAAGCGTGCCAGCGACCTGCGCATACCATTGCTGGCGAGCCGGGGTTCCAAGGAGGAAGCCAGTACGGAAATCCTGCACCAGCTCGGCAGCTTGCTGGCCAGCCGCAGAGGAAAGAGTTGCGCCCAATAGATTGACTCGCGCCGCTTGATCATAGCCTGTTGTTGGGATTTGGTCGCGCAAAATGGCCCCGGTGATGAACTGAGAGCCTTTCGCGACGACTGTAATAGGAGTAGTTCCAGAGGCTCCGTATACTTGGATGACGACAAATGACCAGAGGAAGCCGAGAACTAAGCTCAGGATGTTCATTCCAGGAGCAAAGCTGAACAAGTATTTGAATGCGACCAGGGAGATGATGAAGGAGACTCCAGCCACGGAAGACCACTCCCACCATCGTACTTGTTGATCCTTGGGGACTGGTTCAGGTATAGCAGCGAAAGCATCTGCAGTGGTTTCTGATTTGGGATGAGAATTGGTTGGAAGGGCATCCGGCTCGTCATTGGTATCACTTCTCTTGGTCCTCGTCACTCCCTGCTTTATACGGCGACCTCCGTATTGAACAAGAAGAGCCAAGTTCTTCCCCTCCAGTGCAATGCCTGTAAGAGATACAGCAAGCATCATAAAGACTGCTGGCCACAATACCCAGTATCGGGGCGAAGGCAGGTCCACAAAATGAGTTGGATCAAAGGCGTTATAAGTAACCAGGTCAGGGTACACCTCGCTGTAGGCAAGTCCTCCTGCGGCTCCTGTAGCAACGAGGATAGGTCCGATGATGCCCCAGGCCAAGACTGTACCAAACAAGTAAGACATCGAGGCGTTGAGGTCGATCAACATGCCCATTCCGATCATTGACGGGGACCAGGACCACGAAAGCCAGCCCCAGTTGACGGCAGCGATGATCGAATGCCCGCCCCATTTGTAGATCCACCAGAAGGGATTCCAGGTATAAAGGATACCAGGCGCGTAGGACGTAGCAACCGACCAAACACACGAGATGCAGAAAGTGATGGTGATTCCCCTGACGTTGTCTTTGGCTTGGGTAGTTCCGTCTGTCCCGGAGTGCAGCGCTCGAATGGTGATGGCGGACGCCGATCCCATAGGAAAATACAGACTGAGCTGTCGTGCCAGTCGTAGGATAAACACTTTCCGAAAAGGCACGGTAAAGCCCAGGCCCCAAAGTCCAGAGACGGCTGCGAAGCATACTAGTTTCCCATAGTCAGACCTTGGGTTGGAACCGAGCAGGTTCAGCTGGTACATGGCTGGAATTCCGCTGATAAACATGAATCCTATGCCAATGGCGCCTAGGGCTGTGGCCTGGATAATGTTGTTTTCGTGGGGTCCAAAGTAACCGGACAGTAGAGGCATCTAAGGGTAGACAATTTAGGCAAGGCCCTTCATAACGGCAGAGGGATTCAGACTTACATGCGACTTCTCTAAGAACTTCAATGCGGCAAAGCCAAAAATGGCAGAGAAAAGTGTTGCGTCAGCACCCAGTCCACTCTTCAGGCCTGATTCACCATGCCATTAGCCTACAATACGCTTAGAGAAGGGCCGGATATAGTTTACCTAGGTACATGTTTGAGCAGGCGATCAAAGTCCCGAGCACAGCACCAGTCACAACAGCCCGAACAGTAAGGATTTGTCCGCCATCGTAGGGAGCCACGCCCGAGAGCGGCTGGAATTGGTCTTCGATTTCGACTTCTCCGAGGGCAATACTCTTCGAGTCAGACCTAGCTGTCTCTTGTCGTTCGAGAGGTGAAATTGCACTCTTGATGTCCTTTTCTGGAGCCTCCTCACGGCTCTGAAGCTCCATTGTTTGTGGATCAATAATCGGGTACAGAGTGAGAACAAACTGTTATCCTTTCTGAGCACTTATCGCACGACGATGTGATTTTGCATGAAAAGTGATCATTGAGAGCTCATAATGCCGACTTGTTGCTCTACTTATAAGTCCGGGCGCTCCAGGTCTTATCAGCGGTAAGATAAAAGACACCAGTAAAGCCACCAAGATACCGCCCTATCAGCAACAACGCTAATGATCTATTATGCAGATATGCTCGCCGCTAAAATGCGGGGTTAGAGAGCAGCTGCACGACTTCTTATCAGGTAAAATGTTGCCAGAACAGGTAATAACTTGGCACAATTGATGTACAATCCGCTTAGTGACTGCAACAAGTATCCCGGTCATACGGCAGATGCAATCTCAATCAGCCCATTATGCAGTCTCCTCTAAGTCGATCTCAGTCTATCATGTATCCAAGACTCAATCAAGAACAGCGCCTCCTCCGGCTTATCAGAAGGAACCATGTGCCCAGCGTCATAGACCTCCACAAAGCTCAACCCTTCAGCTTGTTTGAAAGTCCCTATCTCCCGCTTATCCATTGTGAACGGCTGAAAATCACGGGCTTGGAATGCCGGTTGATGTTTCCAGCGCATGTTGTGCACGAGGTTCTTCTCGCCCGCAGCATTGCAATACCAGTCCTTGTTCCCTACATACACAAGAACTCTGTAATTCTGTAATCTGTTAGCATAATGCAGTGCACATCTGTAGTTAGAGAATCTCTTACTTGGTCCAGTAGTTCCTCGGCCCAGGTGATGGAGTCAGCCTCCATATCACCAGAATCGACGAAATTTTGGAACAATTCTGCATCAACAATATTGAACTTGACATCTTCGGGTACTCCAAGCTTTTGCATTGTGATGGAAGAGTTTAGGTACTGCTCAACCCACTCGGCAATGTCATAACACAAGCCACCGTTCTCGCAGCGCTGGCGAAAGTCATAGGGATTGAGATGTTCTGCGTGGATGAATGCAACACTCTTGTCTCGGCAGTAGTCGAGCACTTTGCCGCATACATCTTTGTTCTCTTTCAACTCTGCACACACCCGCAGCATATTTTCACACTGGGGCATATGGGATTCGATGATCGCACATGTAGTCTTGTTGAAGATGGGTGAGTCGCCAAGACAGCCCGTGGGGTAGAAGCCCGACCACTGCAAATTCTGAGACAACTGCGCATTCCCCAAACCAATGCCTTTCAGGTTGATTCGAGCCTCTGAGACATTTGACGTAGACGAAATTAGCCGCGTCATCGGTGACGACTGCCGCTGATGGATCCTCCTGGCAAGCGCTGGGACCCAAGACCCAGCGTACGATTCACCCATGATGTAGAAATCTTGACGTGCGTACTGTGGAAACTCTTCCATGAAGTTTGTGAGAAACGCATACATGTCTGTCATGGCATCATCGAGATTTTTCACTGGGTCGTCTGAATAGGAAAAGCCAACATTGACAGGCTGGCTACACCAACAAAGTTAGCTCAATCCACTACATAAACCAGATATGAAAATAGTGACAAAAGTCACCAAGGATGAATGGATGTAGAAATTAGTAGACTCACTCCACAAAGATCAGGTTCGCGTGGTTGTTCCAGGCATACGGGTTCCGCTTCGTTGCGTTTGGCCCATCGATCAGGCAAGGGCCAAGTTCTCCAAAGAGGCCGAACGCTACCGACGAGGCCCCTGGGCCACCGTTCATCCAAAGAATGACCGGATCGGTAGACGGGCTATCACGACTTTCGGCGAGCCAGAAAAATAGGTGCTTGGAGTTATCAGCTAATTGCGATTAGCTTAGTCCTGCTGCAAGTGTCTGCCTCTCGCCCTACCAAAGTCAAAGTAGCCAACCTTGCCGCTATCTTCGGATGCGCAGACACTCTGGGGCGCATCTTGGAGTCGAAATGTACCATATCCAAAGGCGGAAGCGGTGCTTGCAAGGACGCAATACCAGGGGCGCACCATGGCGGCAAACGATAGCTGAGAGATTTCGGAAAATCGGGTGATTCTCACAGCGATTGGACTCTCGGGTGGTGCTAACAATTCCAAGAAAGATAACTGCAGTTAGTCGTGAGGGTTGGTGGCCTTTCGTTCCGATGTTATCACTTCGACGCCCGCAATTTGAGGGTGTCGTAGGTCGGGATGGCTCTCGATTGCCCGATTAGGAAAGAATTTGGGTGATTTCACTCCGCGCTGTTACTTCGCCTGCATGTGGCCACATGTGCACGCTAATATTCCCTTGCCCAGTCATTATTTATCAGTTTGATTGGGAGCCTTTATCTGGCTTTTTTCAGTATTGGACATGGGCTTGTGTGGACTGAAATGTCGTTCCAGCCAACATCTTCCAACGGAGAGTAATCGGCTCGAAACAAGTAGTTGTAGATTGCTGGCATGGTAGTGCAATACCAACTTAACAGAGTAAACACATTTGCGGCACTGAGCAAGCCATGAGTGAAGCCACGTAATTAATGCATTATTCGAAATATCCAATGTAGATTGACATAATTACATGAAGCGCCCCGAATGGTCTAAAGTTTCGGCTGGCGCATGAGCCCAAGCCCTAATCCCTCAATGCCCAGTCCAGCTCCTCACTACTTCAAGCACCGCCTTTGGTTGGTCACGAGGACTCATATGACCAGCTTCATCAACGGTAACCAACGTCAAGTTGCCTTTGGTCTTGAAGGTACCTCCAGTAACCCTAGCACCCTTGGCATCCTGATAGTGCCACGGCTTGAAAACCTCGGCTTGGAATCCAGCATGTCCACTCCACAACATTGCATCATAACTCTTGATGACTCCTTCGGTGTTCCTAAAAGCAGTCAGCCTCTCGCAGTTCAGGTGTAGTAGCGATGTCGGGGCAGGGCTTACACAATAATATCATTATTCCCATTCAGCACCAGCACTTTAATATGCTTAGAGTCTAAGATTTCTGCAATCTCTCGGGTGCTGGGCACCCAAGAATCCGACTGAGTAGACCACTGTGCGTTGAGATCCATATTTACAGGACGAAAGTCGAACTTTTCCTTAAATCCCAGGGCGTTTTGAACTGTATCTTTGTTGAGATATTTGCTGACCGGCTCCATACCTAAAATCGAATTAGCGTGATGCTTGAAGACCGAGTTGAAAGGAAGCTCACCAAGTCTGCCGCACAATGGGGGCTCTTCGCAAATCAGTCTATCATCGTAGGGGTGGCGTCCTCCGGGCGAGACTTCACGCTGAAACACCATTTCCAACGGTAGGCACTTTTCAAACGCGGTGAAGCAAGTATCTGTGTCATAAGTTAAGTCGCACATGCGGCTGAACTTGTCGCATTGCGAGTATCCTTCTTCCATAAGGTTGCACGAACTGGCGTTGAAGCGATTGCGAGAACCTTCTTCGCTCTCCGTCGGAAAAGGGACACAGAAGTGCTCATACTTGCCCAATACAGTTTGAGGCATGTTGACAAGGGCATTGACGAGGATGATGGAGTCGATCTTGTGTCGTGTCATGGACGTGTAAATAGGGACGTATTTTCCACCGAACGACTCGCCGGCAATATGAATAGCGCGGTCCCGAAGAGTCGGAAATAGGTCATCTAGGAACGTATCAAGGAATTTGTCAAAGTCAAGCCCTGCCTCGACCAAGTTTGCGGCCCAGAGGCTAGGATCAGCGGTCTCTGAAAACCCAGCGCCGATGGGTTGACTAGTGCAACGTCATGTTAGCGGTCGTTTGGCATCACAATAACCGGCATGTCCTTACTCGATGAACAACATGTTTGCAAAGTTGGTCCAACTCAGATCGTTCCTCTGGGTATCTTCGCCATCTTCCGTCACAACACAAGGCCCGATCTCGAAAAATGCGCCGAGCATGGAGCTCGCCCCGGGCCCTCTATGTTAGTTGGTGGTGAGCATGAGATGCTTAACAGAGGGTGGTCAAGGTGGCGTACCCGTTGAGCCATACTATCAATGGTGCATTCTCTGGCTCCTGGCGACTCTCAAAGTACCCTGCTTGAGGTCAGCAAAATGAGCCACAGCTGTTTCGGCTATTCACGTACAGAAGAACATGGACCTGTCTTTGCCAAGCGGCACTGTACCAGACCACTGTGACGAGCCGGCATCGCAGACACTTTCATTTTGTCTGATGACTGTCGCCGACGACCGCGGTGGTGATTGAATGCGACCCTGATCGCCAGCTAGTCGCCATTGAGTGGGATACTCCGGAAGCGCGTTTGTGACCGAAGAAAGACCTGCGCCAAGAGCAAGGAGTTGTACGCGCAATCGGCCAAGATTCACCATTGTCAGATAACTTGGTTGTGAGGAAATGGGTTGAAAGAGGAGAAGCAATGGGGGATTTAAGCCAACAACGCTTCAAAGATAGAGCGTCCTTCGGTACGTAGAAATGATGCAGGTGCTTCTGCAGAAAGCCAAGAGCGGTCTTTCAAGCTGGCTTGCCCAAATAGCTGACGCCACTCATGCTTGTGGGATCCCTGCCGAGTTTTCCAAGCCGCACCAAGTTACCTGATTAGGAAGCGAAAAGCACTGGCAACGCCTCACACCACCAATGGTCTTAGGCCTACCCTATAGCAGTTTCGTTCACTCTTTGCTCAGGACAAATGCGCATTTCGAACCACATAAATCACTGTGCGTAAACTTTTGACCATAGCCGCCCTTTGTATTTGAATGAAAATACTCGGAGTGGAGAATAGATCTACTTGGTACACGAAGTAAACGGTGGGGGGGAAGGAACAATTGGGTTTCGGTGATGTGTTCACCTGAAATGTCAAATTATGGCACGTAGGAATAATCAGTTAAAAAGGCGGTAATCCTCATTCATTGCAGTATCCCACTCGGTCAGCCAAAGTGTGTTGGTTGCTCAAGCCTTGTTGTAGAGCGAGATTGGGCCAAGAAGCAAGACGTTTCCAAGCCGATCTTCCAGCCTCAGCTTCTTCAGCGTATCATAGCATTGTTAATTCCATCATGGCTCCAATCAAACGAGTAACACTCTCTGAAATGGCCCTTCCCGTTATAATCCCCAAATGCAACAAGGACTTGGGTTGTTTCAACTTGCATATGCTTGTGGTGCTCATCAGATCCGTCCATGATCAGGCGAATCGAGCGTCCCCGCAACCTTTCCTTCACGACAAGTTCCAGCCCCCGTTTCAAGTAGGTCCATCCGACAAGCTCTGGTCCGAAAATACCCGTCCTCATCACGCGTGGGATCAAGACGTCAATAATTGTGGTGCAGATATTCGTACTTTCGCATAAGAGGGCCGTCATGTGTAGAAGTGCTTCTACGGGAAGCAAAGTAAAACGCTGGCGAGATATTTCCATGCCGCAGACGATGCCGACAATGATCTTGCCCCACGCTTCTGACACACTGGCTAGAATCGCAGGGTTGAATAGGGAGCGTATGTAGTTGCACGCCATTCGGGAAATGAGATACATGATGTAGTCAACCGCCTTGCGGTCGTCTGAGAAACGGTAGGTCACGATCGTTTCAAAGGACGGGCCGGTGACAAAATCCTGATCCGTACCGAGATTGGCAATAGGCAAGTCGTGATCACACAGCGAGCGGTGCCATTGATCAAGTCGCTTAGTGAAGTTGTCGCATTGATCTAACATCATTTCAGGAGTCAAACTTTCAGTGTGATAGTCCCGTTGCTGGAACTGTCGATGGTCGCATTGCCGATTCAACACTGTTCGAAGCCATTGTCCCGCCATCTCCGATGCACTTGGTCTACCAGGCTGGCTCTGCGTGTTGAAAGTTGCTTCCATGGCGTGTCGACTGTGCAGCCTCCAAAGGCTTGAGAGGATGTCTCGAATGGCGAGCTGCGGATCAAGAAAGCTACATGGCTCGTATAGGTCCGTAACAAGACTTGACTTTCGGGTTCCCAGTATCTGGAACTTTACGTCATACCTCAACATTCTCCACGCTTTGAATAAAGCCGACGTGGACGAAGACGAAAAATCTACTTTGGAGGCGATTGCATCCAGACCGGAAGCGTGATTCCTGATACCCAACGGCGAGCCGACTTCGATCTCGTGGTAGGCCAGGAGCAGAGCAGCACCGGCGACATGTTCATCGCGTCGATTACCAGGCTTCTGCAGCTCATGATTTAGCTTTTTTACAGCCGCCTCGTAGTATTTCCAGTCGAGATTGCCTTCGGTCTTTCGACTCAGTGCTTGCGAATCGGCTGAGTTGTGTTGTGTGATTTTGAAGTTTCCCGCAGAAAGAGCAAGAACGGCGGCTCGGAAACAGCTGCTATCGCGAAATAGACTTGGGAATCCTAGAGTAACCGGAACAACAGGGATAACATGAGCTTCGAAATGTCGAACTAGCGCCTCTTCAACTGGGAAGGATAGTTGGCAGTCAGTCGCCGGATCGCCGAGAGACGACTGGGTCGATGGTGATGATCCATCCAAGGGGCCTTCGATGTTCAAGAACTCATCCCACGTGTTGGGGATTTGAGTCGAAATATTCCCTTCAACCATGATCATCGTGTCATTGTTTGTTGGTGTAGCAAGTTTATCTGCGGAATTTGAATCTGCCAACGGTATAGGGAGCTGACCACCAGGCAGAGTGTTGGACTTGGGGGAATTCCGTGTGACAAGTGGTGATGAGGATTGTACTGGGTGAGGTTGGCGATGTTGAACTTGTTCAACATTGTCAAATGAAGCTTCGGCATTGGGTAAAGCTGATTGCAACCCATCATCGTCAAGAAGCTGAAAAGAGGGCTCGAAGAGATCCCATGGCAAGACACTATTATCTGTATCGTTGCCAGTCAGGCCGCTCCACATAGGTGGTGACACTGGCGTCGCGGCATAAGGCTGTTGTGTATCCACGTGTATTGCGCCTTCACTCTCGTCCCGTGGTGACCGAGTCGACCGGCGAGTTGCTCCATGTGTCGGTTTCTGCTTCCTCCTCTCATCCTCCAACTGCAACGCCGACCATCTCGCAGCCTCAAACTTCTTAGATGATTCAGCTGTCAGCTCAGACACGTCCTTGAAGGTGATTGAGCGTTGGTAGCCACTGCACTTGACCCCGCGTTGACTGCAGGCCAAGCATTCTGGGCGTGTCTCATCGCACTACGTGAAGACAAGTCAGCATATCGGTAATAAATTGGACTTGTAAGCCTAGCAAGCAAGAAAAAGGTCGACAATATGTTAAAGCCAATGTACCTTTCGCCGCTTGGTCCGACAGTTCTGGCATCCTGTGCGCTTGCGAACTATGTCGGTTTTCCTCGCTCGTTTCGAGGACTGTTCCATTGCGACATAGGTGACAAACCAGGGTGGTCTAGAGGCGGGGCAGGCGAATTGGAAAAGCCTAATATGGAAGTTCTGAAGATGGAACCGAGGATTGGAACGGTTCAAACAGTGTATGCGGGCATGAGCTGTCAGTTTGAGATTTGGAATTGCGACACGAGAGTGAGAGTTGTCTGGATCAGGTGGGACGGAGCGAGGAACCACAAATGAACGCATCTTTGTCACCTCATTGGTGACTTGAGCCATGATAAGATAGCAAGATAATACGAGAGACCTTTCCTAATACAGTGTGCAGGAGCGCCGCTAATTAAGCTGCAGAACCACAGAAGAGGAAGCTCATGCACCAAGAGATCCACAGATTCACAAATCCATTGCCGGTATAAGAGTCACGCCGTCGCTGTAACTATTCCTAATTAGGTCGCCGAGAGCGAGTATCGACCCAACTTCATCACCCATCAGCGCGTCGAGTTGTTTGGAATATGACTAAAAAAACCAATGTTTTAAAGGGTTACAACAGATCAATTCAAATCTGGCTATCTGCGATTGAAAGCCGCCTGATTGAGAAAAACAGCGGCCGTTTGACGGGTCTTATCTGATCCACGTCGAGCAATGAGCATGGTGGAACTTTCTACAGGATGGCTTTTGTTGCATCCCAGTGTTTTCGCAACCCAGAGCCCGGTAACATTTGACACCGATGCCCCAAAAGGGATATTTGTTGTCATACATGGTCTTCCCGAGTATGCCCGCCATTTCAGTGCATTGGACTCTGTCACTAACTCTGTTACTAGGTTCATACAGCTCTTCGCCGTGCTTGGTTTGGTGTCATTTACCGTTATATCCCTATGCTTCTACGGGGCAGAGTCAAAACGACGCCGGGTGAAATGGGGATTAGTCCATATCGCTTCCTTGGTACGATAACCGTTGTAATTTTTTTTTTTCTCGAAAGACCCTAACTTTATGTCAGATTCTTCAAATTGGAATTGCAGCCACATTCATTGCAAAACTGGTCGTTCAGCTTCAACAAGGAGGGGATCGCATTGACTGGTCATCTGCAACGATCCGGATATCTTCTTGCCTCGCAGCCATTGCGAACTTCACGGCAATATTGCTCCAACATTCATCGACTGCCCGGGGAGCTTACCATTTCATCAGCTGCGGCGCATGGACGTTGCTCCTTACGTCCCGTTCCTATTCAGAGACATGGGGCGACAACTTATTTCCAGGCATATTCGGAGCCGCCTGCCTTCTTGATGTGTTTTACTCCAGAATACCGAATGATGAGCTGCCGCCAAAACTCTCACGGTCAACTTTGTTCGAATCTGCTACGTACGCATGGCTCAACCCAATTATCGGCCTCACTGGAAGCCTCGATTTCGACAACCTTCCACACATCGAGCTTCCTCCGGACTTTGACGGATACCAGTCAAGGTTCTCGCTAGCTTGTTCTCAAGGAGGCGAGGGCTCATGGGATGCATTCTGGGGGTTCCTCTTGAGGGAACACAAGTCAGCGATTCTAGCTGCCTCTCTCTGCAGACTGGTGGATGACCTTTCCCAATTCGGACTCCCTTGGCTGTTGCGCGACCTCTTGGCACACCCAACCATGGGGAATGTATGCGTAATGTTTTGTTCCCGCCTCCTCGGAAGTATCTGCGGAAACTATAGCGACTTTCTGGCACGACGGGTGGCAGTTGGCTATAAAGCTATGCTCTCTGCTGCCCTTCACGCCAAGACGCTCCGACTTGGAGACATAAAGGTTCCAGGAGATGTCAATATCGCTACGTTGGGGGAGGTGGATACCCAAGTCATGTTCCAAGGATCACACCTGCTTCTTGATGTGTGGTCATATCCGCTTCAAGTGGTTTTGTGTCTGGCAGGACTTTTGTACCTTTTGTCCTGGCAAGGAATGCTTATTGTTTTAGTTATCGCGGTAAGTATTCTATTCGATGGAATTTTGCAATTTTGCTAATTAAAACAGCTTTCAATGTACCCGATTCTCGGATTCATCATTGGAATCATGACGACATGGATTATCAAAGGCATGGCCGCGAAAGACAAGAGGATCAAGCTCACCGGCGAGGTGTTGGGATCGATTCAATCTATCAAGATGCACGCTTGGGAGTCGGCTTTCACAAACACGTTGGCTGAAAAGCGATCGGTCGAGCTGAACGCACTACAGAGTATGGCAATCTCCAACGCTTGGCTTGTCTCTTTAATGCAAACCACTCCTTCCCTCCTCACCATTGCTGCATTCGGGGTTATCCTTTGGAAGGGCCAAGTGATGGATAACCAGCTCATCTTTGCCAGTATTATGCTGTTCACAATGTTCAGTTCCAGTCTGACTCAGATGTCTACTCTGGCAACGACGATACAGGTCATGAAGACATCCTTGGACCGCATTCGAAACTATATGAACCTGCGAGAAACAAATCTAGCACCACTGGGAGAGCCCAGAAACAGCAGCCAAGGACAAGGACAGTCTATCGAAATCGAAAACATCAAGCTGCAGTGGCCTGGTGGCGCTCGGATCCTGGAGAGCGGTACCCTTGATATCAAGAAGAGAAGCCTTGCTGTGATAACTGGAGCCACTGGGTCCGGGAAATCGACGACTCTGCTCTCCTTGCTCAGATACATGGAACTCAATCAGTCACGCACAGAAAATCTCCAAGTAGCCTACTTGCCGCAGCAACCGTTCTTGGCAAGCGGCACAGTTCGGGACAACATCTTGTTTGGAAAAGACTATGATCCTGACCTCTATGAAACGGTCGTGGAAGCATGCTGCCTTCGACCAGATTTTCAGCGTCTTCGCCAAGCTGACCTCACTCCGATAACTGGCTCCATTGCCCTGTCTGGCGGCCAGAAGACTCGAATTTGTCTCGCTAGGGCTGCGTACTCTCAGGCAGATGTTTACATCCTTGATGATCCACTGGCTGCGGTAGATGTCAAGGTTCAAAGACATATTATCCAGCGTTTACTAGGCTCGCAAGGGCTTTTGGCGAATACTACGAGAATCATTTCCTCCAGCACCCCGATGCTCTTGAGGGAAGCTGATTCGGCGTATGTACTTGATAAAGAGACATTACAACGCCGTACGCTTTCCGATGCACCTCTTGTGGAGGAATCATCAACAGAGATGGCCATCTCTAGTTCTGGATCAGACACAACAGAGGTCGGCATCACGGAGTCTCCTAGTGAGGCTCTTGACCAACCTGTTTCTTCGACATCATCGTCGCCCAAGGCCCAAAGCTTGATACCTAACAACGTTAAATCCGGTCCCGAAAACACCTTTGGTGACAGCCACCTCGAACAAGCTGTCCTCGATGTACCCCAAACTTCAACCGAGTCCAAGTTTTGGAAGCATCCCATATGGACATACGTCCTTGCGGCTGATAGGTTTGGATGGCCTATTACGATTTTCCTTCTCCTTTCCGGCAGACTTGTTTCAATCTTTGGCACTTATGTCCTGAAGATGATGTCGTCGGAGCCGACGCCATCACGTCTAAGATGGGACCTCGTCCTATTCGCTCTCTTCTCCATGGCCCAAATGTTGCTTTTCTTTATGTTCATCGTCTCGCTATACAGGTTTTGCGTCATCCCAGCCTCGACCAAAATACACACAGGCTTGGTGAAAGGTGTCCTCTCACGTCGGATGAATTTTTTCTCGGTCGTGCCCACTGGCGAGATCCTCAACCTCTTCACGAACGACATCGCCCGAATCGATGGATCTCTCACAGGGTCCCTCATATCACTTATTGCCCAGTTTGCGAACCTCCTCCTCTCCTGCGTCGTCCTTATCGCCTCTACGCCCGTTAGTCTCGTTTTCGTGGTACCCTTGATCTTCCTCTGCTTCCACCTGCAGCAGTTCTATCTCGAAAAACTTCGCGAGCTTCGGCACATGGATGTCTCATCTCGCGCACCTCTCCTCAGCTACATCCAAGAAGCAAATGATGGCCGAGTACTCTTCAAAGTCCACAACTCCGGAAGCCTTCGCCTCGCCAAGTTCCAGGAGATGCTACAGACCAACCTACGTGCTTTGTTCCCGCTAGCCTGCATGGACGTATGGATAGCCGTCCGCCTTCAGATCCTCTCCGTCACCCTTCAGGTACTCGCCGTCGGCGCCTTGCTCGCCTCATCGGTTGACCTTAGCACTCTCGGCTTTGTCATGACATACGTATTTCAAGTCACAACTATCCTGGGAAACATCGCGCGCATTAGCGCCCTGTTTGAAGCAGATTCTGTTTCAATTACGCGCATCAAGGAGTATGCCATCCTAGGCATCCAAGAAAGCAAGGAATTGGAACCGGAGGAGAGATACAGGGACGAGGTCGGAGATGGTGAAGGTCTCTCCGGAAAGTGGCCAACAGACGGAAAGATTGAGTTTCGATCCGTCAGTGCAAGATACCGTCCCGGATTACCCTTGAGTCTGCACTCGCTCAACGTCACGATATCACCAGGAGAGAGAGTTGCAGTTGTAGGACGAACAGGAGCTGGAAAATCATCGATGATATTGTGTCTATTAGGCATGATGGATCAAGTCAGTGGAGAGACACTGGTCGACGGCGTGGATATCGCAACGGTTCATTCATCCAAACTCTTACATTCACTCTCCATCATCCCCCAGAGCCCTGTCATCTTCTCGGGATCTGTCCGTGGGAATCTCGACCCGCTAAGTCTCTACACTGACGAAGAAATTATTCAAGCTCTGAAACGCTCGACGGCGATGCAAGCCTTAGAGAAATTGTCTAACCGGAAGCGGGGTGATATGAGCGAGCCTACGAAACTTCTAGATATTGACCTCGATCCTAGGTAAGCCCAGACTAGCTATGAATCACCAATGCTCTTCCTATTGATAAATTCTAACTCTTGATTCCACAGATCCAGTCTTTCTTCCGGAGAGATTCAGCTCCTAGCGCTCGCACGCACCATGCTTCAAGATTCAAAGATCCTGATACTAGACGAAGGTAACTAACACTATCTAAAAGACGCGTCGATTATGTTGCTAATAAAAATCTCACCACAGCGACTTCTAGTTTGGACCACGAGACTGAGAACCTCATCCACGAAACCATTTTCGGACAGTTCAAAAACACAATCGTTGCTGTCATGCATCGGCTTGAATTGACCGTCAGTCACCCTCGCCCATCACTTCTACGCTTCACAGAGCACCCGCCTTCATGGAATTCAAGTTAAGAAATCACAGATCAAATACGATAAAGTCATGGTTATGAACAACGGCAAGGTTGTGGAGTACGATTCGCCGGCTGCATTGATCGCGAAGGATGATAGCTTTTACTCGTCAATGCTCGCTGAAGCTGGTTTGTTGGATGATGCGCGGTGTAAGTTGAGCAAATCTAAGTAAGCTAGATCACCTGTATATAGAATAGCAAGATTTGGCCTGTATCATATTTTTACGAGTTCACTTGCTTTTGGTGCGTCGAGGTGCTACGCTGGCACTTTCTAGAGGTATTATTCCCAAGACCAAGTTTGTTGCCTATGGCTGTGGCTTGAGAAATCTACAAGAGAAATAGACTCAGTGACCTTTCATTCACGGGTAGAGGAAAATATGTGATACATTCCTCCCATTCACGAGCGCAGGTGATGTGCAGCTATGGGCGAATATCATGGATGCACTGTTCACAGTTACACTCAACGAAACTGGGAGTACTATTTACAGATCCTCCCGCTCTTCGCCAAAGGACTTTTGCGTTTCCTTTCCATTGTTCAACGCGACACCGTCCTGGAAGTTGGGCACAATGCTGGTCGGCCTCTTCAAGTAGTCCAGCCAGTATTCAACCAAATTGAGAGCCGAGGCAGGTTGATCATAAGGAACCTATCCGGAATTAGATGATGTGCAGCAAGAACTCAAACGTCAGACTTACCATGTGTCCAGCTTCTTCAATCTCAGCAAGCCACAGATTAGGCACGGCTTTGACCCTTCCACCACGTAACCCACTTGAGGCATTCCACGGCAACTCCTTCCACGGGACAGCGCGAAATGGTGTACGTCCCTCCCACTCAACGTGTTGCAAGCCCTCATATACACCTTCCGCATTGCAGATGATGTCGGTCACGCCAACATACAGCAATACGTCGATCGGTCGTTGGACCTTTGCCAGATGCGTCTTACGAGCGTGGCTTAGGATCTTACTGAGATACCCAGTCGTAGGGGTATAGAAGTCTCCAGATTCAAAGAACCGCCGCTGAATGATCTCGCTTGTCATATCCCAAGACCTCTTGCGGCCTTCGCTCTGGGCTAAAACCTCAAGCTTGTCATTGAGCATGTCATCCGATCCAAGATACGAGATGATGTCCTTTATATCAGGGTAGCAATTCCCGGCACTGGGACATGATCTCCGACGCCGATCGTAAATGCTCCGAGTTGTGTTCACGAAAATGGAAGTGAACTGGCCCTGGCATAGTTCTTCGGGTTGAGCGCAGAGAAATTGGTCATCACCTCCCATCGCGCAAGCGCGCACAGCCGACTCGCATCGATCAACAAGTTTCAGTGCTTTCGCACAGTCATCTGGGTCGAGGTGAGGGGCGTACTTTTCGCGGTATTCGTAGCACGACACGTCGTACATTGCGGGGAACTGTGCAACAGGGCTGATCCACGGGTTGCCAACCATGATGGATCGCAAAGGGATGATTGCGCTAGACTCTCGAGTTCCAGGCGTGGAACTAAGAAACTGATTGTAGTCCAGGATGGCGGATGCAAAGGCCGGGACATAGCGACCAGCATAAGACTCTCCAGACAAGTGGAGGTCGGAATTAGCCAGATGCGGGAAGGCTTCGTAGAACAATCTGATGAATGCAACGGCATCAAGTGAGGAGTCCTCGACACGAGACGGGTACGATGAGTCGTCTTTATTGTGATCCGTGTAGGAATACCCAACGCCAGCAGGTTGGTCGAGGTAAATGACGTTGAAATGTTCCGTCCACGAGTAAGGATTGAACTTGGTCGCATCTGCACCATCAATGAGGCATGGGCCATTTTCGTACAGCATGCCGTGCAAAGAGCTTCCGCCAGGGCCCCCTTGAAGCCAAATCAGCAGGGGAGCATCCTCTTTGTTGTTTCGAGCTTCATGGAACCCTTGAATGTCAAAGGTCAGTCTCAAGCTTAACGCGTCGGGAAATAAGAGCAAACACACAAAAGAACAAGTGGCGATCTCCGACATCAGCCCATCCCGTGTGATGAGCTGCTCCGCCATGGCAAATCGACACATCGTCGGCGGCCCAACTCTTGAAGCGAACTGTATTGCTGCTGAAATCGGATGTGACAGTCTTGTAGGATGAGGCCAGCGCATGCGTCACAGTGAGCGCCAAACAGGCGAGTGTTACTCGCTTCAACGCCATTGTTGGATGTTACTCAGGTTCACGCGTCTTGGTGAAGCTCGATTGCATGAGCCGGAGGGCGCGTTTAGTAAACAGAATCTGCATCCGTGAATCACTGACTCGCTGTTCAATCGCGTGTCCAAATATTGCCGTTACTTGGCTTGGCTTAAAGTGGTAATGAGGAGCGGAATCGGCTCCTCGGGGCGAGGTGGGCCTTTCCATCCGCAATCAGAGGGAAAATATTTCCTAAACGGGAAGATCTTGGGATGTGCGTGAAGTAGAGAGTATCACGGGCGGGCGGGTTGGGACCAGGCGGTCACAACCGGCAGAATCAGAACAGGCTTACTTTACGATATAATACAGGCTTGTCTTGATCTGCTTTTCTCACTAATTGTAATTGTAGTCAATCTGTATGTTGAACGGGCTCTATTCGATACAGTTTGAGACTACTTAATAGGTGATAACACAGTGCTAGCCTTGGTGGGACACACCGTCGTGATATGCATAAACAAGACAAATCTTTGTACTTCTGAGGCTATGTACCTAATAATAGGTCATGACAGTCGAGCCTGGCTGCTGCCTAGCCATTGCCTATTGCATCCAGGCGTAGTCCCATCCTTCCACCCGCAGAAAGGCACCACCGGAGCTTTCACAGCAGAAAGTACACACAATATATAGAGCAACCACTCAGTCAATCATGTCAGACCTCACTCCGCGTCAATCCCGCACGATAGGCGCTCTTTTGGGCGTACATGCTGGCGACGCCCTCGGCGCAGCTCTCGAGTTCCGAACCCACACCTCCATTCGCTCCGAATACCCATCGGGCCTCCGCTCTATCATCGGCGGTGGCTTTCTCCGATGGCCCCCTGGTCATGCCACTGATGACACGGATATGACCCGTGCCGTTCTACTCGCCTACCGTGACCACAGACGAAGTCAGACTAACCAGCCAGCTACTGAGTCGTCTTCCGCGAAAGAGGATAAGGACGTGGTCAAAATGGCGGCCGACTACTTCGTCAAGTGGCTTGAGGGCGACTGGCCGGACCGTGTTCGAGGATCCAGGCCTGTGGACATTGGAAACACAACGGCCAAGGGCCTCCGGCTCTACAAAAGAACACGAGATCCATCAAAAGCAGGGTCTGGCGCAAAAAGTGCTGGCAACGGAAGCCTGATGCGCTGTATCCCGACGGCGCTTTTCCAGCCCTCCCCATCTCTCCTCGTCGAGGAATCTATACGCATCAGTCGCATCACTCACGACGACCCACGGTGCACCGTTGCCTGCGCAGCCTACAACACCATAGTTGCCCAACTTATCTCGGGCGCCTCACCAATCAGTGCTGTAGCCGCAGGGGAAGCTATTTCGCTGGAATTAGAAGGTGATGGGGGTCCTGTCACGGCTGCCATACGTCGAGGAAAGGAGCTCTCAATAGCTGACACGGCGAGAGACGGGCCACCCATTGACATGAAGGGGAAATTTGGTGGTTATGTCCTCGGGTCACTTATCTTGGCTGTCGCCGCGGTGCTGGATCACAGGAGCCTTGAAGACGTACTAGTGGACGTTGTGCGAGTTGGGCATGATACAGACACCAATGGGGCTGTTGCGGGAGGCCTCCTTGGATCTCGAGATGGTGTTGAGGGGATTCCGTCGCAGTGGAGGAAACAATTGCAGTTTGCTGATGAGTTCCGGGATATCGCCTTAGAGCTGATAAAGGAGTAATCTATTGAGCTGAGAATGTTAGCCGTGTATTTGTTTGTACAAGGACAAATACCATATCCTTCGGGACGAGTTGACTGAATATCTGGGAATACAGGAGCAATTGCCATGCATCCATCACTATGCACATAACATCGGTAGCTTGACAAATTGGTGTCTTCTCCCCATTGCAGGAATGCAGGGGCGTGTCTAGGATTGTGCAGTACTGTGTCACGACCCTTTGTCTAAGAGTCTAAGTGTGCAGGAACCAGGCACCGATTTCGAATTTGGCTGTAATGCAGAAAGAGCTCGTGTCCCGGGTAGCCAACCTACCACGCGGGTCAGCCAGGGTCATATCTTCAGTATATCCGAGCCATGAGAAGCAGATACTGTAGATCAAGGTGTAATCCGCGGCCATCGTGATAACGTCGAGATCATCCAGCTCATCCGTCCGGCATTTCCTAACATGCTATGTTCATACGCAGTAAGGCCTCGTCTTGATTCCTATGCTTGGTATTACTGAGGAGGGCGCACAAGTTATGAAAAAGAGCTCAGTCAGCCAATAGAGAAAAAATGATGACTGGGTGTCGTGTTGAGTTGAGTCTTGGTCCGAATCTCTCCATGACGTTACGCCCTAAGCCACTTGTCGGGGTTGAGGCCACGTGGTCAGTTCCCCAAACCGCAGGATTACTATGCTGCCCGTAGCTCGAGATACCCACGACGGACTGTGACGACGAATCGATGAGCAGTCTTTCCCCAGTTTGGATTCTGCTTACACTGGCAGGGATCTTATATCCCTAGAAAACTGCGCCGGGCTCTGGCATTGGGGGAAGCCGCCTGGTGGATACTCCCCAGGCAGAGCAATTCTTCGGCCTCGGAATGGTTGATGTTAGTCTGGATGTTTTCGAGTTCGCCTAGGACACGCTGGTGGATGTTCTCGTTGGTTAGGACAAAAGGGCAAACGACGCGATATTGCATGGATTGAAGCTACCAGTTGCATTTGACTGTGCGACTCGTCGCTGAGGATGTCGCGTGTGATTGTCATCTGGTTGGGTGCCTCGTAAGATAGATAGGTAGCTCGCTACCATCATATAAGCAACTGCATTCTTTACAGTACTGGCGCTGCCAAGCCCGCATGGGCGCGACAATGATATGCAGGCTTGTGACGGATAGCACAACGTTAAAAAGCAAGCCTAAATTCCATGACGCCATGTGATGGCTTTCTGGCTCGGGGATTTCCTCTTTAATAACTGGTCCTGTCTTCTGAGGCCCAGGCCCTCCCAACCAGTCCCAACCTAGAAGCTTATTCTCGGTTACGCTGCCGAGCCTTTACTTCTTACGGTAGGGTCAGGCGCGCTCTTGTATGTTCTGAGCGATTGTATTGGCTCAAGTCTGCTGATTGAGGAGTGTGTGCTCGCTACTCCGCTATATACGAACGCCAACATGCAGTCAGGATCTGAATCCCTGCACCAACGAGGCGGGGAAACGGGTAAATGCTATAGGCCAGCTATCCGAGAAACCATACGAGGGCCCGGTTATCCTTGCCGACGGTTGCCTGGAGATCATTGTGGCGTATCATCCTTGGGTGCGTATGGTGGATCAGGTTAGACACGACACCGTCGCTTGTTTACTGTCGTATTTCGCAAGTGGCTACGAGATCAGGTCCTGAGGGGAATCTGGCCTTCCGTTAGCCAGACATAAAAGTAGCTCAGCCCCGTCTATCGTGAGTACATTCCTCACATCTCTTATCTTGACACGACGACAACACCAACAACCAATCAAGGCAATACTTTGATCTTCATCTTTCCCAAGGTTATCAACATGCGCTCCGAAATTTTCGCTTCTTTGCTCCCTCTCGCCGCGCCAGCCTTAGCCGGGCGGGCGGAGACGGTCAAAGTCTCTCACCTCTCGGTGCACAAAGTGGGAAGCCCCGTCGGGACCACGATTGAGAGTGTCTCATTCAAGCTCAATGGTGACAACGTGAAGAACTTGAAGTGTTCGGCCTCCAACTTTGCGTTTCCCAGCCCCATCAAGATCTTCCCCTGTGGAAACTCTGACTACTCTTTTGCTTTGTTTGCGGGCGAAGATGGTGTGGACTTCGCTACAATGGTGTACCACGATGTTGGGGATTCGTAAGTCTACCGTCTGTCGACTGTATCACTCCGTGCTCTGACACTAGCACAGGCATGCGGACCTCCGTGGTCTCTCGAATGTCGACACCGTCTGCGATAACAGCCATGGAAGTGGCCCCGCCGACGAGATCTGTACCCAGGGGAAGCCCGTGACTTTCGTCATTGACGGACCGGTTGGTTCTGGTCCTGGCGATGATATTGAACTGTAAAGTTTTGGGGGAGCGTGTTACTATGAGGCTTCTCTCAAGCTACCAGCGAGTTTTCACAAGCCAAGCTAGCTTCTCGGCAGGCTTCCTTGATATGCAGAATAGTTGAAGAATATCACAGTGAATCCCAGATCATCTTCTGCATTTTTTATAGGGAGGCCAGCAATCCACAATTTGAATAGTTGAGAAAGCCAATAACTCTTCAATATGACTCCAAGCGGCTAGATCTCAGGGACCTATTCTGTGTGCATTGATACCAAATTCCTCAAGTGCCTTCCCAATTTATTTAAAGAGAAGATCTTATCTGCAGTATAAGGATAGATCTTATTATTGAAGTGATTTGTACATTCTCAATTGAAGTAATATAAGTAGATAGTAGCTTTTAGTTAATAACCTCTTTGTTATTAGAAGTTCCGCAAACAGCAAGCAAGTATCTCATTTTGAAGGCGAAGTTGTTAAGTCTGTACATCGCTCTGTTGCATAGCCAGCCACCCCTTATCGAAATCCAAGTTGCGGAAAAGATCTAATCATTCTGATACATGACTGAATTAATTCCCCGAGTGAACCAGTCATTGACAGCTAGCCTCTTGCTGCTCGGTATCGGGGAAGGGACATTGTGTTGTCTTGAAACCAGTGATCCCGTCATCACATATTCAGTTGGCGACTGTGGCAGTGCTGGGCCCGCATCCCACTGCCTCACAGTTCCGTGACTCGAGCGATAGGGCCCAGTCGTACCAGGGTCAGGCCACTCTCTCTGGAAGCAACTGGCGAGAAGGACACCTTGCATTGCCTTGGAGGCAACTTCGAGAAGGGTTCGCACCATGAGGTACGATTTCACGCTATTTCGATTGGACTCGTACTTCTCGTAGAGAATCACCACTCTTTTGACCAGTTGCAGGTCAGTCAACACTGCTGGCGAATTTTTGTTTTGGATGATGTTGATGTAGATGGTGTCAACACTCCACGCCAAATGATCAAGTAGGTAGCTATACGCATGTTGTTAGCAAATCCTGGACAGGATAAATAAACTCATCCAGTGGATGAGCTCTTACATTGTATATGGATGGCGAATATCGTGCTCGCCTAGCAAGGAAAGGGAAGCCCGCGCTGCTCTGATGCAAACAGCATGGCTGCGAGTGATGACAACACTACCACTACTCGAGTCGTCGGAGGGGGTTGGCAAATGTTTCAAATCGACGCTGTTTATCGCAAGAAGTAATTGGAAGTAGGTGCAATGAAGATTCGTCATGCACCTTAGAAGGCTGGATCCGCCATTCGAAAAGCTCGTTAGTGGTTTGCCAAGTCCGGGCATGCGATCTCGCCAGTTTTGGAGCTCCGTGTTGAGTTCGTTGATGCTGGTATATATTTGCTCAATGGACTGGCTTGAAGTCAGTTCAGGCCGGAGCATGTGGTACGCCTTGCTTTGTATCTCAGCCAGCAGAACTTGTTCACGCAGGGAATTTATGGTGGATCCACTAGCCAGCGTGAATGAAGTGTAGCCATCGTCTGGTTGTTCCTCGGGCAACGGAGGATGAAGACCGTCTGGCAAGCAGTGCGGCTTTCCTAAGCGCATGGAGATATCGCAGTCCCAGATGTATGCTTGCCAGAAGAGCCTTTGTCTGTGTAACGTTTCCAAACTCATGTTGGCATTTGGGCTCGTCGGATCGCGGTGTTCTGGTTTGACCATGATTTGTGCAGTTGCTCTCAGGATAGTCGCGGCGAGTTTAGTTCTCGATGTAAGCATCAAATAAAAGACCTTTCATGTTCAGCAACGCAGTAACCAAGTCAAATTTTATGGAGATTTCATACCGTCGACAAGCATACTCCAATGGCAATGTCATCTGGCTCCTCGGTGATGATGTACGGGAGTATCTTGAGGGTGTTTTGCAGAAACTCCTCCGACTGATCGTTTCGCATCCCGCTCATGATGCGAAGGGCAAGGGCGCTTACAATGGTCAATGCGGCATACCAGTTTACTTCAGGGCTCGTGGTAGCTCCTGGGCCGCATTGAGCCAAAGCAATGAGTTTATCTTCTTCAAAGAGACACACGTCCTCATTCAAAGGGCGAAGGAAAACTGCAACGGGTGAGCAAAGCTATGAGTTTGATGAGTTCCAGAGGAACAGACATACTTTTGAGGAATAGTTTCATGGTACCTTCCGAGGGAAGGGGGTCCATAAGAGTAAGATCAAATTGCAATGCAGGGAGGTTCTGTGAGCCTTCCATACGACGTAGCATTTGGGTGAAGTTATCATGTCCCACCAGAGTATCAAACCATGTTGCAGTTTGCTGAGACAATATTGGGCAAGAATCCTTGGGCGAGAAAGTGGGTTGAGCTGATGGTGAACATGGTGGCGAATGATTGACGGCATCGTTCATCTCCGTGTCATCAATTCCCTGCCGTGTGAGTGCTGTTTCCGGGGCTGTGGGAATGTTAGGGCAGACGAATATGATGGGTGCGATGGCTAAACATACTCGTTGCATCTCCCGTGGTCTGCACGCTTGAGGTTGCGTCATCGGCATCATTTTCGTCGGTGGGTGTATTCCTAAGAGACTTTGTGCGCGCTGTGGATACTATGTGTTGAACCCGGTCTAGTCTTTGGGAAATATTGCGGTATGATCTATGAAGTGAGCTCGCACATGTCAGAGGACCATATGTCGCGTATAATCATCAGTGTGGACTTACACTCTGGTATTCGGAGCTCTTCTCCTGCTATGCGTATAGACGCAGGCTTCTGCACGCCTACGACAACTGGAGCATACAGGATTGACCCCATCACACTTGACCTGCGGCGATTGAAGTCAGCTTGACCATTCCGTCTGGAGCCTAGTATTTTGACATGGCTACAACCTTGCGTTGTCGACAGTTGGTACATGACCAACGAGACCTTTCTCTCGATGCTGCCACCGCAGCTGAAGGACTCGCCCCCTGCGCGCTCGGCAGATGAGAATCGGAAGCCATGGGTCGAATTCGTGCTCTGAATGGCCCACAGTATGAGGGAATATAACTGGATCCTGGAGCTGGTCGCTTCATCCGGCAAGATAATAAGACGAGATAGAAAAGAAATCCGAGCTGGATAGTAGTCGGGATTTCCGGACATTTCGCACTTTCGGGCCCCGATCCAATTAATCAGTCAGCCAATCATCGCTGGGCAATTGGCTAGCGGGGATCAAGATGCGATCTAAGAGCTGATGTTCCGAACACCGAGGCCGAGATGCCAACTACTCATGACCCACCCGCGCAATTATATCTCCGTTGAAAGGCACGTCGCAGCCGAGTTTAGCCGTGTCCTGATTCACACGTAATTTGTGAGGCAATCGGCGACATTCGCGATCTACCTACATCAGGATACGAGTTTTATGCCCCTTGGCGAGCAAGTGCGTACCCATTGGTCAAGCTGGGCCCCACCCTTATCCTGACCAATGGGTAAGCTCTAAATGTCCATAGTCCTTACACAGAGTTGTACTGCACTGCAATTCTAGCGTTTCAAAGGCAGCTGGATGGAAAGCCCGTCAGCCCTAGAACTGCACTGCAATCTTAGGGCTTCGAAGGGAGGTAGGTCAAGATGGGACGACTCTCTCTCAAGAAGGCTGAGTAATCACGCTACCCGGGAGGTTGACGAAGCGTGCTGCAAAAGTCCGCGCCAGCACTGCAATTTTAGTGCTTCAAGGCCAGTCCGGATATACAGTACCATATATCGCACGAGCATTTTTCCTTTAGGCTGATATTTGTGAGGGTGTCCTACTCAACCAACTAACCTTCTTTCCTGATCGAACCACACTCACCCGATCCCGTTCCCGTGACCCCCTGCGATTTGGATATCCGCCTACCCCGCAGAAACTCGGCAAATGTAACACTTACTGCAGGAAGAATCTCCACTGTGGTGCCTCGGCTCACCAAAATCTGCCAGAAAGTCCTGGAGAGTCCAATGAAATAGACGCATTCTCGATGAGGCATCGTGGCCATGCCATCTGTGGACTAAGTCGGTTTTCGCATTCGCGCTAAGGTGCTGGAAATTCCGAGTTCTACGGTATTTCGAACCCGAGAGCCGATCCATCACCCCAACATGACGCGATGGCCTACAGACCAGAGGGGTGAGCTCTACTACATAGGTACTGGATTTCTCATAGCTTCCATCATGAAATCCCCCGTTCTTGACACGCTCAAGTAGTGAGACACGCAACTGATGCGTCGAGACAATGCCATCAAACTCTCCAACCGAGCATGTGCCTCAGATGACCCGGTCGCCCACCTTTCTCGGCCTTCCTGCTGAAATCCGCCTCCAAATCTACCACTGGGTGTATTTTGACCATGCAGTTCAGCATGCGGAGCTCGACCCGGGCTATCTTATTCCTCCAAAGAGCGTCTACATGACGAGACCAATTCGCACAGACCCACCAGCACAACTCAGCCTTGGTCAAACTTCCTCGGAAGACAACTCCTCGTCAAGCCTTTCAGCCACATCCAATCAGCACGACGACGCCCTTTTATCTCAGAACCGACCAATCTCTCGCATACCTACTTCATTATTGGTCGTAAACAAACAGGTATATCTGGAAGCAAGGGGTGTGCCGTTTTTGGAGAACGAGTTTGTGTTTGTGAACTGGTTCTCGTCTGGCTTGTCGTCAGCCAAGGCTTTTATCGCCGTCTTAGCACCATGGCAGCGAGCACTCCTGCGATATGCCAGACTGGAAGCATTACTAACCGACTTTCGAGAGAGCGAGCGCGAAAATTGCACTCGTCTCTGTCGATTACTTTCACTTGGACTCTGGGGCCTGAGACTGAGGGTCCAGGAGAGAGACACCCTATCCAACTCATCCGGGTCAGAAAACAATCACCAAGCCAACATCAGTTCCACCATTGAGTCCTCTTGGAAACTCATAGCATCGGCGCTGGTAGAGATTAAAGCCTTGAGATGGCTCGAGGTAGAGCTGAGTATTGCGGGATGGAGTGATGCTCAGAAAACACTTTGGTGCAGAAGCGTTGAGGATTTTGTAAATAGTACGAAAACGGAAACCGAGAGACGTCTACGTGTTATTTGTGTAGAGACAGAAATAAGGCAATAATTTATTCCACGTCATCCAACAGTCTAGTGGAAACAGACCCTTTGGCGGACTCTCAGTCGCAATCTTACTCTTTTTCCACTTTCCGGGATCGCATGCACGCCTGTGTGCGACCACAAGCCAAACAGCCTATAGTGCACAATTCCCAGCCTCCAATCATACAGCCCTTTTTGAGTAACGACGATGCAACATTTGGAAGACAGCAGGTGATCATCTTGGTTCTCGTCTAGCCATGTCAAAGGATATCGTCTTCAACTTTTCCACTCGGCAACCTGGCTTAAGGATCTAGCTGGACGACTGGCCTTTAAATCTCGCGAGGGCCCTTGCGATTTTATAACGAAGTCCCTTCTCAGAAAGCTATTAAACTTGTGGTTTTATCGGGTATAAGAACTTCGTCAGTGATTTAATTTTAATTAATTGGTGTGTGTCACGTTATGGCTTACTTGCTCAGCCTTTTCTGAGGCCGACACGGCTTCGGGATTTTCTGGAGCCTGAGGCATCCATGCCGCGCTTCAGCATCAGTTGATCACGGTGGCGAAATCAGGCTCCCATCCTGCAAGGCAATAAATAGCTCCATATCGACAACTTTGATACTCAAGTTCTCACCACGGACTTTCTCATCGTATTGACAAAACGTTTTGAAATTTTCGAATCATGGGGTTATCAGGCTCAGAATCAGGCCAGGATCCACAGACCAAGCAAATCCACGCAGACGACATTGATGAGGGGAGCAGTTCCAACAACAATGCATCCACAACCAGCGTACACATTCACTCGAATGTAAATGAACCTGCTATTCAGAGTGTGTACTCAGCCAGCTCTAAGTCCTACGCCTCATCAGGGACATCAAGGTCGACGCATCCTATAGATCACCGCAGCTACCGCGAGCATAGTGCTTCTCAACATACAAGTGTAGGTGGGCTTTGATACTGGCGACGCCAAGCCCGGGATCCTCAATATCTACACCACGCACTAATCCTTAATGCAGAGAGTTTCTTCTTCGGGCCGAAACGTAGTTGTACACCATCACAAAGGTCTTTATGATGCCAATTCACCTACAGCCCGTTATGGGGGGAGTTATAGCGAGAGACCCATGACACATGATCGGGGAGGTTCTTCCCGCGCTGTCGGCAAAACAAGCCCAAGTCTTCCAGCGGACCCAAAGAACATAGAATTACCGCTCTGGATACAAGATTCCATCGTTTCTACGTTCATACGAAAACTGAATGGAAGTTCAGATCGGAGCGAATGGGATGTTTCCCAACGACAGGGCTGGACTCGTCGAGCGAAGGCGGTAAAGGACAAGGCGCTCCGTGCCCTTACTCTTTTCTTCACGCAGCTCTCCAGTGAAGAGCAATCGACTAGCGCTTCAATTTTCATGATAACCTTATTATCAGCGTTTAAGGATGCAATTGTGGAAGGTGTCCTTGGTGCTTTTGAGCCAGAAGAAAGCTCGTCAGGGCTCGAGTCAAATAGTACCGTGGTCGATACTCAACTCAGCGACGCTATTCGTTTCCTGGCCGTCTCAGGTATGTGTCGATAGTCATAACTCCGCCGGTTACCCTACTCACTCGGCAATACAAGTTAACTCTGATGAAAACGCAATCATTCCGATGATCATTTCGACAGTGCTGAAGGGTACTGAGGCTGTTAGTGTTGCCGACAGGGACTCATTCTCAAGAGCTATTCAGGACTCCATACAATCTCTTGCACAAGACCAGCCGTTCAAGGATCTTGCCCAAGCGCTCACTTTCTTACGATATCAAAGATACTCGACGAGCAAAATGGAAGTCATTGATGATTGCGTCCGAAAACGCGTGTCGGCGGACGATACTGAATGGCTGATATTGCATACAGAATGGGAACCTGTTCACTTCATGTCTTCACTGAGGAAGGAATATGGAAACGAAAGCAACGACTCTCTGGAGTTGGGCTGTTTGTTGACGCTGACGGGATCCGACATCTTTCCTCACGCCGATACCTGCATGGCTTATGTCAAGCGTACTTGGCCGCAGTTGGGTCACATCATTATCGGAATGTTGGAGAGCGCACTCCTCGAGGCAATGGGTGCTCCCCCCTTGGCTCAGGGACGGGACGGCATTTGTCGTCGTGAAGACGTGTTAAAGCTTGAAGAAAATGGTGATTACTATTCTTGAAACTTGGTCTCTATACTAACACATAGTAAGGCCAATATGCCAATACTCCTATCATGGTCTCGTTTAGAAATAGTCTCATTACACTTGAGCTAAAAGGCAGTGTTGATCAACTTGTCAAAGTCGCCCAGATAGTGGCGTGGATAAGTTCCGCTCTTCGTTTGCTACCACAGGACCAACCTCCCACTTCTTGCTTAACAACCATTACTCAGGATTCGGAAGGTTTGGTTTTGCGTCAAGCCTTTACTGCGCTCAAACTGGATTCGCAACATGGTGGGTGTTGGGTTCCATTGTTGCCCCGCGCTGTTATCGCCGAAGGATTCCCCATTCCAGACAGACACTCAGAACTCGGGTTGGAGATCCCACTTGATATGTTGTCTGCGCTCATTGGAGGCTCCGCTGCTGCTGAGTATTGCGGTGGCATCCTGATCAAAGGATTCTCCGCCATGCTTGTCCCCGTAAAGCGAACAGAGCACGGCATCCAGTGGCACCTTGTATCGAGCAACGATGAAGAAACGCCACTGTCATACTTGGAGGGTGTGGGATGGTGCCCTGAGAGAGCAAATACTTCAGAAGTCCCGATGGATTTGATATCGACCAGCAGGACATTTGTCGGGTGGTGCCGTGAGGTCATCTCATGCTTGGGACGCAATCCTAAAGATTTCGATTACGCTATTATTCGCAACTCCCATGCGGAGCCTCCTACTTCCCGAATCACACTCGACAACATCACCGTCGGCTTCCAGCAAATCGCCACAGCCGAGGCGAATTTCAAGTTCATGGCTCCCCAATCGCCGGCCTTCTTTAAACAACACCGCCGATACGCTGCGATGATAAGGCTAACAAAAGATGCTCGCGTGTTGCTCTACGATTCAGATGACAAGAGAGCATGGCTTGTCACCGCAGACGAGGTGATATTGCACATGGCACAGTACCGCCTTGTTCGAAGTCCTGCGATGATGGATGGGCAAGTCGTAAACATCAAGGCAACTGGACCTGCTGCAGAAGCTTTGCAATCAAACGCCAGTCTTACCTTGGAAGAAGGTTATACCTTTCAAGACATGGTCAAGAATACATGGGCAATGCTGGAGTTCCTCCAAGCTGATCTTGAGGCAAAAAAGAAGGACACTTCACCTCTGTGGAAAAATAATTTTCTCTCAGGCTATGAGTTCCGGGCCTGTGCGGAAGAAGCTTCTAGCTTCACTATACGGCAACTCAAGCTGGACCGCTCCGCAGCCGACTGGGCATCTCTTGTTCGGAGTATTAACGCGCTGGTCCTCTTCGGTCGGGGATTCGGCGAATTGCTAAAGCCAGGGGTCGGCGGAGAGATTGGATTGTGCCCCCGTTGGAGAACTCTGCCACGCTGTAGAGATTTAATGGCGACTTCAGTCAAGGTGCTACAGCAATTGTACGACGAAGTACCTGCTGAAGGGCCGAGGAGGTACTTGGCAAGTTCCAAGTTGGAATGGCACCGCGGTGACTCCTTGCTTTTCGAATCCTGCATCCCACCTCTTGATTCATGTTATTGTCAGAGGGCGCAGAGAATTGTGCCAGGATACAGCCTCACGCGGCTTAAACCACCTGGAGACCTCGCTCCAGATGGTGGAGTGGTATTTGGTGACTGTCGGAAAGAACATAAGTTAATGAAACGGATGACTAGTACAGGGGTTCGCTAGGGCATCGGCGTTTGATTCCTTTAAAAATCTGGCCTTTATAGCGCAAGATCTAGGAATTCAGCCAGTTAGTTGATAGCTTAAGATTGTCTAATACAATGTTACGATTTTGTTCACCGGACTTGGGATAGGCTCATAACAGCCGTTGGTATGCCCTGTAATTGCAGTTAATGCGATTATTGACCAATCTTTTGCCAGCAGTCAAGGCAGAGTCGTTACATACAATGAGCAGTTTCTCAATTTACTACTTAAGCGGAGACTTAAAAAGTGTTCTCGACGGCATCTCCTGTCAGATTATTAATCTCACTGCTATAAAAATCACACATTAGACAAAAGCTAGAGCGGACTTCTTTTTTATGTCCTCTATCGTGAGCGAGTTACTGATCTGACAGTTCGTCATACATTACGATCCTGGAGTAGCGGTAGCAGTAGTATTTATTAACGCTGTACAGGCACAAAATCCCGCTAATCTATCGTACAGCAACATGCTTACTAGGCAAGCTATATTTAGAGATTATAAGTACATGTTGACCGCTCTAGGCAATGGATATGTTGAGTTAATAATAAGATTGAGGTGTAGGGTAGCTTACGTAAGACTGCATTCAGAATTACCCATTCAGCAAACCGTTCAAACGGCCGGCCACGTAACGATCCAGCTTATTCTGTACGGGGAGGCGCAGGGTAGTCTGGGACGTGGATTGGATGATCCAGTGGACCAGGACGTTATGGTAAATAATGTGGGTCACGGTCTGGTAATGTGTCAAACTGCGTTGGATATAACGAATGTAATAATAGCTGAAGAGCGTGAGGCTAGGCATCAGTAACAGTTAAGTTGCCTACATGGTGATGGTATTTAGTTGTCAGATGAGTTTAAGCAGACAACGTTTCACTAATACTAAATCGGGTGTGGTTGAAGGTCATTGAGCTGTATTGAATAGAAGCTATTTAATACACGAGCCAATTATGTCTATGATCGATAAAAGACAAAGTAGGCGTTTAGTATTGCCAGCTATAACCTTCCGGTATTGATATAACATATTATATTTTTAAATAATTCGTAGAGTTCATTTAAGAAGAAATAAATTTCTACGAAGATCACTTCAATAACTAAAAAGGTCAATAGCTAGCATTTAAATTACCTGCTATTTCTCGAGAGGATACATAAAAAAGTAGTATTCATTCTACGAAGGGACAATATAAGCACACAGACTCTCTATAGACTTAAAAAATACCAGATAGAGTACCGAGGTCCTGAAAATATTTTAAATTATCCAATGACACTCGCTAGATCCCGACAACCTGGTTACCTTCCCCCGCGGGTCGACATAGTTGATTCGCGGGGTCTCCCTAGTCTCTTTCCTGCTCCCGTCGTGATGTATGCATGGTATCTGCTTTTGAGAACCGAGACTTTGTGCAATAGCTTAGTAACTTCCGAATCATCCTTTCAAGGGTTCTGGAACCTTCACTAAATAGAAATTCAGCCGGTTAAGTCTGGGTTGTATGTCGTTGGATGGTTGCGTGGAACCAACACTTAATGTTATTAGTATCTCATGTACATCACCCGAACGACAGACCAGGAGAACAGGTTTGGCTCGCTTCGTTTTACGAAGCTTCCTCAGGGACAAATCATGATGCAGACTCCGTGTACCTGCCATAGGAAGACATCGCTTATGTAGTGACCGGGTTTCAGATATATTGCGTGTTGAATGACATGAAATTATTATACGATTATCTAGCGCTCTCACATACTCCTTTATTTCGCGCTGACGTTTACAAACGCAAGCCGTTTTCCTCGTGGCTCTAACGCGGTGTAAGGATGTGATAAGATATTCAGCCTGCCAGCCGTATGAACATCCTTGTTTCATTTTATTCTGCAGAGACCCCAGCATTCTCTTACACTAGGGTATGCGAGTGGAACAACCCATTGTTTCGCGACACCCCTGACCCCACAACTCATTTCCAGTGCAACGGTAAATGATTGGAACCACAACATAAGTACAATGACCCAAGAAAGTCAGAAATATTCAAACGGGTGACCGAAATCACGGTTAGCAAAGTAAGCAAACTAAATGTGCGAACCGAATGTATTCTGGATCAGTCGATCGGATATGTCATGCCGAGTTGCGTTGGGGGTCAGTATCGCATGATCCACACTTCTCAACGTCTAGATAAATACATCGTCCAAGAAGCAGACAGACTTTCTTGGACTACCCGTTCTATCTGTGTATACACGGCATTCATTCAGTCTTTACATCTGCTAGTTTTGGACCGGTTCCTGTCTTACGCAACACATTCTTTTAACAACACTTTTCTCTATCAACTCTGCCAAGATGATGCTTCAATCTTTCTTCTCCGTTGCCGCTATGCTGGCCACTGCGGCTGCGAAAAAGCCGTGCCGACACAGACCGATAAGTTCTTCTCAGTCAAGCACGATCACTACTGCGACCGATAACTACGCATAGATTAAGGTGTTGTTCTTTTCTTTCTATCCCTGTGTCGACTTCTAGTCAAGTTGTATGTATGGGTACCATGTGTATTATTAGTATTTATTTGCGTTCACACCGCTGCTCTCTCAATTACATTTAATATTGATGAGCAAATATCTTGACCTTGTGGTTTTACTGGTCATTCCAGTACATGTCGATTGGACCGTCGCCACTGTGTGCTTCAATGGATTCCATCGTATTTTTGTTTGGTTCTAGGTTGTAACCAATAATAAATCAACCTCAATTACCTTGATGTTACTCCAATAGTGAGATGAAACAAGGCAGGCAATTATAACGAAACCAGTGGTCAAGAACTCATAATGTTTCTCAAGGCACTGTGGAAGTCTAAAATCACACCACCTCGGGTCTTTCTGATCGACATTCAGTATATTACAGGTGTAGCGCAACACTTAAACCGGTAATTTAGTGGAGATTCTCTAAGGTGATTGATAATTAGTGACTTCGTTTCCAGAACTATAAAAGTCACAGCTCTGCCGAATAAGTACCTAGAGGACATCATAGGAAGCATTATCTGGTTGACCCATCCAGTGTCATACCATTCTACGATGAGGGAGCTGGAGACAGAGATACAGATGCAAACTGTTTCAGTTTCTTGAAACAGCCCCTCACTGAAAGGATGCGTCACATTTCGCTTCCGACAACGGCATGGACTACCCGGCTATCGAAGCCGAACCCCTTGTACGCAAGCAGATCGGCGACCCACACGACGACATCACTCAACAACATCTGGCTGGGGATGTCCATTTAGGGACATGTTAGTTAGCTTCACCGGCAAGCGTGGGCATCTGAAACTCGTGCAATTTTACATCAGGGCAAGCAATTAAGACGCACCTACGTGCGGGCGAATGGTCTGAGAACATCACAGTCTCACCACGATACACAAAGTGCGGCGTTCACAAGGAGTTATAGGCAATGGCGGCACCTCAGTCATACCCCTAGTGCTGAAAGATACAGTGGTATTGCATGGTGTGCATTTAGTAGATGTGGTTGGGCAATCAATTACTATGCAATAAGATCTCCCAATATCTCGCCTGAGATGTGGCCCTAGTATCCAACCGAGATAGCTTCATCCAACACTGTAACCATACATGGCCCCACAGCCCAAACGTTTCTTTCTTTCCAAAACCACAATACTGATTTGGTAAAGTACATTTCGCCTTCGTCTGGCAGGCAGATAAGGCCCCCCTTAGCATTACCTATCTCCTGGTCTTGCTGCGGCCAGAGCACCTCCATGATGGAGTTGAATATCACAACTGAGGCCTCAAATCTCCTGTGTACGGACGTTTGAGACAATTGCCTTCTCCGCACCTCTCCAGCCGCCCATCTCAGTGACCGCCATATAGCCAGGAGAATTCGATATGAAGCAACCATCGACCAAGGCGCCTCGTGCAAGGCGGCTTGCCGATCACTCGTGCGAATTAACGACAACGCTTCCATGGCCTCGTCTAGGATGACGAGAATAGCGTCATCTCCCGAAATCGGGCGCGACATACACTGCTGTCCTCGTCTAGCGCCAGCATAAAGTCCCAAGGTCAGGTGCGTGGCTGTTGCGAGGCCAGCAACGATACTGCTGTCGACAATGCCGCCTATCAAAAGGTCGTCCGGCTTGTAAAGAGCAATCTTGACGGACAAGGCCATGCGCTCGATACTGGTCCATATTGGTCGGTCCGATTCGTCACACGACATGTCCCGCTTCGAGATGACTCCTAATACGTGCCGCAGCGCTGCACTAATCTGCTTGTTTTGAGACTGTGTGAAAATATGAAAAGCTGAGGGGTCCGCTAGACCTGGCGGGAATTGATAATAGCAACGTGTTAGATCTCGTATGAAGGAGTCAATGCTGGTTAGCACGAAAAGCGTGGCGATTGGAGACGCTGACAGAGCCGCCAGAAGAGAAGGGCTCGCAACTTCCGACATGATAGACTGCGTGGCCAGCGTCAGAGATCGAGACGCGGGACATGGAAAGCCCAAAGACTCATCAAGCTCCAGTAAGGAGGCAAACTGGAATTCTCCTTTGAGACTGCCCAACCAGAGCATTGCCGTGTCAGACTCCCAGAGGGATCTGGGAAGTGGAAGCTCCCAGTCCAACTCGATCGGGGAGATCAAGGGGCGGACGTTGCACGGGGCTAGTATGTGGAAGTCTAGGAAGAGCAGCGTGTACATAGACAGCTTCATGGACTCTTCGTTGACGTACATCATCCAAGAGGCGTGGAGGGCTTGTGCATCGCCAGACTGTGAGGCCTCCGCCCCAGCCTTGATCCATACCCGGGACACGGATGTGGCGACAGTTTGCTTGAGAAGACCGAGGTCCTGGGCAGCCTGCAGACAGATTTGTTAGGATGTAAACAAACCAAGCCAGTGTTGGACATTCTTACATCTACAAGCGAGCGCAGCATGATCTTTGCCTTGCCGTAGCGAGCAGCACCGCCCATGTAAGCCCCGTATATAATGTGCAACAGCCAGGCCTGCATGATCCAGGTTCTTCGTAATTCTCTCCAGTCAGCGCCGACCTAGGAGGAGCTAGCATTAGCAATTGTCTTTCGAGCAAAGAGGATACGCACTAATCGACTTAGCTCCTTGCGCCCGGCATCCCAAAGGCTTTGGCTCCACTGGACACAAGTTACAGCATCCTCTTCCGACAGATTCTGGGCTGTGTACAGGCTCCCAATGGCAGTGATGATGTCCCGTAGGAGCCTCGGGGTATCGTCGCCAATGGTTGGGCGATGAAGCAACGGGAATGAGGGGTGAAAGTACTCAAAGTATGCAGCCATGTGGGCAGACTGAGCAGAATGATCTTCTATAGCGCTATTAAGGAAGTTAGAATCATGTTGATCGAGGAAGATAGAGCTCCAGAGAGATCAAGGGCAGGATGGCCGTGATAAAAACGTACGAGGTACTTGATGCAGGTTCTGATGGTGATGGCCCCTTCAAAGCATCGATTGGGCTGTCTCCGTTTTCTACTGAAAGACCTGGATCGACGATGATTACGTCTGTAAGAGCAAGGGGACTGAATGAAGGTATCGGGGGAGTTGGTGGCGAAGCAGCGTTGTCGAGACCCTTGTCGCCATCGGCACGGTCGGTCGAAGCGGGCTTCGGGCTTATGCGACTCGAGCATCGTCTTGTATGTCTCTTACAGACATCTCGCCTTGAGAAGCGAGTTTGGCAATAGAGACACTCAAACGGGCGGCGACTATCATCTCCATGTCCTGGCAAAAGTCAGCGCGGCCCCGCGAATATTTGGCACTGCGATTTTACTTGCTCGAACGTCGATGGCGTTCCAAGTTCTCGTTCCTGGTAAATGTCTGGGAGCATTCACTGCAGGAAAATGGCCGAGTCGATGTCATCTTGCGCGGGCGTCTTGGTCTCAAGCTGCTAGAGTGAGGTTGTGATATGTGCAGACTTGGTCAATGAGGGACCTGATTGTGGTGGGTTGTCTTGAGTCGTGTGTAGCGCGCTGAGTCATCCGGCTCCGGACTAGCATACCGGCCACGGAGCAGTATCACTCTCGCCCTCTTTTGTAGACTTGGAATCACTTTATTGAGGTGTATCTGGAACCGTCTTTATGGATCTTCAAGGCAGAAAAATTGAAGAAACCCTCCTTGGACATCGTTAGCCTTCCCGACCAGGTCAACAGAATCCCCTTTCACTGCAGCTCCACAGCAATGAGAACGAGCGCATGCTCAAGATACAGGACGTGCTTTTGGTGCCTAGAGCAGTTTTTAGTTTGAGATATTTTCAATGTCACAGGAACCTAATCAGCCTACCTAGCCCTGTTTTGCACCCCTCTTGAGTAGCGATGCGGGAGTCCATTGTGGCTCGTGAGCAAACCGTAGCCCCATGAGATGCGCAACTCGCTATCCTCAAGGGGTGGGTGCCGCAATAAGTTCCAGAAAATCGGTCACATTAACTTCTCCTTTCCTTTTAGCAGTAGTAACAAAAACTACTTGGTCAATAGATAGAGTGGTTGAAGTAACATCCCGCCACGCCTTCGGAGAACACACTCAGTAGATGGATTGGGAAAACAGATATGAGAGAACCAGATTCCGAGTTCTTTAAGTTTCCAAGACAAGGGGCTCTGTAATATTTCTGTATCCATTACTTATCTCGTCAATCTTGTTCCACCCTACACCCGCAGCTGCCGCATCTGCCGTCACTGTCGAAGTTCGCCATCTACACCGACGGATATTGATGGAGCTCCACTTGCACATGTAGCAGACAAGATATGTGTGATTGTATGATAGCGGAATATCTCCCGATGATAGTCCTAGGCTCGATTTGCTGCCAATTGACAGGTAGAGTTCTCCTGCTGTCCTATTGATGCCAATGTGCACTACACTACAATGAAACTACCCTCTGGAGTGCCTGTCAGCCTCGCCCATCTTCTTATTAGCACCTATTGACCTGCAGACCACCGAAATCGAAGCGGAACCCCTATCAATGGTCGAGGCCTGAAGAAGTGCCATGGGCCTGCTGCAGGGTAGCAACGGCGATGCTGGCCGACGACGTCCCGGGGCTTCATACCGGTTGGTGACCCAATCGAAAGGGTCAGTGGGATCAAACCGGAGTTCATAATGCCTATTCTAGCTCATTCATTGATGATGACGATCTTTAGTGACATCTATACTAGCTAAGCAAGGTTGTCTTTCAATCTATGACAGTCGCAATCATGGGGCCTGGTCTGTTAGTTCCGGGGAAGCAGACCCCTAAAGCTACCGCGGAAAGGAGAACCTGGGACTGGGGAAAACCAACCAGGCACGGGATGAACCCGGTTAGCTGAAAGCGCGATACCGGACAACAATTGAAGAAAAACGCTCGTCTGGTCACCGCGTGTCGTGTCATTACTCGGACAACCTCCACACAGTGGATCGCTAGAACGAATCAGCGCCTGAGATACGATAACCCTCCACCTGGATCGGTGGAGCTCCACATGGTCTAGAACAACACCGTCTTAGACTACTGCAGAGCACGCAGAGAATAGGGCTCGCTTGAATGAACAAACATACTTAGATTGAGACCGTAACCGAGACCATATCCTCACGGAACATTGAGCCGAGGACACCCATTCCACACCTCTATCCCTGCGAATTCCTCGGTCACGACGTCAGTACCAGCTCGGTGTCAAGCCGGTGTGGAGGTGAGTGGAGGTCGATAGTCCGAATCTTCGCCAGCGGGGGTGGAGCGCCACACGAATCTGCGCAGGTATTGCAGTTCTAGGACGCAGGTACTCTCGCCGTCTAGACCGTGGACTCAACAAGCCGGAAGCAGACCAGGATCTCGAAATCTGGGGGCGGGGACTTGCAGATAAGCCGGGGCACTACTCCATCCGTCATCTACACACCGGTAGAGATGCAGTAACTACACTGGTCGAGACGCACACGGGCCTCAACTCAGCGTGAAGCGGCCTGCGACAAGCAAGATTTAAAACCCTGTCTTCGCACCTCCAGACTATTTTCTGTCAGAACCAACCCATCGGTTCTGTCTCTTCCCACTCCAATTCTCCTTCAACCTGACATCTACACCGCACAGGACCAACATATCCCAATGTCCTCCGCCAAAGACAAGATGGTTCCGCAGGACGGCGGCGACGTCATCCGGACGCCCACCGACGTGGCCGAGGGAATCGTCGAGAAGCCGCATGCTGCAGGCGCCGACCCTGCACTCGCCTTTATCGGCGGCGAAGACATTGAGTTTACTCCTGAGGAGGAGAAAAACGTCCTCCGCAAGATCGACTGGGCTCTCATGCCGCTGCTGTGCTGGATCTACGCGCTGCAGTTTGCTGATAAGACGTCTCTCAACTATGCGTCACTGATGGGCATCCGCGAGGATACCAAGCTGGACCCTGATAGCCAGGAGTACAGCTGGGCTTCGAGTATCTTCTACGCTGGTTATATTATGTGGGAGTGAGTCAAGTCCATATTCTACAGATCTACACCTTAAAACTGACCAGCGATGCAGATTTCCCACCACCTATCTTCTCCGAGCTCTTCCTCTTGGCAAGTACACGTCCGCCAACATCTTCCTCTGGGGCGGTGTCCTTACTTGCCACGTTTTTGTCTTCAACTATGCCGGTCTTTTGATTGTCCGCTTCTTCCTCGGTGCCCTTGAGGCTACAGTCACGCCTGCCTTCGTGATCCTCGTCTCCGCCTGGTACAAGCAAAACGAGCAAGCCAAGCGCATGGGCTTCTGGCTGAGCTGCAACGGCCTCGCCCTGCTTACTCTTGGCCCTCTTGCCTATGGGCTCTCCGGCGTCACTAGCAGCAAGTTGGAGACCTGGAAGATCCTGTATCTTGTCCTTGGTTTGCCCACCATCATCACGGGTGCCTACTGCTGGTTTTACATGCCCGACAACCAGACCAACGCCAAATTCCTCACCCACCGCGAGAAAGTCATTGCCATTGAGCGTATTCGAGGCAACTTCCAGGGGATTGGTAGCCGTGAGTGGAAGTGGGATCAGTTCTTCGAGGCTTTCCGTGACCCTCGCACCTATCTCTACATTGTCTTTTCCCTGCTCATGAACATTCCCAACGGTGGTATCACCTCATTCGGTTCTCTTGTTATCAACTCTTTCGGCTTCAGCAAGCGACTGTCTCTGCTTCTCAACATGCCCACTGGCATCGTTGATATTACCTGCAAGCTGACATTTACCTTCCTCTCCGACAAGTACCTGGACCGCTCACTCTTTGCCTTCATCGCTATCCTAATTCCCATGATTGGCGGCATTATGATGATCTTCATCCCCCTTACCGCCAAGGCTGGCCTTCTCGTTGGCTACTACTTCATCGGTGCTGCCGGTTCTGCCTGGTGCCTGGTCATGGTCATGATCTCGAACAACACCCTCGGCTATACCAAGAAGGCCACCGTCAACGGTGCTCAGATCCTCGCCTACGCCGCTGGCAACTGGATCGGTCCCCAGACCTTCCGAGCGAACGAAGCCCCCGAGTATTATCACGGAAAGATGATGGTGGCCGTCATGTATGGCTGCGCAGCTCTCACACTTGTCGCTCTTCGCGTGGTCAATATCATGGAGAATAAGCGTCGTGACAAGTTGGCAGCCGAGCAGCCGGAGGAGATTGTCGAAGGCACCGAGTTCTTGGATTTGACTGATTTCCAGCAACCGTCTTTCCGATATGTGCTTTAATAAGGGGGGATATTACACATCGGTGGTTGACGACACACTGCAGGGTGGGTTATTGGTTCGCTCTAGGTCTAGCCTAGCCTGTTCCTACGAATGATCTGCTAGTTCAAGGGCTTGATCGATGGGCATCCTCAAATTACTGAACCTGAATATTTATTTCTTGTGCTATAACTTTACTATACACTACCAGTACTCCGATGTTGAATCTCGAGTCCCCCAAAGTGAACCAGCACTCGACAGATAGAACGAGAGCAACGAAGGCTACGTTCCCATGTGAACCTCAACAGGAAAAAGCGACTCAACATACCGAGATGAATTGACGAGCTTAGGTACTCAATAGTCGTTCCTTAGCATGGCACTGAACGGATGGATCCAAGGTCCAACTGAAATGATGTAGAGATGCGATGAGCAATGCCATAATGTGTAAATTGCTGCAGACAAAGACCTTTGTGTCAGATCATGCCAAAACAGACGCCTAGGTTGCACTTGCATTAATTCTGAAACTATAGAATCTGATCTTTGTATGACAGTCAAAATTGCACATGAGACATGGACGACTACAGATCTAAGTCTCTTAGCCCGTCTCGCAAGCGACAACATGAATAAAATAACTGCCGCATTGATGGGATAAATCTCATATTGGAGGTCTTCTCTTCCACCTCTCAACTCATAAAAAATGCCTCAAAATCTTCGTCAGGAAGCTCAGGTTGCTTCTCACTACCATCCAACAGACCGAGGTACCAGGTAAGATCGCTCCCGTCATTCTCACGAGCCGCAAAGCCGTTTCCGAAGTAGCCAAAACGGTTGGACGTAGTGTACTTCCAATCGTAGTCCTCCCAACGAGGAGTCGCAATCGTCTCAAAGAACTGGATACGCGATCCAGGCCACATCATTGGTTCGCGATCAACGGTGCCCTGCTTGAACCAAGAGCGGCATGGCGAGGTCCATGCAGTGCGAGGGAGGAACTTGGCTCGGTGCTCGGCGAAGTCGGCGACGGCTGCCTCCTTAGGTACGAATGAAGCGATCTCCTCTTCGGACATCTTCTTGAGCATCTGCATCAAGTATCGAGAGACGGTTTCGGTGATAGGGAGGAAACTTCCGTGACCGTACGGGCCATATGGTCCGTTAAAGACTACAAAAGAGTTAGATAGTGACGGCAAGTTGCCGCTTGTTACTTACTGAGGTAGTTGGGGAAGTTGGCTATCGTCATGGAAAGATATGTGTTGGGAACGTCTTTCCAGTAGTCGCCGAGATTGACACCACCACGGCCAATCGTGGGGTATGCAGGCCGCCAGCTAACGTCAAAGCCGGTGGCACAGACGATAACGTCAAACTCATGCTCGACGCCGTCGGAAGTCTTGATTCCCTTGGGGGTGAACTGCTGAATATCGGCCGAGACCACCGAGACGTTGTCCTTACAAAGCGCCTCGAGATACCCGTTGCCTGGCGTAGGTCTTCTGCAGCCAACGGCAAAGTCCTTGGGGACGATGATATCGGCGACTTCGGGCTTGTTTGCGAGCTTTGTTCGCATGTCATTTTCCGCAAACTAATATCCTGGTTAGTGATTGGATATGGAAAGGTTGTGGCAGATCACCGACATCGCGAGCTTCTTGCTGCTCCTTGGATCCATTGAGGATGAAGCGGAAGCGAGAGTTGAGCTCCGACTCAATCTTCTTCCGGTAAGCCAGATACTTTTTAGGGTCGTTTCGAAAGATCTCTCGCTGCATTTCATTATCTAGATACGAAGCATTAGATAACTCGGTAACGTCAAGTACTTGGCGTTCTTACACTCAAAGTTGGTACCCGCCTTTCCGGCAAAGCGCTGCCCGAAGCCGCCCGTCACCCAAGACGCGCTCCGGATGAAGCATTTCATGTCACCCACGACTAATATACTGTCAGTATTTCTATGGCAACCATAAAATGAGAGGGTGAACTTACTGGGCTGGATGTTGGGCACGATCTGAACCGCCGATGATCCGCCACCAATGACGCCGATGCGCTTTCCCTTGAGATCGACCTTGTTATCCCAGTTTGCGCTGTGGAGCATTTTGCCTTCGAATGACTCTCTGCCCTTGATTGCCGGCCACTTCCACTTGCTGGGATCGTGTCAGTTCTGATTCCCCAGATTCCAATACGACCCGGATCAGCTTACTTCAGGACACCGCTGGCGTTGACAAAGACGTTGGCCTTGTCCTCAATGATGTCGTTGGGGTCATCTCCTCTTTGGATCTTGATGTACCACATGTTTTCGTCCTCGTTCCACGTAGCAGCTACCACTGTGTGGCTGAGTCGGATGTACTTGTTCAGGTCATACTTTTGTGCAACATCCTTGAAATATTGCAGGATCTCGGGCGCACCCGAATAACTAGATGGACCCAAATTAGTTCAGTTTCGAGTGATGAAAGGTAGCGCAGATAAGAACTATACGTACAAAGACGTCCATTCAGAGGACGGCGCCCATGAAAATTGGTAATTGACTGAGGGAATGTCGCAGCCACAGCCCGGGTACCGGTTTTCATACCATCTGAGATCAATCAGCGACTGCTTGTTTTGCTACTTGAGCCAGATTCGCAGTCATGACTCACGTGCCGCCAATTGAAGGATTCTTCTCGTAGCAAACTAGCTCAAGGTCCAGGCTGCTTGTGTCAATCTCGTGAGCAAGGTTCAGGGCGCTGGCGCCGGCTCCGAGACAGATGACGCGCAGCTTGCGGCCTATTCGGCTGGGCTTCTCCATGATCTCATAAGCGGGCTTGGCCGGGCCGCTTGTTAGCCAGGAGGAAAGAGAACCCATGGCTACGACGTTTCGAGAGGTTACAAAAAGAGCCGTTGGTCGTTTGTATTCTGTGGGTAGGCGTGGCTCTTTGATCAATCGCTGGAAAGAATTGAGATGAGACAGACGAGAGTACTAGGAGTCGTGCTGACTTGTTCAGTCTTGGGCAGCTTATTTGAGCATCTGTCCCTGGAAGTAGCAGCGGGTGGAGCTCCCAGTATCACCGTGGCATAGAGATAATTGCTATCATCTGAGGCTAAATCAACCCTGTCATTTTGTGATTCGTCCTCACTTGACACCTCCACACCTCCACGAGATTCGGGCGCCGCCTCCACCGCCACCTCCACCTCCACATCCGCCGCCTCCACCGGCTTTAAGAATTAAGCTCTACACGAATGTGTCTTCAATGCTACTCTGTGGTATCATTCGCTAGTTTGACTTGATAACGGATGCAGTTTTGTGAACAATCACCTATCTAAAGTCGGGGTAGGAACATGTGCTCCTCCACCCTGCCGCAAGGTCAACCATGTTGGTGGATTGTCACATGTATCGGCATATCGGATTGCTGCGGTTGTGACGGCAGTGAAGCTTTCCTTCTGTCATTATAGACGTCCATCACCGACTCCCTCGTCATCACGTCATCGACATAGCCCTGGGCCTAGCTTTTCCTTGATTTTATCGATAGCTAGCTGAAGCCAAAGACTCCGAAGCATCCGGAGCCTCTTGGCTGTCCGAGGTCATCGTCAGTCTCTTCGTCCATAAGACTGACCCAAAGACCCTCATTAGATAAGAAGAACATCTCGAACTTGGCACACACACAATCATTTCCATCCACTAGATGCAACATGGATAGCTCGGGCGCAGGGTCCAGTGGAAAAGCTAAATTCTGAGTTTCACCACGGTAACTTCAATAGCATAACAGACAATAGTGCATTCCCAATCTTGCGGTAGAAAATTTCCTTGCCAAGATTGCCTCCTGCTTAGCGCATGGGATCTGAGCATCCCCTGAACATCCCCCGAGCACCCCCTGAGCGAACCTGACGAAGCCCACACAGCGAGGGCGGGATTAATCGGAGTGGACCACTTACCTGTCTCCACTCCCCGGGTCGGGGTTGTTCCTTAGCATCACGTCGATAAGCGTCTATTGCGAGGCAAATCACAATACTCTCTTTCACTATTGTCAGACAGCCAGAAAAGCATGAGGTACAGCTTGAATTTTCATCTCTCAGTGCTATCATTCATCCCATTCCCTCCAACCCCCAAGGACCAGCACTTATTTAACATCCTACAGAGTTGCGCCAACCCAGGGCTCCTGACGCCGATCCGTGCTAACCTTCTCAAAGCAACTTATCTCTCCTTATACTGAAGGAGTGCGTAACGCTGGTACCTCTCAGCTGTGTGTGCGCGAAATGTCTTGCCGTACTTGATTAAGACACCGGTTAAGGAAAGAATTGCAGTAGTGATCAAAACAATCGTGATAAGGACCCATTGAATACCCGCAGAACGAACCCATGGGTCGAGAGCGAAAATGAAGGCGGTGCTAAAGGTATTGCGGATAATAGTGACGCCAACTAATGCATCGCCGATGACCTACTCCTCTTAGTATCGGCGCGCTCCAAAGGATCAAGAGAGCTGCAGGAGACTTACATCCTGATAGGAATCTGTGAGATATGTGATGGTGATACTATTCACTGGCGACATGCCGAGCTTATAGAGTGTCAAGCCAACAGCAATAATAGGCCATGGCAGACCCTTCTGCAAACCAAGTCCAAAAAGTAACGCCCCAGCAGGGATCAGGGGGAGAAAAGGGACGAGGCTCCATAGTCGCGTTTCCGGTTCGAAAATGCCGTTATTCCGACGGGAAAGCCATATAATCAAGGCATCACTCAGAGGGCCGACAATCAGAGTGCCGATTGTACTGCCAACCAACTTGGATAGATTCATGAGGCCGATTTCATTCGGGGCAAAGTTATATGGCGATCGGGTCATGTAAAGTGAGACTGTTGTTGACATAACATCGGATGTTGCAGTCAAGATGCCGTAGGCGAGTGCAGTATAGGCAACGGCGGGAACAGTGGTAAGGAGAACCAGAGGTTGATACATATGGCTGAGGAAGGTTTTGAGACCACCGGATGATGATGTTGTAGTTGTAAGCGCTAGCCGTTGTCGATACGTCTTCTTGGGAATATCGTGATTGATTCTGACAGCATACAGGTTATGCTGCGAGCCCTCCTCCGCTGCGATCGAGATTGGACAAGGTCCGTCTGCCACTGGTTTCAAATCATCTTCAGCGTTTCGGTTGTAGCCAGAATTCAGGGGCTGGGCAGACGCGGCCGAATGCGCGGGGCAGTACTTGGTCTCTTCATAAAAGAAACAGACAAGGAGGAAGAAGGCACCAAAAAGGATAGCATTCCACCACCAAACCCATCTCCAGCCTTGGCCAGTAGTAATATAGCCAGCGATAAACGGGCCAAGAGAGACAGATATCTGCCAGAACCAGATATAGATACTATTTAAAGTACCACGCTGATGGATAAAGAAGACATCTGCAATTGTCATCTGTACTATAACCTCGGCTAGTGCTCCAAATATATTGTTGATGGCATTGACTAGGAGGAGGTCGGGTACGGTCTGGATTTTGGCGGACCAGATGCCTACACCAACTTGAACCAAGGAGCTGAGAAGGTACAGAGGCCGGCGACCAAACTTAAGAGCGAAGGGGACAAGCAGAAGGGCACCAACCGCAAGGCATGCACACCCGATTGCATAGCTCGCAGTTAGAGCCTCATCGCTAAACCCCAATTCTTTCTGCATAGGGCCCCAGGTCGGACCAGCAGAGTTGATGAACTCAGACACCATCAGGACATAGAAGCTGACAAGTCCAAAGTTGGTATATTTGCGCCAGTTTGGCCAATTTAGTGGATCGTTCGGATCTTCAGTCGGTCGCGGTTGGAGGATAATGCCCTCGCGACTTGCAGCAGCACCGGGATCCTCAAGGCGTACAGTGCCAGGAGGGAACATGGCAACGCTTCCGGCATGCATGTCGACAGAAGGGGGGGTTGCTATCGAAGGCTTCTTTTCGGGAGGGCCTTGAGGCTGTTTGCCAGTCATCTCATGAGAGCTGAGTGGGTTGTCCTGAGTTGGGGAAGAAGTAGGCATAATGGTGAAGGCTTTGAGACAAGATGAGAGATGACCATTGACAGGCCCGAAACACGGACAAGGTAAGGAAGCTGTGCATCTTCTTGTACAATAACTTGTATGATTCTGGGGAACTAATGGAAGTATACGCTGCGTAGAACGGAAGAATCCGCAGTCGGAATGAAGTTCAGCCGTTCCTAGTCCCTCGGGCCCTGGGCGAATTAATTCATCCCCACATCTCCCAACCAATGGCATTTAGGTATCCCGGAAGTATACGCCGGAAGAATACGAGCGGCCAATAGTCATCCAGCGACAATCAAGCTCACCCTTCCCCTCTCTGCGAATAGGCCTAGGCCAAGCTTACTATATGACTCAGTTCACCCTAGGCCGAAGATGGGTATTATTTTGCATTGGAACACAGGTGGCTGCTCTGATCTCATCAACTGAGAGCTGAAGGGGAAGTGGATTGCAGTCTGCCGATATATTATAATATAACACAGTCCCCCGGATGCAACTGCTGAGAAAACTCTCGACTATCCATTCTAAGATACCTTTCGTGTATAGGAAGGTTAAAAAATATCATCGGCGTGGAAAGAAAACCCGGCCTGCACCACGAGCTTAAAAGGCTTCATCATTCGTTAGGGAGGAGCTGGGCCACAGCTACTATGAACGAGTCCTTTCAGATCGTTGTTGTCGGGTAAGGAAGAACAAGCCTGAGCTTCGTCCTCAGCCTCAATCCATGAACGTTCACTACCCATTGACCTCCTTTCTGATATCCATTGACTTCCCGGCATGCTTTTGGGAATCAACCATCGCTAATTTATCTCACATACTAGAGCCGGAATCCTAGGGCTCACGGCAGCCCTAGAGCTCCAGGAAAGATTGGCGTCAAATAAATTATGTGGTTCCATCACTATCATTGCCGCGGAGTTCCCGGGCGATGAATCTATCAACTATGCATCTCCTTGGGCAGGCGCTCACTCCCGAATCGTGCCCTGCATGACGGCCCGCCAAGTTCGCGACCGGAAGCTCGAGCAAGTCACCTGGGACGTATTCCGCGCGGAGTCCAAAACCTACCCCGAGGCAGGAATCGAGTTCATGGATGCCTTCGACTACTTGGAAGACCCCCCTGAAGAGTATGTGAAGTTGCAGGGTGGCTACTCTGAGGCAGAAGGGTTTCAGCTACTCGAACAGGATGAGCTACAGCCCAACATCAAGTTTGGAAGCAAGTACCGGGCATGGTGCCTAAACCCGGTCGTCTATTGTGCGTTTCTACTCCGTCGTTTCGTTGTCCGGGGAGGGAAGGTGATGCGCCTGAGGCTTGCTAGTCTGGATGAAGCCGCAAGCCTTGCTCCAGACGTCCAAGTGGTTGTGAACTGTTCAGGAATAGGCTTCGGAGATCCTGAAGTGTTCCCTATTAAAGGTCAGTATTCAGCATTCAGCATTTCTAATTCCTACTAGCTTACATGCACATCACTCTGTTCATCCTTTTGTTCATACTGGCCTTGTCTTCGTCACCAGCAGTTACTTATTTTCGATATAGGCCAGACCTGTCTCGTTAGCAATCCTTGCGATAAAACCATAACGCAGCAGAACAAAGATGGTTCATGGACCTTCATCATTCCTCGACCGCTTGAAGGTGGTACCATCATTGGAGGCACCAAAGAGCCCCACAACTGGTCAGAAACAACATCTCGTGAGAAACGAATCCATCTCTTGACCCAGGCAGCCAAGATGTACCCTGCCATCTTGAACGCGAACTCGCAATTTGATGTCATTAGAGACATCGTTGGTAGAAGACCAGAGCGAAAAGGAGGGTTGCGATTGTCTTCCGAACCACTTCATCTTTCAACTGCACACAACGGAAAAAGCGGCCACCGCCGTGTAGTTACGCTCATTCATGCGTATGGGGCTGGCGGTGCGGGATACGAACTCTGCTGGGGCGTGGCGCAAGAGGTTGCTGAGATGGCGCTCGAGGTAGCCCCTTTGAGGTCGTCCTTATAGGCTGTCATCTTCATTACGTGCCCATAGCTGTCCATAGCTATCCTTTATATTCAGGCAAAGAATTAGACTTAGTCACGATGAGTGTGTGCCTTGCAAGGTAAATACAAGTGAGATACCTTACTGATTGGGAGGAGGTGATCAGGGAGGGCGCGCCATCTCCCTACTGGCCTCAACCACGAAGACCGCCGATTTTCCGCCTGTGGGTGCTAACTTGATTGACCATGACACTACACGGAGAGAGTGCACAAGGCCTTGGGGCTGTGGCCATGTTAGCACCTGACTTTCGGAAGATGCAGTTTGTCAAGGTGCGTGTCACGGTCTTGAGAGAGTGAGTTCCTCTGATGCACGTGCCGTATTTTGCCAAATGTAATAAAGGCTCTCCAAGACGTCAAAAGGGCATAGAAGTGGTTACTGATCAGTTCAATTGTGGCAATCGAAAATTACAGAGGCAAGTAAACACAACAACGGCTTATCCAAGGGAAAGGAGGGCCGAGAGAGATGTCCCAGCTCGGAACGGCAGCCCGTGGGACCTTTCCCTGCCTTTATCCGCTAAATTTGACTTAGAAAACCAATCCCACTTATTCCTCAACATCGTAGTCTAGCTTTGCCATGGACACTGAAGACGAGGTTAACTGAGGGGAAAGTGGAGATGTCAAGGGGCTCAAACATTCGAGTTTTCAGGGTAACCGCGTTCTTCCGACGAGCCAATGAAATCCGAGCACGGCCGATCGTGTTGGACGCTAGGCGGAACTTTCCACGGAACTATACGGCGGTCCAGTTTGTGCTAAGAAGATACCTCAACTGCATTGCTAAAATGGAGAGCTAAGATGTACCCAATAACATTAATGGGGATGTGTGACATTTAGCCAATGAAGAGTAGTGCTGCTGGCGCACCCCTCTCTTCATCGGGCCTTTGGTGGCCCTCAGAAGACCACAAACACTGTCTCCTCAGGCCTCAACATCAAGATGCGAAATGTTGGTCATGGGCGGGCATCACCCGGCTCCCGCCGGATCCGTTCCGGTCCAAGAGCACAGTTGGCTTGCATCAACTGCAAAGAACGGAAACAGAAAGTATGAGCCGTCTCGATGAACTTGGAATACCTATGCTGATCTACTTAGTGTGATAACCAGATCCCATCATGTGCGAACTGCCAACGTTTTGGCCTTGGTAAATGATAAAAAAAAAACATCAGTTTTATGTCGTCCTGCTCATAGTATCACAGCTTGCCTTGTCGAAGACCCAGTCACAAGACGCCACCAATCGCGGAATTATGTAGAAACCTTAGAGAGCAGGGTTGCATTTCTCGAGAATCTACTGCAAAGAACAGGCCTGGAAAACATTGCTCCGCCAGCAGAGGCCCCGACAACAGAGAATACACCTAGCGATGTTCTCCCGACAGCTTCTTGGACAAAGGACGGCGATAACGATGGCGACGACGACGACGACAGCGCCAGCGAATTGTCAAGCAAGGTTGGTATACTGGGTCTGACAGTTGATGGAGAAGAACCGCACTATCTAGGTTCATCCTCTGCCTTTTCCTTCTCACGTGTGATTCACTCTTCACTACGCCGACCTTTTCCGAGAAGCTTTGAGTCCCTGATTGTCCATCAAGATGAGAAAGCGGCACCATCTCCATGTTTACTGCCTGAGTATGAGCTGGGTATCTCTCTGAGTAATGCCTACTTCGAGAATGTTCATCCTCAGTACCCTTTTCTACACGAACCCACATTCAGGCGCTGGGAAAACGCGCTTTTCAGACCATCCGACAGCATTGAAGACCTGAATTTTGATCCAGTTTCACTGTTCTTTGTCAATATGGTAGGCTACGACTTTAATTCGATCTAGAGGTTTGATGACTAAATGTTGTAGATATATTCGGTTGGGGCCTTGCTGCTGTCTAACTCTGGATCGCTACCGGAGGTAATTACAGCCCGAACCGCCAGTTTATATAGCAATGACCGCTTATACTTCTTCAGCAACTGTACGTGTCAGCACAGTTATACATTGATGATATTTTATCACGCAACAACCTGGAAGCCATACAAGCCATTCTATGCTATACTATGTATTCCCTTAGAAGTTCCAGGGGTCCGTCTATCTGGTAGGTAATTCTATAGCAGTAAGAATGCCTTAAACTAATGGAAACTTAGGAAGCTGTCTGGCCTAGCACTTCGTCAATGCATAGAACTTGGATATCACCGAAGTGTCAATCGCTTCGGACCAACCACAGATCCTCTACGACTTGAAATGCGAAAGAGGGCCTTTTGGTGTGCTTTTGGAATCGACTGCGTAGCAGCACTGACTCTAGGTCGCCCTTTGGGTATTCATGTACAAGAAGTTGATGCTGAGGTAAGTGGTTCTCACAGAGTTTGGACGACTACTAATTTGTTCTGGGCACCTAGTTTCCATTGGACATTGATGACTCGAATATTACCGAGGCCGAGATTATAGGAGAACCGCGGAGCCCCGGTAGTGATTATTCCACAACAATGTCAACTGCACTTCACGTCTTTCGACTTCGTCATATTTGGGCACGTCTGCACGCGTCTCTATTCTCAGACGTCAAGAGCAACATGGACGATATGGCCCGTGACAGACAGATATCTATATTTCGGGCCGAGATTGACGCTTGGCTTGCTTCCACTCCCCCAATACCGACACGGACTGGCCCTGCCTTGTCAATCTTTGCGACTCAGAATTGGCATGATCTCGAATACGACGAGACTATCCTCATGCTCTACCGAGGCCAACTGACTAGCCGTCGAGGTGATGTAAATAACGAGGTATTCATGCAATGTACTCATGCCGCTGAGAGGATTTGTATTGGGTACCGACGGCTGTACATCGGAAAACCGGTCAACTGCACCTGGGGCACCCTTCACGTCATCCTTTTTGCTGGGTTAACATACCTGCATTGTCTCTGGACATCGGCCGCAGTGTGCCACGAGACCTCATTAGACGACATGAGCAGCGCACTCACGAGTTGTACGATGGTTCTGACAGTGGTAGCCGAGCGATTCAAGAATGCCGCTCCCTATCGAGACATCTGCGAGGCTCTCTGCAACCGCACCAGGAGGATGATGTCAGATAGAGGTGATGAGACGTCGACTCTTCAGCGCCAGGCAACGGAGCCGAATGATACTGATTCGGTAAATTTTACTCAGTGGATGGCTGAAATCTCGGGCGAGGGAATGTCAGATGCAGTTAGTAATCTCTTGACTGGTCTAGTCTCCGAATTTGTAGGTCAAGATGAAGTGGCAGGGGAACCGAGGTAGCCTACCTTCAAGAATTGTCTACTATGAGCGGAAGAGAATGTGTATCCATACTGGCTACACATAAGTATCCTCAGTAGACGCAAAATGAGAAGAAAATATCGGGGAAAAAAAGACAGTCAATGCTACTCATATCTACCTAGAGACCAGTATTCCTGTACCGTCCCTGCAATCTACTTCCAACACTATCCAGAGCCAGGTTCGGGCTGGCACTGCATGCTCCCCCCGTCGCAAGACGAACAGCCGTAGTCTCCAGCGCATTAACACTTCCCAGGCTATCAGTCACAGCAAACTTCGAGTCAGCGTATAGCCAGCATGGGTTATAACACAAAATATTCGCATGTGGTATGGACGTGATAAGCTGCAGAGGGGATAAGACAGGCCTCTCTCGCGTCTGCTGAAGAACAAAAGTAATGAACAAGGGCCGGGGGAAGCAGAAAATTTGCATGGTTGCGAATATGGATGACGGCGAATGGGCCGAGGCTATGGCGGAGGGAGACGGATGTGATATCGACTGGATACTGATATCAGGCGGATGTCGCAGGGGGCTTTAGGTATGTGATCAGATGACACTGCAGAGGACAGCTCGTTGAATAGCTTATGTGACCACTTGATGACCTTGCATATGGGTGTGTATTGTCTATCTGTTGCCTGAAGGGGTGGTCTGCTTCAGGTAGGACTAAGGTACGCCCCGGCCTTTATCTGCCCACTCCACTCGAGCTGCCACTGGATTGAGTGGAGTGTCTTTCAACCCTGCCTCTCGTGGCGGTGTTGATTCGATGTCAATACAATATCTAGGGTGGAGGGTCTGAGTTGTTTGGTGCTAGACCCAATCAAATTTGTGACTTTTCGTATTGTATCAAGAGGTATTGCATCAAACGACGTCTCTTACATGAGCTAAAAGACTTGATTGTGCATGTCAGCAATTATAAGACCCTGTCAAGCTGTAATTAAAACCCCTAAAGAAGAGTATAGCAATTAATCTAATTAATTTAATATTTTATTATAGTTTTATTAAGGTGTTAATTTTAAGGGTAAGGGAAAGTACAGTGCAGTTAAAAATTCGTCAGCTTCGCTTCCAAGCTAGACGGCTAGTCTGCATTTTACCTACCAATCACAGCTTCGACAATGTCGAGTCAGATCGTATCGTAATTCTGCAGGGGGAAAATGTGGAACTGAGGCATAGGAGGATGGGCCGTCTGACGCACCGGGTCTGACCTGAAAATTTGTAGCTGTTGCGGTAAGTGTAAGTTCGCCGTCCGAGCGTGTGGTTTATTTTCGGCGTCAAGGCCGAGGGCCACGCTATGAAAGCTCGTATATGCATGTCAGCATATCCGTAGACCTTTTCTACCTTACGTCCAAGCATCAACATTCTACGAAAACTCGTATACGCATGTCAGAAGCTCGGATAAGGCATTTACTCAGCGGGGATAAGATTTTAAAGCTTGCAGTAAACTTACCAGTTCAATATCTCACCGAATTATGTTGAGTAAAAGCGCTATTTCAAGGTCAGAATGAGTAATCTTCCACGCGTTTGAGATATAAATTATTATAAGCGATACCTCCGCTCAATCTTTCGGCTTCCTATCTATACAGCTCCAATTCAACACTTGACAACAATCTCCCAACTTCCATTCATCATCATGAGATCCATTTTGCTCGCCTTAGGTGTAGTTGCTCTTGCACCCAATGTACTAGGTGACACTGGAAATCCTGCTATTGCGGCCATTCGTATGTAGCCATTTCAAGCACTCATCTCATATGACTGACTTGAAGTAGTTTACAAGGATGTCAATTTCGGAGGTTCCATCTCCACGATCTATAACAATCGTGCAGGCGGAAACTGCAGTAAGTCATTTACACCAAGACAGAAAACAATAGCTGATATAAGCCAGTCAATAAGCCTGGAGGAGTAGACTACATGTCATCGTTCAGAATTCGGAAAGGCTACACTTGTCGGTTTTTCGAGTAAGACCGTGATGAGAAAATGCCACCAACTCAGACATCGCTAATCATAAATCTAGCAATTCCGAATGCAACCCGAATTTTGGCGTTTTGGACAACCAGACTGAAGATGTTGCGGATCTTCGCAACATTGGGTGGAATGATAGAATTGCGTCGATGCTCTGCTATTCTTGATGGAAGCCTATAAACAAGTTCTCCGATGCGTATTTGAGGATATTAAGTACACATTGATGTCTAGTTCAATAGTCTAGGAGTTGAAGAAACAAATCAAATACTAGCTGGTTTTGATGGTTGAGAAATCTCCGGTCGCCGATGATGGCCGTTTACTATCTCAAAGCGAGTAATTTGCTGCTGCAGATATATCACAGTACATTTCTTTTCTTTTTTTCCCCAATGCTTTGCTATGCATCTCGTTGAGTACGGGCTTCTCTTCTTCGACTATTGATATCTCCGAAAGCGAGCCTTTTATCGACAGGGTGCAATCCCACGTCGGCGGGGGTATCCATCCTTCTGTCGTGTCTCCTGGTGATAACAAATTTGAGGACTTTGTTTGTTTTAGTGTATTTAGATATTTACATCTTGGAAGCCGCTTATGGTATCGAAAATTGACACGATCGGTCAGCCGTTATAGGCAATAAACGAGAGTTTCCAAGGAATCGGTTAACAAATAAAGTCCATCTCGTCAAGTTTTCTTTCGTATATAGACGGCTGAAGAACCCACACGATTCTGAGACTCATTTCATGACTTCTTTATCTCAGAGACTGCATCATTGCACCGCCATAATAACCTCAACTTAAATAGTCAATCCGCACAGCCACGTTACAGGTTAGCATCCCAAGGATAAGAAACCGTTATCGAATGGAGACATGCAAGCATGTCACATGATGTTTAGAGAATATCATTTAGTTAACAAATTGGTAGAATAGCTAGTCTAGTCAACCAGTACGTCAGCTTGTTAGGCCTGGCCCAGCACATTAACGTACTAAGCTGCGTCTATTTGCTTTCTCCCATCACCAAACCACACCCTCCACCTGCTTAATCTTCTTGACATTAATGTTCTTCCACATCATAACTGAAGCCAGCGTGATGGAGTACATGCAGGTAGCGGTGATCAACATTAATCGCTGGGTGTCACCATAAGCCGTGTTGATGGCATCTCTGGCTGGTGATCCAACTGGGTAAGATGATTGGACGGTCAGGTCACCGTAGATGTTGGCAAAGTTAGACATTGCACTTTCGGGCAAGTATTTCTCCAGCTTGCTTGGGAAGATGCTCGTCCACATGGCCGCCGCGATGGCATCGCCAATAGAGGCGCCCATGGATGCAATCATGCTCTCCATAGCAAGGACGGCGGGTATATCCCTCTGCGTCGAGACAGCCATGACGGTCATTTGCTCGCAGATGACAAGGATGCCGCCTCCGAAGGAGATAAAGATCTGGCACATGACGATGAAGCCAATATGAGAGTCGGGTTGGCGGAACTTGATCATCAAGCCAACCCCCAGGGCCGTCAGCGGGACACCAAGGTAGAGGGCTTGCCACTTGAGGCGACCGTTAATGCGTATAACGACTCCCATAACAAGGGCAATGAATGTGGCGCCGACGGTGTAGATATTGGTGATGTATGTAGCATGTGTCACGCTCTGTTGGAACACGACAATGAGCAACGAGTAGAAGTAGTTGTCCCAGATGTACCAAGCGGTGTAGATGCTGGCCATCATGGTGTAGGTAAAGAAGACCGTCCTGTTCTTGATCAAATGCCAAGGGATGAAGGTGACAGGCGCAAGATACTTCTCCCACAGAGCAAAGGAAATGATGAGTAGTCCGCCAAAGATGAAGAAGCAGATGATCAATGGGGATTTCCATTGATCTTTTTGGTAGGTATAGATAGAAAAAGAGAGCAGGAAGAGAGCGAGGCCAGTGGCCACAAGCAGAATGCCGATGATGTCAAACTCCTTGGCCCAGTAGATGATGGACTCGACGAGAGTGCGACCGCTGGGCTCTTTCTTGATCAGACCAGCCTTCTCTGCCTTCCTCTGGTAGAAGTAGAACAAGGCCCACAGGGGGGTGCAGACAACGGGGTAGACGATGGCCCAGATACCCAGTCCCCATCGGAAGCCGAAGCCATCGAGGGCGCTCTGAGCTGCAGGACCGTAGGCCCAGACGGTGGCCAAATACGGCGACGAAGCAAAGGCAATCATAAAGGCTCGGCTCTTGAGCGAGGACGTATCGGCAATGAAGATGGTGGTAGTGAAGTTGATGGTGCTGTAACCAACGTTGTAGAAGACGAGCGCGGCGGCATAGACGTAAACACTGTTGCAAGCGGCCATCATGACGAGTCCGAGAGTGATTATGATGATCATAAGACCGAAAGACTGAGGGCGACCCCAAATGTTCAAAAGCTTGGCGTAGGGCAGCTTGATGAGACCGGACATGAGATTGGCGACGATGCCCATGGTGGAAGTCAGAGAATGGACACCGAAGCTACTGGTGACGTAGGGCGTCATGGTGCCGATGATGCCGGATGAGAAAGCCTGGACGAAGCAAATGAACCAGATACTAGAGGTTATTGTTAGCCTTGCCCTTCAACTGTCCAGAATTGGAACCTGTTCGAGACGTACAGGACGTAAGCGATGATCAAGTCCCTCTTAGTCCAGATCTGGGTCATGGCACGAATGGCCTCGTCACCACGCTGGAAGTCGACGTTGTGATCATCGCGTATGGAGCTAGAGTCTGTGTCCCTGGCTTGGGCCGTCTCCTTGTCGTCTGCCACGATATTTTCAGCATCCTGTGGCGCCTTCTCCTCTTCCACGACGGGCCGGTCGTGGAACTTTGTCGAAAGCCTGAATCTCATCGTGCTGTCTCAAGTGGCGAATGACCTGAGGAAGAAACTTGGCGGAATTGCCCTAATTAAACCTGGCGCAGACGGTTGGTGGGTGATATGAGAGGAGAACTAGATAGGATCGGCTAAGGTCGATGTGATATATACATAAAACAATGAACGCATGAAGGAATTGCTACGCGGCCCTTTCCGGCCAGCATAGCCGACAAGGAAGCCGAAGAGCAACGGACCATCCACAGTCCCACTCACGTCTTCCGTTATGGACTGAAACCTCCAAACCCAGTGGAGGGAAAATTCTGCATATTCGGGGGCGCGAATGACCAGGTGGAGAGATCGTCCTACTACGCAGCACGAATGGTAATAGTCGTATTCTCTGGCCCAATACCATCCACGCAACGGGTATAACGGCAGTTCGCAGGCCCGCTCCCTACCGTCCGGTGGGAACTGCATGTACGAGGTTGGCCGCGAGGGAGTGGACGCTTTACTGGAGCCAACCAGGGCCGTTATCTTATCAGATCATGAGATGTGCTTGTCTAATCCATCTATACACGGCAATCATACCCTAAAAAGGCCTGTTTCGGCGCAATTTCCAAGAGTACGCTAGGGACACGCGTATGCTCCCTGTATCCTCGTCGGCTGTTCGGGGGTCGTCCTATCCCCGTGATATCCACTGCTATCCACAGGATCGTGGGGGTGTTTAACCCTATTTGAGTACAAGGCCGCATGAACCAGGGCACCAGGACCCGAATTAGCATCGACCAGGGACGCGTACCGTTTGGCGAGCTTATAACTGTTAAGGAAGTGGATTTGTTCATTTCCTCGGAGACTTCTTTGCCCTGCTTTGAAGATGTAGACTAGCAGAGTGATCCATGAGGAAATGAAAGTTAGTAAATGATAGATATGCCGCGTGTGTTAATCGGAAAATATTAGCCGAGCCGAAAAGACCTCCCATGAAATATATTACAAGAAAATCATCCTTGTTGTCCTGAAGTCCTTCTCGGATTTGTACTCCATCCACGTCTCCTCCCTGTCCTAACCCCCGTCATTCCGGGCCTACTGGGTTTAATATCGCCGGACACCAGAGCAGCCCGTGCCCTGCGTCCCAAAATCTCGCACTCTGGTGTGTCGTCGGCTGCATTTGATTCGCTGCTGTACGACTTCTTTCCTGCTAAGCTAGATCCAGCCACGTGCCCGATTGCTGGTAGCATGTTCTTTTATAGGTTGCGGTCTTGCTACACCGGCATCTTCTATTCGCAGACCTACGACGAAGCTTAGAAAGATGGGACCGGTGCTGTGTTGGGGCACGTTTCGCGTGCTTCCGATTCTTCTTCGCGGGCAGCGTACTAGCGTGTACGTCCTGTTATGAGAGTCGTGGATATATGAATAGTCCTACAGGCCAAGTCTTCAAACACGATTCAAGAGACGCTGGGTGTTAAAGCTCTCCCTCGTAGCGCTATACCAAGACGGTACCATCGGCCAAGACATTGTCAGAATGGCGCCACCTCATGAGCTAATCAATGCTGCCCATGAGGGCACCACTACCCGCAGAGACTGTCATCGCATTTTGGTTAAGGGCTATGGTGTATTTTGATATGATACGGCCTTGGAAGAAGGTTGTTGGCTATGGGCCATGGAAACATAGTGTGTCACGAAACCGACCGAACGGACTTCCGAGTACCGGCCTCGGGGGCTCCACAATCGGACTGGACGACCGAGAGACTCTGGTCCGGTTGCAGGGTATCTAGGAGTAATATATAATCACATGCGAATCTCCAATCCGCCAATATACCACTTTGTTTCCCTGCAACTATCAAATGTCAGCTTACAACGATCATGTCTGATAATCAAGAGTTCAGCGAAACCTTCAAGAAGAGCCTGGAAGTGCGCGGAGAGATTCTCGGCGAGCGATACGTCACCAACGCCGTCGAGTCGCTGCAGAACGAATATTTCTGTCCAGCCCAAGTGTTGGTCACCGAGTGTGCCTGGGGCACAGTCTGGACGCGTCCTGGGCTGGACAGAAATCAGAGAAGCTTGCTTAGTGGGTATACCGGAATAATCATCAAGGTCCGGAGTAATGGATCTGATGTGGTTATCAATTCCAACAGCCCTATCGGCCTCCATACTCGCGATAGGTGCCCCGCTTGATACCTACCTGAAGGCGATAAGTACTTCGCACCTCAGCTACTCACGTGTGTGGCGTTGTTGCCTAGCGGGATTTTTGGGCGAGACAGTCCTTGCGGCTGCTTCCTATACTCTCCCTTCTTAACAAGCCACAAACTTGGCAGCAACTAGAAGAACTTCATGATTGATGAGAATGTCACTATGTGGAGCATGCGTTGACCTTGCTAAGAAGTTGTCCAACGTCATATCGGCTGGCCATGAGGACACATCATCCCAAAAACCGATACGGCATGACCGCCCCTTCAGGCAAGTCCGGGACGTGGACCACAACAGTTGCCCGATGTGCTCGTTGTTGCAGAGCAGATACACGAGAGAAGATGAAGACAACCCTCTGGACGACAGTTTCAGCGCAGAGATAGTCCCATGTTGGGTGCGAGACGATGCGCCTGTTGAGGGAGCAATCTCAAATCCGCACCGATATGTACTAAGGACCCTCTTCGTGTCAGTCCGAAGAGATAGATCTGGATTAGGGAATTTGGGAGATGGGTCAAGAGTTTATCCGCCTGTTCCACTTCAACTCTTTGCTCCGAGAGGCAAGTACATGCATCGGGTCCGAGTCTTCAGCATCAGTCTAATTAACGCGGGCCGTTCTTAGGCTGCCCCGAGTCACTGGGGACTTCCGTCTGGCGTGAAGAACAACTGGTGAATTCTAGCCTTCAGGATTCGCTCGCACTTTGCCAGACATGGTTCAAATCGTGCCTCGAGAATCACACAGGTTGTCATGAATCCGGGTTTGGCAGTGCATCCACCACGACGCAAAGAAACCCCCTCCCCACAAGAGTGCTGGATACTGCTCCGACAAGTAATCCTTCCAGCCTGCGGCCAGTAGAGTCAAATGGCATGCAAGGCACATGGGCCGCATTGAGCCACTGCTGGGGAAAGCCAGAAAACCGACCGCTAACGACTACACGAGCGAATCTCAAGAGTCATTTGAGTATGATTGAGTTCGCTTCGCTTCCAAAAACATTCCAGGACGCAGTTCTGCTGGCGAGGGCACTTGGGATCCGTTATTTATGGATTGACTCTTTGTGCATAATCCAGGACGACAAGCAGGACTGGAAAAGCGAGAGCAACAAAATGGGTGCCATTTACCAGAATGCCGCAATTACCTTTGCGGCCGCTGATGCTCAGGACAGCACCGAGGGATGCTTCGTCGATGGAAGCTCTCTGTCGTATACGGCGACAGAACAGTTCTCGTCGCACCCGAATGATGAGACAGGAGCATATAAGCTTCTCGCCGTCGAGGAAAGCCCAGAAGTCACCAGCGCTGCCCGTCTGCCCTTTTTCACGGACGATAAACTCACAGGGTCTTTCTTCGTCGCCCCTTGGCCATTAGGACGGGAACAAAAGTCGCATTCCCTGGAGGAGTCCCCGCTCTTCAAGAGAGCCTGGGTGATGCAGGAATGGGCACTGTCCCGACGGACTCTGATCTTTCAGAAAAACTCAATTGTGTGGTCATGCCGAGCCATGTGCACCGATGAGCGAGGTTATCGACTGGAATTTAAAAGGCCGTCCCTGCAAGACTGGGGAGGGTTGGTGGAAGAATACACAAAAATGGACTCGACTTTCAAGTCAGACAGGTTAATCGCCATACAAGGACTAGCAAACTTGCTTCAGCAACAAAGGGGAGACATGTACTTTGCTGGAATGTGGACAGCAGATCTACCAGAATCTCTATTGTGGAAGGTTTATGATGACAGCCCGACTAGCCCTGACCGCGAACGGCCACATCTCCCCTCATGGACTTGGGCGAACCTGGAAGGCCCCATTCGCTTCCAGCTCTCTGGGCAGCCTTTTAGAACCCATCATCAGGAGCATCTATCGGATACGCTTCAAGAACTGTCTGTACGGCCTTCGGGTGCGCTCTATCTAAAGGGTCCAGTGGCTCACCTAAAATCTGGCACTCTTGACTTTGTCGCGAGAACGCCTCGATATCCTCATCCCTACAAGTCATTCTTCAAGCTAGATTTCAAGGGGTACTCAAATTGCAGACAAAATGGAGGATCCTTGTCCGGGAAGCAGATGGTGGCAATCCCCGGCGACAGGTCCTTGAGCCCGCCATATAAGAACCCGGATCGTGCTGGGTGGGCCATAATGGATCTCGATGTCGTCCAAGATTGCAATTCGGTGTATTGCATTGCGGTAAAAAAGGAAACCAATGCTGTTTGTCGTCTGTCCAATGCGGAATTTAACTACGAGGACGCATATCATGTTATCCTTCTTCGGCCAGTTACGTGTTTCGGCTTATTGCGGCGATATGTGCGTATTGGGATAGGTGTGGTGGCAATAACTTCCAGGTTATGGCATCAAGAAGAAGTTGAGATAGTGTAGAGCTAACACAACCTCGCCGACGGGGAGGATCTCCTATGCTCTTGATGCCTAGTGCCATCAGTGCGTAGTTAGCATATATCTATTCCTCATAGACTTATACTGTTATTGATTCCAAGCATCCCTGCCGTTCCAAACCCGCCAAGTTCCGTCTGTAGAACAAGGGTTTAAGACGCGGACAAGGGTTCTCATGGCTTGGTTGGGAGTGAAGGATTCCTACCCTGTAGCAAAATTGGGCTGTCACAGATCTCTGGTTTCATGCGATCTCGCATCCTAACTTGTTTACCATTTCAACCACTCTAAAATTTAATCCAAATTGCATTAGCTAATTTCCCTGGCCGTTAGATGTTTCTCAAGTCATAATAATTGTTACATGGATCTTGTGGGTTTGCCCGCTTGAAATTTCGGCTGCAGTCGCCGAGCCATCGGACGTTAGCCGTGGATTATCATATTTCACGGTTGATATACAACTTCTGAAACTGAATGAGATAAATGACATTGAAACCAACTGAACTAAACCCATCGGCTCACAATACACCACCCACCCTCCTCGGTTTAAATGCACTCCCAACGTGCTGCTTTACCCCCTGCAAATTAGAGAGCCAACACACACGATCCTCAATAAACTGCTCGACCCTCGGCTTCAACTTTGTCTCGTGCAAGTTGAAATCATCGACAGTGCCAATGCGCAGGATGCTATTGCCCGGGAACGCCGCACCGACACGATACATCAGGGTTCCGCATGTCGAGCAGAAGTAGTTGGTCATCAAGCTGCCCGATGCGATAGTTTTCGATTGAGCAAACGTCTTGAGGTTTTCCTTCCCGCGCAGATGCTCCAAGTGAGTGTCGGCGATGGTAAAGTTGGATGCGAACATGGACGCGGTGATTTTGCGGCAGTCGGTGCAGTGGCAGACAAAGGTATTAACCAAGCCGGGACCATGAGTAGGCTGTGGGAGTTGGAGTTAGTATTTGAGCAGAGGAGATGCATGAACCCGAAAAGGGAGTCAATGGGTTGTATATTCTGTGGAGTTGGACTTACAAATGCCAGCTGGACGGCGCCGCAGAAACATGTGGCTGTGGCTTTATCGTCGGTGGACCAGCCGTCGCTAGCGGACCCAGCCAGGGGGATATAAGGCTTAGACTTGTCGGCGGAGGCAGCCATTTTGTTGCTTTTCTTGGATTGGTTGATGAAGAAGTGTGTTGTTTAGGGTTGTGATTGAAGCCGAGAAGGAAGTGATGATGATGAGTTGGGTATTGAAACTTGGTGCGGGGTCTGGATCTCTTTTGTAGACATTTGCTATCTTAGGAGCATGATCCATGAAGTGCTTCACTCAATGACGACGGCCGTCGGACATGCACTGCTACATGAGAATCCCAGCATATGGCGGAGGAAGCTTTTCCGAGCTTGAGACGGAGCTTGAGACGGAGTTGCGGAACGGAGTCTCGGAACCGAGATACCGGCCAAATCCGTGTCAGTCCCACAACCCACAGCAGATCTTGCTTATCCATCCACACACAAACGCAGATCGTGCCAGAGATTTCAATCCGCCGAGGTTTATCGGCGACTCCGAGACTCCGCGATTCCGGCGTGTGCGATGTTCGACCATGTTCCACAACTCCATCAATCGGATCCACTCACTCTATTTTCATGCTGCCGATCAGGCTATGACATAGCTACACCGCAAAGCTATAAAGGAACTCGACTCCTCGATTATTTCGGAATTGAACCATCCAGAAAAACAAACACCACTGAAACAGTCAATTTGAAGTGACACATCCACTTACACACCATCCTACACTTTGACTTCAACATACACTCACCAGTCTCTTATCCTATCCCGCAACACACAATCAACCAGCAAAATGGGCTCCATCACCCCCGTATCCGAGTCCAGGCTCTTCAAGCCCTTGAAGATGGGCAATGTCACTCTTCAACATCGCATCGTCTTCCCTCCCCTGACCCGCAACCGTAACGACGATGACCACACGCCTCTCCCCCTCATGGAAAAGTACTACGCCGACCGCGCCTCCACGCCCGGCACATTGGTCATTTCCGAGGCCACTTCAATTTCTCACGCCGAAGAGGGACAGCGCAACATCCCTGGTTTCGTCAGCGATCGTCAGGTTGCCGCTTGGAAGAAGATCATCGATGGCGTACACGCTAAGGGCTCTTTCTACTTCCAGCAGATCTGGGGCCTCGGACGAGCTTCCACAACTGATTATATCGCCGAGCGAGGCTTCCCATACCGATCTAGCAGTGACGTGCCTCTGGAGGGTTGCGATGTTGCACCCAGAGCTATGACGGAGGAGGAGATCCTTCAGACGATCCAGGACTTTGTCGATACAGCCAAGAGGGTTGTTGCCGCTGGTGGAGATGGTGTTGAGATCCATTCCGCTCATGGCTATCTCCTCGATCAGTTCCTCTCCGACGCTGTCAACAAGCGCACCGACAAGTGGGGTGGTTCCATCGAGAACCGATCACGATTCACGCTCGAGGTGGTCAAGGCCGTTGTTGCAGCCATCGGCGCCGAGAAAGTGGCTATTCGTCTCTCTCCTTACGCTGGATTCCAAGGAGCCATCAAGTCCGACATCAACGAGTTGTACACCTACCTCATTGAGGAGCTCAAGAAGATGAATGTCAAATTCGCCTACCTCTCTCTTGTCGAGGCGACCGGCGATCCTGCTGCCATTGTTCTCGGCACCGAGGCACCCAACAAGGGCAAGACTTTGGATTTCATTCTCGAGGCCTGGGATAACCTGTCGCCTGTTCTCGTCGCGGGAGGTTACACGCCCGAGACTGCGGCCTGGGCGTTGGATGACCACTACAAGAAGTGGGATGTGCTCATCGCATTCGGCCGACACTTCCTGGCCAATCCTGACTTGGTCTTCAGAGTTAAGAATGGCATTGAGTTGAACAAGTACAACAGAGCGACCTTTTATTTGACCATGTCGGACGTGGGCTACAACGACTACCCATTCAGCGATGAGTTTTTGAACACCCAGGCATGAGTCTGAGTGGTTGGAGTTTGAGATGGCGCGAGGATAATCTTTTTTAAAATCCCTGATCGATACATAGACATAGAAGGAGAGGGCACATAGATATGCGAATCATGAACTTTTATCACTCTATCTGTTTCGTTGTATACCAGATTATCCGCTTCATCCACGTCTCAATAGGCCCTCGATAACTTCCTAGCTTTGCCCCGCAGCACCCAATCTCAATCATTGTGAAGCTAGAGTCTGTTGAGTGCCGGGCGATGCATTTTGATACGAAAAAGCAAGCGCATGAATGGTGCTAAAGCTATTCCGTAACGTGAAACGCTGTACCTAACCGCAGCCTGGTTCAACCGAACCACTTCCATGCGCTGATGTCTTTATGCGATTGACGCTGAAGCCCTCTTGAGCATTGCATATGAAATGTAACAATACAAGACTGCACAGCCTCGTTTCAATAGTAAGATATGTTCGGTTGCATGCTTGCTTGGATGCTTGCTTGGATGCTTGCTTGTCTGCTTGTCTATTTGTCTGCTTGTCTGCTTGTCTGCTTGTCTATTTGTCTATTTGTCTATTTGTCTATTTGTCTATTTGTCTATTTGTCTATTTGTCTATTTGTCTATTTGTCTATTTGTCTATTTGTCTATTTGTCTATTTGTCTATTTGTCTATTTGTCTATTGCTTGCTTTTCTGCATGCTTTTCTTCCTCCTCCTCCACCTATATTACCTTTCGACTCTCTTCACTTTCAACCACAGACTACTACTGCGCTACATCACAGCAGCATCAACGTCTGTTTCTGCCGCACCATGTCCAATCCACAGGATTACACGGTCGGATGGATCTGTGCAATTACTACGGAGTCTGTCGCCGCCCAGTCTTTTCTCGATGAGAGACACGACCCGCCTGCCGAAGTTGCTCAAAACGATAACAATTCGTACGCGTTGGGTAGGATCGGCAAACACAACGTCGCCATCGCCGTGATGCCGGATGGGGAGTACGGCCTGAGCTCTGCCACATCTGTTGCAAGAGACATGTTGCATACTTTTCCCAACATTCGGATCGGACTGATGGTCGGCGTCGGAGGTGGAGCTCCAAGTGAACATCACGATGTGCGGCTCGGCGATGTTGTGGTCAGCAGCCCACGCAGTGGGAACGGCGGCGTGATACAGTACGACTTCGGCAAGGCGATACAGGATTGCGAATTCCTGGAGACAGGCTTCCTGAACCAACCACCTACAGTGCTGCGGACGGCGGTCTCTGGGCTCAGAGCAAGATACGAGGTTAATGGCCATCAGCTTGAGGAGCATATCAACAAGGTTCTGCAAGAAAAAACGCGACTCCGAAAGAAATACTCTCGCCCGCATGCCGACAGCGACAGGCTATACAAGTCAGAATTCACACATCAAGACCCAGAAGGAGACTGCCGCCAGTCGTGCGGTGATGACTCGTCAAATCTAGTAGTACGACACTCACGAAACGAGGACGAAGACAATCCGATGATTCACTATGGGCCAATCGCGTCCGCTAATCGACTGATGAAGGACGCGCGCTCCAGGGACAAATTAGCCGCCGAGAAGGGCGTCCTGTGTTTCGAGATGGAGGCAGCAGGACTGATGAACAATTTTCCCTGCCTCGTTATTCGTGGTATTTGCGACTATGCCGATTCGCACAAGAACAAGGAATGGCAGGGATTTGCAGCTATGGCGGCTGCAGCGTATGCGCGGGATCTACTGCATCAGATTCCTCCAAACAAGATCGAGTCGGAGAGGAGGATCAAAGAAGCCTTGACAGATGGTCAGTAAACCAATACCCGGTAGCAGCTATTCTGACCTTTTAAAGTGCAGAGAGATCTCGCATGTATGCAGAAAGTGACGCATGATGTCAAGACTGATGTACATGCGATGAGAACTAACAGCCACGCCGCGAGGATCAAGCGCTGGCTTTCGCCTGCGGACCCATCTACCAATGCCAACAAGGCAAGGAAATCTCGGCATATGGGAACTGGCACATGGTTCCTCGAAAGCGACCACTTTGCTCAGTGGAAACTCGGTTTGCGCCGCCATATGTGGCTCTACGGCATGCCAGGGTGTGGCAAGACGGTTCTCAGCGCCACTATTCTTGACCATCTTAACGGAATAGAGGATTTCCTAACCGTCTACTTCTTCTTCGACTTTACCGATACTAGGAAGCAGAAACTGGCTGCTGTGTTACGTTCGCTGGCTTTCCAGCTCTATGCCTCTCGGCCAGAGTCTCAAAAATACCTCGACAGCCTATTTAACAATGGACAAGAGCAACCAGACACCGATAAGCTATCTGTATGCCTTATGGGTATGATGCAAGCTCCTGGGAAGCTTGTTGTTCAGCTAGATGCTCTAGATGAGTGCTCTGAGCGAAGAGAGCTACTTGAATGGATGGAGTCCATCTCTACCGTCGCACATGTTCAACTCATAGCAACTGGGCGACCCGAAGTCGAGTTTGAGCGCACCCTTCGCGGTTGGGTCGGGACTGAGAATTGCCTGCCTCTGAACAAAGAGTGTGTGAACGCCGATATTAACTCCTATGTCGCGGCCAGGCTGGACCAAAGCCCGGAATTCAAAAGGTGGGCAGCATCACCGGATCTGCTAGGGGAAATCAGGGATACCATTAGCAACAAAGCCGACGGAATGTGAGTACTGAGCACTTTTCCAACGGCAGGAATCTGGCTTGTATTAATATCAGCAATTTAGGTTCAGGTGGGCAGTCTGTCAACTGGACCATCTCCGGGAATGTCTCGATCGCGAGTCACTTGAGGAAGCGCTTCAATCCCTGCCCGAAGATTTAAATACGAAGTACGCCCGAATTATTCAGAACATTCCACGAGAGCGAAAAAACAAGACAATTCGCCTGCTACAGTTTCTTGTTTACTCAGAGCGACCTTTATCCCTTGCAGAGGCCGTGGACGTGATCGCAGTTCGTCTTAACAAAGGAGGCTTCGACACGAGGGATCGAATTCCCATTGATGAGGAAATCACAGGATACTGTTCCAGTCTCATATCGCTTGTACAAGCCCCAGGTCGAGTGGCAGAGCTCGAACTACAGCTGTCCCATTTCTCAGTGAAGGAGTACCTCATGAGTTGTGATGTCACAGACTTCATTCACCCTACTCCTTTGGTCGCTATTACAGAGACGTGCTTGGCCTACCTTGGGAGCATACGAAATGAAGGCGACATTTATGGAATATGTGAATACTTCCCATTAGCAAGATACGCGGCAGAAACATGGGTGAGCTACGCAAAACAAGCCGAAGTTTCAGAAGAACTTGTAGACTCAGTTGTCAGGTTCCTCCAGGACCGGCCGAAATTCCGGCTCTGGGCCAGAGTTTTGTATGCCGATGAACCGTTCGGTGGTTGTGAAGGTATAGGAATCATGTTGCCACTTTATTTTACATGCTTCAATGGCCTTAAAGCGACTGCACAGAAACTATTGCTTAGTGGTGCTGATGTCGATGAGGAAGGGGAAATTCACGGTCCTGCACTACGAGCTGCTACAGAAAGAGGCCACCGGGATATTATCCAGCTGCTGCTAGAGAGAGGGGCCAATATCAATGCCGAAGGAGGTTTTTACGGCTCTGCACTTCAAGTTGCTTCAGCAGGGGGCCACAAGGAGACTGTCCAGCTGCTGCTAGAGAGAGGGGTCAATATCAATACCAAAGGGGGCCATTTCGGCTCTGCACTCCAAGCTGCTTCAGCAAAGGGCTACAAGAAGACTGTCCAGCTGCTGCTAGAGAGAGGGGCCAATATCAATGCCAGAGGGGGCCATTTCGGCTCTGCGCTCCAAACTGCGCTAAGACTAGGCCGCTCGGAGATTTACCACTTACTTATTGGTAGACAATGGGGCTTATGTCTAGATTGAGATCGCGTTCTTTATCGAGACCAGAGGAGGACTTGAAATCACCAGTCGTCTTTCAAATGCGGAGGACGTCGCACCCCAAAGGAAGCCTCGATCAGGTCATCTCAGGACTATGCTGCCATAACATCTTCTCGGCAAAAAAGACAGGGTGCTTGTTGCTGAAATTTACAACATCCTTTATAAGCCCCCAATCTCCAGTCCCGGAAAGGCTTTATATAGACCCGGTATCCTGCCCCATAAATTAAAGTTAACACTCCGGAACGCTAGCCTGATCAGAGCAAGTCGATTATCATAGCTCAGACCAGTCGACGCAGCCTCCCCACTGCGAAGCCCCAGAGGACGCTGCTTTGGCGATATCTCCTCAAAACAATTGGGGGCAGAGAGCTCCAGACTCAATCAACAAGAGTACCACCTATCCGCAAACGATCTACATCAAAGGCATACAATGGTAAATCGCGGCCAACCGTCAAAGAATTGTCTCCCCTGCCGGAAGAGGAAACTGCGGGTATACTTCCTTACTACCTGTCCCTGAGCATCCCAGGCAACTGACCCGACGTAATGATAGTGTGACCTTGTACCTGAGGGCTGCGGGCAATGCCGGAGAGCTAGGCTAAAATGCCACGGATATCGCGACCCTCAGGACCTTGTATTCCACGACGAGACCCGGTCCGCTGAGCAAAAGGTGGTGGCGCGACAGGCCCAGGCGTCTCAACCCACCGCCATGGAACTCGGGTGGAACGTCCGCGCTCGATACGTCTTTTTTTCCGTCTACGTCTTCGAATTTTCGCATAGTCTCGGTCCTGTGGCGCCTTTCTACAACAGGGCCTCCGCCCTGGACCACCTGTCTGCAAGTCTCGAGGCGACTAGCTTGGCTTTCATGGCCGTACAGCTGCACACCCCTGCCTTGATGCACCTGGCAAGTGTAAGCTATGTGACAGCAATCCAGAGGCTCAGTTGCGCTCTAACCGAACTGCCAAGCTCTGGAGCAGAGGAGATCCTGCAGTCTATTCTGCTTCTCGATATGTACGAGAAGATGGTCAACCGCAACCCCCAGGACTCGGCCTCGTGGATGAGCCATGCCCAGGGAGGAATGTCTCTCCTTGGCCCCCGTGCGCAACAGTTCGCCTCGAGCCTTACTGGCTGCCAGCTCAGTGCTCGCCTTATTACAGCCTTGACTGTCAGTTCTGGTGCTATGGGCGCTCGAGTACCAGATGAGCTCATGGCGCTACGTGGCCACCTTGACCCTTTCATCAGCACCGTCAAATGGAGATTTACAGGAATCGTGGCTCTTGTAATTGACCTACAAGCCGACCTCCGCAGTTCTGGGGACAACTGTACCATCGACCTGGCCGAGAGAGCAGAGCAATTGGACGACCAGCTCAGGAACCTGTATAGGACGTTGCCACCATCTTGGAGGCCTCGGCAAATATCTCCTGTCAGGCCTGATGCACTTATTTTCGGCTCTTATTATGAGATATACGCAGATCACTACGTTACTCAAGTTACCAACGGCATCCGCGCCATGCGTCTGCTGCTCAATAACATCATGTCGAAGCACACCCTCAGGCCCAGTCCCGACAACATCATCCTGGATCGGATCCGCAACATTACGCACCAAATTTGCGCCACGGTACCTCAATTCATCCTACCGAGAGCAGCACCAGAAAATACCGTGGGTTTCTCGCCGCTGCAGAGTCTTCAGTGCTGTACTTTGCTCGCTCCACTGTACATCGCGAATCAGGTTTCGGCCGATGCCCTCATGCGAGACTGGATCCGGCGTTGCTTACAGCATATGTCGCAGACGGGTTGCATGAAGATAGCCAAGGATGTTGCGGACTTGATGAGGAATAAGCAAGACTTGAACTATTGGCTTGTATATGCCATGGTTGGCAGCTATGCATTTGCAGCATAGATGTGTTTGAAGGGGGAAGATCTGGTAGGGCCAACAATGACCAACGACCAACAACAAGCTAAAACGACCATCTCTGTATGACGTCATTCTTTCTAATCATGATGACTGAGAAGAAATCCCTTCCTCAACTCCGCAACTCCGTCCGACACCCCGCTTTATCCCTGTTTTTGCTTCTCCCTCTTCCAATTCTCCGGCCGAAGCTCCGCGACGCCCTGAATGAACGGAGCAGACAGCGTCATGACAACGGCTAACGTGCAGCTGCCTCTGCCCTCAGGCACCGTCGACGAGATCCAGACTTCCGTCAGACGCCCGCGCAAACAAGTCTCGCGCGCCTGCGACTGGTGTCGAGCGCGGAAGATCCGATGCGACAACGCGCAGCCGTGCAAGGCGTGTCGCCAGCGGAATGCGCAGTGTACGCACAAGGGCATTGACGATGAGCCGCGGACGTTGCCACAGGCGCTGAGGTATGAAGTCTACACTAGAACCGATGATATAGTCTAAGAGCCTTCGCTAGGGAGGTTGAGCGGTTGAAGCAGCGCGTGAGAGAGCTCGAAGCGAATCTCCTCTCCGCTGCCAACCGAGCCTCCATTCCCACGCCCGATCACACGCCCAGCTTCTCCAGTCCTGGGTTCGACGGCCAAGTCTTCTCGCAACGTGCCCCGTCGCACATCTCATCGCCGCCGGTATTCTCATGCGTCTCAAAGCCGCAGTGGAAGGGCATCTACGTCGACACGGCGCGGTCGAACCAGCCCTCCTACTACGGCGCTGCCTCGTCGTTTTACTTTGTCAGTCGCATTGGAGGGTATCTGGGTAAAGCTCTACAGCAACCGTGTGCAGACCAGTCGATGCAACTCCGGGCGCCGAGCAAAAATGTTCATATTGATGCGGCTACGAGAGATGACGTCGAAGATCCGGCCGCAGCCGCCAACGAACGCGCGAGGTTTATGACGCGGCCGCAGGAGGAGTCTCTCCTCAGGTTATTCTGGGAGGGCTACCACTGCATCTTGCCCATCATCGACGAAGTTGAGTTCCGGAAGCACTATGCCTCACTATGGGAACCCTCCCGGTTATGCCGAAAACAATGTCCTCTCGTTGACATTATCCTCGCTCTATGCCTACAGTATGGCTATGCCTACATCCCTCACGCAACTACCAATCCATCAGGTGGTGAGGCATCGCTCGAAGATGCCACTATTGCAGGACGGTGGTACTATCGTCGCTCACAATCCCTGCTCATGGCCGACCTCGAGAGTCCTTCCACAACGACGGTGCAAAGCTACCTGTTCGCCAGCGTCTATCTCTGCTGTGCATCGTTTCAGAACATGAGCCACATCATCACCGCCCAGGCAATTCGCACCGCCCAAGTCCTGGGTCTGCACGTCGAGCCTCCAGCGGACATGCCCACCGGCGAGAAGGAACTGCGCAAGCGTATCTGGTGGATACTTTGGACACTCGATGCCAAGATCTCCGCCAAGTTGGGCCGTCCATTCTTGATCGACGGGTCTCAAGTCACGGTGACGATGCTCTCCGACGACATGGAAACTGCATCGTACAACGGCGCGACTCTTGGATCCTACGGACCAAACGTCACCTGGCTGAGCTACGCAATCCACTACCAGCAGCTATTCCTCACCATGATCAACGTCCACGACGCGCTATGGACCAGGTTCGGAGAAGTCATCAGCCAGAACGGCCTCTCGTGTCTGTACACGGATCCCGATGCAGTAGAAGTGTGCGCCAAACTCCTCGCGACCAGAATCCCCGCCATGAAGGCCTGGGTTGACACGGTCCCTGTGGAACTGAAGATGCAGCGCCGCGGTGGCGGAGAGCCGTATTGCACTAGCTGCTTGGCCGTCGAGATTGAAGCCCTCGCACCCACGTGGCTTCAGCGGCAGCGCGTGTGTCTCGAACTCTCATACCACAACGTTCTCACCAACCTCACTCGCCCGTTCATCACCTTCTACTCACACCCGGGCACCTACACGCCCGTTGCCGAACGTCACGCCACCACGTGCGTCGACCACGCCGTCTCCTTCACACTGATAATGCACCAAGTCCTCACCGAATCAGACCTGATGAGCGGCTGGTCCGAGTACTTTAGCATGCAGTGGAACGCAGCCATCACCCTCGTCGGATTCGTCCTTGCCTATCCCATCCATCCAGCAACCCTCAAAGCGCGCCAGGCCTTGGACAAGGCGGTTGCTGTCTTTGACATCTTCGGCGCCAACTTTGCAGTGAGTGCCGACGCGGCTGCGATTACGAGGGATTTGATGGCCAAGGCGGATATTCTCGCTGGGCGTCTGAGTAGTGGCATCACATCTACCACCGGAGGGAATGACGTGGCACAGGCTACAACTGTTTTGGATAGTATCAATGGCACCGGTGATGGGCTGGCGTGGCTCGACCCTAGTCAGCAGGATGGCTTCGGCCAGTTTATGGATTGGGCGCTTTCGGTGGATTCATTCAATAGTTTCGAGCGGTTTTTTAACCCTAGTAATCCGGCAGATTTGTAGTTTGTTGTCCAGGACATATAATGCCAGGAACCTGATATCTAATTAAATACCAGCTTGGTCCATGCCGTCGATCAAGCGGGAGTGCCATCAGACTCTTCCAAGCACGTCGTGTTGCACTCATACGCTTATTGGCCGTCTGTTTCTATTTTAGAGGTCTGCATTTTGTCTTTATTGACCGCTTGGCTCGTCATACCCGGGACCGAAAGAGGCATCGCTCGTCTTACATTTAGCTGGAATCGAAAATTTCGGTCTGACGTCAGACTGGTGGCATTTCGAGATAAGCAGGACCCTATATACAATCACATTCCGTTCTTGCAAACTGAAGCAGAGAAGCCACGATCATTAAAGTCACAAGCATCACGGGAGGCACGTTCTCTACTACATCAGATGCCGGATATCGTCCCTTTCACTTCCGGCCCAGTGCGTGAGAAGAAGGTCCTCTCACTGGGCTTCTTCCGCACTGGCTCCAACTCGCTCCAAGAAGCCCTCAATATCCTCGGATACCGCGATGTCTTCCACTCGTCCGCCATGGCAAGGTCTCCAGAGAAGTGGGTAGGCCTCTCAGCCGCGGCCGACGCCAACATCCCATGCTTGCCTTCCTACACAGGCCGCACCTACACGCGCGAGGACTGGGACGTGTACTTTGGTCCTTGCGAGGCGCTGACCGACGTGACGCCTTTTGCCGAGCCTTTGCTCAACGCGTACCCGGAAGCCCGCGTCATTCTTGTCCACCGTGACTTTGATGCTTGGGCCGAGAGCTTCTTGAATACCCTGGTTCGTCCTTCATCCGAGGGCGTCTTGCCTTGGTTGAGCGGAAACTTGATGGAGCCGATTTTGGGGATGTACATCAGCCAGACCGCATGGAAGTTGTACATGGGCCTCTTGGGAGTGTGCGACCTCCGCAAGACGACGGATCGCACCATCATGCGTGCTGGCTACGACCGCCACTACAATAACGTGCGGCGTATAGTTCCTCCCGAGCGACTGCTGGAGCTAGACCTCAAGGACTTGGATTGGGAACCGGTGTGTAAATTCCTGGGCAAGCAGATTCCAAACGTGCCGTTTCCTCGTTTGAATGAAGGGCGCGTCTTTCGGAATGAGTACCGCAGGCTTCACATTCTCGCCGTCTTGGGGGGAACTCTCAAACTGGCTTCTTTTATTGGGTTAGCGGGCGGTGTGCTTATGGCTAGCATTTGGTTTGGTCGGCAAAGGGGATACATAGCATAGAAAGACTTTGACTTACTAGTGTTGACATCGAATATACTGTAGAAATCACACCATAAACCTGATGCCACCAGAAAGCGATTAAGAACCGCGTATGAAGTGTTGGGACATGCCGGTCGATATCTGGATATGAGAAAGTAGATTTAACGACGCAACTGGAGTCCATCATCATGGTAGTTGCTTAAGGGTGTTAAAGGCATTATTCGAAAACAGTAAAGACTGGCTAAAGATCCGAGAGGGAGTGAAGAAGCAGAATCTTCAATACAAGGGAAATAAATTCCGAGGCTGGCGATTGGGACTGCATAGAAGTAACCGCCACCAAACTCCAAGGCACACACAGTAGTCATTATAAGATCACAGTCTGTCTGAGTGTACTGTTGATCTTTAAATGGACTGGGTATATGGTCTGTATTGTTGATACTATTGTCGGTGTTTTTTTTTTTATACTGTTGAGCTTCTAGTCCCCCCTCTGGGTATGTGTGTACTAGGGGCACCCTAACCTCTTGATAAGATCACAGTTACGGCTGTGATAGCTTGCAGGAGATTGTAACCTAGAAGATATTACGGTCCAGGCTGTCGACGACTGTACTGGCTTTGATTAGGTTATTCAGGGAAGTCTTGGCGGGGAGATGTTCATTCCTGAAGATCTACTTGACATATCGGCGATGCTGAGTTCCTTTTGGGGAGGTTCTTCATATTGGAATTAGCTTCCGCCGGATACATTTCTGTTAACAAGGTTGTCACTCAGTCTTAATTGGCATCGTCCTCCTAAAAACGAATCGTCATTTGTAGATATGAGATAATTAGCGAGATATTTACTAAACCCCATTCGAAGAACCGTTCGAAACAGCCCCCGATCCGTTTCGGATCTCCAACGTCTTCCCGTCGGCCTGCTTCCGGTTCCCCTTCAGCACGACCTTGGTCTCCTCATGCCGCTCAAACCGACGGTACGCGAGCGCCGCATCGTCCAAATTGTACTCGTTCGAAAAGATGAATCCAGGACGTGCTCGGCCATTGTTGATCAGCTCGGAAATACCCGGCACGTTGGCTTTGATGTTGACTAGGCCTCCCTGGACCCGCAGCCCTTTGAACCAGGCCTCAGCGATAGGGAAGCTGATCTCGGCTTTGAGACCAAGCTTGGTCCCGGCTTCAGTACCTTTGCCATCGTTGGTGAGGGCGGACATGTAGACGCCGGCGATTCCGACTCCACCACCCGCGCTTGTCATGCGAATGGCCTCGCGGATAATGTAGTCCTGCTGCGGCTTGAGCTGGTCGTTGAGACACACTTCGCCAACGCAGTCGACGGAACGCTTGACACCACCGGGGCGCAGCGCGAGGATCTGGTCCGACGCTTTGCCGCCGCGCGTGAAGTTGATGGGCATGGCGCCAATACCGGCCGCTTTGGCAAGCCGTGATGGCTCGTGGTCAATCACATACACCAAGGACGCGCCGCGGATGATGGCGCTGTAGGCACACATCAGACCCACGGCGCCAGCACCGAAGACGGCAACTGTGTCACCGGCCTCGAATCCGGAGAATGACAGGGCTGTCCAACCCGTCGGGAAGACGTCAGCTACCGGGAGCCACTCCTTGTCCTCCAGCGTGGGCGGGATCTTGACAAGAGAGGAGTCTGTCCATGGGACGCGGGCGAACTCGGCTTCGAGATGTTAGCTGCATGTCATCTTCAGTGTGTGAGTGTGAAGTATGGAAACGTACTCTGTAACCCGTCTTCTGTTCCAAACTCAGAACCGAGACCGTAGAACATCAACTCGTCTGTGGAAGGTCCCAGGCCGGCCTTGGGAACGAGATGTCCATCTTCAGCCGCGCAGACAATAACCACGCGGTCACCGGGTTTGAAGAAATCCACCGCGGGCCCAACCTCCTCGACGATACCAACGGCTTCGTGACCGACACCGTGCGGGACGTCGTTGGTGCCAAGCAGACCGTGGTAGATATGGAGGTCAGAGCCGCAAATGGCGGACGAGGTGATGCGCACGAGAGCGTCCTCGGGGTCGATGATTTTGGGCCGGGGGATGATGTTGACGGCCACATCACCAATTTCGCCTTCCCACTCAACGCCGCGCATGAAGCCGGTTTTGGACGAGGAAGTCATGGTGTTATTGTACAAGGCACTGTTGAATGGTTTCTAAGCGATGAACAATCCAATGCGAAAAACACGCTTGATTTACTAAAGCTTAGAACTAGACAGTTCAGGTTGAGTAAGAGAATGCGAATCAAAGGTGCCGCAGTCTTCATTTAGTCGTCCTCATCCTTTATAGTTCATTGAATTGTACTTTGGATAAGGGTGACGTGAGAGGCACCAATTAAGAACAACATAAGCATGTCCCCAACAGGAAGTCCCGCGGGACTGTAACCGTCCATGAATCTGACAGTCGCTCAAAGTCTCCGAGAAATCCTCGCCATTATCATGAGATTAAAGACAAATCCTCCATGTAAGCTCACGAGACTGTAAAGAAACTACCCTGTATCATAGTCAGCATAGGATTGGAAAACCTCTCAACCAGGGCACATCCACAACCATTGGCTATCTGCAGGGTACGGGTGTAAGCACGGGGATGCGATGATGGATGTTCGCTGCGCCTCGCTGACACGATGCAACCTCCACGTGCCCAAACTAGAACATAGCCTTACGCATGACATACAGTAGTGCCCGCCAAGAGTATCGGTTTCCAAAGTTAGAAGAGTTTCCGCGTGGTTTGTCCATATCCGTGGAGGTGTTAAATCCGTGTCAAGCGGCAAGCAGTGTACCTTGGGGGCGGAGATAAAAAAGGTCCGAATCAGGGCGGCAGAACTGTAACATGAAATTCGGTCTCATGCTCTAAGTGTGACGATTCGGCTTAGTCTATACAGAGTAGCGTGACCACAGCGTTGAGGTGAGCAATGCAGGTCATATTCAGTAATGTGTCAAAGGTAGTTTGATGTAATTAAGTGTGCCTATAGGTGAAGGGCATAAGGATCGGTTCTACTGCAAAGGTGCAGTGCCTTTATATGGGCTGAGAGGCGATCGACCGATTAAATGCATCGATGATTCCATCATACAGTCTGTTGATCCCATCCTGATCCATATCGCTTCCTGTAAAGAGATACCCATCCCGTATGGGGAACAATAACTGTCGAAGCTCTCTGGCCAAGCCTCTCAAAGGCTTGAACTCGGTCGAAAATTCGCCGAGGATTCTCAAGAACCCTTCCGGGCTCATGTCCGCCGACTTGTTTCGCGACACGGACCTGAAGTCTGTGGAGCACCATCCCCAAAGCCGGCTTGTCTCTGGTTGGTATCTCAATGATCTCGCGTCATCGTGTTCGCGGTCGTTGCAGATGGCAACCCAGAGGAGTACATAGAATAACGATTCCAGGTCATGTCGATACGTGTGTTGAGCCCCAGTAAGGATGCCGATGGCCATGAAGCCCTCGGATCCAACAAGCTCTCCGCTCCTCGCTGGACCCTTTTCAAGATCTAGTGCGCCATCGAGATCGATGAGAACGCCCTTTGGATCTCCTTCGTTGAGTCGTGCGGGGATGATCAGATTCTTGACGCAAATATCTCGGTGGAGAATCTTCCCATCTTGATAGAGAGATCTGAGCGCCTTTGCAATGTCTCGGCATGCCTCCAGAAACTCCTGGACACTCTGGAACTTGTTGATTGATCGTCCAAGAGGTGAGGTCGTGATGCAAGAGAACGTACGATTGAGGAATGGTGGAACATAGTCTTTTTCTGAGCCTGCACTTGCGGCGGCAGGTGTGTCGCCTTCGGAGGTGGCTCTCCCACCATTTGCGGCTGGCAAGAAGTCATACGGTTGATTGAACTGGAGACCTTCCCGCAGATCTCTGATGCTGTCGAGATCCTGCCACCCAAGAGCTTTGATGACACCCCAAACATTGCGTTCTTTCGTCAACTCTAACAGCTTACGCTCCGTATGATTTGAGTCCTCCCTCCAGGCAAACTTGACAACAAATTCCGCCGTCTGGGAATTTGATGTCCTTGCCGCATAGCAGGTCGTGCCAGGCCCGACGAGATATTGCGGTGCCGCGATGGGCTTGTCTTCGAGGTAAAGTCGCCCAGTCTCGTCCTGGTCGGCGCTGCCAAATGCAACATAACTCCCTAGTCCATCGTGCCGGATGAATGAATTGAAGCCTACTTCATCGTCGCTCATCATCGCGTAGCTAGCCATGATTCTAATCAGTAGATCCGGCCGCTGCACCAGGTCCAGCTTCTCGCTGCTGTACGCCCCAGATCGATCAAACACCCACAACTCCATCGTGGAGCCGCAAATCTGGAAGCCGTGCAGAAATCTTCGAGTTGGCCGGGCCTGGAATACTTGGCGAGCAGTCTCACAGAAGCGCGAGACACACTCAGGACCGGTGTCTGAGGCGTCGACGCTACAGTCACCGAATACCCGCGCATCAGCTGTAGGAGAAGGACTGCTGGACTCGGATCTGTCCGACGACGCCATGAGGTATACGATGGCTCTGAGTGAGCTATCGGAGATGTTGACTTGTCGGCTTGGAAAGTGATGGGCGATGTGTCCCTCGGCAAGGAACGTTGACTGAAGCCTGGCGAGCCAGGCCGAAAAAGAGTCCAGAGATTGAAGCTCCAGGAAATCTCGACAAAGGGCGCGGGCGGAATTCGGGTTGACCAAGTGCGCCGCCTCTTCCGCTGCTGCCGACCAAGGATGGTTTTCGAAATACTTGGCGTAGAAGCCCTTGACATGGCGGAAGACGCAGCCGCTGAGTTCCGCTTGGATGGGATCGGAGCTGATCTCTAATACATCTCCAATAGGCTCTTGAGACAGCTGTGGCTCTGAGATTGGTGGCATATTTGGATTTCGTTGAGAAGAGTTTGTTAGGCAGTGGTTCTGATGAAGCTGCGAAGGTTTTTGGTCGTCCAGGTCAGGTGATTTGAAGTCACCGAGGAGCTCGATGGGTGTTCGAGGAAGGATGCTTGCTTATTGTGTCCGTCAGCGGCTCTTTCCACACATTGACTGTTCAGGTCAGATGAGGCATTTGGTGATGTGGAAGGAAGCCATGAAGTAGGTATGGCACGATGCTGGATGGAGTGTCGGTGTAGAAAGAAGCTACGCAAGGGTTCCTGTTGGAAGAGTGTACCACAGCCCGGTTTATCTGATGTCTTGACTTGCCCTAGATTTATAAGGCAATAGCTGACATTGATAATCTACACGAATCTAAGTCTGGACAGCAAGGTCCTTGACTGCAGACAACAGGGTTGAAGACAGCAGGGTTGGAGACAGGAGGGTTGAATTGAAGCCAAAGACCAGTGTGCAACTTAATTACAAAGCTACTGTCTCTTCCGGGCCGGGTGTAGTCTGAAAAATATACCCCTATTAATTATAGATACTGTATGGCTTTGATATGTCCGATGATGTTAAATCTGAAAAGAAAACCAAATAATTGGTTCAATGAAGTTTGCTGATATCATCATTTACCATCGTAGAGCTGATCAAAACAGTTCCAGACCCATGTTTCAAATTCATCGCCGCTCCCCTGGCCAGGCTGTGTTTGAACTGATTGCTCGGGTTGAGCTTGAGAACGTCGTTTTTTGCGTGGTAGTTCGCCCAGATCTTGTGACGTGTGAGGTTCCCCCTCTTTCTCGGCCGTGGAGAATAGCGTTAGAAGAGTGCTTCGCTCATTTTCGGTTGTACCCAGGGCGCCTAGGAATTCCGGCAGAGAGCTCAATGAGTTGTCCTCCAGCGATTCAGATTTTGAAAGGGCATGTGAACTTGAGTCTGCGGGACTTTGTTGTTCCATGGGATCTGGTGAAGGATGGTTGTGGTCGATCTTGGGTGACAATATATCTGAGTTGCGTATCTCGTTGCGTTGTCGCCTCTGCTCGGTGTTTCGTACTCGGTTGAATGATTGATGTGTAGTTGAGGAGTATAAATTCTCCGGAGGCGGGTCATCAAAGGTGCCTTGATTCTCAAGATGGAGTGCACATGATCCACTCAGTGGTGAATCTTGGACAGACCGGCATCCTGTACATGTCGGGTCCAGTCCTTTTTTCTGTGTCAACTGCGAATCTTGCACATTCCACAGCTGTGTGTGAACGACAGGGACTTTCCATTCCGAGACTGGCATCGTGGGTCCAGAGATCATGTCAGGACTGTCAGGTGGACATGACAGATGTCTGCAGTGCCGTTCCGGTAGTTCAATAGCCGACGGAGATGTGATCAAGCTGGGACAGTGGCACTTTTGTGACAGGGAGCGGGCCGCGACCCGGATATTAACTGGGTGCCGATGCGGAGGGATATGGACCTGAAGTCGACTTGGCGTAGGGGAAGCTTCTCGATTCGTTGGTCACCCACGCTATACGCTCTTCATCCACGGTGACAGATTTATAATCCGGCAACAGATTTCCAATCCGACATGATCCGAAGATAAGCTCTCTTATATCTGGTCGGACCGAACTCGCCCTGGGCCACCGCCTTTTTAGCATGCTCCTGACCCCGCATCGATTCGCGGGGTTCGGGATAAAAGACGTCATTCACTACTGGACGGTAATGGTTATTGTGGTTTACTACGGCGAATGGTGTCCTGGATTGCAAAACGATAAGCATAATGAATAAACGGCCTGCACGCGCAAAAGGTATTCTCCGAAGAATATAGACGTCCGCATCTTCAAACCCCAAATTTGTCAGCATACAACAAGTTACTAGGGCCAGTCGGGTACCAGTCGGCTATTGATCCGATGGTGGACCTCTACCCGTGATACATTACGCATCGCGCATCGAGTGTATGTAGAAGAAGCTTAAGCGAGTCCTCTTTCTATTTGCACTCAAACTACACTCATCCTTGATCCTCTTTCATAGACATGGCTTCCATCGGACAACCGTACTTTCTTGAGCAAAACAAGGCCCAAGGGCTTGCCAATTACCCACATGCCCGCATTATACCCATCTCAGCAACCCAAAAAATCATTCACGTATCCGGCATATCTTCGAGACGGGGCGATGGAACACACGAGGGCGTAATTAGACAAGATGACGGCAGCGTGGTGTTGGACATCCGCGAGCAGACGGCTGCGGTTCTCCGCAACATTGATCTCGTTATCAAGGGCGCTACGGACGGCGAAGGGGATATCCACAACGTCGTTGATGCCACCGTCTTCTTGACAGATGTCGAAGGGTGTTATTCTGGTATGAATGAGGAGTGGAACAAAGTCTGGCCAGATCGGGCTGCTGCACCAGCAAGAACGACAATTGGGGTGAGGGAGCTGCCGAACAAGGTGCTGTTGGTCGAGATCAAGTGCACGGGAATGATTGGTTCTTGATTCAGGGATTAGTTTTACTACGCACAAGCCCTCTTTCAAAAGATATTTGTGGTGCATATGAAATGAATGGGAATATCTGGAATAAAGTATGGATAGCAAACAACGTTGGGCCTGTATCTCGTGCATATCTGTCAGGAACAATCACTTGGAATGTGTGGGTTATTGCTATACTGATATGGGCTCCTATTATTTGCAAGTACCTCTACTTGATCTCACGTTAGTAACATGCCCCCTCCGGCGTTTCTTTAGGTACTATTCTAAGATTGTTTGCTGACTGTATCATGATCCTATAGTTGGAATCGAAAATAATTTTAGAAGTCGGGTGTCAGATACATTCGTTGTGAATAAAAAATCCGAATTGACACGTTTTCATAATGGCGCTACAAAGGAGATAAAATCTATGGATGAAGTTTAGGCTGAAATCGACGACTATCTTTTGCATAAAAATAACTCAACTCAGGAGAATGGTCTCAAAAGAAATAAATCTGCATAGGATTTATTTTTAAATAGTCTACTCGGTTAGACTAATTTGACATGTTGAGGGCGCTCAGCGTGTGGGAATTGCCTCCCCTATGGGGTATAAAGGGCACGACATGTGGCTATCTTCTGCAAGGGGCATCCATCTTTCAGTCCTTACTAGGTTCCTCAAGTTTCACGACATTCGGCCCAGCTGCCATCATTTTAAATTGAAGAAATAATACGATGCAACTGATCTAGCCACACGCTCAATGATCCCCAACAAAGTGCACCATATGTAACATCCCACTATAGAACCCTAGATTAGCCTTTACGCTCTCTAACTACCAACACAACTTGGTTATCTGGATTTACCAATCTACTATTACCAGACTTGACAGGCTAATAAGACTGATGTCCTGATCGTCACTATTCGTTTCATGGCGAAGATAAGGCACAGGAAAGGAAACCAAGCATTCACGATGATAGAAACTTCCGAAACTAAAATAATTAGAAGTGACTTTTGTATTGACGATGCGGTGGACTCAAACACACATACGAGTGAAGGTGGGTAGTCAAGTTTGCCGAAGTCTAGTCTAGGCTTAGGGCCGGAGGAACTCTTTATATAGTGTCCACTCAGTAAACCACAACCTATCGTCAATGTCCCTGGCCAGCATGATACCAAGAATCTGTTTCTACCCCGCATTCACTTGGGACAAGCAATGAATCAAAGCCGCTAATCAAAGTTGGTCACTGGATTGCGTGACACTTCCAATTATTAATGCACCCACTCTGACCCCTCTTTCAAGGAGGCCTAAATCGGGTATTATCAACCGAATTTCTCAGAAAGTCCCTCATAGTCGAACAGACGGTATTTGCCATTTCAGAGACACCAACCACTGCAACCCAGAAACAATACAGATATAGGGACAAACCTCGCGTCTGAGTTAAGATCCGTTTGCGTATTCCGCTTTCGAACAAAGAGCCATCATGTCCGATAACCAAGCTGCCGCCACCCCATACAGGGATGCAACCCTGCCTATCGACGCTCGCGTTGATGATCTGTTGCAGCGTATGACGATTCGTGAGAAGGTTGGCCAGATGTTCCACAATATGATCATCATGGGTGCAGATGCATCCCTTGCCGAAGCCAATCCCGTCTTTAACCTAGACAGCACCGAACACTCGGTGGCCACCAAGCTGATGACCCATTTCAACCTTCTTGGACCTGTTACCGATGTTGCAGAAACGGCAACATGGTACAACAACTTGCAAACGCGTGCGAGGGCAACCAGGCTCGGCATTCCCATCACTCTGTCCACAGATCCCAGGAACCACTTCAACCAAAACATTGGCACGAGTTCTAGAGCCGGCGCTCTTTCTCAGTGGCCTGAGACTTTGGGATTTGCGGCCCTCAGGTCGCCCGAATTGGTGCGCCGGTTCGCCGACATTGCTCGTCAAGAGTATGTTGCTCTCGGTCTCCGGTGTGCATTGCACCCGCAAATTGATCTCGCCACTGAGTATCGATGGGCGAGGATTAACGGAACTTTTGGCGAAGACGCGGATCTATCGGCTGAACTTGTCAAGGCCTACATTCAGGGCTTTCAAGGAACGTCATTGGGCACGTCTTCCGTGTCCACGATGGTCAAGCACTTCCCGGGCGGAGGGCCTCTTCTTAATGGAGAGGATTCGCATTTTACGTATGGACGCAAACAAGTGTACCCGGGCAACAATTTCGACTATCATTTACGACCGTTTATAGCGGCTATCGAGACGGGCGCCTCTCAGATCATGCCATCGTACGGCATGCCTGTTGGTCTGGACTGTGAAGAGGTTGCATTTGCTTTCAATCGCGCCATGATTACGGATCTGTTGCGTCGACGACTGAACTTCCAAGGAGTCATCTGCACGGATTGGGGTCTGATCACTGACGCCGTCATTCAGGGACAGGATATGCCCGCTCGAGCTTGGGGATGTGAGCATCTATCAGAGCTCGAGCGAGTCCAGAAACTGCTCGACGCTGGATGTGATCAGTTTGGCGGCGAGTCCCGCACAGATCTTTTGCTGCATCTCGTGGAGCAAGGGATTGTACCGGAGAGCCGCATTGATGAATCAGTGCGGCGGCTACTACGCGAGAAGTTTGTTCTTGGCTTGTTTGAAAATCCTTTTGTCGATGTTGACGAGGCTGTTAAGGTCGTTGGAGACGCCGTGTTCGTGTCCGAAGCATTTGACGCCCAAATGAAATCGATGACACTCCTCACCAATCATGACGATATTCTACCGCTCCAAGCTTCGCGAAAACAAAAGGTCTATTTGGAAAACATACGTGCCAGTGCGGCAGAACAAGAGGGCATAGAGGTTGTCAAAGATTTGAGGGAGGCCGACGTTGCCATCATCCGGCTTCAAGCGCCGTTTGAGCCACGGCCTGGAGGCTTCGAGTCTATGTTCCATGCCGGTTCCCTCAACTTTACCGAGGAGACCAGGCTTAGGGTCGCCGAGCTTCGCGCACATGTTCCCACAATTGTCGACATCTATCTGGACAGACCTGCTGTTCTGACGCCAATCCTGGAGTCGGCCTCGGCGGTGTTGGTAAACTATGGGACCAGTGATGATGGTCTGATGAAGGTCATAACAGGTCAGGTTGGGCCGCAGGGTAAACTGCCATTTGATCTTCCATCTTCTATGGAGGCTGTTGAAAAGTCTCATTCTGATGTCCCGTATAATACGGAGAACCCACTTTTCAGATTTGGGCATGGTTTGGAATATTCGAGATGAGAAGTGAGATTAAGGTTAAGATATCAAGTTAGACACCTACTTATTTCAATAGTGTGCTGATGGCACAACACGACGTCAAGCGAGTCAGATGTCTAGGCCGCCTAACAGACGTCCGTTTGCTCCTAAATAAAACAAACCCATCTATTTTTGCGACTCTAGTGTCATTAGTCCTGGAGTATCCATTCACAGTCTTAGAGCCTACACCTGACCATCAATCCATCCGAGCAATGAGTTTTAGCCTCTTACTAACCACGCCTGGGCCGTACAAACAAAGAAAATGCCCATCCTGTTGATCGAGCCCTGTTGGTTTCATGTCTGTTGGTCGCGCACCATGGCTCTGAGGCAACCGCCTTACATAAGCTGCCAGATAACAGGCATTGGAACCAACAACTCCTCCTCGCGCGTTTTACGCGCCGAGATTCACGCTCTCTCAGACACATGAACACAAACCGCTCAGCGCCTGAGCCCCGTGTCAAGATGTCAGGATCTCGGCAAAACCTCCCTCTTATGGACCTCATGAACTCAGCTTCAGCTTCACAGCCTGGGACCGGACCACCTGCGGCGACCTATGCTCGACCAGCCTCCGATTCCCGAGCAATAGCGATAAACCCACCGCCAGAGACGTTCGTTATAGACAGCGACAGCGATTCTGACTCTGCCGAGGAGTTTCTGGACCCAAATAACGGGACTTTAGCATCCATCGCCAACTCACAAACAATTACACTGTCCATCACCTCGACGTATTCAAATGCCTGGGGCCCAGTCGAGGCCTTTCGTGAGGTTGTTCAGAATTGGTATCGTTGACTCCATGATTGGCCGCACTTCCATCTCTTTCTAATAGTTATCTGTTATCTGCTTTCTAGGAGAGATGGTATTATCGCATCATTCGGGCTTATAGAAAACCAATTCAGAGTCACCCGCCAAGAGCGCGCCGACCATCGCAATATAGAGGTCCTCTACACAGTATCCCATCCGCAAAATCCCCAAGACTGCATCGGCTACATCCGGTATAACGGCCGTAATGGCCAGGGAACCATATCAATAGTGAACAGAAAAGCGACTCTCGAACCCTGGCACCTCGACCTAGGCGGAACCACAAAGGCAGGCGTCGGCAACCAGGCTGGCGCCCACGGCGAAGGTCTGAAAATCGCACTTCTAGTACTCCAGCGCGGCTTTCAAAACTACGAAGTTCGTTGCGTAAGTGGTGGCTTCAACTTGAAATTCAATTTCAACACCCGGGGTAAATTGGTCGCCCGTCTTCGTCGAATGACCCGCAAGCAACTTGACCGCAAACAGGGGAGATCTGGGGCACTTCTCGAAGTGGGCGAGCCATCGCCCTTAAAAGATGTCTGTTTTCACATCGGCGGCAAGGCCAAGGGGCGCGATCAACAGGGAAACCCATGTCAAAGGAACCTAGTCCGTCTGGAGGACTTCAACAAGTGGTGTGAAGCTGCCCTTTTCCTGCAAGACGCTCCCGACGAAGACATTGTTCGAACCTCTCGGGGAGATTTGATAACCCATGAGCGACTTTGTGGCCATCTTTATCTCAAAGGCTTATTACTCCAGTCTTCTTCGAATGGAGCTTCGGCAAGTATCACAGGAAAGCCACTAAAGTTTGGATACAACTTTGGCCATGGGGTGACGAACCGGGAGAGACAATCTGTCAAGAGCGCCACGGAGGAAGGGGCGACGATTCTGAATATCTGGGACCGAGTGCTGATCGAGAAGCCAAACTATGTTATTCATCTACACGAAATGCTCATCTCGTCTGACCCGGAGTATGCAGACTTGTCGGGGGCTAAATGGTTCATGAAAGTCGACACCGCTGTTCAGCTGAAGCGACATCTCTTCTCCGATCCTACTAAATGGTACTACTCTCCGACCGAGAACTCCAAGGTAATATATCGTCCCTTACGACTACTGGTCATGACTGAACTGCTGGGTTTGTTGGCTAACTTGAAAAGAACCCCCGACTCGAAAAGATAATCCAAGGGCTTGACCGTCAGGGCGTGGAGGTGCCCAATACGTACTGGGCAGTACTGGAGAGATTCGACTTGGTGCGAACTGCCGACCAGGAGCAACGAAGGCGATTCCTCATCGCGGAAGCAGCGATAGTCCCACGCCAACGGTTCGCCGAAGAGGTTGTGCGACTCCTTCGAGCTTCCTTACAGGGATGTGCGCAGACCAAGGCAATTACTGTCCAGTTCGTGCGTGCAGAGCAGCTTTCCCTGCACACGTTCTACGTCGAGGCAGAACAGCTTTCCAAAATCCATGAAAAATGGCTAAACAAAGATGCTTCGACACAGGAGCTCGGATTGCCACAGAATCTGCCGGAAGGGGATGTCCTCTTTCACGTCATCAAGCGTCTATTCTCCGAGGTTCTCGACGAGGTGCCCGACGATCGATTCGACAATGACGAAAACCACTCTAGTGCCTGGCAAAAGAAGCGAGTGTTGAGCTGCGCTGAACAGAGGCTTCTGGACTACAGAAGAATCAGCAATCGTCTGGCCTTAACAACCGGAATAGCAACTCAGAGCACTAGTCACATGACGCTCCAGTGGGACGGTGATCTATCCTGGGGCGACGACAGCTTAGTTACTGTTCAGCTTCATGCTGAGTTAACCTGCTCTCATTTGCGCGACCTTTTACTTGCAAAGGATTATAAGTTTCAACTAATCATTCAGCGGGTAGAAGACCAATATGCTGACACACGTCCGTAGTCAATAGCTCTATTGTCACCTGCATCTCGGTCACCGAGCCCCTTGATACTATTGCTGCTCCGGGCGAGGAAGAACCACCATTTTTGGACATTACGATTCCAAAGTGTCATGAATTGACGTGCAGAATAGGTGCCGGCTCATGCAGCTTCGACAGACTCGAAGCAGGCGTAGAATACTTCGCTGTCATGTTCAAGCCATCGGACATGGACTCTATCGCGCTTGCATCAGGTCCTTGTGTCGCCGTGATGCCTGCTTCACAGCAACAGGTACCTACTGCAGAACTGGCAACCTTGAATCGAACGCCAATCAAAACTGAACACTCAACGCCAACTCGAACATTTCAAACTCGTCATCAGCAAACCAGCACTGACCGAGGAAGGGGCATAGCTACACACACTCCGACTGGGACAGCTCCACGAAATAACTACAGGCTCAACGAAGATATGAGTCCTATTCCTGGTCGAAGATCTGATTCAGCTTCGCCATCAACATCTCCCAGCAATATATACAGGAATGGCATAGCAAGAGAAACTAATCTAGACGAAGACATGATAACACGATCGTATAGTAAGTTCACAGTAGCTTCAGGGACAGGACAGTGCACTGTTAACTCTTGGCTTAGCCCCCGGTCGCGCACTGTCGACGCTGGACATTCTGGAAGCCCGGGATTGGTATGAGGCCTCGAATGGGGGCTCGCGAGGGGTGGTGATTGGCATCATGAAGGAAGAGCCAGATGATGAACGCGGGCGCCAGAAGCGACAACGGACCGCGTTGTAAGCACTTGTGCGCTGTTACACTTGCCGTTGGAGTTTTTCGTCGATTTTGTTTCTTTGCAGAGGGGAATCTGTGTGGGATTCCGGCTTTATTTTCTTTCCTATCCTTGCTGCCTGTATTCATGAAAATGTCTTCGCACTTATCTTCAGGACCGATTTTCAGACACCGGTTACCTGGATTCGGGAATGCTGCGTCTTCAACCGCGTGCCCTATCGCACACAATGACACCATTGCGATTCTAGGCCTTAAAGTGTGATAAAATAAATCCCAATTATTACACAATTTTAAGCCTCTAGCTTTCATGTCCTATCTTAACACAGTAATTTGCTTATATCTTTCCTCCCAGTATCAAGTGCAGAAGTCTGAGATGTGTCATTATTCTTTTTCTGGAAGCGCCAGAAATTTGCTCCTCACAGCCTCGATACGTCGCATGTATCTCGCAACCTCGGAGGTTCCCCGTTGTCGTACTTGGTCAGGGATAATGCTCTGGTCCAACGACAGCGCCAGCTGCCTCGCCGTCATGCCTCCATTCATCAGCTTCGCATACAACTCCAGCGGTACTCCAAGCCAAGCCGACAACAACTTGCGCTGTAGATACTCCCGTACCCTCCGCACTACCGACCGGCGCACCGATCCTATGGGTATATCAGGATCCGCCCCGGCCGTGAGGAGCGCGTCTATCGCTTCGACTCGTAGCTTCATGACGGCGACGTGCAGCGCCGTCAGCCTGCTCTCACTTGGGTTAAGCAGCGTCTTCGCCGTCCCATCCTCCCCGTAGTGCGTCAGCAGCATACGCAGGACGCCGCTGTCAAACTCATACAGCCGCACGGGAAACGGTGACCCGGGCTCGACTTCATAGACCGACCCGACGGCCACGGCGAGGTCGAAGATGGAATTGCCAGCCGTGCTGACGACGGGTGATGGTGCAGTGGGTGCGTTATCGAGCAGCCAGCGCGCGGCGGCGCTTGAGCTGTAGTTGTTGGAGGCTACGAGCCCGCCGAGCGTTGTAACGGCGATGCCTGCGCGTCCGATGATGCCAGAGGCGTGGGCGGGTTCGTCAATAGCGGCTCCATGACGCAAAAGCACAGCTGCCACGGCGTAGAAGTGCCGCATGATGGCGGCGGACAGCGGGATGTCGTCGTGGGCGCCATGGGCGTTGACGAGCTCTTTTGCGGTGTCCGGGGGCAGCTGGTCAAGGATGGACTTCACAAAGTAAGGATCCGGATGTGCAGCTGCGGCAAGGCTGATGATATTGCGGAACTGCGTCGAGACCTTGGCCTTAGCGAGGATGCTCTCTTTGCCGAACCATTTGCCGACCCTCTGCGCTTCTGGGGAGTCGTTCAGGCCTTCGATAGTCGGGATGCTGACCGAGGCGTTGGGCCCTGCGAGGTCCAGAAGCAGAGAGAAGACTGGCTTTTGCCCCAGCGCAAGAGCGAGTTGGACGGGGAGATGATTCGCGGTGCCATTAGGGAGGGGATTCGTCAGGCACGGCACCGTCTCGTCAGGATACGACGAGAGAAGATGTTGAGTTATGGACAAGTCTCGGCTCAGAATCGAGTGGAAGAGGGCGCTGTGGAGGTCATATGTGACACGAGCAAAGCTCTCAGTGTAGAGGCCCGCAATAATATCGATGGACTCCTGCATCGCCGAGACGTATGCGGCGCCGTGGATGTTGATCCGCGTGTGCAATGGAAGCGGCGCAACCACATTCCCGAGGAACGACTCCTCGGTTAACTTCTCTTGCGATAGCTTCCACGAGTGTGGTGCCGCCGACTGTATCGTTGGTGGCTTTGTGATGGCCACTTTCAGCATTTCAAAGGCGCTCTCCAAGTTGTTCGCAAAGGGCAGCGGGTCTTCTCTCCAGCTCGGCACATACGGAGTGTAATCCGCCTCGAGAAACATGCGTATGAATGCGGTTTGATGCGCCGCACAAGCGAATGCCATGGCCGATGTCTTCTTCCTGGTTAGCAGATACGGGTTCGCTCCAAGCGTCAAGAGAACCTCGGCTGCAGCTGGTGCGTTTCGTTGAACAGCTCGGCAGAGAGGCGTCCCGGGTCCTACAGAGCTGCGGAAATGTTGGTTGAATATCTCGTTTTCGTCGGATTCCTGTTCAAGGCTGGCGCCGTTCATGACCATCATGTGCGCCAGGTTGAAGAGACCACCTTCTTCGGGCATATCGAATGCACCAAGCCAGTGCAGTACGTTCTCGCCATTAGATGTCACCAAGCCGCTGTTTGCTCCGAGTGTGAGGAGGTACTGAGCGATATCTGCATGGCCAGACCGACACGCCTGGAGGAGCGCAGTTTCTCCACGAGAATTCACCACGTTCAGGTCCACGCCGCTACAGAGCCGACGGATCGTCTCAAGATGTCCCATTGTTGCTGCGACGTGTAGCGCCGTGTCGCCCTCATCGTTGAGTGGCCCGGATACCACCGCATCAAGGACTGCTGAGGTTAGGAGGTCAGGATGCAGTTGCAAAACGTCCTCGTAGAGCTTCCGACCGATGCCACAATATTGTGTGCGAAACTGCCAGTTTGCCTGAATATAGGCGGAATGGTCAAGATTCCGCAGATGTTCCGCAGCGAGATGCGATCCCAAACGTGTGGCTTCTTCCAACCACGACATCGGCGTCAAAGGAAGCACGCTCGGAACCCCATCGACATGTTCCGCCGGAACGTGATGCTGGGCTGCCTGGGCAAAGGAGTGATACGCAGCCTGTGCGGACGGAGATCCCTCCTCGGATGCCATTTCCAGCCACTTCAGGGCGTTATTCCAGTCAATCTCGTAGCCGGTATACTCGTCTGAATCCAGCTCTACGGGTCGAACGGTGCCAATCCGCAAGACATGGAACATGGCGACTGAGTAGCATGCATCAGCCTTCCTAGCTCGATCCAGCACTCCTGGGTTTGTGGCGATGGACTTGAGAGAATCCATCATCTGCGTCTGCACCGGCAACGGGAGCGTCTGGAGATCAGCGAACGATGTAAACGCCTGTCTTTATTAGCAAAACCGAAACGAGGCTGGGAAATACCATATCCATAGCAAACTTACTGGTCGATCTTCCTGGTCATAACCTTGCAAGTATGTTCCCTGATCTTCTTCAAATCCATCTCCGCTACATCGCAAAATGTAAGCAGGATAACTTTAAACAAGGTCCTCGCATACCTACAAGGCATGCAGAGCACATTCTCACCTTTGGCTTGCGTAATGTAGCAAAACGGATAGATCCCTTTCCTCCTCGGAACAGAGGAGGGAGGAAATCAAGTCCATAACTTCTGTAGCTCTCTCCTCGGGGACGAGCCCCCGAACGCTGTCGAGGGCAATATTGAGGAAACCATCTGCGTCTGCCTTGGCTTGCTGGAAAACAATCTCTGACCCAAAGACATCTAGCTCCCAAGGTTGTCGGCCGTCGAGAAGAGCTGTCCATAGCAGCAGGCCACAGCTGTAAACTTCCGAGAAGACGTATGTTAGTCGGTTCTGTCTTTAGCGACGTGCTACCCTTCATCTGCTTACCGTCTGCGCTCATGATGGACTCGTTGGGGCACACGCGGCCCCATTCCGGCACTGTCCAGTTTGGAGTTCCCGAATCCCACTCATCCGCAGCCACTCTCTCGCTCGTGATGATGGACAGGCCAAAGTCGGCAAGCTTCGCCACAGGATGTCCTTCAGCCGTCTCACACACCAAGATATTATCCGGCTTCAGATCGGAGTGGGAGATGCCGCAGCGGTGCAGTGCCTGAATGCCCGCAGCAATATCTCCCATCAGCTGCAGCTTCGTTGTTAGATCCCGCGGCGTCGCCTGGGATAGGAACTCGTCGAGGGTGCCGAAGCTGCCGTACTCTTCCATGATGATGGGCCAGACAGCCACACCCGGGACATTATCGGTACGCTCCCACGCGAAGCCGTACACGTCGAGGATATTCGGGTGATGGCGCAACCGCGGGTGCGAGATGACGCGGAACTCGTTGACGATGTTACGGATAGGGCCGTCGCTGATGAATGACCCGTCCTGGCGGAACAGACGGCGCGGCCGCTTCAGCACCACGACCCTGCCCTCTGTCAGGCGACTCGACGCCTCCCCAGACGTGCGCAGAGCCATCTGGCCCCGAAGCTGGAGGAGCTTTACGTCGAACTGGGCGCCGGAGCCGATGACGTTGCTGGTCTGCACGTCATCCGTCATGCCAAAGTCAGTGTAGAACTCGTCGAGGAGGAAAATGTCGTGGAAGAGCATCATGAAAGAAGCAAAGTCGTCTACGCGGCCTGGGACTCTGATGGGGCCTCCCGCAATGCTGGATGTTCTGCGGCCAGAGGGCTCCAGCCGACTTGAGGCGGTTGCGAATGTGGCCATGGCTGGGTTCGAGGCGAGTTCGTCGTTGCTTCAGGCTACTCCGGGGAGAGAGTAGACGGGGAGAGAGTAGAATCATTCAACTGGCGGTCTGCGTCAGTTTGTATCCGCGTCAAGGAGATGCGAACGACGGGCTTGCTCAGCCCTGAGGTGCAAGTGACATAGTAGGGTGACTATCTTTTCAGCTCCGCTCGTCCACCATACAAATGTGAGCGATCACAGCCACCACCACCTGAATCAGGCCACGCACATTAGCGGCCGCCTTCTTTTGCCTTCTTTTACCTGCTTCCACCTGCTTCTGCCTAGAATGTCTCGCTGTCTTCACCTTGACCCTTGTTCCTTCTCTCCTGATTAAAATCGCTGCGTGTGAGTCCAACACGAACGAATGCTATCCATCCTCGCCACGCGGCGAAGCTACCCATTTCAGCTTACAGCACCATCATCTCTCCAACATGTCAGTTGAACCGGTTGGCGCAACTCTTGGACTCCTCGGTCTCGTTGGCACCGTCGTGGAGGCCATCCATTTCGGATACGCCGTCAAGGACATGACCGGCAGCCTTCGAACGGCCCGCATGAAGCTCGACCTGGAGGGTTCTCTTCTCCAGTCATGGGCCGAGAACGTCCTGCTCGACGAGGAAGGTCTGGCAGGCGGAGTCCGGGTCATTCCAGCCTCGATTGCAGCGCTCGTCAGGGAGACCTTGGAAGAGCTGTTGAGGCTTTTTAACGAGTCTTCCGGCATTGTGGACAAGTATGTCAGCCAGAAGCATGTCGAGCCGCTCAGCATTGCCAGGCAAACTGTCAGGCCCGGCAACCTTTTCCGATGGCTGTCTGTCAAGCAGGTCCCTCGGCCAAAGGCAATTAAATGGGCCATCAGAGACGGTCCAAGGCTGGAGGGTCTGATCTCTGACATCGACTTCTTCCAGGACAAGCTCCACAAAAGGCTGCCCTTGAACATGGAGCTTTTCAGGCTGCAGATCCTGGTCGATACTGTCGCTGAAAGCACCGTGGATCATCTCGAGGTTCTACGCAAGGCAGCTGAGGAAATCATGAACACCAGACCAGCAGATGCACCCGCGATGCAGTCCATCTGCGCAGCGGCCTTGATCCGCGAGAACCTGCCTCGGTGGGAGCTTGACGTCGCTCACCTTAATGACTACATGGCGACTCTGAAGAAGGAGATGACGGCTTTTGGCTCAAGCCCTCCGGCAGACATGACGCTATGGCGAACTCAGCTCCGCGACACAGGTCAATCTGTCATCGTAGAATGGAGGCCGATCGAGGTCCGGCCTGCACAAGACGGATTGTTCGAGCGCGACGTCGTTCAGATGGCGAACCTACTGTCAAGCCTGGACCGGCATCCAGACGCCCACCTCCCGACGTGTCTAGGCTATGTGAAGCAAAGCGATTACGACGGCAGCAGGCCACGATACGGCCTGGTCTTTTCTGCAGCGAGAGGAGAAGCAGCCATCGGTCAGACCGACGGGCCACCGACGCTGTTCAAGGCAATTCAGGACAGCCAACACTCGAGCAAACTCCCAGATGTCGCCGACCGACTCCGTATGGCCCTTGCACTCTCCATTTCCGTGTTTCAGCTCATGGCCGCTGGATGGTTCCATAAAGGCATCACCAGCTCCAACATTGCCCTAGTGTCCGCGACTAAGACAGCAGCCGAGGATCAAAATCCAGGGGAGGGCAGCAGAAGCAGCAGCAGCAGCAGCAGCAGCAGAAGTAGCCCATTCTCATCTGACTTCATCCTTCTCGGGTTCCAGGTCGCCCGTTCCGACGCCAACGGCCAAGTGTCGCGCGACCCAGCCGTGTCTCGCTCGTTCGACAGCTACCGACACCCGGCGGGCGTCAGCATCGAGTGGGGGACACAGCGGTACATGCAAGCAGGCGGTTACCGACGCGAGTTTGACATCTACAGTCTCGGCGCTGTCATGGCCGAGATTGGGCTGTGGCATTCCCTCGAGTACATCCGGGGGCGCGAGGACGCAAAGAGGCAGAGGACGGGCCAGCCGGCGCTCTCGGCGGTCGAGTGGAGCGCGTTCCTGAGAGGCAAAGTGCGAGACGAGATGCCAGGGGCCATGGGCGGGAGGGTCGCAGCAGTAGTAGATTGGTGTCTTGGGGTGGGAGCAGGTATGAATCCGCAGCCAGGCCATATTGGGTCTCTGCTTTCGGGGTTTGAAGAGTGCGTGTTGAGGCCTTTGATGGCTTGTAGGATTTAGGGAATGTCCAAGCTAGAAGCTTTATCTATTTATTATGGTCACACTGGGTGATTATTCTGAGTTTTCAAGTCCTTGGAGGCATTCAGCCCTGGCCATCCACCCCATCTAAAACCAGGTTTTTTACCCCCTTCTGACACCATGTAGCACTGCTCCATACCAGAAGAAATAATATCCATTGCCAGTGCTCTGTGTTTCTCAAACGATGGACGTTGCTTCTCTGTAAATTGGTAGACTGTGTCGGTTTATTTTATGAGGAAATGATATTCACTTCTTTGTTCCACTTCACATGACTTTTATGCAATTATATTTCTTGTTTCCAGCTCCATATTGCAGATTTCTGAGTACTACAATCCCACGCTAGCAATATAATAAACACTACAACTTCCACTTCCTCTGCCGCTTCTCGCCGGTGTGACTCTTGGCAGCCTCTATCCGTACCCAGGCAACCATGACAGTGGTTGCAAATAACAAGCCACCGACCAGGATCGCCATTCCCGTGTAGTCATCAGAGCTCCTGGCCGTCTTGGAATCCTTGATCAAAACTCCAGCGACTGGCGTTCCAATTATAGCTCCCACGCCCTGCATCATATACATTATTCCTGCCACGCGTGGCAACTGCGATACACCGAAAAGCTCGACCAGAGTGGCTGGGAACAGGCTGACGTATGGGCTCGCAAAGATGCTGTATAGAACTGTAAAGGCAATAAAAAGAGACCTCCCAACGCCCTTATTGCTCGTCCCAACGATTGTGCTGGGAACCCACAGTCCCATTGTGACTCCAGTACTGAGGAATGTGGTGAGGAAGAACGCATTGAGTCGTCCTACGCGGTCCGCAATAAAGCCAGCAGCAATCTTTCCTATGGCATTGCTGGCATTGCTCACAGCTGTAAAGTTTGCGCCATCGACATCGTTGTACCCAAGCGTCTTTGCATACGAGGCCAAAAAAAAGACAGGAGTCGCGTACGCCGCGCTCTGCAGAGCAGTACCCAAGGCTTGTGCAATAAACTTGCGTTGCTTTGCGGTTTTCCAGTCTGGTAGTGGAATTCGACATAGCTTCGTGACCCAAGAAGCTCCCTCATTCTCAGCGTGTAGTTGTGCGGCCATTGAGGGCTCCCAGCCGATGACACAACCTGCGGCAAACATGAATACGGCGGCAATGACACCGGTTAGACGGAGAGTATTGCGAAAGCCCATTTGGTCAATGCAATACCGTAAGGCGGGTGCCCAGACGAGGCCACCAATGCCAGTGCCGGAAGAAATAATACCCATTGCCAGGGCTCTGTGTCTATCGAACCATGTAGGCACCACCGTCATAGAGCACATGAGTGATAGACAAGTCGCGACGCCTAGTAGGAAGCCCTGGGTCAGTTGGAAGTGCCACAGCGCGGTCCCGAAGCTCGCCAGAACGCTGGCTATTCCGTATAGAAGACCACCAGCGCAGATGACGAGATGCGCGTTCCAATTCTTGGCCCATGCTACCGCAAAGGGGGCGCCGAGGTTCATGACGGAATTTGAGAGGCTGCCGATGAGGTCGATTTCGGCAGGCGAAGCTCCGGTAAACGGGGTGGCCTTTTCCAAAGCCATTGTTTCGTAGTGGGCTTGGTAGACGCCGAAGCCGTAAAGGAGACCGCAAGCTGTGAAGTTGATGGTGAAAGCGGCGACTACAATGAGCACCTGGAGTCTGTATTTGTTAGCAATCTCTATTGCTGGGACATGTCCGGTACCGCTAATTGGACCAGGTTTTGCAACGTGAACTCTTACTTCTTTGAATGCTTTTGCTTGGGACTTATCTCCGCGGTGAGACTCGACTGGCCCATCTCTTCGGTCATATTTGGGGCTTGGTCTGACAGAGGCATCGTGATGCCTTGAATTGTAGACTTGGGAAGACTGCTCATGTTGACGAGGTTGTGGGTTAACAGCAGAAGCGGTGCGGCGTAGGTATTTATGACCAACTAGCGGGATTGTTCCGGCCGTCGGTTGGGCATGGGAACCACAGTGGACACCACATCCCCGCAATCGGAGGGCCTGAATTGTGCGTCAATTGGGTAGAAAGACGTAATATTTGTTGCGCATTGGACTGAAGGAGAGCAGCCCTAATGCGAGTCCAGTCAGTAGACGATATGGGTAGCGGAATTGAGCCCGTCCGTCAACAACATCAATATAAATGGAGAGCTTGTACATGGGCTTACATAACCGACAATTACCAAAAGAGGTAACGTACATGATAAGCGAATGTCCCAGACAAGCGAATGTCCCAAAATCCCTCAATCTCTCTTTCTTCCATTTGATCAATTAATTTACCACCACCAAACATGTCTCAATTTAATAAAGAGGCTAATATCCTTCTTGCTCTTCAAGCCCTTCAAAACAATCCATCATTAAGCATCCGACGCGCTGCATCAATCTACCATGTCTGCAATAAAAGGCTAGGGCGCCGCCAGAAAGGCATGCAGTCTCGACGCGATATTATCCCTAAGTCACGCAAGCTATCCGATCTAGAGGAACAGATTATTATTCAATTCATTCTCGACCTAGATTCGCGAGGGTTTCCCCCGCGACTGCGTGGTGTTGAAGAAATGGCTAACCGACTACTCGCTGACCGCGACGCGTTACCTGTCGGCAAGCGCTGGGCTTCTAACTTCGTCAGGCGACAACCAGAGCTCAAGACGCGTTTTTTTCGTAAATACAACTATCAGAGGGCCAAATGCAAAGATCCAACCATTATTCGCAATTGGTTCCGGCTTGTGGAGAACACAATCGCGAAATATAATATCGACCTAGCCGATATCTACAACTTTGATGAGACCGGCTTTATGATGGGCATAATTGCAAGCGGAATGGTCGTTACAGGTGCAGATAGGCGTGGAAACCCGAAATCAGTACAGCCTGGAAATCGGGAATGGGTTACAGTCATTCAGGCGATTAATGCGGAAGGCTGGGCGATCCAGCCGTTTATCGTGGTTGCGGGCCAATATCACCTCGCCAGCTGGTACCGGGAAAGCAACCTCCCGGGCGATTGGGCTATTGCGACGACTCAAAATGGCTGGACCGACAATGAGACAGGTCTTGAGTGGCTCAAGCACTTTGACCGGCACACAAAGAATCGATCGACCGGTCGCTATCGTCTTCTGATCCTCGATGGGCACGAAAGTCACCACTCAGTCAATTTTGAGAAATATTGTGAATAGAACGATATTATTATACTTTGTATGCCACCTCATTCGTCTCATCTACTTCAGCCTCTTGATGTCGGGTGCTTTGGGCCGCTCAAAAAAGCCTACGGTCAAGAAATTGAGCAGTTGATCAGATGCTCTATAACCCACGTTTCAAAGACTGAGTTCTTTCCGGCCTTTTATGCCGCCCACCAAGCCGCCATGACGGAGAGCAATATCAAAGGGGGTTTTCAAGGGGCCGGACTTGCTCCTTTAGACTCAGAAAATGTCATATCAAAGCTTGATGTGCAGCTACGGACTCCAACACCGGTTGAGGAGGAGGTCAGCCTCCCTGACCCTTGGGTCTCGAAGACCCCAAAGACAGTCCTTGAGGCCAGCTCGCAGTCCGAATACCTCAAAAGACAAGTTAGAAGGCATCAAAGCAGCTCTCCGACATCTATCCTTAAGGCGCTCGAGTCATTTTCTAAGGGAACAAAGGCAATAATGCATCAGATAGCATTATTAAAGTCTGAGAACCAGATCCTTCGACAGGCAAATGAGACCCTTAGTAAGCGGCGCAGAGCGAAAAGAACCCGCCTACAGAATAGAGGGAAGATGACTCTAGATGAGGGAAGGGATGAGATAGATCAGAGAGACGTTAATGCGCAGGTAGTGGCTGAATCATCGAGAAGTAGTGGTCGACGAAGGTCGGCGCCGCCGAGGGAAAGGCGCTGTGGAACATGTGGAAAGGCTGGTCATAATGCAAGGACCTGTCAGGCTATAATTGAGACCTCTGGAGAAGAGTATAGCAATTAGTTTTAATTGATTAATTATATTGTTGTGGTTTTATTGAGGTTTTAACTTTAGAGGTTAGGATTTTTAGGACATTTACTTGTTTGGGACATTCACTTATCATGTACGTTATATGAATGAGATGTCGGTATTATTCGCTACCTATTGAAGAGTCTCCGAGGAGATGCAAGATCCAAAGGTGGGAACTCGTCTTACCTGAGTGTCAACAAAAAATAAAATCGCCCCGGTGGCTCCGAATATGAAATGGCAACCTCCTTCTCGTATAAATACTTAGATTTACGCCGTAAAATAACACAACATGTGGTATCTAGTACATGCGCCTTTAGTGAATGCATGTGCATGCAGATCAACACGCGATTAGAGAGCTGTCCTCAATCAACTCAACCTATGAGAACGTCCATATGGAAGAAGACACTGGGCTTGGCAGTTGTATGTGGGTGCATGTGAGACCTGCTGCTGTCAACAAAAAAGAATCGACCAATAGTAGAGTCCCTATGGGGGCGCTTAACGGCGGCTTTCTTACACATTCGCGCATTTAATTGGGCTTTGTCCGGTTGCACGGAATGAGTCAAATCAAGGCATATTGATGACTGGTTTCCCAAGCGAATACGGAGCCCCCGAGTACGCTAATCTCGGATCTAAGGGGGGCTTATACCGGCATTAAAGGCCATCAAATGCCACTTTCGATTAGCTATTCATTTTCTCTCTCATCATCTTATTCCAATCTCTCCAGACTGTGCAATTATTCAATCTCAATCTCAACCCTAACCAAAAAAATGTCCTCCCCATCGCCAGTCGACGCCCCAGAGCATGTGCTCCAGCTTTTGTCACAGGCGCATAAACTTTCCTTGGACCAAGAGGCCGGACTGTCCAACACCGGCAGGTTCATATCATCGGAAGCCAAAGTCGACGTAGCCAAAAAAGGAACAGACGGCGCACCGCGAGACGCATTCAATAACCTCATGCTTGATAAGCTCATCGCACTTGACGAAGACAAATGCCAGTTCATGTACCAGCTGATCCTATCCACTGGGGCAACAAACATAGTCGAGGCGGGGACTAGCTTCGGAGTCAGCACCGTCTACCTCGCTCTCGGTATTGCCAAGACCAAAGCGGCGACTGGAAAGCAAGGCATAGTTATTGCTACAGAGTGGGAATCGGAAAAGGCAGCGAGCGCTAGAAAGTTTTGGAAGCAGTGCGGCGAGGAAGTAGAGACGCAGATTGATTTGAGAGTTGGAGATCTTCTCGAAACCTTGAAGACGGATTTGCCAGAGGTAGACTTGCTTCTACTTGACAGTAAGTTGATTTTATATTCTCCAAAATAGGCCGAAATCAAGGCTGGGATATGGCCTGCACTACAAAACTATCCTACACTTTAAAACTATCCGTCCAGAATGCTAACCAATCCCCACGCCTAGTCTGGCAAGCCGTTGCCCTTCCAACACTCAAGACAGTCCAGCCAAAGCTCAAGTATGGCGCAGTTGTCCTCACAGACAATACCACCAAGGGTGCAAAGGGTTACGCGGACTTGCTAGGATATCTCCGAGATCCAGAGAACGGCTTTCGCAACATGACTCTGCCCTTCAATGGCGGCTTTGAGATGAGCGTGTACCAACCGAAGGGGAAGTAGGCTTAAATTCAAGCTTGAAATAGCACCGAATGAGAGAATACATAAGTCTTTATGGTCTTCTTGTCTTTCAGGTTTCGGCCTAGTTGCTTCTCTGCAGGGTCTCTTTAAATACCGCAATGACCACAAGCCCGCTTGGGCATCAAGCATAATCCCCTTTGGTCTTGTCGCTAAGCTACAAAAGATGACGCGTATACCATATTTCTCACTAGTCTGCGTGATTGGTGGACACAGTGTAGTGCTGGTACCTCAATAGGGCCGTTTACATCACCAAAGCGCAATTCGTCTCCTGATGGCCCCTCTACCAAGCACGACGCAGGGACCTCGGCTGGCACTTGATCAGCAGGCCTTGCTCTCATGATTGGATCGCAAGTACGTATCCCGCTCAGTCGTCTTAACCAGGAAACTAGTCCGCGCCAAATCCGGGGAAATGCGACCCCGGAGTGAGGGGTTTGTGGGGGAGAAGATCGTTCATTCGAGCGCAAGCGTGGCGGCCCACTCGCGGTGGCATCATGACCCTGAAGTGATCGGCGTTTATAAAGTTAATACTCCTTGTTCGTGTTCTCGGGCCGTGCTTCCCCGAGCGAATATGGTGGCTTTGATGGTATTATACACCGCGTGATGGGGAATATAGCGGACTCGGATTGACTATAAGATGATTCCTGTGTCCGAGTTGAAGTCCGCTACAGGCCAGAAATAACCATTCACGATGCGTTCTCTGTGGATAAATTTCATCGGACTGGGTGTGCGCTTTGTCTTGGCGCAGGACACCTCAGCCGAACTCGACTCGGTTCTCGCTGATGTTGCTGTCAATAACATCGACGATGTCAGAGGCAACTTGTTCCTACCCGGAACTGCTTCTGACGGCCTCGCAATCACCTGGGAGAGCTCCGACCCATCCATCATCTCTGAAGACGGCCGCGTGACCAGGCAATCCTCAGACGCCGAGGTCAGCTTGACCGCTTCCATTAGCCAAGACAATGTAACCCGCACACGGGTGCTCACGGCCAATGTCCGAGCCGCTGTTGCTCTGGATGAGTTTGAAGGCTACGCATTTGCCTACTTTACCGGAAATAGCATCGCTGGCGAGAAGATTTACTTTGCTGCCAGTGAAGGAAACAATGCGTTGGACTGGGATGAGTTGAACGGCGGTCAGCCCGTCATTACATCCACCCTGGGAACAAAGGGTTTGAGAGATCCTTTTGTCATTCGGTCCCCCGAAGGGGATACCTTCTATCTTCTGGCCACCGACTTGTCAATTGGCAGTGGAACTTCATGGGGCGCCTCGGTTCGCACTGGGAGTCGGTACCTCGAAGTCTGGGAATCAAACGACCTCATCAGCTGGTCTGCCCAGCGTCACGTCCTGGTCTCCCCTGCCACAGCGGGAAATACCTGGGCGCCTGAAGCCTACTACGACGATGACTTGGGCGCATACATTGTCTTCTGGGCTTCTTCCCTGTACGCCGAGACCGACACGGCCCATACTGGAAGCACCTACCATCGCATGCTCTACGTCACCACACGCGATTTCATCACATTCAGCGATCCCGTAATCTGGCAAGATGCCGGCATGTCGCGCATCGACTCAACTATCCTCAAGTCCAACGATGTTTACTACCGCTTCACCAAAGATGAGGGCGCCAGCGGCACGGGATGCAGCGATATTATCCAGGAGAGGTCGACGTCGCTGCGCGCAACTCTTGACTCTTGGACTATTGTTGCCACTTGTATTGGTAAGAATGCCGGCACAAGCGCCGTTGAGGGACCTACTGCGTTCAAGTCGAACCCCAACGATGTCAATGGCGACAAGTTTTACTTGTTCGTTGATGAGTACGGTGGCCGCGGGTACATCCCGCTTGAGACTGCGGATATTGCCAGCCCGGCTTGGAAGGTCTCGAGCTCGTACAATCTCCCTTCCAGTCCTCGCCATGGAACTGTTCTCCCTGTTACTGCAAGTGAGCTATCTGCACTCAAGCAGAACTTGGCCAAAGCGAAGCGCCAGGAATCAGCAACAGGCGTCTTGGAGAAACGCACCAACCCTGTGTTGACTGGCCTCTACGCCGATCCCAACATTGCCATCTACAACTGCTTCTACTACATCTACGCGACGACCGACGGATACGCCGGCTGGGGCGGCAAGGACTTTTACGTCTGGAAGTCCCCCGACCTCGTGTCCTGGTCTCGCTCTGAGAAGCCCTTCCTCACTCTCAACGGCACTTCCGGCAACGTCCCCTGGGCCTCGGGCAATGCCTGGGCGCCAACAATCGCCGAGCGCAATGGCAAGTACTACTTCTACTTCAGCGGACACAACCCCACGTACAACAGGAAGACGATTGGCGTGGCTGTGGCGGATTCTCCCGATGGACCTTTTGAGGCTATGGACAAAGCCATGATTCTCAACAACGAGGCCCTTACTTCGGGCCAGGCCATTGATCCTTGCGCGTTCCAGGACCCTGTCTCTGGCAAGTACTATCTTTTCTGGGGCAACGGCAGCCCCCTCTACGCAGAGCTGAATGAAGACATGGTTTCTATCAACTGGAGCACTGTTGGGGCTCCCAGCGGCTTGCAAAACTTCCGCGAGGGAACCTTTGTCAACTATCGCGAGGGATTATATCACCTCACCTATTCCATCGACGACACTGGATCTGAGAACTACCGCGTTGGCTATGCAACTTCGGACAGCGTCGACGGCCCATGGGTCTACCGCGGCGTCATCCTCCAGAAGGACACGTCTCAGGGTATCCTGGGGACCGGACACAACTCCATTGTCAATGTCCCTGGCACGGATGAGTGGTACATTGCGTACCATCGATTCCACATCCCAGATGGTGATGGCACGCACCGCGAGACGGCGCTCGACTCGCTGACTTTTGACGAGTCTACTGGTCTGATTAACGAGGTTGTCCCGACATTGGAGGGACCGCCGGCGAGGGTGCTTCCCAGTTGTCCGGCATACCGACGACGTTACCGACGGTCGTTTGTGTAGTTTGGGGGATTGCCAAAGCTGAACCGAGCCAGATGTGGTCTCTTTTGTAAATACAGCAATCCATATATATCGCAGATAGCTATGGAAACAAGAATTAAGAACCATCCCCCCCAATTCGCCGTCACACGAACACATGGGATACGAGCACAACTTAATTAGTCATTCATCCACCTCTTGTATATTCTGTGCTACCCCGGAATCACATCGGATTGTTCAGAACTTGAATCAGGCTCGGCAATTGCAGTAGGCTGGCTGTCGTATTTGCCGTTAGACGGGCAGCTCGGCTACCCTAGAGCACTTAGGGTGTGAATGCGTCAAATAGCAACATGTTGAGATCATTCATGCATTTCGTACTATATTAGGAAACTCACTCATCATTGTTTGCATGATATTGTCCATACATCAGCAGATTTGTCACTACTCATCCGTCTCTATCTTTCGGCGCACGCCGAATAGTGAATCAGCGATTTATGACTCGGCAGGGATGTGCTCTCTCGACTGACCCACCCAATCGGCACATCAACAGCTGGTCAACTGAATCATAATTACTGACGCCCTACTGGCTGTTTTCTTCAGTTGAACGAGAGAATCCTAGCTTGAAATTGCCTTGTCGAATGATGCGGAGCGGGGTGATGCTGCGTGCTACGTGTTATGTTACACTACAGACGGAACCCAACAATGTGGCAGTACATAACTATTGCTGCTCCTCTTTTCACCCTACGAGAACGTGCACTTGTAATGAATTAAGCGAACTCCTATCTACAGCTCAACCAAAATGGATGTCTTGGTCTCCAACCCCGACAGTCCCCCGATCTATACAGCGGCCTTCCTCCTCGGAATATTCCTCCATGTCGGCTTGTTCAGGATAGGCGAGTGGGATCTCTTCGTCCCCCAGCTGCTACTCATTTCCACGACATTATACTCGGCATTGATCTATTTCTATGTGTTTTACTCGCCGCTGGGTCCCGATCTCTGGGTTCCTGTTGTGACCGCCTCCAAGCTATTTTTTTTTCTCATTGGGGGCATTTACACCAGCATCGCCACATACAGACTGCTGTTTCATCCTCTGCGTCGATTCCCAGGACCTTTTCTTTCTGGGTTGACCAGCCTCTACCCGGTGTGGCTGTTAGTCCGAAAACTTCACATGTACGAGGAAGTGCAGCAATTGCACGAAAAGTACGGCGACATTGTCAGGCTAGGTAGAATTGGAACCAAAAATCGGTCGTATTTTCGGCGCTGACACGTTGACAGGTCCCTCTGAATTATCAATCGCAAACGTGAGCGCTCTCCACGCCATTCATTCGGCGCAGTCACCATGCGCCAAAGGACCATGGTACAACATATTCCATCCCATGATATCTGTCCAATCCGCACGAGACCACAAAGAACACGCACACCGGCGGAAGGTCTGGGACAAAGGATTTAGCGCCAAGGGTACACATCTTGTGGATAATTTATAAGGAAAGAAATTGACAATTGACAGCACTGCGAAACTATGAACCCAGAGTTGCGAAATACACGGATTTGCTTCTGAGCCAAATCCAGGCGCGCGCAGAGAAGCCCATAGACGCCACCCTCTGGTGCAACTTTTACGGATTCGACGTCATGGGCGACCTTGCATTTGGCAAGAGCTTCAACATGCTAAATGACGGAGTCGCACATCATTACATGGAACTGATGCACAAAGCGACCGTCTTTGGTACCTCGTTTGGTCGATTTCCCTGGGCTTTTCTGCTCTCTCAGCATATTCCCATTGTAAATATCCAGCACAATACCTTTCTCAAATGGCTCAAGAACCAAGTCAAGAAGAGAACTGAGGTAGCATACCCCCATACTCTTCGCTGTACCCGTCTGACATATTGCGAAGGCGGAACCGGAGCTACCGGATGTGTTCAGTGCGGTTCTAGATCCCTACAAGGAGAAGGCCCATCCTTCATACAAGGACGAGATGCATCTGATTGGAGATGCAAACCTCATCGTTGTGGCCGGAAGGTAGGCTTGCAATGCTCTGGGGAACAGCACTGACTTACTGGCAGTGACACGACTTCGGCGACATTGACGTGCGCCTTGTTCGAGCTTGTGACGCACCCCGAGGTTTACAAAAAGTTGCAAAACGAAGTAGACGAGTTCTTTGCGCAGAATGAAGGACCGGAGCATATGGCGCTGTCGAAGCTCAAGTATCTTCAGGCCATTGTTGACGAATCAATGCGTCTTCATCCTGCCGTTCCTTCGGGTGTCCAGCGGATCACTCCCCCCGAGGGTATGATGATTGGCGAAACATTTATCCCTGGGAACACGATCGTGCAGATCCCTACGTATACAGTTGCTCGCGGTCAGTATTTCAGCTTGGCTTATGGATCAGTCAGCTAATGCGACGAATGCAGACGCAAGATGCTTCAAACGCCCCGATGAATTTGTTCCTGAGAGATGGACAACACAGCCAGACCTGGTAAAGGACGGCTCCGCGTTTGCCCCGTTCTCAATGGGTGAGTACGCCAAGCGCCTTCTCGTACTGCTCAACGACTAACCCCCCCAGGTAAATATTCCTGCGTCGGAAGGCAACTTGCCCTGATGGAGATCCGGTTCGTGTTGAGCCAGATTGTACATAGATACAGCATTAGTTTTGCACCTGGACAAACGCCAGAGGCCTTCTTGGATGGACTAGTCGACGGCTTCACGTTGATGTGCCCGAAGCTAGAGCTGGTGTTTACGCCGCGAACGGCTTAGACTGGGGAAGACGCAGGATTGACGCCGAGCGGAATTCCTGTTTCACGTTAGCTGCGAGCGAGACTGCAAATAGACGCCAATTTGCGGGGTAATCCGGCTAAGCTGATTTAATCACACCCGCATGATTGATTTCTCCGCGTGTCTCCCTGTCGAAGTCTGTCCCGAGCATCCGCTGCAACTCTTCACCCTGGAATCAACACGCCAGAACGCAATGTCAGACAATGAAACCGTCGCCCAAGATGCCATCCCCAAGAGTGAGGCTGCCACGGCCCTGACGGCGCAGCGGATCCGGAAGCGAGAGCTCGACCGACGCGCCCAGCGCACCGCGCGCGTCAAGACGAAGAACCGCATCGCGTATCTGGAGCAGCTGGTCGAGACGTTCCGCGACCAGGATGCCCACGGGGCGAACACGTCGCTCATCAAGCAGCTGGAAGGCGTGTCCGCTGAGAGAGATGGGTTTAAGCGCTTTCTTCAGTCGCTGGACGACTCCATCAGGAGCCACTTGGCCGGTACCCCTGGCACAGTAGCCTTGAACCCACCCGGCCGGCCGAGGGATCAGAGCCTGCTTCGTCGGGATGCGTCCGGGGACGATTCCGCGTGTCCTGGAACGCAGAGTCTTCTCGAGCCCGCGTCCATGGCACCTCCGGTTGACGCAAACGCGCCGCTGCTGGAGTTTGGGAGTGAGATGGACTACTCCATCGACGGCTCGATAAATCTCAATGCTCCACCGTCCGAGAGGCCGATAAAGACGACTGCCAATCCCATCAGTGGGGTCGAAAGGCCAGGATCCAGCCCCGAAGCCGACGGGGCTAATCTGTCGTTGGCATCCCACCAAGTCACCGCTGTGCAAAACACACATTGTCCGCCTGTCATTACTCCCCCTTCATCTTGCGCTTGTACATCTTCTTCTTCTCGAACTCGCCGACTAGCAGACGGCACGGAAGTGAGCTTTAACATATGGCGGGCGGCGAACCAGGTTCTCAGCAAGCCCGCCCGGCGTTTAGATGCTGACCGGGAATGCGACTCCATCAGCGACGACATCATCGTGAGGGCCATCCTCGAGGGATGGGACAGTGTCGACAAAACTCATCCGTTAACTCCTTTTTGGAAAAAGATCCGCTACCTCGACGAAATTGGCTTCATGGGTTGCAGTACCGTCGAGAGATTTGGCATCCTCTGGATCGTTCATCTCCTGATACCAACCCAGCACGACGCCGTGCCAGTGAATCCTACCGTCTTGCCAAAGTGGTACAGGAAGCCGTTAGTCGTACTTCTTCTCAGTCCAGTTCTCAGTCCTAATAACTGCCCAGGTCGTCAAATCATCCTCGCTACGTGCCAGGCGTCGAGTATCTCCCTTGGTAAGAACCTCTCCATCACGAAAGTGCACAAGACTAAGACATGCGCAAGGCCGGGTGTACGTGAAAGCCTCAATCAATCACACCACCGATACTGCCAAAACTTGTTTTGGAACCTCTTTAAAGAACACGTACGCATCATTTGGCCGTTTGACTTTCGCGATTGCTACACGCAGAATGTACAGCAAGGCCGCTACCATATATCAAGCGCCTTTGAGCAGACAATTCGCAACAGCAGGTCTTGGACGATGGAACGGGACTTTTTCGGATATTTCCCAGAGCTGCATCACGAGATACCCATCTTCTTAGACATAATCCCGCCGCCGCCGCGCATGGGCGCTTGGGAACCCGACACGGCATCTACGCACGCGGCTGGTCGAACGACTAATGATCTGGAGGCCGCATCATACGTGAACATTGAGGACCAACTATTCGGGTTCCCTTTATACGGACCTCCAAGACCAACTGGCTGGAATGTCAACGACTACGACCAGGCTGCAGGTTATCGGATTTCTTATGATGATTTGGACGCCATTGGAGGAGGCAGCTCCCACACGGTGTTGTAATTCGATCTAATCTGGGTCTACGTCAATACGATTAAGTCGGTTCCGGGGAGGAGGTCACGTAACATTTGACAGAGGTTTTAACAGTAGAAGCATCGCTGAAGAACTCTTGATGTAAGATATAGAGCAATAGGATAACAAGAGCCATCGTCACGTACCGCACCCATCGTGTTTACCTTCAATTTGACGCATCCACAACGGTGAACAAGACACCACCGCGCACCAAGATGCCACATGGGTCAATGTGAACGAGCGGGGTTTCAGTCGCTTTATCTGCCTCGGTATGTCTTCTCCAGACTTGGAATAACCCGACCCACCTCTGCCGAAGCACCACCTCCGCGCCTCCGGGGAAGGCCCACATGTCCCGAGCCTCGAATGAGTCGATATCCCGGGGTAATTGATGGCTCCTTGGTTACAAACAGCCGCAGAAGTCTCCACCGCGTTGCAGGACTTGGCTGCAGGCGGGGTATGCACCTTTGTTGGCTGTGCCGCATGCCCATGCTAGATCAAGCCAGGAGATCGTCCTGGTGGCCCGCGTACATCGGCAGTGCTATTGAACGAGACATTGAGAGGCCAGCCTCTACGTAAATGCCCTGAACTCACCGCGGTGTTTGGTCGACCCCGCTTCATGCCGAGGCCAGTGTGGCTCCGGCAAGCTGAAGCAACTTATCTGCTAGCCATGTCTCGCTCCTGTCAGGTTCGACGTCTAACGTAGTATCTACTAATCCTCGAATACACTTATTCACGCCACCGATCCCCAAGCCAAAATGCCTATCCAGTCGCGTTGGACCACGCCGCTACCCGAGTGCTCTCTGCAGAAATGGATCTTTGGCTCATCCTTCGGCCCGCTGCCAAACCGCCCAACGTTTTTCGATGCTGACAAGCCCGACACTGGGATGATTACCTTCCCTGACTTTCGGCTGTGGTCTAAAAAGATTGCTCTCGGCCTCCGAAATGAAGGACTACGTACCGGGGATAGAGTCCTCCTATTGAGCGGCAACCACGTCCTGTTCCCGGCTCTCTTCGTTGGTGTGCTCATGGCCGGGGGTGTTTTTACTGGAGCTAGCCCGGCGTTTACACCGAGAGAAGTCGCATATCAGCTGCGAGATAGTGAAGCCTCCTTTCTCATTGTCGCTCCCGAACTAGCCAACACCGCTGTCGAGGGTGCCAAGCTGGCTGGCCTCCCCCCCAGCAGAATATTCCTCTTCAACGACACAACCAATGCAGATGCGGTGGTCTCTGGGGGCGTAAGGAGGTGGGCCGAGCTACTCGCGGGAGATGCAGAAGCCACCGCGTTCGACTGGGTCGAGCCCGAGGATCCGCGCTCGACAACGTGCTGCCTCAACTACAGCTCCGGGACGACGGGAGCTCCCAAAGGAGTCGAGATTACACATTATTCGTACGTGGCAAACGGAGAGACGGCACTTCATGAAGAGCGTGTTTCCGTGAAACCCAAGTCAGAGAATGATCGCGCTCTTTGCTTTCTGCCGCTGTATCATGCGGCGGCCCAGACCATCTACTGCGTCAACTACGCGAGACTCGGGATACCCGTCTACATCATGCCGGCATTCAACTTTGTGCACATGCTGCAGCACATCCAAAACCTCAAGATCACAAAGGTCGTCGCTGCACCGCCCATTATCCGCGGGCTCGCCACCAGCCCGATAGCGACCAAATACGACCTGAGCACTGTGACATTTCTCGGATGCGGCACTGCACCGCTCGCTCCAAACTTGGCCAAGGAGTGTGAAAAGCTGTGGCCGAACGGCGACGTCTACGTGCGGCAAGCCTGGGGCATGACGGAGCTTACTTGCACGGGAACAGTCGCGGATCCATTGCAGAAGGCGAGGACCGACTCGGTGGGCGAAGTAGCTCCCAATGCTGCTATTAAACTCATGGATGGCGACAAGGAAATCACAGAGCCCAACGTTCGCGGCGAATTGTGGTTCACGGGACCGACGGTGATGAAGGGATATTGGCGCAATCCCAAGGCCACCAGCGGAACTATTGCGTTCGAGGGCGGGACGAAGTGGCTCAAGACTGGCGATATTGCCTACGTGGACTTATATCGCCCCGGGGCAAAGATTCACATCGTTGACCGGATCAAGGAGCTCATCAAGGTCAAGGGCTTCCAAGTTGCCCCGGCAGAACTCGAAGCCGTTCTTCTCGAGCGAGAGGACATTGTAGATGCGGGCGTCGTCGGCGTCACGATAAACGGCGAGGAAGCCCCCCGAGCATACATCGTCAAAGCCCCCGGCTCCCAAACCTCGGCCGAGGACATCGTCAAATGGATGGAGGGCACGACGGCCAAGTACAAGTGGCTCCGCGGCGGGCTCGTCTTTGTCGACAGCATCCCTCGCGTTCCGGTGAGTGATCAGCACCCAATCTTCCGCCTGCATTGCGCTAACCTGAAACCAGTCTGGCAAGATCCTCCGGCGCGTTCTGAGGGAGCGGGCGCAACAGGAGATGGGTGTCCGGCCGATCCGGGCGGCGAAACTGTCGTAGGGGAGAAGTCGTGGCTTGCGAGATGCGCTGCAAGGATGGAGACGAATCAGAAATATTGACTCCGACAAATGGGCCGAGGGCCAATTTCAAGCGTCATAGAGTAATTGAGGCGAGATAAAGTTCGGTAGGCGCTGTAGATCGAGACTATCATAACGTTATAGCCGTTGCCCGAATAACCCCTGTCTCTTGATGTCAGAATATCATGACTCGACGGATTCAGCCCCCTTCTCCCCGCATGTCTGATCCGGGGCCCCGCACATGTACCCCGAGACCAAGCTGGTTCTGGATGGCTTCAGCTGCTTCGTAGCCGTGATTTTAAGCCGCTCTCCCCAGATTTTGAGGAGTAGTTCGTCCTTGTCATGTCTGCTCACTTCGCTGCGTCGAGTACACCAAGATCCACCGTCAAGATGCCGAGACCACGCGCACCAAAGGCTTGTCTGCGTTGCCGTGCGAGAAAAGTGCGTTGCGATGTTTCAATCTCGGGTATTCCGTGTCGGAACTGCGACCTCGACCATACAACGTGCGCAGTCGCCGAGAGGATGTCGAAGCGGTTAGTAAATCGCGACCAGTTTAAGTCCGCTAGCTAATGTTGTTTGCAGTCGCCTTCTCACGAACAATGAGCTGAAGAATGCGAGCCCGACCACCACGATTCTACCGCAAGAAATTGCCGATAAAGACGTCTCCCAGGCACCGTCAGAACTCGTTTGGCATTCACAACCAGACATGGGAGTTAACAGTAGCCCGCGTCAGACCACGAGCCGCCGAGCGAGCAACGTCAAGGATGCTCAAAACAGTCCTGGGCATCTCGTCCTGGACATGTCGTCCTCTACACACAAGTCACAACCACCGGCGGAAAAAACATACGGCCTGGATACTTTGCCAATAATGCCCTTTCCACAATACAATGGAGCCGTTAAATCCTCCACAGCGCGTGCCAGTCAGCCCACGCGCCTGGATTGTCTTCAGGCTTCCGACTACCCATTTATACGCCTCCCCGACTTGTCGAAAATGCCATCCGAGGATATTGACTGCCTGAGCCTCCAAGGATGTCTGCAGTTGCCCCCGAGGCTAATTCTAGATGAATTTGTCCGGCAGTATTTCCTCCATGTCCATCCTATTATGCCTCTTCTCGACGAGGGCCACTTTTGGGATATATACTGTGACAGGCTTGGTGACGGGCCAGATATCGAGAGGGTCCCCATGGTGTTGTTTCAAGCCATGTTATTTGTCTCTTGCAGCGTACGTTGATGAATGATTTCTGAGCCGCAGATACTGACTGCGACGCAAGTTTGTTCCTCGGAATATCACAGACGCATTGGGATTCGACTGCCCCCGATTGGCAGCTGCTTCACTGTACAAGAGAGCTAAGGTACGATATCTGGAGAGACTCTTGCCTCGTTCTTGACTAATAAGGATAGCTTCTATTCGACCTAAACACCGAATCATCATCCATCGCACTAGCCCAATCAGCTCTTCTTCTTACATACTGGCCAACATCCATTGGAATAGGGCCGTCAAAGCCTAATACAATTTGGCTCAGCACGGCGATCCACTATGCAAAGTCTGTACATGCTCATCGCAGGCTCGATCGACCGCGTGTGCCCCCAACATCAATATCCCAGGAAAAGCGCACAAGAACATTGAGACGTCTGTGGTGGTGCTGCATCATCCGTGACCGCGTTCTCTCCCTAGGTCTCCGACGAAGCATTCAAATTCCAAAGAAATACCCGCCTTTGGAGAGTGAAGATTTTGAAGAGGAGATTAATTGTTCATTGGTACATGAACCCAGCACGAAACGGCATCTTGTTTGTATACTTCAACGTGTCATGGAATTGTGTGTCGTGTTGACCGACCTCCTACCGCTATTATCTTTGTCGGATGAATCTCTGGAGGAGCAACGGATTTGCCATACAGATAGCCAATCCCAGTTGAATGAGTGTCAACAGTCACTCTCGGATTGGTACAGTGCAACGCGACGACAATTCCCCGTACCGAGGAAGGAAAATCAGTTCCGACATCAGTCCGTTATCGTGCACACGAACATGATGTATATCTACTACCAGTGAGTAGACAACAATTAGCATTTGTTTTGCGTATCTAATGTTTCAAACAGCGCAGCAAGATTGGGACTCCACCATCAAGAGGTACTCGTCAGTACTTGTCTATCTCCAACAGGGGCTATGGATCCCGCTACAATAAGCAAGAAGCGTCGAGAGGTCCGGAAGGCGACGATGAGAATAACAGACCGGCTCAAGGAATCCATGCAGCTTGGACTCGTTCGTTATTTTCCCATTAGCGTGTAAGTCCAACTGATATATTTCCAGTCATACGCTAACTGGCTAGTCTTGCTCTAATTGCCATGCCTCTCCTGCTGCTCATTCTCGATGTCAAGATGCAGGCTCCTCGACACAACTGTGAAAAAGCATCGATGAGGCAAGATTGCCTTCGTACGCTCGTGCAGGCAATGAACGAGTACCATTTACAGTATCATGGTGTAGACCTGATAAGCCACACCATCCACCATGTCGTGGATCTTGCGCAACTTGACCCGGCCCTGCAAGCGACCGGGGAAGAGATGGGTTGGGGAGATGTCATCACCCATCGACCAATCCAGTATCTGCGGCTCACACTGATCATGGATTTGAGTCTTACTCATGCAAAGTTGCCTGAGAATTATGAATTCCCAAGTAATCTTCAACGCCTGCTTTGCGACAAAATGGGAGGAGCGGCATTCCTCCCGTGGAACTTGCCGAGTCCGGTGAATGATTCTCCTACCCCGGAATCTGGTGCTCTCAGCGTAAAGGCGATATCTCCAGACTTGATGGAATTGAGCGACTCGCCTGCTACTACAATCGTCCCTGCAACCATTGAGTCAGTATCGACGGATGAAAACGATGTGTACCCCGATCCCCTATCGCACGACTTCTCATTCGAATTGTCTACGGAGCTTGACATCAAGCAATCAATAGGCGCGTCGACTGTCGAGGGACAAAAACCTACAGGTGAAGACATTATCGATTGGGGCGGTGTGGTGACCGATGCAGCATTAGATTCCATGGGAGGTGTACCAAACCTCGATCAGACCGTCGAGGACGACCACGTGGAGCAGTTTGTGAGCATGTTATATCAAATGGCTGAAGCAGAGGATGATGAGAATTTCCGAATGGAGGAGCAGCTTTCTCCATCACACCAGTGGCTTGGTCCATCCACGGTGGAGATGCCTTCATAGCGAAAATGCCTAGATGATTTCGCGCCTTGTGGTTACTGTATACAACAAGTATAGTCCATATACGCTAGAACTGTAATTAATTCTGTCAGTCTGCTCAACAGACATACGTGGCCATAATATCACCTCCCAAGCCTAAAGCCGGGGCACATTTGTGAGTAGGAATAGCGCAGCACCGTCGCTCAAGACCTCCCTCGACTCATCCTCAAGTTTCACACAGACATGCATCTTGCGTCCTTCAATCTTCTCGATCACAGCCGTCACAATCAGCACCTGATCTAATCGAACTGGTTTTCGGTAGTTGACGTCCAATTTAGCCGTCATCGTGAAAGGCGATACCGTTTCCTCAGGGGGGCTATCAATATTGCACATTGCCAACCGACCCGCCACAGTGTCGAATATATACGAGACGAACCCGCCGTGGCTTATTCCAGGCCAACCCGAGACGCCGGTGCCCAGGTCGAACATTACAGACAGCTCAGGAAAGGGGGCCTGAGGGTCTACCGCTTGTTGAGGCTGTCGGTGGTAGAACGCCAGTTGAGCCCTGACGCCATTTTTGAGACTCGAGACACCGTCGGCGAATAATCCCTGATTTCTGATGGAATCTTGAAACTTGTCGTGGGTGTGGAGAAATGCCACACTAGGGTCGTTGAGGAGTTTTGCGCACCAAGGAATGGAGAGAAAGTGATTTAAGTCGGTAGTGGCCATTTTATGTTTCGGGCCAGGTTGCAATACGTCAAGATACATTTGTTTCTGACTTAGTCTCCTTGCAGACTCGTAAATCTCTTTAAATACCCGGTCGCTGTGATGCCCCTCTCGACCGTCCAAGCCGAGGATGGAGGCGCCCCACCTTTGCTGTTTTGCCGAGGCCTGTTGACAGGTAAATAAATACATACGTAATGAATATTCGATTCTTTTAACTTGAGTCAATATCATTAAACAGATTAAAGCTAGGCAATATTTATAAAATAGTAGAGACGCGTATTTGATATTACACGTATCGCCAGAAGAGGCAATTGCATAGCAGTAAGGTTGTTGCACACTGTTATTTGCCTTGAACTTCAATTCCACCATTCTCGCTATCTTACAATGCACCCTTGTATATCATACGCAACCTGGATGGCATAACTAGCTTATGTTATAAATTCGTAACATGTCAACTCCATCCTCCGTGCTTAGGTCTTTCCTCATACGTGCCAACTCGAGTTATTCAGTCTCCTAACGCATGGAAGTTGAACTGCTTCGTCAAGGTAACGATCGGTGCAGCCCTTGGGCCAAGTGTGCGAATTGCGAGCCTTGCGGAAATGAGAGAAACCTCCGAGGCTCCGCGCAACCTACATAGAAGAACATGGCCAAAGCCATGTAGGAAATTTGCTTAGTGGAATAGTTTGTGTCAACTGTACTGAGTCTACCGACTGTTGCAGACACTGAGAAACAGATCTGGACTCCTGATCAATGGCGACGGTCCGCAGTGAGCCATTCAGCGTTGCGTTGTAAAGAGCCGTGAGCCAGCCAGTCACCATGAACGCCGCCTGAACTGTTGCTGGTAGATGTTTTTTGACTCCTTGCCTTCTTCCTGTCTAGCCTTGACGATGTCCTCCAGATCTATTTTTGGCAGGAGGTACAGCTTTCCCGTGTATTTCTCGTGCAGCTTCTCAGATGCGTGGGCAACTTTCACCCGCGTCTCTTCTTTTGAGCGTCTTGAAATAATCGGCGAGGCTGTCTGTAAGATCAGCGATGGCTACCGTTATCCCGTCGGTGGACGAGTAGCTCTACCTATAATTAGGAGGCATATGATGACAGCTTCATACATGATTGCATCACTAGACATATATAGAACCAAGAGTAGTCAATTCCATTCTTCGAAGTACAGTCACAAAGATAGGTTTCCGTCGTGGGGTTTGCTCGACTGCCTTTTTGTTGAAATCGCAATCCAGCAAAGTGTCCTTTTTTTATTATTATTTTTTTTTTTAAAAAAAATAAAATAAAGAGGGAACTGGGTGCAATAAAGCCCGGTGAATTTGAGAGAAAAAGAATTTGCCTCGACACAGGCCTGATTTGAACAGACGCCTCCGAAGAGATATGATTTCTAGTCATACGCATTAGACCACTCTGCCACTGTGCCTCACTTGCTGATGGGATCCCGGCTCCATAATGCGAACCATTCGTTCACGCCGAGAGAGACACTTTCGCGCCGTAATGCAAATGCTTCAATTGTAAAGAGTTTTTTTTCCGTGTTAGTATTGAGTATTGCTATTCGTTCAACCGTTATTACCGGGTTTTCTGCGCCTGGTATCTCAAAGTCAGGAACGCCCTAAACGACAGCGCAAATCCCCTGCAGGCAGCTAGTCTCGAGGCACTACGACATACCTAGGTACAGTAATTGATCATCGCAACTTTCAACACGACACTTCCTTTTATTTTGGCATCTTACTTTATTCTATACGGCCAATTGATATAGTTGAGCGTCGCGAGATCCTAGATACTGCTGGTGACAAGCAGTTCCTCCGCAGTTAAGCGTTCTACGACTTATTAGACACAAATAACAGGTACATTGTGGCAAAAACAACAGCAAAGACAAGTTCGACTTCACTGGATACGCCCGAATGCTCGTGCCAAAATGAGAACCAGTGAGGATAGTGGAAGTGTAGCCACATAGCGCCACTGTAGCTCGATCGAGGGAGTTGCATATTTTGGCGGCGGTAGTGACCCTCCCGGAACTTCCCCTAGTCTAACACACAGAGTCTAGACTTGGCTAGTGCACCCGGGGGCCAGGTGATTGTTGGAGACATGACGTAGACATGGCGTTTCGTACCGCGGGCCGACCGACGGACCTGTAAGCTCATCAATATCAGCAACAAAAGTAATGCTTTACCAAATTGAAGTGAAGCATCTCCGATCACCTGGCCTCGTAATATGCTTGCCGTGACATTGTGGTGCAAACTCCTTGAGACATGCCACAGCTCAACCATCTGTTCCTGTTCACAAGCGGCTTGTGCGCCCAGGCTTCAACACCTATCAGAGAGTTTTGGGTTGAAACTCAGTAGTAACCAGCATTCCATGATTTCAGGCCATTCCAAGGTACAAGCGCTGGCCATGCGGCCGCAGGGATACTCACCATACGCCACGTCGGCGCTGGGCTGAACGCCTCGGCGACAGTACCATAGCCTCGGCATTCTGTATCATTCCTGTGAATCAACAATCCACATCCCAGGAACCAGTACACAGAGAACGGTGCGGGGTTCAGCATGGTATGAGATTGTCATTACCTGTTTGAGAGTGCTGCCACTGGGGACTCGGGGAAGAAGATAACCACTGCATCTACGAAGTAACAAGGATAAAGATGGCAAAAGGCGTCTAATTACCCTCTAATATCTAGTCCAGGTGGATCCTGCCATCGCGCTACTCGAGTCCTCATTCGGATGCATCGTCGATTTTCGAGTGATAGCTGTGAAGGCGTCTGACTAGGTTTCCAAAGGTCGGGAAGTTCAATCGGATGAGAATCCGCTCGACTGCCGGTTTAGCAAATGGAGCAGAGGAAGCGACAATCAGCGATAATTCATCAAGCCTGCACCAAAAAGAAACCCTGAACATGTATCGTAACATATCAGGCGGAGTATAATCGTATAGCTTCATCAGGTAGATTTTCATGATGGTGGCTCCTGTTGCTGTAAGACACAGCGCCATCAAAATGCAGATTAAGCCTCGCTCAACGGCAGGTCGGCTCAATTTCACGATGAGCAACGCGGGCATTATCGCATATAGGACATCGCAAATTAGAGAGACTCCTTTCATACGATTAGTGGGGTTTTCTGGTTGCGTCATCATGATCACTTACCACAATAAATATATCCAATTATCCAACCGAATACTGCCGGAGCGCAGTGGGCATCAGCAACTTCTTCCCACATCGCTCGCGTCGGCTGACATTCAGCAAAGTTATAGACTAAGGTGGCCATGAGCGCCATGACTTGAACGGTGATTGAAACCCACAACGTTGACTTCCACGCCGCTGAATCGGGCATGAAGTCGAGGAGCAGCAGCGGGATAGATATCCTGCCGAGGGCGGACGCCAACATGCCTGCGATCTGGACCCCGAAGAGCCATCTGATGACTTGCGACGTGTCTTGGGGCGACACGAAATAGCTGTGACGTCCGAAACCGTGGGCGATTGCGCAAATGAAGAATGAGAAAGTAAGGATTTCAGATAGCTGCAAAAAAAAAATTAATACGATATAATTCATCCCAAGTGGAAGTTCTGGCAATATCTCACCACTGCCGCCGATATCACATAATCCGCACGCCGTAGCTTGTACGTCGGCCTGACCCGTGTAACGATTCTGATTGCGTAGAAGATCAATCCGAGCGCAAACAGCGGGGAGCAAATGGCCAGGCCAACCGGACCCAGACTGTCGTTTGAAGATTGAGACGGAGGCGGCGAATCGACTGTAGCCATCTCGTGGTGCGTGCTGCTGAGAGGAGAGGCCGGTGCCCAATCGTAGCGGCGTAGGTATTCGACCAAATCCAGGGAGTTAGAACTTAAGGGAGACGGACGGCCCTCTGTTATGTATTTACATCATGACTCGTGTCAGCATCTTCGATTAAGGAGCCCCAATATCAGCTGGCAGGGGAGGCATGGCGCCCCGTGTCGACTTAGTGGCAAGCCACCGAAGCCGGTGTTCCCCAGCTACACGCTGAAATGATCTGTCACACGAGGGAGAGAGCACCGGCGCCCCGGCCTTGGGAGGCCAGTGAAGTAGCGCCGATGAGTTCTCTCACCTGCAAAACGCTAATCGATGAGGGCATATCACCTATGAGACTTCCGTCATCCGCCCGGGAGGGCATGAACTAGTACAGCCACCGAGCGCAACACAACGGATTGGAGATACAGAGATATGGAGTCACGGATAAGATGGATATTTGTTGGAGCTTTATTATTAAATAGTATTGAAAGCCTTGAATTTACAATTTTACGTTGAATAGAGTAGCTTCAATATTTTATTACTCCGCAGTAAGAGGCTGGTCGTGAAGACACGGAGCCGGTTCGATTACACAAAGCGCTATGGTCGGAAGACTTAACCCTTTGGATTGCCAAAGATCTCAAGAATAGTAGCAGAGACGTCATTGTAATGGAATTATATCTTTGCCACTAATACAAAGGAGCAGATACATGCCAAAGCCGTGAGTTCCTCACCTCTGTATTGTCGGATAAGCTGCACACACCGATGAATCTCGGCAGGACTGTCGTTTTATTACGCGAATGTCTGGTGCCAATGCTTTATCCCATTAACTACATACTAGCACGAGCCATCCAAAACGACGCCATCTAGGTTAATAGCTACGTATTCGCGAACCTTTCTTCTCCACCAAACTGAGCAAAGGCGCAGCCAAGGCACACTAGAAGCCATATAAACCAAAACTCCAATCTTCTGGAGGTATATACCTCCGAAGAAAGTTGAGTGAGACATGCTGTTGATCCAAGCACGATGCCTTCACACCCGGTCGAAAGAAACGACATCATCTAGAATTCGAAATCGGCTTTATGGCCAAACTCGATGAATTTATTTTGACCCATATTTAGCCGGACCCCGCTCTCAGTATATGGTTAGTACTTCCGGATTCGCTTATTTGCAGTTCGCCCGGTGAAGCATGCACTCAGCCTTCGGGGACCTCGGAGTACGCCGACGGTCTGTACCCCCCGACGATAGGTAAAATCTTACTTACCAGATGCAAGCTAAAGGTAAGCGGGGGATGAATGTCCACTATAATTCGAAAGCTGTTCGCCGAGCTGACTTGAAATCCACATTTTCATTTTTTGACCTCTGAAGGCGAAGCAATGGCATCGCTGACTCTACAAGCCAAGAAACGATCCAAGGCTATGCATCATGCCGTCATACTACCATCGGGTTTTTGAACTTCAGACTCTGTTAGGGGGAAATCTCAACGAAAGATTGCTCAACTCTCAATGTATATATACCAGGCTTGTTCCCGCAGAAGAAAGCATTTTCAGATCATCTCGCAACTCACACTTCATTGAACACTTCTTGCTACTCATACTTCTACCCACACCAGAACTTCCAGTTCCACGCCCGAAAAAATGAAGACATTCGCAGCTCTCGGCCTCCTCTTGCTCTCAGGCTCTAGAGCCGCAACCATCAACCCACGGGAGTACCGACCCAACGAGCACCTGATGCTCGTGGACTGCGGCATTGGAGTCCTCCCTAATGGTGCCTCAACTTCGCGAGAAATGGCATACTATTCTGGATCGTACAACCCAGGCGGCGGCAACACCAAGTGGGTTCAACCCGACATGATTGCGAATGTGCCTTGGGACGGCTCATACCCATGGAGACGAAGTGGTGTTGCCACCAAGTTTCCCAACGGCGACACTTTCCAAGTTTGGATCAACCCGGATATCAAAGACTGGGCCGAATCCAAAAGCTACGCAGGCGACGCCAAACACACGTACGGAAACGACTTCAAGTGCTGGGCTGAGCATGGCAAGCCGGCATTCCAGCTGGCGGACGGAAAGACTTGTACCAGCGCCTACATTTGCTTCCACCCAGATACGCCATCGCCACCCCCTCCGATAAATTGGAAAGCGAAGACCGACTATGCCATGTCCAAGAAAGACATCAACGTGCGCATTCAGGGCACCAACGCTGAGATCGAAGCTTGGAAACCTCAAAATGTATTCCGCCACATCTACGAGGATGATGAGGGCATTCAGTGCAAAGGGGCGTCTTACGGCATTGGCAGCGATTGTAGTATCAGGTTCGACGACTGCTTCTTCTCGGCGCGCGACAACGTCGATGGCATGAAACGAACCCTGATCGACGCCGTGGGACCCGCCGTTGAGGCGACAAGAGTGACGAAGAAGGGCCACTACAACGGGAAGTGCCCGCCTGGTGGTGGTCCTTGTGAGCCCGGTTACGACTTCGAGTACGGCCAGTACACGTACCCACAGACTGGTTCGGTCTTGGTGAGTGTCTATCCTGAGGGCAAAGAGGACAAAGCGGCTACCCAGGCGAGGATCCATTGGACTATTTCGTGTGCGAATCAAGGGTTCTGTGGGTCGTTCTGTGACAAAAATCTCCAAGCTATTGTTGCTGTTGCAGGTTCATTTGCAGGCGTCCCTGAGGTCGGGAGTTTTATCTGTGCATTTTGTTGATGAGGAAAGTTGGGTCTGTTCGATAAATCAGGTTGATCGGGTGTAGACAGTGTTTTGAACAGTCGACTGATAGAAGGAAGGAAGGATGCGCTGGGCCAGGAAAATTGACATAGATTACCTATAGAAGTTGACGTGTACCTAGATGAGGAACTGGTACTTAGCTTAGAGTGGTTTCGCTTCAACAAACATGTATTCTTTCGCTACTACAATTCTCCTTACAGACTCTGTGCTTCGCCCCGCTGCATAAATAACCTTCATTGTCATTCAAGAGCAGTGTAATTAAGAAGTCAACAGCTCTAAACCGCCACCGATTTATCCATAAACACCAATGTGTGTTAATCCTGGCCTGAAGTGCAAGGCTCGGAGCGATCACGTGATTACGTGTCAGAGAACAATTGAGACTATGATGCAATGTCGACTGTTACGACGCGTACATGAACGCGTACGAATGTGATCCAGAAACACCAAGAACTCTCAGCAACGATCTTGTGATTGTCCAAGAATGGCACCGACACGCAACTTGAGATCCAAGTCCAAGCCAGAGCTCAAGCAAACCACTCTTTCCCAGACCTCCTTCAAGCGCAGCGCAGCTCCATCATCAGCCAATGCCGCAGCCAATCTAGCAACACAGAGAGGAGCAAAGGTCAATAAAACCCCAAAGTCACCAGCCACGTCAACTTTATCCGTCGCTGCGACAGAACGCGTTCAAACCGATGTCCTGTTGTCAATCTACCCCGTTCACCTAGCCGACATTGTCGCCCAGCGCAAGAACTATGAGTACAGAAACTACCGCCTACGCGACGGAGTAGAACGCTTGTGGCTGTACGAGACTGGAGGGAGTCAGAAAACCAAGGGATGTGCAGCAATCACGTAAAAACCACCCGAGACAGATCTTGAAACAGTTGTGGAGGGCTAACTCTCGCAGACACATTGCCACGATTCCTTCCAACATTCGACGCACCCCGGGCACTGTACCGGAAGAGCCGGTTGGTATTGGAAACGCTGACTTCAATGCCGGTCTCATGTCGTGCAAGTTTGGATACGAAATTATGGAGCTGTACGAACTTGTCCAGCCCATCACGCTGGACGAAATGAAGACGACATGGGGAATGGGCGGAGCTCCCATGGGACGGTCCTATGTAAAGCAGGATATGTGGCAAGATCGATGGGGAGAAGATGAGGAGAGCCGACAGGTCAAAGTAAGACGCGTTTTCTGAAATTACTATAGTCGTCCCAAATACGTCGTGGGCTGTTTGGAACAGGCAAGGCAAAAGTATCAAGTCAAGGCCACCAAGCCAACTGGTTGCTGCAAAGTGGCTTTGTCGTTCGTCGGCTTAAGATGCTACCTCGTTCCCAAGCAACTTGCCAATCTCTTCCGCAATAGCCATAACCCTCTCTTCTGTCAACCGTCGTCCAATGATCTGTACGGCTGCTGGTGCGCCGTGGTACGCCTCCGGATCATCTATATGAACCATAATTAGCTCCTGTACCAAACAAATAAGATGGAATCAACCCACATTCGGCTTGCACCAGGCTGTCCATCTTTGTCAACGGTTTGAACCCTGCATTCTCAACATCGATGGTCTTGTCGGCAAATAAGACGGGCAAAACAACACTCGTAAAGTCCAGAAGATTGATCGCACTTGCATATCCGTAATACTTGAACCGGTCGTGTCTCACGGCAGCTGTAGGCGTGATCGGAGCAATGATGGCATCCAATTCAGTGCCATGTTTCTTCTCAAATGCCTGAATAGCAGACAGGTACTGGCACTGGTATTTCCATTTCTCGAGGTGCGCGTCCCAGAGCTCGTTCATGTCGATCTTAGGTAACGATGGATTGATCAAATCAGAGAAATTAGGAATTGCTAGCTCTCCAGAAGACTTGAGGGTATTGAAGACATCCTAAAACGTCAGTATTTGTAGTGCTGGAGATATCACGACCACTGACAGTTCCTCCATCAGAGGCGTAAACCTTGTTGATGAGGTCTACAGCATACGGATGCTTGTAGGGTTCCCAAGGGAGGACCGAATGTCCAGCCTTCTGCATCTTTTCGACGACCGTCTCGACCGCACGAATGATAGGCGGGTGTGGAAGGACCTACTAGATCAGTACGATTCAATACACAAGGATGTAGGACCAACATTTCCATCACAGGTGTAAAACCCTAGAGTCAGACCACCAGATGCGATTTTAGACTTGACTGCATCCTCCTCACCTTGCCTCCACGGCATCGGGATGACCTTTGAGTCATGAAGCCACGGCTGCTGTTCCAAAACTGAAGTCATGAATAGTCGCATGTCTGCTACCGAATGGCAAAGCGGCCCACACACGCTGTGAACGGTTTCCTGCCCTTCCATACTGTTGGCCATCTTGGCATATGGAAGGCGACCATGGCTGGGTCGCAAGCCATACAGGAAGTTGAACGCCGAAGGAACTCGAATGGAGCCGCCTTTTTTGTTAACCCTTACATTAAAGCAACCACCCTATTTGAGTGTCTGAACTCACCAATATCGGTACCGACACCAATGATGCCGCCACGGAAACCGACCATGGCACCCTCACCACCTGAGCTCCCTCCGCATGACCAGTTTTTGTTTCGAGGGTTCACTGTTCGACCAATGATGTTGTTGAGGGTTTCACAAACCATCAAGCTTTGCGGAACGCTAGTCTTGACGTAGAATACTGCTCCAGCCTGATGAAGTAGAGTGACGAGAACGGATTCGTCCGTTTCATACTTGCCAATCCAAGCGACGTATCCCATGGTTGTTTCAAGGCCCTACAGGGAGCTATTAGCATGCTTCAGTCGGTAATTTCGTGACCCTGAATGGCATTTTCTTGGTGAACTTGGTTATACCTTGATGCGAAACTGGTCCTTTAGTGAGATGGGCAGGCCATGTAGAGGCCCCACCGTCTTCTTGTTTTGAACATAATACTCGTCAAGCTCCTTCGCCCGTGCGAGAGCCATTTCAGGGAAGAACTCCAGAGCGCAATTAACCTACACGATACTTAGTATAATCCGCATTCACTCAGCATTCACAGGGTTCATACTAACTGATGCGCCAGGGCAGCTCTCTTGCAAAAAGCTGCAGTCACTGCAACTGATGTGAGATCGCCTGCAGCTATTCTCTTCACAATATCCGTAGCTGATGACTCGGTGATGGCCAGCTCATCAGCAGACAAAATACCGCTCTCTTTGGCACATGACATCACAGAGACCCCGGATTGCGACGTTTCGATTCGCCATTCAGTCGGGATGCTTGCATCGATGCGGGTCTTCTTTTCTGCTGCACGTGTCTCCCACTCCATTTTGCCGCTGTTTAAAGGTCGCAGGCGATAAATACAGTTGAATAGATATGAGTCAAAGACTAGCACTGCCCTTAACAGAGTGAGGGGAATGATGAGAATGATCCGACACCAGTACCTCCAGAAGCGGGGTTTCGTTCTATTTTATACGGCACTTCTTATCTCTGATGTGTTGCGGGGTTAACATACGCTGACGTCGGTGTATTGCTTATCAATCGCCTGTATGACTTGAGCCTCGCCGTACCCATCTTGGCGTTCCTTTGCTTGACAGTGTTCGCTGTTAGGCCAACTAATGGAAGTGAAAAACACCTTTGCCATGCACATATGGTATTTGTGTGTTGCAACATGATCTATATCTTACTTCGGGTGGGACAGGATCGAATCTAGACAGGTCTCCTAGCTAGCACTAAGCAAATGGTCCTCCTAAACAGCTAGACAGTTACGGGCTTACATCTCGACGCGTCCAAATCGGAAGGAATCATAGCTTGTAATAGATGTTTCGTTATCAACTCTGAAACCCCAGCACCATGTCACGACTAGATATTATAGCTTAAGCCTCTTCGCAACCATAATGGTCCAAAGAGTCTTCCGTACACGCATATCCAGGCCACAGAGTCTCCCAGCGTCCCTTGGCTGTCTTGTAGTTGTAAAACTTCGGCTTAGCGTTCCAACGGAATAGGTCTTCCATAGCCGAGGCCACCCTTATGAGCTTGGGCTCGGAGTATTTTCGTCCGTAGACACAGATTCCACAGGGAAGACTGTATCCGCTCTGTCCGATGGGTACTGAGGCGATGGGGTAGCCTGCGTAGGAAGGAATTGAGGAACAGGCGTTGTCAAAGCCACCAGACGGATCGTTGGGAACCAGGAGCCCGTCCAGCTCGACCACGGTGCCATTTTTCAGCACATAGGCGTGGCCTCCATCAATTGCCTCGCGGGCAGTGCGGCGCCCCCAGCCGAATGCCTTCCAGAACTTATCGCCCATTGTCCCATTGGTGGCGATGGCGTTGTCGTAGAAGTCCTGTCCTGAAATAGTATTATACCACCAAGTGCCATTGCCCAACGACCCTGTGGTTGCGTTGTGGGCGTCGTTCCAGGCGGCCATCTCAGTTAGACTAGACATGCCACGGCGCTTATCACCCTTGGGGAAAGTCCAGTTTCGAAGCCACTCGCCGTATCCAACTGCAAGGAGAGTATTGTAGGCTTCCAGCTGGCCGTACTCTGCGGCAACATCCGAAGGCTGGCCAAACCCATAGCGGCTGGCGATGTTTTGAATACCTGGGATGTACTAGATTGGGTCAGTAAAATCTCAAAGTGTACACTGTTATCGATGAACGTACTGTGATGTTGTAGATCTCTGCTCCAGCTGCTTTCAGCTCCCTCACTCGCTTCTCATACTGCTCTCGCTGGCCAGGAGAGTTGATGGACTAATCCATTGGTAAGCAATTTGTCTTCGGGACAGTTCATTCCACAACTTACGCTAATCGTTGACCAGTACGGGTTCCATGGCAGACCCAGCTTCATCCCCCGCAGGGCATCCTTACCCACAACCTCGGCGCTGTAGCCAGCCTTGGGATAATAGCTAAGTGCGTCAAAAGTGGAATTGTCAAAGCGATCTGCGCCCGCCATAATGTCGAATAAAATAGCGACATCCTTCATCGAGCGAGCAACGGGTCCCGGGGTATCGTGATAGAAGCTGCCCGGGACAATGCCATGTCTCGAGATCAAACCCGGGGTCGATTTGAGAGTATAAAGACCCAATAGGGCAGCTGGGTGCACAAGAGAGCTGTTTACTTGTCAGTGAAGCATTAATACCTGGGCTGGATCTAAACACAACATACCCATGAGTCTCAGAGCCCAGGGCAACAGCCACCTGATTGCTTCGGACAGCAACGACAGATCCTCCACTGCTACCTGAGGTAGGCTGAGTCAGATTGAAAGGGTTCCTTGTCTGTCCAACTCTGGTCGAGTATCCATCCGAGAAATTCGACAGAGCGCGATGATCTGCAGCCTCGGACAAAGCCGCATGGCCCAGCAGGACACCACCAGCTGCACGGATCTTAGCCACCACGGTCGCCTCAGATGAGTACCTTCCACCAAGCAAGACTAATCCTCCCTCGCTGGTGTTGTGCTTGTCATCGGTGTAGATGTTGTCCTTGACCATGAACGGAATTCCGTGCATTGGCCCTCGGATGCCATGCTTTGCCCTCTCCTTGTCGAGGGCAGAGGCAATGGTAAGAGCGTCAGGGTTGACCTCGCTGACTGAACGGAGGTAGCTGTACTAGTTAGTTCCCCTTTGCTCAGTATTTATGTGGCAACTGACCCATTTGTTTGCTCAATCCGGGCAACGTAGCATTTGACTAAGTCTTTGCTAGTAAGATCCCCAAGCATCATCCATCGCTGGAGTTCATCAATGGTGGCATCCTCAATGTCGATGCCCTTGCAGAGTGGCACTATGATATGTCAGTCATGAGGCCACCATGTGGTTTCGTAGACTAACAAGGGAACGGAGAGACGTCATTGCTGCTTTTAGCGACAGCTGAGGTAATGAGGCCCGCAGTCAACGCAATTGAAACTGGACGCATGGCTGCTGATGGAACGGAAGTCCCGGGTGTGCCAGTGCAAATGCAGGCCTGTCAGGATTATCCTCGCAGGTGTGTTAAAATGGAAGAAATTCATCCCACTTAAATAGCATTACCATTCGTATCTAATCTCCATGACTTCTAATTTCCATTACATCACACCTTATTTTTGTCCTAATTGTACCGCGAGTCATTGATTGAGTACGCAAGACCCAGGGACCTGGTATCTGGGAATATTCCTGGGGAGGTGTGGAAAGTCCATGAAGCTCCGCCGCTAACCTGATCTTTCAGTTGGCCGCCACTAAAAGACTCGGCACTGAGATCGGCCAACTAATGCTTATCGAGCACTATCAAATGTTGTACAAGTTATTTCCTTCCGGAGCGTACGGATGTCACCTGTCCATTCCCGTTTTGCTTTCGGTGTTTGGTGTCCATGCTTACCATTACTTAATTGATAATTAAGCAGAGAGGCTTTCAGTGCGCTCAAATTCGAAACCCTTTTTCCATCAGGTATTTTGGAAGAAGACGGCCAGTTGATAGAGGAACATTCGCGCCTTTAACTGCCAAAAGAAGAAGTGGAGAGCGCCCCGTCAATAAGGACCGCAATGTTATTACTTAAAGCGTCAGGAGCGCGAATCCAAAAGTTGGATAAGGCGGTGACCGATAGATCATCTTCTCATGATTGGGTAGTTTAGCATTTTGCACATGGATTGAAGCCATCCCACGTGTTCGCGATAAGCTCATCCACCTTAGGTTGGAGGACATTCCATGAGTGTCACTAGTCACCCAATCGGAGACTATATAGAGATAAGACCTTCACTTCGAAATACCCGACGATGATCCGATAGAACAGAAAACCAACATCGAACGAGGAACCACTTGTATTTGCCCTGGTGTTTTGTTAAGCGAGAAATAGCGACATGGCACGGAGCTAAGGCGGGTATAAGTGAAGCTACTGTAGCCGACGTGATGGGTCATGACTAGCGGCAAAGGTGTGCGTGAAAGATCAAGTCAAGCTAGATCCAATATTGGATAGGGATTTGGGCAGCTCCAGGCAATGGACTGATCAAACAATTATGCATTAGGTGATTATATCCAAACCAGTCTGCGACCTTTCCGCCAACGTCTCGTCTGCAGATATTACCCGGGCAGTTCAACCGGCTTGTATTGTCGATCTCCCTGAAGCTCAATTGGATCAAGGGGAATAATATCTGAGTCCGTGACGGCTGGCGAACGGGATTCGGAGTGGAGCTCTTGCTTGGGGCTACTTGGCGCCAGCTCTTGCGGCGCGGAATACGCCACCGTTTGTTTCTGTTTCCGGCGCCAGAGAAAGTAACCGACTCCGATCAAGGCAAGGACTGCGACACCTCCGACTGTGCCGCCTGCTATCGCTCCGACGGGGGTGGAGGAGGAGGAGGAGGAAGAGGATGAAGTCGAAGACGGGGAAGCGGACGATGATGTCGAATCTGAACCCGTCGATACTGTAGCTACTCTCCACGTTAGCGGATATAAATCCCAAGGTCGAAGCCATTCTTACCGTTTCCAAACAGTTCTTCCACCGCATCACTACTCCAGCCGACCGAGGCAAGTCCCCTGAGATACCATTAGCGCTTATAATCAGTAGCACGCCCAGGTCATTCGTACCCTCCACTGTACCAGTTCGTGATGGTATCTGGTGAACCATACGCGTCTGCATCCGCGTCATACTTGTCACTCCATTCCCAGGTATTGAGGTCGAAAATTCCCAGCGCTTGAGCCCATGGGTCGGGTACAGTCCAGTCCCACTCTCCGGTCAAGCCGCCTGATACAAGCATCTGGCTCTTCCCCACGAGCGCACAAGCATGGCGCAACCGAGAAGGCGAGGTGACGTCGAGACTAAACCATTGGAAGCCAGGGATTGACAGGACGGAGACATCGCTAAGAGTACCCGTTGCGCGGTCTAACCCCCCATAGACATATCTTGTCGAACACGTTAGATCCTGCACGGCAGAGCGATGAACAACAACTTACATGTCATATGTGCCGTTTCCCTCCACACCCACGGCACAGAACAACTCGCGGCCCCTCGGGACATCTCCACTAGCCTCTTGCCAATACCACTGGTTTTGGACGGGGTCATAGAACGTAATATTGGCGAAGTCGGTGAAATCTGCGTCGACCCTCGCAGCCGATGCTCGCGGTGTGGTTTGGCCACCGATAACAAAGACGAGAGAGTTCGTTGTAAACCCGGGTACACAAAGTGCCTCGCCCGAGATCCATGTGCCGTATGGAGGATTCAACGGCACAGTCGATTCGTTGGCCCAGGTCCGGTCGGTCATGTTGTATGTCAGGACTCCAGGGAGTGGCATTCGATCAGGAAACACCGTCTCGCTGAATCTCGCATCTGATGCGCCGCTTCCATAACCACCAACATAGACGCCCATGTCATCACAAACTGTCCCTGCTCCACTCGCGCCACTGTATATATCCGAGAAGAAGTCGTCATTTGCCGCAGACTTTTTAGCCCATGAGCCCTGGCCGTCGTCATCCAATTGGATTGCCCAGAGAGCAATATCGTCGCCCAGGTCTGTGTTTCCATACGGACCGTCGCCTCCCCATCGATACAGTGTGTCGGACTCGGCTCCGGCCCAGAGTCTTAGGTTATTGGCGGGCAGAGGCTCATCCTTTTCGATCTCGGTAAATGTGACGGTAGCGTTGGTCCACGATGTATTCAAGGGTATCGAAAGGGTGTTATTCACTGTGTCTAGGTCAGTGTCTAGAACTGTAGTTGGCCGTTGATAGAACTGTACGCCAGTATGAATCGGCCGCCAAGGTGTCGTCTGTCTCGTTGTAAATAGATATCTCTCCTCCCTCAATATAGAGGCGATCATTCAGCACAGCGACTAGAAGCACATCAGCATTGGAATCGTCGCCTGCGGTTGCATACCATGACTCACTTGCGTGCAGCGCTCGTCTCCGATAAGTAGCGGTCGAAGTTGAGCGACCCTCCAGCTTTCCAGGCAATTCCGCATGGCTCAAAACGAGCGAAACCAGCGTTGAAAGGGCCGCTGTTACCTGAATCGACCCCATCGTGAATATTATTCAAGTGCAGGAGCACCGCAGAGCCCAGGAGGAAAAGAAGAGGGAACTGCAATAATATTAGAGTGGGAAGGGGCTATGTCGATCAAATTTGAAGCAGCGTAGCAAGGAACCATCAACATCAAGCATTATTGGCTGTGCAACGTCGCAACGTGCCACTTCCACGGTCCCGGTCTGCATCGGAGTTCAATGGAATTGGGGGCGGTTATTATTGACGCCAGCCAATTACATCTGAGAGGGTGCATTTAGACCCAGTTCATCATGACGCGTACAGGTGAGATTCTCATGAAGGATTCGAATCGTGCAACTCGCCTAGTGCTTCGACCGGGAGCCCCTGTTGTTCCAAAACTTGCCAACACCAAACTGGGAATGCCCTACACATCGCTCCACTGAGAGCGTTCGTTTTTGTCCTAGCGCTGCGAAAGCTGGAAAGATCCGTTGGCTTTCGGACTCGGAGTGATCAAGTTCCCGGGCATCGCTGTGATCCAGGTTTTCGCATATGACGTCCAGAGTGCGTTCCAGCGACAGCGTCCTGCACAGAACAAAGCAGAGAACAAATGTATTCCTCGCGGTATGTTAAATGTCCTCGACAAGGACCTAGAACAAAGCTAGGTAATTGTGATAATCGACGTATGACTGCGAGAACCGCAGCTAATGTCATCAGACCCACTCGTCCCGCCATTTGCATCCAACATCCAGGGACAGGCTTGACGGGATGTTCCATCGTCTCTAATGTGGGTCTGTAAGGCGGAATACATGGATATCTTGGGCATTTTTCCTCCATTTGCACGGGTCCGCGGAAGAATACACCATGGCCCTGGTAAGTAAGCTATAGACTAATCAGGGGTTGGCCAGTTGATTTTCAAGGATCGCGCGGTTTCAGCCCTGCACAAATATTACATAGGTGATTATGACTAGGGGTGGAGATGAACAGGTCGTCGAATCCTCCGGCAAAATGAGATGTGAATTGTGAGGGTAATTCCATCCATTGCACAAATCCGAGTGCGTATCAAAAGCCAGTGGTTCTGCTGTATTGGCAGGTATCAACTAAAAAACAGGTGTGCCCTTCGCTTACCCACCTCTGCAGCTCTCAAGATGAACCCGCACACTCAGGAGCAACAAGATTCAGAGATGATCCCTGGTTGGATCTTCTATGATACGCGCTCCGAAACCATGCTCGTTGCAGACGCGTTCAGGCAGGGATGGTGAGGCTACCCTATAGCCACGCAAATTTTGCATTTTGACACAATTGAGTAAGCTGTTCCACATTGCAGAGTCAATAACATTATTCAAGTCAAAGACATTCTTTTGAGCAATAGAGGGGGATTCGCATGTAGTATATCTTTACCCTTGCGCAATTTTTTCTCATCTTTGGCGACTATTTTGAAGCAAATGTGCGATTGGTAATTTTGCCTCTTTAATAAACTCACTTAGCAAAGAAGCGTAGAGTGAGACTCTGATTTCGAATAAAAGAGAAAATAGATGCAATTTATCCCTTCTTCATTTACGCACGTTTGTCCGAGTAAAAATGCTGTTGATCTCATAATCGATTCTTGTCTCGCATTTACACAATAAGATACCAATAACTCTAATCGGGCTAAGTATTTAGCTAACTCAAAAGATAAGTTTTTACGTTTGTAGATAAACGCATTATACTCGCCAACCGCTTTAAAATAGCCTTGAGCACTGTCTCGCATACGCCGCCGTCACCCGAACTGCTGTTCTATGCTTCTATTCTGCCCACTTTGCGTCTAGAGCTACTATTGCATCCTTCGTTGTGACAAAACTGGCTGACTGAATTCAAACACAGGTTACGTTCGTTTGTAGTACGGGTTCGGGCTTCAATCTGAAGTAATACGTCGTTATGAATGGCGATCGTGTCACATAGGATCGATCAGAAATGATGTTGAGCGCCCTATCTAACCAGGGCCCGGGGGAAGCCTTATAGAATAAACTCGGATGGTGTGAATGCGGGGAAACCACCAAAAGAAGATAAAAAGAAGAGAAATTCGGATCATTCGGGTTTAAGGTTCACCTAGCCCAGTAGTGGATAATGATAGCATCCGGCCGACCCGACCATTCTAGGGCATCAACGGTGGAGTCCCCAATGTGACAAATCACGAGACAGCCTTACTTGCAACAATTGATAGTATGAAACAAAGTGCAATTGAAACGTCTACTCAACTCCCGGTCCGAGGTTCAATGCCGCGGCTCCAACCCGATAGCGCAGTCCTAGTGCGGCCGGCAACGGCTCACGGCAGTAGATGCTCATGGAACTAACGGATTGCGGTGGGACTAATAGTGTATGTGCGCTGCAAACACTCATAATGATATGAAACTATTTGCGTGATGTCTGGGGATGCGGGGAAAACGAGACACAAAAGTACACACCAAGCCTCGGTCGGGTTGGTTCCGGTCAATGCAGCGGGGGTATGAGACCGATTGGGAATAGACTAGAGTGCCTGGTATGATGCTGTGTTACTTATTATCCTCGCAGGTAATTGCCACAGAAAATTCTTGATCCTCAAATACTCCCACATCTTGATTCATCTCTCGCAATGGCACCCGCATTCTCCGTCGGGGAGAAGCTGCGGTTATTACCTCGCCTGACTTGTCTGGGTAGGTTCATTCAAACGACACATTCCTATGGACCAAGTTAATTCATTCTGACAACTTGTATCAGCACCGTTGAAGTTGTTAGGGACCGCCTTACGCTCCATTTTGATTTCCCTAGCTCGAGGGCTTCCGATTGGGCGGTACCTTTCGTGTGCAGTCGTCAGAATACTTCTGGGAACTTTCGCACCTCGTCAGATCCAATACTTATCGCCTTCGACAAAAGAAACATACGAAGCATGGATACAACGCCAAGTCTCGAAGGCGGAGAACGTCGGCAATGCAGACATTATTGGAAAGCTCCAGGGCGATACTGAACCCTTAGAAGACGGAAATTCATCCCTTCTCTGGCTTGGAAACCGTCACAAGGCCAAAAAGGTGGTTTTGTTTCTACATGGAGGTGGCTACGTTTCGCCCTTGTTGCCTGGACATCTGGAGTGGTGTTGGCGAACGTATATTGCTGCGGGGATGGAGACGAATGTCGAAGTTGCTGTGGCAGTACTGCAGTACACCCTTTGCCCGGAAGCAATATATCCAGTTCAACTCCGCCAGGCTGTCGATGGGTTTTCACATCTTTTAGCGTCAGGATTTCATCCGGAAGATATCGTTGTCGGCGGCGACTCTGCTGGGGGCAATTTGACGGCCCAGTTGCTCTGTCATCTGGCCCAGCCTCATCCTGCTGTCCGGAAAGTTGAGATTTCTCAGCCGCTAGCAGGTTCATTTCTTGTCTCCCCATGGATCAGCCGACTTACCAGTCACGCTTCATACTCGGAGAATGGCTGGATCGACATGTTATCAGGCCCAATCGTGGACAGTGCCACCAAGGCGCTGTTGGGACCGGAGGCAGCACAACAATCATATGCCGACCTGGCCTTTCCCTTGGATGGGGAGAGTTCGCGTTTAAGTGGGCTGGATAACGTTGTGAGCCAACTGTACGTTACCGCAGGAGACCAGGAGGTTTTCCGAGACCAGGATATCGCTTTCGTCCACGGTATACGTCAATTGAACCCCACTCTTAAAGTGCGATTCGATGTTCAGCCAAAGTGTGCACACGATTTCATCCTGTTTGAGGGCCAGGATGAAATCACTGGGGAATGCATGGAAGCAATGAAATCGTGGATGACGGATCTGCTGGTTACGGGCAACAACCACTAGAATATGAGTCTACCTGTATCTGCCGACTTGGACCGTCGAGAACGTTATCTTCTGTATGTGATCTAGAGTCTTCGATGCGCTGGAAGCTATCACTGGAAGGGAATGAGATTTGATATATCCAGACAATTTATTCATTTCTCTCCATGGACACCCAAATGCCAACTCGAGTTTTAATTATAAATATTTTAACTTATAAAAGACAATGACCCGATCAGTTGAGATGTGGTTACATGTAGCTGTCGCGCACTCACCTTTGCATCAAGGGCTCATTTTAGCCACTATATCCTCAACCACGGGCAATGCCACTCTTTTCGGTACAGCAAAGCACACTCAACGCTCGGCGCTGTCGCTGAATAGGGATAGAGCATGAATTATTGATTTATATCTTCGCAACTTCTGTTCCTTCCGTACCCAATTCCCGTACAATCCCCGAACTTATCCAGTCACAGATCGCCATGATTGTGACCATAGGATTGACGCCACTTGCACTGGGTAAGACACTTGCATCCGCAACGTACAATCCCTCGCAGCCCCAGACTTTTCCACGTTCATCGACGACGCCATCCCGTTCACTGCAACTCATCCGACACGAACTCATTTGATGCGCCGATCCAAAGGGCGTGTCCGGAACCCTATTACCGTGCAACTCCATTTCTTTCAGCCAGGCCTGGAATGTCTCATCTGTAATCCCCGCTTCGGGGACAAGAGCTTTAGAAGGATCGACCACCTTTGAGACCGTGAAAAGATCTGGTTCGGAGCGGATAAATGGTCGAAGCCCAGGTAGGCTAGGATGGATCTCAACTGCGCCCTGAATATAGAGGACTTTGGCCAAGGCAACCATTCCCACCATGTTATGATGGCGATCGAAAGCTGAAGGAGTGTATGTGATGCGAGGACCACCACTTACAGGATCAGTGGAGACGCATCCACTGTCCCTATCCCGAACGATGGCGATGAGCGACTCCATGTGGCGGTATTTGGACAGGAGTACCTTGAAATCGAATCCTGACGTCCAATTGAGGAAAATGGAACAAACGGAAGGCTATAGAGATAGTCAAAAGCTGCCTTTGGGTGAAGTGGAAGCCGACTCACCATCATTGAGGCACGCTCGAGTTTGACACCATGCCCTTTGCCATCAAGGTCTTCAAAACTGGATATGACAGATGTGAGGATACCACCTAATAGATGTCAGTGCACATAATTCGCAGGAGCATTCACGTTAAAAAGACTCATACCTTCCCAGGGGCGAACATCCTCTTTAAAGAACCCGGATACAAATGTAGTCGGGTGAAGACGTAGGTTGCGGCCGATTTGCTTATTCTAGGTAGATTCATTAGCATTTCATTCAGGTGTAAGCAGATAGATACTAAACTTACCTTCAACCCGCTCTTTTGCAAAATAACCGGACTCCACAGACTTCCTGCAGAGATGACCACCCTTTTCGCCTTTATGACTACTTTTTGAGAAACCCTCCCGTTGGCCGGGCCTCCAACTGTACCGTCTGTGTTTCTCGATGTCCACGTTCCCACAACGCCATCAGCAATCCGATTCCCTTTTCTATTGCTGAATAATACCTTCTCAACGTTGAATCCTTCAATGAACTTTGCTCCACACTTTGCCGCGTCCGGAAACCACCCGTTTACTGGGCCTTGCTTCTCCCCTTTCCAGCAACCCAATCCGCAGTGGCCATCGGCATGTTCACAGCCACCAGTATTTTGCGGTACGGCCTTTGTGCTGAAGCCCAGTTTCCGTCCACCATCCAACAGCATGGAATTCCCATGGTTGTGTCGAATGAACTTGTCGCTCACCCCCATGTGGTCAGACACGCGGTCAAGACAAGCCTGGAACTCGGCTGAGTTGAAGAACTTGAGGCCTAGTTTTCCAGCCCACTCATTACGCACCATGCTTTGGGTCTGTAGAGATGCGCTCCAGTTCACTGTTCCACCCCCGCCGAAGCAAGATCCGGCCATGACAGTTGTAGACCCATCCTCAGACGCAATCAAGCCTCCCTGTTCGAATAAATGAAAGAATGCCTCCTGTTGATTGAGTGGCATAGATGACGCGGGAAAATGAAATCCCTTGTCGACAACAATCACTTTATGACCAGCGTTGGCGATGCTCCTGGCCACGACACCGGCGCCGCAACCTGAACCCACCACAATGACGTCTGTGTTCAGCTGGATGGGGGATTCAGAACCACGGAATTGCATGAATTCGAAAGGATAGGTGCGGCCCGGTGACCATTCTCGTGGGACCGACGGAAAGCCGGAAATGTTACTCAATAGTGAGCTGGTACGGACATAAATATGCCTGGCAATGACTGTGAATTGCTTGAAAAGTAGACGGAGAGAGGGCAGTGAGCTAATTCTCCAAGAATGGAGTACCAAAGTTCTATCGTGGATAGAAAGGTCTGTGAAAGGGGTAAAATACCCAGTCAGAGGAAATGTAGTGACTCGGTTGCTACAGTAGTCATTGTTTAGCTTTTTTTGCATGGTATTCGGATTGGCGGATGCGACATACTTCATCATTGACAATATCATGCGGATAGAAGCCAGCTTATCCTCAGGAAACCCAGCAATTACTCTCTTCAATACATCTTGAAACAACGGTAGGTCTGACGGTCTCTCAGCAAGATAACTATCAAATTCTGCAGTGTTTGAAAGATCAAGAGCAGTATTTTGGCGGAGATGACTCATGGCTCTATCGTATTCGATATCGGTCAGATGAACCACACCGAGTTTGTCGGATACATTTCGCTGCACGGATGGCAGTGCAGTGTCCATTATAGACATCAATACAAGCCATTGGTCGTCTGTAAGGGGTGCTGGGCCAGATAGCGGTGGTAACCCGCATGGGGTAGGGCGTGTTAGAGACGTCATGATGTCCGTCATACGTATATTGCCAGACTGACACGGTTGATACTGAGTGTTGCTAGGAGAAAGCGAGTAGGAAATACTGTACTAAAGTTGAAGGGGACGGAATGGAACTATAGTCCGAAGGTATGGGGTAGTTGATGTTTAAATTACATGCACCATCAAGGCATTAAAACTCACATGTTGAGATATATAGTTAAGGAAAGGAAAACAAACCGAGGTGGTGCTCCACAACTACCAATTCCGCATATCGGGATGGTGCCGCGAATCCTGAACATGGAGTCCCACACCGCGAGAGGGAGCGCATACCGAATATGAACTGCATACCGTAAACGGAATAACGCCAGATTAAGCCTATCCCATAGAACGAATGGGCTTAAACTACGGGGGAGGTTTGATACCCCTCACGGAGAGGGCATATTGTCAGCTGAGTACGACTCGCACACTAGCCTTTGTGTATGAGGCTAACTCACAATCCTGCCGAGGCATCTAGTCAACGTATCGGAACCAACCCGGTACTAGAAGGGACAGCTCAACGCGGGGTTGACCCGGCATGCCGAAAAGCCGAGTTTGTGGGGGAACTCTTAGTGCCTCTGGATCCATGTTGCGATACTTTGTGGCCGTGGATGAAAGGTGCTTATTGTCGAATTCGTATTCCAAAAGACATAGAATTTCTTAGCCGATAGCTCCCTCGAGGTATATATCACTAATAATTGAGCTTCCCCGGCATCTTCGCTATGACCACCAGCAGATGCGACGTGTATAAAGAGTTTCTCCCATTTCACACATGACGCGGCGATCAGCATAATGCCCTCAGTAAGAGGCACACACGCAAATATCTCTTGCATTGCCCCGGTATCACCCACAATGGCTTCTTCCCGCAATTTGGACCCATTTTCTCAACCTAAGTGCTCTATGTCTTCCACACTGCCCTGCACTTCTTCTGCTCGGAGCCAAAACGGACACTTCGGGTGACGCCGAGACTCCGCTCCGTTGGTGTCAAGATCGCCCGGGAACCGGCTTAGCCGCAGCTACACAACCTAGCTCAGGCGGCATTACCCCGCCATCTCATTGGGAATTAGGTATGTTAGAAGAGAAAGGCCGTAGAGTATTAAGAGGGCAGAGATCAGTAGAGGAGGGTGCTCGCCCCAGTCATGCCGATGCCCACATTCTTGATCGGGTGCGTGATGTCATACTTGAATCAATACAATATAATAGCGCTGTGTGTATACGCTTCAAACTTAATTTCTCTGACAGCTATCATATTTCACTCATCGAAAAAACTCTCGAATTCGACGAAGACCTGGCGAGAACAGGTGCTCTCTGTTCAAAGGATGTCGTGAAATAGCGAGGTTACAAGACACTACAGAAACTTTCGAGATTCTATGAAACATATTGATTTGCTCGCGAACACGATATCTCACAACCCTAATTGTAAATAGACGTCGCGAAACATAAGCCTGCAGGGTGATGTAATCTCCGGGTGCTTATCATCATCGTCTCTGAGGTTTTGGGAACTCAACTCAAACTCACGAATCGTATCGTAAGCCCGGGAGAAGTATCAAAAGGTCTTAAAATAGCCTTGAAACGAGCGACCAGAGGGGCAGTGGCCATGAGGTCTGATTTGACGCGAGTTTGGAGGGGTTCTTCTCACGATAACCGGCGGAGTACCTTATCTCTGCATTGCTGACCTGTTTAAGCCATAGACGACGATAAATGATATCGCTTTTCACAACATTCGCTCTCTCCGAGGCTATGTACTCATTCCAGTATTTTCAAGGATTTAGAAACAATTGCAACTCAATTTTAGATCACAGAGCCGAAAAGTTCTTGGGCATGCTGTGCCAAGATGGAGCAGGCTTCCAAGCGACGACCGCAATGTTGACGGTATTGAAAGGGGTGTATCCTCGACCAATGGTATGGTCGTTGATCCAAAGATGCCACTGCATATCTTGTAGGCGGTTTAGTCTTGACAGACGGAAAGACGCCAACTGACAATGACGGGCAAATGTTATGTGGGAACAGGAATGGACCTTTGCCTTTCGGATGAGTGCCAGATCCAAGTTGGTGTTAACCACCATCCAGCGGTTTGTGAAGAGACTTGAGGCCATCGTTTTCTCGATAAGTTCGTTGGGGGCAGTCTTTGCCATGTGGTAGTATGCTCCCGTCGATACGTTGTAGCTAATGGTAACATCCATGCCAGTACCAGAAAGAATCTTTTCGCCGTTGTGAAGGTGTAAAAATCGCTTGTGTAAGACCGCAGGATGTGCCAACCGCCATTTTTGAGGTTACAGGTCCAAGTCATAATAAACTTCCCGACTGCAGGATCCCATATGGCATCTGACACCCACGTCATACCAGCATTCGAGGGTGAGATCTGTTGCAGACACCGCTAGACCATGTAGCCGTGTTGACGTTCGATTTCCATACGACAATCGACTTGATTCCGTTCACCGTGCAGAATGCGCCACAGTTGGTACAAATATGACGATCCTATTCATTCAAATATTAGTCGCAGAATATCTTCAATTTTAGCGACACGGACCGTTGCAATAATCCAAACAGTCTTGTTATCTCGTCCACGAATGATACTGGGATCGCGGGCTCCTTTGGTCCCAAGGTTCGAGATAAATTCATTATTATCTCCGTTTACTGGGTCATGATCCTGGGGTATTGTTCTTGCCAACGTCAAAGTAGACCTATTCACCATTTTCCCCCTTCGCCAACAAATTAAACCTTGGAAATTAGACGGTGCGGCCATGCAGGATAGACCATAGACCCATGACGAGGACGGACTTGGACATAAAAGAAATCCGTATATCCCATACGTATGGAGATCATGCTGGCGCGGGACTAGTAAGCTAGAAACCGGCTCGACTAGCATGGCTATTTGGTGAACGAATATGTCAACTTCATTGTGGAGGTTTAAAGAGCTTGAGATTGAATGGTAAGACAGGGTCTAATGGCCATGAAAATTTACCTCAGAAATCCGGTTTGACATCCGCTACGAACTTTGTGTGTAGAAACGTCTGAGATGCCGTGTTATGTGGTGCTGGATCTGAGGCACAAAATCGAGCTTCTATTGGCACGGCTAGTTCTAGTATCTCACTCCGCTATAGGTATTTACAAAAGGACAATAATCCGTCGTAAATTTAGTAATTTCCATATCCGGGTCACGGTTCTCGGAGATGGGTATTCCTGATCAAGGATCACGGAATAACGGCCCGTCATATTTGTGCTGTAAGTAGAGTAATCTACCACCACAACAGCATGATATGCTTCCAGAACAGGATCATAATAGATCTGGCTTCGCTCGGGTAAAGGTTTTACAAGAAAAAGAGCTAAATGTCAATAAATCCTACTCCGGAAGGAGAGGTCCGTCACTAATTGAGCTTAATCCGCTTATGGACGGCACAACCTTGAACTAGGCATTATGAAACCACACCTAGAGTTGCTGTGCGTGCCAAGACGGCTAATATTCACACGGTTAAATCCATGGCGGGGAAAATGTGAGAGGTTATGGCTGTGATTTCATTTTGGCACCATCGTCCCAATATCACCAGCTCTAAGCACCACTTGCCCACTAGAGGAGCCATTCGACCGAGACAAATCAGAATGGACAAAGATGGGATGATCTCATGAATTAGAAATTGCGCGAATAGTTCGGTTGAATGTCCCGATACTCCGAAGTTGGTTTCAGCCGGGATCCTAGCCAAATTAGTTTGGGTTGTGCTGTGGATTTGTTCCTGGGTTGAACGCCTAGAAGGCAATGGATTTGAGGAGCAAAAGTAATAAAAGGGACGTCTAATCCCAAATTCGTTCATCAGGCTCGAGTTCCTCGTCAACAACTATTACCATCACTTGTCATCCACTAGGCCTAAGCAAAAGAGACAACATGAAAGCCAGTCTTGTTCTTTTGTTGACGCCCCTTGCAGCGGCTCTGCCAGCAACCTTCATCCAGCTAGACTCTGAGCTTGCCGTTCGCCGCGAGAATGTCACCGAGCGAATGGCCACCTTGGATGAGCGTCAAGCTTCCGTAAGCATTGACCAGCTTTTCAAGAACAAAGGTAAGGTCTATATTGGGTCTGCTACAGACCGCGGTCTCCTCCAGACAGGCAAGAACGCAGCGATCCTTCAGGCCAACTTTGGCCAGGTCACGCCCGAAAACAGCATGAAATGGGATGCCCTGCAGCCTAGCCAGGGTCAGTTCAATTGGGACAATGCGGACTACCTAGTCAACTGGGCTCAACAGAACGGCAAGTCGATCCGAGGTCACACTCTTGTCTGGCATTCGCAGCTGCCGCAGTGGGTGAAGAACATCAACAACGCCGACACTCTGCGTCAGGTCATTCGAACTCATGTGAAGGCTGCCGTTGGACGTTATAGTGGGAAAATCAGGGCCTGGGTTCGTGATCCCTATTCCTTGGCCAGTTGTCTATACGGCTTATGACTCACTGTCCCACTAGGATGTCGTGAATGAAATCTTCAACGAAGATGGCACTCTGAGAAGCTCGGTTTTCTCCAACTTGCTTGGAGAAGAGTTTGTTTCCATTGCCTTCAAAGCCGCCCGAGAAGCCGATCCCTATGCCCGACTCTATATCAACGACTACAACCTCGACAAGGCGGGATCCAGCAAGGTCAATTTGATGCGGTACTACGTTGACAAGTGGATCTCCCAAGGAGTTCCTATTGATGGCATTGGTAAGTTTCTTCGCCAAGTTTAAGGGAATTTCGCATGCATATTGCTTTTTGCTAACTATATTCAGGCACCCAGGCCCATATCAGTGGCGGAGGAGGCAGCAGCATTCAAGGTGCCCTGGAACAACTTGCGACTGCTCCAGTTACTGAGATAGCCATCACGGAACTGGACATCGCCCAGGCCCCTGTTGATGACTACGTTACAGCTGTAAGGGGCTGCTGGAATGTTGCCAAATGCTGGGGAATCACAGTTTGGGGCATCAGTGACAAAGTAAGATCCCTCTGGTGGGCAATAAGATCCAACGAAGAAATGATCTAACGTTTTATCTCTAGGATTCATGGCGCACTGGAGCTAACCCTCTGCTGTTCGATTCCAATTATAACGCCAAGGCTGCTTACTGGGGTATTGTTGACTTGCTCGATTAAAGGGGGTCAAATGGTCGTCTACAAAAAGTCCAACCAACGTAGGGTATAGACGTCAAATGAAGTAAACATTCACCACGCACTGGCTTGATCAAGATCGTCTAGGAATAGAACATCTTCCTCCAGACACACAATATACTCATTCAAGTCCGGTCCCAGCTCTTCTTTTGACTGCGCGTCGTGGCTTGCAGGTCAGCCTGCCAGGTGACTGACCAGCAGAATCGAACCAACTACCTCCTTAAAGGTAGCCGTGCTGTAAAACAAATCACTCGGTCACAATGGCAAAAGGAAAGCAACCTAGGGGGCTGCGCCCGCCCGAGGAGGGGGTCGAACCCTCAGCCTTGCGGTGACTTGTCCTGAGGAAGACGTAAAAGCCGCACGCTCTGGCCAATTGAGCTACCCGGGCTGGATAATGGAACGGCTTCGAACAGTTTAATATCATTATAACTGGGAGTAGCTGAATAATCGTAGTCGTTTTTATCGACACTAAAAGATGACGGCTCAGGAGCATGACCGACGAATTATAGGTGGATTTGTTTACGATGACCACTCAAAGTTTGTGCGAGCGTAATTCAATCTAGTTTCTCAATCCTGTGTTCTCCATAGTCCTAGATAACATGGTGCGCTCAACATCTAAGTAAACCCAGTGCAGCGATTCCAAGCCTGTTAGACCCCTAGCCACAGACCTTCTACTGAAGCTCTGTGTCAGCGTGTTTCGATCGGCAGTGGTTGGACAAGTCCTTCTCCCGAAAGTATCCCTTTGCGCCAACTCGATCACAGTTGGGAACTGTGCACTCGAAGGGTGTCTCTTGGTGAACACTTCTCATATGTCGATAATAGCCTGCATTCGTGGTAAAGGACCACTGCGACGGGAAGCACTCAAGGTGTGGACAGGTGGGGACAGAAGCGAAACCTGATGGTGGTGCCTGAATGTTTGAAGCAAGGTCATGCTTGTGGTATTGAACGAGGTGCTGAGTGAGATGGTCTCGCCGGCGGAAGGCCGCCTCGCCTTGATGCCTGTTGCAGAAGTGGCAAGGGTATTGAGGCTGTCCCACTTCCTTGGACTTGACGTGTCGAGCAAGAACATCAGACCTGGAGAAACGGCCACCGCAGGTGCAGGCGAATGGACTATGGCCGAGTTGCGAACCATGCAGATCCAAAGCTGTCTTGGTGGAGAAGCTCTCTTTACACTCAATGCATTGGTGGCCAAGGATGGGACGAGCTAAGTGCTGCCGTGCACTGCTAAAATGGCGCGACGATATTAGAAAAAAAAAAAAAAAAAAGGTACCTCGCAACAGGCTCAGCTGGCCCAGCCACATTGAGGTTGAGCTCCTGATCTTCCGGGTAGCCGAAATCCATCAGCAACATATTAGCCAAGTCATTGGGAGCGATGGCTGGCTCGGGCGCAGTTAGCTCATCGAAGTTGAATTCCTGATACTCCGGATAGTCGAAATCCATCAGCGACATATCTGCCATATCACTAGGCATATATGTGTCGTTCGCGTGATTGAGAGTGCTAGACATGGCAAATATTGCGTGGTGCTCGAGCGTCAGTATGTGATTGCAGGCGATCAGAGGAAAGTGATGTTGTTTGGTTGAAGAGGCCGTGAGAATGATCAAATTCGAAGCGAGTACCGTCCCTACCACTCTGCGTTCCCTGATTCCATTCCCGCCCCTTTTTTTGCCTTGCCACGTCAGCGTGCCAATGTCAAGGGGTAATGGAGGTAAATAGGGCGGGTGGCTGATTTGCACATTGCCTAGCCAATGAGGTGTGGTTGACGATACTGAACGTGACACAGGTAACGGATTGTACGCATTCAATACAGGCGATAGGAATTTGGTTGATGGGGAACGGAACTGGGAGAGGATTTTCTTAATATCGGCATTCAGTGTGGTAATATTTGTTCCAGTGTTGAGTATTATAAAGCTATGCCTCGTTGACGACCTTGGTTGGGGAGCGTGGTTTTGTTTTTGGTATGAGAAAATAATGTCGTCAATTCTTGAACGTGTTCAGGTTAGCATTCTCGGCCCAACTCATTTCTTCTTTCATTCATCGATCAAATTATTCACGTCATCTTATGTGGCTCACCCGTTACCTCGGGATATTCTTATTTGGTGGTGCTTCTCCCACAATCTGGGGTCCTAGTGTGTAGGGTAGCTGCAGTACTCCCGTTGTGGGGTTTGCTGGTCTGTGGTTGCGACGAAGTCTGAAGTCTATGACAAGCCTGAGAGGTACCTACGTTTGCGACTATAGGACACTCACATGACATATAATGTTATTCAAAAAGTCACAGAGTAATTTGTTAGGCTTATGGCAGCCATCTATAATTTTGCCTTTTCTCCATCTGTCTGGACCTTAGCACTACTCTCGGTGAGCCGTCCTCGGGAATCCGCTCCATCCCGAATAGTTTTGCCTGCATCTCCTTCCATGCGACTGCGTAACCACTCTTCCACCGCTTCCAGTAACGCCTCGACTTCCTTTGCGGTATTCCCCGCGTGCAAGCAGATCCTCACTCTCTCGCTCCCCTCTGGCACAGTCGGAGCCACAATCGGACGGACCATGAACCCACCGCGCTGACAGTGCTGCGCCAAGCTACGGGGGTGCGCAGTGAAGAGCGGAATGATGGGCGACTTCGGTGGGGTTGGATCTAAGCGGAGAAGATCTGCGGGTGGCTTGTAGCGAGTGCAGATGGACTGGAGGAGGCTGTGGGTGTGGTTCATGAGTCCATGCAAGTTGCGCATTAGCGGCTCGCCGCCGTTGTTCATGAGGAAGTCGTAGGTGACTTTGATGCTTGCGAGGGAGGGCAGCGCCATGGCGGTTGTGTAGATCAGAGGTCGTGCATAGTTGATGAGATAGGCTCGGGTTGTGTGAGACGAGAGAACAATGGCTGGAGAAGTTAGTGGGAGGAATTGGAACTTGTGATGTAGACTCACCCCCAGAGCAGCCCATGGCCTTGCCAAACGTGTGCACTCTAGCGAATATTCGTGTTTCGAGGCCCAATTCACAGACAAGTCCCCGGCCTTTTGCGCCGAAGATGCCGGTCGAGTGGGCTTCGTCAACGATGATGTAGCCATTCCCTTTCGGTAGCCGCCTTTCAACACACTTAACAACCTGTTGAAGGGGCGCCACGTCTCCATCCATACTGTAAACCCCTTCTACAGCCACAAAGGCATTTTTCTTTCCCTCAAACAACTCTTTCCCTTGGACACCGGCGGTGAGGTCTCGGAGCAGAGCGTCAAGGCCCTTCAAGCCTTTGTCTGCATCGCTGCTATCCGTCGTTACCGTATTATGCCGAAATGGCAGTCTTTGCGCCGCCCGGCTCAGCTTCATCCCATCGTGGACGCTCGCATGGATGAGCTCGTCGTAGATAATGATGTCGGATGGTTGAGGCACGCAGCTGAAGAGGCCGACATTGGCATCGAATCCGGAGTTGAAAAGCAGGCCTGCGGGTGCACCGTGGAACGAGGCAATGTCGCGCTCCAGCGATTCCGAGAAGGAGCTGTTCCCATCGAGCAGTCGAGAACCGCCCGAGCCAAGGATTGGAGGCGATGTGGCCGGGGAGGGATTGTTGATGTGGGACGTCAGGAGGGCCAGGTATGCGCGCTGCACGTCGGGATGATTGGACAGAGAGAGGTATGAGTTTGAAGAGAAGTCCACCATGCCAGGGGAGACGGTAGTCAAGCGTCGCAATTGGGAACGCGATTCGCGTCGCGCGAGGAGAGCCGAGAGTGTGGCCTCCAGTGAGGAGAGTCCGGCATCCATAATGATGCGTGGGGTTAGCAAGAGATGATGGACATTGGGCAATTGCGCGATATCTCCCGTCAATTGAGATGTATGAGTACTTGAGATAGTATCGCGACCTCACTCAACCAGTTTGCGAGCTGGGGGTTGGGGCGTCACAACCATTCGCTTACGTTCAACCTACGCACATTCGGCCACATTCCGGTGGCTCAACTAGTAAAGCGGGCAATGTCATTGGCTCGGCCGACTCATCCGAGGCATCTGCACACCAAGCGGCGCGCTAATGTGCGAGGAAGAAGACTGGAGATGATGGAAGAGGGATTTTGAGAGATTTCCCCGCAATCAGAGGCTCAAGGCCAGATTGATGGACAAAGGAGATTTCATGTGACGGGAGAGAGGGAGAGACGATGTAATTTTGGTTAATTAAGCCCTGTGATTGATCAATTCTACTGAAGCGTACTCCATGCTAGTGCTGCAATTCCCACCTAATCTGGTCTACGGTGCAATCCTCCACAGCTCTTCTGCCTTTGTTGAGGAATCAAATCTGGGGCAAAGCGGAGCGGCATCTCTAATAGTCCAGGTGCCGATCAATGCCGACATAACCCGTGGCACGTAATTCCATCTTGGTTGATCCAACTTGGTCAATCCATCTTGGTCAATCCATCTTGATCAATCCATCCCACACATCGCCATTCACCTCGGCAGTTCGCCTTCACTCGTTTCTCTCGGCATCATGGCGCCGGTAGGGGCTCTCCTCCAGCGCGCTCTGCGCGTGCACCAGGTGTATGGCGCCAACACCGACGTCGGCAAGACGATCCTCACTACGATCCTGTGCAACTCGGCGGCCCGGAATTGGAAGAATGACCAGGTTTCGTATTTGAAGCCTGTGTCGACGGGGGCGCTGGAGGACGCGGATGAAGGGTGTATGTGCCAATCTGCCGGTCAAGCTGGAAACGGGCTCAGACTAATCATGCGCAGATGTTGTATCTAACCTGCTCCAAGACTAGACCAGCAATTGATACAACACAGTCACATTCAACAATATGCGCCCAGCACCAAGGTAGAGACATTGTTTCAATATGATATTCCCGCCAGTCCGCACTCAGCCGCCCTGGTCTCCGGCAAGGTAAGCTCCATCACTCAACCTCCCACCGCAACCAATACTCACCCACAAGCCCATTCCCACGGACCATGAACTTCTAGCAAAGATCCACCATCACATTTCCAGCCGCGCTCATCAAGGATCCGGCTGGCTGTTCCTTGAAACCGCCGGCGGCGTGCACTCTCCTGGCCCCTCGAGAACCACCCAAGCAGACCTCTACGCTCCTCTGCGCATGCCCGTGATTCTTGTCGGCGACTCCAAACTTGGCGGCATTTCACAAACCGTCTCGGCCTTTGAATCTCTCCGGCTTCGTGGGTATGATGTCGAGGGCGTCCTGCTATTCCGAGACGCGGTTTATGAGAACTATCGCTATCTCACCGATTACTTTGGCGACAATTATGGGATCCCAGTAGAGGCGGTAGCAGAGCCACCGAGGAGATACGAGGAAAAAAAGGCAGAGTGGGACAGCATGACGGCGTATTACACCGAGGCGAGCGGGCAAAAGACAGTCCACAACATTCTGACTCGACTAGACAAGCGCCATGAAAGCCGGATCGCCCGTCTTGAGGAGATGCCTGCAAAGGCCCATGGGCATATCTGGTATCCCTTCACTCAGCAGAAAGGCCTCACGCCAGATCGAATCACCGCCATTGACTCAGCATACGGCGACCACTTCCAGACGTTGAAATCTCAACCTACCACCTCGTCTCCCCAGGGCAACCTCCTCCGGCCTTCGTTCGACGGCTCAGCCTCTTGGTGGACACAAGGTCTCGGCCACGCCAACCCAAAGCTCACGCTCGCAGCCGCCTACGCTGCCGGCCGCTACGGCCACGTCATGTTCGCCGAAGCAGTCCACGAGCCCGCCCTCGCCCTCGCCGAGACGCTCCTACAGAACATCCAGAACCCCCGTCTCAGCCGCGTCTTCTTCTCCGACAACGGCAGCACCGGGTGCGAAGTCGCCGTGAAGATGGCCCTGCGCGCGGCGCGCATGCGGTACGGCTGGGGCCCGGACGCAAAGCTGGGGATTTTGGGATTGAAGGGGAGTTATCACGGAGATACCATTGGCGCCATGGACTGTGCGGAGCCGTGTACCTTCAACGAGAATGTTGAGTGGTATGAGGGCAAGGGCTTCTGGTTCGACTACCCGACGGTGAACTGTACCGACGGGAAGTGGGTTGTTGACGTCCCAGAGGGTTTGAAGGCTGAGCTTGGCAGCGGAGAGAAGTTCCCCAGCGTGGCTGATGTGTTCAATGTCGAGGCTAGAGAGCAGGATGAGACCTGCCGCAAGTATGAGGCGTATATCGAGAAGACCCTCAAGAGTCTCCAGAAGCAGGGTCGCAAGTTTGGTGCCTTGATGATGGAGCCCGTCATCCTCGGTGCTGGCGGCATGATCTTTGTGTAAGTCTTTCCGGGCCATCTCTGGATGAAACTGACATTCCCAGGGATCCCCTCTTCCAACGCACTCTCATCAATGTTGTCCGCCGATCCCCTCACCTATTTGCCACGGGCGAGTTGCAGTCACCTGCTCAAGGAAACCTCGCCTGGAACGGTCTCCCCGTCGTCTTTGACGAAGTATTCACCGGCCTGTACCGCCTCGGCCGCTACACAGCTTCCTCGTTCCTAGGCGTCCACCCCGATGTTTCCGTGCACGCAAAGCTCCTCACCGGTGGCCTCGTCCCGCTGTGCACCACTCTAGCCTCTAGCAGTGTCTTTGAAGCGTTCCTTAGCGACGATAAGAGCGATGCGCTGTTGCATGGACATAGCTACACGGCGCACCCGGTCGGATGTCAGGTTGCGCTCGAGTCGTTGCGGGAGATGCAGCAGATGGAAGAGCAGGGGAAGTGGGATGCTTTCAAGGTGGATGGATGGGTCTCACCTGGATCGCAGTCTCTAGAGTCATCTCCCCGGAGTGTAAATGACTCGATCGTGTGGTCTGTTTGGTCCCAGTCGTTCATCGACGCTGTATCCCGCCACAGTGCCCGTGTAAGCGGTGTCTGGGCCCTGGGAAGCGTCCTTGCCATCACTCTACGCAGCGAGGGCAGCACGGGATACAAGAGCTCTGCGGCATTGACGCTCCAGACTCGGCTACGTGAAGGCTATGAGGAGGGACGATGGAACGTGCATTCTCGGGTGTTGGGAAATGTATTCTACATCATGACTGGGCAGAAGACCACCCCGGCGGCTGTTAGAGAGCTGGAGACGGTACTTCGAGAAGCCTTGATGCTGTAGGCATCCTGGAAAATTAGGCTTGACTTTTTTCGATGCCTAGATTAAGCTATTTACGGCACTCTTGTTTCGAAATTGATGTCCCAAACTCAATTGAATTGACCGTAGCATTGAATTGTGGCTTGGGGAAATTGCGTCACTCGTCAACGGGATCTTCTTAGGCGCAGAGCAAGTTGCTCAATCAACGTCAATTGTTCGTGAAGCCCGGCAGAGGCTGTACAAATTGTGGTTTTGAGGCGCAAGCCAGGCCTCAACACTGTCGGTGACTCCGGGGAATCGGGGACCTGGAGAATCGGCGACTCGGGGACCTCTTGAGTTATCCTGGCTCTCACCGGCGACTAATCACCAGTCGGAAACTCCGAGCTCTCTCCCTGCACATGGCAAGGCACCTTCGTTGATCTGATACAGGGCCATTCGGGAGGTCGGCGATCAGATCGGGCGATCAGTCCAACCACTGGCGCTGAATCTCGCGCTCTCGAAGAAGCGAAGCATGGGTCAATCGGCTTTATTCTTTTGGTGGAGGCTGACGGCTTACCTTTTATGTATCTAGCTCGTCAAGGGGGCATTCGATTGGTGATGACTGCATAATGAGCTTGCTCTGGAAAATGATCGTGGCGCTCTAAATGAACACCGCTTACGGAGGGCTCTTTCAAGAGTCTTGTCCAAGCGCTAGTAACACCATATCTACTCATCCCCGTCGGTTACCTGAGATACATGACGCTGTCACAGTCTCGTTAAACGGCCGCTGTAACTTCAGCAGTAGTAGGCGCTGCTGATCAGGATATAGCGGTTGCTGTATGCTGTAAGCTGCTATCCTTTAGGGCTTATAGAAATCAGGAAGTACTTAGTGTACTTATCTACCTACCCTAATAATTAGTTGACTTAATACGGAGTAGCGTTATTTTTCTTCTGTACAAGACTTTTGAAATGGCCCTCCGTGCATTGTAAGTGATGTTACAGGGCAGATGCGAACTAGTCGCGAACTAGCAGACGACCGCAGCAGTCGCCGAAGTAATCGAAATAGCCTCATGCAGCTTCGACCGACTGCCTTTCACGTATATATTCAAGGCAAGGAATCGATACATTTAGAAAATATCAACTCACTTCGTTACCGTCTTCTAAACAACACATTCATCACAACAACACATATCATGGCACTCACAAAAGTCTTTACTGCTTTGGCTCTGTCTACCCTCGGAGGAGTCGCATCCGCCTGGGCCCCGGCAATCTGCAACGCTGTCGACCCTGCGCCGGACGGTCTCGTCTGTGGACAAACAGGATTCGCTTCCAACCCAGCTGGAAAACTCTTCTCAATAGAGAGCCTCAGCAGAGAGAGCTGTACCACCTATTGCGGCTCAAACGAGGCTTGCACGACTTTCGAGTACAGAAATACGGCGGAAGGCAGCTGCACACTTTTTGGGGGTGCCTTCAGCGATCTCCGATTCAATGCCGATGACCACGCTTGGGACGAGTACTATGAGATGGGATGTTTCCAATGTTCGAGTAAGCTGCGACCAAATTGACAACCCTAGTCCACCATGCTAACGTCTCCCACTTAGCAAACGCACTCATCGATCTCACCTTCAATACCATGCAATCCGCCGACGACTGGTCTATGACTCAAGACGTCGAGGATAGCTTCTTCTTCGACAACGTGAAGATCGGTGCCGAAAATGTCTTCCGCGTTATCGATGCCGCAGATTCAGGAAGTGCCGTCCTCACCTATGCCCCCACGTTCCAGCTCGAGGCTGGTCCTACATACAAACTGGCGTTTGGGCTGAAGACCAACTTTCCTGACGATACCGACTGGAGCTTGTTGACGTTCTTCCTGGCCACGAACGATGAGCTTGTCGTCGAATACAACCCTCGGGATGGCGCCCAGACTGGCGATTGGATCAACTTTAGCACGGAGTTTACTATTCAGCCCGTCGATGCGGGAGAGGGGAGCCTTTTGATTAAGGCAGATGCAAGCGGGAAACCACTTGATTGGTACTTTTCCTACATCTATCTCCAGTCCCTTTAGTCGGTTATTTTTTGTTTTGTGAAGAAGAGCTGCATGTATAGAATTGGGATAACGGTTAGAGAAACAATCATCGGAAAATGGCGTCTAGCTTTGGACTGTAAACATTCTTTTGTATTCCATAAACATTCTCCCCGCGGTATTTTATGTTCTGTGAAGAATAATTATCCGTGATGGCGTTGATATTAGATACAATGGTATTTCATCAAAAGTCTGAGTTATTATCATCTTCCTCGTTCAACGGATCAGAATAAGTAGAGACGAATGAAATGTGCTTTTTCAAGCCCTGGGGAAGCCATTTCATCAATCACCGGCTATATCTGAGTCGGGTATTGTACGAAGAATGAAGCGATGGAGGAGGGACAAATGGTACCATCGGATGGCTTCGACATAATTTCCACTAACGTTGTGTTCTTCAATAGCAGCGGTTGCATCTGACTTGTAAAAATAGTCTGTGATGACTGGGGTATATTTTTCAAGCCTTTCGCACTCTTAGATCAAAGAGAATCCTTCTCCCTGATTTGTGCTCGATGAGGAAGGGATATGTTGGACAGTCGAGGGACTCGTTTCCTTTGATGGTACGGTCCACCATGTCCAGAGGAGCAACAAACCGGGTGTTTGTATCAAGAATATCCACACCAACTACTTTTACGGAAGTAAGGACCTTAAAGGGAGGTGTGTCGTTCATCTGAATCGTTTATTGGAATACCAGTTGCGAATAAATGTTATCTTAGAAGAATACGGCTACGTGAGTACGCGAAGAACATATAGATATCAGGAAAAATGGTTCGCCTCCGTAATGTGGAAGTTAGGATATTGCGTTAGTGCCGAGTACCACATACAGAATACCGACAAATTTTGGCGGCCGACCGTCCCTGTACAGTAAACTCAATTCGGCTGTGTCGATGCGTTGATGGGGAAATGACAACTGCCGAACGAGCACCTTCTCCATGACGAATCACCCGCATCCCGCGGACTCTGTTCCCTGTATGCCACTCCCAGACCCGCAAATATGGCCAGACCTTTATAATAATTAAACTAACCTCGTGCATTAGTGAAACCAACTCGGCAAAGATGGTGTCATTCATTTGTCTTCTGACCGGGGCTTTATCCCCTCGGGGTGCGTCGTCGAAACGGTCGGACACCAAGATCCCCGAGGCTCCATGCGGGATATGCATCACAGCGTTGCTGCCAGGAATTCGTGCTTCCCTGGGCTCAAAATCTCGCTTCCTGACAGCTCCGATCAGTCAAGATGCTCCAGGCCCTCACAGTCACATTGGTTCATTGACAAAAGTCCCTGCTGCAACATGTTTTCTATTGCTAAATTGTTCCAAACATACGTACAAAAGACTAATTCAGGCAAGAGATTTAATGACTGCCTTCAGGTCATCATCTGTCATCCGCTTTATCCCCACCAAGTCGTTGTCAATGGCGTTAATATCGCCGCCATACCCCGGAATAAACACAGTCTTGAACACAAGGGGACTAATAACAGACATGTCAAACTCCCCAGCGAACAAGCGCTTTTCTGCCACGGCATAATTCGCTTCGGTATCCGCGTGCTCCACCTGCCATTCCCCACCCAGTACTTCCTTGGCCAGGGCCAAAAGGTGGTTCTGCGTGGCCTTGGAGCTCTCAACGTAAACCGTCCTATTCTTTGTCGCCTCCGGGTTCTTCAGCACTCCAACGATTGCCTCACCGTAGTCCCCCATTCTGGTCATGGAGAAGCGCACGTTGCCTCCATCGTGGATAAAAAGTTTGCGCTCCTTGATTGGCATCATTCGTTCATCAGTGAGCATCCACTCGACAAAGGGCCCGCCAACGATCCTCGAGTAGGAAATCTTGCCAGCTGCCGCTGACTGCTTGAGGTATTCATCGACAGCCACCTTCGCCTTCATCAAAGGCAGCTTGCGGGTGTTCGAGTTCGTATTGTCAGACCCAAACTCCGACGGGATGAAAAGAGACACTTTCGCAGCGATTGCTGCCTCGATGATTTTGATCTGTAGCTTCGAGTACTGTCCTGGGACTACAGAAACGACCGCGTCCTGACCATGGAGAACAGCGGTGAGAGCCGAAACGTCGTCATAGTCGACGACTGCATACTTGACGCCGCGGATGTCGGATTTTTTACTTCCCCTGGTGAGGACCGTAACAGTAAAGTCGGACGAGCCAGCTAAGCTTCTGACCACATAAGATCCGAGATCACCAGTGCCCTATTCATCTTATTAGATCCAAAAAAAAATAGCTCCATTTATTAAGCACTGAATGACCAGAGCTAGGGAGCTGTGGTTCTTTGGATTGTAAGATTTACACCGACAACCGCAATGTTCTTCATTTTGGCAGTGAATATCGTACTAAGAGTAGCGGTGAGTCGATGCTTGGGAAGAGAACAAAGGAATAAAATTATCGCTTTAATGCTAGAATTGCTTGGTTTATTGTTGAGCGTTCGTATTAAGTAGTAGCTGAAGGACCTCGGCCACCGGTAAAGATCAATGTCCGACATCCTGGATCAAGCTCTCCCAGCGTGGGGCCGATGCCAAGTCCGATTGGCCTGAGCATATTGGCTCTGTTGTTTAGCAGCCGGTAACAGTTATTTTTAGGCAGCGAATGATATGTAGGAACGATTGCTATTGCGGACACATTATGTGAACTGTGTGAACTAACCTTATGGGATGATATGAGCATATGAGGTCAGAGAGCAAGCCAGCGAAAGATGTTGCGTTTTGCTCTCTGGCTTTGAGACGTTGTCAAAGTGTTGATTTGATACCATGATTTCGCCTCAGAAAGGTTCTCGCTGATTCTGGATCTGTGCCAAATTTGCATGTGTGCTAAATACCATGGCACCAAAAGCCCATAGATCCATCAGTCTCCTCAGTGAGTTTACACTCGACGGTCTTGTCATCCTTGTCTAATCTGCCCGCCTTATAAAACCATGCCTGTTCAATATCGGCAACTTCCAACTTCATCCATCCTCGATAGCTCGGAGGATCGGTAGACGGATCGTAATCCCGGATCGATTGGTAATCAAACAACCACAACCAGCTGTCCCCGCGATTCCTCCACTGTATTCTCTCTTGGAGATCTCTCGGTGTACGTTGAGGTGGTGTTTTATCTGATAGCTTGACAAGATCATGGAGTGAGGTTGAATCGACGGCAAGAAAGAGCAGCATTCTAGGCGTGGTCGCAAAACCTCTCTCCTCTGGATCTCCTCCCACGCTAATGGCCCAGCTGGAAAAGCGATCACAAAGGAGTTTGATATCCTCAAGGTTGGCATCCTTCAGTTTCGGAATGTTGAGATTCTCCTTATCTTCAATGACCTCAACGCAGAACCGACGCGCAACCTCATCGTTAACAGATCCATTGGACTTTCTTCCTTCTTCACCCTTTTCACCCCATCTGGGGAAACGGCGCCAGTGAACCCAAAACTCGGTAACCCATTTCTGAAGTTTCTTCACCGCAATTGGGAACAGCAGGTCGGATTCTTCAGTGTATACAGTGCGAAGAACTTAAGAGCGTCATTTAGCTGCTATACTTGAGATAAGACGTAGAAGCCAAGGTAGTGTGACGTACTGGTATAGCCCCAAGTACCTCTAGCATATTTTAAGTCTTGTGAACAGTACATGACATCAGAAAGTGTCCGCATATGCCAGATTGCAGTACTGTCGCGGTTTGGAATTGGGGGCCTAAGAGAGTCGGTGATGTACTCTTGAGGCGGGGACTCGAACGTTTGTTGTATAGACATGGTGTTTGAGGGTCAGTAGCAACTCTTTGGGCTCCTGCAATGGCCAGGCCGGATACTTCTAGACCAAGACGGATACTTGAAGGTCAGGAGGACGCGGCCACGGGGCATTGTACGCGACGCAAAAAGAGGGACTCCGTTGGCCGGCACACCGGGTACTGTAGCCTGGGTATGTCCCACTGCAAACACATCGGTCGCCTTCATGATCACCGACCCATTGTTGGTTTTATTGTCTAAAAAAAGTCTCTCTATGTTGGATCTACCCTAAGTTCTCTGAAACGCCCTCAATATCGCGAGGCTAACAACGGGATACGACATGATCTTGTCATGCAATCCATGCTTGACAATTTGCTCTCGGATGGATCCCTTCTTTGTCACTCGGTTTACAAGCCATCCGCCAGCACCCAACCGCAGCCTTGCTTCCTCTTTCTCATTCTCCAAGTCGTCGTAGCTTATTCCCTCTGCGGTAGTGGCGTTTATCGCGTGCCAGAAGATCTTTTCGCTATGAGACCATGGAATATCGTAGTCGTCCTCGGCATGGATGATTGTAATGTGGTATCTCGAGTCGTCCCCAGGCAGAGCTTCCACTCTGTTGATAAAGTCGGCTAGTTTGTCCTTGCTAGGCCATTTGCTGATGACGAATGTATGCAAGAGACTCAAGAGGCGAGGGAAATGCGCCAAGGGATCGAGTATGGGGATGACGCCACCAACCCGATAAGTTGCAGTAAGAAGTTCGACATCGACAAACGGCGCAACAAGTACCATGCCAGAGAAAAGAGTCGGCTCATCCTTGGCCGCCATGTACTGTGTCAGCGAGATGCTAACTGCTGTTCCGAGAGATTGTCCAAATATCACAATACGTGAAGGAGGAATATTGGCTTCTTTCATGGCCCACTCCGCAAGAGTGATGGCATCGATCAGAAGTCCTTCTTCGGAGGTAGAGCCGGTGCTTGATCCAAAGCCCCTGTAGTCTATGGCGACGGTGTGGATTTTGTTGGGCGAAGCGGCATGCATGGCTCTATAACTGGGCGGTCGCCAGCCAGACCCTAGAGTACCTGCAGCTCCGTGGAAATAGAGCACTAGGAGAGCCTCTGGGTCATCACGAAGCAACTGGAATCCGAGACTTTGGGCGATGTCGGGGACAATCCCAGAAGGCTCTGCAAGTAGCTGCTTCTCATGCTTCTGGTAGAGCCCCACAGGCAAGATGTGCCAAGCGTGCAAGGTCTCTCCATCTCGCGTCTTCAGAGTGAATGGAGTGACTTGATTGTGGAGAAACCCCCACTGTTCTGGGATAGTGACATCCTGGAACCAAGTGAGGGTTACGCTGTTGAGGTAGATGACCTGGTTTTGGAAGAATGGGACCGTGAGGAGAGAGATGAAACCAAGGTACAGTGAGATGGACCCTGTAAAAGCCCAAATGGTAGCCTGAAGCGGCGAAGGACGTGCCATGTCAGAGAGGGTTGAGGCTGCGATGGCCGGTTGAATGGATTGATGTGGTGAAGTTGTTGGGTTGAGAGAAGGCTAAGCCGGCACAAGAGCCGTCGCAACACCCAGAAACAGAAGGATTCGAGGCTGGAACTGGCCTCTTAAATGGCCGTTCCTTGCTTATCTTTCCAGGCGAAACTGGAGATGTCGGAGCGCGTACTCGGACGAAGATATTAGGATGAGGAAGGGAAAAGCGATAGCCGCCGCGGTGGGTCTATAGCCAATCTGAGACTGAAATTGGCGCTCAATGCCTGAGGCCGAAACACAGTCATGTACCCCTGCGGCGTCGGGTTTCAATACGCCAGAACGGGCTTCAACTCTGGCGGCTCGCCCGCGAGAGCCAGTTACAATGCGTCTCCAAGCGCTCAACCGCAGATTGTGTAGGATATAATTAGAGATTATTGGGGGCACACCACGGACCGGCCCGAGTCGAAATGGTAAAGGTAAGGAAGTTTAATGTCTCCCCATAATTTCTAATGTCCCATGTATTGCAACGATTCCCCTTGCTCCAACGCACTGCCCCAAACCCCACGATTGTCAATTACGCTCTACACTAAGATCTAGACAACTGGTTCGACTCAGCCACGATCGAATCGCGACGCTACATCGCTCATCTGATAATACGAACCCATGGCGGAATGCCTCGTCACCAAAAGCTATCTGCAAGATTGCTTACCGGTCCCAAATACTGGACGCATTTCAGGATGGGTTCATGAGCCCTCATTCCGAGGCACCTGGCAGATTCTATGGAGCTGTCTCGTCACCATCTTCCTCTGCACTCATACTCTGCTCTGCCTCAACATTCCAGCACCAACCGATACATGGTTCAGCATGGTCCGTCGTCGAATCAAGTGGATGGTCCTGGCTATCCTTGGGCCCGAGATCGTTCTCACCTACGCGGCTGGCCAGTGGAGCAGGGCTCGTCACTCGGTCGAATACTTCCACAAGTCTGGCTACACACAGTGGACAATGCGTCTAGCTTTCTTTGCGGACATGGGCGGATTCGTTTTGCATGCAAAAGACAGCGACCCGTTTCCACTGAATGCGAAGCACTTACACTGGTTGATCAAGAATAAACACGTCGATTACCCATGCGTCAACGCCGCGGAGATATGGGACAAGTCTAAGCAAGATCGCCTCACCAAAGTCATCACCGCAATTCAGGTTGGACATCTTGTAGTGGAATGCATCGGACGAGTCGCTCAAGGTCTCGCCGTCACAGCATTGGAGCTTAATACTCTCGCAATCGTCGTGTGCTCGCTCATGACGGCCTTTGCTTGGCTGCACAAGCCAGCGGACGTGCGAACCCCAATCTCCATCGTCACTGACAAGAGCATCGCCGACATTACGGAGAACAGAGCATGGAAAAACACGCCGCTTGATTTTGTTGACGAGAATGGCCCTGGTTGGTCTATCAACGTACAGCCGTTTATGCGAATGCCAGCCACCCCAGCCAACCGGCCCATCCAGTGCATCCCAAATGACAGGTTTCCCATGAATCCCTATGGGATACAAGAGTACTGTGTCTGCTTTGCGACGCTGCTATTCACAGGTCTCCACATTGCTGGCTGGAACTTTTCCTTTCCTACGCAACTTGAACGAACCCTGTGGAGAGTGACGAGCCTGATACTATTTGGAGTGACGGCTGCATTCTGGGCCCTCGAGACGGTGGCTTCGTGGGTGCGACTCGGCCGATGGAAGTGGCTTTACCTCCGCTTCTTCCATCGTGAACGGCTAAGCGAATTTGAGGCCGCGCAGCAGGAGAAGTTAGACCAGGAGCGCTCTGACAAGCAACCTACCGAGTTGCCATTGCCCTGGGAATTTTGGACGATAATGCCCATAGCCGTTTTATATGGTGTTGCAAGGTTTTATCAGATTATTGAAGCCTTTGCTGAGCTGAGGGAGGTTGATGCAACGGCGTTTGTGAATGTTAACTGGTCTGTATATTTCCCTCACATTTAGGGAATCCGAGGTATAGCTGTATGAATAATGAACTTTTACGATGGTCTGGATTTTAATATTTCAATCTTTTTTTGACATAAATGGCCACGAGAACATGTTTACTTTGCGGCCAACTGACACAGGCCATTCCACAAGCAACGGCTTGGTAAGATCATAGCATAGGCTAGCTGAGAGTTCATGGTGGCGACTTGCTGATGGATGAGCGAACGAACGGACGAACTGACGATAATGGATGCAAGTTTGGTGAATGTTGATGATAGATGGGTAAAGTGTTAATATTTAGTCCATAAAATTTTATACCATAATAGATAGATACCATAATAGATAGGAGTATTATTCCTACCCTAAAATCTTAGAGAGCACTAAGAAGATATACTTACTGTCTGGCCACGCCGCCTTTCCAGCTACCTTTTCACACTAAAATACGAATATTTTCAAATTCTATAGTAAATCAGCTAGATATAATGACTTTTGAGTCTAGAGACCGACTTACTACTCTTAACAACCTTGCATTTCTCAAGAGCTACAGAGTGAGATAAGTAAAGGTCGATACTTGGGTTAGCGATTACTTTGGTGTTGCTGCTAGAGTTGAGATTTAAATATACTGTTCTATTGAGCAGAGTCTGTTATATATTCTTTCCAAAAGGAAATAACATGCTATTCCATTTTAAATACATAAATATAAGTCAGTTGTTAAAAAATGAAGCTAGTAAATAATAAAATACTAAGCAACGGGCAAACAATGGAATGGATCTGGAAATGGCAATTGCGGGGCACAATTATTGGGACACGGTTATTTGGATAGGATAATAGTCTATAAACCCTACCGGAGAGTGTATAGAGATCTATGTTAGGGTGGTAATTATAAAAACGTTGAGAAAGGTATACAGAAATCCTGGAGTTGCAGGCGTTCACAAACGGAACCTTTACTCGTCATCCTCATCGTCATCATCCTCATCCTGGTCCTCCTCATCTTGGTCCTCCTCCTCATTATCGTCACTCGACTCCTCCTCATCCTCATCCTTGTTATCGTCCTCATCCGCATCCTCATCGGTGGTGTCATCAGTGTTGTCGTCGGAGCTGTCATCCGAGCTGTCGTCGGAGTTGTCATCCGAGTTGTCATCGCTGGATCCAGTGTCGACGGCGGAAGGGGTGGACTCAGATGACTCGGAAGTGGTAGCAGGAGTAGCAACATCCGAGGCAACGGAAGAAACAGTGTCTCCAGATCCGGTTCCAGAGCAGGTGCCAACCTTGGTGGGCTCGCTGCCGTCAGTGACACCCTCAAAGTCAACGCACTCCTCATCGACACCGCTGATGCTGATGCCGGAGATGCTGGCAGTGTCACCCATGTTGGAGTTGATGCCAACAAGGATGTCACCGTTGGAAGCAGAGCCACCAATGACCTGGACGTGGCGGTCGGGCATGTCGTCGCAGTTACCGCAGCTGCGGTAGAGCTTTCCGAAGTCGGAGACGGTGAAGTCGCTGATGATGACGGTACCGCCACCGTTGTGCTGGATCACCTTGTCCTCGGCGCCAGTGGCACCGCCGCCGTTGATGTTGGTGGTCTGACCGGACTCCTGCTTCTTGATGCTGAAGGCATCCTCGCAGACGGCATCCCACCAGACGTCGTTGATGGTGCAGCCACCGTTGCAGTGAACACCCTCGATCTGGTTAGGACCTGTAGTCTTTATTAGTTTACATCCTCAAACGAAACGTGATTCAAGAAGTTCAAACGTACCAATGATGACGTTGGACAGAGTAGCACCGCTCTCCAAGATGAAGACGGCATCGGAGTCTCCACCCTCCTCCTGGCCAGTGCAGGAAACACCTCGGTCGTACATGATATTGCCACCGTCGAAGCTCTCGCCAGCGGCAATGGTCATGGGGGCATCGAGAACGCTGCTTCCGGCGGCATCAGGCTGCGCGCGCTTTGCCAAGCGGTGGAAAGCTCGGGGAGCCTTGGTGATCTGAGGCGGGGCAGGGCTGGCGTAGACAGCGGTGGTCAGGGCCAAGCAGGCGGCGAGGGTCATTCGGTACTGCATCTTGAAGTTTGGAAAGAAGGTGTTGTTGGGATTGTTAAGAGGAAATAAAAACCCAGGTAGTCAAGCCGGCTTGGTAGTTGGGATAAGAACGAATGATCAAGCACAGCTTGTCGAAATGAGAGAAGTAAGGAAGAGAAGGTGGTGATAATGAAGCTGGGATGAGGAGAAGAGAGAGAAGGGTTTGCTGAGAAGAAAGGACTCGGATTTATATACAAATGTTCATCACGGTCGCGATGTTGGCCGTGGTTCCAAAACGGAATTCTCCTCCGTCCTCTCCAATTTAGGTGAGGCTCCCGCATGCGACACTGACGGTCTCAATACCCTAATGCCAGTAAGCTTTTTAGCGACTGGTAGGGGGGCTATATCGATGGATCCTTGTTAGTGGAACGAAATAGCGCTGAAAATGGGCCTCACCTGTTTCACTCCCTTCGAACCCGGCGTGTCTCTCATCGCAGGCATGTCACCAGAACCCTGCGAGTGGAGAGACATTGGAAGACAATTGGATTGAAAACTGGATCCCGCATGTTTCAGTCCGTACGAACCCAGGTTGCATGTCATCGTCCGCGGCCCAACGTGGTGCCACTCTTTTGTTGTTTGTGGAGTAAGCATACAATTGAGCATGTAACAAAGCCAGTCAACAACCATAAACCTGAAACGGATCCGCGGATCGGGACGGCTTAATTTGTGATTGGCTTAGAAACCGGCCAAGGCGATGAAATCGTGTTTCGACTTGATCCCACGGAGAAATGTCTACTGAAACGCGGAAAGAAAGGACGCGCGAGGATTTGGCTCGGGCTGTGAATGAAGATGTTTGGTATTTCTTCGCTTCTATCTGAATGATGCATTACTGACTAGACGGCAAATTGAATATAACGCGTCGGGCGCTTTCTCATTCCCAGCATCGCGAAGCCTGATCTTGAACTCGCAGAATCAACCATAACCGCCGCTTGCCAAGAACCGCCCACCCGTACATGTTTCAGCCCTTGAGAGATTGAAGTTATACTTACTGGGTTTAAGGTACGCGCGTTGTGCACAAGCCCTCACCGGGGCCAGGATACTCACGATCGGCAAACCGCTTGCCCCTGTTCGTCGTTCCCCGGGACCTTCGTCCACTACGCCGCACCCACAACGGGACGCGTGGCTCAGGGGCCGGACAGCCTTTGCCAATCGTTTCCCACGTCGTCCGTCATCGGGGGCGAAGCCGCCGCGGCTCTGCTGAGAACAAGGTCGCAGCGCGAGGCTTCTACCATGTTCCGCCGTTGTTCCTCCGGACACTATTCCCGCCTCGCCCTTGGTACATTGCTACCCTCCAGCTATCCGGTCTTACGTGTGTTGGTTATTGCTCGTATTCTCCACATTTACCAATATATTGCCCCCTTAAGTGGAGTGATAGAGCACTGACAGGCGCTGGTTATTGACGTGCTGACTCGCATTGTGAAAATGCACTCTTTACGACTGAGTTAGCCCAAACTGCAAACTCTACTCAATTGACCAATCGTGTATTATTCCTTTTGCCACTGCTAAACGGGTTGTATAGACTGCAGTAGCGGAGGGCATTCTAGCTTTGCTCAGACTGCTTGGCATCTCCGGATCTCCCACACAGCCGGTCGATGGTGTGGAGGTAATATTACGCAAACATGGCTGTCGTCACTTTGAGCACATCCCCACAGAGGTAGTGCAGCAGGGGTCGGGGTGCTGGTTCAGCTATGGTCGTTACCGACAAGGTGTCGTAATGGCGGCAAACTGTGACGACTGTGTGGGTTTTGTGGAACGGCGTTATCAATCGGACATCTTTCATCAAAGTGAGACGTCTAATTAATTAGTTGTCTGTTCATAAATAAAAATAGATTTATACATATTGGAAGTACGCAGCACCACATCATGTTTGCCTTTCCGCTATCCTCCGATACGAGCTATTAGAAAACAAAAGGCTGCCCGAATGAAGATAAAGTTAGCTGCACAAGAAAAGGCGTACCCCTTCCACTCTTGAGCAGAACCACAGAATTCTTCAGTAGCTGAATCAGCTGCTGCTCCGATTTTTCGAACTCCTGTTACTAACCGTCACCAGTACAATATCGATCAACACGTAGTAGAACAGCGGTCACTTCATCTCAAGAAAGCCCTACCCTAGAAGTGACGCTTTTTTTTATACCTGTTTCTCACCGACGCGTTGCCCCCTGACACGATTAATAAATATCCTGCGGAGAACGATCGAGGTGCATAGGAGATAAGAGGCTCGCATCACCAGATGCCCTTCCCGTCCACCCTCCGTATTGTGCAGTAGTATCATCCACCATCTCCACCTCTCTTGAAGACCAGTTGAGCCAAATCAGCGGTCAAAAGTCTCTCGTCATACCGCTTGTAATCTACAGACGAAGCGGTGTATCCAGTTGTAGTGCCCAAAGCCTGACAGTAAGCAACGTCATCATACCCGGTTACAACACAACCTGGCCCACACAAATCGATGCAAAGGTATTCGCATTGGTCAAGGTATCAACCGCTATTGTACCCACTTACATTCACTGTTGGCAGTGTCGGAATGCCGCCGGTGCAGACGATGCAATTTCCGAGGACGCGTAGACTCGGGGTGGATGTGGTGGACTCTGGAGCGCTGGTATTACCTGAAGCTTGTCGATGACGGTCATGGACACAAATAGCACTCGTGAATGCGAGCAGAGCAAACGTGGCTCGAGTTTTTCTCAAGAAACGCGGAAGCTTGATTTACGATGTAGGCGGAGGCCAAGGGCGTCAGATCCCTGGCGTAAACTTATTCCTACCATGAAGTTGTCACAGTACCGCAGCGCTCGTGACCCTACTCCGTGGTACTATTACTGGAATCTCTTGTTTCTGTCAGGGCCATGAATGGCTGGGAAGTTCGCCAACTGAGGCGTCAATCGCAAGTAGCGGCAGTAATAGCTTCATCAACCATTGAGACCAAATTCCTCGACGTCGAAGGCTTTCCTATTGATGTTCAGCCACATGCCGCAACTGATCTCACTCGGCCGGGCGGCCTGCGTAGGAGGCTAAAAGAATTCCGTGCAATTCTCTAATGCCAAGGAAAATATGAGGGAGCGTGTTTACCAGACCCGTAAGCAAACGGAGGCCCAGCGGTTGGATGTGTGGGTCAGGGGCCTGATTGTTTCACATCCCGGTCAGGTCGATCACGGCGGCTGGGAGACGAGTTGAAGACGACTTTTTCAACAGTGGCGCCACATGAGGCCAGTTGTGAGGGCGAGTACGTGATGGTTGCTGCTTTTGTCAGCCAAACTCTAAGTGAAGCCATCTCGCCGCACATTGGAGCATTCCAGATGTGATTCATGCGATTCAAGGCCGTGAAACACCTTTCGGACGGGGGCCAGCCTCAGCTTGGCGCCATTGACGATGTAGTGGAGTTTGCCAAGATGGCCAAGCCGTGATGGCGATAGGCGAATGGGCGCGCGTATTCTGGAGGAATACTGGATTAAAGCGTGTTGACAGGCTGGTGATTATTGCTAAGAAGCTAAATGAAACTTGAGACACAGCGGGCTCTCCCCTCACAATTGTCCAGTAATTTGGTAAGTAACATATCCTTAGAGGTATTTATGTGCATTATTTCCGTCCAACAAAGTGAGTGGTTGTCCAATATGAGGTTTACAAGCTGCAATTAAGGGCTTTGCGTCAAGGAGTGCTCTCTGTTTCTCCTAAGCCAACAGCACGCTATCAATCTCCCGTGGAAGAAAACCATATGTAACGGAAGACAGCTATAGGGTAAGCGAAGCAGAAATGTCGGCTTAGATAAAATGTCGGATTTTAGCCGGCCCGCGCTACAACAGGCCAGGGAATATTAGTTGAGTCCATTCGGAGCCGGTATCCCCGAGCAAGATGATTTACACACACATACTGCGACTGACACGTATTATTGGTGCGCTTGCTTGACCTTGGTTATGAATGCCAACTTTATGTCCACTCTCATACCTACAATGCAAGGCCACAAGACACCGCTGATCCCCCGCAGTAAAAGAACCTTTTGTCTCCATGTCTCCATGTCTCCATGTCTCCATCGAGTTAGATACAAACGATGATCAATTGTAGTCAAGGAATTGACCAACAGTTCGGCTCATTCACCTCCATGCCGAATTGGTGATAGCCAGCAGCGTTACACTCAATTCCGCCTACCGCCGAGTCATGGACTCTGAGCTTCTCGGACGAGTGCCAGTCGCCCATTCTCCCGATGCCCGTTGCCCCTGCGAATTAGTACCATGAGCAACAGCAACGTGGTAATCGTCTCCATCGCGGGGTGCGGAGAGGATCTGCCGCCACAGCATCTCGGCCGTTGTTTATTCGCATTCGCCCACAACCCGATGCATAACGGGCGGCAGCCGTCGCGTGTGAAATCCCGGGGTAAACTGTCCGAAAAATAAGCCGACTGTCATATGATTGATACGAATATTTGCGAGGATTCAATTATAAGGAAGCCTCGTTCGCTCTGTGACAGACGACCACACCAACCTCCAAGGCCAGGATATCTCGACCGCAGAAACCATGGCCAACAGCACCCAGGAAAACGAATTCGAAGGGCTTGTGCTCAAGGACATGATCCCAACGGGCCGCAAGCCCTGGTACAAAGATGGCACGCTCCTCAAGCTCAACACGCTGCTGCTGTGCGCGCTCCTCACGCAAACCGCCACGGGCTTCGACGCCAGCATGATCAACGGCATGCAGTCGCTGCCCAAGTGGCAGGAGTTCTTCGGCCAGCCGACGGGCTCGCGACTGGGCGCCATGACCTTTGGTCCGACCGGAGGTGTCCTGATATCCGTCTTGGTTTCGTCGCAGCTCTGCGACATCTTTGGGCGGCGATACCCGATTCTCGGCGGGTCGTTGATCATCATCTTTGGCTCCATCATACAGGCTGCCTCTGTCAACTATGGCATGTTCGTCGCTGCTAGATTCTTGGTTGGATTCGGCCTTGGAATCGTCTCGGTGGCTGCGCCTCCTCTGCTCTCCGAGGTAGCGTACCCAACTCACCGCGGCAAACTGGTCTCATTCTATCTCACATCGTGGCCACTTGGGTCGCTGATCGCTGCGTGGACTACGTACGGCAGCTTTCAAATGCACAATTCCTCCTGGAGCTGGAGACTGCCCAGTCTCTTGCAATGCGTCTTCTCCGTCATCCAGGTTGTGCTCAGCCTATTCGCCCCGGAATCCCCTCGATGGCTCATCTACAAGGGCCGCAGCAAGGAAGCCTTTGACTTCTTTGTCAAGTACCACGCCGATGGCGACGTCAATTCACCGCTGGCGCGATTCGAGATGGCAGAGATCACGGCGACTTTGGAGATGGAGAAGATCCAACAGAAGTCGCGCTGGAGCGAGTGGGTGTCCTCCAAGGGCAACCGACATCGACTCTTCCTCGCGCTCTACATCCCGGCCATGATGCAGCTTTCAGGCAATGCTTTAACCGTAAGTCCTACCAGAACTGATCACCCTCTAAAGAATGCGCTTGCTGATTATTATTTGTAGAGCTACTACCTGGCAAAGGTGCTCAAGTCCATCAACATCACCAACTCCCGAACCCAACTCATTGTCAACGGCTGCCTTTCCCTCTGGGGCTTCCTTGTGGCTTGCGTCTTCGCCTCACTCGTCGACAAAGCCGGTCGTCGTCGTCTATTCCTCTCCGGCATGCTAGGAATGGGCTTGACATACATCGTTTGGACGACTTGTTCTGCACTCAACCAGGAGACCGGCTTCAAGAAAACTGGCTATGCTGGCGCGGTTCTGGCCATGATCTTCCTCTACTCAGCCTTTTACCACGTCTGCTCTCCCGTCCCGCCGACTTACATCATGGAAGTGGTGCCGTATTCACTGCGATCGAAGGCGTCTATGCTCTACCAGTTGACGGGCAATCTTGCCGGCATCTACAACAGCTTCGCCAACCCGGTCGCGATGGACGCAATTGGCTGGAAGTACTACATTGTGTGGTGCGTCGTCATCTTCTTCCACCTGACGCTCATTTACTTCTTCTTCCCGGAGACCAAGGGCCGGGGTCTTGAGGAAGTGGCCGTGGTTTTCGACGGTCCGGACGCCCTTGTGGGTGCCAATGCGATGAAGCAGATGGGTATGGATGTCAATGGAGATGACGCTCTGGCGTTTGGCAAGGGCAAGACCGCGACGGAGCAGGTGGACCGAGTTTGAAGGGAACAAAAATTAAGCTGTCGGATAGTTGTAGATAGTTTTCCAGGTCAAATGCGATTTTTGTTATCTCCCCAACCTCCTCACGACGATCATGAACTAGTTCGTACTAATCACTGCTAGTTGCGTCCCCCTATCCGGCAGATTAAAGCCACTCTGCCTCGTCGAATATAATTGGAGGGCTAATAGCATCGGGCATCGGGCGAATGCTCGACTCTACAGCCGAGGCGAGTCCTCGGCTTCTCTCTTCCCCGCACGAATCCTCCACACCATCCATCATGGGTAGAATCCGGGGTGTGGGGTGATGCCCAACGCTGATCCTGGTCGCTCGGGGAAGTCGGAGCGAAGGTGAGTGGAGATCGGATCATCTCATGGCGAATCCAGTCTCCCGCGTGAGTGGCTCAGGCTTCACATCATCAATCAATCGGGGATTGTGAGCTCTTTGCTTAACGCGCGTTGAATTTGATTAACACGACTGTTCCATGGATCTTTCGAATGCTGGCGACGATGATCGCGCTGTTGGCGAGGGCGACTTGGGCTCCTGTCAAGGCTGTCGGAAGCGCAAGCTGAAGTGTTCGAGAGGAGTCCCAGTGTGTTCCCATTGCCATCGACTAGGTAAGCTCCCACTGATAGGCAGACACAACTAGCCACGTCAATATGTACCCCCTTGTGGCTGATCAGTCTGACCCGTTACCTCCCTCTTAGGTTCATCGTGCGTCTATGACGGGAAGAAGAACAAGCCGGGACTAAAGCCTGGGGCCGTAGAGGGACTTAGCCGCCGCATCGGTATGTTGCCATGTTGTTTCAGTCTAACTGCCGCTGCAAATAGGACAAACATAGCTAGTGGCTAGCATGCTGACGTCCAGCTAGACGCGCTGGAGAATGCGCATCTCGAGAAACAGAGAGACGGGGAGCGTCTTGAGACTTCTCTCAACGTCCTGTCAAACCTGAGCATGCAATTATGCAACCTCATCAGCAAAACCGGGTCTCTGGCATCCATGGCAACCCCCGAACAACCAGTCGGTCATACGAACACCCACACCGCATCACCAGCGAGCTCGGTATCATGGCAGAACCACGAGGCGCCCAACTCCACCGGCCCGTCGACGATGCGCCCGCGGAAGCGGAGACGTCTAGACAGCTGCGGGAATCCACAGCTCGAAATCCAACTCCCTCTTGAGGATTTGACCGATGCCGCTTCGAATCTTCCTCCGCCAGATTTGCTGGAGGATGTCGTTGGCTCATACTTTACCTACATCCAGCCTTGGATCCCTATCCTGCACGAGACCTATTTCAGAGCTCGGATACACGATACTGAGCAGAGACCGAATCTCACTGTTGTTTTGCATGCTATAGTAGTTGCGGCGATCCGATTTGTACAACCGGAAGGTCAAAGTTTCAGTTCTCACGATCTAGAAAGCTGGGCAAAGAAGTCAAGAAGTATCGTCCTACTTACCGCTATGAACGGGTTATCGGTGGAGAACCTCCAGGCATTGATCATTATTGCATACGACGATGTAAGATGCTTCTCACCAATCACTTCTATAAGCTACTAACATCTTGATAGATTGGTCATGGCAACGCTTCTAAAGCCTGGTCAATTATCGGCTCATTGACTAGAACCGTGGAATACCTTCAACTCAGCATCGAATGCGAAGAGCACGATACGCAGCCACTTCTAAAACCTCTCCTGTCCTTGCTTCCAACTCGACAGTGGGTCGAAGAGGAAGAGAGGAGGCGAGTATTTTGGAGCATCTTCAACTTGGATCGCTTTTGTTCAGTCACAACAGGGTACGCCATCTACGAGCGTCACTAGTAAGCTCGGAAACTGATTGCTGTTTTATAGTTGGAATACCAGTCTTACGGCAGACGATGTCCACCGAAGGCTCCCTGCTGACGGGGATCTATGGCACAAGGAAGAGGCTGTCACTACTCCATACTTTGGAATATGGGATCGATCCGCTGCCAAGATTGGAAACTCGATTGCATTTCTACCAACCGGCTATTCTGGCTCTGATCACACTACCCAGTCAGCAATGCAACATGGCTCGCCACAGTCTACATCCCACACTGCCGGAGCACAACCGGACATGTCGGGGGTAGGGGCGTTTGCTTACTGCATCGAGGCAACCGAGTCGTTGAGTCGAGTGACGACATTCTTCTTGCAGCAGAGAATCAATTTTCATGATCGGCAGGAGGTCAGTAGCTGGCTCACGCGATTCAAAGAACTCGACCTCCGCCTGGTACAGTACGACTACCCCTACATCACAGTTGGAATCAAGCTAACGTCGGAATAGTTGGAAAATGTTTCTCCCTCAAAGGTGGAAGGACTCCAATATCTCTCGCCAGCCGACGATCATTACCATGGACCCGAACCTTACGCTCGCTCACGCAACACACAATACGTCCATGATCCTACTACATCAACGCATCGCATATCCACCGGCCGATTGGACGAATATCGTGGAACTTCCAAGCATGTGCAGCGCTGAAATTTGCTGTAATGCTGCAATGGAGATACAGAATATCGCCGCAAAGTATCTGAAAAACACACCCAGCATAAGTCCCGTCGGAAACCAATTCGCCTTTTGTGTATTCGTCGCTGCAAGAGTGTTACTGGGTGAGTCAATTGAACTACTGCTTCCAGAATATCTGCTAAGCCGGACATAGTTCATAGGAGGTATTACGGCTCCGACCTTCCTCGGGAACTCTGGCTACTCGTTGAAAGCTTGGATGGGATGGCGAAAAGATGGCAAGGGTCAACTCAGCCCGCAAACGGCAAAGGACGATCTCTGGCAGGCATCTACGCGGACCATCTGCGAGAACTGCACAGGAGATGCGCCGCAGACCCGAACTTCAGTGTAGACGTGCTTGGTTATTCGACCATTATTTCGAATCAGAATGCTGTACCGGCGCGTGGTGGATTGACCCAGCAGAGCCAGCAGCGGCAAGATGGAGAGGTTGAACAGCAGACACCACGAACGTCTCCTCAACAGCTCGTGCAGGCGTCAAATTCCTCAGCTCGAAGTCTTTCGGGCTCCGTTGGACCTCCATCTGCTGCTCCTCGGCTATGGAACCCTACTGGGAATGGGTTGAACACAGATGGCAGCACGAGGAGCTTCAATAAAAGCAACACTCTTCTCGGTACGCAGTCACACCCTGCTAACGACGAGGCCACAGAAGCCATTCCGCCAGACAGGGTAGCGCCAATGGGGTACAGCACAAGCAATGGATCTCCAAACGATGAGCTTTCCGCCATATCCTACATGCTTCTCGACCAGAGTTTCATGGACATGGATCGAGTTATCAGCCTTGATGATATGCTGTTCTCGATTAATACACCCCCAGCGGCTGGCTCAACAATGCCTGTCGGTATGCCATAGCGTAATACAAGAGGCTGTTTGAGTTGCGGTATATCATGTGCATTGGTCAAGTAGCATTTTGAACAGTTAAAATTCGAAATAATAACATCACCGTTTTGGAGAGCGACAGATGGAGTAGCCTATACATTCATTTCGTCATTGAAAACCAGTAAATACTCTCTATCTTCCAGTCTATCCCTAAATCAAACCAGACCCATTCGTAAAAGGCGATTACCAAATTCAATCAAATAGTAGTCGCCGTAAACAAGACCATGATCCCAGTACCTGCAATGATCTCCAGCATTGTGGTTTGCCGTAGCATTCTTTAGCAGCGCTTCAAACGTTCGACCAGGCTGTACATCCTCCACCGAGACAGCACTCCCTTGAAGCGTGAGTTTCGCCTTTTCATCAGCCAGAGAAAACTTGAGGGCATCTTCTACAAGACTGATGGCTGCATTGAGGTAGCGCTGGCTTAGCTCATGCTCGCCGCATGCTCCTAAGCACTGTGACAGCACCAACATGCTGTTGGCTGCAATTATCCCTGCAGATGAGTCCCGCAGGGGGTTTGTCTCGTCAAAAGGCGCATCGAAGTCCCATGGAGGGACAAAACGTCCACAAGTACTTCGAGGCTCCGCCGTGCCGTTTGAAGCCGCGGTGGCTACAGGTCTCTCGAAACAGCTTGGCAACATCTCAAGTCGAAGCATAAAGTATTCTGCCAATCCACACGAAGCGTCCAGGAAGTCTTTCTGTCCGGTCCATTGGTACGTCTGGGCATAGCCAAGAATAGACCAGGCCTGGCCACGGGCCCAAGTTGAGTCATTGGCAAAACCCTGACCAGTTCGGATCTCTTTCAGGTCGCCGGTAGCAGGGTCAAAGTTGCTCACATGAGCTGTACTGAAAAGAGGGCCATCGTAACCTTCGCGGGTCCCATACTTCCCAGTCTCTGCTCGCAGAAGCGTGCGCATGAGAGTTCGTGCATGCTGAGTGGCGCACTCAGACAACTCGGACTGGCCTGTGTGAGCGGCTGCATAGTACAAGAGGTCCAGGTTGCACATTGAGTCAATGATGACCAAGAAGTCGGTTTCAAGTGATGTGATGTTTACATCCTTTTGAGTGAGGCGATCCCAGGATCGAATTGCGCCAACTGTCGGGTTGTAGCGAGTATACAGGCTCCGAGCTGCTGTCACGACCGAAGAAAGCGCTTCGGCATCATTCAAAAGCTCCCACCGTTGTCTCATTGAGGGTTGAACCATAAATGACATGTCGTGTGTGTCGGTGCGAGTCGCCATGCCATGAATAGGCTCGGACCACAAGGCGCCAAGTTGCTCCAGCTGCTTAGCCACGACGGCCTTGTTCGTTCCGCCGGGCGCCGCGTTTGGATACTTGATAAAGCGTTCCAAGAGGCTGTAAATGGATCCTGGGAAGAAGCCGCAGGTCCAAAAGTCTGCTTCCCGGCATATGTATTTTCCTGCGGCCGACCCGGTCTGCGGAACATATTCTGGGTACTCGGTTATGGGGTACTGTTGATGTTAGATGGTTCACTATAGGATGGTGTCTGAGAGGAGTCTTACGTTGTTTTGCAGAGAATTGATTGCTGTTCTGATTATCTTGGCCGTGATATTCTCCTCAAATAGCTCTTGTAGACGCCGGCCGAGTGGTTGCGCCTTCAAGACCGCGCCATTTGTGTGAGTGCCATTCGTGGCCTGGCCCGCGATGGCGGCATCTTCAGTGGGACTGTCTTGACACATACTGACCATGGCACTGTTGGTCGGGCAGCTCATCCGAGAGTGTTTTTAGCCAGGGAATACTCACGCGGCACCGAGACAAATAAATACGAGTCACTTTCAGCTCTTTTTCGTCGTTACAAATACCTGCAGCGCATCAGCGACTTCGCGAATCCTCCGACAGCGACGGGTTTTCCTATTTTGGCTAGATGCATGGAGGTCCCGGGCAGGCCGGCCGACAACTCTCCCGATGCCCGGCTGGAATGTGAGGAGATCGGGTTGTAGATCTCCGATGCCCAGCGTCGTGTGTTCTTTTGCAGCTATCTCTCAGGAAGTGGTTCGATATGCATCTGATTGGATATTGAATTACGAGCCGTCTTCCATGCCCGAAAATCCCCCGACTGCAACGTATTCGTGTCTTCAGGGATAATAGGCGTAGTAAGTTCTCCTGTCGATACGGCGTCCACCACGCTCTGTCTATTCCTTCGCCATCAACCGTCAAGATGCCTCAATTAAAAGGGTTTTCCGATAATCCATTCCAAACCAGAGATGACTTGGTTTCGGCAGCCATCTCGCTTTTGGAGCCTCTATGCCCCTACTTTTCTCCCGGCCGAGCGCGGATTCGCCTTCCCGTTGCTTCGGGCGCTCATTTCGATGAACCAGCAGCCGACTTGGAAGGCTTTGCGCGCCCGCTGTGGGCTGTCGGTGCCCTCCTGTCGTCGCTGAGCTCAACTGCAAGCCCTCAGTCAGATGATGGTCCCTCGAGCAGGATCCGGAAGCTGGTTGAACCATGGATCGCAGGCATCTGCAACGGCACAGATCCGGAGCACTTCGAATACTGGGGAGCCGTCGGTCAAATGGACCAACGCATGGTAGAGGCCGAAATTATATCCTTTGCCCTGTTATCTGCACCTGAGACATTCTTCCACAGTCAAGATGAGAAAACACAGCACAATATCAAGTCTTGGCTGCTTGGTATGAACGGCAAGGCCATGCCCGACACCAACTGGCGGTGGTTTCGAGTCTTTGCAAACCTGGCCCTCGTTCGCGTTTGCGGCGTTCCCCTACAAGAAGTTTCCACTGTGATGGAATCTGACTTTGCCATATTGGATTCATTCTATCTTGAGGATGGATGGTCAGGTGACGGCCCATGGTTGAGTGCCGAACAGGAAGATCGACAAGCAACGGAGTATGAACGGACAGGGAGAAGAGATGCCATTGGACCTGGGCGCCAAGTCGATTACTACTCCGGAAGCTTTGCTATTCAATTTAGCCAGCTTCTCTACACTAAATATGCCAGAGATATCGATCCTGAGCGAGTGGTCAAGTATCAGCAACAGGCGAGAGACTTTGGAGCCAGTATTTGGAGATACTTTGACGCAGCTGGTAAGTTTGACTGCCAACCTGATCTAATCAAACCTTGAAGCACAGCTGAAGCAGTGATTTACAGGCTCCGCAATTCCATTCGGTCGATCTCTGACCTACAGGTTTGCATGCGGTGCCTTCTTTGCAGCTTTGGCTGTCGCCAAGGTTCCCGACATGCCCTTCCCTTTATCGGAACCTGGTTGGGTCAAAGGCTTCCTATTCCGCCATCTACACTGGTGGGCCAAGAACTCGGAAAACATCTTCTACACGGACGGCACTATGAACATAGGCTGGCTGTATCCGTAAGATTTCCTCACTATACCATTTATACTCGATTCTCTTCAGTAAGACTAACCATACTTAGCAACATGTTTATGTGCGAGGACTACAATTCACCACAGTCGCCATATTGGTGCATGAAAACCCTCATCATAGTGTCGCTGGGGCAGTCAGATGAGTTCTGGACAGCTGAAGAACAGCCATACCCATCATTATTCCAGCCCACACTTGTCCCTGCACCAAAACAAATCATCAGCAATCACCCGCTTGGCAACCACCACTTCTTTCTGTCCCCGGCCCAGTTTGTCGCCTGGCCGATGAAGGCATCGCAAGCCAAATACTGCAAGTTTGAGTACTCATCTGCTTTTCCCTTTTCCGTTCCCACGGGTCCATTGATCCAGCAAATGGCTCCTGATTGCACGCTGGCCCTGAGTCGTGATGGAGCAGAGACTTGGGCTGTCAAGTGGAAGTGCTCGGAAGCAACATTCCCTCAGGTGAGCCTGAAAGGGAAGGACGGCATAGTCTCAATTATCGCCGCCTCCGTGCGTTGGTATCCTTGGAGTGACCGGCAGGTTGAAGTTGAGACGATGCTCATTCCACCGACGAATAGATGGCCAGACTGGCATGTTCGCGTCCATCGAATCCGCATCCACAGCTCATTGCGCACTTTGCATACCATTGAAGGTGGTTTTGCGTCGCCATTGTGCTGCACAAAAGACGGCACCAAACTTCCCCGGATGAAGGATTTCAACATGGATACAGAAGGAATCTTCGAAAATCGGGACTCTGTTCTGATCCACTCAGCTGCGGGATGCAGTGGAATTTCAGCAACACCACTTCAAGCAACATCCCCATGGAGTTCCATAAGTTCAAAGGGTTTGCAGCCAGACACCAATACGAACTTAGCCTATCCAAGAACTGCGATCCCAGTCGTCGACCGCAATATTGTTAAGGGTCTCGAGGCTGGTCATGAAATGATTTTTGCTACGAGTATATTTGCTATTGCAACTGCGGCAAATGGTGGCAGAATGATTGAGGGTAAATCCTTGACAGAAAGATGGAGTGACAAACCTCTGGTTTTCACTGAGGTGCCTGATTCTTCAACGCAAGAGATGAATTATATTCTTGTCAACATGTAGTTGTGTGCCGGATTAGTACCACAGATCTATTTGATTCATTCTCTCCATTAATGTAGCTCGAGTTAGATACATCCTTGACTGACCAACATTACAACTGGTGACGAAAGGTCCTAACCAATATTACAGCATAGGCAAGATATCTTTCACGTTCACAACCTGGCCTGTGGCGATGGACTTATTCGCCGCAATACCTGTGAGGATAGACAGCGCGCCGTCGACATGACTTGCAGCTCGCATAAACTCATCACTGACAGGCTCACCAAACAAGTCCCTTAACAGCACATCGTCACCCCCGCCATGGGCGCCAGTACCGGCATCGATGTCGATATTCTGCGGCTTCTGGAAAAGCGGCTTCAAGACAAGGGAGATTGCATCTGCAGAGCCCTCACCTGCCTGGTCACCACCCGAGTTGACATAGCTGTTTTCGACCACCTCCAATTCCAGTCTGCCGCCCGTTCCGTTGAAATTCACGTGGAAGCCTTCCCAGGGCGCGTACGCGGTGAGCGAGTATGTCATTACTGCGCCGTTCTGATACCTCACGAGCAGATTCATTGTGTCCTCGATGCTGATGCCGTCGCCGAATACACTCTGGTCGCGGTAGTAGGCGTCTTCGTGTTCGGCATCCAGGTACATGGCCTTGAGCTGCGGGTAGTCCTCCAAATGCAGGGCGAACGGGTCTGTCTTTGCCACCTCACTACCGTGTGCGCGGGTGTAGAACTTGGTTTCTCCGCGAGATTCTGCGTTCTCGCGGCCGTAGAATTTCAGGTCACCCTGCGCGTAGACAGTCGCTGGTCGAGTCTGTAGCCAAAAGTTGATCAAGTCAAAATGGTGAGTAGACTTGTGCACCATCAACGAGCCCGAGTTGCGCTTGTCGCGATGCCAGCGCCTAAAGTAGTCCGCGCCATGGGCTGTGTTTAGCAACCACTCGAAGTGCACACTGGTCACTTTGCCAATGGCGCCAGATCGCAACACCTCGAAGACTTTTGTGTTGTGCGGTGCATAGCGGTAGTTGAAGGTTACACGGACTTTGTTGCCTGTCCGCTCCACGGCGTCAAAGATCTCGATGCAGCGTGGAGCATCAATCGTCATGGGCTTCTCCGTGATGACATTACAGCCCAGTTCAAGAGCACGCACAATGTAGATGTTGTGCGTACGGTCGATGGTCGTGACAATAACCTCATCCGGCTTTGTCTCCTTGATCATCTTATCAAAATCGGCGGCAAGAAACGTAGGCACGGCGCCATGGCCCAACGCTTCCATCTTGGAGTTGGCATAATTCATACGGGTCTGGTTTGTGTCGCAGAAGCCGACTATACACGATGTCTTTGAATAGTCTTTTGCAATGGCTGAGTAGAAGAACATTGCACGGCCTCCAGTGCCCACGAGGGCGTACCTCTTCCTGGGGCTGGGAGTTGCGATTTCGGCCATGATGAAGAGCAGAGTGGTTTTGTGTGTGTTAGACTTGTGAAACCCGACCCTGTATAGCCGGGATAATTGCTCCTGAAATGAAGCTGTCCAGTTCGAGACGGAAGACCGGAAGTGATGTAAATAGAAGCCCCGAAAGTTCCGACTGCGTGGTTAAATTGCCGATTTGACTGCCCGCGATCTCGGGGATTGGAATGGGACAGTGGGGGTGACGATGGGGTGACGAACAACGCAGAGACTGCGGGGAAGAGCATCTCTAACCAATTAGATACTCTTCTGCAACTTAAGAAAACGGGCCCAATTAACGTCTCGATTTCTTTGCAGATCATGGGGATTACTCGGCCGAAGCTGGAGACGGATTTGAACACTCCACCAATGATTCTCGTCAATGAAAGAGGGGGTTACCTCAAGCGTGATAGCGGCTGCAGATCTCGGGGTTCTTTTTCCCGAGTTCCCCCAACGGTACGTATTAGACAATTGGGGATGTGCGAGTCATGAGCTACTGGAGATTGAGAATTACAGAGTCATTACTCTAGTTCCTTGAGATGTTAGGATGAACTGTGAATCCAATAGAAGGAACTTCTGGACCTGTGCTATTCCGCTAACCTTCAATGCAGCCCTCGGATGCATTTGGAAACAGACATGTCTTGAATTATTTATCAGTATTGCTATTGAACTCAGTCCATGGCAGCTTATCCATGGTGTTATTATAAAGACATGTTCCCTTGAGTTCCAAGTTTACAAGCCAAGGATGTAGACCATGTACTGATACGACTGCACACAACAAGAACATCACTCCTCAACAACCGACTGCGTGGCAAGATTGACCTTCACCTTGCTGAAATCGCGTGCCCTGACCTCTTCCTTGAACATAATATCAATCTCAGCAAAGGTGCGGTTCTTGGTCTCGGGGACGCGGAAGTAGGCCCAGGTAAGGCCTACAACCATCCAAGTGCCATAGAAGAAACCCGACTTGGCGCCCCAGTTCCAGTACGCTTTCTGAATCATGCGTGGAACAAGTTGGCCGTAAACCAGTACGCCGACATTGTAAGTGGCCCTGGCAATCACGACGCTCTTTGTGCGCAGGTAGTTGGAGGGAATCTCAGTGACAATGGTGTAGATGATCGGCCCAATAGTGATGAAGAATACAAAGTACTCCACCAAGAGGATGCTGCCAATGGCATAGGCGAACCTGGTTTGCTTGGTGGTATCTGGAATTCCCAAGAAGCCGATAAGAAACGTCGTCGCGGCCATGAAACCGGTGCCACTTAGGAGTAGTGTTCGTCGTCCCACTTTAGGAGAAAGATACCAGGCAATAAAAACACCCACGATAGCCAGTGAATATTGGCCCATTCCGAAATCAAACGCAGACGACGTGGGGACGCCCGCCTGTTGCAAGAAGTAAACAACATAAGACACGAGGGGGGCGCAGATCTCTTGGATGACATAGGTCAGGACGGTGATTTCGGTTCGTCGAAGGTTGACGCCCTTGAACAGATCCAAATAGGAACTGGATGTGTTCATTTCGTTTTCAATCTTGACCGTGTAAACCATCATAGACATGGTATTGGCGATTTCCTCTTCGGCGACGTCCTTCGATTGAAGTCTCCTCAGCGACTTTTCGGCATCTGCGGTGCGACCCTTTCGGGCCAGCCACCAAGGAGATTCTGGGGCGAAATAAATACCGATGGCCAGAGGAATCGGAAGAATCCACTGGAGAGCAAAGGGAATTCGGTACGCATATTCGCCTTCCATGGAGAGGAAACCTCGCAACGTTGCAGTGCCAACAAGGTACCCGATGCTCCAGCAGAGGGAAACGAGCATGGTGAGATAAGGTCGAAGCACGTTGGGACAGACCTCGGCGGCGTATGTAGTCGTCAATGTCTGGAACACGCCCCAGGGAACGCCGAGCAGAATGCCAGCGCCCATGTACATGTAGATGCTGGTGGCAAAGAACTGCAGGAAGATGAAGCACACCATGAGAAACAGGCAGCCCTCCATCACCAAGCGGTATCCGAACCGATCTGCCAGAAATCCATTGAGCAGTAAGCCGAGGATTTGGCCTGTACTGACGCCGTTTGATACAGCGGCCTGAAGGGGGGCTGGTATCTCGTATTCGCCCGTCTTCTGGAGTTTGCCGTATCTCTCCTGGAAAGGCGGGAAGGCAAAGAATGCAGTAATGAAGGCTTTGTCGAAGCCCTCCATGATGAGAGCCGACGAAAACAAGAGAGACCAGAGGCATGCCTTGGGGTACTTGCGGATGCCTTCGATCAGCTTCATGTTGTGCTCTGCATCTGTCGCTTGTTGGGCACCCTTCAAGATGTCATCGGGAGAGATGTAGTGCTCCTCATCCTTCTCGGGTAGCACGTTGATGGACTTCGGGTCGTTTGTGTCTTCCTGGTGTTGGACCATTGTGACAAAATTGTGTCGTTTGGCAGTAGACTAAGCGTATCCCTGTACTTCCTGTCTGCTTTGTTTTCTTCAACAGTTCGACGATGCTTGGCACCTTAATATATTTTTCGTACACAAATAGACATTGAGACTTCTGTACCTCCTGTTGCGTCCATCGGCGAATCGGTCAAGTTGACACCGACCTCTGCGCATCCTCTGTGCCGTATTCCCGGACGTGCTTGAGGAATTGGAGAGAAGGATCAGCACATTTGTGGAAAATTCCAACAATACCAACCAACGGCCGCAATGTTGTGCTATCCACGCCATTCTGCTTAAGCGATTCCGGGGAAATCTTGCTTCCCCCGCGTTTAGACGGATCTCCGCACGCCCAAAGTAGTAGTGATCATCCAAATTACTAGGGTTCGGCATTTGTTGGTAGTTGTTATCAGTGGGATATCTGGCCATAATTCTGCAAGCATGTGAGCAAGTCCAGAAACGTGGGGTAATTCTTCTGTATCTACTGTTCGCCTTTTACCCAGAGGCTAAATTGTCCCTCAAATCACCATTCACTACGCTCAAGTCATCGTTAGTTACCCGTTAGTTCGAGATTCGACTACATCCTGTACTGTCACAAGACCCCCTTCATCAGCACCAAACCCTGTCAGCCTGTCATTTCAAACTACAATGTCTACTGGAAATCTGAAGTGGCTAGTGGCACCAAAAGACCACGAGGCTCTGTCGAATGAAGTCTCCTTTGGCATGCCGTGGCTAAAGGGCCTCTATCAACCAGGCCAGGCCTTTGTCATCGAGGGGAAAGTCCGTACATACCCGTTGGACTCCCGCGAGATTGCATTTTGGCCTGATGGTTCCCTGAAGTGGACTGCACACTCTGTCGCCGGGGACATTAGCTACTGCGACACTTATTCAGTCAAGGGTGTCCCCAGTCCAGAGAAAAGAGAAGGCCTTGTTGTCGACGAGAGCTCCACGAATATTTGTGTATCAACAAAGCTGGGCCTAAAACTAAACTTCTCATCTCCAGGGAGCTCCTTCTTATTTGACAACTTGTCACTGAACGGCCACTGCGTCTGCTCAGGCGCAACAATTGTCGCCTCCATTGACAAGAAGGAGTACTCCACAAATGTCACAGATGTGAGAGTTGAAAATGTCACCACCGACAGGATTGTTGTCAAAATTTCCGGGAGTGTTATTTCTGGTGGTCAGAAACATCTGCCTTTTGACGCAAGAGTCTACGTGCACTCCGACGCCTCAACGCTGAGAATTTCCCACTCCTTCATTCATGATCTGGAATGCGAAGAACCGTTAACGTCATTGGGCATTCGATTCTCAGTTCCGTTGCAAGACGCCGAGCTCTACAATAGACACATTCGTCTAGGAGGCTCAGACGGAGGCATCCTGAAGGAAGAGGTTCAAGGCCTTTCGGGCCTACGATTTGGACCAACTGTTCAAAACAGACTTGACCAAACAGCAGGCAGGCCAGTGGGGCTAGATGAACACGAATGGGAGAAAACTGACCTTTCAAGAGGTCTGGCAACTATTCCTTCCTGGAGCAACTATTCCATTTCTCAATTGTCATCCGATGGGTACACCATCAAGAAGCGAACCAAAAGTGGCTGCTCCTGGGTAAAGGTCACTGGAGGTAGCAGAGCCGATGGAACCGCTTACATTGGCTCAGCCAGGGATGGCGGCTTGGCGATTGGCATGCCCGACTTTTGGGAACGCTACCCTACCCAGATAGACTTGTCCGACTTGACGAAGGCTGAAGGGGCCATTACCATGTGGTTTTATTCTCCTCTTGCTGAACCTCTCGACACATCACCCTACCACGATGGACTCGGATTGGACTCCTACAGCAAACAACTGGAAGCACTTGATGTGACTTATGAGGACTACGAACCTGGGTTTGCCACTGCGAATGGTATTGCCAGATCCAACGAGCTGTTCGTCAGGCCTTTTATGGCTACACCATCCAACCAAGAATTGAGTCACTTCTCATTCTTGGTTAGAGACCCCCCTCGATTGGTTGCTACACCAGAGTATATGCACTCGACCGGAGTTTTTCATGGGTGCTGGGCTCCGGACTTTCGAAACATTGGCTACTCTCCAACGGAGAAGGAGTTGGCTATCGAGAAAAATCTCGACTTGCTATTCAACTACTACCGTGGGCAAGTCGACCAGCACCGATGGTATGGATTCTGGGATTATGGGGATGTCCAACATTCGTACGACCCGTATCGACATGCCTGGAGATATGACGTCGGCGGCTATGCTTGGGATAACTCGGAGCTGTCGACCGATCTTTGGCTCTGGCTCTACTTTCTCCATACCGGCAGAGCAGACGTGTTCAAAATGGCCGCAGCCATGACGAAGCATACATCCGAGGTCGACGTTTACCACTCGGGGAGGTTCAAAGGTTTTGGAACCCGCCACGGAGTTCAGCATTTCAGTGATAGCTCAAAGCAGCTTCGAATATCCAATGTTCTCTACAGGCGCATCTACTACTATCTCACGGGTGACGAGCGCACCGGAGATTTGATTTCAGAGCTTCAGCAATGTCAGAATGCTCTTTTGGGACTTGACTCGCATCGCAAGGTGCAGCTCCATGCAGACATTCCTGAAGGATTTGCCATGGCAAATATTGGCCTTGACTGTGGGCCTATGGCCGCTTCTTGGCTTACTGCTTGGGAAAGGCGAACGAAAGGATGGGAACGCTCTAGAGATCTTCTATTGAAGATGTTGGATGGCCTTTCCGGGCTGTCACATGGCATAGGGAACAATGCTGTATTGCTGAATCCGATGACAGCCGAAGTTCGCGAATGCCCTCCTCCGACTCCAGAGTACGCCATCTCACACTTGTCTATGCTGTTTGGGTTCCCGCAAATTTTCACCGAGTTACTGGACTACACCAGTGACAAGTACCCCGCAGTAGTGGAAAGCTTCCTGAAGATATGGCTGCCCTATTGCAGAGCATACAATGGAGGCCCGGAGATCCAGCTCAAGGAATTTGGCTTCAAGTTCCCAGATGGGCCTGGGATGTGGAAACAGAGTCACTCAACCCTGACAGCCATAGCAGCAGTGGAACTAAAAAGCAACCAACTAGGAAAGGCTGCATGGGATCAATTCTTCCAAACTGATGGATACGATGAGACTCATGAGTGGCGTGTCATGAAAGCTTCTCCTCCTGAGCACTTGACGAGTGGAGAAGAAGCACCCTGGATTCTTACGAATGAGACTGCTCAGTATGGCGTTACTGCAATCTTCAACTTGGCAAACATTCGAGAATACCTGGATTAGAAGAACTCAGTTTGGACTCTAGCTATTTGGGTACAAGCATGGCGACGTCGGTATTCGCAACCTAGGTAGGTTAAGTGAATGGGCTTCTAGGGAGACGGTGGGTAGAGAGTTCATTTTCTGCGGTATCTTTGTCCCGTCTTCACAGGACAGGACCTGGAAAACCCCGCATTCTTTTGTCGGAGATAGGATGGTTACGAGTTCATTTATACTTAAAAGGCTCAGATTAAAATCCTTGCAACGTTTATATAACTGGTGCCCGCACATTGAGAGCCAACACATGATAGGTGGAATAGAAGGTGTGGTTCGATCCGGGATCGGAAACTAGGTCCACTAAGTAGAAAATGGGCCTTGTGGTTCGTGGAAGAAAATACTCCCGTTAGTCCCCAGATTAATATCTGGGGTAGTAACAAGATGTGATTCCTGGTCAAAAAGTCGGTTAAAGAAGAAATAATGAGAATTAATTCGTTGGAGAGGCCGTAGTTAATGCAATTCAGGGGAGTATTTAACCGGACAAGTTGGATTTTACATATGGGTACGCGTATAAATAGCCAGGTTATGTGTCACCTCCATATGAAGAATACCATCATCCACGTCAAGCTGCCGCTAGGTGCAAATGTTTTCTTCTCCTCTCTTGGGATAGAACAGCTGGAATCGCTTCCAAGATGTTGCCTCAAGGCATTGTCGCGTCCTTCCTCATATCCACTTTGGGTTGGACGATTGCTGCCCATCCCACCTGGAGCAAAGTCCCTGCGAAAACATACGCCAAATGTCAGAGGCCTGCCAAACACCACCCCTTGGATGATTGTCCGAAGCACACCCTCTATGTGAGCAAGGACGCCGCTGTCGCCAACTTCACTACCATCCAAGATGCGATCCTCTCACTTCCCAATAACACAGACGCCTACACCATCCTGATTGCACCGGGTGACTACAACGAACAGCTCAACGTCACTCGCCAAGGCCCTCTCACTCTCTTAGGAGTGAGCGATCGCCCATGGAAGGGCAAAAGCTACTCAAACATTGATTATGACACTTCTAGCAGCAATCGAGTCACTGTCTCGTGGGCCATGGCAAACCACGACAGCTCTGGAAAGATTGTCGACAATGCTGTCACAAGCGTCTTGACCGTTGCGCCAACGTGGGAATCATCCAAGTCTGGATTTGGCCCGACGGGTTGGCCTGTCCCTGATGGAACGCCGTTTGGATGCGAGGATTTCCGGGCTTACAACATCGACTTCCGCAATTATGCAGCCGATGCCGCAGACGGTCCAGCACATGCAGCAGGTATCAGTCGAGCTAATGCTGGCTTCTACTCGTGTGGTCTTTACAGTTACCAGGATACTGTGAGTGGATGATTCCTTTTATCATCTATTAACCTTCTCAGCGCTTACGGCCAGATAGCTCTTTATCGGTAAACTAGGTAACGCATTCTTCTACGACAGTATCATTGCTGGCCAGACGGACTTCCTGTACGGCTATGGCACGATGTGGGTTGAAAAGTCAACATTGTCCCTTCGCAACTGCGGTGGTGGAATTACCGCTTGGAAAGGTATGACATCACCCTATGTGCTCGCTATGATTCAGAAGATAACAGTTGATCATTAGGCACAAACACGACCTTTGAGAATAAGTACGGTGCGTACATCTCCAAGTCACAGATCCTAGCAGACAACGCCACCATTGCGGCAGACATCAAGAATCTATGTCCCCTCGGCCGTCCATGGAATGAGCTACACCGCTCCATCTTCATGAACACGTACTTCGACGCCAGTATCCTCCCCGCGGGGTACATTGACTGGAACGGTGGAAGGTTTAACAACCAGACCTTTATGGCAACGTACAGCGATTTTGGCCCTGGATGGGACCCCGAGGCTGAAAAGAACAGTAACCGAACAATTGTTTTGGATCGGAAGGGGGTCAGTGGATACGATACGCCGGCGAAAGTCTTTGCAAACGAGGATGGGAAATTGGGGAAGATCGGATGGATTGACCACACTGTGGTTTCAAAGAACTAACGCTTGGAGGCAATTCATTCCCACTCATACACTTAAGGCTAATCCCCAAAGCTAGACGAAAAATTAGATACAATAAATATGTGATCTCAACGAGAAGAGAGGACGATACGGCTAAAGAGTCGGCCTTTGTTGAAGAACTCGGATAGGTGTGCAAGGAGTTTACTTGGTCATCGAAGATGGGACTTGACACACCCTCAGCTCGATATACATGGTTCCTCCCTCAAGAATAACACCAGCCGCGATATTGTATAATTCAATTCAGAGTTTATATGCGCCTCTAAGCCGTGAGTATCATTCTAAAACCAAGCTGTGGGAAGTATTGTAGAGACCTTTTGAGCCATTACTGCTGCCTGCTTTCATTAGACCAGAACGGCAGACCGGACTGGCTTCGCAAAACTCCATACAGCGCAGCCCCATCGAGGTTTTCACCGCCATACGCCTTGGCACTCAGCATATTGTTCGTAGCAAGATCTAACGCAGGCATTCTGACGTCGAGGTCCTGCGCAATTCGTAAAGCGTGCTTGGCATCCTTGATGGTGTTTGCAACACTGAATCCTGCCATGCCCTCCTTGGGCGCATAGGAGCCGCTCGTCATTCGTCGAGAGTATCCGCCAAGGACGGGACCAAAGTTCTCAAAAATGACCTCTTCCATTACTTGAGTGCCAAGTCCGTTCTTTTCGGCGAGAACTTGCGTCTCTGCAATGGCTTCCAAGAACACGACCAGAAGAACGTTACTTGCAACATTATTAGCATCTCCGTTTGAGGTTCTAGTTGGAGACTTACCCAGTCACTTTGAGAAGCACAGAGTCTCTGGCGTTCTCGCCCATGTTAACAATCTTGCGACCCATTACACCCACAATCAAGGGCTCTAGTCTTTGGATGGCAGCCTGACTACCAGCCATGGCAAACAGTAAACGTCCTGCCTGGGCGACAGTGTTTGCTCCGAATACTGGGGAAGCCACAAATTCTGCCCCAGCAGCTTGAAGCAGACTGGCAACTTCGGTGGCAGTATCAGGATGTGTGGTTGAGCAATCAATAATTGTTTTCCCCTTCAGATCAATGTCTGATCGCAGCATCTCATTGATTAAGCCTTTGAGAACTGCGTCGGTCGAGACCTTCGAGCGAATTAGCAACCGGAAACAATGACCTCCGTTCCAGCACTCACCATGAGAAAATTGTCATCACATTCTCGAACAAGCTCAGTAATGCCATTCTTAGCCTGCGCTCCTTCTTGAGAGAGGACTTCGCCTTTGGAAAGGGTGCGATTTGAGTAGGTAAGAGATGTGCCTTGGGATTTAAGCTTGTTATGGAGGTTCAGAGCCATAAATAGGCCCATGGAGCCCAGGCCGTACTGTGATAAATGTTGTTAATGGGATTTCTTGCACAATTCAAACAGGATATCTTACCCAGCCAACCTTGCGAGTTTGTTCCATTGTGCTTAGTATTTGCGTCAAAGAAGTCTAGATAACCAAGTGCAAGTTCTCAATTCATGCGGCTACGGATGTCCTTTATATGATGAGGCGTTGCAATTTTTTCATTCCTTATCCGCGGTTCGGTGCATGTTTGTAGTCTAGTGCCGAAGTCGGGCGAAACATCTCATCCCTCGTTCTCAAACGAAAGGACCGATTGCATTGCTTCAGAGCTAGCAAGAATCCACATCCTATACCGGCGATGGAGCTCTGGCTCGTCCCCCGTGCTCTCGTGTGTCGCCACAAGATTTTCAAAAGCTCCGGAAGAATGCTCCGAGGTCTACGGATGGGTGTAAGATAAGATTGACACTGCCCGGAGCTCCAAAATTGAGTGGGGCATGGTCAAGCTGCAAATCGGGATGATGCCGCTATCTTCATCTGAAGTCCGGGTTTGGTCCCGATTTTCGGGATGCCCTCCGAACCTCCGAACTATCTGTGTTACGACGGAAAAAATCTGCGATTGAGATACCAGCTAACGTCGGCTTTAATTGAATACCTCGTGCTATAAAAGTCGCCATGCGGCTACATGCGGCTACAGACCGCGAACTGACGGGTACGCTGGGTGCTGTTCAAGGCATCATTGCAAGCATCTAACTTCTCCGCTATTCATTGGTGCCTCGCAATCCAGTTACTTTCAGTACACCTACGACAAACTAGTTAAGTGAAGGTTCCTTCTAATTCTAAGGATGTGTTGAGTAGACTGTATTGACTGTAGAGCCCTAGTGGTTATTTCTAGGATGATTGTGATGATTTGAGATTGGATGTCGACCAACTTTTTATGGTTTTTTATGTATAAGTAGATATGTCAGTGATTCCTACACGATAAATTATTTTACAGCGCTATCCAATATTTGAAAGACGTCCGTCTACATTACACCATTCAAACTCTCGACCACCTTTGCATATGCCATTTCTCTTGCTTCAGGCTTGAAGACGCGAGGATTGGTCTTGTCGAATCCGTGCGTAGCCCCTTCCACTTTCACGACCTCGATGCCACAGCCAGCTCGCTCTAGCTTCTGCCCAAAGACCTCTGCTTCGGGAGCCAGGATATCTCCAGAGCAGACAAAGAGGAGAATACACGCGGGAAACGATGACACTTCGGCGAACATTGGAGAAGCTCTGGGTGACGTTCGGTCCTCAAGCCGGGGGATGTAGCTCTCGGTAAAAACGTGCTGGGCGAAGATGGGCAGTGGCAAAATGGGTTCCGGGACCGTTTTATCCTCTGGGGCGATGGTGAAATCGACACCGGGGTAGAATGGGTACACAGCCTTGATGTTGATATTTTTGAACTCGCGTCTCAGTTCGGAAGATGCGACGAGTGCCAGGTTTGCGCCCGAACTGAATCCAGATAGAGCGACCCGGTCAAGGTCGAAGAGGCGCGGCTGGCTCTCGACCCATCTCAGGGTGTCTTCGGCATCTTCAACAGCCCCAGGGAAAGGATGCTCGGGTCCTTTACGGTAATCCGCGTCCAAGACGAGAACATTGCTCTCACGGGCGATCCTCTCGCAGAACGGATGGTCCATGCCCAGGTTTGGCATAATATAGCCGCCTCCATGCCAGTTTATGACGAGTCCTCGCGGCTCGCTTTCGGTGTAGTTCGGAGGGTAGTAGATCCAAGCGTCGATGAATCGTTTGAGATCACGGGATGGAATGCGCACTGATTTGCGATTGCATGTTGCAGACGGCTTGAATTGAGAGCGCGTGCCAAGGTAGTTGAGGAGGCGAATTAAGGAGGCGACGATCTTCAGCTTGAGATACTGCAAAAAGCCGTGAGAAGCCATTGTGAGTTATGGGAAGAGTTTGGGCGAAATTATTGATATCAAATCATTGAAAGCCATAGGATACATCGAGACTTTGGATGTGTTTTCGCAATTGACTGGGTAGGTCCTACATTTTATTACCGATCGTCGTGGCTCATGATTGAAAAGGCAGACGTGTGTTTGGCGAACGGACGAATCGGAGCTCCATCATAGAGTCTCATTCCTGGCCGGTCATGACTCATTCACCGATTGATCGGCACCACTTGCCGGATCACTTTCCTGATCTCTGATTGGCGGAAGTAAGATCCGCACTCTCTGTTATTCCCACAAGTGGAATATCTTTGCATGCTGCAGCATCTCACCTGCCTCCTTGTGCTTCATCTCAGTAACAGGAATAGTTATCGGGTCGTAAGAGTCTGAAAAGGGCTGTGCTTTTCCAGGGGTTCCCAGTTGACCAAAAGGCCAAGGGTGGATCGACAACAGTTGTGCAATCATGCGTGTGTTAATGTGAATAACAGCAGTCATACTTCCCTCATAATTCATATTGCGTCATCTCTCATGAACTGGATCTAGGAGGGACTGCAATCGCAAAATGAAACGTACAACAAACTTAGAAAATCAATCCATACGACCCTTGAACCAGGCAGTGACGTAAATTACCTTTCTTATTGGCGGTTCTCCAGCTACTTGAAACTTGCATGCCCGTCTCCAGGGCTGAGTTTATGCTGAGGGAGATAGACTTTTCCAATGTATCATGGAAGCATCTTATTGCAATGCCAGGAATTTTCTCGTGTTCGCTGTAGCGCGCCCCCAAACCGGGCGAAGCTGTCAGGGCGTTTTCTTCTCGGCAGTCTTGTTCTAGGATTAACTGCCGAGGAGGTCTGGGCGGTTATATTTTGATAACAGTTTTTAAAACTTCGGTTTTTGCCGTGATTAAGGATGTATATTTTGGCTTATAACCAAACTCTTTCGACGTCCATTTATCTAGATGTGGTTGGTTGCCTGGACTTGGACCCTTCCCCCCAGCCTAGATGATACCGAGTCCACTTTGGGTGTATCGTAAGATGACTGCTGCACGAGGTCAAGTGAAAGTGCTGTCCAATGGCTGCAATGTCTGAGCGAGGACGGTTATCGGCAATTTATATAGTTCACGCTTATCCTGATAATACCATTCCGTAACCAAAAAAACCCATCTTAAGTACCTCCCTTCCCCATCTTTCGTCATATTCTTTCGTGCCTTACCGTTGTCCTTAAGGCATACATTTATGACAACTGTATGAATAAATATCCATCCAGTTATCATGTTCCTTTGTCCTTTGTAATGCCACTAAAGAGGCACCTCCCCTTTTGAGCTTCTAGGCTCCACAACATTTCATAGCCCCGTATTGATTGAAACCAGTCTTTCGGCGGTGCCGGCCCGTACCGTACCGTACCCATCCTCCCGATAGTTTATGATCCTAGAACAACTCTAATTTTGTCGGTCCGACGAAACCTGAAACGCCATATTGCAACCCCAGCCACGATCTATTATATCCAGACAATGCAATGTACAATCATGTATAAGCTTTCGATAAGTCTGATCCTTCCCGGCGAAACAAACCTTATTCTTTTATTAGTATCACAGTAGCCGACATCATTTCACTGTCCAGCAGCATTCACAGGAATGTATATTAAGATAGTCGGCTGTCGTCCTATGCAGTCTACAATAAGATTCATACTCCGAACAATCATCATTTTCTGATCAACCCATCGACCTTCCTTCTCAATGGCTAGCATCTTCCTTTTTGCTCTCTATCTAGGAGCTCTGCTCTTGGCCGTCTCGGGCGCCCTCGCTGCCCCCGCAGCCGTCGAGCTTGATTCCGGGCTAATCCCCGACAAGTACATCGTCACTCTTAAGAACAGTGCTGTTGCTAGCACGGAGTCTCACCTGAACTGGGTTCGTGACATCCACGCGCGGTCTCTGGCTAAGCGCAACACTGCTGGTATTGAGAGAACCTTTAATGTTGGTACTTGGAACGCCTACTCTGGCGAATTCGATAAAAAGACTATTGAGAAAATCAAGGCCAGCCCTGAGGTACCTATGCGACATACTTCCATGTTGTTAGCGAAGCGACTTAATGATACTAATCATGGTCGTAGGTTGATGCTGTTGAACCCGACGATGTCATGTACCTCTTGGGCGGTGCCGGGAGCAAGCCTGCGGATATTCTTACGCAAAAGAATGCTCCTTGGGGTCTTGCTGCGATCTCTCATCGTAACAAGGGGTTTACTGAATACCTCTATGATTCCTCGGCTGGCGCCGATACTTACGCTTACGTCGTGGACTCTGGGGTCCGACATACGCACACCGAATTTGGTGGCCGCGTTACTCTCGGTGGTAGTGCCGTCGGTGATGCTGGCGCGGATAATATAGGCCATGGAACTCATGTCGCTGGCATAATTGGCGGTTCTACCTACGGTGTTGCTAAGAAGGTATGTGTACTCCCCGCCTCCTGATTCTGATATCTCGAGCGTTGGAGTTTTCCATTCCAATTGAAGCATCAAAACATTTAGGCCAAGTCAAAACTAATTCTGCTATCGTAGACCAACATAATCTCCGTCAAAATCGCTGGTCGCGGAATGTTCAAAACCGGCGCCCTTGCAGGTTTCGATTGGGCTTTCAACGATATCATCGCCAAGAAACGTGTCGGCCGATCCGTCATCAACCTGTCTCTTGGCGGGAGCTCATCCAGGGCCTGGAATGCTGCTATCGAGGCGGCTTTCAAGCGAGGTGTTTTATCCGTTGCCGCTGCCGGCAATGGCGATAATGGCAAACCTAGCAAGCCTCTGCCAGTTTCTGGCACATCTCCTGCCAATTCCCCCTACGCCCTGACTGTAGCTTCTATCGACTCCGGCTGGCGTCCCGCCCGTTCTACCAACTATGGCCCTGGGGTCGACATCTTCGCCCCAGGTGTCAAAATCCTCTCGGCCTCGAACCTTACCGACTCAGCTATTGAAACTAAGAGTGGCACTTCTATGGCTGCTCCCCACGTCGCTGGCCTGGTTGTGTATCTCCAAGCTCGTGAGGGTCTTCGCAAACCTGGTGATATCATCCGCCGCATCAAGGAGTTGGGCACCCCTGATTTGGTGACCGGCAACCTTAACGGCAGCCCGAACTTGGTTGCCTACAATGGGAACCGTATATGATAGATTGGCTGTTACATAATATGCATCTGTTATATCACAACTTATCAGCGCCTACTGTTGGAGTCTGATGAGTTAGCGTGGCAGAGTGCGACATTGGTAGCTGTTTGCGGTTTCGCTGGATGTTTGGATTGAAGGGTATAGATTTTCTGATACTAGAATCCCGCAAGGTGTTCCGAAGTGTACCAAGAGTAACATATGAATGATATTGCTGGAATAATAATGTTTTTCATTACCTCATCTAGGTACGCAAGTGAGAAATAGAAGAGTGGTCGCTGAACGGATGTTTTTGTGTTGTGAATGCTCTCAGCGTAGAAACGGCATGGACGGAGGGTTTTCCTGCGAACAACGCGTCAGCTGCGTCTAGTCAGTACAATAACTAGTTGATGGGAAAGGGAGATGGATAACTATCCCTCAGCCAACGAATCCATTAAACGTGAAATCTAGATGAGCAGCTCGTTATACTTCGGTTTAAGATTTATTGACACTTAGAAACTCGTAGACAACATGCCACGTTCTGCGCTGCAAGTTGTGCGGAAGCTTATAGAGACTCATGGACAGCTTCAGTCGTATCTTTGCTGATACATTGGGCTAGTCATTCGATCTCCAAGCTCCAGCGATCCCCAGTGATTAGGCTTTCTACTAGTGTTGAGTCTTGATTGCCACTTCGGTAAGTCGATTTGTAAGGGTTTCTGATCAAAAAAGATATCTTCTTGTCAATAAAGTGCAATATCAGACTTAGTGACCTACGAGCGTTATATATGTGGTATGCGGTGGTTGCAAAGCGTGGAAAATCGATCGCAGATCGATCCGTTATAACACCTCACCAGTTTGACTACGGGCAGTAGTTCACCCGAGAAAAACAGAAAAATAAAATGAATGCGGAACTTGGCGCTTCAGTACGAGGACTCACCACAGAGCAGACCACTTCAGGTCGTCCAGGGTTGGAGCGACGTAAAGTCCAGGAACAGTAAAGACGATAGCAAGTTCAAAAGCAGCTACTTTAAAGTGGTGTCAGTAAATGACAAAAGCATCCTCAAGAAACGAGCAGGTGTTGGATTTTGCGTTGGATGTGATCCATGTATTTGAGCAGTCCCATTAAGGCACCTGAAGGAGAGTAAATTGCCTCAGAGCTATATGTTCCGAGACAAACATGAAACACTGGGATATGACTCGGAAATAACCTTGAAAACGCGTTGCGGCTGGATTGATAGTTGTTGGGCCTGCCTAGATCGCTGGTCAACGGTGATCAAGATGGAGGACGGGGCCATCCCAATTACTGTTGAGAATAAAGCATAAGCTTACCAGATTCATCAGTTGCGCCTAACGGATGTGTGCTGTATTTTATTCCCGATTATGGTGGTTCACGCTTAGAAACACAGACTGGAGTTTGACGAACGGACGAACCGGAACTCATCACAGAGTCGCATTGTCACAATCAACGTTAAAGTGGGCTGGTCATGATCTTCGATCGCCATACGATAACGGCCAAGATCGCCTAGGCAGTAAATCCATGTATCCTCAAAAGCCGGTACAGTCTCATAGAGTAGTGGCATGCTAGCCGATGGGTGCTGACTGGCAAGGAAGAAATCGTGGTGCTTATGTAGTAGCGTGCGATGGAGAGCGATCAAAGCCTGCCATTGTTCGTCGTTGAGCTTATTCGCTTCAGAATTGGATGACTGGGCATTGTCGACTTCTATACACTTGGTCTCGACCATGACTAGACCGGCATAGATGCCCTTGACCTCGGCAACGAGCTGATCTTGGGAGATTGGCTTCGTTTCTGGTTAGAACATCATCTGGATTACAGGCTCAGCCTGATTGACGTGGGGAGGTGGTGGGGGTGGTCTTCGCGTTGTTGGTGATCTGAACGCAGGTGGGACGGAGCGGCAGTGAGGGATTCTCTGACCATCACCCTGACCACCCTCCGTCCACAATTGTCGACCGGAAGGATTCTTAGGGCCCCGGTCGAAGTTGTCACTCGGATCGCTTGAACGGGCGCGGGAGCGGATGCTCGATGCGAGGCGTGTCGAGAAGTCTGGTTGATGCGAGGCTGACTCAGTGGAGGAGGGCTTCTTGAAGGATCGGCTCTGGTCGTCCATGATTTCGGTTAGAATGAGAATCGTCTTAAACTATGCTGTGGGAGACTCGGGAGTCGTTTCTGAACTATGCTGTGGGAGAATCGAGGGTTGACCTTGTGGTTCTTGTCGACTGGCTAGCTCTTGAGAACAGCTGAGCAAAAAAGCGGCGAAGGCTACGAGGGCGGGAACCAGACGAATGACTCAACTGGAGTTGAGTGAAGTAGAGTAGCAGGACCAAAGTACCAGTATAATTCGCGTGTTCTGGGAGCAGAATGGAAAGAAGGAGATGTCGACTGGTTGGATAGCATCTCCTCTCCTCTTGGCCTACAGCCAATCGCTTCCGAATCCGAAATATGTCAGCAATTTCACCCATTTCAACCCAAATCTCCCAGAAGAGCAGTGCTTCTATCGCGACCCCCGCAGCTCTTAACATCTGCTCTACTCGATCGACGCAATCATCTCGGAATAATTATGCACGAAAATTAACTGGGCATGGCAAACCCCATCGTATCTGCGCGCAGTCACGACAAGACTGTCGAAGCCATCTCGCTCACATGGTTCAAAGCAAAGATCAGGGAAATGCTACCAGCGCTACATTTGAGGCCACAAAGCAGCCGTCATTTCCTCCACCACAGTTCCACCACGAAAACATCGATTCTACTCGCGTGGCCTTATGGCGGGTTGTCCAAGCTCTGGGAGCCACCTTGCTGTTAGCTGCCATTCCACAGCAGTTCGCCGTTCCTCCTGGTCAACCATGCTCGAAGTTTCCTGTATGTACATCAATTCGATTCTCCGAGGGCCGGTTCTCCGTTTCTTTAAACAATACTAAAGACATCTCGGCACAGATATGCGACCACCAAACACTACAGCCCCCGATATACTTGCCTCTCGCATTCCACCGATTCTATACCTGCGAGACTCTGCTGCTTGTCTTTGCCCTGTCGACATTTGTGCACTGGCTGTGTGTGTTTGACATCTTCCAACAACCTCGGTGGAGCGATCGGTATCTCTGCGCGATCGTGTACACGACAATGGTGTGCTTGATCCCAGCGGCCTTTTTGGTCGTCGACCCTGTCACCGTCGTCGCTCAGATTATGCCTGCCATAACAGATGTGTGTTTGGTCTTCTGTGTATTGCTTAACATCCTGCGCATAGGAGGATCCGCCAGCAAGAGGGACACACTTGGGTAGGGACACGGCCTCAAACCGAAAAACGACACGAGTCGAGAGGGTTGGCTCTCCGTGACTGGGTACCGTCGCACCTCTCCCTCAGCAATACCTTCACGCGTGTGCCCACACTCGTCTATCCGAGATATCGCCTCACGGCGAATCGTCTGCCCAGGACAGCCTCTATCTCGGCTACCCTTTACCATCGGACACGGCGCAGGTCAGGCGAAGACGGCTACTGACACGAAATGAACAATATATCTTAACTTCGATCTGGTATCATACATATCGTATTTATTTACCAGCATGGCTATGGATCCTTTTATGGCCTTATTTATTCGAACACATGCTGGTTAGGAGTTCAATTTTATAGTTCCATAGACTAAATCCAACTTCTTGGGGCGAAACCGATTTACCAATATATCATTGCACACGCACAATATCCAAGTCAGAGACGAGTGCACAATTGATTCTAAAACCCCATATCGCCTCGGCGTCGAGATGGCCGCGTGACGAGACCACGCAGCAGGCGCTGGTGGCTCGGAGAGACCTAAGAAGGGTCCCTCCATCACGCCCACATGCCCAATCCAACATCAACCGCTCAAGACGAAACCGAGGCGAGAACGACGCGGAAAGATGATAGACTAGGAGACCTAGCTCATGCCACTGACAAGCCTAGATAATTGTATGGAAGCTACTCGACTTTTTTCGGGCTCATTGTTCAACACCGTGTTTGGTCATCGGAAAGGAGTGTACTGTATTCTCTCAATAAATTGGCACAGCGTAGCGTCGACATAGATCACGTGCTGCCGACTGAGCTTACTGAAGTAATCCAGTTTGACGGTCTGTCACTCGCTGAAGAGTCGATACTTGGGACGCTGGAGTGTGCCAATTCAGGTATTGAGGGAATCTGGTACGTTGTAACCGCTGATTGAATGGCACTGCCGTAATGTAGCAAGTCGACTCGTTGAGAACTCGGTTGCTTCCATGCCCTGACTAATTTTCTTCTGGGAGTAAGTGACTATAGTTCCATGGCGTGACAGCTCAGTTGAGCTTTGTGTGTAGTAGAGGTAGACTCTCTGATTATGGCATTTCCCAAACCGGTAAAAACGAACGACGCTATCTCAAGATATACCGATACGTGCTATGCTAAGCTATCTTCAGTTGATAGAAAGCCACAAACTGCAAGAGATAATTCATGTTCCCAATTCGATGATTGGGGAGATCTAAATGGTTAGACATGACGTAGCTGGTGTTGTATCATGGCATGATCCGACCCTTTCTGGTCCAGCCTGACCTACCCTAGAGAACCCCGATTTGCGTGTGCGATACGATTTGTGGAATTACCACCGAACCAATCAACACCAATCCACGGTACTCGGATAACATGGCTTGTGGCCTTATGAGCCGGAAATAACATGATCCTGGCGCCCAGACTAACCGATCCAATACCGTCTCTCAATCAGGCTACCCTGGGACAGAATACTGCAAGGATCCGCGATAAGACCTTGTCGTAACCGAATGTAGAAATATTGTACGTGATAAGCCGGCACCCGCCGCGCAACAGTTGATAGCGATGCGTCTCTGTCACAGCTCTTTGTCCATATTAATGACAAGGCCTCTGGACCTCATCCCCGGAGTCTCTAGGATGCCTTACGCGCCATCAACAGCGAATCCAAGCCATGGCGACCAGCGACAAGGACTCCGGCGCCTTGAACTTCGACTCGAAGGCCAGCGACTCGGCTGGCATGGAGAAGGTGACAGATATCCAAGATGTTGATGTTGAAGATGGAGAAGTAGAAGACTCGTGAGCCGCCCGCCCCAAGCGAAATCACCTTGACGTATGTATTGACCTAATTATAGTCCCTACGATGAGGTTAGAGCCATTGTGCCCCCGGTCGATGACCCGGACCTCCCGGTGAACACCTTTCGAGCTTGGTTTCTGGGCATTGTCTCGACTATTGTTTTCTCGGGAGTCCTGCAATTCTTCCAGCTCCACTCGCCTCCTAGTAAGTTTCTTTTCTTAGCGGCTACAACGAGCATGTCACTGACCTCTTAGTCTTCCTTGCCTCGTATCTTGTCATCATCATCACCCTGCCCATAGGGAAATTCATGGCGCGTGTTCTGCCGGCAACGACTATCAGCGTCTTGGGATGGAGTTTTAGCCTCAACCCTGGTCCCTTTAACCACAAAGAGCACACCATCACGGCTATTATGACAACACTGGTATCGGCTTTTGACAACGGCTCCCTGGCATCAGATGTCTATGTGGCTTTTGACAAATTCCTGGGCATTCCCGTTTCTCCTGGGTTTCGCTTCATGTTTTTGCTCACCACACAAGCCCTGAGCTTTGGCTTCGTTGGCATGTTCCACCGCTTCTTGGTACGCCCGGCTATTTGCATCTGGCCTGGGGCGTTGCCAACATGTTCGATGATTTACGCCTTCCACGACCCTTCGTTTCATAACCAGGTTGCCAATGGATGGAAGATGCACCGAATGAAGTTTTTCTGGCTGACCATGACTATTGCTGGAACCTGGCAAGTCGTGCCGAGTTTCTTATTCACATCCCTGACCACATTTGCCTGGATAACCTGGATCAGACCTAAGAACGTTACGCTGAACCAAGTATTTGGCGCAACAACGGGCATGGATTTGCTCCCTCTTACCCTCGACTGGAACCAGATTTCAGGATATCTCTCGTCGCCTTTGGTCGTCCCTTCTTGGGCCATTCTCAACATCCTGGGCGGAAGCATCTTTTTCCTTTGGATCATTTCCCCAGCATTGCACTGGACCAACGTGTGGTACGGCCGATACTTTCCATTCTCATCTTCCCGCACCTTCGACAACACTGGTGCCGCGTACAACGTCAGTCGAGTCATGAACCCAGATTTCAGCATCAACAACGAGGCTTACGCCGAGTACTCTCCCGTCTTCCTTTCTACAACCTCAGTCTTGTCCTACGGTCTCGGATTCGCTTCGGTTACTTCCATCCTTGTTCATACGTATCTCCATCATCGGAAACTGCTCTGGAATAGCTTCAAGACTGCATTCAAGGGCAAGGATGATGAAGCTGAAGATATCCATGGTCGATTGATGCATGCGTACAAGGCTGTTCCCGAATGGTGGTATGGCATCGTATTCGCTGCCCTCTTGGGCATCAGCATGGCATTCATCTACATCTACGATACAGAGCTACCGTGGTGGGGATTGATCATTAGTGTGCTTCTCAATGTGGTGCTTCTGATTCCCATTGGTTTAATGAAGGCTACATGCAACGTCACAGTCAATACTGGAGTCTTGGCGGCACTAATCGGTGGACTTATTTGGCCAGGCAAGATGGTCAACAACGTTGTCTTCAAGGTCTTTACCCTTGTCTGCACGTTCCAAGGCCTTGGGTACATCCAGTCCATGAAGACGGGCCATTACATGAAAATCCCGCCACGAATCACCTTTACTGCCCAGTGCTTGAGCATCCTCATTTCCTGGGTGGTGCAGACAGGCGTAAACCTTTGGGCGATGGGCAATGTGAAGGGAATTTGCACCGGCGATGCAGTCAACAACGTACGTATCCGGAATAGAGAGAGGGAACCGAGAGGCGAAGCTAATTTTTCAATTAGTTTTATTGTCCACTTGCCAGCGGATATGCAGCGAATGCTGTGTTCTGGGGCCTTATCGGACCGACAAAACTCTTCGTATCTGGTTCCATGTACGCCAGTATGCTGTGGTTCTTCTTGATTGGCGCCGTTCTCCCAGTTTTGGTATATTTCGCCGCAAAGAAATTCCCCCAAAACAAGATCCTTGGCAAGGTAAGTGTCTGTCAAATAAGTCAGCGGTGCAACGATCTAACAGAGATTTCAGATCCACACGCCTGTGATATTTGCATCGACATCATCCATCCCACCAGCCACTGCAGCGAATTACATATCCTGGGGCCTCGTTGGCCTCGCTTTTAACATGTTTATCAAGCGTCGCTACCGTGCCTGGTGGTCGAAATACAACTACTTGCTTTCCGCCGCATTGGATACCGGACTGGCAATCACGACTTTCCTCGTCTTCTTCTGTCTGACATATCCCGGTGTGTCCCTGAGTTGGTGGGGAAATAGGATCGCGGACGAGACGGCTGACGGGATGGGCCTGCCACTTGATACTGTGGCTCCAGGAGACACCTTTGGGCCAGATACATGGCATTAATAGGCGTGATATGGGCTGATGATTATCATTGTGCCATGTAACGTTTGGAAGCTTTGGAATTTGACTAGAAACCTTACGACACGCTTTAGATAGTTTCAAATACCGATGAGGCTCTCTGGATCATATTCAACCATGATGAATTCGCTGTTTCTGGTTCAACCTCTAATTCTGAGTCCCATCTGATATCCGTCCATATGTTTCGGTGCGGAGGAAGGGCGATCAGATTTAGTTAGTCAACCATACCCGTTAGTCTACCGTTTCTGACATCGCAATCGATCCCCGCGATTTCTTGTAAACCTGGTTCACAGCATGCAAAATTTGGGTGATATCACCATACTAAGCTAACCTAAAATACACACCAAAGTAGTATTGATTAGACTATTCTCATTTCTAGGTTCTAATACTACACGGTGTTCCTAGAACTCCCCACCCGTCATCCAGGTTTGAATCAAGTGAAGTGATATTTCAGGTTGATCCAATGGCACCATGTGTCCAGCCCTGTCCACCGTTACAAATGCAAACCTAGACGCTCTCGTAGCCCCAGGCATCGTGAGAGCTCTAACCTCCTTCATTGTTCCAGCCATTACTGTTTCGCCATCCTTCGGAGCAAACCACGGCCTCATTGACTGAGAAACAAACTCGGCTTGGCCAGCCCAGGACAATTTCTCCGTCCAACGCAAGTTACCTGCAGTATTGCAAGCTAGATCGAGATTCCCATTGTACACCAACACATCTATTCCTGCCTCGAGAATGTACTTGACTTCTGGCGCTGTGTTGACAAACAAGTCATTGCCTTTCCAGAACAGCTCATGAATGTCCATGTTTAGGATGGTGAAGTTTTTGAAGTTCTTAGGCACGTTCAAAGCTTGACGCATCTGTGGAGTATTTGCGTATGCCTCGATCGACAGGACTTCAGTATAGCATAGCTGATCAACTTGACACGTGCGTGTGATATCAAAGGGATCTCTGCCGCCCTTGCCGGTCTCATTGTCGAAAAGAGCACGGATTTCGCTGCTGCAAAAGGAATCTGCAGCATGACAGAGGATGGGGTCGGGGTACTCGTAGCAAGCTTCATGAAGGTAGACGCAACGAGGCAACGCTTCGGCAATCTGAGTACAGCGCGTAGCATTGAAGATCGGTTCTGGAACACCGGGCTTTGTGGTGCAAAGGGTATCGTAGTAGCCGTAAGTAGTGTCCAACGGTGAGACAAAGCCATCTCCAATCATGACGGAATTCAGAGGAATCTTGGCTTCAGGTGCAAGCCCAGGGCGACCATTGTAGCGCACAATCTCAGCTGCGAGAGTAGGGATGTAGTGGCCGCCGTAGCTCTCGCCTGAGATGTGGAAGGGAACGGATTTTAGGTGAGGAAATGCAGAATAGAAGATCTGTAGGAAAGCGGTCATGTCTGCCGCAGCCACGAACGAGTCCGATGGCATGTCGATGTCTTCATCTACATATGAGAAACCCGTGCCGGCGGGTTGGTCAATGAAGATCATGGAAGAGTTTTTGGACCATGAGAAGGGATTTCGACTTGTTCCAAGCCCATTGGGTGTCACTAAACATGGGCCAAGCTCTAGCATCATCCCTTGGACATAGTTAGAAACTGGCTTCACAACTAAACACATGTTATCTTACCAATGAGGCCACTGCAGCCGGGACCGCCTGTCATCCATAAATTTAAGGGATCATCTTCCGGCTTGTTCATACTCTCAAAATACCCTAACGGCGTCAATATTCTCACTGGCAGGGTATTGGGGGGCGCATCTTACAAAAGAAGAAGTGCTTCCCAGGTGTGTCAAGCCAACCGGTGTACTGTTTGGAGCCGGCATCACAGAGGGTATCCCCTTGCTGGCGAATGCGAATAGAGTGGTCAGGGTAGCTGGGATCGCTGTGTATGCTGTAGTCTGCTTCCTTCAACCCGATGATCTGTTGACGGTCTATTGTGGCGGCTGCTGTAATGCCAAGGCCAAAAAACAGCCAAGCCGTTTGGATGAGGATGCGACTCAGGTTGGCCATGCTGTGAAGAGAATCGAAAAACCGATAAGACAACAATTGTATCAAGGTCAAAGTCTTACCAGGTTAAAGTCCGAGTTCAAGCAAACCGGCATGATATGCAGGTTATCTTATCAACATCTCGTAATTGACGCCTTGCTTGGCGAGAGGGGATGGCATGTCTCCACAACACCATCATCCCAAAACGGCATCAGGGTACGAGAGGACAGGGATCAGAACAACCTTACCCTTCTCGGTAATTAGATACGTGCTTCCAGAAACGGCCGATTGCTGTCTTTGGATGTCGTGAATCTGATGTTTCGTCGAGACGTGCAAAAGTCCGACAGTAAGCCACCATACAAATTGGTAGCCTCATTATTTTGGTATGTTACTTTGTCACTAATTTCACTCATGGCGCCTTATTCAGCCTAGCAAAACGAAACTCCATTTTCTTTTCATCGTTTCTGCATTGAGCTCCTGATAGCTTTGGACGATGTCTGGAAGTTTGCTAACGGACTTATTGTTGCCGCAAGGTACTTTTCAAGATGTCCGAACCGACTTTATGGGACATCTGGGACCTCTTTTAACACTCGTTACTACCCTTGCCATTTCGATAAGAGCCATCTGGTGTCTTTGGCATCAACCACATAGGCGACCGGCATACTTGCTTTCGACATCACATATTCTCATCAACCTTGCAAACACGGCTACTGTTCTGGTATGCATTATCGCCAATACCATTCAGTTGGTGTTTAGCTTGGAACTGGAATCCGTGGTTTCTGAACTTTCCTGGGTATGTAAAAGGAAGATATCAGGCCGAGAGAAAATTCCATTAACAAGCTCGCCAGATTTTATGTCTCGTCTGTCGAATCGGGTATTTTGCACTACCTCAACAGCGTCGGGGACTTCATCTTGTCGCGACCTGTGTCTCGTTGACTACACTTGCGTTTATTATAGTCCCAACTGGTATCTACCCTCTGGTTCTGATACATGACAGCAGGGGCGATGCTCCTCCCACCCTACTCGAAACAACCTACATGGTTGGCGTTGTGGTTGCATCCGTTATGCTACCTCTAATTACACCATCTCACAACCGCATGCAAGAGCACGGGGCACCCTTCCATCCGTCTCTTAACTGCTCACCAATCGTCCGGTGGTGGACGTACGGCTGGATTAGTCCCTTTGTCGCGTCAGCGTATGCGAACCACGGCGATGTCACTCGCATCAGTATCCCAGTCTTGACGCCAAAGAGCAATCCACGTGTCTGGGCCTCACGCCTACGCGAAACTCGGCGGAAAACGGGCTCTACGGCTCGCGCGGTGTGGATTCTCTTCAGGCCTCGACTTGCTATTATGGCCACCTTCATGGTCTTCTGTGGCTTTGCAGAGTTCATTGGGGCCATCGGGCTTCGGAGTCTTCTCCAGTTTTTGGAAGGTTCAAGCCCAGAGAGAGCCTTCCACCCCTGGTTTGCCGCCTTTCTGTTCGGTGCCTCACCTATTATCCGAGGGCTCTGTATGCAAACTTTCGAATCATTCTCGACAGAAGCAATTTGCCACTTCAAGTCCATGGTGACGAGTACCGTGTTCGAGAAGCTACTTAAGCAGAAACCGGGAGTTCGCCCGGATTCCGGTCAGATCACCAACCACGTTGCGGCAGACCTCGAAAAGATTTCAGTGCTTCGGTACAGTGTTATGGCAGGCTTCATGGTCCCCGTGGAGGTGGCAGTTGCCAGTGTCTTGCTGTACCAGACGATGGGATGGTCTTATGTACCTGGATTGGTGATTATACTCACTACCCGTATTCCCATCTCATGGTACGTCAGCCGGTATCAGGGCCATGCCCAGTCCACTGTTATGGCCGCAATCGATGCTAGGGTACGTCGAGTGAGCGAGGTCGTCAAGGGGCTGCAGACGGTTCAGATGCTGGGGCAAGCTCTGGCATTTCATGCCTGGATTGATGAAAAGCGAGAGAAAGAGCTGTTGGCGATATGGGGCAAAATGAAGATTGTAGTTGCGTCTGACACGATCTCAGCTGGTTTTGTGCTGGTGCCCCTAGTTGTGTCGCTTTGGTCGTATACCATGCTTGCTGGATTACCACTTACCCCTACAATGGTTTTCACTGTTGTCTCCATCTTCAACACCCTCAAGGGCATGATGTCACTTGCAGTGATTGGAGTTAGCACACATGCCCATGCAACGGTTTCCTTGAACCGAGTGCTGGCGTTTCTGGATGACGAGCTATCACCAGAGGACAATTGGGAGAGCGGAGCGTTTCACACTGCTTACGCGGACGAGAGGCCGAATGGGACCGACTATACCTTTGGGGCACTAAATGCTACCATTCAGGTTTACGGGAGCGGTGGGAATCCAAGGACTATTCTGAAAAACGTCAATTTTAGTTTGGTCCAAGGTGGACTCAACGTCATCACGGGGAAAACAGGGTAAGTCTCAGTCCCTACCAGTACGAATCATATTAACACAGACCCTAGGTCCGGCAAATCCACTTTGCTGAAAGGTCTTATACATGAAGCTCATGTCTCTCAAGGGGAGCTGGGCATCCGGTCAAGCCCCTTTGAAAAAGTGTCATATGCTGGCCAATCACCTTGGCTGCAGGAAGGCACAATCAGGGAGAATATTCTATTTGGTTCTCCTTTCTCAGAAAGGCGATATCAAGAGACCATTAAATCAACGGGACTAGACATCGACCTACGAGACCTACCTTCAGGCGATGCGACCATCGTCGGTGAGCGTGGCCAATCTCTATCAGGTGGACAGAGAGCTCGCGTAGCCATGGCCAGGGCCATTTTTGCGGACACTCAGACGGTACTGCTGGATGATATCTTGGCCGCTTTGGATGCTACCACATCTCGTTTGGTTGTGGATAAATGCATCCTCGGTGACTTCATGAAAGGACGGACCATCGTGCTGGTAACTGAGCATCTCCAATGTCGGCAAGAGGCAGACTTGCTGCTTGAGATTAGCGACGGGACCGTCACAAGAGTTGTGGCCCCAGATCAACAATCCTCAAAGGCATCTAAAGTCTCGTCTGTGACAGTTTTAGAGACTGAGGTATCAAGCGACACCTTCGAAGCTATTCTAGAGACCACCGAAGCTCCAGAGATCAGTCCTCCCAGCGAAGTCAAGTCTTCCCCGAAAGGCTCAGAGAAACTCATTACGGGTTTGATTGGGAGGATGTATATCCTAAAGTACATGAAGCTCTTTGGTTCTCCAGGGTTCTTGTGCCTATTTTGCTGCCTTGCTCTCAGCTCCCAAGCAGCAGACGTGTTACTGTCATTCTGGTTGACTATCTGGTCAGGCAAGTATGAACACGAGAGCAGTCAAGAGGAGCGACAGAAATCTTTTTCTTATCTCATCGTCTACGCTGGTATTGGAGTTGTTCAAATATCCCTCGTCTGCGTATCTTCATTGATCTTCTTCTACGGAGCCCTGAGAGCAAGCCGCACAGAACACTCGCGAATGATCACGTCGGTTCTTGGGGCAACCTTCACTTGGATCACGACCACACCTGGGGGATGGATTCTCAACCGATTTTCCTCTGACATGTTCTCTTTGGACAATACCATCACGGAACTGCTGAAGCAGGTGCTGGAAAATTTCCTGTCTATTGGTTTCCGTCTTGCCGCAGTTTCATCAGCCCTTCCGTCGTTTATTCTTCCCACAGTTATCTTGCTTGGTTTGGGCATGTATGTCGGCCAGATCTATCTATATGGCTCAACTGCGGCAAAGAGAGTGTATGCCGCAGGTTTGTCTCCAATCCTCACCGGTCTGACAGATGTTATTACGGGTATCGAAGTCATCCGCGCTCATCGGGCGGAGGCCACATTTCAAGATCAATTTCTGATATCTCTTGAGCATTATCTGCAAGGTTGGGAGGCTGTTAGTGCGACCCAGAGATGGTTGGCAGTCAGGATGGACTTTTTGGCTGGATTGATATCGCTCTTGACTGCGACTCTCGCCCTGTCGTCTAGAAACACCAGCCCGGCCGTCATTGGATTCAGTATGACAAGCTCAACAACTCTTTGCACCTCGCTATTATGTATGTTCGCTTCAACTTCTAGAACGTTGGTGGTGCTAATATGTCGAAGATATTGTATATCTATCGAGCGTGTTGCAGGTTGAAATGAACTGCTTCCAGCGCATCGAAGAATACATTCACACGATACCACAAGAGCAAAGGGGTTCCGACAAAGAGTTGCCGCCCCAACATCTGATCGGATGGCCTCATGATGGAAACGTGAGGATACATAACGTCACCGCCGGCTATACCATTGATGGTGATGCTGTGTTAAATGACATCAACCTCGAGGCTAAGCCCGGGCAACGCGTTGCCATCGTGGGACGCTCAGGGAGTGGGAAGAGCTCTCTCGCAGCGACTCTTCTTCGATTAACTCGGAAGTTTCAAGGTCGCGTCCTTATCGACGGCATCGATATTGAGACTGTAGATGTTCATGATTTACGTCAGCGCATTTGCTTCATTCCCCAAAGCCCTACATTGTTTACTGGCTCATTGAGATTCAACCTCGATTTTAGCGGCACGATTCCAGATCTGCTGCTTCAAAAAGTACTCGGCGATGTGCTGGGTGATCTTGCGGCAACCAAACACTGGAACCTGGACAAAGAAATTGAAGCCGATGGAGCCAACCTGTCGCAAGGCGAGCGACAACTCATCTCCATGGCGCGGGCGCTCGTGACTGACGCCCGTGTCGTGCTGATTGACGAAGCGACGGCCAATTTAGATGCCGAGAGTGAAGAGCGCATTCAAAGGCTGTTGAAGGAACGTTTCTCGGACAAGACTCTGATCGCCATCGCACATCGCCTAGCTTCCGTGGTTCAATTCGACTGGGTGTACGTGATGGATCAGGGAAGTATTGTCGAGCAAGGCAATCCCCAAGAGCTCATGGTCCGAGAAGGCGGGGAGTTTTGGAAACTATGGCAAGCCACTCGTGAATAGCACGGCGGCTCATTAGATAGGTTGATACTTTGGTGCATTAGTCCTTGAAAACTTGCCCAACCTCTGTCAATTAATAATACGTGTAGAGTGTGAAAGTGAATACCCTCAGGCAATGTCGATGGTGGTTAACGTGTCTTCCCCGCTTCCACTTGACAAGATCCCTGAGCACGCCGCCCTGGAGGCATTAGTTGGCAGGGAATACACTGGACAGAGTGCACTGGAGAGCTGCTATAGCCGGTTATCATCTCCCTAACCCCGAAATGCAACGGTGGCTGTGGCCGTTATCTTGACATGGGTCCTGGCGGCCTTCATGAGATAAGACTAACCTAGTCGCGCCATGAGTGTGGGTGAGATTAAAAGTGTCTGGCATCTTCCGATCTGGCCACTGGCAAATTTCCCTCCTGCATGTCAATTAATCCAAGGGGTCGCACTTGAGGGTCCTTATATGCTCCATTCCCTATCCAATTCGACGACTGTACGCCCCTACTCCGCTCAAATGCCCTCGACGTCTCCATCATCAGGTCCTTCTCCCCCCGGACCCAAGACAGGCCACCCTGGACCTCCTCGGAAGCGAAATGTCACGTCCCGAGACCGGAATGGATGCATCACGTGTCGTAAGCGGCACCTTAGGTGCGACAAGACTCATCCTGAGTGCACCAATGTTCGTCATCTTGCTAGGGTTAGCATGTATAGAAGAAACTGACTCAGAGGGCTCTGTAGTGCTTGAAGATGAACCGAATGTGTGAAGGATATATCGTCAATCGGATTGCTTTCTGCGACGAGACCTTCTTAACCACGCAGAAAGCCCAAGGCAGGGTTCCCAAGAGGGCCCGAGGACGGGCTGTGAAGAGAGTGGTGGTTGACGCAAGCCCAAACACAACCCGCAATGAAGCCGTAATTGACAGCTCTCTTGTTGGGTTTGAAGATGCGCAAGACGATACCACGGCTTTTGCAGGCAACGCTTTAGCCCCTGTTTCCGAGGCAGGAGATTGGATGCTACAGGAATGGGCGCTCTCTCTTTGGCCTCAGGATGGCGAAGCACACCTCAATGACGATGCCTCACCCTCCTCTTTACTGGAACTGAACCCGGTACCAGAGAACAGCCTTCTGGATATGGTTTCTTTGGACCTTTACTCAACCAATCTTGCCCCGAGCCCCCCAGTGCTCCAGCAATTTTCACTTGCATCAGGGAATGAAAGCCAGTCTCAATTCTTCTGCTCTCCCTACGACGGAGAGTATATGGAACGGCTTCGAAGTGATGGAATTGACGGCTTGACAACTATCCTTCCGATAAAAGATATAATCATTGACCATTCCGTCATGGCATCGCACTGCTGGAGTGCGGCGCTCGCTGTCTCAGCCCTTACCTCGTCGAAAAAAGGGTTCATCTCCACTCAGGATTCTAGACAACATGCAATCCAGCACTACAGGAATGCTGTACAATGCGTTCGAAAATCATATCCTAAAGAATCCCCGGGGGCTTTCCAAAACGTCAGCTCCGATGATCTACTTAGTTGGTTTCTGACCCGCCTGTTGCTAGCCAACTTCGACTTGTGTCGCGGAAACCTCTCTTCCTGGCGCCACCACCTTCGAATAGCAGGAAGAATCTTCAGTTCGTGGCATCAAAGGATCCTCGTTGACTCCCGCGGCCGCCAACTTGCTCACGCTTTTGCGCGCATGGCGCTGCTCGTGGAGCTCCAAAACGGCGACTTGGCACTGACTCGAGTGCACGACATGAACCCTGGAGTAGCAAGCCAGCTCATATCAATGATGGAAGAATCAGAGTCTTCTCGTGACCGACTGCTTGCGATGATCAGGAACGTGAGCAAGCTGGAGATTAAGTTCCGCTATCGGCCCGAGTTACACGATAAATGGACGCGCAAAATGGAACTCATCGACGCGAAACTGACAGAGTGGCAACAGAATTTGCCAGCCTCGGAGCTGCCTGTCGACACAGGTGTTGCAGACGCCGTCAAGTTTCCCGTTGATCTGGGATCATCCATGCCCTCGCTCGCCGTTACGCCCTTGACGTTTCCAAACTCCTCCAACCCATATACATCCGCCGTGAATTATGCTCACTTCCTCTGCGCTCGCATGCGTGTTCGAACTCGATACCTTCCAAATGGCGGCAAGATCACTCCCCTAGAGACTGAATCTACAGTCTTGTACACCTGTCGGATAGCGGCTGGCCTTTCTCCAGGTGGGTGTGCGCGGGCGAATGCTTTCGGTCATGGCATGATGCCTGCACTGGTCGGCTCATATCGTTGGAGCAGTAATGCGCAGGCTCGTCAGTGGATCACATCTTGGCTTCAGGGGTACGAAGAAGAGGGTGGCCGCGAAGGTCTCTGGAATGTGCTGCAGACTAGGAGATTGCTGTCATTTCTGGACGATGAGGCGCGTCGTCGGGCGTCTATCTCGGGATGCTGGGATATTATCGCTGCCAGGATTGAGGATGAGGATGACTCAAGTGATAGAGACTCTATGGTTTCGGATGGATCTGTCACAGATGCATCTTTTCCCATCCAAGACGATTTGGACTGGTCATTCTCTCCGTGCATGGCTTTGAGTCCTTTTAGGGTTGTCGTTCATTCCCGATCACCGGATGGCTGGGCAACTGACCACTACGTTGTTTCATGATTTAAATATGAAGAACGAAGAAATTCCAGAAGACTAGATTATCTTAAGATACCCGCTCATTGACTTCAGGTTGGTTAGTGTTCTCGCTCACCCTGCAATACGATGGTGCTACCCCACCCGGGATTTGGCATGGAGCTTTTGGGTTCTTCTTCAAAACGGGCCGCGAAGTTAGTGGACGATTCAAATGATGACGTAGAAATGATTGCACATGCATGAGTATTGATAGTACAAATATATCTTTTTGCGCTTTATCTAATTGGAGAGTGCTGGAAATGTGACATCCTCTGGCTTCAGTCACGAACCGTTTGCAAAGGAAAATTAAGAGCTGTCTTCTCGTTGACCTCAGTTGATATAGCATACACAACCCAAATTATCTGGACGATCCGCACTAAGGGCACTCCTTGCCAGTCAACTTGACAACCCAGCCACCACGCTCAATCGTATTGATAAAGACGTAACCAGACTTGAAATACGCGTAAGATGACCAAGTGCCAACAAAAGAAACAGCGCCGCCTCCAGGCAAAGCATCATCCTCGGGGTAAATGTCGAACCAGGCAGCTTCGCAAACGCCGGCACCAGTGGGGTCTTCGGGGATGGAACGACCATCCAGAACCCGAAGACCAGCGCCGTAGTGAGATTGGTAGATGTAACTGTCAATCACATACTGGTTGTGGTCGATGGACTTTGTGGGGTGCTTGAAGTGACCTGTCTGCTTGGGGTTTTCCAGATCTCGAATATCCCAAATGAAGGTGACTGGGAAGCCATCGCTAGCTGGACCTCGCCCTCTCGATTCATCCAACTCGTCATCTAGGACGAGGAATTCTTGGTTTTGAGTGTCAAGAACCCATCCCTGGTGAGTGTATGATGCTCCTTCGTATGAGATGCGAGAGATGATGTTGGTAACGTTTGCCTTATCCGTGACATCGTAGATGGTCAATGTGTCTTCATTGTAACCATAGCAAATATCACGTCCTTGGTAACGCTCGTCAGGTCCACGATAGACAATACATTGCGCATCATGAACATAACCGTCGCCCTTTGCACAACCCAGAGATGTTGGGTTGGCTGGATCGGTCAGGTCGAAAAAGTTGAGTCCAGACAAACAATTCGGATCAGTGCGAGGTTGACCACCAACAGCGGCACCGTACTTGAGCTCTTCGTTGACCACAACGTTGTGGGCTCGACCAAGAGGCAAAAGAGCGCTGAAATGACTCGTCAGGTCAGTCTTGGCATTGAACGTGACGGGCTCATCAGCGTCAATGTCTAGCAATTTCTCGAGGTCGAAGATCTGAATGCCATGGCCGACGGCTTCAGAGCCGATGATGACGTAGTGCTGGTAGGTTCGAATTTCGCGCCACTCTGATGGCGTAGAATACTGAGGCAACCGACCGAGATAGATGAGTTTGCCGTTTTTGTCGATCTCAGCAAACGCGGTACCATCATATTGTCCGATAGCCACAAATTCACGGCCGTCATCTGAAGTCCATCCCCACGAGGAAGAGCCATGGCCTGAAGCACTGCCCAGGCCAGCATGGCTAACAAAGGAATGAAGGTCAACCTATGTCAAAGCGTAAAGGGTCAGTCCTGTTCGGCAAGTATAAGGTGTCTCTACACACATTATGGCATCGGAACGTATTGTTTCCGTCTCCCTGGATGGCTTCGGCCACTCCGTCAATGCAAGCAGTATAGCCCAAGTCAGGGTACTGCTCGCTAGCGAATGCCCCAACCTCTTCTTGGCGAGCCCACTCGGCCTATAATCGTATTAGCCATGTCCTGAAATCTTTCATCTCAAACACACCTTCTTGCTGGCCATGAGCCTGTTGTGGACAATACCGGAGTCATACAGCTCTGCCCCCTCCGCCTCATTGGGCTGGATCTCTTTGGCCTGTGACCATGACACCGCTGCGGCTATGGTGCCGAGGTAGACGGCGGCGCGGACCATGATGAGGATCGTTCAACGAGAAACAGACACTGGGAGAATAAGGGAAGGCCAGGAATCCGCTGCGTGAAATCGAACGCTCTTGCGGACTTGAACACAGCAGCTCAACTTCCACGACGAGAGAGTCGCTTCGTAGATCTTTATAGAGAGCAGATCCAAGAAGAAAAAATCCATCAAGGTGCTTACAAAGTGTCCTAAGAAAGGAATAGTTGCCGGGCGATCCAAGCATTGCGTCAACTTTCCTCGTAATCCCGTTACTGGTGATTGGCAATCAGGTAGCCTGCATCCGAAGATTCCATCTCGGCATTGGCATTACACCTGACTCCAACCAACCAGGATCGAACCAGGGTAGCATTCGGCGTCCGCAATTCTCTTGGCAAGATCGTGTGAGCTTATCTTGAATGGGAAGGTAACTAGAAGGGGAATGTGGTAGTCCGCGAGATGCAAAGTCGCTCGGCTTCTACACCTAGATTTGACGCCAAGTAATTAGAGTAGCAAGGGACTATACTTTAAGTCCTTTAAGGTTGCACGCAAATCGGGGTAAGTCCTTTAATAGGAAGGCTCATAGGCCTCCTTGCCGATCATTTACATGGAACGGACTTACGTGACCATTGATCACAAAAGTCCCCAAAAAGAAATAGTCGAGCGTTTATCTGTGTCCTTGGCATTTCTTTTTACACCAATCCCTCTACGCGATCAACGGCAGTTTTCATGCAGGGTTATAACAAAAGCTCAGCGGCTAGGATATAGGGTCTGTTAACGCTAGCCCTAGTAGGAAAGTAGTAGGAAGCGGGTCGCCAAGAACACGAAGTCGGTTGGTAATACGAGGTATCACAAGTTGCTACGAGCGGTGAGTGGGTGAGAGAGAAAATGGAAAAGGGTATTCCGCTAAACCAAGGTACTTGAGTTCTAGCAGATCTTACAAGTAAAACTCAAGTCAATCTCATTTTTCTTCTTATAATACGGCTCGGCTTTAGGAATTACATAGTGAACATGACGCGGCTACCAGGATGGAGGATGGCGAAAGCAGAAAAACACCAACCAGGCCCAAAATGGACTGGCTGAGGGAAAGTGGCGAGCTAGACTAGGATTTTAAATAAGAATAGGGGTTGCATTGAATTGTTGACCAATGTGATCTTAGAAGTGATATACAAAAGAAATAGTCCCGCCTTCTCACGGCTGCCGCAGAATACAAAAGATCAATCGAGTCAATTATCCTTCGAAAGGACCTCCCTCAACCAGTACTCAGTTCGAGGTACAGTATAGCAACCCAACACAGTCACAAACTGAGAACCCACAACCGTCCCATGAGGAAACCGACGCCCGCATACTATTTATTTTCCGTAAAATCACCTTATTCTCATACACAGCAACACTGAAGCACGGCTGCGTGTGTGAACGGACCAAAAATACCCTCACAATCGACGAGGTACCCACCTAATCGTTAGAGAGTCCCTGGTCCTGGATACTGCCTCTGCTTCCTTGCTCCTCTCGTGATACTTAGACAATACACCTGGCTCACCTAGTTCAGTCACCTGACTGACAAGAGCCAATGGACCCTGCATGCGAGCTGATATTGTCATAGCTAGAGTCTTAGTTAGACTGGACAGATCAGGTGACGCTCGTCTGGAAGTAGGACGCGGATCATGGATCTCGATCGCATCACTGCTTTTTTGATCCCCTCAGCTGATCATCTCAATACCCCATTACCCCGCGACTATCCTATTACTACCCCGCCTTATCGTGCCGGGAACCATATATCTAAACACCAATTCAGGCTCTATGTTGCTAATTCCCCTCACAAGGTATTACCCACCATACACGCGTTCCAATAGTATCGTTGCCGATATTAGGCTAAAAGGCAACTCCACTAGGTTTGAAGGTCAGTATAGAAATCGGCAGTTTGCAGTGGGGTTCAATTACAGACTCGCCTGTTTTACCTTTATCCCGCGTGAAAGTTGTCCAATTAACCGATCTAAGAACCACGCAAAGCATCCTTTAATCCGTCAATCCAACTCTAATACTTGATCTGCATTTCTCGTATCCTGATCAAGTGTAACGTTGAAAAGTTTGAACTGGATTGGTGGGAATAATCTGACAATTGTTGCGGGGAACTCTCTACATCGTATTTAAATAGATCGAATGAGTAGAACAACGTTCCTGGATGCCCTCTACAGCTTGAGAACCTGATCGCAACCAATGCATGAGCCTGGTGCCATTCACAATGAAACTCAAACCCCTTCCAACGGCCTTGCAGTGCCTTCTACTCCTTGGCTTTGGCAACCTAGTGCAAGCATTGTCAGTCACAAACCTTGGTCAAGGAGGCCGGCAGCGCACTAAGATTAATTCGGGTTGGAAATTCTTGCGAACAGAGAAAAACGCCGACGGTATCATCTATGACCAACGCCCAGACTTGGTCAATGTCGAAAATCCAGTTGTCTTGAAGCCCTGGATTCTTCCGTCTGGGAACGACTTCATCAAAGACGCAGCTAATCGCCATGAAACGCCGAGTACCAGCCCGCCAATTGGAAATCTCAGCTTTGTTGAGGCATCTCTGGACGACAGCGAGTGGGAGTCGGTCCGGCTGCCTCATGACTGGGCTATTGCAGGGCCTTTTTACACCGATGCAGACCCTATCGTGGGGGGCGGAATGGGACGTCTACCTGTCCATGGAGTTGGATGGTATCGTCGAGAACTTCCAATTTCCAAAGCAGACCTGGACAACTCAATCTATCTTGACATAGATGGCTCCATGTCCTACACTATGGTCTGGGTCAACGGAGATTTAGTTGGAGGCTGGCCGTATGGGTATGCCTCATTTCGCCTAGACTTGACATCTCACCTGAAGGCCGGAATCAATCAGCTCGCGATTCGATTGGACAACCCTCCCGACTCCGCTCGGTGGTATCCCGGAGCAGGCTTGTACCGCAGCGTTTGGATCACCAAAGTTGCGAAGCTACATGTCGGCCAATGGGGGACCTTCATCACGTCAAGAGATGTTTCGACCACTTCTGGGACACTTGATCTCGTCGTTGATGTTGAGAATACGAGTGATTCGGACAGAAAGGTTGAGGTAGGGACGGACGTGTACGAAGTGGATTCGCAGACCGGCAAAGCTGTAAAGAAGAGAGTTGCCGCATTTCCAAAGACATCCATCCAAGTTGAAAAGGGAGGGAAAGTATCTACCAATTCGTCCACCGAGATAAAGAACCCACGCCTTTGGGGGCCTCTGCCGACACAAGAGCCGAATCTTTATGTTGCAGTCACAATAATCTATGTTGGAGGCCTGGTGGTTGACACTTACGAGACAGAATTTGGTGTCCGCGCAGTCACTTATGATCCCAATGAGGGATTGTTGGTCAATGGCGAACAAATCAAGATACAGGGCGTCAACGAACATCACGATCTAGGCGCAATCGGCTCCGCTTTCAACTTGCGTGCTGCAGAGCGCAAGTTGGAAATACTTCACGAACTCGGAGTGAATGCTATTCGCATGGCGCACAACCCTCCCGCTCGGGAGCTTCTGGAGTTAACCGACCGCATGGGCTTCCTGGTTATTGATGAGATCTTTGATTGCTGGGAGCTCGGAAAGACTGATGGAGATTTCCACCTTATTTTCTCTGATTGGCATGAGGCGGACCTCAGGAACTTTATGCGGAGGGATCGGAACCATCCATCGGTCATTGCTTGGAGCTTCGGAAACGAAGTGACTGAGCAGCACAATGGTGAAGAGGGCGCGGCGTTGGCTTATCGTCTCCACGACATGGTCAAGGAAGAGGACTCAACCAGACCGGCAACATCATCAATGAATTACGCCAAGCCAGACATGCCATTTGGTCACGCTATGGATATCCTCAGCATCAACTATCAGGGATCTGGCATTCGCGACACCCCAAACTATTCCAACCTCCAAGGCATCCGCACAAACCCTCTGTACCCTGATTTCCACAAAGCGTTTCCCGATAAAATGATTCTCGGCAGCGAGACGGCGTCAACTATTAGCACTCGAGGTACCTTCATGTTCCCTGTCACGGTCAACACCGGCGCGCCCGTCAACGAGACCTCTGGAGGGAACTCGACTACCTTGGAAGTCAGTGCATATGAGTTGTACACCGCCAACTTTGGCTCGCCCCCAGACAAAGTCTGGATGTACGATGACAAGAGCCCTTTTGTTGCTGGAGAATTTGTCTGGACGGGCTTCGACTACATCGGCGAGCCTACTCCATACTACGACGCTCGCAGCTCCTATTCAGGGATAATTGACTTGGCCGGGTTCAAAAAGGAACGCTACTATCTGTATCAGTCGCGTTGGCGACCGGATCTTCCCATGGCCCATATTATCCCGCACTGGGACTGGCCTGATCGTGTCGGAGAGACCACTCCTGTCCACGTATTCTCTGCTGCTGATGAAGCCGAGTTATTTGTGAATGGAAAGTCACAGGGTCGAATCAAGAAGGAAGAGTTCACTTACCGTTTCCGCTGGGATGAAGTGAAATACCAACCCGGGCAGGTGAAGGTGGTAGCATACAAGAACGGGAAGAAATGGGTAGAAAAGAGTATTCAAACGACCGGTGTACCAGCCAAGTTGCGAATGACTGCGGATCAAAAGACTCTTGAGTCTATCGGAGAAGACTTGGCCTATGTTACGGTGGAAGTCGCCGATGCAAAGGGCAACGTCGTACCTACGGCTGACCACTCAATCCAGTTCTCAGTTTCTGGACCGGCAGAGATCATTGCGACGGACAACGGAAATCCTGCTGATATGAACACGTTTGTCTCAACAGAAAGAAAGGCGTTTAGCGGCCTAGCTCTTGCGATTTTGAGGACTAAGGAGGGGGAAACTGGCCGTATAATAGTTACAGCTAAAGCAGAGGGGCTGAAATCTGCTAGTCTGCGGTTAAAGGTAAGGTGAGCTGGTAGTTTAGTCTTTAAATGCGTAAGGAACAATTTTTTTTCGTTGCGTAACTCATGTAGCGACGTGAAAGTTTTAATCTGGTAATTTCTGGATCATGTCGATGTTTGTTGAAATGTTCTCATTCGACCTACGTGACTCTTATTGTATCTGGCGTCCTGTTGGGAAAGGCCACTAGATCATGTGCGACAATTAGCAAAAGTTCGTTACATTGACATTGGTATTGAGGAGAAAAGCACCCATGACCCAAGTTTTGCATCAGTCATCCCTTGGCCATGGGAGGAAGTAGACTCTATGTGGTGTGGCCTATCTAGGATAAGCGCAAGCAGCTCCGACGACCTACAGAATGATGGCTTGATCAAGCAATAGGAAAGTAATAATTTTATCGCCGTCCACATTATCTAACGGCATCGATCTATGTTATAATAGCGTAATCCTATGCCTCTAGTTCTTTGACCTTCTTGTATCCAACCCCGCTTCTCAATAGCCACATTCTCATCCTGAACCATAGGATATGTAAGTCCTGCCTCGTATTAATAGACAAAGCCTCGAGTGGGAGCGCAGTGAAATTCTCAGAGAAGAGATGGAGCTCCGCGAGGAGTACGAAGAGCTACTACAAATGAACGAAATTGACATGGAGGAAACCTCAGATAACATTGACAGGCTACTAAAAAGAGACGTGATGAAACGGAACCTGCTTCCCTTGCTAGGGATTCTCGCGGGAACAGGGATGGCGATTGCGGGATCAGTAACTGGACTTATTCCTCTCGCGGGAGCAGGTATCGGCGTGGGTTTTACATCTGCTTCAAAGATTAACTTTTCTCGAAGGCCAACACCGGATTCATCTTTGGGTAGGAAAATATCCAAGTTTATGCGGGAGCCATTATGTTCAGGTGGCCAGGGGGCGGCTGGAGCATCGCTAGACTAGACTTAGAAGCCGTAATGTTTACTTCGCACAGTAATAGCCTTACGCAGTATCACGAAAGGTCTAATGTTTTCTATTTTTATTTCAAGTACCACTTTACTTTGCTTTTCCTTGTATCGCACAAGCTCTATCGCGGGTCGGTGGATATGAGAGATCTGTAGGAACGGCAGCACGACATAGTCTCAAAACAGCAAGAATTTCACTGTTCAGTTTCGTCTAAGAAATCATAGGGACACGTTTTAGTCAGGCTAAAGACCAGGGGTACGCGGTACAAGGCTAATTTTGTCATTGGGTGAGGTCGAGGTCAGATATTTCTTCTGCGGTTGTAGGAGACACATTTTATTAGTTGAACGAATTCTAGAGGCCGTCGCCCTGGAAAGAATGAGGCATATTGAAAGCTGAATAATGGCGGTAAACCACACTCGGACGATTTTTAGCTGTTGAAATGGTTTAAGATAATTGAATGCACCCAATACAGCGACAACTATGAGGTCAAATTTAGGAGCAAATTTCCTGGCAAGCTTCGATTAGTCTATTACTTATCTATGACCGGGCCGTTAGCCTACCCCGGACCGGCGGCTAGATCTATTCCGGGGACGGAGAGACGTCTAGAATGAAAACACAAACGAGATTTGTAATAAATAATTTGCTCTTAAGATATGGATTAAAGCTAATACCCCGCGCTATATCGTTTAGACTCGGGTATTCTGCCCATTCCGGTCCGGCGGGTGTGTTTATTCCGAGCTAGACACAACAGCATATAAATTGAAAGCACGAATGGCAGAAAAGCGATCAGAACTCATGAATAAATACACATAAACATGACTATCGGAGATTCAAGTCAGCAATCGGTCCAATTGGACACTCCGGTGAAGGAGTATGCTCCCATCGGAATCTCCAATACTGCATTCAGTAAATTCGCCGCTGCATGTGGCCCTCTCGCTATTCTTTTCTTTTTCCTCGGCCTTCCAGGCGCAGGTTGGCTACCTCCCATGTCTCCATCTCTCTCACCTGAGCAGGTAGTCAGACATTATGAGAAGCACGAGACGGGTATTAGGGGCGGGGCAGGTCTGATGACATTCGTGGGCTTCTTCTTCCCCATGTACACATCCGCCATCTCGGGTCAACTGTCCCGTATTCCTGGAGTCCCAAAGACGGTCTTACATGCACAGCTTCTCGGGGGATGTCTGGGAGGCTTATTACTCTTCCTTCCGGCATACTTTTTCGCAGCAACTGCGTATCGATTGGACCGACCCCCAGAGTTGACGCAAATGTTGAATGATCTGAGCTGGATTCTGTTTGCCATGCCATTCGCAAGCCTCCTTGTGCAAGACTTTTCATTCTCGTACGCGATTCTGCTCGACCGAAGACCGCGACCTCTATTTCCACGGTGGCTGTCGGTCGTCACCACTGGCCTCACTCTTACATTTTGGCCCGCACTTGGCGTACACTGTGTCAAGAGCGGCGCTGTGGCTTGGAACGGTGCTTTGGGGTTCTGGACGGCTGGAATTGGTGGAGGTCTTCAAGTCATTCTTGTTTCTATTTTCGTCTGGAGGGCAATTGATAGAACAGATCTGCCCGCAGATGGGGCATAAAATACGCGAGGAATTGGAAGGGGGTGGCTACAACGGAGCTATTCAGTCGGCATCAGCTAGCGAATACCTTTCAATTGGATTTACGGAAGATTTACCAGCCTTTACTAGCTACTGTTTATGGACCACAGTTAATTATTGATAAGTGCGTGGCGGCGGACCATTGGTGTCGGCTCACCTTTACCTCTCTATTCTTCGCAGTGTTATTGAGTGCTGGTGGATTAAAATTCAGACCACAAAGTTTCTTTGTGTCTTCAAAAACAATCAAGGATCGTTGCGCTTCCAGCTTAGAGGATACGCTAGTCTGTTTATGGATATCTTAATTCCTGACTCTCTTGGCACACTGTCTTACTCAGGGGAATATCATTACATAAAAGCAAACCTTCGACCATCGAGGTATTCAGGCGATCCGTGTGTCTGACCGCAGGGTGTCTGACCGCAGGTCAGATCAATCATTAGCCACGGTAGGTCTGAAGAAATCATGTATCCCAGTTTCTCAGCATTATTCTCTGTGTCATGGCACCATAAAAGAGTGACATTCTCGCCTGTGAGCTTGGCCACTACTTCGACGGCCTCCAGCTACCCTAGTGTCATCTCAGATTCTGGGCACCTCCATGTGGCAATGTAATCCGCATACGACGCCAGCATTACACCATGAACTTAAGCTTAGACTTAAGCTTCGGAATCTCCACGAACCGGTGCTGCCTTTTGACTCACCGATTTACGATCCCATGAATATGGACCGGTCTACATTCCAGATCAGCTGCCACTAGTTTCTTGGCAGTGCCAATAGCTCAGCCTTTTGGAATGCGCTCACCCTTCAGTGGGTTGAGGCCGTACTGGTTTGCGTTAGATCTCGTGGACGGCGCTCAGCCCTAAAGCGCATTCCAAGCTACGGTCGGCCCATTTCTCCTTAGCTGTCAGACGGGGCTGAACTATTGTTTGAAGCGAAACACCGACTTATGCTAGGTCAGGCTAAATGGTCCATTTGGTCCCCGGTGAGGCTCTCTGGAGCTTGGCACACCGTAGCTGTGTCGTAGACCAAGGCCTCGACCAACTGTGGCGTTCCTGTGTATGCAAGGGAAACCAGCTTCAGGTTGATTATTTAACTCGCCATTACCCCCTCTCGATACGGAAAGGCAAGGACGGTCTTCAACATTCTCACCATTCCATCTCTGGGTCGTCATAGAATTCACGATGCGGTCATTTGCGCTACTTCTCCCAGCTTGGCTGCTACTACCTGTGGTTTCTGCAGGTGTAGACTTGGTCGACACGTGCTATAATCTCGACGGCATATCTGACTGCTCGGGCACATATGAGCATCCCGTCGATGCAGTGGCGAGGGATTGTGAGTATTTCGTCAGCTGGTAATGTTTTCAAGAGTAACTTGCTCACCTTCAGCCAGGCAATAATAACGGGCAAGCTGAAACATGTGGAGTCACCATTATCACGGAAGAGAGATCCCTCTGCAGCGCAATGCTTCAGGGTCTGTCGGAGAATGACGAGGGTGCCAAGTTCCAGCAGAGCATGGATGGCATCTGCAACTGCCTTCCGGAGATGCAACGTCTCTTCACTGCTAACAGTTATGTGCCTATCATACAACGTGGAGACGTTTCACCAGCCACGTTTCCCTACATGGTGTACACAGTCCATGGAGTTGACAGAGTAAGGCGAATCTCTTTCATAACCGGCACTGAGCATCACGCTAATGTATCTAGTGTATCCAAGATAACGACTTTAACATCGGGAGTAACCGAAAACAGATCATACGAGACTACTTTAAGCCCCGAGATGGTTGGAAGTTCGTTCGAGCGGCAGATGTATGTTCAAATTTAGAGGAAGGACTTGGATGGCGTTAACATTGTGCAGGCCACGATGGATACGTACAAGAAATTCATCGCCGTCACCAACAGGTGCCACAACAGAGGATGCGACACCAAATAGGTCAAAGCCTTCTTCGAGAGTTACATTCGCCAGTCAGAGGATATAACGGATGGCGAACTTTACCGTATGCTGGACGACTGGATGAAGCTTTTTCAGTCCATCAACAAGAAGATCGCCGCTGTTAAGACAGCAGCCAAAAACGTGCAAACTCACCTGAAAACGACTTCCAGCAAGTTCTCTTCAACTACGAAGAGTATGTGCAAGAAGAATAAGACGTGCGATAAGAAAGGCGTAAAGTCGTTCATCACTCAGGGTAAGCCATCTCAACTCATTCCAGCCTCAGTTACTTACGCATTCCAGTGTCCAACTCTCTCAAGGCGGTCAAGGCGTTGAGCAACATTCCCGCGGCGGCGGATTCGGCAGCCAAGACCATCACACCGATACAGGCGGTAATTTATGACCTTCTCGAGAATCGCCTTCCGCAGCCCGATACTGAGCGAGCAATCAAACTGATTATGGAGGGAACCATTGATTCACTCCGCGAGCTCACTCTCGGTTTCTACATAGTCGAGTCCCTGCCCACAGCTGCCGACAAACTGAAGAAACAGATCGTCCCGATTGGCGCTCTTACCAAGCATGGAAGCCGAGGATCAGCTGCCCTCAAAAAGCTCGATGCAGTGCTTGCCAAGAATTGGAAGAACAACAAGGAGCTTGGCAAAGTCCGTGACGGATTTATCACCATCCAATCCACCATCAAGCAGAAGTTGCGAAACCCTTTGATCAAATTGAACAAGGAACTAAAGAGCCTTGACGAGGCGCTTAATAAATTCCAACTGCGGAAGAAAAGGCTTGAGTTGAGTGCTGGGGGCACAAGTTACAGAAGGTGGACCGAGAACTCATTCATCATGCCTGCAAGATCACGATTGATGAATTTTTCACCGTCGAAGGCTTTACGGACAAATATTCCTATCCAGCATTTCAGCCATGTGAGTATGGCCCTGATACTATCAACTTACCGAACCATCAAATTCCCTGGATACGCTGGCGATTCATTTGAAACCGTCATGGTCACTTTTTTGCTCTTCGGATGGATGATGGTGGTTTATTATGATGAACCAGGCTCTATCTCGCAGTCAATCCCCAAAGACAGGGGGCCTTCGGCGGTTTATTGAGGGAGCTTCAGTCTCAAGTGCTTACTACGTTGTTCGATGGATTCTTTGGCATTCTAGGCTGGCATTAGTCGGACCAATATTTTCTATCAAATTCATTAACCTTTTAATTGACTGTGAACATGTCTATAGTTCTTGACAAGCAGGCCTGCCATATGACCACATTTGCAGTGCAGGGATCGACAATCTTGAGTGTGAGGTTGATGCTTCCTTTAGCGGCGACAGACAAGATTGTGAACGTACTGTACTTGTACTAGTCAGGCACTTCTTCAAGGTAACTGCGTTAAATACAGTCACTGGCCTCCTTGAGGCCAGAAGTTTAGTTCCTGGTGGCTCTGGTAGTAGTCACGCGATATCACCTTTCATAATTATTCTCTTGTTTTATAATGTATACCTTTGGACGAGTCACAATGAATAAAATCCCCAGAATCAACCAAATGTATCGTAATTATCCCGGAAAGTTAGTATGTGAGGAAAACCGAAGCTAAGGTACTCTCTCAGTGAAGGGCCAATTTAACCACATTTGCACACTTGGGATTTTAACACTGCGGTTAGTACAGTGGGTGTAGCTAACGAGACACTTGGAGGTATTCACAAAGTCCGCACAAGGCCGCCCCTGCAAGCAGAAGAGAGTCTGTTTAGTTGGGACAGCCTTATCCAGTAATTGCGTGACGCGCTAATGAAGAATCATATTGGATGCAATGTTGCGGCTAACCCGACACATTTGTACTAGCGAGTCCCTTATCTAAACCCATATTTGAGAAACAGCTTTCATTCCGTCTATGGACCGTTTCATCAAGAACTTCGGTGGCCATACGGCTCGAATGGGAATGCAGCCGACACCCCAGCCATAGCGACGAAGAGCGCGGCGCAGACGTAAATAGGCGCCGCTGTCGCAGTATTGGCTTCAGTGGCAACAACTGCAGAAATGATACCCATAATGCGGTTGCACGCGACGGCAATGCTGTTTCCAGTGCCACGGTGAGCGCTCGGCAATACCTCAGGGGTGTAGGCATAGAGCGTTCCGTAATAAATGTTGATGCAGAATGCAATAAAACAGGTGAAGACGAGATCTTGCACCGATGTTTTGACTGCCGTATAAGAGAAAAAGAAGGCCATGGTGATAAGGGCCCCGATGACCATAGTATACTTGCGGCCAAGCTTGGTATTGCACATATAGCCGGCTACAATAGGTCCGGGGATGCCGCTGATGTTCGTTAGAGTATAGTTTCGCCATTTCTCGAACTCAGTGCGATGAAACACGGCGCCGTTCTGCTCCAGGTATGTTCTAGATTATTGTTAATGTCTTGGTTTGTATTGATAGAACCGATAGCATCGGGTCCAGCACAGAAATAGAGTCACTTACGGCAAGAACACGTAGAACAGAGGATAAGCCAAGCCGATCATGGTCCATGATAGAAAAAGGCACCCGGTTGAGATTGACATTTTCTTCGTTCCAAACAAACCTCGGACATGAACCAGGGTTTCGCCGATAGAGAAGCGGTTTTTGCTGTGCGCAGATGTAACAGTGCCGCAGGCTTCAAGCTGCTCTACCGTCAGGGAGCATTGTCGGTTGTATTTCGTAGCCAGGTACTGAAGTGTTTCGACCAGTTCAGCTTCCTTACCAATTCCGACAAGATATTTGGGAGTTTCGCGTAGTCTAATGATGGCGATTCTGAGGATAGACATGACGAAAATAAGGGCACCACCGGTGAACATGACGTATCGCCATCCGTAGTTATTCGCCTTAGTACAAGTGGCAACATCGGAACAGTTCCACTTGTCAGGGACCATAAAGCCCCAGGCAATAAAACCTGTGATAGCTTGTCCAAATCCCCACCAGCAAGCGAGAAGGGTCAGTAACCACTGCTTGTTACTTGGGAGATATTCGAGAAACACAGCTGTATCCATAATCAGGTTGCCACCAGCTCCAAAGCTGATGAATGCAACCCAAACTCCGAGGGACTCCCAGGAAGGCATTGACCCGGCGATAATACAGCTGATGGAGCAGATGAAGAGCGAGATATTGAAGGAGTATTTGCGGCCGATGATGTCAGCTCCGAAGCCCCAGAAAAGGGCGCCTGTGAGCATTCCGACATAGCTTGCAATGGTCAAGCCGTTGGCATATCCTTTCTGGCCAAATTCTAGAAACGCTTGGGCGGCGATGACGGACTGGAAAAGTGTTATCATTGAATCAACCGCATAGCTGTGGGTGAGGCAACAGTCAGCGGAAATTGACGAAAGGCGTTCTTGTCACAACGTGTGTTCGTACCCAAAGCCATTCAGGAAAAACAATTTGAGATGGTATGGTGTCCATCCGATTTCGTCAATGGCCTATAACCAGGGTCAGCTTGACCCATTTTGCTTGCTAATGAGTGACCTACGTCGTTGATGAGGTGCATCTTGAGATTCAACGCAGGGTCCAGATCATGCATGTCCAAAACATCATGGCCACTGGTAGTAGTGACATAAGTCTCAGCGACCGCAACATCCGAAGGGCAAGACGGTGGGTCTCCCATGCCCTCCAGATCAGAATTTTTCTCCTTGCTCTTCTCCGACATCTTGCGAAAGTCTCTATTTCCGAGAATCTTGAAGCTTGTTGATGGATGTGAATGGTGTGAATGAACACTTGGGATTTGGCGAATTGAATCTCAAGCCTCGGGAAACCCGGTCTTTTCAAGTCGTTACTGATGAACTTGGAAACAGCCGACTTGTACGGTTGCAAGGGTACGCTATCAATTACCTTGCTTTCCTGATTCAGGAAGAAGACTAACATGCGACAGTAAAGGCAACTTCCCTTCTCGGAAGCTCTGCATGTCGCAACCCCAGACTCACGTAGGATTATGAAAGGGTTAGATTTGCCAATTCGGGACAAGCGGAATACGTACGCCCGCCGTCGAAGATAGGCGACTTAAAAGCTCCTGGTAAACGCTGATCCCCAGGGTGGCCAATGATGAGGCTTGCAATACATGGCTTATCTGTATCTTAGCATCCAGAGTCCGGCTGGAGGACGTGGATTGCAGTATATCGACGCGGTCCGGGTCGATTTTCCCTAAGCAGGAACATTTGTTGCTTCCGAAGACTGCTTTGATTCGAGCTGGATACATGCAATCCGAGCTACGGCGCCTTTGCGAGTGGGGTACGATGATGATACCCTATCGTTGACCTTGATAACGTGGTCACCCCGCGTAGATTTCCCAGTCTGGGGTCGGCCATGAAACTATGTCTTGGGGTAAATAGTCTTGGGGTAAATAGTGTGTATCACGAGGTCTCGTGCGACCTATAGCAGCTGCATTGTCTCGCCTCGGATGCACCAAAGTCGAAGTCGTTGTCGCGACGGCTTCCGACTTCGCACTTGCAGATGGACCTGTGATGCAAGCACCGGCTCGATAAATATCGTATCGCCCTCTTGACGAGATAATAGAATCAACACTTCTTCAAGCTATCACCTTCATGCCTGTTGACCCCTTGTAACATCAAGATGACCGAACTTTCCACGTACTCCCAAGAGGCTGCTCTGCTTGACGCACCACCCACGACCTTCGAGCAAGCTGAGATGGAACTGCCGATCCCCCCCTTCGATCCTGCGATCCATCTCAATTACCAGCCTCCCACGGCCCGTCATACCTTCACTGAGCTTGGGCTCCCGGTGCCCAAAGGATGCCCCGACATGTGCTATACCGAACCCTTCCAGTTGTTTACCGAGGAGGGAGTGCGCATGATCCGCAGAGAGGTCTTCCGCCGCTCCTTTCTCGACAAGTACATGAAGACATATGGTGAAAAAGACTACACCATCATCCGGGGGTACGGCAACGTCAAAGGTGTAAGTACTTGCCAGGTATACCGAGACAGAGAGAACTTGCTGACGGTATATAGGACGGGAACTTCTTGAAGCAGGCATGGAACCACCCAGTGACCCAGGCCACCGTTAACAGTGCTTACGGGCACGCTCTCCGGCTCCAGACTGGCGAGATTGCATTGGGCTACATCAACGTTCAGCTCGGCGACGACAGCGTCAGCAGCCCCTACGACTTGCCAGAAGTCCCGTTACGCCCTAAGCCCCTGGCCGAACAACCGCAGGGGGAAGAAGACGAGATCCTCGACATGTGGCACAAGGATATGACCCCAGTTGTTCTTGTCTTGATGCTGAGCGATACCTCTACAATGCTGGGCGGTGAAACGGTCGTCAAGATGGGCAACGGAAAGATCATCAAGGCCCGGGGCGCCCACGTTGGCGGTGCTGTCATGATGACTGGCGGGTACCTCGAGCATTCTGCCGTGCGTGTGCGGAATTGCGGCGAGCGTCTCAGTCTGGTCAACAGCTACGACTTCCTCGACCCTGATGCCGATGACACTGCCACCACACTCCGTAGTTTTAACCCCAAGTGCGACAGCCTCGTTGCGGCCAGGAGCACCCTCATGGCCCAGAAACTCTGGAGGCTGAGGGAGCGTTGTGATCTTGCCATCAAGCGGATCAATGAGCGGGATGAGGAAGGCGCAGAGCCTCCCAGTCAGGTGGAGGTTGAGCGTTGGGTCAAGGAGCAGATTCACCTGCTCAAGCATACGGCTTGGGAGATGTACGAGCGCGTGCCGAATTACATCGGCCAGGAGCTGCCTATGGATGTCTTGCAGAAGTATTTAGTGGAATCTTAGCTGAGCGTAGTTTGAATGTAATGTTGCTACAGCGCTTGAATTTGATTTGGGGCTTTAGCTATGCCACCGCAATGAATAAATTTGTTACTGCCAAATTCCACCATGTGTGTTCACAGTTTCAACCACGGTCTATCAATGGAAACGTTAGAAGTCACTGTCTTTCATTGCTCGGTCCCAAATCAAGCTAAATTTGCCATTTTGAATGACCACCGACATTCATCCTAGCACCTTTGATCCTAGTCCGTCGGCGCATCGAGTCAAGTCAGTCTTGATATCTTGATCGTATCTTACCTAGCGAACATCGTGAGTCATGTTTCCCTGACAATGCCTGCATTATGCGTTGGCACACAAAAGACCTAGAGGCGGCATCTCCGAAGATCGGACAGCAGAGAGTTCAACGAGCCTGAATACATTACCCATTAACCAACAAGATACAACTACGCCTAATACGGCCAACATACGCGTTATCTAGGCTCGGCAGTGCAATCCCGAAGTATACAGGCGACATCTGTCTGATATCCAGTGTCTACTGGTGAGTCAGTCATCGTGAAGAATCTTCACATTGCGACTTTGGGAGATCTGTTTGGCAAGAGACCTGGAGCAAATATTCCTCATATAAGTGCTACAATGAACAGCCTCAACGTCTTCCCAGTGCCATCAATTAAGCCTGTCTACACTACCACCACGCTTCCGGCTCAATGACGTCTACCGGGGAAGTCAAAAGTGTTTCTGCGACCGAAACAATCCGCGGACTCGATCGGCTCGCACCGGAATCAAGCGACGATGACACTGTCACTGATATCGAGCTGGCACAACCACAAATAATCACTCCGGATGGTGCTCAAACAACAGAAGACGTCGATTGGGAAAACAAACCAGAAAACCCCCAAAACTGGTCGGCCTGGAAGAAGACCTTGCAAGTCGTGATGCTTTCGTCAACAGCCCTACAAGCGTATGTCAGCCCTACTTGTTTTCACTCACAGGGATTAACGTGAAAGGTACAGAAGTATCGGCACTTCGATAATGAGTTCTGCTCATTCCGACTTGATGCAAGAGTTCAGCGTCAGCAGCACTGCGGCCCTTCTTCCCCTCACATTGTATGTGCTTGGATTAGGCCTTGGCCCCGTCTTAGGCGGTCCTTTGTCTGAGACCATCGGCCGTTATCCCATCTATGCTGGAAGCATGCCCTTGGGTGCCGTATTCGCAGTCGGGGCTGGATTTTCACGTAGATTTGGAGTGCTCTGCTTCTGCCGCTTCATGTCGGGTCTCTGTTGGGGCCCGGTGCTAGCTGTCGCGTCTGGATCACTCACAGAGACCTTCAGGCCAAAAAGACGAGGGACAGTCTCTGCAGTCTTTATTTTGATGCCTTTTTTGGGGCCCGGATTAGGGTAAGTTACGCCTCCGGATGAACTGAGCTTGCTGTTGGTCTAATTATCTCTGTTGTTAGTCCTGTGATAGGGTCTATTCTTGTGAATCGACACGGTTGGCGTTCGACCCAGTGGGCACTCGCTCTCCTTTCCGTCTTCTGCATGGTCACGGTTGCGCTCACCGAGGAAACCTTCCGCCCTGCCATCACGCGTCGCATAGTCAAACAGAGAGGCGGCAGGATTGATCATTCGCCCCGCTGCAAAACTCGAGTCAAAGAGTTGGTATTTGTTTCCGTTGTTCGACCTCTCCGGATGTTGGTAGTGGAACCGATCGTTTTGTTCCTCTGTCTCTATGTTTCCGCTGAATTTGGAACACTCTTCAGCTTCTTTGCCGCAGTTCCCTATACCTTTGGAATGGTCTACCGCTTCGACATTGAGCAATCAGGTTTGGTGTTTGCCTCTATCATCATCGGATGTTGCCTGGGACTTTTCACTATCATCCTTTGCGATTTACTCATTTATCGCAAGCAAGCCGCCCGGTACGCACTAAACAAAACTCCCCCAGAGCATCGGCTCTATTCTGCCATGATTGGAAGCTTCGGCCCACCTGTGGCCCTGTTCTGGTTTGGGTGGACAGCTCGGGAGGAAATCTCCTGGAGCAGCCCTGCGGCTTCCGTTGTCCTCTTCTCCTGGGGCAACCTCTGCATATATGTGAGCGCGATCGTTTACATCTCAGAGACATATCCTGGATCTCTGGTGGCGAGTGCAATCAGCGCGAACACGCTAGCTAGGTATGGATTTGCAGCAGCCTTCCCATTATTCGCACTTCCCAGTAAGCTCCGGTCCTTCTAATCGTTTCTATATCGTGAAAAACTGATTCAGAAGTGTACAAAACGTTGGGTATCGACTGGGCAAGTAGTCTTCTCGGATTTATTGCATTGGCTCTATTACCAGTCCCGTGGGTACTATTCAAATACGGCCCGCAGATTAGGGCCAGGAGTCAGTATGAGACTGTACAATATGGTAAATGAATGTGGATGGCTCGTAGATCTCACAAAGTCGAGGCGCTGGTGGGCTTGCCACAGTGGTACTCCGTACCGTTTGTTTCCCTCTTTATCATGTTCGGGACGTCAACATACCGTAGAAACTCAGTGATGTCGAACAAGTAGCGCCCCTCATAAAAACATAGGGCGACGAATGAGACCAGCTGCTTTTGGACGCTTTTGTGAGAGTTCAGTATCTACGGTAGCTTCCGTCTTGTCATACGTAGGTATAGGGTAAGTTGGTGAAGGTGGCAACAAGTGGCTTGTCTTTTGGGTTAGTCCATTGTCTTAAGACTCGGGTCTAGATTTCTCGTGACTACTTCAGCCGCAAATTCAGCCCTTCCCCTCTCGCATATTGAACAGCTCGGGTTCATTTTATTCTTTTCACCACACATATTAGCATCGTGATGCGCGCAATTGTTATCTATCCTGTGTAGGCTCATTGAGCAAACGACCCACACTGCTCTCCCATCGCCTTACGCTACCTTGCGACCGCCAGCATGAGAAAATTCCTTAGGAAGCTGAAGGACGGAGGGAGTGGAAAAGAACCGCCTAATGTCCCGGATCCCAGGCTCTCCAGACAGAGTTCTAAACATGTGGTTGATCCGTATTCCTACAATCCTAATCCACTACATCCACCAAATCCGGCCCCTCCGAATCCGTACTTACCATACCCACCACCACCACCAGGCCCGTCGAATCTAGATGCTGGAGCACCAATCACTGGCTTCTCTGGGTTTGAGTCTTTCATGTCAAGTTTCGCGCCGGATCCCCAGCAACATGGAGTCGTTGAGATCGCGGCTAACCCGGTCGATGAGGTGGAATGTCTCGCGATAAAAGGTGAGAGATTCCTCATGTTTGTGTAGTGGTTATTGACGTCCTTATCTTTGGCACAACCAGGGTTCCCTGCCCATGAGAGCATTTCAGTTACAATCCACAAGGTCAAACAGCTCGATAGGCAGTATAGGCGGTTTACTGTCGTCATCTCCGGACCTTGGTATATGACCTTGGCACAGGTTAACCAAGTCCTGGAGGAGAATGGTGAGTTCTACGTCTCAATGTAACTTAAAACCATCAGACGTCACTGACTCAAGTGCATTGTAAGACTTCCAACCGCTGGTCTTCGCAAGGAATGCGCAGAGTGATCCATTTTGGAACGGGAAACACGGCCTTCGCTCTGGCTATCACGTCCCAGTTGTTGACGGGCCGTCTTCTTACGACCCAACCCGGGGCCTTCTCATCAACAGACATGAAAGCTTTGGAGCATTTGTCACCAACTTGAGACGACTCCACCTTAGTTGCTCTGGGGGTATGTTGAAAGCCGAGTCATTTCCAGCATCCATCGAAATCGACTTCAACCGCACTCTTCGACTTCCTGAGGGAATAGACATTCACCACCATCCCAGCGGCCTCGGCATCATTCCAGTCTACAACACCACAGCAATCCAAAAAAAGCTGATGGAAAGTCGGAACCAAAGTCTCGTTGACATGGCTAAAAAGGGAGGAATATTCTTTCCCCTGTATCAACGCGAGGCAATGTTCATCACGTTCAACGCAGTAAACGACATTTTTGCCCTCCGCCTGTTCGTAGGCGGTGTGAATGCCCTATCTGGCATGTTGTGGAATTCGCGGCGCCCGCAAAACAAGCAGGACTACATCTTGGTCCCTCCTCAGGTTCGAATCGACGGGGTCTCGGTTGGAGACGACGTCGTGAAGCAGTTTATTGCCATGCCTCTTGGCTCTGGGTACTCCGTGGAGAAGCAAGTGACTGGAAAAGAAACAACCGGCGGACTGCAAATCGAGATTACACCAGGAGACTTGTGGCAGATGTTCAGCATGGGAGATGAAGGATCACAGCTGCACCCGGAGAGCACCCCAGCACATGCCAACGCCGACGTCTTTGATCTTCGCTTTGCCGCACCGGGGTGGAAGTCTGCCGGGCTGCCAGTGGACTTGCCAGACAATCGCGACGAGGCCAAGTATCTCCACATGAGGCACCTCTATCTCCAGCAACTGGGGGATACTAGCAACGGCTACGCCCTCTTTGGCCAGCAGCCCGATCACCTCCCCGGCTTCGTCCCGTGGCGCCCCGGAGCGAATGTGAACATGGTTGCGCTGTACCAACTGGAATTGACCATCACTTGGCTGGATTCTGGTTGTATCAGTGAGGAAAAGGTACAATGGTCGCCGTGGTGGGATCTCATGGATTGCTGGGAGGAGCGCAAGAACGCTGGCTTCGAAATCCTAGGCCAAGAACTGTCTGCTTGCGATATCTTTCTTGGCAGTATCGACGATGGCAGGCTGCTTGTTGATGGCCGCCGGCATTCCATACAACAGCAGGGAGTACAAGACGGGGACATGCTTTGCGTGCGGCCACGGAAGAGTGACATATACAGTCCTTATCGTCCGTACTCGACCCAAGGAGCATCGCCAATGCTACCGCAAATGCACCCAATACACACGCAACAAATTCAGACTCAACAAATGCAGACTCAACAGTCACCACACCAAGGCCGTATACAGGAGCTGGATACATCCTCGCCACAAAGCCCGCAGTACCAACAGGCTCAACAGGCTTCTGCTGCAGCACCGGCATATACAATGCCGCCGCCTTCACCTCCTCGATATTATGGACAAAGCTCCACGTCACCAGCTGCGCCGGGTATACCAATGCGACTGTCTGCCCGTCCAACATCGCAGTATGGCGGACCGGTGTCACCAGACTCTGCACCACCAGCTCAATCTCCAGTGTATCCAGGCCGGTCGTCAGATGCTAGTCCACCCGAGCCTTCGACTGCATGGCAGCAATCAGCACCACAGTCCAGTTATAGCTCTGCTCCTACGCAAGACTATGGAGACTCAAGGTACTCTTCTACGCCTATCCCAGCGCAATCCTCTCGGCCTACCGCCTTGCAGTCTCCTCAATCCAGCGCTCCTCGGCCCTATGCTCCTCAGTCACAAGCTTCTGAGTCCTATGCTCCTAGACCCTACGATCCTCTGGCCTATGCTTCTATTTCCCACCGATACTCTGCATCTCCAGGCTCCACTAGCCAAGCCTCCCCAGGTCCAGGTGCTCTCGCTTCTGGAAGGTCAGATTACTCGCCATCCCCTTACCAGTCGGTAGCGGATTCAGCGATGCCATCGTACCAATCGGTGGCAGATTCAGCGATGCCATCTTACCAGTCGATTAATTCTCCGGAAAGTCCATCCGATCAATATAGCCTGTCTCATGGTGTCAGCACTGCTCCATCATCGCCTCCACCAACATCACCTTATTCACAACAACCTGTATATGCCCAGCAGCCAGGTTCAGTCGCAAGACCACCCAGTTACATTCCCTCACCGCGCCAAGATGAACCCAAAGAGTAAGATTGCCCTGGCCTGCCTTCACTACGGACTAACTGACATTGTTATTAGAGATGTAGGATGGGCTATGGGTATTGCCGCCGGCGCACGTATTCGCCAGCACATTTTTGCAGATCGGTTCCCAACAATTCGATGGTCCAACTCCCGCTCAACCCTGCTGAGTATCCAGATTCTCAACTCTGTTGCATTCGAGGTTTTGACAGGAATGCTTACGCCGCCCACTCCAATCACCCCGGACATGTACAAAAGCCACGGGTTCCCCTTTTATGCGGCTTGGGGAGAGGGTGCCAAGACGGACGGTGCTGACAATCTATTCAACCTCAAGAGTGTTGGCGATATTGATGCTTCGAGCCCTATTCGCTTTGGAAGCAATGTCACCCAGGGCATGAAGATTGCATGCACGAGTTGTGGAAAGAATTTATGTGACTCTATGTGAGTATCGCCTGCGCCAGGTCTTAATCCCGCCATTTACTAATTCCTCATAGCCTGAGACCTTGCAATCACAGCTTTTGCTCAACATGCATCAATTCGTACATGACATTCGGAGGCGTCATTGTATGTAAACTGTGTAGGGCCCGGGCTACTAAACTTCTCGGCTTTTCCGCGCCCATGGCCCTGCCTGGACAGGACATTGTTGACTTGTCTCAAAGCACTGTGCTTACTGTTGCGCCTTTCAGGGGCTCATCTGGATTTCAGCCGGTACAAGATGATAAGTCAAGGACAGGTATAAACCAAGAGTATCAGACTCATAACTTCTATGAGTTGGGGTAATAGCTCTTGCGCAAGAGTTTAGGGGTCAATCTAGTAGGATTCCCAGGAATCGCTGTTGTAATATTGGAATCATACATGAGAGAATGTGTATACGTTAATAGCTCTCTGTAGGGGAATATACAGTGTTTCCTGTTTGAGTATACTGTTGACCTTTGAATGGACTGGGTATATGGTCTGTATTGTTGATACTATTGTTGGTGTTTTTTTTACTGCTGAGCTTCTAGTCCCCCCTCTGGGTATGTGTGTACTAGGGCACCCTAACCTCTTGATACAGTGTTTCAGGTTATGTGAAGGGATAATATTCAATGGCAAACGAATTCAATTAAAATAGTAGTCGCCAACCATAGCCTTATGTCTTGACACTATACTGAAGTAATCGTATCCTTAGAATTATTTACCGGGTATATCCCAACTTACTACCACATCCATAAGTAATCTTCCTCTTTTACTACGAACTAACTCGTGCCATTCGAACGTGTATCCTCTCGTGTCTCGTTCGATCGCTTCTCCGCGTAAATTCTCTCCCGCAAGTCCCACATGCAAACGGCCGTCGACCAAAATGTGCGCCGTCCAAATGTGCAGTTAGATTCGCCTGTCTCGTGTAGCTTCTCTGGCAGAGGCGGCATTCATATTTCGCCGCCGCAGTAGCTCTACTACCAAGCACCACAAACTCGCTTGGCTGGTCAGACGTTTCGGGGTGATATGTGCGCTCGTGCTTGTCGCGATCCTTGTTGGTAGGGAAGCCAAATGGAACTAGGGAGCAGTTGGGGGTTGTGCAGGGAAATGGCCTGTCGTGACGATTCAAGTGCTTTTCGAGATCTTCCTTGCTGGCGACACCTTCGTAGAAGCAAGGGCAAGTTATTCCAGTGCACTTGTAGAAATTGCTTCCATAGAATTTCCGGAGAGACTTGGCCAGTTCATCATCGTCGTCTAACCCCTCGGCAAGTCCCTCAAGCGTCTCCCGACTCTTCTTCAGAGCTTCTCCAAGTTCGTTGATGCTGATCTTGTTTCGTTCCTTGAAGGGTTGCTTGTGATGCTTTACCGCATGCGTCCATATTTTCAGTAGATGGGCATGAAACGCCCGGTGCTGAAATGGCTCGCAGTGTTTTGTCGCTTCAATGGCAGCCTCTCTTGCGTTGTTTTCCTGGCCTGCATTGACAAGTTCCCAACTCTTCTCATAGGCGCAACAGAAAACACGAAGAACATTGGATACTTTCAATCCAATCTCTTGCCCATCATCCTGGCCTTGGAAGAGGTTGGAGGACTTTCCTATCATGGCGTTCAGATGTGAATCCCATTTGGACATGGCGTAGTCCTGAAAGGCATAGTATCCCTTCCTTGCATACCTCTCTCTATCTTCGGCTTTCAAGTCTGGTTTAAAGCAAGTATGTGATAGGTATCCCAAACAGAGGAGGGTCAAATCACACTCAAGGGTGCTAGCATCCAGCTTCTCTTCCTGCATGATGAACCTAAAGAGTGGTAGTTAGCGATCATAATCATACTCCATATTTTGAGTTGCACGAACTCTTTGGCTGTCTGATGGACGAAATCAATGCTGTTTCCTCCTATCACGTGTACTAATGAGCCGCACATGACTCGAATGTCTTTACGTAGCGTAGTCATATGATCTTGCGGTCGAACATAACCTTGCTCGTCGATGCTGATTGAGAGAGCAGCCTGAAGTTCATGCCACTGGAGCGGACGTTTAGCATGCGCTAGCCAACCGAAAATCTTCTTGGACTCCTTCCAGGTATTTTCATGGTGGGTACTGCGAAGCCGCTCGATGATCCTAGAATACCTGTAAACATATTAGTTCCGGATCATGGCATAGTAAAGACTGAAGTAAGAAAAATCGAGGAGATCGAGTGCGGCGATTCAGATTGAAGGGTGCTGAAGATCAGCTTGTGGGAGTGACTACTCACGCTTGTCCTAGTGTCTTAGGAAAGTTACTCTCTTGCAACTCCATCAGGACATATCTGGCGTTGGGCTGCTCCAGGAGGTTCTCGATAACTAAAAATGCATACAAGAACATGCCTCATGATTATATTAGCGCTCAGGTCATCGATGATAGAAGGGCGAGTCAAGGAAATCCATTACCATCCGAGTTACGACAAATCAATGATTCGATGAGTTTCAAATTATGACTGCCGAGTGAGAACTCCTCCTCCAACTTCTCAGCTTGCTTAGCCACGTAAGACTCAATGTCCTTGAGAGTGCTACTGGGATTCAGAGCAAATTCCCCTATCCTGTCGTTTGACTCCATACGCTTTCGAATAAGCGGTAATTCGGTACTCAAAATCAGAATTCGAATTTTTCCTGGGTGGTGCTCGTTGCTCTTCTCCACAATAGAGTCAAACAGCTGCACGACGCTTCCTTTGTGGACATCGCTGATTTCATCCAAGCCGTCGATAACAATGAACTGGGACATGTCAACTTCGCAAAACAATTCCAGGAGCGTCTTGGCGGTGGATTCGTCGTTCAGGATCTCTTGGCCCCTCATTCTCTTGTCATGGAGTGTTGGAAGGAGATCTTCGTTTTGGCTGACGAGCTGTCTGAGGAGACTCTTCATGATGGCTAGAAATCGAGGCTCTCCCAGACCTTCGTCCTTTTCGCGACAGTAGAAATAACTTATCGTGGACTCTGTCCGCTCTTTTTGGAGATGATCGATGATGAGGGAGGCCAGTATCGTTTTACCTGCATGAAATGAGTTGGTGTCCTGTCGCGAGAAAGATATCACACATACCTGCACCCTTTTTCCCATGGATCCACAGAAGAGAATGATCTGGAATGTCTGCTTCAATCCAGTCTTGGACTTTGTCCTCCCGCAGTATCCATTTCCCGGTGTCGGGGTATTCCGACCTGATTTTTAGAAACTCATTCTGATACTGGATTTCTGGCTCCTCCATGCCTGGACTATGCAGCCAGTGGATTACGTCCAGGCATTGTTTGTGCTTCCGAGCAACCTCAGCTTCTTCGGCCTGTCGCCGAGCGTAGTTGCGGTCCCACTGGTATTGCAGGATGTGGTCGTTAAGCACTTGATGTGTACCTTGGACGCTCTGGTGTTGTTGATTGTCCAAAGAGCGCTTCAAAAAGCTCCCATGGCTATCGAAAGCACGCAGGAGGGTCTGGAAAGGGCCGTCATAATCTTTCCAACTTGCGGCAAAGGTCTTTCTCCAGCCTAGGATTGAATTGTTAATAATGCACTGTGAGGATATAGGTCGTCACTGGGAAGCATGGTAGACTTGCTGCGGATCTGAAAGAGCTTAATAATGCTTGCATTGAACTGCAACAGATCAGAGTACATCCAGGCAAGACATATCCGCGTCTCTGGCTGTTGTCGTAGCTGAGACCTGTACACCGCAATCAGAGGCAAGTGTTGGCCAAAGTTGGAGTATGATTCCAAGATGCAATCCAAGGCTTTCGTGTCTTCTTTCGCGGCCTGGCGAAGTGTCAGAGAAGTGACTGATGGATTTTTGGTAGACATACGTTTAGAATGTAACATGTTGGACCCCATATGTAGCCCGACAAGTCGGGGATCCCAAGTTCCAGCGCCTTGGAGACATCTTCAAACTGTTGAAAGGCGTCCATGAACAACTTGAACCTGGTAAAATTCATCATGGCCTTGGCCTTTTCCTGATCACGTTGGATGGTGATGACCTGGGTTTGGACATGCTGCAGCGTGGTTGCTTTGAACCGAGTAATTTGCCGGTCTTTTAGCTGGGCGTTGAACTTGGCTAAGGCGTCGGTGAAGATGGCTTCAGGAGAATCCATGATGTGCCGTTAGTGTAAAACATTCGAAGCTGATTGAAATGTCTAATTATGCGTGGAAATAAATGACAAAGGGCCGCTAGGAAAAGCAGTGCAGGGGATTACAGAGTACCTGAAATTTCTCTGCCGTTTGATTAGTACGTGCTGCGCCTCAATACTTTTGCACATCTCCCATTACTGCATGTCTAGCGGGTGGAAAAAGAGCTGATGTTTCAATCAACATATCAGGCACCCAATCACAGCCCAGAGAGTTCAATTGCGAACAATTGCCTTGTGTCGTCCGCAAGCCTCACTCGGAGCTTGGCGTATGCGTTAATTACACACCGCCACCTGAGACGGGCTTGGAGTCGTTACACAGCATACTGCAACTATATCATTGGACAATTTGGGCACAGAAATCAGTCTACGCATGAGGCAGCCAGCGAGGCAACCAACACACCGGCTGTTATGCGGGCTGAGGGTGGTATTTCGCCTTGTTTTTCCCCAGGAGGCCTCAAATCAAAGTGCAGATGAGAGTGGAGAAGAGAGGCAGACCGCCGTATTCTAGGCAGCACTGATAACGCATTGTTGAATGAGGAGGTGGCATTCAGAGCCGCAAGGCAGTTTGCAAGGTTCGCTCACGACGCGTTCCCGCAGGATGAATCTGTTTCAACCACGTATATCGTGTCTGCCAACACTTCCAGGACGCGCTTGCTCAGCTACATTGGCCTAGAATCTGATGCAGTCCGACAAATCACGATAATGAAAACGCCTCATCTGCTCACACCATGTCTCTCTCCACGTTACTGAATCCAGAAGATGGCTCCGCGAACCCCGTCGACCATGGCGACTACCAGTTCCTGGATCAGGTTCATAGGTAATGCTGCCAGAGCTGTGTGATCGCATTATCGGGAATCATGTCCATTGACAGCTTCTATTTAGTTCTCCACTGGAGTTTGAAGACCAAATACCCCCCGATTGGTTGGGAGAGTTAATGCCAGAAATTAATATCGGTAACCTCTCAGTTGACGGCTATCCTGATACACGCGGAGTTCTCGAGAGCGCTGTGAATGAGATCCAACATGGGGTCCAGGATTGGGCCCTCAGAATTGCAGAAAATGCAATTGAGCCAGAAGGTCTGTCAGGTAGCTGGGACGATCAACAAATTCCTGCATCCTACGAGAACTCGTATACGTCCGATACATCCTGTCTTCCAGAATCTACTGTCACCTCCACCCCGGACGACATGGTTGTCTCCGACCAGCAAGTTTGCTATGGCATGGTATGGCATCAATGGCCCCTCTCGAGCAGTCGTTAACCCTGCTAAATCACTAGATTCATGGCCAAGACGTGAAACTTATTGGAGACATGACAAATCTGCTGACGCAACTCAACCCGTCCGAGGAATCCCCCAGAAGTGGCATTCAAACATTTTCACTCGAGCCACAATCAGATCACATCCTTCTTCTGCTTCCAAATAATACCCCATTTGGACACCTGAGAGACAAGCTGACAAAAGCACTCACTCCTCTTCTGCGTTGGGATTCTCTGCAGTTCGAAGCCGTTGTACTGTCCCAGGGTGTGCGTGGAAAAATCAGCAAGATTGATAAATCTGGCGAAGCTATTGTTCAGGTAGACATCAACATCTACGGCCCATCTGATCAAGCTACCAAAGTTGGAGACAAATTGACTGAGGATAAACTTTGGTTTCAACGGCCGGACTACTACAAAAACCAATATCCGTATGAAAACCCACATGTCATTCGATTCCCCGAGCTAGAAGGTTCAATGCAATTCGAAGAACTCAGCAACGAGATGAGAACTTCAGCAAGCCGCACCGAAGTCAACGTGTTGCAAATTGTCTCGGAGATCAACAATTCCACACACAGGGCCGACGGCCTGGAACGCGTCACAGGAGATCGCCGCCTACTCACGCTTCTACTCGAGTATGTGATGTGAGATTAATGTATGGTAACGATAGTTGTACTAACCATTTGAAGGCATCAAGAAAAGGCGTTGGCGTTCATGTTGGAACGAGAATCCGGCAACGTTCGAGAAGATTTCCGACTCTGGAAACCAGCCATTGTCGATGATAGGGAAATGTACCACTCATTTGGTCGACTTATTATGTACTTGACTAATACTCTCAGGTTTGTTCATCGAATTACAAAAACTCGATGCATCATTCGCCCCGACGAGAAGGGTGGTGGAGTCCTGGCTGATGAGATGGGTATGGGAAAAACCCTGTCCATCCTTGCACTCGTGATCAATACGATTGAGCATGGCCATCAGTGGGCAGAGAGTCGCACCAACGAGGTTCTCTCTCATTCTGAGATCCGCCATCACACTCACTGCACGCTCGTCGTCGTTCCTTCTGCATGTGAGCAACAAAGCACCCGGTAGCCCTGGCAGTATCACTAATAAATACAGTGCTGATCAACAGTTGGATTGCCGAGATTAAACTGTGAGTCTTGAGACACTTTGAGTAACTGGCTCAAGCTAATTGAGATTATTTGCAGTCATCTTGGCGATGCTGTAAAGGTTACCAAATACCACGGGGGAACCAGAGAACGAGACACCAAGAATCTCGCTAGCGCAGACATTGTGTTGACAACTTACAAGACCCTAGCTACGGATCATAGCAACAAGAATAGCCGCCAAAGTCCTCTCCATCGCATAGGTTGGTTTCGGGTTGTGTTGGATGAAGGCATGTCTTGTCCCAAAGGCAAATACCATTTTTCTGAAGCTAACAATAATTTTAGCTCACAATATTCGTCGTCCGTCGACTACTTTCCATCGTTCCTGCGCGGCCCTCGAAGCTAGATCGCGATGGTGTCTCACTGGAACACCTATTCAGAACAAACTTGAAGACATCGGCGCCCTATTTGTATTTCTCAAGGCCGAACCATTCCAGAGCATGGCCCGATTTCGTGCGTATCTCGTTCTCCCATTTGAGCAAAACGACCCCATCGCGAAAGATAGGCTTGTAATGCTGTACGACTCACTGGTTCTGAGGCGGTCAAAGGACATCCTTTCTCTGCCTGGTCAGTCAGAGCGTATTCGAAAGCTATACCTACGTGACGACGAGAGAGCTCGGTACAACAAAACGATGGAAATTCTTAATCGGTACATTCGGCAACAAGTTGGGGATCACATGATGAAGAGCAAATTTGGTCTGTTTCAGGCTCATCTTCAACTTCGTATCCTCTGCAATCACGGGACCCACCAGAAGTCATTCGCGTGGAAGAGGAAGAACCGCAATATGATTGATGAGAAAGAGGCATTCTTGACGGAGCTTGGTCTCAACGCAGAAAGAAAATGTTCCGGGTGCGACCAGCCGCGACCCATCATCGACACCATGAACACAGGTAGCGATTTTGTCGACAAGTGCTCTCATTTCATCTGTAGGGATTGCCTGGATACCCCGGGTACCCCGGATAGCACTCAGGTCATGGCAGAGCCGCTGCGGCGCTGCCCGATCTGCGCCCTTTCTCGGAAAGCACCAGATGATTCCATGTCCAGGTTTAGCAATGGCAGCTTCAATGAGAGCCATGAGGTGTTGATGCATGACGTGGATGCTTTCGGGCTTGACAATGGCGGTTCTAATGAGAGTCACGATGTGGACATGCAGGATGTCGATGATACCGATAGGCAAAAGGACGCGTATTTCAACGAAACAGGGTATTCGACCAAGATGACAGCATTGGTAAACGACGTGAAGGAGACTCTTGGCGAGTCTGTGAGACAGGAAGACGGCACTTTCAGGACACCAAAAAGGTATGGAAAGTGCAGATTCTTATTGGACATACTAACGATGATCTTTACAGTATCATCTTCTCTTGCTGGACTCGAACTTTGGATCTCGTTGAAGTATATCTCAAAAAAGAGAATATTGAGTTTCTCCGAGTAGATGGAGAACTACTCATGTCTAAGAGACAGCAAATTCTCGATCGATTTTCACGGAAAGGCGGTCCTCGCATCATGTTGATGACGACGGGTACGGGCGCATTTGGGTACGTCTCATCAAGAGTCCCTGGACAGCCGATTGAACTCTAAAGTGTGCTTATAACTGAACAGATTGAATCTTACTGCGGCAAATCGGATTTTCATTGTGGAACTGCAATGGAACCCGAGCGTAGAAAACCAGGCAATTGCCCGGGCTATCCGACTCCGACAGAAAGACAAGGTCATTGTCACGCGGTATATGATAGCTGGCACCGTCGAGCAGGTCAGTGTTGTGATAAGTGATGCAAATAACGAAAACAGGAGCCGAATGTCTAATTTTTTAACTAGGAAATGAAATCGCAGCAGATCAAGAAGGAACAAGCAGCAAAAGCGGGATTTGGGGAATCCAGAGAGTAAAATTGGTGGCGTGAAACAAGGGCCAGCGGTATTGATAGTTATCGGGCAGTCAGGGACATGACTGCACAAGGTAATGAATGGCAAAACAACTGGCTTAGCTTCCACCTATCCCGTATTTTCATATTTGGGGAAATAAAAGCCACTGTCCCATGAAGACAGAAGATTGCAATGCATCTCCAGGGCCGACGATGAATGAACTGTACACAATGTACCACAAACGAGCTAGTATCCCATCTCCTCTCAAATCGCTAACATTGCAATGCATGACGTGGCGCCCCCTTCGAGTAAAGAGGGAACTCTTGCCGGGTTGAGGCCGGCATTCCAACTTCCGTTAAACGGCTAAAATTGCAGTGCAGGGTGTATGGCGTGCAGTGAGTGTGGGTGTAGGTGGATTGGATCAAGGCGTCCTGATTCACATCCAATTTGGAAGGCAATCGTCGACATCCATGATTTATATCAGGGCACGAGTCTCGGTCCCCTTGGCAGCTAATCAGACGTATCAACATATATAAGCTCTCTTTTCGACGCATTCCAACTACCCATCCCAGCTATGGCCCACTGTATCTGTACATCTTGAATTGCGTTTGTCCATAGGTACGTAGCGTGTTATCAACTCCCCTCGAACTGTTAAAATTGCAGTGCAAGACACGGAGGTGGGTCGCTTGTTACCTTGTCGACACAATCCTTGCAATGCCCAACGCTTCGTGCTGATTGGTAGCGAGGCAGCCAGGATCAGTTCAGCTCCGAGCGACTCGTGCACACTAATACGTGCCAAGTCTTGATGATCGTTGTGCGAGCCACACATCCCAGCCGCCCACGGAGTGACTCGAGGCTGTTTGGTGTTAGCATCCCTGGTTTTGGTCGCTACATGTGGTTAGTTAGTCGTTTCTTCAGTCTGTTTTGCATCAAGTCTCCTCGTGTCCATGGCGAGTTATGTCGCCGCCCGCACCACCGCAGTTTTGACGTTTCTGATGAGCCGTCTGATGCCGCATTTCCCTCGATGAAGAATCAGACGTTTCGCATCTTTGCCTGCCTGCCCGACCCTTCGTATGCCTTTCCGCTATGTATCACGCACAAGTACAGATATGGCCCGCTCCTATTGGCACCCGGCAATAAGTACAAGGAGCAAAATGGGGCCGAACAGGATTGACATGAAAAAGGACGACATAGGATAAAAAATTTGCAGGCTAAAAAGAAAACGGCTTTTTGACGGAAAAAAGACGCCACACAAGTAGTTCAATAGATAGAGAGTAGTACAGAAGAGATTTTCTTTTAGATTTTGTTGATCTTTTACTATGGCGCTATCAATTTCGCATCGCGTTTATGTACCTTATTCTCAACACTTGGAGAGGTTAAATTAAATAAAGAATTCGAACTATATTGGAAACTTCCTTATCACAAACGCGTCTTCTTCAGCACTGTGCTTCAGGCACTCGTCACGATTACTTGAGCCTTCTCCAAAACCCGTGGCTTCTCGTCGCCAGACCGCGAGTTGAGGGCCAGAGCTCCAAACATAGTAAAAGCCACCTTCGTCCCACCATCTCTCGTGCCATCCAACTCCCCATAGCTATCCGCAATGTCACCCAGTCCTTCCAGCGATGTTCCGGGAAGGACGTAATCAACGAGGTAGTCTTCCTGAGACTTGCGCATGAGTAGTTGTAGATCGAATGCCTGATGGCACAGTTTTTCAAACTCATTTCGCAATTTTGTTGTTTCCTGCGGTGTGGCTTCCCGCCTTATAAGTCCTGAGAAATCTTTGTACATTCTCTCTGCAAGAGCCACACCGAACGGTTTCTCGGCCAGCCCTGCTGCTTCGATGCTTCTTAGCGTCGAGAGTCTCCAATGTGACACGACATCGTTCGGAACTTGAGCTTGTCAGTGATTGATACTGTGTGGATACGATAAGTGCTTACCTTTTCGCTCGTTCAGGATATGCTCAAACAGACGTAGCCCTGCATCTAGATCCTTGGTAGCAGATTCTTCATGCCCTTGATCTGCCCCAGACTCGGAAATGCCGAAGCATTGGCATTTGAATACCTCATCAATCAACCTCTGAAATATAATTGCTCTGAGGAGGAATAGCCGACCTGACCGGTTGGATCTCTGCCACAAGTCGTCCGTGACTGTACTCATGCTGAGTAGGCCGTGATTCAAAACCTCTCCTTGTCCATCTGTCCGGAACAACTTGCTCGATGCAAGCCTCTGGGCATTTTGCCGGATCTTAACAAATCCATCAACTACCTGTCCACGACTAATCTCGTAATATGAGCCGTTTTGCAAAACGTGCTTTCGTAGGCTCTGCTCTTTGGCTCGCAAGCTCTGGATCTCGGCCAGTGTGTCCAACAACCAAGTTACTTGACTTGGTTGGTTGGGATTGGTTGATTACGTAACAACCAAGTAAAGTAAAGACGGTCTTCAACCAAGCAAAGCAAGACCCCTTCGCTTACTCGGGTTTACTTGAGGTTACTCGACTGCATTTCCGTTTTAGGCAAGGTCGTTGCGAAACCCCCCCTTTTTTTTTTGAGGTCGCGACAGGAGGCTGCAGCCCGATCAATTTGTCCCATGTCTTTTGCTGCACAGTCCAAATCCCAAGTTAATAATGCCTTCATATCCAATGTTTCAGCCTCGGGGAAGGTTCGGAAAGGCTACACCCCCTAGGACTCCCTCTGAGCCGATCGATTCTGCTCAGTCCAGTACCCCTAGCTCGGTCTCAACTCCAACCAGTGTGCCACTTCATGGCGCTTCTCCCGCAACCGTTTCCCACGAAAGAGAGGTGCCAAAAGCTTCTCAATGCCATTTCCCTGTCGAGTGGGACAAAATCCGTTACGATGGGAAGCCAGTGCCATCCATCCGATATCGTCAGCCTCATAAGCGCACCATCAACTCCAAATCCCAACCCTCAGCAATCTACAGACACGGCGCACAGCTTACAACGGACGGAGACAATAAGTACTGGCTCTGCAAATACTGCCACGTTAGTGGCCATCACAATACTGCGCTCTTTGCCAGTGAGAGCACGACCAGCATTATATACCATCTGAAACATCAGCACAGGCTGGAAGAATTTGGCTACAAGGCAGCAGAATGCAACCCCTTCAGCATAGCCAAGGGCGCAACAAATCTCACATCATACCTCGGAGGCCGGCGCTTGGTGTTCAACGACCTGCAATTTAAAGACGATTTTACCGACTGGGTGATTGATCTTGATCTCACCTTCCGTCAAGCAACCCATCAACGCACCTATGAGATTTTTACCAACTATCTGGAAGACAGCGACAAGATTCTGCCCAAGAGCCCGTCAGCTCTTAGTAGCTGGGTCAAAGAGAAATGGTTTGGTGATGCTGGGAGACGTGTTTGGCTGAGAGAAAAGCTCCATCTCACCACAAGCAAGATTCACGTCTCGACGGATGCGTGGACATCTGAAGAAGGGACAAACTATCTAGCTGTTGTTGCTCACTTCTTGGATGAAGGACATAAGCTACAGACAGCTCTTCTGGATCTTCCCCCTCTGAAAGGCCCTCACTCCGGCGAGAATATTGCCAAGGTGCTGTCAACAGTCATCGATTTCTACGATATCTCCCCAGTCATTGGCTTCTTTATGATGGACAACGCTAGCAATAATGACACATGCATTCAGGAGCTAGCAAAGCAGTACCCTGCAATCAATCGTCAGAGTCGCCTTCGGTGCGTCGGCCATATGCTGAATCTCATCGTCAAAGCTCTCCTCTTTGGGCAGGGCGTTAGCAAGCTGGAGCAACGGCTCCGTGGCGCATCTGATGACGAGCGGTTTGAGATATGGAAGAAGCAAAGCTTTATCGGCAAGCTCCACAACTTCTGTACGTGGATCAACAGAAGCGACCAGCGACGAGAGAGACTGAAACAGTACGTTCTGCAGGCGTACGACGAAGGCAGCATCGAGAGCCTCTACACTAGAGTCCTGGTCGATGGCGGGATCCGCTGGAACTCTGTATATTCCATGATTGAAAGAGCTCTGAAACTCCGCCACGCCATTGATCTATTCTTCCTCAACTACAACGATACCAACGGAGAATATGATATCTCACAGGATATCCTTACTCCACAAGATTGGACCGATCTGGGCCACTTCCTCAATATCTTAAAGCCCTTCAAAGACCTAACAAAGCGCATGGAAGGCCGGGCAAACAAAGCTGGCCTAGAAGGATCGCATGGCTCCCTCCACGAGACGATCGAGTCGCTTGATGTCCTTTTCAAGAAGCTCCAGGAGGCTGGGAAGTTTGCAGATGATCACCCTGACGTGGTGTCAACATACTATTCCCATGCTATTGATGCTGCTCGCATCAAGCTTGAAGAATATTTTGGCCTCACAGATGCCACGCCTGCATACCGATGTGCAGTTGCCCTGCATCCGGCAAACAAATTTACCTACTTCGAGCTTGAATGGAGTCACAACAAGCAATGGATCAGCGGGGCGAAGAGAGTGGTGCGGGAGGCTTATGCACAATACGAGGAAGCAGCTGCGGAAGTGGACCTAATAGAAGGAGCACGACAGCAGGAGGAAGAGGAGGAGGAGGAGGAGGAGGCTATTGCTGATAACGGGGCGAGGCTTGATCCACTCCAGCAAGCTCGTAAGCGTCGTCAGAGGCTTGCTGCCATTGCGGCGTCAGCCACACGAGGGAAGCGGACAAAACTGACATCTGAGCTGGATGAGTTTATGGCCAGGACTAATAAGGCTGATCTGGATGTTGAGGATCCTCTGGAATGGTGGGTTCGCCATACATCTGACTACCCCATCCTGTCCAAGATGGCGTTTGACTTGTTCAGTTGCCCAGCAATGAGCGCCGAGTGTGAACGCGTTTTCTCACAGACAAAGAAGGTTATCACAGATGAACGAAATCGGCTTAATTCGGACACTGTAGCAGCGATTGAATGCCAAAAGCACCTGCTTCGAAGCGGTATGTTAGCATAGATCTACCACCGGAGCCACATAAGGAATGGAAAATAGTCGAGTAACGTCAACCAACCAAGCAAAGCAAGCCTCTCTACCGAGTAAACCAAGTAAAGCAAGGGGGTCCCGTCAACCAAGTCAAGTAGAGGGTCCAAATTTTGCTTTACTTGGTTGATGGACACACTGATCTCGGCCTGGGACGCTTGCAGTTCACGTTCCAGTTCCTGTACATAGAGTTCTCTACGTTGAACTTTGGACTCAAGTCTTCGTACTTGGGAATCGATATTATGGCGATAGTTCTTCCGGTTGTCCTGAAAGATTGACCGTTTCAGACTCGTCACCGACTGCGCCGGCTGAATTGGTTGGATATGTACTTACTTCAATATTGGCCATATGGTGCCGGAGCACACTGGGAAAATTGGCAACTTGTTCAGCCAATTGCTGGCATTGGAGCTCGAGATCCCTTTGAAGATCCGGAACTTGTTGGATCTCTTCTACCTGAGCAGAATTTCCCCTGCTTTGTCGATTCCTTTTGTCATGGTCGGAGTCTGGTGTTGTCGTCATTGTTGGTTTCTTAGAGCGTAAACCTCCGGTCAGCGCTTTAAACATTGGAAGAGACTTGATGAAGAGGCATTGACAATTTTTCAAAGTACGAAAGCATCGCCCAGTTTATGCCCCGTCAATCGAGGGGCATTGCTATGTGCTATCAGAACTCAGCCTCGGTGTCATCTAAGCGCCTGGTCTAAGTATAGAACCTCCGATGCGCGAAAGCATCCAATAGAACAGCTTCGCTTGAACATAATGCACTCAAGATGCAGCTAGAGATGTTAGCCGACATCTAAACTATTTCAAGGGGAGCTTTAACCTTGTAAGGAATTGCGGCACCAACCTAGATGGGGGGAGATTTCCTTTGGGCAACCCGTCCGAAGGCAGGATCAGGCGTATCCTGCATAAAAGCCGGGTCTTCCGACTGGACTGCATTTAATCAACACACAATCTTGTACTCAATTGCGGCAGGCCTAATACCCTCGCCACCCTTGAGCGGCAAAATTAGGTGTTCTATTGGTTGTACCCTTGCAATGCGGTGGATTGGGCGCTAACTTGCATCACCTGTTACGTCTCACTAAAGGCTAATAAAAATAGGTACTCTGAGACACAGGCTTTCTCCCACTGACCCCTTCAACCTCTGACTGAGACCATCTCCTTGACAGCGGAAATGCTTGTGGGGCGGCTGTGGACAAATCGGATTTGAGCCGGTACATTGATCAGTTAGCGAATACCTTATCTTTAGCGAAGCTGACGACAGAAAGTCTGGTATCTTTTGAACGTGGGGAAGTCCTGAGCTGCCCCACAAGCATTTCTGCTGTCAAGGAGATGGCCCTTCGATGTTGGTCGATGGTTGTTGGCCGATAGAATGCCTTGGTCTAAAATTGCGTCTTAAATTGACAAAGCCCCTACTTACTGAACTCTCGCTTCAATCTCGCCCACAATCAACAGCTCGTCTCAAAAACCGTCCTACCTAATTGCCTCCGCCTCTCCTCTGACCTGTCGCCATGTCGGCTCATGAAATGAGCAAGCATTTGGAGGAAACAAAAGATTCTTCTGGATCCGAAGACAAACTCATTATTGCTTTGGATTTTGGGACGACGTATTCTGGCATAGCCTACTGTTTCGCGAATGACCGTGACTGCATTCCCATTTCGGTAGACAACTGGCCCGGTACGCATAGTCACATCATTCAGCCCGGTCTTATTGGCTAATTGCACACAACTCAAAGGAGCGGAGAGCCTAGACGCCCCCAAGATTCCTACTCAGATCAGGTATGACAAGAACGACCCCGAACAGTTCGATTGGGGAGCCACGGTGAGCAACCGAAGTGATGGTGTCGTTGGCGTCAAGCTTTTACTCGATCCCACACAAGAACGACCAAGCTACCTCCGGTCGGTAAACATCAAGAAGGAGCTCAAGAATCTACCAAAGTCTCCAGTTCAAATCACGGCCGACTTCATTGGTGCCATTTACAAGCACGGCTTGTCAGAGATTTCGAAAAGGTTCTCCAAAGACTATGTAGACCGATGTAATAAAGAACACGTTCTTTCTGGTATGTCCGTGGAGCTTGACAAACAGTATCAACGTTAATTATCTCCCTAGTTCCTGCGGTTTGGTCGGATGCTGCCAAAAATGCAACGTTACAGGTAAATCAATCTCAACGTCGGTGGTCAAAAATAACATCTCACATTCACCAACTATAGGCAGCTGAGCTTGCTGGTCTCAGCCCTATTCATCTGATCAAGGAACCAGAAGCGGCAGCCTTGTGGACTGCGAAGAAAATGGACCGAAGGCTTGAACGAAATGACTCATTCGTGGTTTGTGATGCTGGTGGTGGAACCGTCGACTTGATCTCTTACCAAGTCGAGGCTGCGCTTCCAAGACTTCAAGTCAAAGAACTCGTCCCCGGCACAGGTATGGAAATTAGGACCCTAGTGCTGTTACTGTATCGCTGAACTCATATCAGGTGGCATGGCCGGCTCTCTGGGCCTCAACAAACGATTTGCCGATGCGGTGAATGATCTCGTGGGGGATGAGCAGTGGCCTGAGCTGAAGAAGAGCAAAGCCTTTTTCCTGGCAAATAAGCAATTTGATCGAGAGATCAAGAAGAGTTTCCAAGGAGGAGCCGACGAGGAATACTTTGTCAATTTCCCAACTGCGAAATTGGAAGACGACACTGACAACGGCCTTGAATCAAGCACCTGGACAATGACTGGGTAAGACTCACCACACCAAACTTGTCGCAAAACCGCACTGACTGATATTGGGGCTATTAGACACCACCTGAGGACCATTTTTGATCCGCTTGTTACGGATATTCTTAGGCTCATCACTGACCAAGTTCAAAGAGTGAGATTGAAGCAAAACGCCCAAATCATCAAGGTTTGTTTTAATTCTGTTTCTCGCTAGATAGTATGCTACTCACATAATTATAGGGCATCTTTCTTGTTGGAGGGTTCGGAGGCAATCAGTATCTGGTCGAGCGAGTTCGACAGGAGCATCCCGACATTGAAGTGTTGCAGCCGCCTGATGCTTGGGCCGCTATTGCAAAGTAGGTCGGATCCAGATTCAGGATGACATAGCGCTAATCGCTTCTATTTGAAGAGGAGCGGCCCTTTCACGGGTGCCCCGTGAAGCCATCGTGACAAGCACGTCCTCCACACGGCATTACGGAGTCCGGGTACGGACACCTCACGACTCAATCCAAGACCTTGGGCAGCCCATCATCATTGACCGTACTGGAAGGGCTAGGTCTGTCACCGTAAGTTTCGTGTCTATGGAATCAACTTTGATCTAACCCCAAGGTGCTTAGATGACTTGGTATATCAACATTGGAGACGATCTGCTCCGCGATAAAAGAATCAAGTTTCATTACACAAGAGATTTCGATATAGATTGTGGCGCAAGTGATCTCATATTTGTTGACACCCTCTATGAATGTGCCGAGAAGTAAGAATTCCCTTAGTATACTCATAGTCAATGCATGTGTCTTCATGTTGCTAAACGTTGGTTAGAACGGCACCTCGACATCCAAACAAAGGCCGTCACTTCAATGCCAACTGCGTCTTAACTTCAGACTTATCCAGCGTCCCGCAATCGAAGTTCAAGTCAAGAATAGGTACCCGTCGAATCCAAAGCTTTGTAATCAAAGAGACTCGTGTTAACATAGCCGACAGATAAAGATGGAATTCCGTAGTAAGTACCCGCAGCACTTGACTTTTGTTGCGATACTGATCTTTCACAGCTCGGAACTTGGATACGACTTGGTTGTGACGTTGGAGTCTGCAGTCATGAAGTTTTCACTGGAAATTGGCGGTGAATCGTTGGGATCAGTAGACGCCAAATATAACTGACAGGGAATGATCGAAGCCAAGAAGATGAAACTCAGATATCAGATGTAGAAGCCACTGCCATATGGGGTAGCTTGTATAGGGAGCAAAGTAGGGAATATAAACTTGTATCAACATATTTCGTATATCTGTGACTGCATAAGAGCACGAATGGGGTCGGGTGCGACTTGGGCAAAATGATTGTCGAAGACACCTATGCGACGCTTCTCTATACAACCTTTTAGAAGAGGCTATTGAGTTTGATATTGGCTATTGACCGTTTCTGCCGCCAAACCATTTGCCGATGCATTCGACCTTCTCCAGATTGACACACGATCTCCTTTCCCGATCCCATAATAAGAATATTATTAGGATCTCAACTCCTCTCAACGTGCTAAAATCGCAGTGCATCGGGTTGGAAAAAAACCCACTTTGGGCATAAGTACATGAGTAGCATATCCCCTCGAACAGCTAGAATTGCAATGCTGTCGGACGTTTGGGTGGACACTGGACGCACACCCGCCATCCCGATTCACGCCTACCTAGTAGGAATCACAAGGACGACGACGTGACCTAATGAGTGGCACAGTATGATGATGACTAGCTATGTGCGGCAGCCGGTGTGTACAAGGGGCGTTCACCGTTGTCGCTAAGTGTCTAGTATCCCAGGCATAAAAGGGGACGCATCAGACCGTAAGTACAGTAGGTCCGACAGCCGGAAACCCCAACAACACCCAATTTGTAAGTCAATCGCCGACATCCGTCATCTATATCAGGACATGATTCTCAGGGCCCTTTACAGCTAGTCAGTTATCAACACACTCCAACTCTCAGCTACGGCCCACTTTATCTGTACATCTCGAATTGCGCTTGTGCATAAGTTAGGTAGGTACGTAGCGTGTCATCAACTCCCCTCGAAGTGTTAAATTTGCAGTGCAAAAAGAGGGTTGCGTGAGACGCACCGGTTGGCGTCGGTAGCGCGCGTTCTCAACTCCCCTCCAGCCGCCAAAATTGCAGCGCGGTGAGATCGCCTGCCTTTCTCAACTCCTCTCCAACCCCTAAAATTGCAGTGCAGCTTCTCTTCATATTCTCCTACAACAGAGGGTGGTGGAACCTGACACGAGATATGCCCTGGTATCTAATTCGTATTAGCGGACAAACAAACATATCAGTCTCAGACTACCAGAAGGCTCTGCGGTGCGTAAACAGAGATAGATATCCGGTTGGAAATCCCCAAATACAGGGGATGTTCTTTTATGTCCTGCACCAGACCAAGCAATCCTTAGGTACCTAGGTATTGAGTGACGGTGTGGAGCATCTCAACTTCCCTCGAACTGCTAAAATTGCAGTGCAAATTGATGACGCAGTACATAGCATGTTCTCAACTCCCCTCCAACTGCTAAAATTGCAGTGCTGCTGCACGCACCGTGACAGGGTCCCGATTTGGCGGTTGGAGGGAATTAATGGGGCACTGCACGTGCCCATATACAGTCGGTACTACACTTTCAATCTTTCCCCGGATCCTTTTCCGTTAGCTGAGTATCAAGAATATCAGTCTCACACTATCAGAATGCTCTGCAGTTGTGTACAGGGATAGATTTCCGGTTAGAAATACCCAAATACAGGGAACCCCCTTCTATGTCCTGCACCAGCCCGGCAATCCTTATTGAGTGATGGTGTGGAGCATTTCGCCTTCCGTCAAATCACCAAAATTGCCGTGCAAATTGCTGATGCATTCTCAACTCCCCTCCAACGGCTAAAATTGCAGTGAAATCCATGCAGGGGTAAGAGCACTACCGTAGAGCGCCGAACTTACTTTTCCGTTCGGCGACCATCAAGATCAGTCTCATGCTATCAGAATGCTCTGCAGCGAGTGCACAAATATAGATTTCCGGTTGGAAATACCCAAATACCCGGATACGCTTTTCTACGTCCTTCACCAGACCCGCCAATCCTTCGAAACGTCCCTAGCCACCAGGTGTCACCTGTGTCTGCTTGTGCGCGGCAATTTAAATGACGTCGAAAGCCAGAACGACGTATGTGAGGTTCTCAAGGCCCACATTGTTCTGTCGGTTTATTGGAAGAGGCGTGCAACACGTCATGCATTCTCGCTAGGCCAGAACATCTCCTCTGTCGCTGTCATCAGCCGGCGAGGAACTTCTGCTTTGGATCTCATTGAGCCTATTCCAGGTGCGAATTCCGCCACTCTACTCTGTGTTAATCATGTATTGAGATGTCATACCACAGATTCTTACTCTTTTGACGATGCCGGATCCTTGCCGCCTGAAATCAATCCCCAGGCACCTGTAGTGACTGTCCATACGAAAACAAGACAGAGCAAACGGCGCAGAGTCGACAAGCCTGTTTCCCAAGTGACACTTTCAGATTCCAGCAAAGCCCGTGATAATGATTCATTCACGGGCTCATCGGCAAACCTTGAGTTGGCCCACTTCTGGCTCCGTCAGTGCCTCGATCAACATTCACACTGCAAAATCAATCATCCCACAGGGACCAAAACCCCGCTACCCACTCGGCTGATCAATATCGACCAATTTGATAACCCATTTCTTGAAGACACCAACGCTCAAACTAAAGGCCCATACATCGTGTTGAGCTATGCGTGGGGTGACGGCAAACGGGTCCTCACAACAAGGTCCAACTACCAGGATCACAAGCAAGGCCTCCCTGTTCAAACATTGCCTCAAACGTTTGCAGACGCAATTAAAGTAGCGCGGGGACTCAACTACAGATATATATGGATCGACGCTTTTTGTATCATCCAAGACGACAAGCAGGATCTGGCCCGAGAGCTACCAAAGATGGGCGACATCTATCGCTACGCGGTGCTCACCATATACGGCGAGGGTGCCCAGAGCGCTCACACAGGGCTGTTCGTGAATCGAGACCCCTATATGTACCGTCCATGCAAAGTCTCGATATCTATTTCGACGGAGAGCGCCTCCCTCCAAAAGGAGGTGACCCTGGCCACCACCTGCAATGGACCCGACTATCTGAGCCCTCGAGGCTGGATTCTGCAAGAAAGAATACTCTCATCTCGCTGTTTGATGTTTGGGAAGCAAATGAGTTGGATCTGTTCAATGGGTGAAGCACAGGAAACCCGCCCAGTCCCACGGCCAATGCCGCCTCCGGTGCAGGGCAGCAACTCATGGATTTCTGAACGACTGCGGCTCTCTCTCTACACTGCGATCGCTGCCAACAAGTCCTCGAGAGATATCCGGTCTTTGTCTGAACAATTTGACATATGGTATGTCATGGTTGAGAGCTACAGCGACAAGGAGTTGTCGTTCATTTCCGACAACCTCAATGCTGTTTCCGGTTTAGCAGCATTATTTCACCAGGCCCACAACGTAACCTATGCTGTAGGCCTTTGGAAAGAAGACATTGCGTTTGGGCTTGCGTGGTATGTCCGACTGAATGATAAGCGTCCAGTGTCTGAAAAAGAAGATGGGCCTTCGTGGTCATGGGCCTCAGTTGGCAAAGTTCGGATCAAGTTTCGCTCATGCGCAAGGATCTCATCACCAGCCCCTCAAGTCTTGGTGGAGGTAATCGACATCACTTACGATACCATCAGCACGTTGAATCCATACGGCTCTGTTAGCAAAGGAGTTCTTCATCTTCGCGCTCCATTGAAGAAAGCTATTCTACGGTATAGTGACGCATTCATAGCAGAAAGATCGGAAATATCCTATGGGAGAGCGGGTCCTGGGCTTCATCCCATTGACGTGAGGGAGCAACCTCGCTACGCTGCCCTCCTCCTTCATCCCGATACGAGCAGCCCTGTCGCAGAGGTAGCACTGGACCGGCATCCAAGTGGTCTCGCTGTAGGTTTCGGCACTACATCCTCTTCTTCTATTGATGTTTGGTGTGTCTTATTACACGTTCAACGCGATCGGGATGGCCTCTACGGAACTGTGATTGTGCTCCGAGCGAGTAAGACAGACGCTAGTATGTTTCGGCGTCTGGGACTTGGATTTCTTGGAGATAGAGGCCTGAGTTGGTTTGGAGTACAGCATGAGAAGGGTACTCTAAATAGGGGCAGATCACTACAATCCCTAGTGAAGGAGGAAGTTCAGGTGATGTAGTATTTTGCTCAATTGGGGCTCCTATTTCACTACTCTTCAGATTCGAGCGAAGTACTTGATCAGTTCCTCCCAGGGAAGATCTTTATCCAAGCTTGAAAACACGGTCAAGAGTATGACTTGAGAGCTCAGAAGTAATCTAATCTAACTTTCGTCTGCTCTCTCAAGGTGGGCAAGTTGCGGGCACAAGGTCAAAAAGAAACAGTTTTATCCAGAATTCGAGCATTTTCTATCCAATGCTACCACAATGACCAAATATCAATCTTTTTGAGCCCACATGTAAAGAAGATAGATCAGCTAGCCGGCAAAGATGATTTCAGGTCACGGGCAAAGTTGGCAATTTGTTCGGCTGTGAGCAGGTATTCTGATTCAGACGTCTGGCCGATGGTGCTCGCGTAGATGGTGATGGGGTGAATAATGACAGTGACCTAATAGTGCTTTCGCAACCCCTCACACAACCTTGAGGTTTGGGCTCAATCTTTCCCAGATTGATAAAGCCTCAGAATTTCCTACGATTATTCCTAACACCCAAAACACCGTCTTTCACATCCCGCAGCACAAAACAAGCTATGCGCTGAACTAGAATGGCCACCAAGGCCTCGAGATAGCCACTCATGTCCTACGCCTCTCTCGAAATGTCCCAAACCAAAGCAAGGCCCGTCATGACAGCCGAGACAGCTTCCCATGTGGCTATGACTTGCCAAGCAGGGCCCTGTGCCCAGAAGATTCTTGCTGATATGAACCGAGCGAGCGTCATGGCAAAAAATGCTCGATTCTCTTGATACGCTGCGAGCATGTAGTAGATGCCGATGCCGATGATGGCGACCGAGAAGCCATTGAGGGCTGGAAGGGCCGAGTCGGGTAATTGCTTGGAGGCGAGCGCTTTGCGTTGCGACACGAGGTTACTGACACCGTGGTTGAAGGCGCTGGCGCCAAAGATATAGATCGTGAGAGCAGAGATGCTTGGCATTTTGTATTAATCTGCTCGTGTCTTTTTTCAAGGGGCGTGGGTATTTGACGGTACTCGCCTCTTGGCTAACCGAATAAATAATTCCCAAGATTGGGAAGTAAAGGCGAGAGATGCAGTGGAAAACCCGGAAAACCCGGAAAACCCTGACTGCTGTATACCCAAACAAACCTAAGATACAAGCGGTCTATGGTGGCAGAATGGCGTTCGGGATACACAAGCCCATCAGCGGCGCGTCGAACAACGCGTGCTGACTGGTCTACTTCGTCATTGGGCTGAAATCAGCGTTAGAGAAGCGGTCAATCATGCATCTAATTAGCTGTAATTTCTTTCGTGGCTGTGTGAGAGGCCTGTGATAGCTCACCGGATATGCATGTCTTATCTAATTGAGTAAGGCTTTGCCCTTGTTCCGTGACACTATAGGATAGTCATGGCGATCAATGGCCGATTGAGGTTTGTTGTAGTGTAGCAGAAGGTGATATTAATCGAATTCCCCTGAGGATCCGCCTTTGTTACGTTTAGCAGTCAACCGAAAAGCACTACCGCGGGGCCTTTCGTAGGCCGAATCCAGATGTGTCGTGATTCAATGCTATTGTGACGAGAAATCGAAGGTATTAGCTGATGCCATTCAGTCGCCCCGCCTCAACGGAGGACGAAAGACAGAAAATGACGCATATTAGCTAATTGTTGTCCGCCAATTGATCAGTCCCAACGCTCCGGAGACAAACTGTTCCTGGTGTTCAACTGTGGCTGAAAACTTCCTTTTGTTTTCCCCGCACCTCGGTCCATTTCCGTATGTACCAAATGCCGGGCATGCGATCGCCATGGATTAAAAATCGTCATGCTTCGATTCGAGAATCTGACCAGTCGGGACAATGGAGTTCCCAACGTCCAAGACGCACACTACACAGCAGGCCAAATTGCAGGTAGGTAAATAGTTGGAGATGCGAGTACATCGTCTGTTCCCCCTGAGGAACCATAAGAGAGCCGATAGAAAACCCCTGTGGAGACCTACCACATCTAGGCATCTCTATATCCGCCGATATCGGCTCCTCCTGCTGGACTACGGATATTCAATCCTGGCCTGATCAGTTACCCGCTTGTGGGAATGTGACAAAACGTGAAATTGGTGATCCCTGACTACACATTCCCTACATTGGTGCATGTGCTGTATTCCCCAGAGATAGGCTGTAGGGTGAACTAATTTTAGCGCATACTTTTGCATGCAGATCGGATAGATAAGTCGTTCATTGACTATTGGTTTTGCTTCTGAGATATGGCGCCGGATAGGTTAACCCTGTTCGTATTTTCCAAGTAGTGTCTTGGCGAGTTGGTTCTTGAGTTCTCTGGAGGTTGGATAAGGTATGAGCGGTTTGCTAGCAGTTCCCTAATGCGGAATTTGTTTGGCTTCGTCGTGTTCACATACCTTACGACATCATGACGCAACGTCATGTTCTGCGAGATCTCCACAGTCTTTATCAGGCCATTTCTTCGTATGTAATCCATTGACATCAGATCATGTAACCAGTACACTGGGATGTTCTTTGACTATCTATGTTCAATGTGACGCGCTCCGTACGAGATACCTTTCCACGTTACACTACACATGAAAATACCTACCGCGTCCCTTGAAATGGCTGCATCTGTCCGGATCTAGGAAAGCTAAAGCTCTTGTAAATGATCCCTCAATGACGATAGTTTCGTGCACTACCACGGATGTGCAAGCGAGGAATGTGAATGTCTTGGAAGTGGTGTGCCACGACGAACACGGAACGACAATGACCGTCTCCACATGGGCGGAAGCGGCGAGAACTCTATGTTCAAAGAGTATTTATTAAGGCTCATATTCCTCTAATTCTGCGCTATTGATGGTATTCCCCTAAAATCTCCAAAATGTCGTCCTTGCAAACTACGTCATCTACTGAACAGCTCCCCATCTCCGAAGTCTCAGCCGCGATCGCCGCGTGCTCGCAAGAGCTGAGAGCCGTCAACCAAAAGATCCACGACAATCCAGAGCTGTGCTACAAGGAATTCACCGCACACGATACCATCGCGGCGTTTCTTGAAACGCAGGGCTACACCGTCACTCGCGGCGCCTATGGCATTGACACTTCCTTCGAGGCCGAGATTGGCGTCGGTGGACGGCTGGTGATTTTCTGCGCAGAGTATGACGCGTTACCGGATATTGGCCATGCTTGCGGCCACAACCTAATCGCGACATCGTCTCTGGCTGGCTTTGTTGGTTTGGCCGAGACTGTCAAAGCCCTTGGCGTCAAGGGGCGAGTTCGCATCTTGGGTACACCAGCCGAGGAGGGCGGTGCAGGCAAGGTCAAACTCTTGGAAGCTGGGGCTTTCCGTGGCGATGTTGCTGCAGCCATCATGATGCATCCGACCGCAGACCATCACTTTCCTCCCGGCTTCAACGCTTTAGCCGGCGTCAAGTTCATCGCCAGCCTCAAGCTCCGGGTCGAGTTCCATGGACGGCCTGCACATGCGGGAGGAGAACCGTGGAAGGGCCTGAATGCCCTCGACGCTGCTGTGGCGGCGTATACGAGCATCTCAATGCTGAGGCAGCAATTGCAGCCCGACGAGCGCATTCACGGGGTTATTGAGGATGGTGGAAGAGTGCCTAACGTTATTCCAGAGTACTCGAGGGTGAACTACTATATACGCAGCCCGACTTTGCAACGGGGCGAGGCACTGCTCACCCGTGTAAAGGCTTGCTTTGAAGCTGCTGCCGCGGCCACAGGTTGCACATTGAACTATATCTAGTTGAGTATCCCGCCATTTTCCACGATCATCTACTCACCTGTGTCAGCACTCCGACATACAAGGATCTTCGGATCAACAACACCCTCAGTCGAGAATTTACCCAAGCCATGGCTCTCATGGGTGTAAAAGTGATTGAAAGAAACGAAGAGCCTGCTACTTTTTCGACCGACATGGGCAATGTATCGTACGCTTTGCCCGCGTTCCACGGAACCTTTGGAATCCCCGCACCAAAGGACGCGATGCCGCATCAGCGTGGATTTGCGACTGCAGCAGGCACGGATGCCGCTCATGACGTGGCTATCTCTTGTGCCAAGGGAATGGCCTTGCTGGGTTGGAGGGTATTGACGGATGATGGGGTTGCAGAGGGCGCGATGAGAGATTTCAACGATAAGGAGCCTTTGGATTGAGGCGAAGAGTGGCTCCCATGTTGATCACACTATTCCCACAGACCATATCCACGCGTTGACTCTATCGTACTACTCCGCAAGCCCCGCTCAACAATGATAACTAAATTAATTAGCGTATGGACCAGTTCCAGTGGAGAAAGTCTATTAGATTGGTGCATGTGCCCTATCTCGTCTCCTCGCGCAATCGTCCAGAAACGGGTGACGGGGCGAACCGAGAACTGCTTTATTCCTCTTTCAGCCAGATGAGCGAGACGTCTCCCCCACCGCCTCCGCTTCTCCGCCAATTGACCCCAGTCTCAGCTTCAGCCATTCATTTAGTTTCATGGGAATGCGATGTTCTTCAAGATATAATTACTCCGGGGTCGCATGCCCTCAATGGGTTGGGACCACCGGCTCACACGACCAAGCACAACCTCGGTGACGCATCTCTCAAGACATAAGTTATTTACCTGAACCGTCCCAATGGAGAGTACTAAGAAAGTAACAACCATGCCGACGAACTCGTCCGTCGGGGTGGGCGAATTTGTCGACGACTTTGGCGACAAGACCAAGGTCGGCTCCGGCGATGTCGAAAGCGACGACTGCCCTCCACATGAGCTGGTGTACAGCTCGAAGGAGGGCAGGAGAGTGCGATGGAAGCTTGATACGATCCTACTCCCTCTTGTAAGGCCCCAATGTTACGTGTTCAGCCTTCAGAATCGCAGACTGACAATGCACAAATAGATGGCATTCACGTATATCCTCAATTACATTGACAAGGTTTCCTTATCAGAGGCCTCTATCTTCGGAATCAAAGACGACCTGGTGAGTCAAATTCAATGCATGTCAAGTCCATGCGTGGCTCAATCTGACACAAACAGCACCTTGTAGGCCAGCAATATAGTTGGTCGTCCTCCATATTCTATCTTGGATATCTAGTCTGGCAGTACCCTAGCTCTCTCCTGATACAGAAGCTTCCCATGTGCGTCGCAGCTTCTATACAGCTACCTCAAATCTTGGCTAATTCTCCCTAGCGGTCGATACTTTGGTGTCATGATTTTTCTCTGGGGCCTGACTGCTACCACGACGGCATTCACGACAAGTTTCGCTACGCTTTGCGTCAACCGAGTCTTCCTCGGAGTTTTTGAAACATGCATGTCGCCGATCCTCACCATTCTCATTTCCCAGTACTGGACCCGTGACGAACAACCGCTTCGCACCTCGTTGTGGTGGTCTGCCAGTGCTGTTGGCGCCTTCATTGCCGACGCCATCACCTACGGAGTCTCCGGGAAAGATCACTCGGGTTCTAAATACGCAATCTGGCAGATCATTTATCTGGTCTTCGGACCGTTGACCCTGCTCTGGGGTATGATCATCTTCTTTGGCGTGCCATCCTCGCCAGTCAGCGCATGGTTTCTCAACAAGAGGGAGAGGAAGATTGCCACAGCCAGAGTCAGAAGCTCCCACTCCCTATTCTAAACGCAGGTTGCTAATAGCATAATAGGTCATGGAGAACCACACAAGCATCAAGAATACTGAATACAAGTTTTATCAGGTCAAGGAATGCCTGACCGACCCACAACCCTGGATTCTAGCACTTCACGCCTTTCTCCAATGCTTGCAGGGAGGAGGCCTGACTTCGGTTAGTGAGCTGGACAACTCAACAATAACATCTTCTAACGTTATACCAGTTCTCCAAGATTGTGTTGACGGAGACTCTTGGCTACACCAGCCGCCAGGCTACTTTGATGAGCATGCCCTCCAACACGATCCACCTTGTTTCTGTGGTCTTTGCGTAAGAGTCGACATCTGTTAAATCTCCTGCGCCACACTGCTGATTTCTCTCTAGTGGCTGGTTCTGTAGCCGTTTCAGAAACACCAGGTGCTACGTCATGATTGCCACGAACATCATCGTCCTGATTGGCGCGGTCTTGGTGGGAAGTGAGTGTTTACGACAGTGGATGACGGTCAATTGCAACCAACAATGCTAACAATTACCATAGACCTCCCCGAATCGAACCAACAGGGACGACTTGCGTCTTTCTACAGTAATTGTGTATTATTCTAGTAATTGCGACTTGTACCTAACAGGCTTGTAGTCCTCTATGTCAACACCGTTCCTTTCGGCCTGGGCATGAGCATGATTTCTTCAAATATTGCCGGATTTACCAAGAAGTCGACCGCAAGTGTAAGCAGACACACCGAGTGGCCGCTTGACTGAGTCAGACGCTAATTTCAACCTCAAGGTCATGATGTTCCTGGGATACTGCTTGGGTCAATTCACCGGGCCTCAGTTCTTCATCGAGACCGAGGCCCCCCGGTACCACACGGCTTTTAGAGGCTTCTACTCTTCCGTGTCTGCCATGATATTTTTGGAGTTCGTACTGCTGTGAGTCTGAGAAATTCTGATTGACGTTTTATCCCCAGGTGTTGACTGTCTTCTCCCTTAGGGCCTACATCAAGTTTCAGAACCGTCGCCGTGACCGCCTGCAGGCAGAGGACAGTGGCAGTGTGCATACCCCTGAGGACGACTCGGATTTGACCGACCAGCAGCAGCCGTCGTTCAGATACATTTGGTAATCTTATTTATGTTCAACAGCCCCGGTTTTGTACGGTTCCATAGTACGACTTTCCTTGGGTGATATTTTGAATATTGCCTGTTTATCAATTTCCTAGCTGCTTATCTCAGCTCAGAGCAGATGGGGAATTTCATATTAGTACAGTGCAAATTGTTAGAGTTGATCATTGATAGTTGAATTTTGAATGCTTTCGCCGGGGTTTTCAATTGAACAAGCCATTTTAAATACATGATTGCAAGTGCAGCTTTAAATATGACAGACTGACAACGTCGAGTCCGCCAGGTGCCACTCCAGGGTAGGTGAGTAGCTGTATAGCGTTAGACCTAACGAATCGCTAGGCTCCAAGTGGCCATGATCGTCGACACAATGTAACTTGATTTTAGCCATTGAATGACGTGAAGGTGATCAAGAGAATCAGAGAACATTCAATGACCTATATGCTCGATCCTCACCGTCTTGATTTTCGGTTCCCAGTGTGTTGTGTAAGGCCTGTCTACAAGTTCGAGAATGTATCACGTGATACACACTCCGGCTACTGATAATCATCATCTGAGTTCCGAACCATGGCGTTCTTGACTTCCCAACTTCCCGTCTTCATTGCGCTACAAATCTACGACACCATTTATCATGTCCCCATGCAACACTTGTGCAAGGCGGAAGCTCAGTTGTGACACCTTGAAGCCACGCTGTTCACCGTGCCGACGCTCACACGTCAAATGCGTCTATGACCCGTCAACCCAAGTGTTTGAGTTTCGCGATGAGACGGAGAATATCAGGGCTCAATCGGGGCGACGCGAGAAGAAGCGGAAGGCCTCGGAAGACGCGAACACGTCGCAAGAGCAAAGCCCGCCTCAATTGAGTCAGCAGACAGACGCGATGTCTCCAGCAGACGACTCGCGACTGTTGGAGGCATCCTCGCTTTCACTGCTCGACACGACAACGATGCCCTGGATGGACGGCATATTTGACTCGTATCTGGGCCCGCAGTGGGATCTGACCCCGGACTCGGCTGTGCTATGGAGCACCACGACGGACCCTATCACCATCAACGACTTCCCCGGCCAGACTCCGAGCATGGATGCCAATTCGTCGACTCAAGTCTTCGCCGAATTCAACATGCCGGCCTCGGATCAGCAAGGCCTGCCCTCTAGCTCCCCTTCTGCCGTTTCCGATCACGTACTTGCACAGCACTATACCCAGAACCTGACAACGAAATACACCTCAAAGGAGCAAGGCTGGAACCATCACACCTACTTCTTCAACCGCTTCAACTCCAGTCATCCGTTCGTGATATCATCTCTTTATGCGTGGACCGCTGCCCATCTATTTTGCAACGGGACTGTAGATTCAGAGGCCAACGCCATGGAGCACTACGAGAAGAGCCTTGCTGGTCTTGGAGACCAGCTAGGGGTTGATCTGCTGTCTGCCAACGCAACCGACGACGCCAGTCAGAACTGGTTCGCGCTTCTAGCTCAAGGTGATGATATGGACGCCGTCTCCGTGACGCTCTACTTCCTGGCCTGGACAGATCTCATCCTTTCACGACGTGTAGCTCTGAGGCGGATGCTGAACCTTGAAGCTTTGCTTCTGGAGCGCCGGGGCCATGACCAATCACATTCTGTATACGTCAGAATGGCAGTGTGGTTTTGCTTTCTCGACGCACGTGCGATCCTCTTTTGCCGGGGGAATGACCGCATTATCCAGTCGATGGGGGACGATTCGGGGCTGGTGAGGGCTGTAGAGAAATCTCACGACTTTCTACAAAAGGAATACAAGCTGTTGTATCCCAAAAAAGAACGGCGGTGGGACGAGGCACACCTGCCCTTGTACGTCGCCACTTGCCGGTTGATCGCTCTATTGGGAAAGATATCCAGAAGCGGAAGCACATCGGATGATGGCTGTGAAGCGGATGTCAGGGCGTCCTTGGACAACATCAAACAGGTGAGCGAGAAGCGCTGCGAGAGATTCGCGAGCATTGGCTAACTGGCCCAGGACCTCGATACAATCAGTGAGGCGAAAGCTGCCGAGAACAAGGTCCTGTCCATATACCTCACTACCAGTGCCCTCTTCCATACCGTAGAGATTTACGCGTCACGAATTTACCGACCCCACGAACAGATGTACGCAGAGAGTTACCACGCAGAAAGCATCATCAACATCACCCGCCGCTTCTACCAGAAGCTGAAGCGCCCGAGAACGGAAGCTCCGCCGACCAAGATATGGCCGGTGCCACTCATCATGGCGGCGATTGAGGCCAAAGACCCCATCTACAGGGACTGGACGCTCCAGCAGATCCGTGACTACAGCCGTACGGGCAAGCACTTTGCCAACGCGTGCGCCTTTGTCGAAAAGGTGCATGCCGCCGAGGAGGTGACGAGCATCCGCACGGATCTTGGCCGGATTGCCGAAGACATGGGTGACGACTTTGTCCTGTGATCCTATGACGAACCCTGCAACAAAAGAAGTTCGCCCGAAGGTTTGCATCCTCGTGTAGCCGTCGCCGCGAGCAACTTCCCGAGATGCGCTTGCTGGTGGTGGGTCCGTCGCCGATTTGGACCGTTTTGGACGAGTCGGCGAGACACCCGGAATGTATCGCCCGCGCAACTGCACGTTGATAACTACCCCTTTGCACCCGTTTTCGATTGATGTTGGTACTCTGTGTATCTGTGGAAAGAAGATACAGCAAGAATAACGCCCTTCACGAAATACTTCTCGCCGCTTATACGCCTTTTGAAGCCAACATGCCGTCTTTGATGCAAGCTCCGAATCCGTCGTGCTACCAGCACATTGTCGTCGGGGGTACACCGTACGAAAGAGGCTTGGCCCATGGTACTCAGGTTGCCGAGAAAGTTCGGGCCAATATCGAATATTACAAGCTTCCAGGGAAACTACCAGATTGGTAAGTTCATTGTGCCGCCGTGTAGTGTACACCAGGAACTAACACCTGATGCAGGTCCATTTCGTCCAGAATAATCGACACCGTCTACCTTCCAGCGTTCGAGACACTCTACCCGACCGGACTGGAAGAAATCAGGGGAATTGCAGATGGCGCCGGCGTGACGGTTGAGGAGGTCATCATGCTCAATGCTAGATACGACTTGGGCAGATGCATGTACCGACTCAAGGACGGCGGAAAGACTCCGCAGGAACTCAACGGCCACGACGAATGCACCAGCGGCTTCTTTGCTCCCGACGCAGTTGCATCTGGTAGCGCCCTTGCCGTGCACAACTGGGACATGTCCAGCCATCTTTACAACCAGGACCTCATCATCTACCTTGAGGTGCACCCAGACCCGTCCGAAGATCGTCCTTCAATGTTTATCCTCACCGAAGCTGGCCAGCTGATCCGCAGCGGAATGAACTCGGCCGGCATGTCAGTTACGGCGAATTCGTTGCTGTCAAGTGAGGACTACGTGCCCGTCTCCCACATCGACCAGGACGGGGTCTACCACGAGGTCAAGAACCCCAAGCCTGTTCTACCGCTCTCCGTGGCTCGACGCGTCTTTCTTGAATACAGCAACTATGCCGAGGGCCTGATCGCAATTAATGCCTTCCCCCGCCATGTCTCGGGAAACCTGCACGTCTCAACAGCGGACGGATTCGCCTTGGCCATGGAAGTCGCGCCAGGCCGTATCTACAAGTTCTACGGAGATATTGACGACCGGTATCTCATCCACAGCAACCACTTCCTCAGCCCCGAGTTCCTCAGCCGCGACGATGTCTTTGACCGCTATCCCGGCGGGAGCAGTTGGTTCAGAGCCCGCCAGGCCGAGAAGGGTGTGCGAGCGGACTGCGCGGCAGGGAAATTGACGCCCGAACTGATCAAGACGGCCTTCTCCGATCATCTGGCCTACCCGGAGAGTCTGTGCAACCATCCCAACCTGAACCAGAAGAACACGCCGAGTGCGGTTCTCACTGGATATACATCCAAGCAGAATATGACGGTGGCTTTTGTCATCTACGACTTACCGAAGCGAACAGTGACGGTGTGCAAGGGGCCTCCTTGCCAGGGAGTACTGCAGGAGTTTACGTTGGAACAGAAGGTACCGCTCAAGGCATGAGGAAATAGAGATGAGATTGATGGTGGAATGCGGAAGATGATGGCAACTAGTGCCTTTGATGGATAGTTATACTTTTAGAGGATGTTTGCAGCACGATATATTAGACCAGAATGAATATTTTTAACGGATTGTTTGGATGCGATGATCTCAATAAGTCACAACCCATGGCGATGCAAACGAAATGCGATTAATCGATCACCAGGGAAGGTAATTCATATGCCCCCACAACCCTCCACCATGTCCCCTTAATAAACACACCGCCCATGTTACTAGGGCGGCATATTCCATCGTCGAATAGCCTGGCTTGAAGAGGGGATAACTCGTCAATTTCATGTTATCTAGAAGTGCCTCGTCAACTTCCTTCCATCGTTGCAAAAAAGAAAAAAGCCATGGTGCGATCAGCTTTCTCCCCATCGCTTTTTCCTCTTCGCCAAAGTATAGTCACGTCACCTAGTCGGAGCTATCAGCGAGAACAATTCTGATGGCAGAAAACGCTTCTATCATTGTGATGGACCACGGGCGCACTGTTAGTACGATACCAGCATCTGAAATGACAGAGTAGACACAGTATTCCGGGGTGGATAGACAATCTTGCTCAATGTCCGGTTACTACCATGAAGCAATTTCCTTATGGACATAGGAACCTGCTACGCCTCATTGCAGTCTAATCACATGCAAGCAGATAGCAGATCCCAATTTGCTCCTTCTCGATTAGCTTAGTGTGGGGTGCAGTAGAACACGGCGAGACTCCCAATTGGAATGCCTTCCTAAGTTAGACCGGGCTTGTCACCTATTTGTCTTGGGTGCATGAACTGAATACAACTCGGGCCGGGAAGACCACAAGCAGCATTCAGACGTTGGCGAGAACCTCACGGCCAGATATAAACAAGTGGACGCGATCTTACCCGAGACCAGCCCGATGTCATTATCCGCACCCGAGCGATCCATGCCATGGACACCCGCGGGAAGGGAACCGACCCACAAGACGGGCATTAACCATTATTAAGAGATCCGGCCACCGGCGACTTCAGTCCAGGGGTAAAGGCGCTACTGATCTTGGCGTTTGAGCGCGTCTCAACCAAACGTAGACGTTTCCCTATGCGGTATTGCGTCCGCGCTGGCATGAACCGCGGCCTTAGCCCTATCACACGTCCACAGTCATGAGATGCATGGGGTTCGGGCAATAGAGCAGTCTACCGTTGCACTTCCGGCGATCACTTTACAAATCTCTTTGGAAGCCGTCGCCACGGGCCTCGTGGGAAATAAGCGAGGGAGGTCTGACCGCCCAAAGTTCCGCAGATGGGTCCCAAAGTGTCTGGTCTTGAATCGTGTAGCGGCTGAAGCGGAGCTGAATACCGCGTTGGGCGATAGTTGCAGAGTGGACCGGCGACGTTCAGGCTGCACCAAGCCGAAGCTGGCAGACGGATCCGTCACTACACATGCAGGGGGCTCGCACACTGGCATCTGTTTTATGGAGTGTGAGAGGTTTAAAACACAGCTTAAACTGCTAGCTGCTCCTTCTCCCAAGTTGGTGCCTCGTACGGCGTGGCGATCGAGTGGCAACCGAGAATATCGTGGCAATGGAAGTCTGACGATGGAGCAAACGCACTAATAACTACCGGTACGACGTAGCAGGTGAAGCATCTCACCCGGCGGCCCGGAAATGGACGACGCCGAGTCGTTACTTGGGCTGCGTTATCTCCACCTCCCACATGGCTGATCGCTTAGCCATGTCACATCATGTCTAAGCACGGCATCTTCGGGGATATAATAATGAGCTTATACTCCACACCCCGGCGAGTTGCACGTTTTGCCAGGTCTCCCCATCATTTCGTCCCTTTCCAACAGCCCTATGCCAGGCGCGTCCAGATCCCCAGACATTTTGTTTTGACAGCGTGCCGGTATACATCATGTCAAAACAATATCAAACTCGGCATTGGCATACGTGGTTTGTCTTGCTGCTCTGGTGTATCGTTTTCCCTTCCTCCGTCATCGGCCAGCAATCTGCCGAATTGACCCAGTTGATCGCCTCGGTGCCGGACTGCGCAGTAAGACGTCATCTTTGATCAAGAGGTCTGCATCGACTAATTGACACCTAACAGCAACCATGCCTCGCTCTAATCTTCCAGAACGGGGACTGTACTCTAGCAGGTCTCCCAGGCTGCTTGTGCTCCAGCGTCCCGATTCAAGCAAACGTGTCGGCATGTGTCCAGCTTTCTTGCGCGTTCAAGGACCAAACCAGTATGTGCCTGTGCAATATCCCTGTTTCCATTGCCACCACAATACATCTTCTAACGAAGCCTGCATCTCAGCCGTCGCAACGATATCGAAACAACTATGCACCGGGTACCCCATCGAATCTCAGAGTCGCGAGGTCAAAACAGCCGCCATCGCCTGCGCAGCCCTCGCATTTCCGATCGTCGCCCTACGATGCGTTGCGAGGTGGATGGTGACCAAAAAGCTATGGCTGGATGATTGGACGGCTGTTATGGCAACTGTTAGATCAACCCTTCGATACTCAGATATTCGGATCTGATGCGAACAAACAGGTTCTTCTCGCCGCCCTCATTGGCGTGCAAATAGAAAGTAAGAGCCTTGTGCCTTATTTGAGGGAACATTGACTAACGACGAGTTCACTTTAGGCACGAACCTAGGATTCGGTCGCCATTATTGGAATGTCGATGTAGTCAATGGCAAAACTATCCTGCAGGTTCGTCATGTGCGGATACCGGTATGGACTCTACTAATCTCCATGCAGATGTTTTATGTCACGCAAATATTCTACATCCTCATCCAAGTATCGGCAAAAGGGTCAATCCTCGCCCTCTACTCACGTCTTTTCTCCAATCGCAACTTTCGAATGCAAGTCTGGGCGGTTGCAGTATTCCTGTTGAGCCATAGCTTGGTGTTCGTAGGCCTCGTCATCTTCCAGTGCACGCCTATCAGCTCAATCTGGAACCGGAATTTGGATGGGAAATGTCTGAACCTCACTGCAATTGGCTACGCCGGCGCTGCATTTAGCATTGTTGAGGATATTGTCCTCCTTATCATGCCCATCCCGGAACTCTTAAAACTGCAGCTTGGGACAAGGAAGAAAGCAGCGCTGCTGTTCATGTTCAGTATCGGTTCATTGTGAGTTGTGCTTGCATTTTTTTTTACCTCAGCTGTTGCACGCATACTGATACAATTAGTGCGTGCGTAACAACTTTAGTACGCCTGAAGTATCTCGTGAGCTTTGCAAACTCATTGGACACGACATGTAAGTGTTTCGCTTCCGCCCTCGAAGCTTGAGTCGCTAACACCACCGCGAAGTTGACAATGTCCCCATCGTTATATGGTCCATCATCGAACTATCATGCGCATTAATATGCGCCAGTCTCCCTGCGTTGAGGCCGCTGATACACATGGTGCCGGGCGCCCTGAGCACTGTTCGGAGTTCTTCGTTCAAGAACACAACAGGTCCCGGTCCGACAGACAACACCATCCAGCTTAACGCCATTATGAAGCCGGAACGTCAAAGTACGAAGTTCCAAAAATTACCAGACCATCAGACTGGGAAGTTTAAAAAGTTGCCTGACCTGCCACAAAAGGGGTAGTATTTGGTCTGGAAAGCTGGGGAAATGCAAAAGAATAGGTGTTGTAATGATAATAGCATGAGTATCAAATGAAAGAACTTAATTAAATAACTTAAAGTATACTGCTTTATTAATAACTGCAATTGTGACCTGAAGTTAAAGAATACTACTTACGATCAGAACTTAGATTGAAAGGGAGTAATTACAGCTATCAAAATAGAAATCGATTACGTTTCAGTTTCTGGACTCTAGCGATTGCGTGGCGACGAGGATGCACCCAAGTATCTACAAGAGGGCATGCCAAACATGCAGAGTATATCCTTTTCATTCCCCTATTTTACTTTCGAGACTGCTACTGATAAATCTGATTAGCTTAGTGTCTCTTTGACAAGAGCGCTATAAAACCTTTCTCTGGCAATACACCCAGGGATAGTGCTATTGATGTCGCAATAACCGCTACGGCAAAAGGAAATGATCACTCCTCTTGCCGGTAGTGCTATTGTGGTCTATATCTCCGTATGGCAATTGACTCGCTTACCTTATCATGCGTCAGGCAACTGGCTATCTCGTCTTCGACAGTCTTCCAACGGACAAAATGGCTCATCCCGGCCTTGGCCCAGTGCCCGTAGAGTACTTCTGAGTAAACATGGTGTTGGGTGTTGGCGCGAACTGGCCGCTTCTGCGTTATAACCCTAGCAAGTAGATGGATAGCCTCTGGTGCCGTCTCATGTGGTGCGTGGGCAGCAATCAACATCAAGTTGACTTCTTTATCGCCATCAGAGATATTAATAAAGTTCAAGGAGCAGTATGTACATCCGCCCCTAATTGGCACATGTCAGACAGACACTGATTTGTCCATCTCCAGGTAGTATTAGGTAAGAAAGGCACGCCGCAAGACGGGGTTGAAAACAAAATAGGGCACCTTTTATGAAGTTGACTCGCATGTGTTGGTATGTGTCACCCCATAAACATCAAAGACGGCTTCAACAAGCTCTCCCTAGCCGTCACCGCCGACATCAATACGTACCTATGTAGTTGACGTACGCCCAAGACCTTTGGAATGCCAGATATCATGGCACCCCAGTCACGATAGTCCGGTTCTGGTACCATTGGGTTTACTTTTATTACAAGGGAGTGACGGCACATTCTAAAGAATATGCCAAAAGGCTAATAGCCGTGGTGAGGTCACATTGGAAAGGTCAGAAGGGCGAAGATGCAAAGATGATATTGGAAACGGTTGACGCTTTGGAAGCCGAACTCAGCGGCCTCCGTATCGTCGTCGACCACCTGGGTGCTCTTTAGTCGCGCTGCTTTCTCTTCAGTATGTTCGGTTTGTGCACACCAAACATTGGGCGTTGAGCCTCATAGTGCCTGCCAGGAGGCCTCACTTCGGAGCACTGGCTAGTTGGGGAGGCTGAGCTTTCCCCACACCAAATGTATCTTTCCAGACCCTCCCCTTTTGAGCCGTCATATCGCAGAGGTCTAAAATGATGATCTTCCCAAATCCAAAGCGAATGGTAAAGCTCCAGCAGGTAGCCTGTCGGGATCCGCATCCAACCCCAGTTTTCATCCCCCTCCTCCCATTCGAAGGCCACCGCCTTGACGATGGACACGCCATTGGCAATGTCGTTAAGTACGGACTCGTCAGCGAGGAGGACGTGGCGATACCGGTGCGCCGCCATGGTCCTATCACAGGGGTCCTCGTTCGTGCATAGTTCTCGAATGCCGTGAACGTCAAGGCCGTCAAGGAGTGATGCGTCCTCACGAGGATCAAGATGGAATTGCTTCTTGACTATTTCCAGGTCTCCCAAGTCGCCCATCTCGTCTTCATTATCTTCGTAGTATCCAAGCGACAGGAGAGTTTGTTGCTTCAGGGCTCCCAAGAGCATATTCCAGTACTGGTCGGAGTGTGGGCCGTAGTACGTACGGTAAATAGTGAACCCCCAATTCTCGCAGTATTTGAAGTTCTCTGGGAGTTTCCTATTCGGCTCCTTTTTCCCGAACCCACGAAGCGCACGGGGGGGCCAGTAGATTTGATTAATTATTTCCGTTATGTCGAACTGATGTTTTCCGTCAGTCCGCCCCTGTAGCGTATTGCGGCTGTCCGCTCCCTCATCATTGTGCTGCTGCTATCAGAAGTTGAGACAAATAAAATTTGTGGGCGGATCAGAAAAGTCGTGGAATCTCCAAAGGAATAAAGCAGTGTGGATAGAAAGAAGAAGAAGAGAAGTTGCCCCTTGCCTAACGCTGGGTATTTTATCCTTGCCACTTTAAAAGACTATTCCGTTTATTGGAATATACTACCATGTGGAATATTTCCGTGCGAACAACAATGCAGCCGTATCGGTGACGCTCTCCTTGTCGATCTTCAAAGCCAATCTAGACGAGTCTCAATAGCAAAGCGACCTTTGTTCGCCCCAGTTGACGTGAAGCCTTTCAAAGCTGGTTTCATCTTACCATAAAAGTGACACGCCTCGGCCGAAATGCCACCTACTATAAGGCTAGAATCTATCGGAAAACACAATGCTAATCTATGTATCTGTAATTACCTGCTCTAATACAATATGCTGGCCCCTAAAAGATAAAATCTGCTTTACATGCTCACCACAATGCTTCTCGAGGCTTCTGCGGACTGGGAAATATGGCTAAGAGGAGATTCGGGGGTCCGGCATATTCCATGGTCCGGCGTCATTGCGGCCTTGCAGGACCAGATTGACCAGATGGCCAAAATGGACTTGGCATCTCCCGAGCACACTCTCAGCGAAGGAAATTTCATCCCCTTCAACCGGCCGCACAACACCTTTTCCTAAGTCATCCACGCCCAGTTAGAGCAGTAGACGAATCTGAAGGAACAAACTGACTTGCACCAGCTCACAACGCAAATCAGGTCTGTTACACGGTCCAACATGGCATCATTTAGACACCTAAGTGCCCGAAGCCTGAAATCAAGCACCAAAATTACGTAACGTAGAATATCCTAATAAACGCAATAGCATTTTAAGGCGGGAAGCATAAAGAGGCAACACCTGGCCAACAGACTCACCTTCTCCTTTTCCCTTCCAACACCCACACTGCACACCGAAACAACCTTACTGCTAGAAAACGCCAAGAACACCAAGATGTCAACGGTTTCAGAAATGATTGAGATTGCGTGGCGGCCTCCTCGTGATATCCCTAGGGCCAAGAGGCTACAGCTTGATAGGAAGCTCCCAGAGAACTTCAAATACTACGGCAACTGGGGATTTCCAATCTACCGCACATACTACGGCCCTGAATCTAATGAACACTGGGACATGCTGCTCGACATTTTGAAACGACAAACACAGCTCGCGCTCGGATTTCTCGAGATCGACAGTGAGTACAAGCACGACATCGAACGACTGCACCGACCTTATGAAAACAAGGACGAATACTTGGAGGAATTGACGCGACTCAAGAAACTGTTTCTTCTTGATCCCCGCGAGGATCAGGCGCTACTTGATGGCCTCGACATTCGTCAGCTTCGAGAGTTGTGCGAATCTGAGCACCCTGAAGCGAAAAAGACCATGTCGTCGGGATATTTTAGCTTCGTTCTTGTCGCCGACAAGGCGGTGCTCGAAGACATTGCTAGGAGCGAATTTATTGTCAAGACGCTTGCCTACGGCTGGAGAGAAGGCGGTTTAAACTGGGATTGGATGAGAATCCCATCGGGATGCTTGCTGGAGCTTTGGCATTCGCTCATGATGTCGGAATTCCACCCTCATCGGATCTTGTATTTTGATGGCCCAGAGGAGGATCTCGAAAAGTACGTCTGGGATGGGGATGCGGCCGCCTCGCCCACAAGCTGGTGCTCCCAAGTAAAACCTTTTTCCTCTTGGTTCAAAGTCGGATTAAAGTTGGAGGAAGATGAGTAGTAGCTATTGGTGTATGGGTGCGATCAATTATAGCTACAAATCAGCAAGTCTGCAAAATGCCAAGCTATAAATTCCCCAGCCTCATCTTGACGTATCCATCGGATCATCATCCTCAAAAATGGGAGTGACCCAGTCAGTCCTGATGTGGAGGTCATCAACGTGGAAATTCAACCAAAAAAGCGTTTCCAACACCTGCATCGCCCGCTCACCCGTCTGTTGTCTCCAGAACGCCTCCGCCTCCGGAATTATGTGTTGAAGAAATTCTTTGGCCTTAGTTGTCACTACGCCGTAATAATCTCGGAGCCACTCCAGAAAGAACTGGCCTATCGCGACCTGGCTGCCGGGATGTGCTCTCTGAAAGAGGAGCTCGGCGTGTGACAACTGGTGCAGAATGTCGTTGATGATGTTTGATGTTTTCCCGAAGACGTTGGGTCCGGGGCTTGTGTCAGTGTTCATGTAGTCAAACGTGGCGACACAAGCACGTAAGACTCCCAAGACGTAGTCAATTCTGTCCTCAATCTTGTATTGCTCTGTGTCTTTCGAAACGGGGTCCTTGAGCTCCATCAACTGTGAATAAAGAAAAGAATTAGCGTGATGCTGCTGTTTACCTTCCCCCGTTGCCCTGAATGTTTCGATGATGTACGTACTTGGCCTTTGACCTTGTTCAAGTCACCATTGGTAATGACGAAGTTTATGTCATTAGTCTGGCTGCCTAGACACTCCATCATGCGGGTGAACAGGTTTCTGTTATCGAAATCTGGGTTGCCAGGGATCTTCGGCCACATGTCGCTATCAGCACCTAATACCAGAATTTCCTCGAAGAACTCAATCGGTACTGGGCCATATAGAGATTTAGCGCCAGACTGTAGCCTGTCAAATTCGAGTTAGCGAGTAGCGTGGTACATCACTTGAGCACAAAGGAGTAACCGTACGTCCCCATGGCTGCGTCAAGGAAGAACTGCTTCAACATGCTTTTGTCGATGGGATGCTCGGCTGATTCAACTTGTTAGTGGCAGTACCTCGAAAACGTAGGAGGGATGTACTCTGGAAGTTTTTCCTGCCAGGCACCCACACTCCCCCGCCCTGTATCAGCCTCCACTCGGAGCAATCGTCGGGGTACTCGTATTCGGCCGTGTTTTGAAGACTCGAATGTTTTGGATCAAACCCTGCCGGGGGGTTGTTCTGAATAGAGAGTGTCAGTCGTTGGCCCGATGAAATTGCGTGGGCTGGACTCACCGCGGGGATTTCATACTCGAACCCTGCCTTTCTGCCACTGGGGCTAACGACCTTCGCCTCCCACTCCACCGGCTTCGAAATCTGGCGGGCATGCAGCCAGTGATGATGGTGTGCGTACAGGTGTGTAGAGCGACTGGGCAGCAGGGCACGGCGCCTTTTGGTGTCCTCGCAGACACCGTTCTCGTCGCAGAGAGTATAGGTGCAGTTGATCCACTTGGCCTTGCCGCCGCCGTTCGTGCCTTGGATAGCAGCGATTCGGGCGTTGTACGAGTGAGGGCTGCAGAGGATGCGCCGGGCCGTCTCTTCGGGCCCGTCCAATTCCCACTGGGGGGTTATACCTAGGAAGGCTTTGATGGCGCGTCTCGTTAGGTAGGGGAAGTTTTCCTCAATGTAACTGTCCCATATTCCGCCCATCTCCTCAAGCATATTCTCGCTGCCTATCCTGGCCAGGATATAGGTGAGCAGAAGTTGTGCCGTGATGTCATGGATCTTGACGTCGTCTCGAAGAGCGAGCTCCATGTCCATGGGCGACGAGGCGTTGGCCACTATATCGCCGACCAGATCATTATGGTCACGTCGGGAGAAAATGGATGCTGGTTTGGGGCAAGTTGGAGCGTCGATCCACTCCTTCATGGCGCTCCTGTAGGCATCCAGCTTGGGGTTCTCGACCTCGAACTCGTCGTTGAAACTCGTCTTGCAGCAGCGTGCCATGCCTCCCAATCCAGTCTTGCAGACGGCGGCGTCAGTATCGATAGCCACGCGGACACGATCGGGAGGGCATCCGCTGCGGCAGAAGCCATTGGGATTAGAGTTAGGGGCTGGGCCGACGTCCTTGAACCACTGACAGTCGGTGAAGCGTAGGTTGGGGTTGGCAACGTTGCAGCAGAACTTCCGGAGCTGCGTACCGGGGACCTTGAGGCCGAGTCCGTTCTTCTTCTCGTCACACTGGCCACCGCCGGACCCGGAGGACGATCCAGCCCACATGTAGTTCTTGCTGCTGTCTCCAGCCGGGTTCGGACACTTCTCCTGGCCGTCACAGTCTGGATACGCTCCCCACTCGCAAGTTCCGTATACCTTCATGCTCTTGACGTCGGTCGTGCAGCAGGCCGACTGGTAGCTCTGCTTCTTGTGGCAGTACATCTGGTTGGACCCAATCTCGACCATGTTGCTGGGACATGAGCCCTTGCCACACTTGCCATTGCCGAAGCCGTACCATCCGCAGGTCGGCTGCTTCTGCTTCCCTGGACAGCAGAAGCTGTGGTGGCCGTCACCGCCACAGCCCGTCTCGTCCCACATCCTCTCGTCCTTCTTGGTGCGGGCGCCGCCGTCGGAGCGAGCCACGTTGACCCAGCCCTTGGGACAGTCCTCCTTGCAGTTGGTCCAGCGGCATTGCTCGTTGGGGATCTTGTTGATGTCCGACGCCTTTTCGTCGTCGTCGATGGAGCCGCTGGTGACTTTGCGGTTGAGGGCCTGCGCCAGAGCCTTGTTATACTTGGCGTCCTTGGTATCGTGGCTGATGGCCCACACCATGACACCGCCGAGACATCGCGACTGTGCAAATTCGGTCTTCATCTTGAGCGTTTCCTCGTCATCAAACGAGACCCATTGAGATTTCCACCTGGCCACCTTCACGGCTGCCTCCTTGTACAATTCAGGCTTGAGACTACGCTCCTTGATCACAGCGTCAATTTCCGAGTTCAGCAAGATGCCCTTTTCGCGGCTACATTTGCCCTCATCACCGGGGGCCTTGAACAAACACCCGGGCTTCATGCACGATGAGGTTGCAGCCGTGAACGCGCGCCCGTAGAATCCAAGGCCCAAAACGACCTTACTGTACTCAATATCATTGCGCCAGAGCAGGTCGAGAGCCAGGTCAATCTCGGTGAGGTTGGTGTGGGCGTTGAGATAGGGTTGTGTCCAGTTTACTTTTTGGTCCCAGGCACCGTGCAAGTCGTAGGACCTGTAAAACCGCATTGTTAGCCTTCCTTTCTCTCTGAGAGTAATATCTCAGTGCACCACTTACATAATGTTAAAGAAGGTAACTGATTTTTCCTAGGCCCAAATGTCAGCACTTCATCTGTAACTCAGGGGCAGTCAACTCACTAGTTTCTTGATATCGAAATGCTGAAGGTACCAGTACGACGCGGGGAGGGTAATTGTTAGCCCCTTGTCGCCTCCATCCATCATCTTCTTCAGTGATGCCATGAATTTGGGGAAATTGGCAAAGTCAGCATCCCGCCCGGCCCGATCCTTGGCTTGGGGGTATTCCCAGTCCAGATCAAGCCCATCAAAACCATGAGTGCTCATGAAGGACATGAGAGAGCTCATGAACACCTTTTGACGTTGGAAAGAAGCCGCAAGGGTGGAGAAGGTCGTGTTCGTTGCGCCCGGGTCATTAAAAGTCCACCCGCCGAGGGCGAGGTAAATCTTCAGATCCGGGTCCTTTTTCTTCAGTGCCATAAGCCGCTTGTAGATTTTGATGTCGGCATTTTCAGCCGCATGAACCAAGAAGGTGAGAGGATTGATGGTGGCAAAAGCAAAGTTGATATGGGTATACAGTCCGATAGGGATTTGTTCAGGCCAGAAGGCCTCACAGGGACGATTCTGTGCCCATCCCTCAAAGTAACCAACGACACGAGGGACACCGTTGTCCTTATCGCAGCTCGGGCGAGTGACCTTCTTTGAGCCGCAAAAGTCCTTGGTCGTCTACTTCATGTTAGCGTCTACTTCGTCTAAGAGGACAGTTCAAGAGGTTGCTTACGCCACAAAATCCATGTTTGGAGCAACAGACATTCAAAGGGCATTTGTCCCTTGCGGCCCATTTTGAATCAAAGCCGGGGTTGCACTCTGACTTTCTACCACAGTCGGAGCGACAATTTGTTCCACAATCTACGAAGGGTCAGCTTTGGTCTTGTCGTCCATCAATACAGCAAGCTTACAGTCAGGGCCAAAACCGCAGTTGCCAGACTTATTACAACATCCATTTTTACAGCTCTTGGTCGCACTGCAGGTTGAATCGTCATCGGCGGCTGCTACGCAAAGGCATAGCAGCAGCAGGCAAAGGAACCAAATGCGGAAATGCATATTGGCGGCCGTACGAGGCCTACGCCCTCTGTTAGAAAAAGGAACAAGTAACTAGGTAGAATTCCAGTGCAGAGGAAATGAGTTCAGGAATCAGAGACACAAAGGCCATAAAATGAGAGCTGACGAGTTGGAAGGAAATAACCAGCTCGCTTGAATAAACGAGTGTAGTTTGGCTGGCGTCTTGAGTAATAAAAGCACCTCAGAGGCGATTCTTTCACCGCTGAGAAACACAGTTGTACCCTTGGATCAGACAAATGTCGTTGGTTGTGTCTCGTTCGGCTCGGTTGTTGTACCGACTCCACTGGTCTCGCGTTCGGCCCCCGGAGAAGCCGGACCAACATCTCATCGGCTTGCTCGGCGCTTTGCCCGTAAATGGAAGCTCAAGCAATATCTGTTGGTCTCCATGTGCACTTTTGGGCCCAGTACTGAGCAAAAGAACGGCCGAATGCTCGCAGTGTCCAAGTAGTGCCATGCCCTTTCGATCGTGGGTTTATCAACCCCTGCTAGTCTCGTGGAGTCGCCAGGCTTAAAGACTAACAACCAACACAGCATTACATCAAGGCCCATAGATTAGGGTAAAAAGCACGCGGGACAGGAGAAAAAACCCACTGGGCCCTTGTCGGTTCTTTCCAGCCGACTTGGCACCCGCAATGTGCACGCAAGATGCCTCGTATTCCTCACCTTGTGATTTCCCGCTTGGCAAGGGGTCTCGGCTGTTGCAACCACGGTGACATGCACATGAGCGTGAAGAAAACATTAGTCAAGGGCCCGAGTCGTGCAAAATATGGTACATAGCCTATTGCAGTGGATCCAAAGCTATCGCCACTCCCTCCTCGCCGATCTCACGGACTCCATGATGCTCTACTACATACATAAAATTAAGCTTAGCGTTGGACCGGGCCATACGGAATTCGTTCCGAGGGCCTGTGAGTACTCAGTCGCAGCTTAATTCGGGGTCTATATTGATGGCCACTTCTGAAGACGAGCAACTTTCAAACTTCATCTATTCAGCTAACAAGTGGTCACCATGCACACTATGCCAATTCTCAAATCCCTTGCCACCTTTGGCCTTTTTCTCGGCGTTGATGCCTTCCGCATCTACGAAGTCGCTGATCTTGACAATTACGATGTTGGGGATGCATGCGTCAGTGCCTTATCCGCTGATATCGCCTGCAATCCGTATATACAATCGTTCATGGAGTTGAGCTATCGAGGCTCCCTGGAAAACGTTACTCTAACCGACGAGATTTGCACGGCTACCTGCTCTGCGTCGCTTCGAAAGTGGTTTAATGGCGTTTCCAAGGACTGTGCGGGCAAAAGCTTTGGGTCGAGCAATGCTGTTCTCACGCAGTATGGCGGTAACATTTGGGCCGGCTGGAATGAGACGTGCATCAAAGATCCCAAGACGAAGAGATATTGTAACGGTAAGTAATCGAAGTGCAAAACAGGGAACTTCACTGACCACCATTACCAGACATTATTGATGAGTTCTCCGACGTCGAGGAGGGCGAGGATTTGCCTCGCGCGGAGCTATGCCACATTTGCTATCTTCGACGCCTTATTCTCATGCAGTCCTCGCAGTACTCCCTCTACGACGAGTTCTACCAGCAGGAGCTTGAGCTTGTCTACAAAGTGTGCGGAGGCTCAGGGCCCACAGACATTCTGCCGCCTCTCAAAGAGAAAGAGGTAGAGACGCCCTTCTGCCTGACTAGCAAGTACTACACAACCAAGGAGGGAGATACCTGTGACTCCATCTCCAAGGCTTCGGGAGTCTCTGGCGCTTTACTGTACATGGGCAACCAAGAGGCCATCGGTGACTGTCTCAAGGTCCCCGCAGGCCTCAAGCTTTGCCTCCCCATGACGTGCAAGACGTACTACGTGCAGCCTGACGACACTTGCTTCAGCATAGAGACTTCGCAGGGGATTCGCTGGGACGACGTGCAATTCTACAACTCGTGGATCAACCACGCATGCACCGACCTCCAGTCGGGCACCGATTTCTACGGCAAGTCCATCTGCATCTCCGCTCTCGGCGACCTCAGCTCTGTTACAGAAGTCCCCAGCACTCAGCGCAAGATCAGCAGCGGAAACGGACCTACCTTCGTGCTCATTACGCCGCCGAAAGACGCCGAGGTGGCCGAGGGCACGACGCTAAACTGTGGCCAGTGGCACGTCGTCACCAAGTCGGATACTTGCGATAGCATCTGCAAGGAGAATGACATCTGCGAGGGCAACCTCATGTACGACATCAACCCTTCGTTGTCGGGTAGGGATAAGTGCACTGCGAGCCTGGTTCCCGGCGAGGCCTTGTGCGTAGCGCCCATTTCAGGATGGAACATTACGTACGAATCCACCGGAGAGCTGTAGAACATGACTACACCCAGGCACGATAGGTTGCGACTTGGACATTCTCTAGCTTAGCTTTCCAAGTTGCACCGTAAGTATTATTGACTTACCAAGGCACTCAAATGAAGTCAGTCGTTACCATCTCTCTACTTCTTAATGTCCTATGTGATCCTTGCATCGGTCAGGTATCTACAACATGAAGGTTGAACTTTGCGTTGCGTGTGGAATTGGAGAAGCAACATTTCCCCGCTGTCAAATAGCCTTTCAAACCAATGCAAGCCTAAACATAAAATTGCAGATCGCTACTGATATTGTACAGTACGATGACAGGAGCCGGCCTTGTGGGAACTGTCACACAAACGGCCAGCGAGTGTTACTAAGACGGGATGGCGTTGATGACCGCCACCAAGGCACATGCAGAGGCACTTATGGAGAGGTCTTGGCAAATCTGGACCCAACAGGGACTGCTAATTAGCGCGAAGCGGACAGCTCACGCGGACAGCTCGCCGTTGTTTCCCCACTGACAACCAACAGCCCGCCGTTTAAGTCCGTTACTGACTCCGCAAGATCCGAAGATGGAGTCGGGCCGCGGCCGAATCGTCGGCCGCGGTCATAGAACCGGGTTAAGATGTTTCCGGTGAAGATGCTGGTTGTGATTTCTGGTTCACCCTGCGTGCATTCTACTCATTATCATCACTGTACTCCGTACACTCTTGTGTTACAGGGGTCAAAGTGATGTTGAGCAGGGATCGGAACTTTATTACCCCTGTCCGTTTATGGCTAGCAGGGAACCTTTGACGGACACCCGAGCCGCTTTACAATGTCCGTACGTAAGTTAGAATGATCTCAGGGGAACCCGCGGATCTGCCCGAGACGTCTCTTCCTGGGAAGTGATCTTCGCTTTGGTTGGCCCCTTGGCGAGCCACCATGTCGTCTCGATTCTTTGAGAGGATACGGCAACATGGTCTTTTCAGTGTGTGTTGGCTCGCTACATCATCCAAGTCTCCACAACAAAGCCAACGGACGGGCCGCCGGCCAAAAACTGTAACGTGCCAAGTCGATGTAACCAACAAGGCAGAGGCTGCTTCGTGATGGTGCCATTACTTGGTTGACTTGCAGGGTTTTGGGGTGATCAATGAAACTTGAAAGCCTGTACTTAAAAATCTCCAACTCTTGCTCTCACTACATAGTGGTGTTCCATCGCCTCTATCTATCTCCTCAAGTCACTTGGTGCACCCAAATCATCTTCTGTACTGGTGTTCCCTCTGCGCCATGCACTTCTCATCCCTCTTCGCTCAAGGCTTATTGGCCGTCGGTGTAAGTGCGTGGACAGGCTTAAGGATTGCTCAACAGAACGGCCCAACCGACCCGGGAATCTCTTCTGATTGCACTTGGAGGGACGTAGCCGTTGACAAGAGCTTCGACTGTGAACTCTTTGAGTCAGATTGGGACCTCACACACAAGCAGTTTGTGGAATACGTAAGTAGCCAACGTGCGATCTTCAGCGTGCCCGAAGGTGTCTCACATGGTATAGAACCCCAGCGTCAAGGATGACTGCAGTGGTATCCAGGTTGGCCACGCATACTGCATCGAGGTCAATGACGGGTTTCCTCGTGATGAAGATCCGCCCAAGGCGACGACTCCTGAAGATGCCGAGCCTGAGCCTACTGAGGACTCCAAGCCCAGTCCCACTCAGGACGGTCTCATCGACACATGCACGTCCTTCTACAAGGCCAAGAAGGGAGATACGTGCAACAAGATCATTGCACAGTACCAGACGTTCGACTTTGGTGCCTTCTTTGAGTGGAACCCTGCCGTCGGTAAGGACTGCAGATCATTGTTAGTCGACTACTACGTCTGTGTCGGAACTGTCGGCTGGAATCCCCCCACGAAAACCATGGCCAAATCAACTACAACAAAGGCACCCTCCAATGGAATCACCACGCCTACGCCAATCCAAGCAAATATGGTCACAAACTGCAACAAGTTCCACCTGGTCAAGTCCACCACTACCTGCACATCTATCCAAAGCTACTACGGCATCGCCATGGCAGACTTTACGAAGTGGAATCCCACAGTGGTTTTTACGTGCCCCGCCCTGTGGGCTAACTTCAACGTATGTGTTGGTGTCATTGACGGAACCCCTGCCAATCCAGGCGATGATGATTCGACGCCCTCGCCGATCCAGGCAGGCATGGCCAGTAACTGCAAGAAGTTCCATCTCATCGGGAGCACCGCCACATGCGGTTCGATTCAAAAGTATTACAGCATCACAATCGCACAGCTGGCCAAGTGGAATCTGGCTGTCGGGGCCATATGCACAGCGCTGTGGGCTCAGTAGACATCATGTATGCGATGGAGTGTAGATACGCGGCCTTGCTTATGAGCTGTTCTAATGCTTGGGATCCATCATAAACAAATTGTGCATATAATTTAGACCGAGATCTGCATATGCTTGCTGGGCTTCTCTAAGCTGGCCGGTATCAGAAGATGACCCCAAGTTTCGTCCGTTGACGGTGGTTGTTGATCAAATATGATAATTTTTAAAATTCTTTGCACTCTCACCCTATGGAGAGTATAATGTTATTGCAGATGCAACTTGATTTAAACGTCATAATCCAGTCCCTCGCAGATATTACTGCTCATAGAATCTGAAACATAAGTAACCCATTTATGGCAACATAAGCTCATGGGTGTATCTAAGCACATGACCTAGCAGAATATTAGGATATAATGATATTCCGTCACATCTATTTCTGTGCATTTCAAGTGTTTGTCTTCATTCCTCTTCAGCAGCTACGATGCTAAGCTATCTACGTAATCGACCACCTTATGGGACATCTAAAGAGCCCCCTGAACTTAGTTTACTCAACGACACAGCTATTATACAAACAGCGCTTCCAGTTCTATGCACTCCACTGGTGTCTTTAATCTTCCTTGATCCTCTGGAGAATATTTGACCAGTATTTCTACATTGTCGACGATTGTTAGCTTCCATAACCCAAATGAAGCCATTCGAGCACGAAGCTGGTGTATGATGCCCATGTGAAAGAGAAAGTAGAATTTGAAGACGAACCGTTTCTGCGCCGGCACCTGCGGACCGGATCTTGGTTCCGATCCACCCCACGGACGGGGCGGCCTCGACGTCGAATCTAGCCTGCTCGTGGGCCAGCTCGTTGTTGAACATAATTTTGTTGGGCAGATCTGGATATTTTATGGCCGGTCTTCCAAGACCAATAGCGTTACAAGCTCCTGTCTCGAGGGCAGCGTTAACTCCATTGCGGCTGCGGAATCCCCCGGTGACGATGAGCGCGAGCTGGGGGAATTTTTGGCGGACCTCCTGGCTCGCCCGCAGGAAGAAGCCCTCACGGGCGATGGTCCGCTCACTAGAGGTGACATGCTCGGTCACTGAATTGTTGGTGCTAAGCATCTGTTCGGTAGAAGAAATGGGTTATTAGTTAGTGATCTTGTGCTCTGGGTCCCGGCCGTTCTGTAGTCGAAGACGAACCTGTGGATCTTCGAAAGACCCCCCGCTGAGATTGATGTAGTCGACCTGCTCCTTATGGATGAGCTCTATTTGCCGCAACATGTCGGCAAAGCCTTTCGGGTTCATGAAGTCTGCAGTGTTGATCTTGACGCCGACACAAAATGATCGTGGGACCTCGGTGCGGATGGCGCGAATAATTTGCAGGACTAGCTCGACACGCTTCTCTGCTGAACCTCCAAAATCGTCTACGCGCTTGTTGCTCGACGACGACATGAATTGAGATAGCAAAAAGCCATCTAGAGCCTCTTGGTTAGCGAAGAACAAACAGCCTCGCTATACTCCAACGAAGGGATAGCGAGCTTCTTACGTCCTGCATTGAGCTCCACACCCTGGAAGCCCGCTTGTGACGCCAGCTTTGCAGCGAGAGCAAACTGCGCGATGACTACGTCGATATCGTGTTGCGTCATGGCCCGAGGGGTGCCAAATACCAGGGCGCGGGCAACATAGGCGATCCAGTTGTCGCCGAGGTTGAGCGGTATGGCGCTGGGCGCAATTGTCTTGCAGAAGAAGCTTCTCTTGCTGGTCCCGAGCGGTGACTGGCGACCCGGGTGGTTTCTACAACCAGTCCCTTCTTAATCAGTGATTTGTTATCTGCTTACTGGACGATGCTGTCCCTATCCGCTTGCCAGGTTCTTGGAGCTCTCTTACAGTTGGGCAATCAAATGACAGCCGTGACCTTGAGTCGCTTTCGCCCACGCGGACCAGCGCTCGACGATGGCTGAGCTGGACCCGGAGACTGCAACATCCCCCGCGGAACCGAGATACCTGTCGTCAACCATGATGTTTCCTATTAAGCACAAATATCAGTTCCGGCAGGTGGTTTGAGTGTACGAACAAAGCCATACCAGTAACGAGCGCCGCCCATCCGCCTTGGGCCCAACACTTGTACACCCTCTCATGGATGGAAGTGGGCTGAAGATCTATCGTCATTTTTTCCGACATGGCGGATTTGACCAGTCGGTTCTTCAGCACGAGGCCACAGGGCAGTTGCAACGGGGAGCTTGCAACGGATTTAATGGCCGCCATGGTGATCAATCGAGGATACTCTGCAGTGGACAAGAGAGAAATGATGGCAGAACGCTCGAGGACAATAATTCTTGAAGGACGTCTGGTGAGACTCGCAAATGTCTTTTGTGTCGCGGCACACCAGTTTTGCCACTACCGATGAAGGGCACCAGGTACGGGATATCTACTTAATGTCCACGGAGGATCCTCATTACGGTGTAGATCCTCCGCGGCACAACTCTGATTGGATGCCGCCTCTACTTATCTCAAGTTGAGCCTAATGTTACCCTAAAGTTCTGATTGGATCAACCTCGGCAGCACAAATGCATGCCGGATTTATTCGGAGACCAATTTCATATCGCATGTGCCGTATGAGCTTAGACTAAATTTAGGATGAATGAGAAATGAAAAAAGTTTACGTACCCCGATGCGGTGAAGTTGGTAATGAGGAAGGATTAACGAGGTCCAGAGTGCAAATTTATCACAGGCTATTAGGCGGAACGCAGATGTCGGTGGAGAAACCCAGTCGTGTTGGATTGGATCATACTGAATCTGATGTAGCAGTAATAAGTGCTGCTTTTTGTACATTGCATAAATTATACCAGATATTTGCCCAAGCGTACACGCGTCTGTGGTCCATCAAATCCAACTTCATTACCCAAGTCACCATGATCCCGCTTCGGCAAGGTCCTCCAACGACTACCGAGCGACATTACCCTTAGCAATCCACAAATATTCGCCCATCTATCTCCATCGTGTAACAATCGATATAACGAGCCATTGAATGTACATAATCACACGAGTGCGCGCAGTAACCCTTTTTGAAGCGCACGTCAGCAGCAGTATTGACAGAGGACGCCACCTTTGGGTAACGAACGCTTGCTTACTCGAACTTCATCGTATTCCGCAGGGTTCCGACCTTTTCCATGCCCACTTCAACCACATCGCCATCCTGCAGAAAGGTCTTGGGACTACGGAACGCGCCGACTCCTGCCGGAGTTCCTGTCATAACTGCTGTACCGGCCGGGATTGTTGTGCCTGGTCACGAGACGATAACAAAGTCAGCTTGATTTGCATTCTAATTGCCAAGTAGATTAATATGACAGCTATCAGAACTATCTCTTTCTTACCTTGACTCATGTGGCTCAGGATTTGCTCCGGAGAGAAGATCATGTCTTTCTTGAACTCGGCCGTCTGTCTAACCTCGCCATTCACCCTCGTTACCACGGTGAACGACATGGCATCAGCAAACATGGCGGCACTGATTAGGGTGGGACCAATAGGCGCAAACTTGTCGAAAGCCTTTGCGAAGAAGAACTGGCCAGCAGAGTAGCGAGGGAGCTGGTACATGCGGCACGACAAGTCATTCCCGACAGTGTACCCTAGAATGTAGTCCTTGGCATCTTTCGGCGATACGTTACGGCACTCTTTTGAGGTGACGAAGACCAGTTCGCCCTGTACGCAAGATAAAAAGAGCAAGTCAGTTTCAGGAGTGCATTGTGACAATAAAGCGACTCGGTGCGCCTGTGACCTCTTACCTCATAGTCTAAGAGACTCTTGGCGCAGAAGTCGCCGATTGGAATGTCTTCATCTGGATTTGCAAGTGATGCAGCCGGCTTCGTCCAGAGTGGCGGACAGGATGGGGCTGTAAGCTTTTTGCACCCAAACGAGGTCAGTAACATACATCGAGGGCTAGAGGCTCTCTAAACTTACCTTGGCTTCCTTGGCGTGGCTGTGATAGTTGAGACCTACGCAATATATCGGAATTCCATCTCGAGGAAGAGGCGCTAGAAGCTGTTGTTTCGGTTCAGTACGTCAGATGCCGTCACTTCTCGATGGAATGGAGTACGGTTCTTATTGAGAAGGATTGGGAGGAAAGGAAGTAGAGAGGGGATGCAGGGCACTGGCAGATGCTCACCCGGCGTAACGTGACGGTCTTATGCCCAGACTTTTCGGCGAGCGCCTCATAAGAACCAAACGCCCTGAGCTTTGTTCCAGGTGACGGCGGGCCAGTGGCGTCAGACCCCAGATCGGCAAAGTAAGTATTACTATCCTCTTCGCATTCGAAGCGGATGAGATGAGAGAACGATGCCATGTTGAGGGCGTCAGGAGATCAAAGGACTAATCGTGGAGCCCGTACAGAGTGTATTCGATTCTGATATTACGAGTTCACCAGAGAGAGCTTCAGAGGCCATATACCTTGCACAGTTTACGCTAATCTATAGAAACCGCCGGTGATGGCTGGCTCTTGCGAACAGTGCCGATGCCGAGGCTTACGAGAGCCAACATCCAGGATTTCATGGGTAAATTAACCACGTACATCGTTTCGAAGGAACCTCGCACTAAAGCGACGCGCTCCATATGGCAAGGGTGCTTTGAAGATTGCGGGGGCTAGCGCCGGGGCATCTCAACCTGGTCTAATAGAGTCGTGGCAGCCCCGTCGTGTAAATTAATATAATCGGAATCGGAGTTTTGTCGAAGCTCCGTGGCTAGAGAGTTCCTCCGACTATCCGCTCCACATCCTACCCCCAGCAAAACCTCCGGCTCGTTTTCTACTCCTCCATAGACGCGCCGACGTGTCGACATACGACCGACCTCTGGCATCGGGAAATCTTACGCCGTCATCGAGTTGAACTAGCTCCACTGCTCTGTACTCTTACTATCGGCTGTCTTATGGTATTGACAGACTCCATCTGCGTCTCCGTTGGCGGGTCGCTTGAATTAGCCCGGCTGGCTATGGACCCTCCGAGATAGCTCCCTTGCTTCCTCTCTAATCTGCCGATAGATTGAGGCAACAAGCCAGAATGGATGAGGAATCACCGTCGTGCTCAGCGGCCCAGCTCCGAGGTTCCGGAGATGGTGAGGGGCGCCCGTCCAGCACCAGAGTCTGCGATAGCTGTATCCGGTAAGAAGCTATAACACCATCAACACGAAAGGTCTCGCTGCTGATGGTCTCTTCGTCTGCAGGAAAAAAGTCAAGTGTACGTCGGAAAGCTTCAGCCCCCCATCCTCGATGCCAGGCCACCTAGCCCGATCCTTGAACCCGTCCTTCTGCAGGTGATTTGGGACGACCTAAATGCTCTCGCTGTTTTGAACGTGGGAACGCGTGTACGTACTCTTCGACCCGTCGTAGGCCTGGCCCTGCTCCGGGTTTCAAGCGTGCATCTCGGAGCGGCTCATCCCCGTTTCGACCGAGAGATCCTCCTGGTGAGCATTTCTTTACCTTGCCCTTGTCAAAGTCTCCCTAGGTTTAAATCCCTTCTCGTATGACTCTTCCGTTATCCCACTATTGAATCGCCCCGTCTTAAAATGCTAAGTGTTCCTCCGAGCTGTGACTACAGGCTACCAACTCAATGCTCAAGGATTCGACAACCCCGAGGAGGAAGTCCTCCCCGATTCCCCATCCACCTTAACAAGTGCGGACCCTCTAACGCAGCCATCGGACGCTTCCAACGGTACCAGTGTGTCTCCTAATTTAGAGACCGGAACCCAATACTCGGACTCATTAGATATCCTCCCCGAAGAGGAGGAATGCCTGTACGCGAGTGCTTCCCCCTCTCTCCCTGCCCTTCTTCATCCCGCCTAAATATCAACTTAGAATCTTTAGTAATAGTAACTGATGAAAACTAACCTAGGCTGAAGAAGTACTTTGAGACTATCCACCATGCTATCCCGCTCTTCTCCGAGGCGCGATTGCCACATTGTGTCAGTGAGCGCGGAAGCGGAACCTCTGCCCATCGCCGTGACCTCATCTTGACGCTCATCACCATGACAGCCAAGCTATCCGGCTTTGTGTTTGCGTCAGATACCTTCAATCTGGACGCCTGCATCGATCAGACACTGAGCTCCGCGTCGCTTCAGGAAGACATGTTCGGCAGCTCTCCCACTCTGGACCAATTTCGCAAATTCTGTCTACTTGCCTTCTACGAATTCCACCAGTTTCCTGGTCAACAGGCGTGGATGCGAATCGGTAAGCTTGTTCGGATGGCATACTGGATGGGACTTGACCGCCTGGATATGCTCCCCACTCTATCCCCAGACTGGAGCACGGTGGACGAGGACCATCTCGAGCACTGGCGGCTCGTGTGGTGGTGTGTCTACCGCCTTGACTCGTACGTCAACCTCTCAGTAGGGACTCCCTATCAGATCGACGAGGGGGTTGTCGGCACGGCTCTCATGCAAGATCGCGAGAACGACGGACCTCTTGGATTCCGGCATGAAGACGGCGCCAAACCAAGATTATCTCTGCCCTATCGGCCAGATGGTCTTATGGACCTCCTCCCAGCCATTGTATCTGACTCTCCACATAATTCGTCTTTCAATCTTCACATCATTAGCGCAACTGCCGTACGCCATGTCGGACGAGCGCTGCGGCTGTATCTCCTAGCTCCCAAAGAAGAGCCCGTTTCGGTCGTCGAGAACGCTGAGCGGCGCCTCTCAGCACTCCGCCTTGGCCTTCCCAAAAACTACTTCAACCCCAGGCGCAACGCATTCATGAATGAATCGTGCTCCAATCACCACGCCAGATTAGTCACGGTATTGCAACTGCTCATGGCGCAGCTCCTCGTTACCCTTGTGAGCTGCCAATGCTTACCAGAAGGTGAGGATTGGCTGTTGAACTGGCAGCAGGTTCTCGAAGTCTGCCAGGACGTAGCCGCAATAGCGAAGCAGTGGAATAGCACATTTTCCCTGAGCGTGGACCCTGGAATATCTTTAATCAGCTTTGTTGCGCTGATCTTTCTTGACCTCCACAAGAAGTTTGCCGGAGTTGCCGGAGCTGATCTTCAATCCGAGATTGAGCACTGTGAAACTGTCTTGCTTCTCCAGCTCGAACAATTTGCGTGTTCCTGGACGATGCCAGGCCTTCTCATCCGTAAGTAGCTTTTTATTTTCTTCTTTGCAGATGAAAGCTTTGGGCGGACTAACTGACGTAACTCTCTGCCAAAGTCTCGTTTAAAAGTTTCAGAGAGTCACTCAAGGCCCCTCTGTTATACCGTCATATTCAGTTTATTCTCAGTCGATTCGAAAGTCCCTTACACCCGAGGTGGCTGCAGTTCCTGTCCTCAGCTCATGTACAGCTTGAGAATTGCTAGATATTGCTATTACTAGTTTAAGTTCTTAAAGACTGGATTTAAAAATAGCTCGAAGAGGATATATATAATCGGGAGTATTAAAATAGCAATATGGTACTAGTTGTCCCTTGTATTAAGGTTCTCTTTAACGCCGTATAGATATTAAGAGGTTAGAATACTCTAGTATATATATACTTAAAGAAGGAATTAAAGCCTTATTAGTAAAAAAGAAATAATATTATTATTATTATTAATACAGACTATATACCCAGTCCTAAGCGCAGTAGTAGTTCAGAGGCCTTACCATAGCGATGTTGTCAAGGTTTGACAATTGCAATGTTAAGAGTAACTGTCCACTGTTATATGAGTTTGCTAGGGCTGTGCTTCAGACTACCTCTGACCGTCGATATTTATGCGGCTGATCTTTGTCCGGGCTCTCGGCATTCGTTGCAGCCAACTACACCCCTCCGTGCGCAGTTGGTAGCGACTTACACTACCTCAGTCCTCCATACTGATCCCCTAGACGAAGGAGGACCGTGAAAGCGATAAACTAACTGAGTTGATTTCGATATTCAATACCTAGCCTACAAAACCAGCGTCGCCTTTCGAATCGAGGGCTATCAACACTGGCGGTTAGTTGATTCAGTTCTAGTATAGGGTAGGCGGCGACGTCCCATACATAGGCCAGATGTCACTCACACTCAGAAGCAGGGCAGGCCTATCAAGGTATCTATAGTAACAAAAACTGCACTGGAGTTGAATAAACTTTGCAAGTACCTATGTATCATATCCCATATCAGAGGCAGCTTGCTCAGAGGTAGAAAGATAGCAAAACTCACAGGAGACCTCCCCCGCAATCCCCAGAGGCTTGGTAGATCACCTGTGTCCCTGTAGTCTTCCCAAAACCCCTTACAAGCTGACACCTAGGCCAGAACGCCTCCTCGACCTCTTCAAGTCCAGTCTAAAGTCCAGTCTAACCGATTTCCTGGACTTTGACCACCCGTCGCCCCTGTTCACATCTTCTAAAATAAAAACGCCGCGACAAGAGATATGAGATATAAGACGCCGTGATTCGCCGTACAATCATGTCTACCCGCCGCAGAATCAGAACCGGTTGGTGCAGCCGACGCAGTGCCTGTTGCTCCAGCAGACCCAGTGCCAGATGGTGCGGCAGCGCCAGTTCCAGTTGGTGCAGCCGAGTCAGAACCAGAGCCAGAGCCAGAGGAACCTGAACCAGAACCAGAACCGCCAGTTTCCGTTCCCTGACCAGCCGAGTTCGTCCTCGAGGAGCCAACCACAGCCTGTATCTTAGCATCCTTGACGACAATCTCAATGCTCTCATCCCCATTGGTTTGGACCATTTTAATCCTCAGATTCGGCTCCGACTTGAAGTTCTCACTCGTCACCTGTTGGAACGTGCCGTCGGTAGGGACAAGATCTTGGTCGAAAACAGACCGGTCGTTGACGAACATCTGGAGACGGGGACCTGTGTCCTCCCCCCCACAGTTAATGTCTGCCATAAGCTGGGCGAGTTCGCCTGTCGAGATTTCCCGAGGTGCCTCGACGTCAACGGTGAAATTCGCTTCTGCTCTTGGCGGAGGACTCATCTGACTGGCCTTTTTGTTAGTAGCTATGCGGTAGATGTGGAGCGGCTACTCGGTACGACTTACATCGCTTTCCCGCCATACTTATCAGTAAACTTGGAATGATCGCCGAGTTTCGCGCCGCCGAGGTCTACTGTGACTGACGGGCCTGTAGGGCTCGAAGAAGCGCCAGAAAGCGTCGTGGACCTTGTGCCGCTGCCTTGCGTGTGCCCGGTGGACTTGGTAGCAGATGCCACGGCGGAATTATTGGCTGGGTTCGCTCGGGCCCATTTACGTACGCTCACTTCGATCAGAGATTGACCTAGGCCAATTTCCACCAAGAGGCTCAGGATAAGACAGCTCGAGAGACGCATGGTGGCGGGATTTTGGTTGTACAGAGAATGATGTAGTAAGCCGAGAAGCTGAGAATATCTCGACAAGGGAGTAAGCCGTATTAATAGGGAGACGGAAATCGGGGGGCGGTCTGCGTGCTGACACAGTCCTCCCTCCACATGCTCTGTGCGAGAGTTATTCTTAGCACCATAGGGCTTTCGATGGCCAACCACAGGACGAAGCATCATCTGCGGGGGATGTCAGCCGCATTGCCAGCTCAGAAGGGAGGGCTGAAAGCGGGAGAATTAGCGGGAAGTGGCTTTGAAAATGCCTTTCCAGCTGTACTAAGTCATTGTTTAATGCACTTGGCTAGGCCTGTCTCGAGCTGCGCCACCACATCGCGTCTCTCGGCGATAGAGTCACCATCTTGATATCATTTGCCGTCGTGGCTTCACCTCCCAGCCACTATTCTCCATCGGATGTGTATACACCGAAGGCGCTACCCACAAGTCGCCATTGAGGGCTTAAAGAATAAACTCGAGTCAGCCCATGATCCCTTTAAGATCAAATTGCAAAAGTTTGCTCAGCATTGCAATTGTATCCCAGCCGCACTTAGTTAGTCTCCGAAGATGTCCCCACCCCAAGTCTGCTGACCCAGCCACCACCATAGTGCCTCTCAACGCCGTGGCTTACACAGCCAGGCTGATAGCGAGACAAGCGGGACCAACACTCAGCTTCACCGACCAAGCAATGCCTTCTTTCAAAAACAATATGGGAAATAAAAAAGACGACAAGATCCGATGGGGCGAAGACGATGTGCACAAGAACTTCATTCATCTATGCGGGGAGTGGGAAGGCTGATATAAAATGAATCCGTGTCGAGATGTTCTTCATAATCCTCGATTTGAGTCAGCCTTTTATCTAGCATCAAGCATCCAGGCTTTGATGGTAGGCGATGAGGCAGTGCAAAAGACGAAGCGGAGGGCCTCAGCAGTGGTGCCTAAGGACGAGGCGATTGAATGTGCGCCATTGGTAAGATCCGGATGCAACTAAAGTGACTGAGCGAATACTATCACAGGGATTCAGCCCCAAACGCCTCTGCGCCCCTTAGTGTTTGGGGCGCCAACTCCGCCGCTGCTTTCAGAAGGCGACTTGTCCAAAGCGGTGAGGCCAAGACAATCAATCGCTAAAAACAATATTCTTGGGCAGAGAAGTAGCTAGGATAAATGGTCGCTAGTGGCTTCTCTGCCGTCTTTAATCGTCAGAACATTTGCTGCTCAGAGATGTCGACGGTTGCGGTCAGAGGAAAGTAATGGACAGAGGGCAATAATGGAACTGCAGATAAGATGTCCAAATATTGTCCTTGCCCTGTACCCGCCTCCCTATTTTCTTATCTAGGCGGCCCGGCTAACCCTAACCCTTGGTACCTTCTGGCTTTTCTACCATCTCCTGGTCAAGGGGTCGAACCGGGCAGATGATGGCTACATGAGTATGCTTAGGCTCATCAGCCTATGAGTTCGGCAGGAAGACAAACGGAATGTTGAATGGCCTTCTGTTGTCATGGTGGCGCTCGACATTGACAACGCGGCGTCCACACTTGATGCCTTCAAGAAAGTCATCAACGGGCTTCACTGACGGAGAGACCCGCTTCCTTTTGCCTGACAACTTTGGAGATCATGGGAAGACGTCGATATCCCAGCCTTCTCTAGCCGCCTTACCACAGCTTTCAAGATCTTGGGCAGACCAAAATCCCGACTCGGCTCCCGACGGAGTATGAATTCCACTTTGAGTCCGAAAGTTTAATGCGAAATATGCTTTGCCGAATGCAATTGACAGTTGAGTCTATGAAATAATAACTAAATATACAGGAGTGAAATAAAGTGTGTACAGGGTACCTAGGTAGAAGCAACATGATGGGAGACTACAGACATGAGATTCCTCTGCTTCATTTCTCACAGGCTTCAGCTCTCCCAGAACTGCAGAAGCGACTCGACATAGGCCTTGGGAAACTGGAAGAGATGTCCATGGCCAGAGTCCGGGTAGATGTGAGCATACGCGTAGGGCAACTGCTGCTGCAGCAAGAACGAGTTGACCGTGGGGGCCAAGACGTCGGTCTTTCCGTTGGTCACCAAGACGGGCACCTGGATAGTCTTGACCTGTTCGAAATAGGTCGAGTTGCGGGTGAAGTCGAAAATGGCCTTCAAGTGCGACGACGTGCCGGGCTCTTGGATGGATCCTGTCCTGTTTTCGCCCTTGACCTGGCGCTCAAAGATCCGGTTCGCCCAGGCGGTGCCCGCTGCACTGCTGGTCTCGGACGGGTAGAAGAACAGCTTCAAGGCGTCCTCCAGAGGGACGTCGGGCTGTCTGGCCATCTCGAAAACCTCAGGTTTGGCCTCGACGGTTCCGGTGCCGTTGCCAACGATTGAGCCAGCCAGGACCAGCTTCTTGACGAGGTTGGGATAGTTGATACCAACGTGCTGGGCGACACCGCCACCCATGGAGAAACCCAGAACGTTGACCTTTTTAACACCGATGGCGGCGAGGAAGGCTGCGGCCGTGTCGCCCTGCTTCGCAATGGAGTCGGCAACCACCCCCCCGCTGTGGCCGACGCCAGCATTGTCAAAGAGGATGACCTCTCGCGATTCGGCGATGTAGTTGAACAAAAGCGGATCGGCAATGTCCATGGACGCGCGGAAGTTGGCGAGGAATATGACTGGGACGTCGGACTTGACACCGAAACGTCGGTAGGCGATCTTGTCGCCGTTGACGTTGACGTATCGCGTCTTAGCGACCTGAGCCAATTGCGGAGGGGGATCAACTAGTGAGTGACGCAAATCCGGTCTGTTCACTGTTAATGCCCTCTTCCTTAGATCTCGAGATGGCGATTCGTAGACACTTACTTGGGCGTGGCAAAGGCCGTTGCCGCCGTGATGGCGAAGAAAAGACTAGCGAAAAGCTTCATTTTGCTCTGATCTGTGGTTTAAGCTCTGACTTGGTTGCTAACACTGAATTGCTTGTGAGTGTAGATGAGTCTATTCCATTCTCCAGCTCCTATCTGTCCCTATTTAAAGCAGAGGTCTGGTGCTGACCTGATTCATCATCACGATTGACTGTTGCGTGCACCCACCAAAGGACCTGCCCAAAATGGAGACCCATGGAGACTCCAGGCGACAATGCTCAATGTCAGCAGTCTATGATCGGTGCGATGATAAATAAATCTATGTTTTTAATGCTTCCGTGCCTCGGCGTAGGGGTAGTTGCAAATTTGTAAGGCATCGAAAGTTGTGCATACGTGACGATGGCTTCCATGAGTTGATTGAGTCGGTCAAACTTCATCCCGACGGACCGATTCAATCGGATGGACGGGGTCAAGTCCGACCCCGGGTGGACGAATAGCGATGGGGCCTGCAAATTGCGAATTGCCTCTTTCATACACTCCTATTATAAATAGATCCGCTCGGAAGGCACGGAGTAACAAGCGAAATATAAAAGATAGAAAGCTTAATAAAGTGCCTTTGCATTGCCCCTCGCTATAGCCTGTCCCCACCGGATTAAGTGTGGATGTAGCTGTGGAAAAAGAGTTCTCTAGTAACTTGTTTTATATTTACAGCTTATAAATTGGGATTTGAATAATTAAAGTCTCAGGTTAGCTATAGATAGAGTGGTTTCCCAGACCTGACAGTGCCCCAATTGAGCACTCTGACCAGGGCCCTGACCGGGCGAGTCGGACGGCCTTCAGACGCAGATCGCAACACATCCAGCCTTAGGGAGGTTGGCGGTTGAGGTGTCGTTCCTGACCTTTTCCTTCCGTCAAAGTTGCGTTAAATATTAACAGGGCTGTTATATAATAAGCTTATACATAGTCACAGTCTCAGAGATGTTGGATATAATCTCCAAGTTACCCTACATCCTCAGATTATTTCAGAGTCAGGGCCCCGTTTCCCACCAGCCAAAAGACACGCCGAAATTGGTGCGAAGCTACTCGGCAAGACTTGACCATTGGACTGTTAACAAATCCTAAGCAAATGTAAACGATGTAAACAGCGAAATTTGCTCTGGGAAGCATGATGTTTCCGAAACCTCAGCGTGCCTCTTGGTTGTTGTGAGCGACCCCTTACCAAACCTAGGAAATTAGGAAAATGGTCCATGGATTCAAGAGTACACAATGACGTAGATTGGGAACTGACTCCAAATTTGACAACTTGTGCGCGTCTCCTTTTTTTTTTTTGCCGAGGTTAAAATCGGAAAGTCGCCGAACTCACTACCAGGATGATTCAGCAAGACCCATCGTTTACCCCGCTCAGATTTGCTTTGGCAAGGTGGCCATTTAAATCGATATTATTACCCCAGGTTTCCTCGGTCCAGATGCATCTTTCTCCATATGGGGATGATACTCCCGCTCTCTGGACCCACAGCCTTCGTTTCTACAGCTTAAACCTCGTCTATCTCTTCACCCCAGATTACGCTATTACATATCCGGACCGACCCGGACATCTAGAGCCAAACGAGGTCTCCTGCCCGGCATGGACCCAGCCGGTGCTCAAGCAGACACGCCGTCAAGGCAAGATCATCCCAAGAAGGCCCCCGGTAGAACTCGCAGGAGATCCAGCAGGGCATGTCTCCACTGCCGGGCCCGCAAAGTCCGCTGTGATGTCTCTCACCGGGGAAGCCCCTGCACGAACTGCTTTCTCGATAGCGAGCGTTGCCTTGTTGCAAGGAGGACATCAAAGTAGTGGGTGCCCGTCACGATGTAGAAAGCCTTCCGTGTGTTGACAGAGTCCTCAGTAGCCGAACCGATGATGCTATTAGGGATGACTCGCAGACACTCCTGCCTATCGATGAGCTAATGAGCCACGCCGAGACCGCTGAGATGCCTGACGAGTTGGTGGCGGCCGAGAATGAAGACTCTCCCGCTGATGAGAAACCCATTCTCATTGACGGAGAGGCGACAACATTTGGGTTGACTAATGTCGGTTGTCGGGGTACAAGTCAAATCATCACTCAAGATCCTCCAGTCGAGTTGCCTTTTAACTTGTTTGAGGGCTTATTTGATGGGCATCCTCTGGATGGTAAGTTTGTTATGAGAGATTGCCCATTCGTGTTTGCTGATCCGAGATCCATTAGCTTCGCGGGGAATATTTCCAACGCACAACCCTTCGGCGTTTCTACACAAATCAAACCGTACCAACTTTCATCGTCAACGGCCTACCACCACTGACGACCCCATATCCTCTGAAGTAGTCTATTGTCGTTACCCATTCCTCGCGATTACGGACATTGATCGAATTCCACAAGAGGATTTCAGTTTTCTGGAGCTCCAAGGCTGTCTCAAGGTCCCGATACGACCTCTACTTGACGAATTCGTACAACAATACTTTCTTCATGTTCATCCAATCTTACCAATTGTCAACGAGGGTGACTTCTGGGACCTTTACGACGGTGATGGCAGACACTCGCCCAAGGAGCCCATCACTCTACTGCTATTCCAGGCAATGCTGTTTGCAGCATCCACGTTCATTTCTCAGTCCACTGTCTCGGCTCTTGGTTACTCGGATCTCCGAGCGATGCGAGCTGCACTCCTACGACGTGCTAAACTGCTCTATGACCTTGACAGCGATTTGTCACCTCTTGTTGTCTCCCAAGCTTCCGTCCTTCTCTCAACAGCATCGCTGTCATCGTCTGGGAAGCCAAATACCATTTGGCTGAGCCTCGCAATCGCGAATGCGAAGCTCGTCGAAGCGCATCTCTACACAACCATGACATCAGCCTCTTGTTCGAAACAGCGGAACGTCCTAAAAAGACTCTGGTGGTGCTGCATCATTCGAGACCGCTCCATGGGCCTCTTACTGAAACGTCCGGTACAAATCACCAAAGAGCAGTTTGATTTTAGTGAGGACCCTCTCAACTCAAACGATCTAAAAGATGAGCTTCAGCGATCGAAAGTCTACTGTCCTTCCACAAAGTCGAAACTTGCCGAGGTCCTTTCTCAATCGGTTCTTCTATTTATCAAACTCACCGATGTTTTGATGCTTATATATCCTCAAAATGGCAAGCCACAGTCGACATCGAAAGAGCACGACGACTCACTGCTTCAGCTTCACGAATGCAAATCAGGTTTAAGAGAATGGCATTTAGGAGCTGCCTCGAAATTGCAAAATCATCAAAGTCGCACTGACTTCGGGTTGCCAAAAACCGATCAAGCTAGTGGACATGACTCCATCACTCTATACATGAACCTCACGTACATGTACTACCACACCGCTCGCATCGTTCTATGCCATCACGAAGCGCTCTATTTAGACATGGGAGGCAGTGACATGATCTCCCCACTCACCAAGGACCCATCCAGGATTTCCGAGACGCAACGTGAATTGCAAGATGCGATTTCGGACGTTATCGAATGTCACAAAGAGCTACTTCGCCTAGATCTTGCCCAGTGGATGCCTCACTCAGCTATGGGGTTTATTACCGTGCCGCTTATACTCAATATACTTGACGTAAAGCTATCGCCGCCAGCAATGGAGGGCGTCCACCAGTCTTCAACGGCAACACAACATCAGCTCAACGTCCTCATTGGATTCATGAGAGCATACTGGGCTCGATACGAAGGCGTCGATTGGATCACTGCTATTGTTCGCCATATCATCAACCTCGCTCAACTGAACGAATCGAGGGCGCAAATGAAGGGCTCGAGTATCAACTGGGTGGATATCTTTGCTATCCAACCCAGGTCATATCTCCGCCTGGTGTTGGTGTTAGATATGAGTCTCAGCAAGGGTCGACTGGCCCAGGATGCAGATTTTCCCGTCAAACTCCGAGGCTTGTTCTCTCTTAACCTGAATCCTTTGAAGGAGCTCGTCGAGCGTCGGCGCTACAACCTTGAAAGTCGAAACCCCCTTTTTCAATGGGGAACCCAATCTTCACCGTTTGATAGCGTGCTGCGCGATCAAATGCAATTATATACTCTCGGACTCGATGATTGTCTTTTCAACACCCTCGAAAATGAAATTGCGTTTCACCAGTTGATGGATACTAGCCTCTTTCAACGTCAAGAATGGAGAGGGGCAAGTGCCTCAAAGTCGTCGTTGAGCCAGCCAATCGCGAGTCTTTTAAACAAGCCGGCCAGCGGCCCAGAATGCTCTGAAATATTCACCACCAAAGGGGTGGAGACAGTCGGATCTAATGGCAGTGCTGATATGGAGTACCAGGCTGAGTCGGTGTTGGAATTGGGGGATGTGGTGGATGAGGAGGTAGTTGATGGTTTACTTGGGGGCTTGAGTGAAAACTTGGGTGAGAGTGTTTGGTAAAGTGTTATACATAGGTCAGGATATTCTATTCAGCCCCGTTAGCATAGTTCACATAATTTTCAATAGTGCAGGCATTGACTCTATGGGGAGATTGAAGGAACTTATCACATGTGCAACTATTGGCCACTTACAATGAGATACCTCAACACTGGGAATTTAGCAATAGGCGGAGAGTAGTATGCCACGCCTGGCTAGATTCTTATTGCATTCTGTATCATTTGACTAACATAGTTCTCTTATCATTCTGCTGCCGCTCTCCAATAAACTGCCATTCGACAATATCGACCTTCAGCCGCAAACCATCACCAGTACCTGAAAGATTTGAGTCACCTAGTAGAGGCTCAACGTCGGAGCTCCAATCCCTTGGAGATATCGGTCCATTGGGCTCCCCAAATATCCACAGGGTAATTCTGCCTTCGCCGGAATGGACCTTCACCTCCCTTGGGAAACACACTATTAGCATCCTGAACATACGTCGATGTCAGGTTGAACAACGACTGCTCCTTCATGCTCTCGGGATGATGAACTCGTGGGATGGCCGCCGCAGCTCCCTTCTGCTTCATTGTGCGCAACAACCGCACAAGCAGCGTAGAGGTGACCTCGGCCCCTAATGTCCAGGCAGCATTGGCATACCCGAAGATGAACATCATATTAGGTACGTCCTGGACCATGCAGTTCTGCCACGAGAACTTGCTGGAGGGATCGATTGTCTGGCCGTCCACTGAAATCTTGATGCCACCCCCGAACTGCAACTTCAGCCCCGTGGCCGCCACAATGATGTCAGGTCGCAGAGTCTTTCCCGAAGTCAACTGGATCTCATCCGCAGTCACGGCTTTGATGGTGTCGGTGACAACACTGGCCTTGCCGGACCGGATGGAAGTGTAGAAGTCGCCGTCTCGGGACATACAGACCCGCTGCTCGAAGGGAGAATACCTGGGGGTGAAGTTCGGATCGACGGGATAATTCGGTGGCAGCTGCTTGGCTGCGTCGTTGATGAGCATTTTCTTGGCCGTCTTCGGGAAGAAGCCGGCGTAATAATAGACCATGTAGAGGTCCATCATGTACCTGAGACGGAGGAATCGCAGGGCGTAAAATTCCGGGAGCACCAACCTTACGATTCTGCTCAAGAGGTCTGGCTCAGGGAGGCCGGAGATGTAGGTTGGACTCCGCTGCAGCATCGTGACGTGCTTCGCCTTTTCGGCAACATTGGGCACGATGGTGACGGCAGTTGCTCCGCTTCCTATGACAACCAGGTTCTTGTCGGTATAGTCGAGGTCCTCGGGCCACCACTGGGGCCGAATGACGGTGCCGGCGAAGTTCTCGAGTCCCGGGATAGGAGAATGCATTGGCTCGTGGTAGTCGTAGTACCCGGTTCCGAAGACTATGAACCGGGCCCGAATGGTCGTGATCTCATTGTCGACCTGCATGGTCAGGTTCCATGCCGAACGCTTGGAAGACCAGTCGATGGACAGGACTCTGTGCCGGAACTTGACATGCTTGTCGATGCCATGTTTCTCCATCGAGTTGTTCAGGTACGAGATGATGTCCGCAGCTGGAGCCAAGGGGTGGGCATTTCCCCAAGGGTTCCAGGAGAAGCCGTAGCTGTAGACGTCCGAGTCGGTCCGGATCCCGGGAAACTTCCACAGATCCCAGGTTCCGCCGATGGCATTTCTAGCCTCAAAGATGGTGTAAGAAAGACCTTTCGGTGCTTTGGTCTGAACGTAGTACGCCGTGTTGATGCCGGAGACGCCAGCGCCGATGATGGCGACGTCGAGTTCTACTTCAGTCGACGGGTTATGCCCCCCATTGGTATCCGGTCTAACCGTCATGTTTGCTTGTGGGAGCCGTAGCAACGTTGGCTTGTATGCGTTGGAGGAATGATGACTTGCGAGAGTCGTTTGTATTGAGATATGTCTGTGGCTAGACAACTCCTCGGTGTAAGGGGAGCTGCACTTTTATGCTTCACCTGACGGAAGCAGGGCATTCAGCTCCTCAGTCCTCAATGAAACACCCTCTGAAGAGTGTGCCCCGTCGGCCGAATGATGTACACGGAGAGTCTGAGGAACCCGAGAAGGCGCCTCTGGCAAAGCACTAACAACTACCCCAGACCTCCACCCCCGCACCCCCGCATCTCCTTACCTTGGTAGCTAGTTGAATCGAGTGGGTTGCATGTTGGGCTCGGTCTAAATTGGTCATCCGTGGGTTGATTAGTGATATGCCGGCTTCACATGGAACTGTGCACACAGATGATACAGCCAAGGAGCAACTCCTCGTTTTCAACGCTACAAACTTAAAACAGCAACTTGGCGGGCCGCTTTTCACGCCTCCCGAGGAACCTCGGTAGCCGGAGGGATTGAGTTCGTGGTCATCGGACGGTGTCCGAAGTCTACACGGTCTCAGAGGGGTTGAGGGTTGAGGCGTGATCCCAAGAGTCCCCCACGCTAGTATTGTAGTGCGATGAGGGCGGCGGAACTATTACGTAGGCTTGGATGTGGATTCTTCCTCTCTGTTCAAATTCCTAGCCGTAGAAGGTGGAGGTTTCTGCGCGTCCTGTATATACCACTTTGCCCAGTACCCCCGTGTCCTGCAGGCGTTTGTCATTTCCTTCAATCAACTCAGTCAATCAATTACGCATCTTACGCATTCGAGCCTGCTGTACACACCATGGCACCGAATGCGCTCCAGAAAGCCCTCCGTCTTGTTTTCGTGGCTCCCTTCGAGCTCAGCGCCTCTCTCGCACTGGCAATTGTCCATGGCCTCGTCCCGAGGAGCCGACCAGACGAGACATGGACACTCCGCCAGGCCTTTACCATCGCCATGTTCCGGGGCTTGATCCGGCAAATATCAGCCTTGCAGAGACCGGCGGGGCTGAATTTGAGACCTGGAAGTGAAGGAGACCGGTTCGTGGTGATGTCTCCTGTCAGTCAAGAGCTGTACAGGGGACCGATGGAAGATCCTCTCATTACGCCCGGTCAGGTCGGGGCTACCTGGACGCCAAAGCCCCTGAAGAGCCCGACGTCGCTGAACCAAAAATGGGGAAGTGACTTGCTCGTGGTGATGCATCTACACGGCGGAGCCTATGTTGTGGGCGACGGACGAGACAACGACACAGGCTTCACGGCAAAGACACTCCTGTCGCACATGGGCTGCTCGCACGTCTTCACACCACAATACAGACTCTCCAGCAATCCTCGGGGCCGCTTCCCTGCGGCCCTGCAAGACGCGCTCTCGTCGTATGTCTATCTACTCCATCATCTCCAGATCCCACCGTCGCAGATCGTGCTGAGCGGCGACTCTGCCGGCGCAAACCTCGCCCTTGGGCTCCTCCGATACATCAGCGAATTTGGTACCGAACTCGACCTGCCGTGGCCTGGGGCTGTGACGCTGTGGTCTCCGTGGAGCGATGTTTCCATTGCTCTGGACCCTGCAAAGATTACACAGTCTCCCAACTACCGGTCTGACTACCTGGACCCCTCGTTCCCATGCTGGGGTGCGTATGCGTTGATTGGAGATGGACAAGTCGGTATGACGGACCCTTACATCTCGCCGCCGTATAAGCCCTTCAAGATTGAGGCCCCGGTATGGGTACATACAGGGGGCAGAGAGGTCTTGTTCCACGATAACCTTCGACTAGTCGACGAGTTTCGGAGGGCGGGAACGTCTATTGAGTGGGTTATTGCGGAGCACTGCCCACACGACATCATTTTGGTGGGGAAGAGCATGGGGTTTGAGGAGGAGGCGGCAGAAGGCTCGCGCAAGGCCGGCGAGTTTGTGAGACTCAATCAACGAAATAGAGCTTCTCTGGCAGGTAAGTAAGGATAAGAGGGAGTGGTTGGAGGTGGGAATGCTGGTTGGGCGGGATTGAATGTCACGAAGAACAGGGCATTTCGCCAACCTCCTTCAGATATAGCCTCTAAGATGCCAAGACCGTTACAAACTAGATAGGCTATGATTATCTCGGACATCCTCGTGACCACTGCTCCTGCTACGAAGGAATGTGCCAATCCAATCCATTGTGGCCCAATGCATCCACCCAGCGTCATCGTCAGAGCATTCCACGTCCCGTGATGAGAAACGCTGACTCGCTCATGGTGAATTACGAATTTAACGGCAATGCGTACGTATCATGGCGGCCGCTCGGTGGAATCCGCGGTCAGGCGTAAACACAAGCCAACGCCTTTGTCCGTACCGGACGAACTCTGGAACCCGACCCCGAGACCGTCAACGTCACCGGGCTTCACCAGGCACAAGGAACTCCACCACGATGCAGTTTGGGTGGAGGTTGACGTGAATCGGGCCGCATCATGTAATACACCCGACTCGGATTCCTTTTCGAGTCGGGAACGGTGTAACCCTAGGATACGCTAGACTAGATAGAGGTGAGGCCCCCTCAATATCAAGCCCTTGTATATGTCTAGGGGGAGATCAACGCGGACGATGCTGATCTTCTATCCGCTTTTGTGCATTTGTGGCACCATTATCGACGCTACGTCGCACGAGCTTGTTGAGTTATTACCGTAGTTGGGAGTCAGGGATAAGGTGTTATTTACGTGGAGAACCTGCAGCAAGGAAGATTCAATGCAACTACACCCAAACTTACTCCCTAATCTCAATCTAATGACAATACCCCGCAATACCCCACAATCTGTTAGTCTCGTGTGAGGCTCAGTCCACTTCAACATCTTCGAAATACCACCGTTTCCCCAGGATTTCGTGAAGGCCCCTTTCTGGAACAATCTTCAACTACGGGTCGTCCTGCTGTCATGTTGGAGCTGCATGCCCTGTGACTTCCCCTTGCTCCGCTACAGGAATGGACTTTATTTATCCTCTATTGACTACCGCTGCGGCTCTGTTATCACTAGACCTAATATACAGCAACTAAAGCGGACATGTTATTGTGATTGACTGTGTGGCAAACCCTCTTCGAATACAGTTTTATGCTACCTATAGCGGAGAGAGGTGAAATATCTACTATTCTAACGGTAGAATTGCAGAGATTGCAGTGATAGCACTGGTGCAGGCAAATCCCGACGTACAGAATTCCATCAACGGATATACAATCGACCTACAGATGATTGTCGCAAAAGCCATTCTTGCTTGCATTACCTGGCCAACCCCTGCAAAGAAAGACAGATCACTCTGTTTTTGGCAGATTGTCCTTGATGACCTCCTGCACCCAGTTGGGCCACCCTCTCACTGCAGCTAAAAAAGACAGCCTGCCCGGGACAATGAGCTGACCTCCCCGCCGGCTGAAGATTTGCTTGACAACTGGAGTAGAGATAGCCTCCGGCTTCATCAAGCCCCCCGTCTGCCTTTCCAATGAAGCACCTATTTGAGCCGTCATGTTGGTGTTCACATAAAAAGGGTGGACTACAGTCGCCAAAATGCCCGGGGACTTGTATACAGTCTTGATTTCGCTGACCAAGGACTCGTGGAACGAAAGAGCCCCGGCCTTTGTCGCCCCGTAGTCTGCCACCAGGGGCATCCCGGTGAACGAGGCGAGACTCGCAATCGTAACGATGTGGCCCTTGTTCTTGATGATCATATTGGGTAGGAACTCCTTGGTGGTTATCCAAAGCGCCATCAGGTTTACGCCGACGATCTTCTGGAGGTAGCCATGGGGGGTTTCGATAATCGAGTGGGGTGTGGCAATTCCCGCGTTGTTGACGAGAATGGACGGATGACCGAGAGTCTTGCGGATAGCCGCAGCAGTCTCAGCAACGGCGGCGGCAGATGTGATGTCGCACTTCCAGTAAGTGATGCAGCTTTCTCTCTCGAGGTCTGGGGGCAACGGCATGACGTCGAGAATGGCAACCCTCACCCCTTTCTTGATCAGGCCAAGAACGATGGATTTTCCGATACCGCTGCAGCCGCCAGTGACAACGGCGATTTCCTTGTTCCATTGCCAGCCGCGGATCGGGGCTACATGCCAGTTGGTCGTTGCCCATGAATTCATCATTCTGTTGAGAGTCTTGACGAGTCCCAGCCCAAGAAGGACTCTCAGTACGGTGGTGGTGCCCTCCCCCTGGAGGGTGTATCCCATCACATCAAAACGGAGAAGCCGCTCAACGAGATGGGGAGGGCCGTACGCCAGAAAGGCGAGAAGAGAGCCAGAGAGTACGGGATTAGTAGCCGCACTGATGGCACCTCCGGCTACGCTTATAATAGGTAGAGACATTTTGGTCAAGGGTAACTTGGGGTTTTGAGATGGTTGTCCGAATAGACAACGGGACAGATACCAGGTAGGTAAGTTGAATCGACAGTTTGTAAAAATTGAATTTGATCTAGTGAGGTAGTTGAAGACGGCAACAGCTCAGTGATGTACTTCCTTATATGTCACGATCTGTGCTTGTATTACACGGTATAAACCGCTTCTTGACCTCCACCTCCGAGGCTCTTCCATCCTCTGCAATACTGGGCAGCTGGGATCGACTCATTGGTTAGATTCCATACCTCGGTATTGCCGGTAGTCGGGAATGATCCGGGTCCTGAGCGCGGGGGAGACGGATCGATTTCAAACCGCCCCGCGGTGTGGCTTCTTGGCTTGTTTGACTCGAGCGTGCTTACCCGTGCTAGCGAGCGGGGATGCTGAGATGCAGAAGTGACGTGGAGTTACCCCAGATGATACAGCGTAGTCTAACTGTTGTTGTACAAGCGGTCTATCTAGAGGGGGAGAGGCGATGTCAACGTCATTCCCACAGACTCCCCCACGAATCCCACTGCACTACAGAGTACAACGGCTCAAATGACCAAAGTAATTTGTGGTTCCTTTCGGCTTTCTCGGCAAGTCCTCATGGCCCGAGGTGTCTGTTCCTCTAGTGGAGCTTTAGGAGAAAAGGTTAACGAGTCCGCAATGCCCCAGCCAACAGCCATAGGGTAATAATAATTGACATCGAAGAGACTTTTAGTGTGGCAAGAGAACGCGAATAGACTGGAGCTCACCATCATGACAGAAGGAGACCTATAACATGAAGTCACGGGGATCTGATGCGGAAAGAAGCGATTTGGGCTATCAGGAGTGAGATATGTTAGCAATTGTGGAGTAGATATCGAATAACTCTTCATCAGGTCAATTGTATAATAAGAATGTGCAAGCTGGTCTATATCAAATAGTTTGTACAGAGGAACTGTGAAGTAGGGCATATTCAGCTTTCCAACACGAGGAACACATCGTTGTGTTGTTATCAATGCAGATCTAGCCACATCCACGTCTATGGAAAAGACCAAGTTGGAATGGCGAAGCTACAAGAAGTTTAACGCTGCGAGGTTGTTCATAATATCTTTTCCAGCCTCCGTTCCCCCTACTCTTCCTGCAGAATCTTCTTTTCCCGCAGAATCTTCGCCGTTCGGTATCTCTGGCTCGGGCCTACTGAGCATTGAAATCAACAAAATACCGCCGATAGTGTGAAGTAGGGAAATAGCTAGCCATGAAATCACGCGCGAATTAGAGACGGTGGCTTGGACCCTAGATTCTCGAGGTGTTGCGGGAGATACAGTCCCATCTGTGTCGAACGACCGATGAAAACTATCCCACGCGGCCAGATAGCATTGGCGGATGAGATTCTCGGCGTAATGATCGATATTGTCCCAAGTCGGAAGCAGAGTCGAGTTCATAGAGGATACCATGGTCATCAGATCCGGGAGGAGCCAGAGGGACTGCTGGACCCAGCGATTTGCTTTCAATACAACCTCGTCAATGGGGGTCTGATCTTCGACCACTCGCGACGTAACGTAGGTGCTCACTTTACTGGTAGTCACACCGGCGCTGAGTGTTACATTGGCGAAGATGAAGCAGGTCCCTAGAGCCCAGCCGTACTTGTACTGTGGGATTTTGTCCACGTCCCCGAAGTTGTTTACATCAAGGCCCTTGCAATCATCCGTGTACTGGTTTGCGATGAGGAGACCTAGACTTTGAGGACCGGAGAAGAGGGTGGCCTCTGGGAGCCCATATTGGGATGGGTCCCAAAGCTTGTCAGGATTGAAGAGGACAGCATGTCCAGGATTTGTGTACTGGTAGAGGGTGTCGTTCAAGAGGCTGAGAGTCTCCGCGTTCGATGTAACCAGGTCAGCCACTGCAGTCGGGATCTCAGAAGCTGACATTGCCCAGGAAATGCTATGGAATTTGATGCAAGGAACGACGGAATTAGCCAATGTCGAGTTCACTGTTAGGCCGTAGTCGTTGACGACGTGGCGACATCCGTTGCCCGTCAAAGAGGTTCCATTCTGGGAGACGGTCGAGCTATCAGACCATGCCATGCTGGCCAGCCCCGCGGCGAGGCGAAGTATTGTAGCTCTCTTGGGGGCGTACGAGTTGACTAGATATTGGTACCAGAAATCGGAAGTCGCAGACGGATCAGTCGAATTCACTGGGACCGTTGCGTCTGCGGGAACGGATGACGGGTTCCAGTTCACCGCGCCGGAGAGGAGGGGCGCTATGAACTGTTGGGGAACTGCAAAGAGCAGAACCAAGGCAATCGCCCAGCTGCGAAATCCCTTTGGCCGACTGAAGGGATACCTCGTCCAGGGAGGCAGTTTATATCGTGTCATGAAGGAAAGTTGTTTCGGACTGAGAGCTGCTCCGGGGTTCTGCGTCAATTCGTACGCGCATCTCCATACCGCAATGGCCCCCCACGCGGCAGTGAAGAACTTGATGACAACTAGCCCGGCCGAAACCAGTGTTGTGACGTCGGAAACTCTGAGACGCAGTTTTCCACCATTGTAGCGTGGCGTCGAGGTGTCGATGGCATTGTAATGGTTGACAGCAAAGACCAGCGCCAAGGCTAGGCCGATGCAGCCGGCGGTATGAGCGAGTAAGAGAGGCCAGTATTTGAATAATCTCCTTGGTCGGGATTTTGTGGGAGTGGGAGAGGAATCGGTGTGTGTTTGCTCGTTCTGGTCGAGTTCTGTATACTCGGGCGAGGAGTGCTTCTCAGAGACACGGCTTTCGGCCATAATAGCGGAAACTGCTAGGAGATATGGCGGACTCTCTTAGTGAGGATGAAGAAAATCCAAGATTGACCCTAATAGGCGCCCAGGCACAAAGATGAGGTTTCGAGGTTCTGTTCTCGGCGCCGCCTCCTCACCGTTGGAGCAGAGCAGTGGGTTTATACTCGACGCTTGATAAATGAATGGGCCTACGAAAACCCTGACATTGCAAAAAACGGAATATGCAGTCATCCTTCTCAAGATGTGTGGCGTAATGTGGCTATTGTAGTCGCCAATTGAAATGCTGGCTATTATCGTGTGGCTGGCTGAATATACAGCCTCCGCCGTATGGACGTGGCAGTCACTATACCAGATTAGACAAACATGCGTTAATGGGTTGAAAGTGACATAGCAGCTGAAAATCTGACCGGCAGACCTAGCTTCATACAACGAGCCTGTCCAATAGCAGAGTCCCACATAGGCTATCACACATTAAATCATTGGCCACATAGCTACTCGTTCTTCGAGCTGAATTTCAACCCAGAACCCTTGTCTGGCGCCATGTACAGGCCACAAGGATTGGAAAGGTTAATTGTGCATGTTCCACTTGGGTGTGCATTAGCTGATGGAGTACCTGCGGGACTAATTGTACAATCAACCCTTCTAATCCTTGTGGCCTACTATTGGCAAACCACCACTTGAAAATTGTCTCTGTTGGATTGTGACCCTGTACTAAAAGACCTCTGATACATTAATATCCTAACCTGAGTCAGAAACGGGGGCAAGAAAACCCATCCCAATCTCTATCTAGGGCCTGAATCCCCTCGATCCGCGCCTACCCTAGACCTACCACCCAAACTAAGTACGGTCATCACATTAGGAGACCATAGCAACAACTGGCAATAAGAAAAGCATACGCCGTCAAACCCAGAGACCCTAAGCGATGCTGTTGTCACCAATAGAACTCGTGACAATTTGTTTGTGCCTCGGGTATATGTGGAGTTCCCGCGAAACAATGAACGATCATGGGCCACTTTCCAGTGAAACAGGGAGTAGGCCCTTTGACAAATAGGTGAAATAGTCTGAGTAGCGAGGGTCAGCAGAAGGGAGCCAATCGGTAATAGATTGATACTCGCTCACCAAAACCAGGTTGGTTATAGTCAGTCAACTCCTCGATCAACGTTTGAACCCCTCAGTTGATCACCCAACTGACAGCATTCGCAAAATTGTCACGGCCCGCGTTGAGACCAGGCGGTTAAAACATCCACCTTCTCCCGCACCACATATTGAAACTATTTGGTCATGCACGAGGCTCAGTCTCAGTGCACGAGAGACTAACCCTATATACGAACCAACTTGCCTTAGCTATAAGACTCGTGAGTTTATCAATGAGACTACTGGGATAGCAATAAGCTGACTGGCATCCAATTTTAACCGTAGCTAGTATGTAATATAGCAATGCAATGCAGTATGGTATAGTTACAGTATAATAAAATGCCAGAGAGAGTACTATCCTAAGATCTTGTGCAGAGCATCTTTCAAGGTTTTCTGATGCCCACTTTCCATCTTTTCAGCCTTCCATGCAATGAAACCATCAGGACGAATAAGAAGTGCCTGGCCTTCTCCAACCTTGCCAAAGTTTTTGAGCTTCTCCTCAGGATCTTTATACGGAGTGGAAGACTTGTTGAGAGTAAAGGTATCTACCTTCAAGTCTAAACCCTTGGCAGCCTGGATCCATAAGGATGAAGCATCGGTGGCAAATAGAAGAAAGTTCGTGCTAATCAATTCAAGAGAGGACCGGTGCTTGCCTTCAGCATCGATAACATCCACATGCGGGAATCTAGAACCCGCATTGACGTGAGGGTTGTAGGGATCTTCCCAAATCAGGTTCGTATCCTGGTATCCTTCAGCCGGGATGCTAGCCCCGACAGGATAGCGGTAGCCAATTTCACACGTAATGTCAGGAAGCTCAGGCTCGTCGGGAGTCTTACGCATAACACGCGTCTGTAGTCGGGAGTATGCCTGGCGAACTGTGGCGGCAACAACGGGCTGCCTCTCTGTCGTGTACGTGTTGAGCAAGGAGGGAGCAGCTCTGCCACTGAGAACAAAAGCGAGCTTCCAAGCAAGGTTGTGCACATCCTGCGGGAATATTTAGTAAGAGAATAGCAACACCACATTGTGTTGAAAGCCTACCTGAATACCGAGGTTTCCGCCCATGCCTCCTGTGGGTGGCACGACGTGCGCAGCGTCTCCAGCAATAAAGACACGGCCGCCCTTGCTCGTGAATCGGTCCGAGTTGAATCCTGCAACAGACCAGTACGAAATGGAGTCGACGGTAACATCGATGTCATCCTCGATGCCCGAGGCGTCGCGGAAATATTGGCGAGCGTCACTCTCGCTGACCGAGTCCGGGGGAAAGCCGCGCTTCTCGCCAGCACGGGTAACAATCATGAACCCTGCTTTGCCGTTGTTTTCCAGTCGGAAGCCGGCGTCAATCTTAGGGTTGGCAATATAAGTGACTCCGTGTTTGGCGCGAGTACCGAGGTATGAGGTCAGGTCCGCCTTGAAGTTGATGGAGATGCTCTGGCCAAGAAGACCGGGGCCATCCCACTTGATGCCCTCCTTCTTCCTGGTTGCGCTTCGGTTGCCGTCGCAGGAGACGAGGTAGCTCGTCTTGAACTTTCTGTACTTCTTGGTCGCCACGTTCTGGACTACAACAACGACATCGTCGTCGCTCTCCTCGTAGTGAACCACAGTCTCGCTGAATTCCTGGACTGCGCCAAAGGTCTTTGCGCTCTCACGGAGAAGTGGCTCAAACATGTTCTGAGTCAGCCAGAGACGCTTGCTGGGCGAGACCTTGGCAACTTCGTTGGGGTCACTCTCCTGCATTCTATGCAAGACTTTGCCGCCGACAAGTTTCTCAATGATAACCATACCGGCATCAAGGTCAAAGTTGAGGGCGCTGTTCTCCAGCAAATGCTCCTCCAACCCAAGTTGGCGGAAGATTTCGACTGTGCGAAGAAGGAACAGAGCTGCCCTGGGGTGAATCGCTGTAGAGGGATGACGATCCAGAGACAGACTCTTGACGCTGTGAGGGCCGTGTTAGACACGATAAGACGACAGTTCGTTATGAGGGGTTCCTTACCCATGATAGCCGAGGAGAACACCGAGGGTCATGCCGACCATGCTAGATCCAATGACGATGACGGGGTATGTCTCCTTCTCAAAAGGAATGTCTTTGTGGTCAAAATCTCCGAATTCAAACTCGGTCCTCTTGGATCCGACCAAGGGGATTGTATCGTCAACCTGACGAACAGTGGTTTGTTCCTGAGTCATTGCGTAGTTATGATATAGCGATTTTTAGCGTACAGATATTGTGAGTATTTGTGAAGAGGTATGATGATGAACTATTTTTCTCCATTGAAAGCCAACGAAAAGATATTATAGCCGGGGCTCTATTTTTTCTGAACGAGTTTCAGAGCTTCTCGCAACCTCGGTTGAGGTTTTCAATTTCTAAGCATTAACATCATGTAATCAGGTAATGCGCCTCCATGGCTTCCCCAAGCTCCTCCACAATCAAGTGGTCCACCCGATCCCCGTACTTCGTCCACTGTCACTCCACGTCCCGGTCCCCCACCTCCACTCCACGTTCCGATGCAGAATTTCACCATTAGATGGTATATTTTATTTCACGTACTCAATCAAATAATCGCAAGTCTATGAAAGATCAAGAAAATCCTTATCGACCTCTATATCCTCACTCCTTTCTCCTTGGGATTAGCCTTTCGCAAAGGATTCTTCCGAATATCCTCATCAATATTTGGACAAATAATATTTCTCAACCAAGATGTCCGTCAAACTACTTGGTTCCGCGCAATCTACTCGCACCCAGAGAGTTCTCCTCGTGCTCCTCGAGCTGCACATAGAGTATGATCTCGAGGAAATCAGTATGCAAAAGGGAGAGCACAAGGTAAAAAGCCTACCCGGTCATAAATGTTACAATAATAATGTCGATTCAACCATTTAGAACCCGGACTATGTGAAGAATATTCATCCCTTTGGTCTCATCCCTGCTCTGCAAGACGGAGAGGCACAGCTATTTGAGTCGCGTGCAATTTGCCGATACCTTGTTTCCAAGTACGGCAAGGGTAGCAATTTGCTCGTCGACAACCGCAGCTCCGCTAGGGAAATCGGAAGGTTTGAACAAGCTGCCAGCGTCGAATATTCCTACTTTGAGCCGTCGATCAATACTTTAGCTTATGAGAATATTTTCAAAAAGTTAGGAGACCAGCAGAGTAATAATTGATGTCCAAAAATACATCGCTTACAAACCGCAGATTCATGGGCCGAGGAGACCCAAACGTTGAGGAGGTCGATCGAGCCACTGATGTTCAAAATTCAGTGCTTGATTATTACAACAAAATTCTTACAACTAGCCAATACCTTGGCGGAGAGGTACGTTCCGCAGCCCTTGAAATATTTTTCAAGGTTTCAAGTCTAATTTTCTCAGCATTTTACCCTTGTTGATCTCTACCACATTCCTTGGTTCCGATTCTTCTTTGTGCTGCCCCTAGAGCACCAGATCACTTCGAGACCAAACCTTGATGCTTGGTGGAAACGAGTTTCAGATCGACCGTCTTGGAAGACTGTGTCGGCCTCGATTTCTCATTAAATAACCGAACCGATGCATATCAGCATATTAAAGAAGCGTGCATTGTCGCGACGGACATAAAATGCACCGATTAACTATACGCTATGTAAGGACTTTGCATATTTATACACAGGTCAACTGTGCATTTTATAGGCAATAAAAATTCTTCCTCTTGTAGTCGCGCCCGTAGGGAATCCAGAGCTAGCAGTTTGCGACTTGAGTGTACTTGACTCAGTGAAACAAATGGAAATTAAAAACATTCGTTCATTCGATGAAGTCCCCTCCCATCACGATATTATTAACTTCCGCTCTATAAAGTCCTCTTAATTGTAAAGAGCAAAATATTCCACGATGAGATTAAACTTTGATTGAACCCATAAACATCCGGTCGAGTCCACGTAGCGATGCTGGATTATGAAGGGCTCCGGTTCTAGGGTAGGCTCTGGCTCTGGAAGGATGTGTGGCTTGGTGTTCACTGGTGTCGGCCGGTCCGTGTATTCCCCTGTACTAGCAGGCTCGAACAATCATGGCTTGCGCAGCTTGAATAAATGATCATCCAAGGCTGCGTATTATATATTTCCGTTTCCTGCCACTCTGATATATTCTCTAGCACGCGATGGGTTATTTGCGTCCGTGGACCGTCATGTGGGAAATGTGGACAAAGTACTCCTACACACACGTCTATGAAATTCGCACCCAAACTCGACATATTACTACTAATACAGTTGAATCCAAAACTCACAACGCCGAGATTCCGACGCCGGTGACGTCGAACTGTCCAAAAATTAGTATCTGAAATCATCGGCTCCACATTAACATCGCTTTCGCCTCGACTCTGTGACACTGCTTCGGAATGTGGGGGAGCTTCATCTCCACCTCCACATACGGAGAAGTGACCTTTTAACTCTCGTTGCCCACCTCCACATCTTCCTCCACCTCCACATCTTCTTTCCGACTACTCCACTAACTAAACTCCGTTGTCATGGATGAATCCGGTGTTGCGTTGCCGGATGAATCAGGCCTGTTTCAATGTGGTTCTTGTAAGCGGCGTTACAAGAGGCTTGACCACCTTGCTAGGCACACGCGATCCCGTTAGGAGCCGAACACACCATCCAATGACCTGGCACTAATTCATGCTATGTAGACACACAATCGAAACCATACAAATGCAGTTATTGCTCCAAGGCGTTTTCAAGAGCGTGAGTCCAGCCATTTCTTTCCAGAGAGTCCAACATTCTCTCCAATTGGCGCTGAATCACTCTTTACGTAGAGATGTGTTGAAACGTCATGTCTCTGTCCATGGTCCCTCGACTGCAAGGGACAGGCAAGGCACGGTAGTTGGTGGTAATACACCTATAGCCCGTGGCAGAGTAGTGCAAGCATGTCAAGCATGTGCAGTTAATCACCTGCGGTGCACAGATCTGAAGCCTTGTAGTCGTTGCGAGCAAGATAATCTGATTTGCATCTGGGATCGCCCAACAGACTCGGACATTTCTCAGATGAACGTTGACTCCAATACTTCGAGTCGAAAGTTTGGGGATCTTGACGAGAATGCTAATCAAACGCCTCCGGTGCTTGACCCTGCCTTTGATGATCCGGATCTCAACGGAATTGGGAATGCTCCGGCGAATCCCATTCAGTTACCGTCTGCTCTCCCCTCAGGTGTGTTGATCTATTTGAACGGGTATAATTTCCATAAGATACTGAGTGTTTCGTTGCAACAGATGAAGTTCAAAATTCTAATGGAAACATTTCGTCCCTTTTAGAAATACCCGAACTCAACAACTTGTGCGGACAATGGACACCAATGAGAGTATCAGACATGGACTTTTCAACACACCTGGAGCTTAGCGACATCGACTTGAGATTTCTAGACGAATACAACACCAATATCCCATTCGAATACGGCAGTTTCTCAGCAGATGGCAACAACAGCCGCCCCGATGAACAAGGACCTCTGAATCAGTACAAACCGGTCGGAATGTCTTCCGAATCATTTGCAAAATCTTACTGGCGGTTTTGCCCCGCTACTCGGGACTCAACAAGGGCTGACAATCCTGGGGAATGCAAAGACCAGGTCCAATATCCGGAAACTCCTATATCTCTAGACCGGCGGGTGACGTGCAAACGACTAAGTACGGCTGCGCGAGACAGAATCTTAATGACACTGGTGGGAACTTGCCGCCCTGAAAACATGCCCAAGGCCTTCATGTCATTCCCATCGGTAGAGTTGTTGGATACCTTGCTTCAATTCTACCTTACCTCGCCGGTGTCTCGTGCGGATTCCTTCATACACTCTGCAACATTCGATCCGAATGAACAAAGTCCAGAGCTTCTAGCTGCGATGATATCATCTGCTTCAATCCTCACCATTGATCCTGCTTTGGCGAAACTTGGGTTTGCATTCCTGGAGCATGCACGTGTTGCCATAGTCGGGCAGGTAGGACACACGTCGCAGCGATTGTGAAGTATACAGACACTAATTGCTTTACGCCAGTGGGAAAAAGAAAACGATCCCGTCCGAGATTTGGAGCTTGCGCAGGCCTTTACCATCGTTCTTGAAGTTGATCTTTGGAGCGGCCACCACCGAAAGGTCGAGGTTACCGAGCGCTTCTTCCAGCCATTTCTGACCCTCCTTCGGCGGAGCGGAAAGCTCAGACAATCATTTTATCCTCGGATTACTGTTTCTGAGACGGATGAAGGTGAACAACTTCAGGCGTTGTGGCGAAAATGGAGTCTGCTGGAGTCGTTTAAAAGGCTCGTGTTCAGGGTCATTAGACACGACACGAATGCGTCCATGTCGCTACAAGTCAATCCTCTGATTTCTCATGCGGAGATGCTCATTCCTCTTCCCGAGTCACATTGCCTCTGGAAAGAAAAGAGCGCTTGCGAGTGGAAGTCGGCAATGCTTGCCCCCAGAGCTCTCAATCCCTCAGGGGTACTCACCGTGGCTGACTATGCGGATGATTTAGAAGGTGCTTGTGCGTCTGAAAGTATTGCAGATACAGAGGTTGTCAGTACTGCGTTTCTGTCATGTGTTTGGGGCTTTGCCTGGGAACATATCCAGCTCAAACTTTTCCAGAGGCACCGGCCACGGAGGTGGAACGCCTTAATTATGGCGTCGCGACATGATGAGATCATCAAGATGTTGAATCAGTTCCAAGTCAGCTTTGACGTCTGCGCATCCTTTGCTCCCGAGGTGTTAATGAAGCTGGAACTGATTTTCATGCACATGGACATCCCCCTCGAGGATTGCCAGGTCTTTGCCGGCATGCAAGGCCCTGAAGAAGCTCGCAAAGTGTATCCTACGATCAGAGAGTGGCACGAGAGCGAGGCTGCCCGGAGAGCAATTTGGCATGCCGGCCAGATCATCCGGATTGCCCGATCAATGCCCAAGGGAACAATACGGGGACCTAGCCCAATAATGGTGTATCATGCAAGTTTAGCACTTTGGGTCTACGGATTGTTGTCTACGTCAAAGAACAAGACAAACCAGGGTGGCGACAGTCGTGCTGCCACATCAGGGCCCCATAGCCAACCCGTCTGGCTTGATAGCCCTGATAACCCCAGCGTCCAAAGATTCTTACAGCTTGGAAGTGGGCAGCCATGTATTCGAAACCCCTCAAAGCTAGATGTTTTGGATAGTGATAGTAGTGAAGATGTGTACTTATCATCCCCTGAGAAAACAATGGGGGCAGTCATCGGAATGTTGAGGGACAATTTTGTAGGGACAGGAAGACCACTCCTGATTGAGCAGACAATTCAACTGATGACGGGACTTCAAAATATGTCAAGAAGTCATACTGCCTCATGAACAGTAATTTCTGCAATGCACACTATATTATATTTCTCTTCTTGATTCTGTTGATTGTAAAAATCAGAGTGGAAATAGTCCACAAAAGCGAGTGCTGCGAAAAGAATGGTCTTGAACCCACGCAATACTTATCAAACAAGCGGCCCAATGGAATAGCTGCTACTACTCACCTCCCAAAGTTGATCTGACCTCGGATCCGTCCGAGACACCAACAGCCCCGAGATGTAAATTGCACAGCTCGCGGGTCCTAAGATATCGGGAGTAAGACATATTGGGAATTGCGGAACACCTCTTCAGGTTAGCTGCATAATAAGAGCCTGCAAGCTGCTGCGGACCGGATTACTTCGTACAGAGGAACTGTCTTGTTTAGCCTGATGCTATGAAGTGGATTGACAGGCTCCCCGTGTTCCCCACTTCCCGACTTTTGTTAGGCTTTTCCATCCGGTCTGCAGGGTATTGTCGTGGTGGGGCATCACGCCGGCATGCCGATATTGCGCATGTGTAGGTATACGTATGTGTATTTTTCGATCGAGCTGCCATAATGCCCGGAGAGTCTCGTATTGAGGCACTGCCGATATTGCGTCATCTCTTTCTTCCAAACCTCGAGGTAGGCCCTCTTCTTCCAGGCCAGGAAACCCGGCATCATGTGAAAAAAAAAATAGAAGATATAAAATGGAGTATAAGAGGAGTACATAAACCCACAACTATCAACTTCAGTCACATAAGCCTTTGAAATACTTTGAGTACATGAATGTGTCATCAACTACAATGTTTACATTTACCGGAAATTTGTACCGTCGAGATTTAGATGCTAGCGCTAGGATCGTATATACAAACTGCTGCAACAGCAGAATTCAATCTCCCAAGCCAAATGTTGGGGCATTTGTGCTAATAATATTGTCGTATCTCATCGGGCACCTCGCCGTTCTTTTCGCCAATGTCCAGAGCAACTAGAAAGCCTGTCGTCACCACCACCCATACGAGGTTAGTAAATATGTTGGGATATGAGCGTGCCAGGCGCCAGGAATCGAGTACAAGGATTCGCACTCACGGCTGGCAAAGTTGTAGCTCGACACAGTAGCTGTCAATTCGACGATTTCTTGATTCGAAAAGTGGCACACAGTTCGGAGCTTGTTGAAGCAGTCGTCGGACGGGTTGATGTTCGTCGTCATCTCGTCAGCAAACGTGAGGACGGCCCACTCGACTTCGTTCAACTCTCTAGGCTGAATCGGCTTTGGATTCGCTACAGTCTTCATCTTGTTTGGATTCTGTTTGAAGGCTTCGGTCTCGCGGAGCAGGGGCGCATGCCAACCCCATTCGTACCACGCCTTGTTCAGCACCGCTGTCCGGACGATAGCGAGCTCTCGTAGGTGGTCGGGCAGGCTTGACTTGTTTCGGATAGCAGAGAAGAGAACGTCCCAGCCTGGGCGAGGCGGGCGCGAGTTAGCGGCCAAATATCTGTACAAGTAGGATAATAAAGAATCTTCTGGCATTTCGGATCATTGCGCTCACCGTTGGCTATTTCAGGTGCGTGCAGGAGAACAAGATCCAAGGGGAGCAATCCATCATCGGCTCGCCGCGTAGCAATGCGCTGGGCGATCTGCTGATCAGTCTCTGAGAGACCTCTGGGAGGGTTGGGTAGGTAAGGGACTCTCATTATGGGATAGTACCAATCAATACCTAACTTGGATCGGGTGACGAGCAGTACCAAGTCTCTACGGAAAAGACGGTCTTGATATTAGGTTCTCCCCTGCGTTATGCCAAGGGCTGTGGCAGGGTAGTTGAAGTCTCTCCACCTCGGATGTGATGAACGCCGAAGGTGCCGAACCCATGTTGCCTCCCCCCCGGCATGGTAGCTCGGGGAGTCAAAGCCCCGGGAGAGTGGGGCCGAGCGGAGTTGTTTGGTCTGTCAAATGCACATCTCTGAAGAGCGTGTAGCTACTGGCGGCCGTACAAGCATCGGTATCGGAACTCGGATGGGGATCCTGTGATCTGAGTACATGATGGCCATCTTCGCGCTCAAGACTTGGTCCTGGTCACAGAATGAGCTACCAACCTTCTCGTAAGGCATCCAGAAGAACAAAAGAACGAGAAGCACTGCAAAATCTCCTGAGTCCTCTCGATGGCCACGGCAAAGAACGGAACCCCTCAGGGTAGAGGAATTGACTTGTCAGACGACAACATCACCCAGGCGGTGATCAGCATCAATGCAGGCAACCCTGATCCCAGATTCAAGTTTGTCATGGAGCGGCTGGTGACGCACCTGCACGAGTTCACCCGTGAAACACGCCTGAGCACCAAAGAATGGATGGCAGCCATTCAGTTCCTGACGGCCACGGGGCAGACATGCACCAACTTGAGGCAGGAATTTGTGTTACTGTCTGATGTGCTGGGTCTCAGCCTACTCGTAGACAGTATGGACCATCCGAAGCCTCCCGAGAGCACCGTCGGCACACTTCTGGGGCCGTTCCATACGGACGATGCGAACCCTGTCGCCCACGGCACTCAAATCAGCAACGACGCTGATGGCGAGCAGCTGCTCGTCCTCTGCACCGTTAAGGACACACAGGGGAAGCCTATCCAGGGAGTAGTCATCGACGTCTGGGAGACGGATTCGACAGGACAATACGACACTCAGTACAACGACCGGACCGGCCCCGACGGCCGCGCTCTACTGAAAACAGATGCTGAGGGTATCTTCTGGTTCAACGGCATCGTGCCTGTGCCCTACCCGATCCCTGGAGATGGACCCGTCGGGAAGCTCCTCAAGCGTTTAAATCGACACAACATGCGGCCAGGCCACATGCACTTCAAGTTTGACAAGGATGGCTATGATCCGTTGATAACGTAAGTGCACCACCTCTTCACAAGGGAAATTGCGAGTCTTCCAGGGGGGATAACTGACAGCTGTTGACTACGAAGCGCTCTCTACCTTCGAGGCGACCCATACGAAAATTCCGACGCCGTCTTCGGCGTCAAGACACCGTTGGTCGTTGATATCCACCAAGTGAACGAAGCAATAGCGGCAAAGCACAACGTTCCCGAGGGAACGAAGCTCTTGACGTATGATTTCGTCCTCGTAACAGAGGAAGAGACGAATGTGCTGCGCTCGGAGAGGAGCAAGGAGGCCTTGAAAAAGTTGGGACGGCCCATCCAGATTGTCCAAGGACTTCCTATTGGGCTTGCGGAAGAGTAAAGGGCTGTAGATGCGACAGATACAAGTGCCGACGGTGGATGTGGTTCTCCAACCATATGAAGCAAGCATTTATTCAAGAATCATGACGCACAGTTTAAAATACACCTGACTTCATAATTTGACATAAAATACATAAAGTAGAAGCCGGTTTCTCTATTGCTCTTCCCTTTCATCTTGAAAGCGGGGATCCTCGGATGCTGTTCCGGTGGGGGTGGAGGAGGTGACATGGGCGCTTCGGGATCAATTACTCACCGGCGCTTACTTGATTAGATACTAGAGTCACTTAACTAGCAACTCGAGGCTTCAATAAATGAAACAAAAAGACTTTCTCACTTGGTAGTACGGAATCCAGGGTTGCGGGATCCCCACACTCCCCTAACGCCCGACTTATTACAAGGCCAGGGTTCCGTCTCGATCTTGATCTTGATCCTTCTCCAAACGCTCTCTCGTACTCTCTTGATTATTCCACCCCCCCAAGACGGTGCTTCAGTCCTCTCACCGCATCACATCGGAACAGAAAGGAAGTCACCATGATTGCGCCAGCTTCCCTGCCGCAGAACCCAACCGGCCACACAAGTGAGTCTCGAGGGTCCTCTTGCCGGGCCAACCGAAAGAACGCCAAATTTCTAGGTCTTGACTCTGACTAAAAATCTTTCTACAGGCGAGGGAAATATCGATGCCTCGCCGTGTACCGCCTGTGAAACATGCTGCGCCAAGGCAGGCAGCAATCATGCAAATCATCACAATGCTAAGATCCCAAGGTACGGTTCCCGCTTGACAACGAGGCAGGCGTCTCAGATCATGTTGCGGATCGATATTAATGGTGGGCTGCCAGACATGATAGCTCGAAGCGAAGGGCGATGAATGGATCGACAGCTTTCCACGACGAGCCGCCGGCTCCCAAGCGAAGACAGCTCTCCAACCGAGTTCCCCGAGCTTCTCAGGCTTGCAATTCTTGTGCAGCATCCAAGGTGAGGTGCGATGATTCGACGGCGTGTCGACGCTGTCGCCAAAAGGGCATCGAATGCATCAGATCCCATCCTGCTACTTCAGGTGGAGATGATGGAGACATGGGGATGCTATCCCAGGTTAGTGATTGTGTCCGGAGATCTCTGTCCAACCAAGGGCATCGACGAGATTCAGAAACTGTCCGTCCCCGTCAGCTGCTACCACCGACTTCTCAAGAGATCACATCCATGGAATCGGCCATATGTGGAGAGGACGGTATCAGCACCAGCGGAACAGTAGACAGCCATGGTAGTCACCAGCCCCCGGTTCTCTCGACGTTGCCCGCCATGGACGACCGAGGGTCCATCAGCAACGCCGTATCTCCTCCTATCAACCCAGCACTGGTCTCCGGCAACTACCTGTTTGATAGGCTCTCGCCGCTACACAGTCAATCTGACTTCTTGGGATTCGACCTTGGCCTTGAGGCATCAATGCTATATTCAATGGCACCGCTGCTCGTTCCCGGCTCCAACGCTGACCTTGAACCGGCAGCCATGACGCCCAAGAGCCTCTCTTGTGATGAGTCTGGCGTTTCCGACGAGGCCAACAAGACTTACACTGCCACCCTGGGGAGTTGGAAGCCAGTTCCAGGAGACTATCTTGAAATGGACAGGTGCAACCTCTTCCTATCGGCAGCCCAGGAAGATTCCATGGCTGGGAGAATGGGCTCCTTTGACCCGACTGTCATCAAGCAGCATTTGACCTCGTTCAAGCGAGATCAAATCATGTATCTGATATCTGGCTCCAGCTGTAATCCCAAGCTCATGCCAGCAGCGATGTCCTTTCCTTCGGCCAAGATCCTCGACGAGATGCTTCGGATTGCTCTGACCCGGCAAAGAGACGACATCACCAATATGATTCACCTTCCCACTTTCAATCCATCACATTGTGACATTACGCTTCTTATTGCCTTGATTTGTGCCGGAGCGTCCTTCTCGGCCAACTCCTTAGCTCACAAGTTCGGACTCGCACTGACCGAAGTATTGCGAACCCAAGTGATCAGTTCTGTGAGTATAACCTTCTGTCCGTTGTCGAGCATGGCCGCTGACTGCTGAAACCGCAGGGGGATCGCGAAAATCATTTGACCCGCATATTACCATATGTGCAGGCCTTCGTCCTTGCTTCTGAAGTAGGACTCTGGAGCGGGGATCAGCGCAAGTCCGAGATGTCTGATGTCTTGTCTGCGTTTCCCTCATCGGTACTTCGACCTAAGCTTACGCATCTTCGCAGTTGGGACAATGCTGATCGTAACCTGGCAGATTTTGAGGCATTCCAGGTGGTACTACGGACAGACTTATTCCGTCATTAGTCCCTCCTGGGCAGAATCCGACGACCAGTTGGAGCTGACATGGATGCGTTGGTCCGAACAAGAATCCTTCAAAAGGTGAGAATTCTCGCATGAAACTGGCCCTTAGTGGAATATGTTTGTTGATGTTCCTTGCACATATCAGGACTGTGTACCGCCATTTCACCCAATGTTCACGTCGGTCCGTATTTAGGAACACAACACCTCAAGTCTCCTACCGTGAACTCTCGACACCGATCCCCTGCCATCCCGAGCTCTGGTTTGCATCATCGTCAACAGAGTGGAGATCAAAATATCTACAGCTTCAACCCCAAGGTCACCAACACAGACTCAATCTTGCCCATTGTCTTGCCCGGCCGGCTGTTTTCAAGGCCTTTTCGCCCATGCAAGATCCTGGACTAGCCAATCTGGCCGTCCTTTCATCCATCATGACGATGCTGGTCGAAGACCGTCTCCAGGTCATGGTGTTCAGATCCTTCCCCGATCCGGAAAGGCCTGCCCAAGGCTTCGAAGGAGTTGGCCCCGACCGGCACATCACCAAACTCCTAGACGAGACAAGGGGCTTGTTAGAATCCGATACACCTCCAGCCTGGCCCAACTCGCCTGCCACTACATTTCTGGTAATATTCAACACGTTCCATTCCTCAGCACCCATGTGCTTGATTGAGACTCTATTTGGGAACGAAAAACACAGATCCGCGCGAGAAGCACGCATCGAGCTCAAGGAATGGGTAAAGACCCGATTAGGGAGAAATTCAGTTTGGCAAGCTGCCCAGGTCCTTCGGGCCTCCAGGGCACTACCACCACAAGATCGGACAGACTTTCACGTCTTTGCGGCGTATCAGGCCATCCAGTGCCTCTGGGTATATGGGAACATCCACGAGCGGGGGCTACAAACTCAGAATCTACCTGCACAGGATGGAACAGCGCCAATGCTCCTGCGAGACAACTTACCCGTGATCCGAGTGGATGGAGCCGAGTCGCTCGAGTCCCAGCGTTGGATTAGTCACGGCAAAGGGATTCCGTTCATTCCACGGTCCAGTGAAGAGATAGGAATCCCTTCCGATAGAGCTACGGATCTAATACCCCTTGCTGCTAATCTTGGTGGCGAAGGGAGCCTCACTGAGTCTTTGGTGGGCATGATGAAGCACTGCTTTTCACCCACAGTCACAGGGAAACATTTCCCGATACTTGAGCACGTGTGTCAAATATTAGATGCGCTAGGGCGTTGAGGCAACTTGCAGATTGAACTTACATATTCAATGTATCATGGATAGAAAGACGGCCGGAAAGAGATTGGATGTCCCAATATGAAATGGGAACTGGTAGGGGACATGGCGAATTAATTGCCGGCATAAACCTGAGGTTGGCTTGTCAAATCAGCGTGCCCCAGAGTCATGGCCCCCTAAGGGCATTCCCCCCCTCTCAATTCTCTATAGAAAGATGATTTGTCATTGTGCATTTATCATGTGGGTATCAAGTAGTTCTGGATTCTTTGATGCCATTATTTACCAGGAGATTGATCAATTATTCAGCTATGAACCTGACACCTATTTTCACCTCAAGGACTGAGAGCTCAATTATTTATTGTTTCAGCGTTTCAAATCCTACCACGCGTTTCTCTTCCGCCCAAGATGGATCTCGAGTCATAGTTTGTGTAAAACGAGACAACGTAGTTTTCACAGAGGCTTCATAAAGTGGCCAGAAGCAAGAGATGTTGGCTTTTTAGTAATTATGAACCCGTCTGAACAAAGGCACGAACCACGACAGCGGGACAAACTATGAAACCCTGTTACTGACTGGACAGGGCAGCCTCGGTCATCATGAACTTCTTGAAGAACTCAGGGTCAAATCTGTTCAGGGCGGCGAAATACTCGTCTCTTTCCTTCCTCGCTTCCTCCGTAGCGCCGATCAATCTTCCCCTGTTTGCGATAGAAACTGGGTTGGTCACCTCAAGGAAGACCCTCCTCCTCTCATCGCTATATTCAGCCAGAGCCTTTGTGTAGCTTACCTTGTCTGACAGGACGTCGCTTAGCTTGCGATGGAGCAGGGAGGCATCGAGGAAGCCGGTTGTCAAACCTAGACCTCCGACCGGGTTGTTGAGCTGTCAGCGAGTTAGCCAGTCAACTATGACCTAGGGCCAGCTGAACAAGGTCATAGTCCACATAAAAAAGATGGCTTTGATGGCACATACATGGGCAGCGTCTCCGGCTAATGCTACCCTACCCTTGACAAAGGTACCTGCACACCTCTGGTGGATTCTGTAGGGGCTCATGGCAAGCACCTTGGCCGTTTCAGTCGGTCCCTTGAACAACAGCTTGAGCCTTTCATAAAGATTCCTCGTCTCCAGTTCTTCGTCCCAGTCGTCTTCTTTGCCTTTGATGAGCCGTTCACCACTGGCTACACGCCAAATCGTCCCCTTCCCAGAGTACACGACGACTCCCCAGTGCTCTGGGTCAACGATGAAGTTGGCAGCGCCCCATCCGTTGTACTTCTCCACGTCATAGTCAACATTTACAGCGACCATGCGGAAATCTTCCCAGGTATAGCCCTCGAAGGGGATATCGAGTTGCTTACGGACAGTAGATCTACCTCCGTCCGCACCGATGAGAAACTTGGACAGATGCTCTCGCTCTGTGCGCTTGTTAGATAAGACCCTGTGATGCCGAAAACAATGAGGTGGCAAGTGAAATTGTGGCACTGGTCAGGGTAAATTCAAAGCAGAACAGCAAAGGGCCAGCCAAAGGCAAGGGGAAGGGAACTTGTTAAGAGTGGAAAGGAGACGCTTACCATTGTGCCCTTCCTCTTCAACCCAGCACCTCACACCGTCAGCGGTCTCCTCAAAACGGTTCACCTTTGTGGAGAAGTGAACCTTGACCGAGCTCAGCTTCTCCAACTGTCCGAGGATGACGGCTGCAAGTTCATGCTGTCCCATAGTGAGGGCCACGACCTCGCCTCCCGGAGGTGGAGGCATAGAGGCCAAGACGCTTCCATCCTCACGCCGCCTCCACTGTTGGCCTGTCTTATTTACGGCACCGGCTTTGAGGACGTGCTTGTATATCTCCGACTTTCGGAAGTCGTTCAAAGTGGGAGCCAGGTAGCTGAGCGTCAAGGAGGATTTGTTAACTCTGGTATGACTCAAAACACGGGACCCCAGGTCTCTGTAGTTATCCTCGTTTCCAAACTCACACAATTGCTCTCGGCGACTCAATCGCCTTGGGTTCCTGATCGTACACATGGACCGTGACGCCGTCTCTGCCGAGCAGATAGGCAAGATACAGGCCAACAGGGCCAGCGCCTACGATGGTGATGGTGGACTCGCTTGCAGTAGACTAAATGATGGTAAGGGTCGTGAGCAAGTGTCACTTCACTCTGGTGGTGGCTCAAGGCAGCGGCGGGAGAATTACCATGGTTCAGAATTCAAGGCTCGATGGACGGTATTGTTACACCAGCACAAGGGGTTTCAAGTGAGGATTGAAGACGAAAGAGATAGGATGCAACACTCAAAGAAACCCATTTACAAACAAGGTCAAGAATCCAATCAAATAGCACCCAGATCTAGCGGGCCCGCTCGGTTCATGGTGGTCCATAGTGGAGGAGTAATCCCAGAGCCGAGCATGTCCCAAGAGAGTTACGGGGACGGCACATCGGGGACGGGGAAGTGACCACTACGGATGAAGAGGAGCAAAGCAGGGCATTGAGGTACCGAAGCCCCGAGTCGTGATCTAGTTGGCCGCCGTCAAGAAAGTGGCTAGCCTAGATGCTGCTAGTTTGCTAATTGCCCCGGTTTGCGTCCTCCACTCGATGGGAAATCCGGCGAAGCGGGGGAATAACCTCCCCGAACTATTCAAAAAGCTCGGGGGATGCCGATCTGAGCAATTTCGGCCCCTCTCAGCTCGGGCAAGACAGCAGCTCCTCCGGTTCCCCGTCTCCTCAGACCGCAGACTGTCACCGACCGCCGACGAGCAAATGAATACGCTACCGGTACCTATTGTACCGAGTGTCGGGGTGTCAGCTTGTTGAACTTGGTTGCTTAGAGAGGCCACGGATTGAATTGAGCGGCAGCTTGACTAATCTATTTCCTTATCTTTAGATGTTGAAGCCTGTAGGAAAACTATGGATAGTACTCCGCCAAGGCGCCGCCTTCGATGGCGCGCGCCTCAGCCATTTCAATTCTCTCCTCTTTCCTTACTCGGACCGCAAAAGCCATTTGAACCCCGTAGTAGTATCGTCTGTCCACTTCTTGATTGGCTCTTCCAGTGTTGGGAAAAACTCCCAAAAGGCATGAGGCAATCCCGGATAGAAGTCGACCTTGGTAGAAATCTTGTGGTCTTCTCGGAGCTCCCGCTCCAAGATCAGCGCTTCATCTCGGAGTGGGTCTAGGCCACACACTTGGAAGTATACAGGCGGGAGGCCACCAAGACCGTCCGGGTGATTCAGGGGTACGTAGAGAGGTGACGAAAAATCCGGTTTCAAGGCGTCTACGAAGTGTAGTTAGTTGGTTAGCTATTGGCCAAAGAATCTGGAAAATGCAGCGGTCCGGGCCATGACGCACCCATAAAAACGACCACTAGTTCGTCGGGAGGCGGAGAAAGCCCGCGGTTCTGTTCTTGACTGAGGTAGTCGTTGGCATATTTTGGCTGAAGAACGTGAGAAGGGCACAGAGGAGGAACACTGAGGAACAGGCCAGTGATAGGAACCGGGTTGCCTGCGTCGCGGTTCTCGTAGCCCACTATACAAGCCAAATTCGCACCCGCAGAGACGCCTCCCACGATGAGACCGGCGGCATGGTCTGCGCCGAGAGAGGCGGCGTTCCGGTAGCCCTATTCACGGATGAGGATTCTGTGTCTCAGGGGACAGTGGAAAACAGAAATCATACCCATTTCGTGGCATCCCACGCATCGTTGACGCCAGTTGGAAAGGGAGCCTCGGGTGCCAGGCGATATCCCACGCTGAGAATTACGATGCCCAACTCGGACGCGAGCTTAGAGTGAAGTTGAATGTCATCCGTGTGTTCGCCGAGACAAAAGCCACCCCCGTGAAACATGACGACAAGAGGCAGAGGGCCGTTGGCCTTGACGGGCGCAACGGCTTGGGCTGGTATCTCGGTACCATCTCGTACGGGGATCTTGATATCATCAATCTTCACAGGGAACACCTCGGTAACAGGACCTGCAGATGCATCTCTTTGCTTTATTCCTCCGGCTTGGCCAAGGCGTAGAAGCGATATGTCCTTGGGAGGCAGAGGCGGAGGGCCAGCCTGGAGGAGCTATTGATGGGGAGATTGTCAGAATATGTCATGGGAAATCGCATCATCGCTCGGAGGCTTGTCCGGGTTGGATAGTGTGCTACCTTGAGGTACTCGGGATGAGGCTCATTCTGTTTTCCGAGAAAAGCAGCCATTGTGTACGTGTTGGCTTTCCTGATGCGCCTTGACGAGACAGACCAAGGTGGCAGCAAGGAATTAAGATGGTACGCGGATGGAAGATGAGGGTGATTGATATCGTTGCGTGGCTGACACCCAGTTGTAAAGCACAAGATTTGACGGAAGCCTTTATTGGAGTGGAATGGATGAATACAAGGTCTCGCCTACATTTATAAACGTCTTTTGAACCAGCCGCAACTTGGGTAGCATCGCGTCTTTATCCTAGAGCCGAGCTCCGGTGGAGAATACGAAGCTATCACAGCTCGGCATCCCGACCCGGCAAACCGCTCTCAACATCCCCGTGAACAATGATCCTTAATCCTTGCCCCAAATCACGTTTGCGATACCCGTCATGATCCATGGCGTCTGTCCGGCCTCGATCCACTGACGGTGCTCGTTGACAAAGTCCGCGGCGTCCTGCGTGTTGTTGAAGACGTATTCCTCTTCGGCCGCGAACTCGTGCCACCGGCCATTGGCAAAGAGCGTTCCGCTGAATTTATCCAACACATCGGCCGGAGTGCGGTCGATGTACTGGCGATAGCGGAGGAGCCTCGTATCGCCCTCCACCAGCTTCTTGCCCGTGCCTAGGCGAGAATCGAGCCATTGTTCAGTCTCGTCGTCTCCCTGGCCCGCGATGGCGCCCTTGCGGTGGAAGACGGTAACTCGCGCCCGGGGATGCGGAACATGGTCGAGTTCCGTCGAGGCATGCTCGGCGTGGACTTGCGAGAGGCCGCCGACCATGTCATCTGTATTGGAGAAGACGTGCTTGCCAGCACTGGCGCGATAGCCCGGGTCAGAAAAGCCCGCAAAGAGGATGTCAATGCTGGACCAGATATGGACCGTCAAGGCCTCCCAGCTGTCCTGGCGTGGCTCATCGCGGAGGGGTTTTCCGGAGACTTCGTAGTCGGGAATGACTTGCTTGTAGTCGACAAACGCAGGGAGCATCTTGTGTAGTTGAATCGACATGTTGGCATGAACAACGGTGTATTCTTGAATGAACTTGTCATGCTCCCAGCCAGGAATCTTTCCCACCGAGATGAACCAAGTCACCGGTCCGGTAACAGTTCTGGACTGAGTCGACATGGTAGGCAATGGGTAGAGGAGATCCGCTGGGTTGGGTGGCTTTGGTGTATAGTATCGTCAAGGTCTAGGGTGGGTTGAAGGCAGGGCTGGCTGAGAACCCAACGAGGCTAAAGGGCGACTATTTATGTTATGCGGTTGCAGCGTCCCTCCAACTTGGGTGCCCCTGTACCAACGAAGTAATGCCTCGCCGGAACCCAATCTTCTGGGGTAGCTTCGGCGTGCAGAGTTGCCACTGCCTCTGTCGTCGGGGAGAGGCATCTCACACTTTCGCGGGTGTGCCCTCGGAGGCGGCTAAGGACTATAGTGGCAGAAGAATAAAGAAATGTTCAACCAACAATACACGCGTCTTTAGTTAGCCAGTCAATTGGTGTGCAGTTCCTCGGGCACATTGTTGTCACTATCAGGTGCAATCCAAGGCTCATGTCTTGCTCAATGTTTATTCAGACTCAAATCACATGGCTCAGGACACGCACCGGTTTGAGCCTTTTGGGCCTCACTGGCTGTCAACAAGAGTCGGATTTTACCATAAACAGTTCATTCTAATATCCTACGCCAATCACGTCATGTAAGAACCACCGCAAACCGGAATGTATTGCCCGTTGATCCAGCCTGCCTTTTCTTCGCACAGCATCGCCACTGCGTATGCAACCTCTTCCGGCGTGCCCAGCCGGCTCTCCACCGGATTCTTCTCCGTCTGCTTCATAATCACGTCGAGAAATTGCGGGGGCGCTGATAGCATCCTCTTCGTGGCGATGGGACCGGGCGCGATAGTGTTGACCGTACAGCCATACTTCCGCGGCAGCTCCTTCGCCCAACATCTCGCGTATGCCTCGATCATGCCCTTGGTGCCGGTGTATATTGTCATATCTGGCTCCGGGGATCGTGTTGAGTCACTTGAGATATTGATGATGCGCGATTGCTGGCGGGAAATGACAGGGAGCGCAGCTCGCGTAAGGAGTAGAGTGCCTCGTCCGTTGAGGGTGACCATGTCATCCCAGTTCTTCAAGACCTGCTGATCGTCAGGACCGTCGATGGGGGTTGGCCAGCAGACGGCGGCGTTGTTGACGAGAATATCAAGCTGGCCAAATGCCTTGACGGTAGCCTCGATGAGCAAACGGGGTCCTTCCAGAGTGGCAAGATCCGCCTCAACAATCCTCGCGTTGTCACTATCGAGCAACGAAGACATAACTGCCTCCGCGGCTTCCTTCTCTCCGCTGAAAGGATAGTTGATGACTACTGATGCGCCCCTCGAGGACAGTTCCTGGGCGATGGCGGCTCCAATTCCTGACGAGGAACCGCTGACCACGGCGACCTTGCCTTGGAGTGTCTTAGGTTGCGGGCTAGTCATTACGAGAACCAAGTTTTGCATTCACTATTGGGAGAATGTTGAGTGGCGGTTGCTGAAGTTGATTATCAATTGAAGGCGTAGGGTGTATACTAAATGGATGGTGTGAGGGCCTCCATCTCCCGGCTCCCCACCCGGAGCATGCCTCGGTAGGCTTTGGAACTCTTCTGCTGGCCCCGAGCGGGCCAATTTCCCAGCCCAAAATCCTCTTCGCGGTAGCATCAGTCGAAAGGTCATCCTTCGGGGGGGAGAAGCCGGCTCATATGCCATTCGGGGCCACGTTCGGGAAGCCGAATGTCTGTCTCCACCAGGATCGGGCTTGTGGACACACCATCAGGGAATGGGAGCGTGGCACTCGTCCATCAAATCACCAGGTATGCTTGGACGTGGAGGTTTGTAATGCCTCGATGCTACTTATACAACTGATGGAGATGTCTTGTCCAGTTCTTTTGTCTTCATCCGACAGCAAACCTGGCTGGTTTGTCATCTTCTTTTTGAAAGATTTACTCGGCTGGAATCTAAAAGAAATATGGGCCTTCCCACGGTTCGCGTCGGCGACATCCGGCCATGGTTCAATCGGGATGCGGGAGACGTCGACCGTCGGCTTTTGCTGATCGGGTTAGGTCTCGTCGCTTGGGCTGTTTGGGCCGCCTCCACCAGTTTCTTGCACCAGTCCAAATACATACTTCCTAATCCTATCCCTGGAGTGCCTTTCTTTGGGAACAGCTTCCAGATGCCTTTGGAGGGGCAGGGTCCCTTTGCGACCAAGCTCGCCGAGAAGACGGGAGAGATGTACGCCCACCCCATTTCTCTACTCCCTCCCCATGATAACAACACCATTACCTCTCTATTTTACTGGTCACCCACTAGTCTCACGTCAATCAAAGCTAACATGTAGCTTCGAGGTATACTATGAAATTCGGCAGAGCCACATGGGTTTTTCTCAACTCTCGGCGAGTAGTCACCGAGTTGCTGGACAAACGAGCGGCGATATACTCTTGCCGCCAAAATCTACCCATGGCGAACGAGATCATTTCGGCTCACAAGAGGCTTCTCCTCATGCCTTACGGTGCACCCTGGCGGAAGCAGAGAAAGGCCATGCACCAGATTCTCAACAATACCAAGCAGACCATGTTTCTACCGTATCAAGACGTCGAGTCGCGCGCTCTCCTCCATCATTACATGAACCAGCCGGAACGGTGGTGGGAGGCCAATGCCCGTTTCTCAAACTCCGTCATCATGAGTGTCACTTACGGAGTACGATCAGACCTGGGCGATCCTGATTTGGCCAACTTGGTTCGAAACGCAGAGCAGTTTGTCCCTTACCTGTTTCCCGGGCAGTGTTTGATTGACATCTTCCCATGGCTCCTCAAGGCGCCCATCCCGGCATCGTGGCAACCCTGGCGTTGGTGGGGAACTCGTCTTCAACATGCCACAAGAAAGTAAGAAGCTCCAGTCCCTGCTTGACCCAGCATTCCCAAGTTAACCTTTGCAGCGCATATAAGAAGCTGTTCGATGATCTATTAGAGAGACGGAAGCTTGGGACCCAAAAGCCGTGCTTCATGACGGAATTGTTGGACAGCAACAAGGACGATTTCGAAGCCGAGGAGTGCTACTACATTTGCGGAACTCTGATTGAAGCAGGATCCGACACCACCCGTCTAACCCTTAACGTGGCCTTGGCAGCCGCGGTACTGCAGCCTGACTGGGTTGAAAGAACTAGGAAGCAGCTCGACGAGGCGTGCGGAGCCAACGCTGAACGCCTGCCGAACTTCAGCGATATGGATCAATTGCCATTGATCAAGGGCGTTGCCAAGGAGTCCCTTCGATGGAAGTACGTCTATCACATCTTGCACAGCTTCTCACAATGACTGACCGAGCGCTTCTGCAATCAGGCCTGCCATTGCCGAAACCGGAATTCCCCACGCCTTGACCAAGGACGATGAGTTTGAAGGATACAAGCTCCCTGCCGGAGCAGTTGTAACATACAACCACTGGGCAATCTCTCACTTGGACTATGAAGATCCGGAACGATTTTACCCCGAAAGATTCCTCGACGAAGATCTGAACGCACCTACAAAGGGACACTTGGGTTTCGGCTCTGGTAAGCTTCGCGATGTCCTCACACGATGTGGATCAAAGACTGACAAATTATTTCCACAGGCCGAAGAGTGTGCGTCGGCAACACCGTTGCTTGGCACAACCTCCTCATTTCCCTGAGCAGGATGCTGTATTGCTTCGACTTTAAGGGCGACCCGAACGCACCTATCAACGCAGCCGTGAGGATTGACAGCGTGTTCACCAAAGCTCCTTTTAGTATCTCCATCCAACCTAGGAGTGAAGCTCACCGTCTTCTTATTCAGCGAGAATGTGCCGATGCTGCCAAAATGGAGAATTAGAAACTCAATGGTGTAGGGCTTACTATTGCCATTGATAAAGGGGCTGTGTCAGACCGTTATAAGCCACTCCTCTCTTAGTAAATAGCTCGAAAGCCAGATTGTTAATCTAAGTGAGGCAGTATAATGAGCCTTTTGCCGCTCACCTTCCCCTGCTGCAGAAGCCCCCAAGCCTCGACGACTTTCGATAAACCACCTTTGACCTCGAGTGGAATCGTCTTGAGACTGTTGGCAGCAAACGCATTCTCCAAGAAGCTCCACCAAACCCATTCCGTGAATTCCTTCTTCCCAGGCTCGAGATAGTCGTCCAGAAACTGCTGGAACGAGCCCGTCACGCCATTGGGTAGCTTCACTCCGGGGCGTACACCCATAGTAGACAGGAAGTGTCCACCACCCTGAGCAGCCAAGATTTCGCCAATCTTCACTTGATCGTCCGCCGAGTCTGCGGCACCTAAGACGGCCTTGAACGGGCCCAAAGCCGCAACATCTTCGACGACGGAGGGTGCATCCCGGTCTGCGAAGTGAGCTACACCGACTGTCTTAGCCAGCTCCGCATGACCACCGGAAGCAGTACCGACGACCGTGTAACCAGCAATCTTGGCAATCTGGGCCGCAAAGGCGCCGAAGGAGGATGAAACTCCCCAGATGAGCACCTTTTCGTCCCTTTTAGCAGCTTCAGTTCTTCCAGAGGGTCGCTCAAGGCCTAAGTGGAGGAACAGGGCACTCATTGGCCCGTATGCAGTCGCCAGGGAAGCTGCATCTTCGAAGGGCGTCTCGCTGATCTGTGCCGAGGAAGTATACTTTAGTCTCAAGCCAGAGGGGCGGCCAGGGCTCATGTGAGCTCACCTTTGACGTCAACGCTTGCGGCACGAGGGCAAAACGCTGGTACGCTCCAAACTGGGCGTCGTTACGGAGAACTCCTGTGCTGTTACTGGCAATGCGGTCTCCGGGACCGAAACGAGTGACTCCAGGGCCGACTTTCTCCACGACACCTGACAAGGATACTAAAAATAGACCAACAGTGAGTGGTGTGCCGTGGGAGACATGCAAGAAGTTGGCAGACTAAAAGAATCAATACTAACTGCCTATGATCGTAGGGTACTTCAACGGAATCGGAATAATGCCTGCTTGGATCTTCCACTCCCCTGGCTGGACTGCAACCGCTTTCACCTAAGTCAAGGGTGTCAATGTCAATGCAACTTCACCCAAAAGACCAATAGTTCCGGACTGAACATACTCTCACGAGAAGTTGACCCTCTCCAGGCTCTGGAACCGGCGCTGGGCCGACAAAAGGCACCGTTCCGGGACCGTTAAGCCAAACAGCCTTGTTATCCATTATATCTATACTTTGTCAATGGAAATTCCGCGAATGTGATGAACAAAATATCAATTTTAAACCCTCATTAACCACATCCTATTTGTACACGGTACAATGTGTGCTGCTGAATAATGAAAAACCACATCTGGTGCGCTAAAGGAGCGGGATGGAATCTATTTTGCCTAGAGGGGTAAGCCCAAGGGGGTGTAAGCTTATGCCCCACAAACGATGGTGCTCCCTGGTTTCATGCAGGGATATTCAGGGCCGTGACTGGTTGGTGTTGGAAGATGACAATGTATTACGAAGCCTCAAAGAGATCGATATCATGACATTAGTCAGAGGGTGTCAGAAAACCGCTCTTGGACTAGCCCGGTTCACCCGCGCCTAAGCAATTATCAAGATTATTATCATCATCGCGTTGAACACTATGACTAGAATGGAATTAACTATATGGAATCTAATTATTGTTGGTGTTGTTTTTTAATGTTCAGCTTTGAGTCCGCCCTCTGGGTATGTATATTCGAGCACCTTGACCTCTTGATATAAAACCTATCACAAGCAAATATAATATACTCTAAACTTTAAAATAGACTAGGTATAATTATTAAATAGTTAAAAATTATTTCAATTTCTAGATTTCTTTATATTATGGATTTTGATAATGAGACTTATTTAATCGCTGTATTTATCAAGAGGTTTAACTAGGAAAGTCACTGAGAGCTTCTTCCTTGTTGTAGCCTTCTGTATGCACCAACTCGAGATCTTTCCATGCATCCAAACGACCCTGTATCTTGTACAACCTTGCGAGGCGGTCGAAGAAGTATTCGGGACGCTTAGACTCTGACAAGATCCCCTCGAACTGAAGTCTAGAGTACCGCAATGAAGCTAGCTGGTCGCGTTCTTCGTTCTCTTGACTCTTCAATCGTAATTCAGTGTTGACGTCGAACAGGTACTCCACCAATACTGCGACCCCTCGCGCCCAGATTTCCCAGCTGTGTGAGGCATATTCCTGTGCCTTGCGCCACAGTTCCAAATGCTCGTTTGTGGCAGCCTCCCAATCATGGACTTTGCGTTTCTTGTTGGCCTCTAGGCAGGCCATGTCGAACACTGGCTGAGGGGAAGGCAACTTCTTGGCCATGCTCAACGCCGAGATTATGGTAAGTAAGGCCTCCTGTTCTCACGTGAATCCAAATTCGACGAGCGAACTTGCCATCTCCGTCAAGTTCTGGTTGCACAGGTAGTTGCCGTCTTTATGGGATGATGTGTCACTCGCACGCTGTTGTGTTTTAACTTCGCTGCTGATTGGCGCTGGGAGTGTCTTGGCTGCTGAACATAGGAATGAGAAGAGAAGATCCTTCGCAAGGAGTTTTTCTAAAGGGTCTCGAGACTCAATTCCTAGAGCATAACCATCCTGGTTTGGATCGACACCGCGGGTAATTAATTTGCGCTTTGCAACGGTGTCGCCACTTTGGTCGGGTACTGGGAAAGGACTGCAACCAACCACTCTGATCTGGTCAAACTCCCTGGAATCGGGTTGACTCGTTTGAGGGTCTGAGGACTCTGCAGATGGAGCTTCCATGACATCAAGGACCATTCTCAATCCCTGTGGAGCCCACCACTTTATATCATGAATCAACGTTCCTCTCTGGTTCGCTTCCCTCGGTCCGATGAGTCTGATGCTTGGATGAGGGACCTGCTTGCGGCGCCAGTTGCTGCCTTCTGCATCTTTCGTGCTCAGTTGCTGCTTTGTGACCGTGTACAGCCAGAGTGATAGAGCTGCATCAAAGTCCCCTTCGACTACCTTCCAAGTGTCCTTGTCCTTGTCGTGAGATAAGACAAATTTGGCTCTCGACAGGTTATGTTTGGAGGAGCCTGGCAAACGGTATGAGACGTTAAGCAACCATGTCAGCTCCGATTTCCCTTGCACCTTGCCGCTCGGGAATAGTGCTTTCATCATTTTTTCGATCGCCAATGCAAGACTGACGGCCTGCTCGCTCGCCGGCCCCTTGAACTTGACCAGGTCACAGAGCTCCCTTCGAGCTTTCATTACCCGTTGAGGAACTGATTTGACTGGAAGATTCCCGCAAAAAAGCGGTCTGTAATTCGTTACCGGTGTGACGATAGTCCATATTCCCGTTTGGTGCTGCATTTCTTTGTCTTCGCTTGACGGCTCTGTCTTCGTCCTTGGGGGTGGGTTGCTCGTGCCTTGCTGATTTTGCCGTGGTGATACCTGAGGGGGAGTCGTTTCCATAGTTACCCCTGACTGGCTGCCTGTTGAGTGCTCCGGTGGCGAGTTTGTCCTGGGCGGGTTTGAAGAGGATTTCACGTCTTGCTGACCTGATGGTGGTGGTATCTCTGACTGGCTAGATGCTGGTGATGCTGTTTCTGGAAACTTAGGAGGCTTATTTCCAATGGGAAAGTAATAACTCACTTGGATTACATCGAGCAACGAGTTTCCAGGCCAACCAATCGAGCTCAAAGTCGGGTGATAGCTTTGGTATCTTTGAGTTGTCTAGGCCTGTTGCAAACCCTGGCCGTACCAATGCTCGAAGTATCGTCATCAGTCCGACCGCTCCAAGTTGAGCCAGTGTCGCATATGAATTCATCTTTCTCAGACCGATGAACTGTAAGATGAAGCCGACAATGGCGAAAATGACACCGGATATGGTCTCCACTTGTAGGGTCAGCTTCGGAAGGTCAAACCATTTTCTTTCCGACTTTCCTTCCTGCTTGATTTCCCCATTCTTGATTTCCCCTATCGTTTCCTTAGCATTTTTTCGGCGAGACATGGTAACTGTCTTGATCTTGTGGGAAGTGGATATTGCATATGACTCGGAATCCTGATCACTGACTCTCCCCTTTCTTTGGAGCCAGTACATCTGGATGCTGTATTGTTCGCCAACCCCATAGGACTCTTCTCCGCTTTTTTTGTCGACGACGCGGGCACACAAGAACAAGCCGAGCACGAGAGACATGGTACCAGAGAAGGTCAATGGAAATGCGTAGTTGGCGGCAGCCGTGTTGTCCTTTTGGAAATGGCCCCGAGCTTTGCGTTGATAAGACATGATGCCAAAGAAAACCAAGACACCGACTTGCAACAATACCCCGATCGCTGCAACGATCCGAATCCTGACGCGACTGTTGTCTTGCAGGTTCAGGGCTATGTTCGGGGCATCCTCCGTCTTTTGTCGGATGACGGTAATGACGTTGGAGGGGCCTGCCTTGGGTTCCGAATTTCGCGAGGTATTGGATGCAACTGGTTGAGACGTTTGCTGCTCAATGTCGCTGAGATTCTTCTGCATACCTAACTCATAAAATTTAAATAAGGGCGTGATCAATGGAAACTAGAGCAGCTACTCACCTGGTCGAGGGTCTAGGGAAGAAAGGATTCGAGAGATTCTTCCAACTGGTGTATCTTCAGGAGGCTGGATGGGTGCCAATTGTTTCAAGCGCCCCTGCTTAACCGCTTCATCAAGAGACATGAACTCCAACTTGAGCTCTTTCAGGTGCTCGGAATTTTCTGGAGTAAGATAGATGAACTCCCAAACAGGGGCCTCGCCTTGGCACCGCACAATACTTTCACCATTGTAAAGCTCGCCCACTTCTCTCGATGTTGAAGACATCAATTCCATCTCAGCGACTGCCGTGTTCTCTCTTGCTCGACCGACCACGGCCTTGAGAAGCATCGGACCACCCACCCGGATTGCGCTGACAACTATAGTGATGATGCCCAATGGAGCCATTGCTAGGGCCACCCAGTCCTCCCAACCGAGAGATTGTGTCATGAACTGCATCGTAACGCGTTCGCCAAACAGCGCAAGGATTCTAGGTATTCAAAATCAGCCTTCTTGGGTCGACATAGGATCGGGCAGACCGTACGGGGCAAGATCAGAGAGGAGATTATTTGTAAAGTCGTCCAATGAATCCGCATGAGCAGAACCCACAAGGAAGGAGAGGAGCCAAAGGATGCATGCTTGATTGCTGCGCATGTCGAATGTAGGAAATTGGTGAAACGGAAATGTAAACGGGTTCAACTGGGGGAAGCTGATTCGTATGGCATGCATGTTTCATCTTCCCCAGAGAAAGCACAGAGATATATAAGTTTACCAGTTGATCACTTTCCTTCCTCCGACTCCAAACTCCGCCTGGTGTAACACAATGTGGTGGGCTGTATGGCATTTCAACTGTGGCATATGCATTCATGCCAAACATAAGCAGGAATCACGTCGGGAACCATTTGGCGCCTCTTAATTGGCTTGTTGCTTTGTGCAATTCATCTGCATCCCGCTTTACTAACCCAATCGAGGTCAATCTCCATCACAAGGACAAATCTTTGGCACTCGCTGTCCGCCAGCCGTGACCTATGCTTCTCGTCCCGTTCAGCAATTCGCCCACCATCGCAGGTGGCTGCACCTGTGTCTGAAGCTGGGATAGAGACTCTACTGGGAGATCTGCTGTGTTCTGGGTGCACTAGATGCACATTCTACCAATCTATTCTCCGTATACAAGCAGGGCTCGGATATGCCGGCAAATGCCGCATGCAGGCTTCGCTTGGCGAGCGCTCCTACATAAACGGATCCAGGCGGACAATACCACGTTCGGGGCGGAGGCAGCAAAGGGATTTTGTACGATACAGATGGATCGACAATATAAAAGAAATAAGTAAGTATAAGAACATAGCACGAATCTAAATTCTATTTACTCTCTTAAAATAAGTAAGTTACTGAGATAGAATTGAAAAATAGAATTTAAATTAAAATATTTTATTAATATTAAAATATATTTATTAATTTAAAGATATTACAGAAATTACTATATAATCTCTATTTTAATTATAAATTTAAATTAAAAAAGATTTTATTATAAATTATAAATAAAATTTCAAAATCTTTTAAATATAATTACAAGTAATATAATTATTAAAATATATAAAAGAAATTAATATATATATATAGTAAGCATTACAGTCAAGTAAGCATTGTACTTTTCCCTTCTATATCTAACTTTATATTTAATTAATTAATTCTCAACCACTTAATATACCTACCTTTAATATTAAAGCTAGAATCCTTCTTACCCTTTAAGCTCTTTAAAATAACCTAAAGCTAAGTATCTAATATGCTGCAGTAACCTATAAGATTTCTAAGTATTACCTATATCGCTAGTAATAAGATATCTAATCTCGATGTAATACTATCTAGAAATTATATTAGCTATTTAATATAGAGGAATAGATTCTTATTTAGTTTATTTTTAATTTAAATTTATAAGGATTTTCCTTTTAATTATATAATATAAAAAAAATAGCTAATTAATTACTTATTAATTATAATATACTATTAATTAGTATATATTAAGCTTATAATTTTATTAAGTAATATTTAGATTTTAAGATATATTTTCTTTATAAATATAATTATTAAAAAACTAAATATAAAAATCTAATTATTATTTATAATTAATTTTAATTTATAGTAAATATAATTATAAAATATAATATTTAATTAAATAATATTTATAATTTTAATAAAATTAATTTTTTTATAAATATAATTATAAATAGAATAATTATTATAAATATAAAAAGATATTTAAAATTAAAATTAATATAATTTAAAAATTAAAAATAGATTATAATTATTAAAATAATAAATATAAAAAACTAAATAATCTAGCTATTTATTATTAATATAAATTAATATTATTTTATTAATTAATATTAAAAAAGTAATTTTTTAAGTAGTTAAGCTATTATAATAACTTAAAATAATTAAATTAATAATAAAATTAATTTTAAGTAATTTAAATATTTTAATTAATATATAATTAATTAATTAATTAATTTTTATTATTTTTTAATTCTTAATAGCTATAAAAGTTATTATTTTTATTAAATTTAAAAAATATTATAAAAAAAGAAAATTATTTAGCTTTATATATTATCTTATTATTTTTTTATTTTTTTTAGCTTCTTAATATTAAATATTTTAATATATTAAAATAAGCTTATAATTAAAAAATAGAATAATTAATTAGATATTTTATAATTTATATTTTAAAAATTAAATTCTTTTTAATTTTTTATATAATATATAAAGCTATTATAATAAAAAGAAATATTAAAGAAGTTTTTAAAAAAGCTAATTTTATTCCTCTTAATCTAGAAATTATAATCTTAAAATTTAATATTTAGCTATAAATATTAATACTAATTAAAAAAGTAGCTAAGTTATTAATTTCTTAAGCTTTAAGAATCTTAAAAATTATAATTAAGATTAAATTTTAATTTAAATATCTTAAAAAATAAATTAAAAGATATTAAAGTAGCTTTTTAAAGTTAATTTTAAAGATTTTATAATTTTTTATAAAAAAAATAAAAATAATTATATATTAAGTTATCTTACTAATTACTAAAAATAAAATTTTTTAAAAGATAAATAAAATATTAAGTTAATATTAAAAAGTAAAAAAAATTAAATTATAAAAAAAGAAATTATAATAGTAAAAAAAGAAAGATAAATAATTAATTAAATAAATATAAATATGGCTCCTCTACAACCTAGAGGAAGCCGAGACCGAAAGGCGGGCAAATGCATATTATGCAACCTGGACAAGGCTGGTGATGAGTTTACCAGTATAGACCTGACGATAACAACAAGCCCTTTAAGGTAGCAGAGCGAAATCGCAGTGAGGTTTTTATCCTATAGCTAGATAGCTAGAAGGTTTTTCCTCTCTGAATTAGTTAAAGGAGTTCTATAGGCCTAGATATAAGTAAAATAGCGTATACTAAATAAATAAATAAATAAATATAAATATATAAGTAGTAGTTAAATTATTAAGAAGTAGTAATTAAAAAAGATTAATTAGACTAGATATTTAATACTATAGTATATATAGCAAATCTAGCTATAATATAAAGACCTATTAAATAATAATTAAGATATCTAGAGAAGAGTATAGTAAGTAATTTTAATTAATTAAATGATTTATAGTATTCTTATTATAATATCTTTAGAGAAAGTTAAGAAAAGTGCAATACTTACTTAACTGCAATACTTACTATATATATATATTAAATAATATTAGCTAGAATAAAATATAATTATTAGAGTTATTAAAATTATTAAAAGAAAGTTAAAAAAGGCCTGCTTTAAAATTAATTTAAAAGTAGAGAGTTTAGCTGAGTATAAATAGATAAAGAGTTTTTTTTTTTACTTTAAAAAGGGGGGAGGAAGGCTGTTATTATATATTAGGGTTGTATTTTAATTTACTTTGTTAAGTAACACAATAAAGAATATAATACTATTAAGCTTTTAGTCCCCTCTGGATATATATATACTAGGGCATTCTAACCTCTTAACACTAGCTCTACTATTTATTATTCTTCAAGCTGTAATAAAATTCCCTATTTAACGCCAAATTATTAGGGAGCTATACACCGAAATGAATATAAGGAACCCAGTAAAATAGCTTTGCATCCTCGTTACAAATAGTAACATCCCTAATTTCATCCAAACTGCTTGCTTGCCTCAGCAAGGTAGCATTTCTCTCTTGCCATTCCGTCTCAATTCGACCGTCGCGCAGCGCCCTGACGGCACGATGGAGGCCCCGGCAAACGGCCAAGTCCGTCATCCCTTCGTCCTCCATCGTCCTGTAGAGCACTCTGGCCACATCAACACAATGCTTATCCGATACTTTCCAGAGCGTCCCAATAACATGCCGAAAGCCTGCGAGCTGGAAGGCATGGGCAAGATGAACTCCCTCGTCGGCAAATCTGTCCGCCTCGTTGGCCCCCGTCGAGCAAGCCGAGAGATAGGCGAAAAACGGAGGGTTGTCTTGCAGTCTGTGATCCCGGAGGGCACCCGCCGTCAGTGGGTTCGTCTTCCAATCCTCGAGAAGCAAACAACTTTGCGAAGGGTCTGCCGGATCCGACTGCCCATGGCCTGCAAAGTGGAATATTTTACACGTCTGTAAGTGCTTAAGAACCTCATCCTTGCGTGGTGGTGGCATGATCGGCTTGAGCCGGAGCGAGGGACAGAGTGCTGCTAGCATATTCACCTCATCGACGGCGAACGGAAGCAGTCCACTCGTGGACAAGTTCGGTGTTTCGCGCATAGCAATCAGGAGAGCCGAGTCCGGCTCAGGGTTGGTGTGACCTCGAATGCCATATCGGCGTCCATGCATTAACGCCTTGATAGATGAAGCGTATGTTGACATGACTCTGTCCATGACCGTATGAGTAGACGCCACAGCATAGCTTCCTGCTGCGTGAAGAGGAAGCCGGCTGAGATGTCCCGTGGGAATCCACCACACACGAGGCCAATTATCATCAGAAGGTGGATCCTTGAAGCCGAGTGCGTCTAGGCATGGGCGACAGATAGCATCCCAGAGCCATTCCAACAGTGATTCCATGTCGAAGGAGGCTGTTAGATAATGTGAATGCAGACTGTGGGCTCGCTTCTGTACTTCCTCTGACGTGAGAGCAGGTAACTCCACCACTGAAATCCGATCGTGCTCAACAATAAAAGCATCACAACGATACGAACTCAGATTAACAACGACAATAGGGCCTTGGTTCGCAGCGGCCATTAGCTCATCTGCAGTTGGCGGCAGGAAAAAGCTCTCAAATCCTGGCTGAGCACGAATCTTGGCGATGAGTTCAGTGAATTTCTGGTCTGCTTCGCGACGTCGTTTCGCTTGCGATTCCAAGGAAGACGTACTATTGCTGGGAACCGCAGGAGATTGAGTACCCGCTGTCGAATCGAGCTCGTCACGGAGGGATATGAATTCATCTGCCAAACCACAATGCATCTGCTTGAGATCGGAAATATCCCCGCGCATGTCCATCAACAGATTAGCAATGATGCCGCGGCCGAGCTCGAGAAGCTTCAAGGCGTCGTAGGCATCCTTGCCAGCGTTTAAAGCGACAGCGGCCGCCGTGGAAGCGAGGCCCACGAACTTTGCGAGCATGTGCTCCCTGTCGTTATGTGCCGATGACCGCGGACTAACGGCGGGAAGCAGTTCCACGGCTTTTTCGAGCAGCTGGCTTGACTCTTCCCAATTTGAATGCGAGGCGTATGTGCCAGCGGCGCCGAGAGCCAGACGAATACGATTAGACGTCGGAGTACCTGGGCAATTCCAGCCTTCCATGAAAGACGAAAGAGAACGCGTGAGATCGTCCGTCGAACCAACCCGCTGGAACCGCTTGTCGAGATAGCACCCGAGATTGTTTAAATAGCTGGCTCGATCCATGTGGTCTAGAGGAGTTGCCTCTATTGCCAACTCAGCTACCTCAATAGCGTGATTGAGATCATCCATCGAACTAGTCCGGTCAAATCGCCTATCGAGCCATACCCCAAGCGCATCCCAATGACTTGCTTGAAGAGAGTGGTCGTGAGGGGTGGCCTTTATTGCCATACGGGCAACTTCAACAGCGCGATTGAGATCGTCCATCGAGCCAGTCCGATCGAATCGCGCGCCAAGACAAGATCCCAGCGAATTCAAGCAGACGATTCGCTCGGGGTGATCGCAAGCAGTGACTTCAACCGCCAATTCAGCAACCTTTATAGCACGGTCAAGGTCCTCGAATTCAAGCAGACGATTCGCTCGGGGTGATCGCAAGCAGTGACTTCAACCGCCAATTCAGCAACCTTTATAGCACGGTCAAGGTCCTCCATCAGGCCGGCCCGATCAAATCGCCTGAGAAGCCACATGGCAAGGTTGTTTAAACAGGCGGTTTGAAAGGGGCTATTCGGCAATAAGAGCTTGAGCCCAGCATCGGTAACTTGGACGGCGCGGTTGAGGTCGTTCATCGACCCAACCATGTCAAATCGCCTACCGAGCAACATCCCGAGGTTGATGAGACACATGACTCGGCCAGGGTGGCCTAGCGGTATAGCCTCGACTGCCATATCCGTAGCCTCGATTGCACGATCGAGATCGACTTTGGAGCCAGTTCGATCAGCTCGCCGGCCAAGCCACATCCCGAGGGTGTGGAGATAGACGACTCGATGTATGCCATCTTGACGTGTGTCCTTCAACGATAACTCGGCAACCGATATCGCATGGTCGAGGTCGTCTTGAGAAGAGGTTTGCTCGTATCGCCTGCCCAGACAATTTCCAAGAATGCTTAAATAATTAGCTCGACTAGGGGAGTCTTCCGACACGGCCTCCACGGCCAGATCGGCAGCCCTAATAGCGCGATTAAGATCATCCATCACACTAATCCCCTCAAATCTTCTACAAAGCCAAATCGAGAGGTTGGCTAAGAAACGGCCTCGATGAATGTGGCCGGGTGGCGTAGCCTCCACTGCTGTATCGGCAAGATCAATGGCACGATTAAGGTCATCAATCGAGCCAGTTAACCCAAACCGGAGACCAAGCCTTGTCGCAAGATTGTCCAGGTAGCGCGCTCGATCCGGATGCTGTTGAGGTAGAGTATTAATCGTCATATCAGTAACCTCGATAGCCCGATCAAGATCTTCCTTCGAGCTACTGAGAGTAAACCTTTCGATAAGGTAAATTCCAAGGTCGTTTAAGCGTACGGCTCGATCTGAGTGGCCCGGCGGGGTTGCTGCTGCATCCCTCTCAGCTGCTTCGATAACACGGTCCAGAGTGGCCATCGGAACTACCTAGTTTAGAGTTGTTGAATAGTGAGAGAGGTTTGAAACTAATATACCTCTCTATGCACACGTAGCGTGGCACAGTCTGTGAAGTTAATAAGACGCTTATGAACGCCTTGGATTGGTAGTTAGGAAGCGAAATTGAATAAGGAAGGAGTGGGAGGTGAGATGCACTGAGTAAATCGGCTGTGAATATTGAACCAGAAAGTCACGTGAGAAATAGACGGCTTTTTAAACTGAGTTAGTAGGGGGTACTAAGCTTTTTATTATACTATTATAAATGAAAAAAAAAAAAATTGAAAATTGTATATTATTTTTATATTATAAAAAAGTAAAACTTTTTTTATTTTTATTGTTTTAAAAGAAAATAAGTATTCTCTTATTATCTATACTCAGTTATATAAAGAATATTATAAATTTAATAGTAATAATTATAAATAACCTGCAAAAGCTGCTAGGGCAAGACCGTACAGCATTGACCAGCGGCTGGGGCTCTCAGTACCATCGCTCAGCCCCCAGCGTGAAAGAGGCCGAACAACCAGAGCCGCTTGCCTCCCTCCACCGCTCGAATCGTCATCGCAGTTGAACCCCGGACTCCGCCAAGGACGGCCAGCATCATGACGCAAGCGGCGGAACTACCACCGGTGCTACCAGCGACAGTCACACCGCCGGCGAGAAGCGGCTCGGAGCATCATGGCCGTTCAATCAGTGACCTCGTCCTCCCACATCTGGCGGCGGGGATGCCGAGCATCGATGTCGACCCGAGTGCGAGTAGTAGCAGGGTCGCTTTCGAAGATCGGGCGGCAAATGTCGAGGCATGTTTGACGGCCCAAGACCTCCTCATCCTACGGCTTCAGCGGGTGTGGACGCTATAGATGCACGTTTGGCCAAGATGGAGCAGACTAGGCCGTCGGTTGCGACAGCACTGTCTCAGCTCTGACATCAGTGGCTTCGTTGCGCATCGTGTATCGATCACTGTCGCACCCTTTCACTGAGTACAATCCAGACGAGGGGGGCTGAGGACCAGTAATAGTTGGAGCCAGGGTTTGGAGAAACGAGGAAAGAGGAAAGAGGGAAAAGGAGAGGGAAAAGGGGAAAGAAGAAAATTCATCAGCGAGTAACGAGGTCCTCTATGAGTAGTCCAAGAATAGGTTATTCCCATTGCGTTCAATCTTGCAAGGTTGCTGCATCTATTAAGCAATGCATGTCAGAATGAGGCATTTGTTTAACGCACTATCACTCAACGATCTCCACTTGTGGCTGAATTGCGAATTATCCAGTATTTCCAGCCTGATTCCTTAGCTTCATGAGCGTATTGGGAGGGGCTGGGGAGATGCGTCCGTTTGGTGAATATGGCTACCACACGCCAGCCAACTGCTAGCATTGAGGACTTGACGACCAGCACGGCTATTTCCTGAGGCTCGAACAACTTTTTTTCTTGTGACAGCCTCTCTGACTGAAGTCGACAAGTTTCTTGTATCAGGACGGAGGCGGCTTAGCCGAGTTGGCCGCCTTGGCCGCATTAGTCTCAGCCTTCTCTCCTCTTTCGGGTAACCTTTGCGGTCCAAGTGGCGCAATGCGCCTCGGGGACAAGATGCTACAAGCAAGTTGGTCAAAAAAGGCCGACATTATGTCTGTTTGTCTTCAGCTATCGAGGAACATGTACCTGTACCGACGAGCAGTTTCAAGCGGCTCTGTTCAGCTCCGTATTGCGCCCAACCGGATGACTTTGCTCTGCTCCATAGGGCACGCCACACTCCATTCAACCACCCGTTATCACCGCATATCCCACCGCCTTAAACGGCTGTATATATTACCTAAGCTCCTGGGACTCAGATCTAATTACCTGGTACGTCTCCGGCGATGCCTGGGCAACTCTACCCGGGATCTGGAGATGACTAAGAATGTCAGCTATCGAAATATTCCTATTCGAGGACAATAGCAAAGCGAATCATATTCACCCCTGCATTCTCTGACTCCTTCTCTACGAGGCGGCCCAGATGACCATATGGTTCAATTGTCTGGAGAGGCCGACAGGGGTATCTGCAATATAATAATCAAGAAACCCTTATCTGGCCTTGGACAACCCCCACACCCCTACCTTCTCGTTCGAAGTACCCGGCAGACCGCACCATTTCACCATACTTCCGAGTATGGCGACTTTGCTATCATCAAGCTGGTGAGGGACTCGCTCTCATCCATTGACGAGGCCCGCTATGCCGCCATGCACGCCATCATTCGACGCAAGGATTGGGGCAAGACAAAGACAGCTTTGCAATATACTGTCAAAGCCGAGCACAGCAGCGTGGAAGTGCTGAGGGAGCTTATGAGTTCCATTGCCTAAGGGGACGCGAATTAACTTGACGCCAGTTTTGCCAGTGACATAAGGGACCGCGCAGAGAACTTTATAGAAGCGTTCCTCGATTGTGAGGAGCTGGAGGAACGTTTCGTGCAGAGTAAACATATCCTTAAAGCTATGTAGCAAATACCACGCAGTAGCAACCTGAACCTCAGCGACTGACAGAACGCAATAGAGCATTCGAGACCCAGGGCTAGATCAGTCTCTTGATAATGCAAAGTGTTTTATTTTCTGGCGTATGTAGACATGAAGTTTCTACGGATGCTGGGGTTTAGTTCGAGAATAGACGCTCGCAAGTTGTATTTTCATCGAACAAAGCTGCTGTACGATTTAAAGTTCGCATCAGATCGTGTCACAGTAATCCAGGCCTTGCTTCTAATGACCTACTGGCATGAGACGTTCGATGGTGAGAAGGATGCATCACATTGGATTGGGATAACCATCTCGCTGGCTGAAACAACCTGTATGAGCAGTCTCTTGGGCACAGCTACAACCTCGGATCAAAAGCTCTGGAAGCGCATCTGGTGGTCTTGCAACACTCAACATTTCTTGGTAGACCTGGGATCGAGAGCCAAAATCGAATCCGCCAAATTCAACGTCCCTATGCTGGAAGAAGGCGACTTCGACAAACGGGTCCTCCCAGATACTGGAATACTCAATTCTGCCCCGTGTACGCTTCTTGGGAATATCGAAATGCAATCCCAGCTCGCTTCGCAGTTTGTGGCTCAGGCGAAGCTCTGTCTGTGCATTAGTCGTCTGTTGGCTATACAATACTATGTCGAGTTCCGAGCAGGAATGGCTGGGTGTGGCGCGATGAAAAGTGCTATGATGCCTTCACCGATTTCATCTAGCTAAATATCGGTCAGCAGTATTGATAGGGCGTTGAAGGGTTGGGGAGAATCGTTTCCAAGTTGTTGCCGGAACCGGACTCCTTCGCCATCCGAGGACGGAAGGTCAGCCATTGTACTGCATCTCGCCCTTCTACATATGCTTTACCATGCAGGCATAGTAGCTCTTCATCGGCCATCGTGTCAACCGTTCCTCGACGCCAGTATTGAGTGCCAGGCCCATTCGCATTCAATGATGTCAGAGGCCGCTGTGTGAATTAGTCATCTTGCTGCGATGCTCCATAAGGAGGTCTTGGCCAAGTAGGTCTTTGATGAGGTAACATACTTACGGCACAGGCATGTTCCCTAAGACAGAGGAGAACACATATGATCCTCTGCCTAGAACGGCATATGCTATTTTGGAGTGGAGGGGCAGAGTGAATTGAAAAAACGGGGGTAATATGAGATGTTGGATCCGCTACGACCAAGCCAATCGGGGCAAAATCGTATGGTCAAATGGTCTGACTTCGAAGGCGTCATTATATGGATGTTTTGGTTACTTCCTTACCCCTCACTCATCCTCTATGACTAAGGCCAGGATGGTGATGTATCAGAGGATTGTTCCCAGCCAGCTCGTATTCCGCCAGGGTCAATCCAATTGGTCTTCCGGTACACACACGTCACATATTGGGATATGAGATTACTACGGCTATCGCGGCAGTGATTTTCCTTCTACCATCGTAGGCGGTCTATCGCCACCTGCCTCGTCAGCAGCCTATTTTCTTCTTTCAGGTCAATAAGCTAGCTGAAGCCAAAGACCCCGCAGTACCCAGAGCGCCTCGTCTAGTCGAGGTCATCGTCATTTTCCTTCAGGCCCAAAGACCTTCATTAGACTGGCAGAATATCAAGAACTTTTCTCTCACATGATCTCGTCCAACGACTTGAGGCAACACACATAAAGTTAAACAGCAGGGGGAAACGCGGTCACCGGCTGCTTGTTTGTGGATTTAACGTCCTCCTCGTTATGCAAGAGAGTTACTGGACTTTTGAAGGTTCAAGCCCCAACGGCTTCTGCCATGAATTTTGCAGCATCCAGCGGACGGAATTAGCCATCGTTAGCCACCATAGATCTCCACTGAACACGAGCAAGCGCGGTGTGCGAAATCATGATTCCGTAATGCAGATTCATGGCGTTTTTGGTGGAAAGTATCTGTGTCCGGCTAAAACTCCGAGGCCCTGATCATCGACGTATAGGCAGACATTAAGCGGTCATTGAACGCCCCGTTGTGGCACCAATTAAATTACGGGGTGAGCCCACGTAACGCACTCATTTACCAACATCTTCAAGATTGAAGAGTCTCCTTGCTAGAGAGCCGCAGATCCGTGGTGGAGAGCGGTAGGTGGCGCAGCAAGCCACACCACATCAGCGCGGGGATCGAGGGGTGATGATGGAATAGAATCTAAAAATACGAAGAGGCTCTGAATAGACATAAAATGTATCGTCTCTTCGCTCATCTCGTATCTCAATTCTTCTCTTCCTGCACCTCTTCCTACCCGTGTCGCTGTCACCAAGCTTTTTCCAGACTTTCAACTCCACATATCCATACTTACTAGTAACTTTGAGAGCATCAAAATGAAGGTCTCTGCTATCACTCTTACCCTCATGCTTGCGGCCTTTTCCTGGGTAAGCTTCTCCAAGGACATATTCATCCATCCCGTCAGCAACTAACATGTCGGTGATCCAGGCTCAAAACAGCGACGTCAGTTCCATCATTGATAAAGCTTCCAGCGCTCTTCACAGCGTCAGTGCCGCTGCCAAGAGCGCCGAGAGTGCGGCCAAGAGCGCCGCCACAGCCAGTGCCGCATCGGCTACTAGCACCGAAAACAGTTCTTCCCATACTGTCCATACTATCAACACCAGCAGCGCCGCTGCCAGTATCAGCAGCAAGATCAGCAGCATCAGCTCCGTGCTCCAGACTGCCCGCAGCTCTGCCTCCTCCTCTCTCAGATCGGCTCTCGCGTCGGCCAGCTCCGAACTTGCGAGTGTCACTAAAACCGCCAGCTCTAGTTCGAGCTCGTCCGAGGGCGCTGGTTCTATGCCGACTGCTGCCGTTGCCGTCGGTGCTCTCATGGGCGGTGCGGCCGTCCTCGTCAACATGTAAACAATCATGACCTTGATAAGATACTACAACAGCACACCCAATTCTGGAAGAATCCAATGTCAGGTCGACAAAATGGGTAAATACGCATACGGAAACAGACGTGGGGACTCGGAATTTAGTATCAATAGGCGAGACGGGTGTTGCGGCGCTGGGAAAGTCTCCTTTTACATTACATCGCTCATCTGCCAGCAATTGAAGCCTGGAGCCATGAGCGCATAATGGTAGTAGTATCTGGAAATAGGGTTAAATAGGGGGCACTAGTATACATACTTGCGGGTTAATTAATACGCTTCTTTGAACGAGAACGCCGGTTACTCTATGAAATCTAGCAAAAATTCCAACCATCCAGACACCACCAGCTACTCTAACTAGTGTAAGTTATGCACATGTAGAGTATAAACCGCTCTGTGACATTTGATAATCAGGAGCCAGTCAGTCTTTAATTTCCTCTTCGCCCACCGCGTGCCGTTCTTCTACTTCGAACGAGTTAGAGCCTTCGTCATCGCATGTGTAAATGACCAATTCAAAATACGAGATATCAAACTTGTTTCTCTCCAACTTTTCCCTGGAACTTCTCCTCAGCTGCCGCTTCCTCTGTGCCGAGAATGACGCTTGCAACGGGAGATGTGTAAAGAATGACGTCTTCTCCTGGCTTCATAGACACTAACGAACCTAGTTGCTTCAGGTTTTAGTGACTCTCGCAGCACTGTCCGCTAAGTTCGGCCCGCGATAGCCGATAATACGATCAGAGACCCACCAAGATTGCCGAGATCCGCTGTTGGCAAACAGGAAGAGTATTCAAGTATTATTTCCTACTCCACTGAGTAGCTCTTCCACCCCATCAGCTAGTAGCATTACAGCGCGTTGGCAGGCCAGACGTGGCTGTAATGATCAGATCTGACATAAAGACAGTGTTTAAAGAGTGGCTTGAGAGATGCCACCAAAATTAATTGTCTTAATTCTCAAAAAGTCCCAATGCCATATTTACTACCCTCCCTTCTAAAGCCACTGTGTTTAATACCGCGCTGTGCTTTTGCGTCTTCGACATGTTCAATGACCTTATACGCGATCGTGTATGAGAGGTCCATGTGTGATGCCGTCCTTGAATCCGTGACCGATGCGGAATTAATTGACTTTTTCTATGAACCGTTTCGAAAGCTCCTGGTATATATTCTGATGGATGAAGAATGTGTTTACGCGTACACAAGTTTGGCCGGAATGTCGGGACTTGGAAGTGATTGCATCGTTAACTGCAAGGTCGATATCAGCGTCTTCAAACACGATGAAAGGTGCCAGCTTGCCGAGTTCCATTGAGAGCTATCTCAATGTCGACGAAGATTGGCTCATAAGGAGTCTTTTGACACGCACAGAACCCGAAAATAATATTTTACGAATAATCGGACTCTCCTTGATGGCAGCTACGACCTTCACCGTGTTTTGAAGTCCTCCAATGACGTTATTACGCCTTTAGAAAATCCCCTTCGCCACCTAGGTCACCCAGGGCCAAGGCAGTCAATGGGGTCTCTGTGGGAAGTTTGAGAACGACGGTGCAACCGGCTACGAGAGCTAGTCCAGATTTTCGAGTCACCATAGCGAGAGGCAAGTTTCACGGCGTGATACAACCACAGACCCCGATGAAATCTGTGCTGGAGAAGTTTGCAGACATCACTTTCGCGCAAATTCTCGTCCTTAGCATACCCAAATCAGAAACCCTACCCGCTGTTAACTTATAAGTCAGCATAAAGGCTAGGCATGCTGACAGCGCAATCTAAGTTGAGATGAGATCATCAAGAGCACCGGTCATTCTCATATCAAAAGGCCAGCCGAGCGGTCCTACCCTGCCTCCCACAACGAAACAACTCGTCTGATCACAACCCTTGCGCAACAGGTTATCGCTTCATCAACCCTTTGTTCAAACGGCAGTTTAGTCTTATCCCATCCACACCTGCTTGCCATCAATTCCCCAATGGAGAAAGCTAGATGGTAACTCTTACAATAACAGGATAAGTAGGTCACCCGTCTATCCAAGTTCGACTTGCGCTATTGAACCATGGCGGATTCTCTGGACGACATTTACGAGAAGAGAATTTTTTACCCCGGGTTCTCTATCAGGAATTCAACTCGCCCATTTCGGCTTATTCATGTCTCCCGTTTGAGCCAACGTCCAACGTCAGGTCCTTCACCTGTCTGAAACCGAGCGATCTAAGGGTCGTTTGAGGAACCCAAGGTGGCCTCACTGTGGCTAGTATGACTATAAGTACATGGTTGAAATGCCAGGTGGATCAGATACTCTAGGAAGGACAGCACAGGCCGCAGAGCCACCGCAGAAGACAGCGAGATGGATTTCGTAGCCTGTATCTACCTCCGAGGAGTCACTCCCCGAGTATTCAACTTCAGCACCAAGTACATCGGCGTGACTTATACTTCTAGAGGATCTGTAGCCTTTAAGGTAGATGGGAATCCCTTCGTCAGTTGAATTCCTTTCGCTAGCCGTCGACATTAGTGGATTTATGCGAAAATTCAGGAATTTGCATGATTAGAGCCTCTAGCTCTGGTCACCTTCTGGCGTTTTTATTGCGTAGGGTGGGGGTTCTTTCTGCGTGTCCTAGATCTATAATGCTTACGGAGTGGCGAGTATGAGGTTGGACGGGAGTGATTCCCAGCAAGATGTAATCCAGTTTCTGGCAATGTCACATGTTAGGAGATCGGTTTTCAACGGCTATTGCGGAAATGAAGTTTTTCCGTCTATCATCATAGCTCTCTATTGCCACCTGCCTTCCCACCGGCCTTGTCACCAGCCTAGCTTTTCCTTCATGCAGCTCAATAGCTAGCTAAAGCCAAAGACCCCCCGGCTGCACGAGGTCATCCGAGGTCATCATCATTTTCTTCGTCTATAAGACTGACCCCAAAGACCCTTATGAGATAGAAAGAATACCAAGAGCTTTCTGCACATATAATCATCTACATCTGCCGGATTAACAGACCACTTTCGATGTAGTTGTGACTGAGAGGTGACGACGCGTTAATACAACCGATATTCAATTTTTTTTTTAATCTTTCTCTCCAATTAACCTTCAACGGTTAAGCATCAGCAAAGAAACCATCATTCGACGTCGTTTGATTAGCAAGCTCGGGCTTTATTATCAAGTCCTAGCAGGCCGACGAATTGACTCGTTCGTCAGTTTCATACGCATCTAACCTTCGGGAATACTGCTTTGAAACTCGGGTTTGCTTCCGATACTTCGTACGTGGGTCTATTCAGGCCTATGTTCAACGCGGGCATAGTAGTCGACGGGTTGCGGTCGGCCTATCAGGCTCCGCCAGTCGGCAGCCGACCAATAATACTAACCGACGTTAAGCTAGACGCCTTAGGTACGGCGAAGAAAGACCCGAAGATAATAAGGAAGGAGAGCATTTACGTCGGGGACGGATTAATTAAAGTCGTGCCGGCGAAGCGCCGAACGCGGCAATGATTCCCGTTACGGACAAGGCCGACGTCCTGACACCAGGAACAAACTCAACCAGATCATGTCATTTACCCCCCACACTTCCCCGCAACTATGGGATCGGATGGTCGAGCCTATAAGGACGATGAAGCTTATTGAGCCAAGGCTAGGGTCGGATATGAGTCGCTAATCGGACGTCGCTACCACATGGTCAAGAGAAGTGTAAGTGGCCCAGAGTCGTATTTCACCGACTCAACCGCCGGCCTAGACATGGATATATCTTTCCATCATGCAGGCACAAGGGGCACCACGAGCTCGCATCCCCAAATCCCCAAATCCCCTCACACGCTGCAGACATGGCTGGCCGCAAGGGTCTGGCTCGGCATGTCTTAGTCGAACGACTTGGAGAGAGGCATCTATGCCGAGGCTCGATTGCTGGCTCAGCCCACCTTTACCTCTTTTTTTTCGCGTCGAGTCGATTTAAGCAGCAGGTCACAGCTGTAAGCGGAGCAAATACACTGTTTCATCAGATACCGCACTCTCCCCAGGCGGCAATATTCACCATAGCCACAGACCGGGGTATAACGGAATGCCCGGGTCCCGCCATCACACGGACGGGCTGTCGGGCGGCTCCACACGGCCTGGCTCCGATCACGACATGCCATCCGGTCATTTCCTGGGCCGTCCCGGGGTCACGATGCAGCCCTGGCCGTCATGCGATCCACCGAAGCGCGCCAGAAGCAGGGAGGCGGCACGATTGCCGAGCCTCCCTGGCATGTCTTTCAGTTCACATGCATATTGCCTAGATTGTCACAAGTGAAAAGGGCCGTTTGCTGCTCCGTGTGGCCGACCATCGTCGACCGCGGGGGTGGAGCAGCATGAGCCAGGGGGGCATGAACCCGGAGGAAGATGGTCCGGGTAGAGACGAATCTGGAATAATCACCATGCCGATGAGACGAACGCGGGTTGCTTGAGACCACAGTGGAAAGTAGAAATAGGGGCCGTGGGACAACTACTTAAGTCACGACTGCCCCTGATACCTCACTTCCCCGTTGTGATAGCCTCATCGACAGGAATTGACTCTCCTCTGCGACCGCCTCTCGTTTCTGAACCATTAATTCGCGCCCACTGTACATACTTTACCTTCGTTCCTCCCACCATCAGTGAGTCTTGTGTCTTACAAGCCAAACTATGACTTAGATGTCATTGAACCAAGAGCAAATTCCTAACATATTTCCCAGAAACCGCCATGGGCCTCGGAAATATCCTCACGGCGCTGGCAGCCTTCCTCCCGGCCATCCACGCCGCGGTGCCAGCCATCGCCGGCTTTTCGCTGACCTGGAGTGACGACTTCGTCGGCACGGCAAACAGCCTCCCGAACCTGGCCAACTGGATCGTCGACACGGGCACAAGCTACCCCGGCGGTCCCTCGCAATGGGGCACGTCAGAGATCCAGACGTACACCAGCAGCACCAACAACCTCAAACTCAACGGCAATGGCGCGCTTCAGATCACGGCCATCAGGGACTCGGCCGGCGGATGGACATCGGCGCGTATCGAGACCCAGCGGTCCAACTTCATGGCCGCTGCCGGCGGTAAAATGCGTATCCAGGCCAGTTTGAACTTGCCAGTTGTGGGCAGCAACGGCATCGGGTACTGGCCCGCCTTCTGGACGCTCGGCAGTGCGTACCGCGGCAATTACCAGTATGTTAACCATTCCTCTCTCAAGAGAACAGCCCCTCAAGGGAAACAAGACATAGAAGAACGGGGAAATTATGAACATAGTCTAACCGGCTTTAGGAACTGGCCATCGGTCGGCGAATTCGACATCATGGAGAACGTCAACGGTATCAACCGCGTCTGGGGCGTCATGCACTGCGGCGTCAACCCCGGCGGACCGTGTAGGGAGACGGACGGTCTCGTCAACAGCCGCGAGTGCCCCAACACGCCCTGCCAGGGCAACTTTCACACCTACACACTCGAGGTCGACCGTACGCAGTCGCTCGAGGCAGTGCGGTGGTTTGTCGACGGCATCCTGTTCTGGCAGATCGTGTCGACCGACCTGCCATCCGACGTCTGGGCCCAGAGCGTTCACAACCCGCACTTCATCTTGCTCAATCTGGCCATCGGCGGCGCGTTCCCGAACAACAACTACGGCAGCTCAACGCCGCTGGCCAGCACCGTGTCGGGCGCAACGTTGCAGGCTGAGTATATTGCTGTATACAATGCGTAGGCGGGTTGTGGTGGTTGGTATTTATGTTTGCTTGCGGCTTTTATGAGGGGACTGATCTACTGCTACGTATTTGATTCTTGTTCATGTTTTATTTATTTAGTTCACCCTGTATGTATACTTCTTGTTCATGTTTTATTTATAGCTAGCTGTAGCTGTATGTATATCGTGTGGGTTGTTTTTGTTTAGTATCCCGCCTTTTTCTTGCTTATATCTGTCTTGAGTGAGAAGTTCATGCCGGTCCTAGAGAGTGTACGAGAAACAGTCGTCGTGGCCATGAGTGAACATGCGACCGCACTGGAACCGAGGATCCGGTTCCCTCAGCAAGTAGGTATTCCTACTGTAATAGGGCCAACGGTCCACATGGAGTTTAAAACAATAGCGGCCAGCAGCTAACTTAGGATAGCCCCAGTTAAGACGTTGAGTCTTCTTGAAAAATAAGACGGCACGCTTTTTCCTGTCTCTGAAATATATGACACCTTTTATCCCAGTACGTTTATTACACTATAGCTATTATAGCAGCTCTTATCGATGCTTTCCTTTTCTTTCTCTCTAGAAATCTTAGAGAGCTGTAGATTCATTACTCTCTGTATCTCTTACTTCCAGGCGCTAGCATTATTATTACTTACTCTTATTTTTTATTCTTCTCTACCCCCTACCCTGCGGATAGATATAGTCTACACTATAAGCCTTTCCCACCAACAAACTACGCGCAACATAATCCTACCAAGCCCAAGATCGCTTTTAAATAGTAAGGACATATTAATGTTTAGACAGCCAGGGCTGTGATTTGGCCTCGGTTACCTAGGGTCAAACAGCAAACACGCAAGAAGGGTAATCCTCTCCCGCCTAAGAAACGGAAATGGCTCGCAATTGTTAAGAAGAATGTGGAATTTAAACTGAGCTAGGTAAGGTTCTAATACTAGAAGCTGTTTGTTGACCCTAAACTAAATGCAATATTGTTCCATGCTTACTGCTTGAGGAAATAGCTCCTCGAGAAGCAGTGCCCACATGCTCAAGACTAACCCCTCTTTAATCACTCACCTTCATTTCCTGGACGCTTTCTGTTATGCCGCTGAAGGGGCAAGCGGATGGAATTGAAGACTGCTGGCCGGCTTCTTTGCCGGCTACGGGACGGCTTCCGGCAGAGCCCAGTACTCCAGTAAACTCCTCACCATCCCTCACATACCATTTCGCAAAGAGATCGTTTTGTATCCAGATGACCTTGCTCAGGGCCTTGACCATAGACGTTCTTTTGGACATCGGGAGGGCGTTGTGTGATAAAATCGCTTCCGTCAAGACATGTTGGATCAGGCACAAAGTGGCGCTAATGTGGATGTATTCGACGTTCAAGGGCTTGCTCCGGTTGAGTCCGACATGCATGGCTCTAGATGACACTAGCAGTTAGTACAAGGATTTCAGGTTGGGATTAAAGATCAGAGAGCTAAAGACCGTCGCTGCACTTACCCAACTTGGTCTAGATACTCCCAAAAGGCCATTTTGGATTGATCAGAGCAGATCTTCGTGAGGTAAGATGTCAAAAACATCTTTCTCTGCCTCAGCTCATGGCTGTTTTCGTCAATGGACACTTCGAAAGGCGCATCGGAGCGGGTGTCTCTCATTTGGAACGCTCGAGCAGTGATGTCGAATTGAAGGAGCTTCTGATAGACGATGTGTACGACGGCGGGGATCAAGTCCTTGACAAACTTGGACCCAAACGCTAAGGCTTCTAAATCATCTGAAAGAAATATCGTGTCAGAATGGAATGGTCTTTGACCGAGGTTGGGCACAGTAACAGATTAACAGGCGATCCACTCACTCTCATCAAAGTCGAGAAAGCGATGTAAGTAGTCAATCCGGGCTTCCAGGTTCGTGTATAACGACTTGCGGTCAATGTGCTCAAAAGTTTCCGTCATTTTGAAGAATGTAGAAAACAAAGATGGTCTCCGGAATGGTAAGATATGGGGTAAGCAACGTGGAGTGTCAACGAAGGGTGTGAGGAAAACCCCATACCGAGACGGAATGCGGTGTCCATCATTTATCTTCCCAACCTGACTCGAGATCTGTATCTCACCTTGCCCTATTCTGGCTAGTGATACCACCCCACACAGGCGGAGTCGTAGTGCTGATGCGCATCATCCACGCACAGATCGAGGAGTGTCGGCTGCGTAGCGACGGAGGATGGAGAGGTGCTATACGCACTAGCGTTGACCGAGATGCTGGGAAGCACCTGGATGCGCAACATTTCATCGGTGAAGACTATATCTCCTGTGTCCGTGCTTATCAATGCCTGCTTCAAACGCATGGATGTTGGCGTGCTTATGACTGACGATTGGCTGCTCCAAGGGAGGGGTAAGAGATGGGATGCAACTCCCTGTTGTAACAGAGGCGGAGAGGGGAAGCAGAGGTCTGACCGCCATGGACAAGGATATAACAACGGCGATTTGGGCACCAGAAGTTGCGAATACAGCGGGTTGATGGCCCGGGACTATGCCTTTCTATGGTGTAGTCGTGGGTCCACTGATAAGTTCGCGGGGCTGTTCCGGAGCCGACTCCCATTTTAGAATGGCCCCTGTATCGAGGACGACTGAATCTCGGATTCTCAGGCGTGCTGGGGTGAGATAGCGGCACCGGCGTGTGGTGAGAGCCAGCAACGGAGTAGTGTATTATTGGAAATGGGCAAGGGTCCATTGGCCGCGTATCACGAGGCATCCTGACACGCCCGGATGGATTCCCGATTGGCCGGGGGTATAACATGGCTATCACTAGATCTCGGTGTAGTCAAGGGCCACACTGTTCGAATTCCATCCAGCTTTCCCAGCAGAACACGTGGCTTGGCGTTACAGGCATTGTCATATGCGTAAAATGATTGTCGACGTAACGTTCCCCGCGCGACGCATTGAGAGATATAAATTGCAGTCGTACAAATGATACAGGGTAGGTTGAGTAGAAAACGCATTGGGATGTCTGTCAACAGGGCCTGGTCTGAAAACACCACAGTAACAATCAGCAAATATTCTCCCCCGCTGCTAAGGTATCATGGCGGCACACATCTCTGGGCGGTTTGACTTCTGTGCGAAACCTGGTGTCCGTTGGCTTAGCTATGGTCATCAAACGCCTACGATGAGAGCACGTCCAAATTTGAATGAGGTTTCGCTAGGCAGTATGCCGGCGGGCTCAACTTGAGACCGCCACGCTACTCTCGTGTACGAAGACCAGCCTAGTACGTAGGATCTTTGCATCGTGTCTAACTTGTCGCAAGTAGAAAATTTCCTGTTCTACGAGTTGAATTGCAGTGGTGTGTTTTCACACTGGAATGAGGGTGCCGGTAGGTGCCCCAAAAAGTCCCTAGCGTCAGTTGCACCCCCATTACGCAGCTCGGATAAGAACAGGAGAAGTATTTCCTTACCATTAGCTGCCCTCGGCTTGCCTGGAATTTCTGTATCTTGGACGCTCTCATACATCGCAAAAGGGGTTGCGCCCCTTGATATGTGCTAGCAAAACTTTGAATTGAATCATAATACAACAAGTCTAAATGCATGTTGGTTAGTTCCATGAATGTAAGTATACAATACACGTTTCAAGTTGCCTTTTAATTCGTACCGGGGCTATTCTTAGTGGTGGATTTTAAGCTACCAAACTGACGTTGCTCGTACAACAATATTTCCAGGTCCAGCAGCAGGCTTGTAGACGAAGCTGGTCTTTGGAACGCTGCCCAACTAGCGTCACCAGAAGAGGCCCAACACATCTTGACAGCATCCTTATGACGGATGGACTCAAGCCAGGTCCTTAGAGTGCAGTGGTAACTGATTTCTTGCGCCTTAGAGTATCATCGATACCCACCAAGTGATGCAGCAGCAACGAAACAGTGCGGATTGCCGACACCAATACACGCTACGGGCACTGAGTCAATTCTCCCGACAAAGTTATCCGTAGAGCACAGCTTTCCAGGATGCGAGCCAGTTATACTATCGACGGCGACGTCATCAGCAGGTGCAGCCTTGTTCTTGATAACGGGGATAAGAAGCCATGTTCTCGATAACGGAGATAACAGGCATGATGATGTGCGGAGAATCGCCGGAAATACGCCATGCTGATCCGGATTACAAATTCCGATGCCGATCCAACTCAATGCAAACGCTGAGAATAATCTCAATTGCCCCGCGTCCCTACGTCCACATCATCATCAATAATCTGCAGGGATATTACGTCCACAGTTGAGAATCAAGCTCTCACCGTGGCTCGAATAACCCCTCGCCGCTTTACTCTATAATATCCTTGAAGAAACCATTCGTTTTCGAACTCATTTTCGCATAAGCGCGGTGCATATATTGCGGCATTTTCAGGGATTGGAATAACCATCCAATGATAAACAGCTGTCAATAGCGCAATTACGAATGACCATGGGCGAAGAAACACTTCCTGTTATTGGCATCTTGTCGATTGGCGACATGGGACTTGGCATCGCCAGACTCTTGATCAGCCAAGGATATAGAGTCGTCACTTACGCAGAGGATAGAAGGCAAGTTACCTGACACAAATATTCCTCAGTTGCAATCGGCGTGGAACATGAAATTTGTCACATTTATTTGATGCGACTGGATCCTAGAAACGACAATGCTAGAACTCCACTAACCGCGTTGGGAGAGTTAGCGAGCGCACTCGCGATAGAGCTCGATCTAACAGTGTAGAACTCTTATCCTCTATCAGCGACTTAGTCAATCAGTCTGACTGCATGCTTTCCATTGTCCCGCCGCGAGATGCGTTAGCTACTGCACAGCGTGTACTCGACGTCGAATCCCATGGGCGAAAACAACCCCTGTACTACTTGGAACTGAACGCTATATCCCCAGGCTTATCGGCCGAAGTGGAAGCTTTGTTTCAGGGCAACGAGAGTATCACCCTCATTGATGGTGGGATCATCGGAGGACCTCCGTCCCCAAAGAATGACTCACCGACAGGCTGGAAGTGTCCATCCCTGGTTACATCTGGACCGACCAAGCTACCTTACGAGGATCTGGTCCAGAAACTCAACATGAAACATGTTTCTCCGAGCATAGGTGGTGCTTCGGGTCTCAAAATGTGTTTTGCAAGTATGACCAAGGGATTCATTGCTCTTGCTATTGAGTCTTTTGTGACGGCAGATTCACTCGGTGTTCTCCCAGAGTTGCGTCAACAAATGGAAATGCACAACGCCGAAGGCCTAGCTATTGCCTCCCGAGGTATAACCAGCATGCCTCCCAAGGCTTACCGCTGGGTGTATGAGATGCAGCAAATTGCGGTCACAATGCACGAAAATGGTGGATTTAACAAGGGAATGTATGTGTATCCTCAAGCAAGAATTGACCATGGCAGGTTGCAGAAGTAACTAAACTCTCTCAGGTTCGATGAAGTTGCCGAAGTCTATCGTGTTGTCGCCGAGGACACCGAGCTTGGCCTAGAGCAATCGGGGGAAAGAAACAGAGGGACAACAGTGGAAGATGTTGTAGAGGCAATGCAAACCGGCATGAAGAATGCGAAACAAGGTAGCTAGGTTTATAGCTAATCACCTAGCTTTGGTATGCCATCGGCGATTCTGGAGCTGGTGATACCTCTGGTGTATCGCAACGGGATATACAGGGTAAATGAAACAGTTATTGGTTTGAACATGTGAATCGGATGTTTAATTTCTTTGATTTTCAATGCGTGACCACTTGTGCTGCGTAACTGTCTTTCGCCTTAGTGACTTATATAAAATTCCATGTAAATAGTTGACAAGCAGCTATCGGGACATCTACAGCCCGGTACCATAGTTTCTGAAGCAATCATTACAATTATCATCTTTGGTCTTCACTATTGTCCTGAACACTATTGCCCTGATCGAATTAACCGTATTGGATCCGACAGAAGCCACGAAATTGCACCAGCCAAGTCAATAGGACTTAATTGGATCGCCTCAATGGATATGTCGTGAATGTTTGCCCACGAAACTAATCCAATTTCTGTCTGCTCCCTCAAGGTGAGCAAAATGTCTTCACAATGACCAAATATCAAGCTTTTCAGCTAGGAAAATTGGCTCAAGATACGAGCTACTAAATAAGAGGGGCCTACGGAACTGCAAGGTAAATATCAGACAAAGGATGGATTGGATAAGACAGCTTTAGTGACGATGGAATTGCTTGATTTCTCTATCTATTAAAGGGCTAGGGATTGGTCTTATAGATGAGGATGAGGTCGGCCTCTGGGGGCCTCCGGGGGCCTCCGGGCCCGAGGTCCGGAGGTCTGAGGCCGGAAGACCTACCTGCCGGAGCCCTGAGACTTGGTCCAGACCGGATTCCTAGCAGCCGGCCTGGAAGCCATTTCAGATATCGTAAGATCGTCAGTTATATAACAGGTCAGATTCCAACAGTCCCTATCAGGCTGTCTGACAGTAAACGCAGAAGGCAGACTCGAGATGACCTAATTGTTCCCTATACTTCGTTGCTCCCAACACACCAATCTGAAGCTAAGTACAGCATTTCTGAATAGATCAGTGCTATCTTAGGTTATGGATAAAGAGAGTTTATTTCCACTGTAATACTGATTTTATGCCGTCTTCGCTGAGGCCCCGCTCCTCTTTCCTCTAGCACGGCCAGGAACCCTGCCAATGTGCTTCGTTCCGCCCGCGAGGTCTATCATGAACTGTAGCCGCTAATCCTTTGTTGTTAGCTCCCGTTCCGTCTTTGCCCTGCCCGTACACTTAACATCCGGTCCAACTCTCTGTAAGCATGGTCGCTTGAGTTGCATAGCCAAGTTCCAGCCAACACGGGTCCAAACTCGGTCCCAGAATCCTTCCTGACAAATGCCTGGTAGACTGCCCAATCGTCGGTTTCAATTTCGAGGTCGTTGTCTCCTTGTTCCCAGATGATTGCACAGTTGGCTTGGATGCGTTGGTATCGAGCAGTGGACATGGCGAGATATGCAGCTGCAGTTTTGTGGGAGCGATGGATTCGATTGATGTGAAGAAATGTTGTGGCTGTCCGTTCTCTTGTCGATGTCTGGGATCAAAATCCTGGCCCACTGAGAAGTGCAACAGAGGGCACCAAAGGCTTCTCGATGGATCCTTTATAGTCTAACTTATCAATGTAATAGCGTGTAATTGATGATGGTGTTGATGCTTGCCTCTGCCGTTTATCCGGGTCGGCTGGAAGAGGGGTTATCAGACCGCGATTCTGACCAAGGTTGTAATATCAATCTATCAGAGATTTCATCATACAGGGTCTCTTTCCAGTGCCTCTTCATCGCGCCTGATAGCGGGGGTTAAGTCAAGAGGGCCCGCTTGTGGCGGTCTCGTTAGTCACTGTAATTCCAGACTGGAGCATTATACAACTGCAAGCCGAAAGAACGCACACCGGTGTCCCAAAAGGCCTGCAACAGCCCCAATTCCCGATCCTTCAGGATGGTTGGACATGCGTCGATTCGGAGTCTTTGCTGACATGATTTCGCAATATGCAGAAACTCAGAACCAGCGAAAACCCTCCTTGGCTCTCACTGTAGGCCGCCGGAGTCCAGGACACTCCTCATCAAGCAAACAAGAGGCGTCAAAGATACGGCCGCATCCGAGCACGCCTACCACCGATAGGCCTGCGTTTTTGCCACGAGGTATACTGGAAGCAGATCACGGCTCTGAATCCCGTCCAGAAACCTCGAGCAACGACCGACTTGATGCGTATCGAGAGGTTATATGCATAAACAGCTTTCCTATATAAGAGCGGCCCGAGGGTCAATCTGATACGAATGGTCATCAGGTCCCACTAGTCTCAGCCCAAGTCACAAATGGAGCCGAGCACCTAGCAAGCTTAGTCAAGAAGGATACCTAACACTGCAATTAAAGGGTAGATATCATGCAGACAATGCGGCCGTTACTACGTCTAAGGCATCCAGCCTTGGGCAGGTCACGCCTGATACCCTCTGCCAATCAGCATCAACACCAGATAATAGGTCGTCAGCAGTAGTCGATGAGTATCAAGCACCTCTGGTACCTAATGGTCAGCAGAAAATCAGACATCTTCCAGTAGTCATTTTAGCTTAGCCAATGCCTATCCAGCCAGCAACAGTTCCCCATCCACCACTAGAAAGCCTTCAACCCCAGGATGCCCAACCAGTTGCACTTCGCACGGCGAATGATCCAAGATGGAATACGACTCAGCATCCTCTCTTACCAGGAGCCTCGCAGATCTCACAAAGTGGTCCATCTACCTGTTTAAACTCTAGTCAGTTCAAAGGATCAATGCTGAATAGCACGCTACCTGAACCGCATCCCACTTTGCTGGCACCTTGGCTCCTAAACCCAGACTATGTCAGCACTGATTCTATCAGAGCCCCGAGTGTCTCAGATACACCACCAAAACAATCAAGGCTTTCGATCGGCTTCCTTACGAAGACCGCACTAGAGTTGCAGCGGCGGCAGCTGCCATCGAAAGTCGTGCGGCTCTTAAAGACGCAATTAGAAAGTTGATGGCGAGCCGAAAACGGCGACGTAGGGTGCTCGAGAACCCGGCGACGTGCTTTCTCACACGCCCCCAGGGCTTGTGGAGGAGACTTTCAGCGGAGAGCCACCCGTCCGTCGAAGGAACATCGCGAGGTCGAGCCTCCAGAATGTTTTCGAGGGTCCTCCACACACGAATAGCGTGATGACCGCCTCAAAAATCTCCGCCACTCTTGGAAGCGATTCTCCAAGCGGTCCGGTAGCGGCTTTGGCACCATCCGTACAAGAGCAGGCCTGCACGCACGCTTCTTCTTCCCTCCATACATGTGTGGTAAAATCACTCCAGAGGATGGCAGGGCAGACGTTACGATGCTCTTTCCGCATATGAGGAGTTATTGTTCTAAGAAACCCCATTGTATTATGAGCCTAGTTATCAAGAGGTTGGGATGCCCTAGTGCACACATACCCAGAGGGGGACTAGAAGCTCAACAGTAAAAGGAACACCAACAATAGTATCAACAAAATGAGCCTAGTTATTAAGGCGAGGTTCCGTTCATTGAGATGCGATTATTTAAAGCACATATAGGGACGGGCGATGGAGCTCGACATTTTATCCTAGATAATGGAGGGAGATTGCTTCCTGTAAACGGTTTCCAATCTCAAGGTTCTCTAGACAACGGCATCAAGAGGTTGCTTGGTCTCAAGATAAGCAAAGCCATCACTGAGGTTCCTATGCGTGAGGAGGAACTTGCAGACGTAATTGTCGCTACAAGGTCTGTGACCATGTCGGTCAGTCACAATCCCCAAGACGATGGTGTACTGAAATCGGGTTCCTCAGGCTTTGGATGAACAACAGCTATATACTATAGATAATACAGAGACAGTCAGACCGTCATCAGCTGACCACCAGTGCCGACGCGGGACAGTGCATAGCCCCGGTACGGCACACCGACCTGACATCTTCTTCATATGCTTCACCACACCACCCAACTTCCTGTCAATACCAACGGACAAGACAGAGACTTCGTACATGCGCCAGAGCACCACCCCATCGTCCTCTTAAATGGAGTCCAGAGCGCTCAAAGCATTCGTGAAATCTTCGGTTCCATCAACATCGCTTTCAACGATGTCCTATGAAATCGTCAGCGAAGTCATACATGGTCCCCGATCGGCGGCTCACCATGTGAGTATACCCCCCCTTTAAAAGTTTGGCTGGCGAAGAAACGATTGCTGCTTGTATCGTTGCGGACGAATAAGTGGCGTATAGTGTCGAAATTTGAAGGTTCATGAACTATTATCAACCTCCTGGGAGACGACCGGTTCCATTTTCCTGTGGCCGCAGCGTTGTGAGGTCTTCAGCCCTGGAGTTTTTAATTTTATCTGAGGGTCTCCATTCTTAACTTTAAAGAGCCAGTATAGACTATTGATAGAGAATCTAGCTTAGCTGGAAGGTGAATAGCTATATCCCTGTCGATTTAAATAACTCCTGCAAGTTCAGGGGATCTCCACCAGACTCTACAGCAGTACAGGCACAGATTGTCAGAGTCTGTAAACGGTTGCAAACGTCTTCCTGAGCGATTGTCGGGGTCCGGGACAGTTCCGAACGTCTTCCCGAGCCTTCGGAAGATGATCCGGTTGGTGCGCAATACGATGTTGCCAGGTCCTGGCTCTAGACACATTCGTAGTCGGAGGACACGCGAGGAATGCCCAGCTAGCCGATTGCTACGTAGTAGAGCTGCGGTATCTGCTTAGCTGATTTGTGGGCGATAGGCTTATGTATGACAGACCTCGTATCTCATCTGGGCAGTGGAGTCGTACGACTTGCTCAATAAGACCAGGGTGTGATGTACGTGTGATACTCGACAGGAGTTCGAATCGTTAGTATACAGGGACAGGGGAGGATGAGATGAGTAGCCTGTAGTAACTTAGTAAGCGGAGACATACATAAACGCGTTCTTGTCGTTTGCCTAGAGGAGTAATAATTGTAGGACCACGTCGTATTGCGACAGTACGGTCTCTGAACAGTCTCTGGGTTTTACATTGGCACCATTTAAAGCACGTTGGAGAATGATGGAGACTTACCACGGCCACCACATCGCGTGAGCATTCAGCACAGACTGAGGAACGCACCACGCTCGGTGGAGATTCGATCTTTGAGTTTAGTTTAGGGGAAGGATCTTGGAAACCCGGCAGTGATAACACTAGTTTCCGCGGTGGGGGAGTGGCGAGAAAGCCAAGGCTGAACTCCTCACGCGGGTTCTCCGTGACAAGGGCCTCCTTGCCCTGCAATCCTTGTCCTGCGTCCCCAGTACCAGGTAAACTCGGCCGCCAAGAACAGCCCTGGAAACCTGGCGGCATTCACTAACGCGGTATGTCGCAGCCACCAGAGTCTTGGTTTCGCGGGAAAACATGCTGTTCGTTGTTCTCTTCCCGACAATGGATGAGTGCGGTCTCGAGATGACCCGGCTGACGACGATCACGCTAGAGACATTCGCGGGATACACGTAAGATGCCGAAGATCCCTGAAGATTAATTAAGCCTAACTATATACGTGGGGCCGCATTAAGCGCGCTAACCTCTAACTGCTCGTCCATCTCTCGGCCCGAGGTAGTTGTTCTAAGATATGCGTAATATTTACAAGAATCAGGTTACAGTTTACCAGGTCCCCATTGCATCTTCGCCTCCCCTGCATTGTGCCGTCAGCTCGCCCCTGAGCTAAGGCAGCTTGAAGCCGGCCTTGCGCTGCTTCTGGAAGAAAGCCGTCGGGTCGTACTTGGCAGAGACCTTGCGAAGGAACTTGACGTTGTCGGTGCCGTAGCTGGTGATGGGATTCGCCTGGCTGGGGTCGACGTAGTTCAGGTAGCGCCATTCGCGTAGGACGCCGATGGACTTGGCGTACGTCGTCATGGCGGCGGAGAACGCAGCCGACTTCTGTCGGAGCAGCGTCTCCTGCTCTGCGGTCTTGACGGTGCACGAAAGCAGCCACAGGAGCGAGTTGCCCTGGATCCTGTCGAGGCCGAGGACGTTGCCACCGTTTGCTACACCAATGTCGGCGAAGAGCTTGGGCAGAGGCTGGAAGAGCATCTGCGTGCCCAGGTCCAACGTAGGGATCTCGGCCAACAACTCCTCGACAAAGGTCTTGTGCAGCGCAGAGCCTTTTCGGATGATGCGGGCATCATTGGCGAACGTTTGGCTAAACCAGACGTTACTAGGAAGGCCGTTAGCTCAGATATACCTTGACGCCTCATGGCTGGGTTAGCGTTGGACAACTTACCGGAGGCCTGAGGGGAGGGCATAGGTGTCAGCCATCTCGCTGAGAGGCCGGACGCTGAAGCCGCTGAAGAGCTCGGTGGCCTGCAGCGCGTCGTCGAACACGGCAGGCTTCTCGACGCCTGTGGTATCAACCATGACCTGGGCGAGGAGAATCTCTGTCGACATGCTCGGGTTGTAAGTCCAGTTGATCAGGAATGAGTTTTCCGGGTGCTCGTCGTTCGTGTTGGTGAAGTTGACCATGGCGTTGGTGATGATCTCGGACTGAGATACGTTGGAGGCACGAATACCACCCCAGAACGGTCCGCCCGTGATGGTCTGCAAATCGAAGCGGGTCACGATGCCAAAGTTACCCGAGCCGCCCTTGAGCGCCTTGAGGAGGTCAGAGTTGGTGCTCTTGTTGGCGTTGACAATGGTGCCATTGGCGAGGACGACCTCTGCGTTGACGATGGAATCGCATCCAAATCCTGCGCGGGCCGTGTAGTACGAGTTACCGCCGCCCGTCAAGAAGCCTCCAACGCCGACGTTACCATCTCGGCCGCCGGGAACGGCGACTCCGTACGTCTCGAGCGTCTTGTAGGCATCCACCCATCGGCCACCAGGCAAAACGGAAGCCAGGCCTGTGGAAGCGTCATACGTGATACCCTTCATGAGACCAAGATCAATCGTCACTCCGGAGTCAACATTGCTGCCACCCGCCCAGTGGCTGTGGCCGCCGCTGCGGATAGCAAAGTTGACTGATCCGCTGAAGAGGATTTTGACGACCTTGGAGACTTCTGCGGCGTTCTTGGGCTGAACGATGCAGGTCGGGGTGAGGCGAGAGTCGGCAGACCACCACGAGTCTACTCTAGTCTCGTAGCTATCCTCGTCGGGAATCAGGACCTGGAGCCCTTGAGCCGAGAGTTTGGTACACTGGAACGGGAGATCAGCACTCATTTCCGCAAGTGGGAGCGTGGAGGTCAAGTAAGGGCGGGCTGATGGAGGATTGATCGTGGAGATTGTTCCAGAGGGATGTGAAGGGGATGTGCTCAAGGGGATGTGCCAAGAGGATGATGCTCACAGCTTTGGAAGCCACAGTTGCAGCATCCCGGGCACACATGGGTGATGTATGGACACCGGGAGCGGCGACAAGAAGCGCCAGAAGCGCCTTGATAACTGATTGGTCCCACATGATTGGTTTTGTTGGCGTTGCAGTGCAGTGTGGATGGCACGTCGCAAAAGATGGTGCGCATCGGGATATTTAAGTGTACTATATCAACCTTTTCGGAAGCGAGCTTCGCCCCGATGCCGAGATTAACATCGGGCTTGCAGCTTGATCGAGTAATACCGAGGCATTAAGCAGACAGATGATGGAGGATATGTCATGTTACTATGCAATTTCACAGTCTGGCATTTCCTGGCATTTCTTGTCATGCCATGTCCGTTGCGCCAACGCTATCGTCTCCATTCACCGTTAGCCCGCCCCTTGTTAGCAGAGGGGGCAACGAGTGGGAACATGCGGCTAGCCAAGCTGCTACGTGAACGACGGCGGGAACCCTGTCGATTCTGACGGGGAAGGATCCCGAGGGAATAGTATTATGCAGCCACAATTGTGTGGATGAAGGTCAAGGGTTTGTTACCGTTTGGCTCATCCTTCGGCCATCCCGCATATGGCTTAAACAGTTGAAGTTCCCGGTATACGCGATGTAACCTAGCCTGCTCACCCTTAAACCTTGATCCCCGGACTGCTCCTTGTCCTGTGCTGCGAATGGAAAGCCACATTTACAAGCATCCGTCTGCAGGATCTCGCGAGTCCCCAATTCTGCATCCGCTCGCTTCTCTTACTTTATGCTTTTCGCAATTGACATGAAGTTGGATAACCAACAACCGTCCACATGGCTGAGATCAACGGAACTATTGTTGCGATTCCGCCCCCAGACGACTATGTCGTCGACTTTGACAATCCTCAGCGCAACTCGGTCGCAGCCACGTACGCCGTGAGCAGCGTTGGAATAATCGCAGCCTTGATCTTCCTGCTCCAGAGACTCTACGTCAAGGCATTCATTCGAAACAAACTCGGCATCGATGACGGTATGTGCCAAGCCATGCGGCTGAAGCAGTAAAGTTCCATCAAACTAACACCAGCGTCCAACAGCTCTCTTGGTCCTCGCCTGGGTAAGTTGACTTTTGCACTTGTTAAACTCTCGCTGATTTCCCGGAAAGCTCGGGTCGATCGCGATTCAAGTCCTCACCCTGCGTAAGTCCCCTGACCCAGACCAGTCCACCCTCGCCTGAGCGCTGATTTACTTACTGGTTGACTGCAGGCTCCTTCATCGAGGGTTGGATGGGAGTCCACGCCTGGGAAATCTCATTCGACAAGTTTCAGAAAGCCATTTTCGTACGTCGTCGTCTTTGTCCAACTCCCATGTTCTGTTGACTAAGTACAGGCGTGTTGCAGTGGGCCAACTACATCAACTCGATCGTTTACACCATCCCGACATGTTTTTCCAAACTCGTTATTCTGATGTTCCTGCTCGAACTCAGTGGCAACCAGAACTGGTATCGATGGACAGTCTTCGCTACAATGGGTATAGTCGGCGGTACGGGCATTGGCATCTTCTTCGCGTCCATCTTTCCATGCACGCCGATGCGGAAAGCATGGGACCTTACCATGGCCGCTGATGTGGGCTCTTGCATCGACAGACCAGCCATGTTTCAGGCGACTGCGGGCTTGGGTGTCGCCACTGATATCATCATGATTGCTATTCCGATACCTATGGTCCTTGGGCTACAGCTATCTGCTAAGAAGAAGGCTGCTCTTTTGTGTTTGTTTGGCATTGGTTCCGCGTACGTCTTCCGACATGCCACGCATGTCAAAGCAAGTAGAGAAGCCTGTTGCTAACTTGTTTTGAACAGAACCGTCATCACCTCTATGGTTCGCCTCGCGCTGCTCATTACCCAACTCGATAAAGTCGACGTGACCTGGGGTGGTGGCCCAATCCACACTTGGATGTATGTCATTCGTTCCATTACTGTAACCTCCAAAAGACATCGCTGACCAGCCACTCAAACAGTTGCATCGAAGCCAATCTCCTGATCATGTGCGCATGCCTATCGACACTACGACATTTCATCAAGACGATCGCTCCCCGCCTACTCTCGAGCTCGAAAGGGACTAGCACTGGCAAGTCCAAAACAGGCGTATCATCAGGCCACGAGCTTCGAACCATAGGGGGCACAGGGGGGAGATCAGCCAACCGGGGACCATACACTCAATTCGACGAGCCTTTCAGTACCAGTACTCGAGCTGATGCTGCCTATGGGTGGAACGCAGAAGGAAAGGCGGCAAGTGTAGATGGCAAATCAACTCAAGATGACGGGGGGAGTGACAAGGGAATCCTTCAGACAACGACAACACGGGTGTTCTATGAGAATGCTCGTGCGGTATAAATTCTTGTGGATTATGGGAGGTGTAGGATTAATATTGTAAAGGTAGGTGGGCGTTAGGTAGTTAGAGTTCCTTGAGGGATCAACTCTGATATATAGAGCACAATTACAGTGCTTTAATTTGCATTTTGCTAGAGGCGACAGTCGAACTGACCGAGACTCTATTAGACAAGCTGATAGTCGGCCAGTTGGCTAATACCAAGGAGACACTCCAAGTTGGGGCTATCACTCACTCTTGCGCCGTGACGGGCCGGTCGGTTCTTTTTGACGAATTGCAAAACCGCGTGGTTTAAACCAGGAACCAGAGATACCCGAGTGAGCCGGTCAAATGCTCTGGAGATGTGAACGGCAGCGATAGCCAAGTCCGATAAGAGTGCAGATGGCAGCGGGTGGAGAGTGTATCCCAGATCTCAAGTAGTCTAGGGTAAGTGCTAGGGGAACTATGGACACATGCCCCAGGCAGCCCGGCTACAGGCCAGAGTTGATAAAGGAAAAGTACTGCCAGGTGAAGGAGCGAGTGAAGAAAGCTTTTATATTCGATGTGCAGGTGACGTTGGTGACCGACTGCGGTATGAGTAACTAAGGCCAGCAGAGGCTGGAGTCGCTTAGTGGCATCGATTTTGTTCAAGCAAGCACCTGAGTGTGCTTGTAATTGCACTTACCGTGTGACTGCCGCCATTCAAGTCAGCTGCGCTCAGACTCTCTTGTTAGCTGAATATGTATTATTACAGTCAAGAGCAAATTCTCAGTAAATTTAGCTGTTTAAATACATTGAATCTAATTTTGCAAAACTTTATCACTGTATATACCACGGTATTTAGTAACAACGGCAGTCTTACACAGAGAAAATTAATTGAAGAAGTCATATTGCTTGTTATAGCCCATCAGTAATTAAATCCTCGTACTTGACGCACTTCACTGGTTTATTTCTGCTCCCACGTCTCTTATCCTGCCTCCATGCGACAGCATCCCAGCGCCGGGTAACTCTATACCGTATCGCTTGGTAAATTGGCCCTGAATTCTTCCCCACTTATTGCCCCGGGCTTTTTATTATCAATGAGATAGGAAGCCTACGCCTCATATAGTTTAGCCTTGGTCCATAGTAATAAGGCCAATTTACCGAGTCGATACGCTACTTGCCTACGACTGCACGGCTCTAGGGACTCAATATCGTGTCGTGCAGCGTTGGGCGTGCATGGGATAGATCACGCCGAGTAGTCACGACGCCAGCAGAGCGACTTGTAGCAAGCCGGCTAGGAAAGTCGACTCACTTTGAGATAAACCACACAGTGACAGTGGATGTGTGAACAAGCTGCGACGAGACATAAAAGCTAATGCATGCTAAACCGGAACTGGCAAGATAGAAAAGCGGAGAAAAAGTGCAGGCAGCTTGCCTTGATGCTCCTCCGTCATTGTCCAAACGGCCGGATAAGAAAGCATTCCGTCAGTCCCCCGGGCATCTCAAGTCTCTGCTCAGTCTTGAATCCAAATCTCTGGTAGAAGGTCTCTGCAAACTCATTGGCTTCAACAAACATGTCCAATTTCTCCTGATCTGCAATCTCACATGCCCTCGCCATCAGCCGAGTGCCGAGGCCGCGACCTTGGTGATCGAAGTCAACAGCAAAGTGATCGACACAAATATGTGTGCGGCCGAGCATGAACCGCTCGCGATACTCGATCATGGACTTGACCATGGCCTTGTAGGCTTCGCGGTCAGCCTGCGATGGGGGAGGGAAATCGCTCCAGCGCCCAGCTCCTCTCTCATCAGCTTCAAACTTGCGCAAGCAGACCAAGCCCAGCACAGTGGCTGAAGAGTCTGGTGATGCGATTTTGAGAAGATGGTACGTCGGGTCGTTGATGTCGAGGGCGTATTTCTCTTCCCACCATGGCGCGATGGAGCTGGGCAAGACTCTGCGGTGCCATTCGCTTTTTGGATGGAAAGCTCTGGCGTGGAGAGTGCCAAGTGATGGGAGGTCTTGTGCCTCTACAATACTTACTGACATGTCAGTGTCAGACATTATGGCGTAATATGGGTGTTCTGTAGAGTTGAGGTATATTCGTTGGAAATGGAATGAGGGGTTTGTTCCATATTCCACTAGGTAAGTTACAGGGGGAGGACCCTGCTTCCAGGGTTTCGGGTTTACAAATCGCTCCGTCTTTCCATGCGATTGCAGGCGCTGGCTCATATGCCTTATGTCAACTTGCCGCGACGTTGAGAAGCTACACAGCGGGGATGGGAGGTTAAAGAGGATCAACTCAACTACATCTACGAGGACCCTGACACCATCGTAGCGGATAATAGATGCCCTCTCTGGCTCAAATAGGGCCGCCAATTGCCGCTCTCTCTTGGCATGGCCCTGATGGTGGGGATGCTCCCTATCTGCAGATGCAGCGGGTAGGCCGCAGAGCTGAAACACACGGAGACAAATGGCGAGGGTTCGGAGCATTCACTCCGACTCGAGTCCCAGCAGAAGCTATAGAGGCCTACCATGTTACGGAATTTCCTATCGGCGGGCACCAGATAGGAATTGGGGTGAATTGCCACCCATTTGACTAGCAATACGCTGAGTATGAGAACCCGGGCACTTTGCTAAGGCTCCCTGGCTTCCGGCGCCTCAACCTGGACGATTTCACCGGCCCCCTTGAGCAGAAGCCGTCGACTCTTTCTGGACGGGGACGAGGGGGATTTCTTCCAGGATGAAAACATAAACTCCATGATTCCAGGGTGAGAAGATCGAGCGGGACATACTTGATCCAAGTTTCGCGCGCCCTTGTTAGGTAAACAGGTTATTGCATCATGCCATCTTCATGGTCGGGTGGAGCACCACCGCGTGGCCATATCGAGATAAAGCGCAGTAGGTGTCAATGGTGAGCCCTCTGGAATCGTTCATCAAGACGGGGTTTCGCGTTCAAAACAATCCGCCCCTGTCTCTGATTAGGTTGTGGTATAAATTTGCCCCCACCGCCTCTTATCTGTGTTTTTCTACTGAGAGAATACCCTCAGCTTTGCCAAGCTGGCTTCGGATTCCTGGTGTACGAACTAGGTCCACAGGCTCGACGCTTAGGCAATTTTTCATTCCTTGATCTATGAGCGGAAGACGTCGCTGGGTATATCGTGGAGACCAATGCTGCTGAGCGCAATGCGTAGCCATCCAGGCATTAGCTTAGGCATTTCATATTGCATACAAGACTGTTGTATAGAGTCTCACTCTACTGAATTCGTACAATAACTAGAATATTTCCAAGCCTTTGTCTCAATTTGTATTGACACTAAATGTATCAGACTCACTTAACTTACCTGCAAGCAGAACAGGAGACAAATAGGCACTGCGAATGAGAGTCTTGAAGTTCTACAACTCCTGATTCTTTGAGCAGTGGGTAGCTGGGCCAATCGATTAAATTGTTTGACCCGCAATAATAAAATCTTATCTTTTGGTTCGGAGCTTCTTGTATTAATTGATGGCTCCTATGAAGGTTCCTTAAACCAGCAACCTCTTCACTTGCTGACAAATCGATATTCCTACATGAAGAGCCTTAGTTGGTGAGCTCTGACCTCTGCCTATTTAAATGAGTCACAATACGTAACACCAAATCGGTTAAATCACGCCATGGATGCTGGGGTTGTAACTATACTTGCAAATGGATGTCCAAAAGTGAGCCTGATGATGAAATATTGCGTCACATTTGAGAGATCAAGCCATAATACGTCTCTCTTGTGGTTGTAAAATGTGCTGGACTGGGTCTGCGCAAGTTCCTACCTGTTTGCAAAAAACACATCGAAGATCAAATGTCACAACCTGGGAGAAACAGTATTGACTTCAGCCGCCCGCTCAGGGAGCTTTTAGATGTATTCGCATACCCTGCACTAACCCGGGATACTCCTACCACCTCTCGCCTACCCCCAACTACATAGATGAAGATAAATTGAGCACCTAAGATGCTGCTCAAAGCAGTCTCTAGATAGTACCAAAGCCAGCTGTGCTCTGAACCGCCTTAGCTGCACTGTATGTTGAAGCGCTAGCAACGTTCTTGCCATTAAAATTGGACAAAAAGTCGGTAGTCGTTCCACTGAAACTTCCAGAGCTACCAAATCCATTGACCTCGCAGGTGTGACCCAAGTACGTCGAGCATACGGCGTTGGCACTCGCGCTGGGGCTGCTGAACAACTTGCCTGCATATCCGGACTCAACAGGGGCAGCGACGTTTTGAAAGACATTTCCTTCAGCGACTACCATGCCGCCCGAATCAACCTCAAAAGCATGGCCTGGGTTGTCATACCAGTAGTTGTTAACGGCATGAAGCAAGGTGTTGCCAGCGACCTTGGGCGATCGACCGGAGGTGTGGTAGACATAGTTGTTCTTGAATGTTACCAACTAATGATGGTTAGCATTATGGCAGAGAGACACAACGGTCAGTTTAAACTCACATCGCTTGAACCAGCAAAATAAATTCCCCAGTAGTGATAGCCATTGCAGGTTGCGGACCAAGAGGTGGTCCCATCGATCTTGCAATTCGAGATTGTCACTCGGTTGCTTGCGTTGTTTCCAAGCACAATGTGTTGACGGCCAATGAGTGATGTTGTGACATGATCGATCCATACCATGTCAACGTTATCCAAGGTAATAGCATCGCCGCCCCAAACATATTTTGGGTTGAGGTTGGTAATGTGAATGTTTTGGATAATGATATTGCTTACACCGCTCACAAGGCGGAGACCTTTACCCTTGATGATGCCTGCGCTTCCAACGCCGATAATGGACTTGTTCGATTTGACTGTAATTCCGAGAATACCGGCCTTGTCATATGACACGCTAACCTTGGGAGCATCCGGTTGATAGTTATCACACCAGCTGTTCAGGTTAATGGCCGTCTGGCATGCAGAAGACGTTCCCCAAGGAGCGCATCCTGTTTCCGTCGATGTGCCTTCGGTTCCAGTAAAATCGAACGTCTTCTGAAGATAGATGACGCGGGCCTGAGAGTCACCGAGGTACGAAACTAGCTCAGCCGTGGTTGTGGGATACACGGCAGTAGCAGAGCCACCGCCAGTGACGCCCTTCGCGAAACCCTCAGCAGCGCCAGTGACGGCGATGGTTGTTTGAACGAATGCCGCAAGGGCACCCGAAAACAAAACCGCAGGTTTCATGGTCGAAGTCACCAGATAGGTGCGAGCAACAAAATTGAATGATCGGAGTATAGTCCAAGTGTCTTATGTCCCCAGATGGAAATATCTGGACCCTTCATGTGAGCTTTTATGGACATAACCTACGATTTTAATACCAGATTCAACCGTTGGCACACCTAGTCGGCACGGATGACTGCCTCCGTTTCGCTCCATCTGGTAAGTTAGAGAGCAACATGTCTTGGCTATCTGAAGGACTAGCATGCTTAATTGTTCCGTGTCCCCCAGAACCTGTTGCAACCGCCCATCCTTCGCTCCATTTAGATCAAGTAGACCTACTCCGTACCTCCGTACCCGGGGTGAGGTTGCATTTTCGTATGATTCATGATTCGTGGACTTACTCGAGTCTATTTACCCCTGTCGCTGTTCCATTATGCTTACGCGGGGTTATGATCTGAAGTGGCTAAAGGAAACAACAAGCCAATGAAGGGTCTGGATAATCCCCGGGTGGCATGTCGGTAGTCACGGTCTTAAAGCTGAAAGAGTGTACGCGTAATCGAGAATATATTCCACAAATAAGCCGGCTGTTCTTCTCCTACACTAAACACACTCTAACCCGCTTTATGAGTCTAGATCACTACTAACGCATGTTAAGACTAAGTCTAGATATAACGTCACACTTCACTATAGTTGCAAAATAACCCCTTTGCAGCTTGGAAATGCGGCTTTTGTCTTTGAATGCAGGGATGAATGGAAGAAATCTATATCTCCGCAATGTCACTTGAGGAAATGAGTGCAGCTTGAGTGGCAAGATTACCGTTGCCCTCGGCAAATACACATTGTCACGTGAAGGCTCAGTCGCATTCGCTTTGGACCCTGGCCCATCCTAGCCGTTTGCCAATCGAAGACCATCTGTAATATTGAATGACCTGGTTGTGTGTGTGTATTTGGAAGTTGGAGGTGACTGCACCAAGACAAACTTCATTCCAGTCTGGCACTGATCCTTCTAGGACCTTGCAAAATGTGTCGCTGCTCGGACTCCTCTTTTGCATTATCGCATTATTTTGCCAGTATCGAACTGGCCTAGCACTCACAAACCTCCCGTTGAATGACTCTAATAAGATCATCTCTTGAGGGGCACGACGCATTGAACATTGGGGTCGTACACATCCCGACATCTTTCCGATGATTACATAGCGAGGGCGATATCTTTTTATATTGTTCCTCGATCTCAGCTGAAATTATCAAGTTTCACCTCTTATCGCATGGGATCATGTAGAAGGGTAATTGCATTTTTGCGCCTTAAAAATTCATTCTGTAAGTATCTCTCCAGGGCCCATCATCTCTAGACTAGGCCATAACTATAGGGTAAGTTAACTTAGTACTGCCCCAACCCCCCGCGTCATATAATCAAGCTGCTCTTGCTTCTCGCCAGGTTTTACGGGCTGTGACCCCAAATTCTTTATCCAGAACACCAATTACACTACTTGAATGTTTTTGCGTCAACTGTGTGTCTCCATCTACAGATTCTGGGTGGTATATGCCACCCCCCCTCGGTCGAAAACACGCCGAGTTTCTCTCGATCTTCAATCTCGGGTCGCATCTTCATAACCCCGTAGGATCACAATAAGGACAAATACACTCTTGCGCACTTGATAGGAGAATATTTCAACCATTTCATAGCCCCTGTAGCTAACAAAATCTCTTCTCTGACCGCTTCATCTCACAGCCCACCCTGTGCTAAGTGCCCGCTCGCGTCACTCCGCATTCCTGCCCCGTCCGTCGTGGCCCTAGCCCCATAACCCAAACACTTGTTTGGCTCCTACCAGTCACTTCATGTTTTGAGAGCTGTTTGAACTAAAAGAAACGAGATGGTCATTTATCATTGCTTACCGATACATTGCACCAGTGGCAAAACGAACATGGTGATCACCTTCTGCAAGCATCACAGCAAGTTACATGCGCTCAGCGAGTACATGCACTCAGCGATTACATATACTCAGTAATCAATTTAACCCTGTCTATCGACCGGGATAAATTCCGATAAATCACCTCATTTTCGTGCCTATTACTACTTTTGTTAATGAATGAGCAGTGGCGACCAGCCTGTTACACATTGCTATAGTGGCGGCCGACCACTGTCATAGCACCATACGGGACCAATAGAGCGAGTCTTCGTATACTTAAAACGGGTAAAAAGCCAGTGCAAGTCGGCAAATTTATTATTAGACTGTGATCACGATGCCGGCCCGCAGCGGCCCCGGGTTGTGGCTTCAGCTTCTCGTATTGAGGCTTGCCCTAACCCACATCAGGAATCGGCTTCGGCTCCTGGGGTCTTGGCACCATTCCTGCCGATCCTTCCCCTTGTTCGGCTTCATCAACTGATTTCTTTTGTTAAGGGCAGTAACGTTGTAGAGAAACTAATGCCAGCGTCGTGTAGATTCTAATGCCAGCCTCGTCTAGAATCCAATATCCAGCATCTTATAATTCACAATACGAGCCGTGGCAAATGGAACCTCAGCGCAAGCTATATATTGACCGTCCTTTCTCCTTTCCGAAACTCATCTCCCATCATCCATCTGAGGAACAATTACTCAACTACCCTTCTCACTACCCTTCTCACTACCTTCGCCACCACAAATCAAAATGCGCGCCTTCACTACCATCACTGCTCTCTTCGCAGCTGCCGTCGCTGCTGCCCCTGCTGCCCCCAAGGAGGATGTCTGGGTGAGCAACTTCGTCGTCCGCAAGACCTCCAGCACAGAGGGCACTTCCATCCAGGTCGTCTCTTTCGACATTCCCGACTTTCACTGCGAAGCTTCCAACCCAAGCTTTCCTTCGGCGGCCACCCAGTGTGATGATGGCAGCACTTACTTCTTCTCTCTGGTCCCTAGCACCGAAGAAAGTGCCGAATTCGCCTTGGAGATTACTCGCCACTTCAAGGACAGGTTAGTCATAACAATCACCTAATCCTTGAGAGAGAAGAAATTCATATGGTGCTATTACTAACACGCCACTGTAGTTCCATCCTATTTGGTTCAGGCGCTGTTCCAACCACCTGCCGTAAGGGTGGCAATGGCCCCAACGACTACGTCTGCACTCAGTCTACGCCTGTGGGAATTTTCATCTTCCCCCAGTAGACGCAGAGCAAGAACCATGGAGAGATTTGGTCCAGTGGGATATTCTTTGAACATGTTGGCTCCGCCAAATCGTCAATAATAGGTGGTGCCAAAGGCCTGGCCTGTAATTGGATAGACTATAATCACTCAGCTAAATTTTAACACTGTCTCTACCGGCATATGAGGCTGGACATAAGGAGCCTGAATCTTTTCTATATGCATTGAAATCTAATCTCCGTATAACAGAGAGTAGCCAGCGCCCGGCTTCTATGGGGTTTGAACCTTAATAGAGGATTTATGTTAGTTTTACCTTTTGCATTATTCTGCAATCTCAATTTGAAGCCTTCCATATACTTCGTGTGAATCGACAATTGGCAAACCGTCTCTGTTTTCAACCCAAGCGAATAATACGGACTGAATAAACCATAATACTAAGTCGCGGTAACGTGGAGGCTCCTTTCTAATTTTGTCACAATACCTTTCTACTACGTCTAAGACATAGTCTAAGTAGTGGTCCAATGCAAGGCTCGCAAAACTAGTGATGTTGTCAAACAGAAAGCTATTTTGATACCTGAATCTGGGCTCTGGGTCTAGAGCTCTTTTGCGCTATCCATTCATTCTCCGCGCCGAGTAGAAGTCGCAAGGTATATTGCAGATATCAGGTGGTTTCGGCGGAAGGAAACCCACATCGTGGAGCATCTCTCTAGTGTCTCTAGACTTGATTAGTACCAGAGGAAATCGGTAAATTGGTATAAAATTTCGCCCCCACTTAACAGTAGCTTATCGGTCACCTAGCAGTTATCAGGACGACCATAGCCAATCGCTAACGAATTAAGTTTATGAAATCTGTGAATCTACATATTCTAGTGCTGCATAATAAGCGAGGAATAATTTTATACCAATTTACCGAGTTTATACAGTACCTCGTTTCTTGAATCAGCCCAACCGGTGGAAGTTGGATGAACGGTTCCTAATTCTTTGTATATGCCGTACAAATAGCTACCAACCAGGTTGCAAGGTATAGTTTTCCCCGTTTTGTTTTGAATAGCAACAGTATTATTACCGTCCTTGCTCTGTTATAAATATACAACTAGTCAATGAACCTCAGTAACAGCCTGGATGATTAATCCGTTGTACCTCTTCTACTTCTTCGGAATATCTTGCCATCCTTTCCGAGTATTATATGATACTGCGATATGAGCATACTTAAATCCTCGTGCCAGCTGGACACTAACTGGATCCAGAGTTGTCGGCGCAAGACCAAGCTGCAGACCCTCCAGAAACGCGGTACGAGTCTATGATACCGACGATAGAGGCATACGTTCCCACGACAGTTAAAAATGATCCGAGTATGATGACGAATATGCTCCAGCAGACCCCAAACAACCAGCTAGCCGATCGATCTGTCTTACCGCTACTCCAATTATCGTAAAGCCACATGCAGCCCATGGGTTGAAACGACAAAGATGTAGCAAGCAACGCGCCGATCAAAGAAACAAGTCCACCAAAGATGGGAATGCCGCTTGCGATAATATATGCTATGACGGTAATGACGAGAGTACAGCCAAGCCAAGATGACCAATGAATGAAGGTGTTGGCAGCGAGATGTCTGGATCCTCGCAGGATACGAACAAAGACATGCTTGCTTGCCAGCTATTCCCATTTAGTTACATTTCAAGCAATAAGGCTGTGGGAAACAGGTAAGACTTACATGGCAAGTGAGCATGGTAGTGACAATAAGACCGGGGAGAGCAATCCCATAGCTGACCTTCTTGATCAAGATTCCTGCAGACCCAAGCGCTGGCGAAGCGACATATGAGCCACAAAAGTAATACACAACGCAACCAATTGCAATATAGCATGCGCTAATTACCGTTTGGCATAACACCAGCGACCGCGTGTAGTAGTTGGGATCTCGCATCTCAGCTGCAATCGAGAAAAAAGCCGGTGTACCCGCATATGCGAAAATGAGCGCACATATAGCAGAAATGGCCTCAGTAAAGCTTGGAGTGTTGAAAAGTTTGTAGTCGGACACCCAAACGGCATCTTTAGGTGCAGAAGCCGGCCGATCCTGAACTCCGACTGCAATGGTGATGATAATAACTAAGGAGTGGCGTTGGTTATCGAATTCCGCACAAGATTTCAACGGATACAGGGACATACCAGAGGAGATGATGCAAATGAGGCCAACCCAAGCCAGCCAACTAATCCGGCCCAATGTGCGGATACTGGCAAAGATGAAGCCAGTAATAGCGGCTACAACCATGAATATAGCAGTGCAAGTCCCATGGGAAGACACAGCATTTAGTCCTATGGATACGCTCAACATAGCTGAGCCACAAACAAAAGTCCAATCTACGGCACACGTCAGTATAAGGTAAGTAATTCAGTGCTGTCAAGGCTGTGACCTGAACATACAGAGACCAAAAGCAAAGCCGAAGATTTCTTGACCGACTCGCCCGAACATCAGTCTACCTGCATCATCAATGCCGTAGACCTCGCGATGGCGAAGCTTGAACACGCCGACTACGTAGTCGGACCAAGTAGTGATGGCAGCCACGGCACATAGACAGATAAGCCCGGGAATCATGCCCAGAGTGTCGAATACGGAAGGGATGGAGAGGATGCCGAGGCCGAGCTGTGTTTTCATCATGAGGCCTGCGGTGCCCAGCCAACCGACCTAGTCATAGCATGTCAGTCACTTCCAGAGCGATCAATTGCATCATATCATCCAACTAACGTTTCGATAATTCGGACCGTGTTCAGTGAGCCTCCCAAATACCGCGTCGTGGGCGTGGCCAGGATCATCGTGCACCTCACCAGCAAGAACGTGGTCTTGAGGTTCTTCGCTCTTCTTCAACCCAAACATGCCTACCATTGTTCAATAGCTGGACAGTGAAAGCGGGTATTTGCTCAAGGGTCAGAAGATTGAATGGGCAAGAAGCAATGAGAGGAGTCACTTTTGAAATATTGCTCACCAGAGCAGAACAACCTTTTCCCTCGCGTTTTCGTTCCCTTTTACTCGCGCCGGCGCTTGAGCCAAGACAAAAAAGCGGAACTTGCGTGGTAGAGTTACGGGGCGATTGAGTAATTGCTAGAGTTTTCATCCAATGTGATGTATGGCCCCATATTGGATTCCACTTCGCGAACCACTTCACGAATTAGCTGAGGCCGATACCGGATGCTAGTCTAGCTCGACCCTCAAGGCGTGGCAAATCATCCCAATGTTTGTATGAACTGCAAAATAACCGACCTAACTTAGAGAGCCGTGGCGGAATGAATTGGAAAATATGTTGAAGAGAAGAGCGCTGTAACTCATCTGAGTAGCTTGTGCGTCAGGCATTGGCGTAAAGGGTCCACATCGTGCTCACATTCCACTCCATGCTTTTCTGCCTGATCAATCTGACTTCTGCTTCCCAAACTAAGCTGCAGAGAATTCTGCCCTATAAATTAGAACTGTCTTCGGAAAGTCTGGTGATGATGAGGGTGACGCAGCAAGTGCTAGCCGAATTTGTCATGGTAGCATTTCCCAGCTCCTTACTCTGCAATTCTTAATCAACCTATGTCAATTTACTCTCTTGCTTATGCTGCAACAGTTGGTAGGTCTGCTCTAACAACGAAAATTACTTCGACCTCGGCAATAATTAGTGCTTTAATTGAGTCACAATTACCAATTTATGCATAACGTACGTTGTTTCATCCCACAACCCAAATCACAGCCTAATGCAAGGATGGGCGGCAAATGTGTCAGAATCTGACCCTGATACATGTGCCAGCAAGTGGGGACTCGCATCTCAGTATGTTTACAGAAAGGGTTGCGAAATGTTGTTTCCTTCTCATCCCGTCTCTCGTTCATCCCAGGAAAGAAGCATGATCTTGGATTTATTTTGCATTGGCTCAAACCACCCTTTGAATCAGTCGTGCAGCGTCTAATCGCTTGGCTAACTGAGCTGAAGAGTGATTTCTGACACCAGGGATATAGCCAAAAAGGAGCTCGCTTTCTGAGCCTCATATGGCATACCATACGATCCATTACCATGTATAAATATCAGCTTAGCATCTTCAACTTAGTATCTTCTCATCACCAGCACACTACAATCATCTTGAACCGTCACATTATCCTCTCGCCTTGATTCTTTCTCATCTGTGATGAGAATTTCGATTTATTATTGATATCTGATCCAAAACTCTTTCACAATGAAAATCATGACCACGCTCACTCTGGCGTCGGTAGCCTTGGCTATCCCGATGGACACGAAGACAAGCAAACGCCAGTCGACTGGCAGCACCGCCAATGATTTCAAGAGAAATGGCTGCAATGATATCATTTTTATTTTCGCTCGCGGCTCAGCCGAGATTGGAAATATGGTAAGATCTTGTCTCCCTCCACGCTTCCCATATTCAACCTTGGATCCTGACGATCCGCAGGGTACCATCGTTGGGCCTGACGTCGCCGACAACCTGAAAGAGGAATTTCCCGGCCAAGTTGCAGTTCAAGGCGTAGACTATGCAGCTCTTCTGTCAACCAATTTCCTCCCAGGCGGTACTGATGATGAGGGCATTGATGAAATGAAGAGCCTCCTCAGCGATTCCATGAGCCAGTGCCCCGACTCCATCATTGTAGCTGGAGGATATTCGTAAGTAAATCTTATTTCACTGCGACATATCTTGGGTGTTTTATGCTGAGATATTTGAGCAGCCAAGGTGCCGCTGTCAATCACCGAGCGATTGAGGATCTCCCCGAGGACCAAAAGAACCGCATCGCTGGCGTCGTCACCTTTGGAGATACCCAATTTCGTGCTGACGACGGTCAAATACCCAACTTCCCCGCCGACAAGGTGGAAATAATCTGTGCCGCAAACCCTCGCGACACCGTCTGTGACGGTGTCTTGACTGCAGCCATCCTGCCACCCCATCTGTCGTATGGTAGAAATGCTGCAGAGGGAGCAGAGTTTCTTGCCGAAAAGATCCGCGTCGTTCAAGGCGCTTGAGTTCTTTTCTTAGGATATCGTCACGTGTAAGCCTAAAACTGATGGGCGGCCCTGTGGGTTTGATGTCGGGGCTCATGGGCCGGTGGAATCGGTATCTCGGGAAGCAATGCGGGGAGTGGAAGTTTTCCTGTTGGAATAGATAAGAACCTAGTTATCTTTGACTTGTGGGAGAGAATGACGATTCCCTCGCAGGAAAGAATCCCATAGACATCAACTTCTATTGTCATCTAGGAGTCCAGGAATACCAGGAACGTAAACTAGAGATTAAGATATTGAACTCAAGTACGAGCTATCCAACTGCATGAGTAGCGTTTTTCTCCTAAAATGATAATGCATGCCTGACCCATTCTCACGGCCGACGTTTCTCAAGCCACTGAAGCCCACTTTTCACCTGAGGATAAGCACTCGACCTACTATTTTAATTTTTCTGACTCCTTTATCTTCCATGAATCTGGTGATATGCCTTGCATTATCAAAGAGCAACATCGATAAGCATTCATAATACTATTTACCCTCCCTTCCACTCGGGAATATACCCCAGGACGCATTGTGTAACTGCAACCTTGGGGATAACAGCTGCGTATAACTGATAGTGAGGGAACATAGGATGAATCAAGTAAAGTTAGTATTGTGATTCTTTTTATCGTTGCAATCGCAATTGCAATCTTAGATACAGTACCCCACTCGCCACTGACCAATGGTTCAATCACATCAACTGTCAAGTAAATGTCCCATCATTAACGTCGCAGCGTCGAGTAACACGTCTATCCTCTCGATTGGGAGTCTCTCGTCCCTCTGACATAGACCATACAAATCACAGTAACACTCTATACCAGTGGCGGAGGATGAGGTATTTGTAACTTGACCATCGAAGAAAATAGCCTCCCAGAGTGTTTCGAAAACCGCACCAGAAGATCTGCTTGAGAGGCTAGTTTTTGTGATCCAGTCTCGGAGGAAGTGTAGTCGATCTTGCGGAATGGACTTAACAAGCCTGCGAGACAGGGCAAATTGTCCTCCGGCAAAATAGCTCCACCCGGAGGGTGGAATAGCATGCCGTGGCTCTGGGAAGATGTCGTGCCAGAGATCAGTATACCGCCTATACAAGTGCTCTGGCGATTGCGTGTAAACCTTTGAGCCTGTGTCTTGAGCCTCCCAGTCTTCCCGAGTCAGGTCTAGTACTGACGGTCCGAGAACACCGGGCATCGGCTCAATCGTTCTCTGTAAGGCCTTGTCGCAGGCGAGGTTGACGAAGCCGCGCTGCAAGACAGCCTCAGAGTGCAACTTGTTCACCGTTAGAGGCGAGCTGCGGAGCAGAAGGGCATTGTTATGCCAGGTTGTGCGATGACCGTGCATAAACACCATGACTTCGGGAAGGCTCTCATAGTGATCGATCAAGAATGTCAAGTACGCCATGGCTTCATTGCCCTTATTCTGCGGCAGACCAACAGCATTTTGAGAGGAAGGTTGGTCGGCAACGTAGACGATTTGCGAGTCGCCCGTCCGAAGCCCACTCTGTCGTTGTAGCTCGGTCGAGTCGTCGGTTGATACAGCTGCAACAATTACTGTGACGGAGTGTGCTCTGGGGGCAGGGTCGAGCTTGGCAGAGTTCAGTGTGAGAGTGTCAAAGCATGATGATGCGTAGGCGAGTAAAACCTCTCTTTTGCGCAACCTGAAACTCTGCCGGAGCAGCAAAAAGCATGCAGAGAATGCCAAAAATATGCCGAGGAACACAAAAGCTCTGCCCAGTTTCATCATTGACCGCCCCATTGGCTTGAGAAAAGTGGACGGACTGGAAAGAAGTGAGATGGAAGCCCTTGTTTTTTGGGCAACACTATACGGTTTTCCAGACGAATACGTAGCCAATCTTTGCAAGCAGCCTGTCACGTTTTCATCCTTCGCTTGAAATGGGGTGATCCGAGCGACAAGGTCAAGCCTACTGTTTCGCGATACGAAGTGCCCAAATCCACTTTATTATTATACGAGAGCCCCGCCGAAATAAGCCCGCATCCCTCGACCATAACTTTCTTCAACACAGGCAAATGAGTGACGTAGAATGCTGATTCGTCATCTGTTACTAGCGCTTAGTAACTTCTCAGCTTCTGCAAAAGCGGTCGCCAGATTCCACAGAAGGAGTTAAATTCTGGTCCTAACTGATATTGTTGGATAGGATTTCGAGATTAATTATAGACGGAGGAAGATACGTATGGTGATATTAACGGATACATGGTGGAGCCAACAGGGCTGGTAGATCATGGTTCCCTCTCATATATATACCTACAATAGCTCATCGCACTGAATATACCGTCATCACCATCAGCATCATCAGTATCGCCAATCACGAAATCTTTCTCTTAATTTTATTTTCAACTTCTGGACTCCAAAAATGAAGGTCGCGTATATTCTCCCAGCGTTCCTGTCTGTCGCGAATGCCGGCATGCACATTAACTAGTAAGACTTGCAGTATTCAGTTATCACTGTCATTAGTACTAACACAAATGACAGCTACTCGGACACCAACTGTCAGAACTGGATCGGCCAGAAGAATCTTGGCCAAGGATGGGGCGACCAGACCTTCACTTCTCTTCAGGGCACGCATAGCGCCTTGCCTGTAGAGACAACTGGTTTCTATAGTAAGTGGGCGTGCTTTTCCCTTTTTCTCACCATTACAAGCGGCAGCTAATGAATGTCATCAGAAATCGAGTTTTACGATCAAAACAGCCCTAATCCTAAGTACACGAGGTTTGATGGCCAATGCTGGGGTACTACCGGAAAGGTTGTGACCCATATCAAGCCTTGGTAATTTATGATCATTGTGTTTGGGTAGTCTAGTTGCAGAAGCCGTATCTTGAAATAAAAATTTTCGTGTTTGCCAAATCCTCTCTCAATGCATCAGCCTTTTTGGACTTTTTGACCCAACCCAATGTCGGCTCATATCAACGCTTAGTGACTTACTTTAAAGCGCTTGGCGTCTGGATGAAGCACCGATTAACCCATCGTCGAATCGGGAAACACCTACTCAGCTAGGTAGTTAATGTAAGTGGGAAAGTGTAACTTTTAGCTTAAAAAACGCCGATACAAGAATCAATCGTAGAAATAAATCATGTAATATTCGAAACTCGGCTTATTGACAGTACAGAATCGGACATCCAACATGTACGCAAAACATCTGATGGGCCTTTGTAACACAAAAGTTCCTAAGTATATACCCCTCTTTGCCGAGCAGAATCATTGTCACATGCATGTGACTAAAATCTGCACCTATTTTGAGTCACTTGATCTGTTTTCCAAAAATACGGAGCTTCGAGAACCCCCTGAAGTCGGGCTTTAACAAGGCCTTTAATATTTAAAAATGCCCTACGTGGCATTCTCCGCTCGCTCTAGTAGTTACCTACATTTATCTAACACAGCTACAAGACGCTCGCATCAATCCAGCGAGTATTCCCAAAAGTACCATCAGGCGTTGAGAAGACGTCAGAAACATGTCGGTACGGTTTGACTTGGGAGTCGGTGAGGACGAGAGTCACATTGCTCTGCGCCTCGGTCGTCTCGTTGTAGCCTGGACCATAGTCTTTCCAGGTGGCCATGAATGTGAGGTTGCTTAGATTGGGAGCGGTCGTGCTCCAGGGAATGTAGCCGGCCGGCTTGATGCTGGCGTCGAAGTACGAGTTCATGAAGATGGATCGGTGCAGCGAGTTCCATGGTCGTCCGAGCGCACACTTGCCCACCATATTTGGAGCAATGGTGTAGTTGGATGCGATGAGCTGGGTTCGATCTATGTAGACGCCGTACTTGTTGGTGAAGGTCGTGTTGGTACCCTTCCAGGCAGTAATACCGCCGCCGCAACTGCGGAGCGAAAGCGTAGACTTCTCAATGTACGCGGTGCCGAAGCCGTAGAGGAAGTCGGTCTGTCCAGCAATGACATTGTCGTAAAAGAAGGCGTTTCCAAGCTTTCCAACATAAACCTATTCATTGCTACCAGTAAGTATCTCTGTGTTTATGAATGAATAGCTAACGGGAAATGGGAAGTCTCTTATAACGTACCGTGTCCTGCCAACTGTAGAAACCACATGAATAAAAACCAGCATTGGCCCTACTAACTCCCAAAGCATGTGCTGGACCGTATGAGTACTGAACAAGCTCATTCCGGAAATCGATATTGTAGGCACGGAAATCCGTGCATCCGAAAGGAGTGTCGGCTGGCACAGGGAAGCCTGTCGGCCCAGAGCCTGTCAGGGTGGCATTGAGGTTGGGACCAACAGTCAAGACGCCAGTATAGACATTATCGGTGAAGAGGGCGAGGTGATTGGCCGAGTTCCACCAGACTTGAACGTCATTTTGGGCGCTGGTGTTCACATTGATATCCGAGTATAAGTCACCCTTCCAGGGCTTATTGGACATGCCAATCAAGTGAAGGGGACCGCGGCGAGTGACATTTAGCTGCTCCGTGTAGTTCCCCGGGGCAATGAGGATATGCCCCGGAATAGTGGTGTTGCCAAGCGAGTCAATGGCTGCTTGAATGGTGTTGAAATGAGCTGCCGAGTCATTCTGAGCGACATAAATTGTGCCGCGAGGACAGCCTTCAGTCGGGTGGTCTGTTTGTCTCTGGCAATGTTTGTATGTGCTAGCGGGACCCTCGGGGCTGTGCGCGACTGTAGTCTGGAGGAGAGCTGCTGTGACAAGCACAGCTTTCAGAATGAGCGTCATCATGGTTCACAAGGATTGACTCGAGAGGAAGATAAGATGCCAAGATGCCAAGTCGGGGTGACAAGTGGAGTTCAATTTATGAATATACTGTCGTTAATATCTTTAAACACCAACTCACATGCAAAGCTTCTTGGACTTTTCCTGTCAAATTGCGGAGATGATGTTTCCAATTGGGATAACATGGAGAAGCTTCCCCTCCCCCACGACATGGTTACATTCCTCCACAAATGAGGATCCCAGAACTTTGAACTAGGCCACTCCAGTCTACACTAGAGCAAGGGACGGCTATGACATGCCGAGAAGACGGACAACCTTCCACTAAAGTGAAGCTTGTTTTCCCGCGGTGAAAATATTCCACCACTGAGAGAGAGCCATATTGGACCAGCACATATATCCAGTGTAAATGATCACCATTGAAAGAAGCCGATTTCCGAACACAGCTCAGGGCCGCGTCACAGGATGCCCCCAAACTGACTCCAATTTGAGCACTTGCCACCCATTTTTCGGTCGGCGTGTTTCGGTTAAAGGTCCCGGTTAATTAATTGTTGGGGTTTTGTGGGGGAAGGGAGCTCATTTCGTCGGACGGAAAATTAGCAATGCAGTTCTAGCATACGCGATAGTTATTCAAGGATCATGGTGGAGAATGGAGACGAACCGGCCATCCGGAAAGCTCGCCATGAGTTGGTAAGTATATTAACACGGGGATCGACGAATGCCGACTTTTAATCGCTGTGAACTCATCCACATAATTAATTTGTCTGGTCCCTGCAGTCTGCAGCCAACGCACCAGACGTCGACACCATCAGGATGATCCAATCCACCATCTTTGTTGCCTTTTCGTGTCTGGCCTCTGTTGCCAGCGCGCTCTCTGTCCCATTGAACGAACGGTCTCTCGTTACACGGCCCGTTATCAAGGCATGGCCGCACAGCCCGGCAAAGCATCATGGTGCCTCGCCTGCTCGCAATCATGACAAGTATTGCACTGTCAAACCCAGCAAAAATGGCGGCGATGATGCTGGCAATATTCTCAAAGCATTTAAAAAATGCAACAACGGCGGAACTGTGGTCTTGGATGCGAACTACACTATCGCATCGCCTTTGGACCTTACGTTCCTCAAACACATTGATGTAGCCCTCACTGGCACCATCAACTTCTCGGAAGACATCAGTTACTGGACGGAGCACTCGTTCAAGTATGCCTACCAAGATGCCACGGCCTTCTGGAGATTTGGCGGTGAAGATGTCAACATCTTCGGTCATGGCGTTGGGCTTCTCAACGGCAACGGACAGCCGTGGTATGATGGCTTCGCTGCCAATGCTTCCCTCTTGCGCCCGGTTCTCTTCCTCTTGGATGGTCTCAAGGGGGGTTCTGTGACGGGATTGAGCATGATCAACCCCCCGAGCGCAAGTCTTCGCCGAAAGATTGGATGGAGAACCTGAGCTGACTGTTAAATAGTGGTTCAACCTTATCGCCAACAGTACCGACGTTATTGTCAGCGACATCAACTTGCGAGTGGGAGTAAGTCAGCTGCCGAAAAGTCATTAAATGATGCACAGAATTAGCTGACCAGGCAACAATGTAGAGCACAAACGCAAACCCCGCCAAGAACACAGACGGATGGGACACATATCGTTCTGACTCTGTCGTGATCCAGAATTCCATCATCAACAACGGCGATGATTGTGTTTCCTTCAAGCCCAACAGCACCAATATGGTAGTCCAAGGCCTCCAATGCAATGGCTCCCATGGCATCTCTGTTGGGTCACTCGGCCAATACGCCCAGGAGTTCGATATTGTTGAAAATGTCTACGTTTACAACATTTCCATGGCCAACGCCTCAGATGGTGCCCGCATCAAGGTCTGGCCTGGAGTGTACACGAACTTTCAGGACAACTTGAACGGCGGTGGTGGCTCCGGTTACGTTAAGAATGTGACGTACGATGGGCTGTTCAACACCAACAATGACTACGCCATTGAACTCACTCAATGCTATGGTCAGAAGAACTTGACCCTCTGCAACCAGTACCCTGTACGTGCATAAACCGACTTGCTGATTACAAGCCATCCTGAGCCAGGTTTTATATTGGATATTGAGTGACTAACTTGGCCTTGTAGTCCAACATGATTATCTCGGACATCGTTTTCAAGAATATGTGGGGAGTAGCCTCCAAGAAGTACGACCCTAAGGTCGGAACGCTGGTTTGTAGTCAGGCCTCGGTAAGTTGCCATGTTGGTCCCTCCTGAACAAACACTGACGAGTTTCGAATTCAGAAATGCATCAACATCCAAGCCCACAACATTAGCGTGTCAACTCCTAGCGGAAAGACTGCTACCTGGACTTGCACAAACATGGATAATTCTCTGCTTGATATCAACTGCGTCTCCTAAGCTAGGGAGATTCATCTTGATGTTAGGGTATGCCATTTTGAGTTCACCAATAACCTCATTACCGATGCTTCCGGGATCCCTACCCTTGCTCAGGCCCCTACAAAGCTTCGAGACTTCCGAAGCCTCCGCAGACCCGGGAGTTCACGGGACCTCTGCAGCCCCTGAAGTTTTGTCTCATTCATGTACAAAAGACACACCATTAGAATGTCAATTAGCGAGAAATCAAAATAATTCATCGCTTTGGTTTTCAATCGTTAATTGCGACATAATATCCAAGGTCTTCAAGTTGTGATTCAATTTCCGGCGACATGATTTATTTCATGGATGCACACAGAGCGGAGCATGGTTGAATTGTTCAGTGATGTTATTGAGTTAATTAAAATTTAAATCCAGACTTCATAACGACATCTTCACCAATAATACACTAGACGGAGCCGTCTTGCGACTGCCAAATAACAATTTGACACGCTCCATCAATCCTGGCTCTTTAACAGCCGGAATCCGATGAGGTTCGAGGATAAAACAGAGGAGCTAGAGGCTGGCGGCATGGTGACGTAGTAATATCATGCAGTTTGTAACGGGATAGTCCTTCTAAGAAGAATCCAGGCAAAATAATATCGAAATTCCGTCTGCTCTAGTTGACCGTAACGGCTGAGACTTTTACCGAAGAAATATAATTGTCTATTTCTCCATCTCGGCAACAAACATTCTTCTCTCCCTGAGACGATCACCGCATTTGTGAAATATCAGGGGGAATGGGACCATAGCAATACAGATAAACCCCAAAAGCGTGTTTCCCCACCGCAATCCCAGGGCCTCATACATCGGCCGTCCCAGTGCTAAGAAAGTTCCAACTAGGCTTCGAAAGACTGTGTTGGCAGCAATAGCCTATGCGGCTTCTGTGGGATAACAGTCCACGAGATAAGTAGTGATGCGAAGAAAAAGCCCGAGGCACCATCACCAAACGGAATCAAAGACAAGACCGCATAGATCATCAAGCCTTCTTCCTCCGCCGCACGATCGCCCCCACGAGGTTACCGATCTCTTCCGCCTTAACGTCATGTCCCCATACCTCCCATGGCGCGATGAAGCGGTACCCGTGCTGCTTAGTTGAAACTAGCCGGAGCAGTTCGCGCACCCCGTCCGGCGAGCGCAGCCACCTGCGGTCCTCCTCTGTTAGCGTAGCGACTTGCTGAACGTAATCCAGTATGTATGCTGTAATGCCCGCAGCCACCACGGTTGCATATGCCGAGCCGTGTTTTATCGGTATCTTGGGCTCCCAACCGAGCTGGATGCCGCTGCCTAGGGTGGAGAAGTTGTCGTCGTCCTCTAAGGGGGCCGGACTGATGCCAATGTCTCTCCCCTCGCCGTCAACTGCATGTATGCCGATGATTTGCTGATGGCTTGCCGGATAGGGTCGCATCCGGTCGTGGCCTACGGCAGCCATGAGGACGGGGGGGCGTTCTCCTTCGAGAGCGTGCTTGATAGCTGTCTCTATTTCCGGCTGAGGTCTGTCGAAGCCTAACGGGATGATGATAATATCAGCGCCGTATTCTGCAGCACACCACGAGATAGCCTGCGGACTTGTTAGTCAAGACTATTTGCCATCGGAAGATAAGTTGTGAAACCTTGGCGACTACGTGCGCGGAGAGACCATGTCTCACCCGGTCACAAGCAACTTTTGCCATGAACAAGTCAATATCTGGGCATGTCTTGACAAGAAGACAAGCCAAATCGGTCCCCATGCCGTCGGAATCGTCAGTATTATCCCCATCAATGAAGTTTTTGCTTGAGGGCCACGCCTGCAATTCGTCAAACCATTGTCCCTGAGCGCTGTTAACTGCCAGTCCGGTGCTGAGCAGCGCCACTTTGAGATTGCCCGCTCGTTGGGCATTTCTCGACTCTTCCATTAGCGACTGTCTCCGAACGTGAACGAAATTTTGGTAGTTGTCGAAGAAGTCATTCGCCTTTTTCTTGTGCCTACGTAATTGTTTGTGAGCGATTGGTCAGGGACTCGTTCTTTTTGCTTACTCTGGATTTTGTAGTCCCACACCGCGCTGCAATGTTCTAAATCCCTGACGTTGACCAAGCGCAAGAAGCGTCCTGACCACCGTGTCATGCCAGTTCTCGGTGGCGACTATGATGGGCGTCCGCCCGTCCTGGTCAGGCTGTTTGAAGTCGGCTCCTCCATTCTTGACGAGGATTCTGACGACTTCGCTGTGTCCGTTCGCAGCAGCCCACCACAGGGCAGTCCGACCCCCGAGGTCTTGCAGGTCTACCTGAACGCCGTCCTCCTCGAGTAGCCTCCTCACGACACCCTCGTTGCCGTTTGCAGCCGCAAGCGAGAGGGCGGTCTGTCCTTTGATGTTCTGGGCATTTAGCCCAGTCCCTGACGTATGACCAGCCTGGAGCAGTAGGGCGACCCCATCGAGGCTGCCGCTCTCCGCGGCGTCCATTAGAGATGTTCGCTTTGTCCGAGTCTGATATGCCAGAATTGATGGAGCGATGCACAAGAGACCGTCGTGCCTCGACCCGAGCTCTGAGTCGGCGAATGTTTGAAGAACGTCGGACACCAGACGGTTCGATAGCCGACACTTCCCCTTCACCACTTGAACGTCGACTTTGCCAATGTCATCGACAATATCCATCATGTCTCTAAAGAACGAGCCAAAGATTTCCTGAGCACAGGACTCACTAAGAGTACTACGCGACTCCGTCAACCAGACAGAAGTGCTTGGGGGGTCTTCGGCTCGAGCATTATGCCAACCAAAGAGTCGCGTACAGGCATTGCGGTGGTCGCATTGGTCCGAGAACCCTCTAAGGATGCTTATGCGGGGGGAAATTGAAACGTTCCAAATGGTATTTGGATCCCGGACACCGTTACCCTTGAGTTCAGCAGCGTAGCAGTAAGGCGGGCTGGCTTGGTCCTGCCACCACTGTTCTAATCTCTGTCTCGGGTTATCCTCATCAGTGGAAACGATCTTGGATATTGGAACTGCCGATGATCTTATCACCTGGTCCCCCACGACCCTGGAACCGACAGCGCGGTCAGTGTCCGACTTGAGGGACCATATCCATAGCCCAAGGATTGCCTCTATGGCTTCTTTTTGGTCAAGTTTCCATACATTTCTCACCTCCTTTGGACCATTGACTTCCCGATGCAACGTCAAATAGAGGATGGCATCCGTTGAATTGGTTGTGTAATCGGTTTCAACCTTGGGCACGAGTGGCGACTCCTTGTGCCGAATGTTGCACTTGAAACTCCAATGGCAATTGTTCGCGGCATGTGGCGTTGGATCCCTCAGCGTGGCTTTGAAGTAAACCTCGTTGCTAACGGCTTCAATGGCGTTTGCGAGACCCCATGCCATGCGTCTGACTTGTACCATCTCTGCCTCGAAGTTTTGGGCTGGGGACATCTTGACATGAGGGAGCGGCGATGTTGTCAGCTGTGCGAGCTGGGTCCGATATGCCCAGAGATTCCGAGCAGCACGGGCACCGTCGTCCGCAGGGGTCGGCGGCTTCTTAAAGGATACCCCGTCCGCCGAGCCTGAGAATCTCCAGTAGTGATGCCGAGTGAGCTCGGGGTTGACTGGCGTCGAGGAAGAGGAACCCAATCCTTCATCGATATCCTTCTTGCCCATGTCGAGTGCAAGCCAGTCTAGTTCGTGTCCTAGGACATCCTGGCCGCAGCTGGCGAGACAATTGCTGTCTGCCTTCAGTCGTTGCATGCGCAGGGCGGCCCGCGCGGCGCTCATAACCAGGATGGCTCCAAGTTGGGCAACGGAGATGGCGGAGTGAATGCCTCTTAGGCCGACGAACTGGAAGATGAAGCCGGACAGGGTGATGCCAACGACGCCCCAGACCGCGGGTTGCGAACGGTTCGATTCTCCTTTCCAAGAGGTTGTATATTGCTGGAGGGGATCCGCCTTGTCATTGTAGGCAAACGAGCCGAAAGTCTGGTCGCCGAGGACTTGGCCCCCGGGCTGCAGCCAGTACAAAGTCGAGTGCTGCCCATGACGCTCAAAAATACGCTCCTCCGTGCTCTGACCGATGACAAACGCGCAGAGGTAGATACCGAGCCACAGGAGACTCGTCCCGCCGATAAAGCTAGGTCCAGCATATGGACCTGGAAGCTGCCCTTCCTTTTCCCACTTGAGGTAGTAGGTGACGACTACGGCAAAAGCGATGACGCCCCCTTGCAATACGAGCCCAACAACAGCGATGGCTGGGGGGACGAGATTGTGTGGCTTTTTGATGCCGACGTTGAGAGACAAATTCGGTGCAAACATGTCCTTCGTGGACCCGGTTGCGGTCTCCATATCCTGTGGACCTTCGGGTGCGTTGGTCTGGGACGCGATCCATTCCTGTTTCCCATTGGGAGTGTCCATGTACTGCCGGAACGTGGATACCCTCGGCTCGTGCCTCAAACCCTCCCTCTTGTAGACGACCTCCAAGATCTTGGGACGACCAAAGACCCTGGCAATCCCTCCATTGTTGAACAGCTCGCAAACGTCCCAGCTGGTCGAGGAACAGAGCTCAGCTTCTGCGCTGCCGCCTCCTTCCTGGGCCCGACCGATGAGGGCGCGGAGGGACGGGCTGCCGCAGACGCGGATGGCTGATACGACGGCAGTCAAGATGCCCATGGGCGCTGTGGCGAAGATAAAGTAGTCGAGATAGGTGATGCTCTCGCTGAGGTACTGCTTGGTGATCTGCTCGCCAAAAAGCGACAGGAAGGGTGCAAGGTCCGTCGCCAGATTGTTGGAGAAGTCATCCCACCAGTCGGCCGCTTTGACGGTGGGTAGACCGACGAGGGCGACGAGGACGATTAGGATGGGCATCTGCGCTGCTATATGCCGGCGGCTTGACGTTCGTGAAGTGTGATCCGGCGTGGACGGTCTTTGTCGCCTTCTCAGCCGTCCGACATATGGAGGCGGGGAAGAATCGCCGCTGCCCAATGATGGACATTTTCATTCGGGTTCAGGTCGGCCTCTTGAATTCCGACCTTGCACAACTCTGTCCAATAAGACCCTTGACGGCTCATGCAGGTCTCAAGTCATCTGCAGTGCCGTGCTGTGATGAGAGCCAGAATATGCCCAGCATGCTGGCCCGACGAATGGCAATATGAACAGCACAAGCGTCTCCACCTTGCGGCGTTTGAGGAGCTGTGACGGCGAAGACATGCAAGGTCAGACAGAGCACTTGGGTGATCTTTTCGCCGGGAGGGGATCAGCACCATCATTTGGAAGAGTACCATAGCGCTTCGTACACAACAAGAACCTATAAATTATTTCGTTGTTTTAGCTCTACTCAATATTATCAGATAGATTAAAGCCATACAGTAATCTCAAATAGTAGAGATAAACAATGAGTGCTACACCCAGCACCAGAAGAAACTGTAGTTGAGTAATAAGACTGTTATATACACCCAGCCCCATTGGGATCTAGCTGACTTCAATGATAGCTTTTCATTTGCTAAGTGACTAAGTTGGATGGTATCTCACTTCCACTAATAAATCTGTAGGCTCAAGCAGTATCTACTCCATGGCAGATATTCTATTGCACATTAACAAATGAGGGTCTGATAAGGCCTTGTCAGACTCTGTGTGTTTTCGACCAGTCTCAGGCTAGGCGGTCTTATGGGCTGGGTGTTCAAACTCCGTTTCCTCTTAAAGGGTTGCAATAGGAATAGTATGTTAACATTAGAACTTGAGCTTTAGTCAATAAGTCTGTGTAGGCCAGAATTCAGTTAGTGTGGTGTTGCTATATTTACTGGCTCTGGTCCGAGGGTTACATTAGCAACAGCTCTAGTATTATTAAGTATGGACTTGGGAGTTTTGGTGATTTTACAGTAAGATATATACACATTTGGTTCCATTCTTCTCTTTACCCATTATCCTCAGATAGATCCAGACCATGCAGTATTTGCAAACAATAGAGACACATATTTAACCCTACACCCAGCACCAGCTATTCACACTGTATCTAGCAATATCTGAAAGCTACCTCAATTACGATACCTAATATCGGCATCTCAGTATTCCTCGAAGGAGATGCTCGCGACGAAGGAATCGAGAATGACGCCCTGTGGGACCTTGGATGGGAGTTAGCCAATAAAAAACCAGTTGGAGGGCATCTACGTTGGGACTGGCCACGACGAAATTCGTCGATGCCTGTTGCAGAAGGCAGAGGAGAAACCTGGCTTCCGACCCCTGCTTATCACGATATAGCGCCAATGTATTTAAACCCACCCGAGCCCCACCGAAAGTTGGATTAAGATTCCCCCGCTTTTGACATCTCTCATGATCCAGCTTCCTGACCATGGCCGAAGAGCAGAATCCTGAGACACCCCCGCTCGTTGCCGACGAGAATGTAAGGTTCTGCTGTATATTTGGTGTTTCGTGATCCCGTTGACAGTTGGTAACATCTTCTAGGCCGATACCGAGACTGACGACGATGGCGACTCGGCCCTTGGAGTGGATGGCGCGAGTGCCACCACGTCCCTTCGCTCCAGCATTATGAGGTACCGTGAAGAGAATGGCCGGACGTATCATGCTTATAAAGATGGCGGTTAGGGCCCTTGAGCTTCACCTAATGAATGGAAGTGACACCTAAATGACTAACTGAACTGATGCAGTATATGTCTTCCCAAACGACGAGGTCCTCTTACCCCGCTCTGTTGGCCCAGCTCCATGACTGACTTAGTAGCGCAGACAGAGAATGAGCGACATGGTAACTCAGGCCTAAACTGTGACCCGCAACGAGCTTACCAGACGCAGATATTCAACATCACTTGTTTATCCTCACTTTTGACGATAACCTGCACGCTGCCCCATTGACCATGCCGCTTCGCCGCGCGCTTGATGCCGGATGTGGTACGGGAATTTGGGCTATTGACTTTGGTACAGTCCCACCGTCGTTGATAAGAACGAATGTGTTCTGACAAATCTGTAGCGGATGAGCATCCCGAATGCGCAGTGAGTAATGGCCCAATGGCTAAGATTGAGCTCCCAACTGATTACACGTCAGGTTGTTGGTGTCGATCTGAGCCCTATCCAGCCATCAGCGTAGGGAACCGAGCAGACCTGACACCCTCAACACTATGCTGACATATGTTCTAGCGTCCCACCTAATGTCTCGTTTTTGATCGACGATCTCGAGGACGTTTGGGATTACTCGACTAAATTTGACTTTGTCTTTGCACGCTTCCTCACTGGGTCAATCCGAGACTGGCCCAAGTTCTTTAATCAGAGCTTTGAGTATGAGGGCTCTTCATCTCATTTCCTACACATGTTTAATAACCATTGTCATTAGGTTCCTTAACCCGGGTGGTAAGATCGAAGTCATGGATATCATCTACCCCCCTCAGTCTGATGATGGCACACTCTCCGAAGAGTCGCCGCTCTATAAGTGGGCAACGTTGCTGGTGCAAACCTTTACCAACATGCGCTCCCCACTCGACAGCGCGTTGAGATATAAGGAGCAGCTGGAAGCAGCTGGTTTTATCAATGTCACCGTAGTAAAGCGCAAGTGGCCGATGAATCGTTGGCCCAAGGCCCAGAAATACAAGCAAATCGGTAAGACTCCAAGGACAAGATTTGGTTATCCCAATGCTCAGTCAAATTTTGCTGTCTAGGAATGTGGGCTCATCAGAATACCATGGACGCTTTGGCAGCGATAAGCCTGGCTATATTTACACGTCCCGAGGGGCAAGGAGGCCTCGGTTGGACGAATGCAGAACTGGAGGTGTTTCTGGCTTCCGTTCGCAAGGATATCAAGGATCATACCATCCACTCATACTGGCCGATGTGAGTCTTTCGGCCCGAACAGCCACGAAATATAGGCGCGAGCTAATCATCTCCCAGTTGGTCAGTATACGGTACAAAACCTGAGTGATGGGTTATAACGCCGGAGTGCAGGTCGCCTCACTGAGCGGCCCCTGCCAACCGTGAGCAAGGCGGTAGGGACCACCCATGGACAGTAAATGCTGCCGTCTTTATTACTCTCGGTGTACTCGTGTCATGGTTCCTGACTGCTGGCCTGGAAGCTCCGGTGGTTCATTTAAAGGCGTGGGACGGCTGTGGTCTTTTCTTACAGTAACGTAGCAAAAGTCTGTAGCACCCGCTATTGCTTCCAGTCCCCGCCGCTGTTCCACTCCGCAGTGGCGCCTTACTGCAACTCTTATTGTTATACCGATACTCCGTACCCTGGCTTATTTCACTGTCCTAACCGTTAAATCCTCGTGATTGGCTATGGCGAGCCCCATTTGTAATGAAATACCCGTGCCTCGCCACTACTGCGGGGTAAATCAAGGCCTGCCAAAAAATCGCATCTCTTCCGAAACCACCAACAGAAAAATATACCCAGGGATCGACATTCCAACTTGACCGCCTTCGATATGTTCAAAAGGAAACCCGAGATCAAGAATCTGGCGCCATTGCGTTCCTCTGACCGCCGGAAACTCGCGGATCAGATCATTCGAGACTACCAGGTTTCCATCCCCAATAAGCCGGCCGGAGAGGATGCATCATCGAGCACACAGCCAACCTTGGCTTCACTTCGCAACTCCCTTCTGCCAGAGTCCACCTCTTCTGCTCGCTTCACAACCATCTCGGGGCAAGTCTCAGCAGCGGTAGGCGGTACCGTCTACATTGGCGCGCACCCCGGACAAGATGAGAGAATACTCTGGTTTCAGTCGGGGAAAAACCCGAGGCTGATACCAACTGTCTACACGCTTTGGCATCACCCCAACCTTGTCCCGCTTCTGCATACCCCGGAATATGTCCTAGAGGAAAAGTTAAAGCACGGTGCAGACTTGATGATCCCAGGCTTGGTGAAAGACAAGAACACCGGGTGGGATCCACGAGCAAGCACTGGTTCCGTCGTCGCCGTCGCCGGCTTACAAAACGACACTGTGCCGTTATGGATCGGAACCTGCCAGTTGGACGTGCGAAATCTCCCCGACGATGTCCGAGGGCAGAAGGGCGCCGCAGTTAAAGCCCTTCATTGGGCGGGAGATGAATGCTGGAGTTGGAGAGTCCTCGGCAGTGGAGGGCAGGATCCGCCACAAAGCTTGGAAGGCTGGACAGGATTGACGACACGACTCGCCGAGGGCATTCAACAAGCATCGCTTGACAATGGGAAAGACGACGAGGAAGGCGCTGCATTGAACAAGGATGGCAAGCAACCAGATATGCCCGACGAAGGGGAAGAAGAGCAAGAACCGTCAACCAAAGAGATCGATGAAGCGTTTCATCAAGCCTTCCTCTTTGCAGTTCACAAGGCAAAGATGAACAACTCGAAACCAAACTTTGGCCTGGATTTCCCGATCCAACCATCGTTTCTCATATCGAACATGATCCAGCCACACCTCCGGTCTCAGAACCAGCGCCATTACACCATCAAGAAGACGTCATGGAAGAACACAAAGAAGTTTATCAAACATTTGGAAAAGCTCCGCTTGTTGAGATCCAAGGACCGTAACGGTGGTGAGACGGTCATTCTTGATATCGAATTTGACCACGAGGAAGTTGTAGGTTTCAGGCCTTATAAACTACCAACTCCAAAGCCGGCCGGCACGGAAGCAGGTAGCGGGGAACAAGCCGATGGACAGTCTTCTTCATCTAATGACCAGTCTCTGGGGCAGAAGCTCAACATTCAGATCGTCTATCGTGCGTCTCCAAAGCTAGTGCCGACCCTCCTGCCTTCCAAGACCGAGTTCTACAGCGCATCTCAAGTTACGGCTGCTTTGAAGTCATACATCGAGCAACACCCGGACGTGGGAGGACAGGGAGGCTCAACCCTTAAGCTTGATCCTTTTCTTGCCAACGATATTTTGGGCTCCAACCCGAAACATGATGACAGCAGCTTCCTTGCAGCGGGACGCATCTCTCGAAGCGCGCTACAGAAACGCATACTGGATGACACTCACCTCTGCCAGCCCTACCATATTATTTCAGGTGGTCAAGCTGCATCTGAGCAGAAGCCTAAAGCAGGACCCCCACCCCACGTTCACATCACCATCGAAAAGCGAACTGGCACCAAGGTCGTCACTAAGATTTCCAATCTCGAGCCCTTCTTGATCGATCCGCAGCTACTTGCGCCAGAGCTGCAGAAGAAATGTGCAGGGTCGGCAAGCGTGGGACAAGCCAGCGGCGCTAAACCTGGCCTGCTAGAAGTCGTTGTTCAGGGCGACCAGCGGAAAGTGCTTGTTGGAGATATCTTGTCCAGAAGGGGGATCGACGCCAAATGGGTGGATATTACGGATAAGACAAAGCCAAAGAAGAAGAAGTGAGGGCTTGCAGCTAAGTAGGGTAGACATAAATTGTCAGTGGATCTGAATTAGGTACGACTCTCCCTGAGAACGATACATATCAGATTTTATCATACTTTCCTTACCGCAATTTCATTTTTAGCTGGGCGATCGTCCCATAAGACAAGAGACGTAGATGAGATGGTATAAAAGGAAAGTCAAACAAAGTATCGGTAGAAGTGGTGAGAAGATCTTAACAGCCGACTGAATTGTGCTACCAACTATTGGCTGCCAGTTGTTGATTATTGACTAAAAGCGATATGGAAGTAATCAACGGAATACGAATACACACTGACCATATGTAGATTTACCAGTCCAACAATGGAGCAAAACCTTCCCTGGCAAGAAATTCGTTCACCTCCTTGGTTGTGTTGTCCCAGAAACCTCGAACTTGCTTCTCATCGTTCGCCACCACGTGGTTCGACTTCACCTCTCCAACCGGCTCCAGATATTTCCCTTTAAACACATCCGGCTTCTGTCGCACCTCTTTGGCCGTTGCTCCAAATAGCAAAGTAAACGAACCTTGGTCCTCAGTCACCATCACCCGGCGCATGATTGGTTTCATAGCGCCACTGAAAATATCGAGAGCATTAGCGCTCCTGACACTCCCCGGGTGCACAGAGAGCGAGATGATGGGCGAGCCCTGCAAATCCAGGAGCCGCTGGAGCTCCTGAGCAAAAAGTACGTTGGCCAGTTTTGCTAGGCTATACTGCATCATTTTGACGGTAAACATGTGCTTCTGGAGGTAGCGCCATTGCCAAGGATCGTAAGGCAGCGTGCCGGAGAGGAATGCGGGCGACGTGAAGTCGAACTGGTAGTTTGGCGGGAAGAAAAAGTATGTGACGGATGACGAGACGGTCACAATTCTTACGTCCGCTCGGGGATTGGCAGCAGCCTTCTTAAGGAGCGGGAGGATACCGTTGGTGAATACGAAGTGTCCAACGTGACTAGAAAATGTCAGCTTCACTCTTAAAGGTCTGACTTGAGTTCAATACCAGACTGCCATAGTCATTTCCCACCCAGCATCCGTTGTTTCAAGGTTCTCCATGGCTAACCCGGCATTGTTTACTGTCGTGAACTTGTCAACATTTATCGATGTGGGCTGCAATTGCTTTGGACACAAACCAAGGATGTCAATTGCATGCTCCGTCGCCTTGAGCTCTTCGACCGCATGGATCACGCTCTTGATATCGCCGAGATCCATTTTCAACCACACCAGTTGGTCTTTGGAGACAGCACTGCTTTGAGATAGGACGTAATCCGTGGTGTACGTCGCTTTTGCGTTGGATCGCGCAGTGAAGTAGACCTTGGCTCCTTTCATGGCCAAATGCTTCACTGTTTGAAGGCCGATGCCAGCACTAATGCCATGTTAGCATTGTTAGATGGTTCAAATAGGTCAAATAGTAATACGTACTTTCCGCCGGTTACTACAGCAATTTTTCCCTTCATGTCAGGCATGTCGGAACGAGGATTCCACCCTTTGGTCATTTTGGCAACGTGCAGCGGTGGGTTCGAGTAGTGTATTACCTGAACCAAAAGAATTCGGATATTTGAAATGGGACGGCAATTGACCGACAAGAGCTGTGTCAATGGCTCAGAGACGTGTCAGGAAGGTCATAGACGAGGTGGAACTGAGGACTCTGGGTGAGATACCATTAGCTGTAGACAGCCAGCAAGGTCATTTTAAGTCAAACCGAATAGTAAACACCCAAGCCGCTTTAGATGTTGGATTTGTCAGTCTCGGGACAATTCTCAGCCCTTTCTTGTGATTAATTACCAATGCGAACCCTACTTCTCGATCCCTCAGAGCCTAGATTCCACTTTGCTATCACGATCCCGCGAGAGCATTTACTACTTTTGGCAGAAGTGGCTTCACTAATTGTGGCGCCTGCTCGAATGCCAAGACTCGCATTTTCCTAATCCGTCCTAGAGCTGACTTGGCGGAGTTTAGACGGACATTGGCACGCTAGTCTTGTAAACTCCGCTCGCCTCCATGAACACTTCGGGACCAGGCTTCGTTCTTTTTCCCTTCCAGCTCAAAAATCCTGGAAATTTCCTCTGAACTACTTCAATCCGCTGACAATATATTCACTCCCCCCTTGATCAAGCGACATAAGGACCTTGACTCCCTGGTTGGCTGATACCTGGGCTCAAATCTCTTCAATCCCGATCAGGAATACGCATCGCTTGGCACGGCACCATATTGCAACAAAGTCACACAAAAATCGCCATCCAATGGATGTTCCACGAAAAGACGCGTTCCAATTCGTCCAGTTGTCTCATCCGCAAGAAGCGGCGTCGTGGAAGCGTCAAGTCCGGTCCCACGCGGCCAAGAATGCTCGTGCCCGCCAGCGGAGGGTTTTTCAATATCAAGAAGACAAGCTGAAAGAGACTTCAAAGCTACGCTCTACAAAGGCTGCTGGCCATTTGGAGCACTCCCAGAAGCCCAATTCCCCTGTGGCTGGCTCCATTGCAATGGCGCTCAGCGCTGCGAGAACCGACCCCTTCGACACCTTCGCCCGCAAGGTCACAAAATTCGAAAGCTTTCTTCTCGACCACTGTATGCTCTGCCCACCCTTAAACTGACGCCTTGACTTGTTCTACTGCTCGAGTGACAAAGATGTCTACTTACGATCCACAGTTGTGAAACATGTAGCGCTGCATGTCGTCACCTGCTATCCCTTAAGAAGTCTCTCAGAAGAAACCGAACTTCGCACGGGAATGTCAACACATTGGGTCCACATGGCTGCACAAGACCCCGGAATGCTTGCTATTCTCCTCCTTTCGTCGTGCCGAAACCTCTCCAACTTTCAACACAAAGAGTACTATGCCAGAATTGCATTGCATTACAAGGGCCAGTGCATCGCAACTCTAAAGGCAGACCTGGAAAAAGAAGGTGACATGGTCAGCGACGCCACAATCACTAAAACTCTCGGGTTGGCATCTGAGGCTGTTAGTGATCCTCCTCTCCCTTCACGTTGTACTACGTCAATCAAGACCATCTATTAACCAACAGCCAGACGCTGACCGGTGACTACGCCGCAGTGCAACAGCATTCACAGGCCGCTGAAAAGATGGTGTCAATGAGGGGAGGGCTTGAGACACTAGGTATGAGTGGGTTTTTGAGAAAGCTCATCACCTGGTTCATCCACGAGCCAGCTCGAAATGGTAACGGAAAACGTCTACTGATTCCTACATGTATTGAATCGGTATCCACGACTGTTACTGGCTTTGTGGACGCTGGCAATGAGTGAAGATCCGCAGGAAACAATCGCGATATACCTAGGCAGTATTGTGATAGTGCCGATTGGTGTACTAGAGTTGAATTACAGCAGCATTTTTTTTTCTTAATATTCCTATTTTCTTATTATATCCCAGAGCACTTAATGAAATATTTCCAACCCTTATGTAAACTATTTTCTCAGCCGATCTCAGCTCAAGGCCTCATTTTAGCCCGAGCTCTAGGGTAACCCAGACCTCTCTGTCCGCACTAAGTGCCTCTCACACGAACAAAGTATGTACAAGGGGTTTGAGATTGACCAAAAAAACCCTCATAAGGAAGGAGGGGCCCGAGTAGAGCTAACAAGGATGGTTTGCGGGCATCCGTACCAACAACTTTAGTCTCCACATCGTACTGAACGCTATTGCCCTGATCGAATTTACCGTGCCGGATCCAACACTGGTTGCCCATGTCGCCACTGTATAGAAGCTCCCAAATGCATCGCCGCCGGCTGCTGCCACCTTAAGGAATTATGCGGTCGACATTCCATGGCGTTATCATTCTCTCCCCTCGGTCTGCCTCGTAGCTGATAGTATTGTGCAGCCCGTCGTCGACAGGAGCAGTTACCCCGCCCATACTCTTCGTTCCGACAGTACATGAATGCAAAACCCTTTCATAAGAAATACAGCTGGACTGTCTTGGCATGTCATAATGAGGTCACCCTTCGTTCTCCGGCATATCTGTCGTTCCCAATCGAGGGAAACTCCCACCAAGAGAGTCTTGGAATACAAGTGACCGCAGATGAAATTACCCAACAGAGGCTTGACAAGATGGTAGAGCATCGACAACTATTGAAGTATACTATAACGTGCTGCGCTCACCATTGGTAAAACCTTCCCCCAACCGCACCCTTGAAGACACCTTTCTGGAAGAATAATGCAAAGATTTCCTCAGATATCAAGCCATGACTTGGACTGAGAACGTCTTATGGCCCTCGACATTAACAGTTAAAGTCAGGTTGCAAGTGTACAAGATTGCTATAGAAATCCAAGACGTTCCATTTGAACATACTGAAATTGAAGTCATCCAAACAAGGCTTAACCTAGCAAAGGCCTTGGAGGAGTTTGAAGACAACGAACAAGCTACTTCTGGGTTTCGGAAACGCTGCTGATAGACGCCAACCCCGCTAACGATGAGTGGTAGTTCGATCCTGGTACCGTGATGAATTTTCGACACAAATTATACAAACTTTACGGGTCTCAGAAAGCACCTGTCAAGTTGTGCTGCGTCGCTAGAGAGTATCGACAACCATGTCTCGAAAGCTATGGCAACGGCCGCAGAGAGCGCATGATCGCGACACTACCGAATGGTGAGATACTTAACAAATGGAGGAAGTCGACTGAAGCGAAGAAAACATACGCTGCTATTGGAAACGTCCTTGATGCAGAGCGGCCCGTATGAGGAAGCCGCCGTGGAGATAATAATGGAAATCGGTGCCTCCTTGGAAAAGAGCGGTAGGGCTGAGGATGCAACTTTGCTGTACGAGAAGCTGTTCGAGGACGACATATCTAACAACATTAGCTCCATGCCGAGGCTAATGACCGAAATAACCCTTCGTCTCACTCGGCGGTACAAGCGGTACAAGCGGGACGAAACTGGAAGCAACCGCTCCGGGGCGGTCTTTTTCAGGATCATGGATAACGCTCTCTCCATCTCCGACGCCAATGACAAAACAACTCGACTAAAGTTTGTTATTCAATTTCACAAGCCATTACGGAAAGACAGGCTCGTCGGCGCCCGTGAGGACGTCCTCGAGACCTTGTGGAGCAGCCTAAAATCCCAGGAGGTCTTGTCTGGGGAAGACTATGCATAGTTGGCGCAGATGCTTACCAAGTTGTACAGGGCGACCAACCAGACGGCAAAGTTGGACAATTTGTGCATAGAAATTTACAAGTTACAGCATGGCCGAAAGGGGCTGGCAGCAACGGCCATCGCGCACGCCGAGGACGTCCTTCGCTTTGCGCTCGATGGCACAAGATCAGTGCTGGGGCCGGAGCACGGTCTCGCGTTTGAGATCCTGAGAGACCCGTTCAATGTGCTGCAGTTCCAGGATCGAGTGCAGCTCCAGGATTGAGTGCAGCTCCAGGATTGAGTGCACGACATGGAGCAGGCGTGCCACGACGTGTGGGAAGCACGCAGCCCCAAGACGGCGTGGGACTCGGACAACATCTCACGTGCCGGCGACCACTATCGACTATGTACGACAAAGTCGGAACAACATCGGATCGAGGGTGAGCAACTACCTACTTCGCGGCTCTGTTGTCCAAATGTGTATAAGATAAGTACCCGGCTGGGTCTTTTAACCGCATGCGGTTCATGTTTCGCTGCGGGGAAGGCTGCGTTAACTTTGTCCGGAACGTTCCGTCTATTCCGGACCGGAACAAGTGCACAGGATTGGTTCACAAGGTGGGAGTGATGCTCGCTTCCCATCCAGACGTGGAGAAGTCAATGAGTCCGAATTCCGTATCCCACACAGCCCAGGATGCGGGGTTCCGATCGTCCCGACTAATATTCCTAACCAGAAGTTCCCATATTTAATACCCAGCCAGTCTTTAGAACTCCCTAAACTACTAAAGGATACTCTTGCGCACGAAGGCCCGACCCTTCCCTTATCCCTCCTCCAACAGTGGCGTCTTATGTCTCTAGCTTCATATTCCAATTGAGCCATTTACAAATCACTCTGTAAGTTGTGAACATTCACCTCCATCCAGTCTAAGTTTGGTTGTGTACACATAATTTGCTCATACTCTCGCTCTCAACTTCAGCTAGGATGATAGCCCGTGGTCTGATTTTCGCTTTCACTATTCTAGCCCTTATTGCTTGGCTGTTCCGCTTGTCCTACCGAACAGTAACTTCTCCTCTCAAAAGAGTGCCCGGCCCTTTCCTCACGCGTTTTACCAATGTATGGTACATCTGGCGCATATGGGAAGGCCAATTTGAGCATCATAATGTTGCCCTGCACAGGAAACACGGTTCGCATCGAGCTCTAGTCATACATGGCCTAGTCAGATATTAATTGTCACACAGGCAAAGTTATCCGATATGGGCCGAATCGATACAGCCTCAATGACCCGCACGCAATGAAGATGATTTACGACCACGGATCGCACTTCCAGAAGTCTACATGGTACGATTCCTGGGGGGTAGCAGATGGCGATAAGTGGGGCATGTTCATGGATCGAGACGTTCGGAGGCATGCACGCAACCGAAGGCAGTTCCAAAACACTTACTCTATGTCATCGCTTGTCTCATACGAACCCTATATCAACCACTGTGTCGAGGTCTTCTGGCAAAGACTCCATGAGATGGCAGATGCAGGTCTCCCTGTCGACATGAGCCACTGGTTTCAGTGCTATGCCTTCGACGTCATTGGCATGATCACTTACTCAAAGCGCCTCGGATTCCTGGATATGGGTGAAGACATTGGTGGCATTATCAAGGCTCTGGGAGACATGCTGGTGTATGGGTCCATAGTTGGAGTCTTTGCATCTCTACACCCATATCTCTTCCGTCTGCAGAATTGGAGGGCTGGGGATGCTGGTAGCGGGAGACAATTCCTGCTGAGATATACAGAGGAAAAGACTACCGAGCACCAAGCCGCACTGGGGCCAGGACGAGTTGATGCTAAGGAAGGACAGGACGACAGAGTCGGAATGAATTTCCTGACCAAGTTCTTCACAAAACATACCCAGGATCCGTCCGCGTTCACGAGGTATCATATCCTTGCAGGATGCACCGCTAATATGACTGCTGGTTCAGACACGACAGCAGTCACTCTGTCAGCAATTCTCTATCACCTGCTCAAGAACCCTACAGCACTCCAGAAGTTACTTGATGAAATTGATGACCGTTACAGACAGGGAAAGGTGTCAAATGTCATCTCATTTAAGGAGAGTCAAGAAATGCCCTACCTACAGGCTGTTGTCAAGGAGGGCTTGCGTGTTCACCCTGCTACGGGTCTGCCGCTGGAGAGGGTGGTGCCTCCAGGCGGAGCGACGATGTGCGACTATTTCTTTCCGGAGGGGGTGAGTGTGTTGAAGCCGTGTGTTTGATTCCCTATGGAGTTACTGACGTATGGTTTCTCTGTTAATGCAGACGATTGTGGGCGTCAATAGCTGGGTGGAACACCGCAGCAAAGAAGTATTTGGGGAAGATGCCGATCAATTTGTTCCTGAGCGATGGCTTACTGACGACAAGGAAAAATTGTCCTTAATGAACAGTCATTGGATGCCGGTGTGTATCCATAACCCTCTCGAGCCAAGACGCGTTGTAAACCTCGTACTGATACCGCTCTTAGTTCGGGCTAGGCTCCCGTACTTGTCTCGGGCGGCATATCTCAATGTTGGAGATATCAACGCTGATCCCTCGGCTATTACACGACTTCGAGATGGAGCTCTGCGGAGGGATCAGTCAACGAGGGAGTTCGTGGGTAACTATGAATCGCTGGTTTGTGAAACCGGAGAGCTTTTTGGTCAAGGTCAAGTTGCGACAATTGCCAGCGCAAGACAGGCCGGAGACCTGAATCATCGGCTTTCTCACACTTGGTTGCGACAAATAGCCTAGGCTATCGACACTATGACTTGACAGATATGTAGCAACGAGATGGTCAGACCATAGAATACCATTGTTTGAGAGGCACCGAATGGAGGCTGTCAAGGTCCCCACGAACAAGGATGCCAGCAGTGGTGACAGCGAAGATGGCAGACTGGATAGTTCGGCTCGAAAGCGACAGCGGATAAATTGGTGCACTATCACACGTACAATACTTCCCGATTGTTTCATAGGATAATAGCGAAACCACAATGGGCATTATCTGATCAAGTGATTCATAAAGGAATGCCCAGTTAATAGGCTGAAAATAGTATCAATTAAACAACCTGTAGGATGCCAATTCCGGTAATAATAAGTAGTAGTTTAATTCTAGTATTGTAATTAATTTTTAAAATAAATTATATAAATTATATAGATTTTAAAAAGTATTCATTAGTTTATTTTATATTATTAGAAATTATTAATAATTATATCTTAAAAGTTATAATAATAGCTATAAAAAGTATATAATTATAACTTTATAGAATAATAAGATTTTTAATAAATTAAATAATTAAATAATATATTTAATAAGCAAGTAAGATAAATAAATAAATAAAATAAAAATCCTAATCTTCCTACTAGAAATTACAATAAAAATACTATAAACTATTTAATTAATTAAAATTACTTACTATACTCTTATTACGGCCCAGGTTGAGACCAGGCGGTCACAACCAGCAGAACCATAACATACCCACTTTTTTACCTAACACAAACTCCGAACTCACCCCATATAAGTAAGCCCGAACGTACGACTCACTTCCCCAGGATGAGCCACAAGATCGGACTCACTCTCACCCAGTGAACCCGTATAAACACCACTAGTATATAGACACTCATTTAGCACTTTCATAGACAGATAGCCTTACCAGCTATTAATATACTTGGTTATATTGAATCTACTATTCTACCATTACCAGACCGTGACCTATATTACTTACTACGACGTCCTGATCTACTCGATTATATACCCCACGCCTCGGACCTACTCTATACCCTTAGGTTAGACCCGACTGTTACAACTCTTCCCTAGATATTTTAATTACTACCTAATAGATTCTTATATTATACCCGGGCTTACTATAAATACTATAGTATTAAATATCCAGTCTAACTAACCTTTTTTAACTACTACTTCTTAAAGATTTAGCTACTATTTATATATCTATATCTATTTAATTAATTACTTATCTTTCCTCTTCTACTATTATAACTCCTCTTTTTTATAATTTAATTTTTTTTACTTTTTAATACTAGCATAATATTTTATTTACCTTTTAAAGGTTTTTATTCTTAGTAGTTAATAAGATAATTTAATATATAATTTTTTTTATTTTTTTTATAAGAAATTATAAAGTTTTTAAAATTAACTTTAAAAAGCTATTTTAATATCTTTTAATTTACCTTTTAAGATATTTAAATTAAGATCTAATTTTAATTATAATTTTTAAAATTCTTAAAGTTTAAGAAATTAATAGCTTAGTTACTTTTTTAATTAATATTAATATTTATAGCTAAATATTAAACTTTAAGATTATAATTTTTAAGTTAAAAAAAATAAAATTAATTTCTTTAAAAATTCTTTTAATATTTTTTTTTATTATAGTAGCTTTATATATTATATAAAAAGCTAAAAAGAATTTAATTTTTAAAATATAAATTATAAAGTATTTAATTAATTATTTTATTTCTTAATTATAAGCTTATTTTAATATATTAAAATATTTAATATTAAAAAACTAAAATAAATAAGAAAAATAAGATAATATATAAAATTAAATAATTTTTTTTTTCTTATAATATTTTTTAAATTTAATTAATTAGTAATTTTTATAATTATTAAAAATTAAAAAATAATAAAAACTAATTAATTAATTAATTATATACTAATTAAAGTATTTTAACTATTTAAAATTAATTTTATTATTAATTTAGCTATTTTAAGTTATTGTGAACGGCCTCTAGTAACTGTATTCCAGCTATCTAGTCCAGGATGCTATTTACATCAGAGATGAAGAAGAAAGAAAGAAGTTCCTAAGTGCCCCTGAGCTGTGGAATGATTTCCCATCCCTGGCGCGCACGAGCCAAGTACGTCTTGCGGCACAGCCGCAAGGATATGGGCCCTGGCCCGTGACAGTTATTATAATAATTTAATTACTTAGAAGATTATTTTTTTAATATTAATTAATAAGATAATATTAACTTATATTAATAATAAATAGCTAAATTACCTAGCCTTTTATATTAATTATTTAAATAATTATAATCTATTTTTAATTTCTAGGCTATATTAATTTTAACTTTAAATATCTTTTTATATTTATAATAATTATTCTACTTATAATTATATCTATAAAAAAGCTAATTTTATTAAAATTATAAATATTATTTAATTAAATATTATATTTTATAATTATATTTACTATAAGTTAAAATTAATTATAAATAATAATTAAATTTTTATATTTAACTTTTTAATAATTATATTTATAAAAAAAATATATCTTAAAGTCTAAATATTACTTAATAAAATTATAAGCTTAATATATACTAATTAGTAATATATTATAATTAATAAGTAATTAATTAGCTATTTTTTTTATATTATATAATTATAAGGGAAATTCTTATAAATTTAAATTAAAAATAAAATAAATAAAAATCTCTTCTTTTAAATTAAATAGCTTATATAAATTTAAAATAATATTATATTAAAACTAAATACTTTTTTACCAGCAACTTAAAGTATAATAATTAACTATATAAATCTCTATAGTATATTAGATATATAAATTTAGGTTATTTTAAAGGGCCTGAAGAGTAAGGAGTATTTTAGCCTTATAATTAGACTGTAATATACTGGGTAGTTAAGAATTAATTAATTAAATAGAGAGGATATAGATTAAGGGATTTTTATCTTACTTACTTATCTGTCTTACTTACTTATTAAATATATTATATATAATTATTATAAATCTATGTAAAATAGAGCAGTCTATATAAAAAAGCTCCTATAGAAATAATAATAGAAATTAACACCTTCTTAAAAAAGAGTAGTATAGCTAAGAGTGCAAGTTGCTATATAAGAAGCTGTTCGAGGATTATAGATAATACTATCTCCATCTCCAACAACAGAATAGAACAAATAGACTAAATTTTATTCTTTAATTTATAAGATATCACAAAAAGATAAGCTCATCAACGCCCGTGAGGGCGTTATCGATACCTTGTAGAGCGGCCTGAAATCCCACGACTATGCATGGTTGGCGCAGACGCTCGCCAAGTCTACAGGGCGACCAACCAGAGGGCAAAACAGCATCTCCCGGCGGTACTGGCTGGACAGCGGCATGCTGGAGCAGTGCAACTTATACAGGCGGGCCCTACAGTGACTGGGCCGCTTGGCAGAGGCCGAGCGCGTGTACCAGGACCTGTGGGCCGAGTGCTGGCTCGAGTCAGCCGGTAGCGAGCTATGGATGATCCACAAGTTCAGCAACGTCGAGGGGTAGAATGAGGAGGCCAAGGCGCGCGAGGTTGGCGAAAAGGAGCTGTGGCGATGGCAGAACTATGTTCAAGGGGCGGAGATCAGGGGAGAGGGTGTTCAGAGCGTGGAGTGGAAGTTAGGCGAGGAGTGGTAAAGGATCTAGACTGATTGTTAGCCAGGACGAGTGGGCAAGTTGGCTGGCTGGTTGTAGTGGCGGTGTTGCAGAGTCGTTGGGTCGACTGAGCCATAGTCATGACTTCAGGAACCATCAGGAAGCGCCAGCACCTATTGCATTTCAACAGAAGCTAGAGCTTTGCAATTCTTACTTTTCTATCATAACCCTACTCGCATTCTCGAGTCTATGTTCGAGATACGGTTCAGAAATAGTTGGAAGAAGTTCAGGATGTGTCCACTGCGGCTAGGGATGGCGACATGTAACAATCCATCGAACGTGAGATTAGCAGACCAAATGATGCTGAACCTGCACAATGGGTGAGGAGCTCGGGATGGGGATTGAGGAAAAGGTTATTGAATGAGCTAAAGGAATGTCAGTATGACCCTTATCTCACTCTCTCTATTAGCAGTACTCTCCTGGAGGTTCCAGATGCCTTCTACCTGTGTCATACAGATCCGTGGTGTTCTTCAGAATCTGACCATCAACTGGAAAAGTATTTAGACGCTGCCTTCCAACGTTGTTCTAGGTTTCGGGCCGCGGCACTGCTAGCGTTGTAGCAGCCGGTCAGTCTGATTTCCATCCATTCGGTAGAGTCCACCCCCTGTCTTTGTGTTAGGGTGACACCGAAATGTGGCGTAAATATGGTTTTGGAAAACATCGCCAATCAACCCTTCAGGAGTTCTAAACAAGACATCCAGCAATTCCATAAATCAGCAGTATTCTAGGTGTATACTCGGGCTACGAGAATGTTGTATTTCTGGGGAATTCCCTGCTGAGTTAATTGACTAGAGTGATTATCCCTGCAACCGGTACCAAGCTAACAAAAATACAGGGGCTGGACTGCACAAAGACCAACAAACTTCGACTACTCGGGGCAAGACTCCCAATATGTAGACCTCCGTTTACGTAGTACGTCGGAGAACCCGTTGAGAAAAGGACTCGGGCGAACCCTGCCCGGCACAATTTGTCACACTTCCCTCGGCCCGTTTGGCTGCATGATCCGGCAATGCTACCCACCACGCCCAGCTTTGGTGCCATCAACCAGGTTTGTCCTAGTCAATTGTGATGCGCCCGCATACAATGCGACCCCCAGTTGCCCATATCGGGAAGCTGCAAAGTCGCAAAGTTTCAAGCATTGCGTTGTAACGCGCGGGTTCCTGATCCTTCTTGCCGTCAACGTCACCCACACACGGAGGCTCGACTCTCCGAACCATTCTGTAAATTGCACCCACGGCACCTTGGAAAGACTCAGGCCCTGCAAGGAATGGTCGGCTTGCCATGACTGAATCATTGCCTGTGGGGCGCCCATTTAAATAAGATGGAGGAGCGGTTCACCACCACGCCTCTGATCCGACGATCCGGCACTTCTTACCTAGGTAGATATCGATTGACTTCCATGTCGTGATTGTTTTTAGTGCAGCCAAGCATTGGCAGACGTAGAAACAGCAGATGGCACTGCTGCCAATGTGCTCCCCTAGTTGCTCTTAACTCGAAGCGAGTCAGCGCTGGCCGGGGCAATGGCCATTGTCGGATATGGAAAGCAAGCATTAACGGACGCCCCTGGTTCTAGACTGCCATGGGCATCTGGATAGACGGCTCATCGGCTGAAAGGTAACAAAGCTCCAGACTTACGTGGTTACAGGATAAAGTTCTCGCCTACATCGTACCGACAAGGGCCCCCCCGCGGGCGAGCCAGGTTAGATCTACAACCCTGGCTGTTTAGATGCAGTACCGGCATTCCCATGCTATGGACCCAGGCTACGTGCTAGGGAACCCTTGTGATAACCAGGCCAGTACAGCGCTGTACATAGTAGATAACTCTTAGCCGGTAGAGTAGGCGTGGTGGGAGGGAACGGTCTCTTATCTGTCAAGGTCTGGACCGTTCGACCAAGCTGTGACTCTCCGCGTAGAGCGGGCAACGCCACGGCATGGACCTTACATCGCGATAATCATGCTCCTCGAGCCGTCTGGAGTCTGCGAAAATATCATATGGCATCTCCCGCGACATAATCCACCCTCGCTCTGGTCCCGCCATCTCACCCCATTGGATCCTTATTTTTCGACGCCCAACTTGACCTTCCCCAGGTCAATCGTGGTAGCCGACCGCGCCACACTGCGTACGCCTTCAACGAGGTGACTTCGCTACCGATCAGTGTTGCGATCTGTTGGCTGCAACCATGATTCACGACTACACCAAAGGCCAGATGGTCGGCCTGGCCGTTGGATTCATGGTCCTTCCCATTTTCTTCTACGCTCTGCGTATCTGGGCAAAGTTACTTATCAAGCGGTTCACACTGGACGATTACGTGGCGGGAGCGGCACTTGTAGGTGGCCAGACGACTTCAGACGACTTCGGAGGTGATGCCCGTGCTGACCGCGACATCACCAGCTTGTATCGACTACCTGTTGCGCCTTGCAGCTAGCCAGTAAGTTTTGACTCTTCTGCCCTCTGTTGCTTCAATTGGAGCGCCATATCTCCTTGGAAGGCACGGTACTAGCCGTGTAAACAGCTGCATTCCATGGATACCTCGGACAGCACCAGCCAGTGAATCCCGACGGATCTCCAATCATGGACGACCCCGGATTGATCTTCTTTGAACAGGCGAGTTCAACCTCCCCTCCCCATATCATTTGTTCTTCGCCACAGAAGCTGTATACGAGGAGGAGGGCTAACCGCTGACCACGTGCTCGCCGGATAGACCAAGTTCGCACTCAACATGATATCGATTCTCGGCTTGGGTCTTATTAAGACGTCCATCCTTGTGCTGTACCTGTCCCTCTTCCCGCATCGCAAGTTCCGCTGGTGCGTGTACGCCGCGCTCGGGTACGTCATCTGCTGGACCATTGCCTACTTCTTCTCCCACCTCTTCACCTGCTTCCCCATCACCGTCTTCATCGAGCCCTACTATCACAACTCGTGCGTCGACACGGTCCCCATGTTCCTCTCGCTGCTATACACCGACGTCATTGCGGATTTCGTCATCCTCGTCCTACCCATTCCTATGGTCTTGGGGTTGCAGATGGGGATCAAGAAGAAGTTGGCAGTCTTGGGAATGCTGGGCCTGGGTGCTGCGTAAGTTCTCTGCAGATATGTATGTGTGTAACGGAGCATCAACAGCTAATAAGAGACGAAGGGTATGCGCTGTAAGTGTCACTCGTGTCGTCGCAACGTACTCGATCGCGGGCGAGTATGTCAAGCACCCTAACGATGTCATCTGTAAGATCCCCCACCATGCCGATCCTCGCCATGCTCGCTCGCTGACATGAGCACTAGACTACACTGCGCCTGTATTCTTCTGGACGAACATCGAGCTATCTTTGGCCGTCGTGTGCGCCTGCTTGCCCACCCTACGGCCCATCTGGAAGTACTTCTTCCCCAAGCCGGCGACGACAGGAAACGACTCCTACGAGTACAATTATGGTTCTGGAAGGCGGACCGGCGGTCACAAGGGTACTAGCAACACTCCACCGTACGAGGAGTTGGACGAGATGGAACTTCACGATGCCAGCGCAACACGGTCGGGATCGCTTGCGAGGAGAGACATTGTCAAACAGACGACGATACAGCAGACGATAGAGAGTTCGGACAGCTCAAGCACTACCAACCTACGGCCGGCGGAATTTGCCTCATGGCCCCTGGGAAAGAATCGAGAGGTCTAGAGCATGGAAGAACTGAAGGTAGACAAGGCAGCGACAGCAGTGGGGCTATTATTGCGCAGCACGATAAAGCGCAAGGTCACGCCAGTATTCGGTATCCATTTCCCAAGAGATTGTTCAAAATGCTTCCATTTTGCGTCCACGCCCGAGCGAGGCGAGTAAGCAAACAGGACTAGTGAACCTTTCTCTGGAGATTACTAGACCAAAGAGTCTTAAACCAGTGCAACCACTAGCGGCGAGTCGTCAGAACAAGCCTGAACTCTCTCTTCACGATGTCGGAGCCGAAGTCGTAATGAGAGTGCGCCCCGGATACGGCGCCGTAAAGTCTCGATTAATTAGAACATTCTAGCGCCGCATTTAGTACGGTCTGGACAGCTTGATCAGGCTTAACCGTGGGCCTAATGGGATTTGGATTCAATGGACTCAGGTAGCAGATATCCTGACGTCGCGCTAAACCTGGCCAATTTATCGAGTCGATATGGTATATCCGTCATCACCGTTTTCACGCGCCGGGCCCCTGGTGGAGACCGGGGATCCGGGTGAGGAGTTGACAAGGGGGAAAGACAAATGCAGATACCAACGCCGGCTGCCTTCTGTTGTTGGGTGTGTTGGACTGTGGACTGTGGTACTGGGAGGACCAACTAAGTCCAAAGGACCAACCAAGTACCAAGTCGTCCAAGGCGCCCTGGCAGCGAGATGCAAACTAATGCAGGACTCTCTGCATTAGTGTCTACAGGGGTCTTAAGATGGCATGGCATGCGGGTAAGATGGAGCGAGGCATCCGACAGTTGGACATGTTGGAATACCCGGAATCCCTTGATCATGTCCGGGCCGTTGCTTGTTAAGAATCCAATCGTGTCCCGTCGAGCCCGTGGTTCATTCCTCGACCTTTGTCGTCACAGACTTTGCCCCTGACACACACCCATCCACCACTGCAACCCACCTTGCCCCCTTTGCCCCTTGAACGTTGGCAGAGATGCATTCAATGGGTGTCTTCACCATGCGGAACCTGGTGGTCGGCCTGCAGCTCCTCAGCGTGGCAGCGGCGGCGGCCGTCGACCTCAGCGCTCGCTCGGTGGCCACGGAACTGAAGAGCCTCGTTTCGTCTTCCAGCGTTGGCGTGGTCTTGCGAGAGCGATGGAGCGACTTCGATGCGCCGCTGCCGGCCGTCGTGGTCAACGCGACGTGTGAAAGCGACCTCGAGGCTGTGGTCAAATACTGCGCCAAGTACAAGGTGCCCATCCTCGCCCAGAACGGCGGCAATGGCTGGGCGGCCGAGCAGTGGAACCTCGGCACCGGTGTGATCCTCAACTTGGCCGGTCTGAACCAGGTCGTCGTGAGCAAGGACAAGAAGACGGCCGTCATCGGCGGCGGAGCTGTCGTCGGAGAGGTCATCACCGCCGCCGACGCCGCCGGTGTGCTCGTCCAAACGGCCAACTGCAACTGCGTCGGCGCACTCGGAGCAGCCCTCGGCGGCGGCTATGGAAACATCATGGGCGAGCGCGGCTTCTTTGTCGATAACGTCGTCTCCATGCGCCTCATCACTCCCGCCGGAAAGGCCGTCACCGTCACGCCGAGCTCCAACCCGGATCTGTTCTGGGCCCTCCGCGGCGCCGGCCCCAACTTCGGCATCGTCACCTCCGCAACCGTCAAGGCGTTTCCCACAACCGACCGCACGTCTTGGATCATGTCCATGACCTTCGACCCTTCCAAGGTTGCCCAGGTCGCTCAGGCCATACAGGACCTGCCTCTTCTGCCCCAGCAGGTCGTCTACCTCGTCCTCACCAACTCTGGCGACGCCAAGAACACGCCCATCGTCCTCGTCACTGGCTTCCTCCGCGGCGGCAACGAGGCGTCCGGTCACAAAGCCTACGCACCACTGTATGCCCTCGGCCCTCTCACCAACAGCAGCGCCGTGACGCCCTACACGGGCTGGAACGCGGGTAACGATGCCTTCTGTGCCCGTGGCGGCCGCAAGCCTGCCCTGAGCACCACCATCAACAACATGAAGTCGTCGACCTGGCCCAACATTTGGTCCCTGTACACCGACTTCCAGAAGCTCCCCGGCGCCCAGAACTCGGCAATCTTGATCGAGCGCTACAACCTCACCAAGGCCCAGTCCGTTGGCCGCGGCCAGTCCGCCATGCACGACGAGCTGCGCTTCGACGCCTTCGCTCAGGCCATCGTTATTCCGTGGTATGAGGACGCATCCCTCGACACTGCGGCCCTAGCCTTTGGCTCAAAGATCCGAAGCATCTGGAGCTTCTCCTCCACCCCGACCGTCAACCCTACGTGAGTCACTTCTGATGATGATGGACTGAAATCTCTAATGATGAAATGCTGACAACCCAATCAATGCAGTTATATCAACTTCGCGCACGGCGACGAAACACCCAGCGCCATTTACGGCTCCAGTCTCGGCCGTCTCAGGACGCTCAAGAAGAAATACGACCCTACCAACGTGTTTGGACAGTGGTTCAGTCTTGCGTAGGGTCGCTAATACACCATCATTTTGGCATTTTCCCCGCCACGAGTTGAAGCATTCATTCCATCTCAACCTCCATAGCATCTAGTCTTGAAGCTGTGCACTCTTCATGTATATTCTATCCAACTACCTCAGCGAAAGTAATTGTACTTAATCGACGCTGGTAATTTTCTTCACTTCAACTCTTCTTGCACTTGGATGTGGGTGTCTCCAATACTGGCACTCGATCTCGCCGCGATTGTATTATTCCATGTGTACAGCTCACCAACCATCATAATTTGAGCTACCACCGGACCTCCCCGCCATCTCTGCCGCTTTGGGATAATATGCGAGGCACCCGTAGTTTCCCAAGCGGGTCCTTTCGACCCATGTTCCATCCCGCTTCCCCGGCTGACCAGCATTCGCCCGCGCTATTATGGGGTACAACGGTCATCCCGGACACCTCTCTGGGATGTCCCTGAACCAACCTGTTGAGCATCTTATCCACCCCGCCCTTCCAGGCCAGGCCAGGCCAGGTCCATACGCTACTGTACAGGGCCAGGCTCTCGTACTCGCTTCCGGCACAGTTCCCTCTGGATCGCGTGCCCCTTGGCTTCACATCCCATCTCTAGCAACACTACGGCTCGGCCGGTAAATATGCTAACGGCGTGAAGAACCTCTAGGCCCTCGATATCTCGTATCACAACGGCTAGCAATATTTGTAATACTCCTCCTCGTCTTTTGGATTACGCAAGTCTGCTATCTGTCCAGCTACTAGCAAGACTGGCGCCTCGGGCTCATAGACCAATCATATCGTGGTCAGCGAGTCGTCCGATGCCATGCCAACGACTACAATGCCATAAACAGAAATCTCATCATCGATACTGCGGGTAGATAGTGGCTGTCTTTCGACTAGTTCTGGACAGAGGGTGAGACAATCTCCCTTGACTGCGATACTAACAAGTAATCTAGTAATCTAACACGAACCTCGTCTCTCTCGCTTTGCGCCCAAATGCCAGTACCGTAAAAACCCTGTCAACTCGCGCGGCCTAGCGTCTCTAATTTTCGACTATTGACCGCCAAAATGTCACAACTCATTCGCTACGAGTCGGGTTGGGCCGTTGTGTATTAGAAAATGCCGGTGTAGTTTTGTTTTCCTGTTTAACACTTGGTCTACGTTCTCTAGTCCCTCTTCACATACCCTATAGCCATGTCGCTCAAGTATAATCACCTCACTGAATTGGTTAGTGCGAGTATCTCGCGTGACGACCCAACACCCGAGACTAATATTTGTATCTTGTGATCCAAGTTATTCTGGTAATCAGATCACTCTTGTCCGCTGCTGTTTCGATCAAGCCGGAAGCATATTGCCCTGTTCTGCTCCAGTATGCCTAGCCCCAATGGCTCGGTTCGAGGTTTCGCTGCATTGGAAGCCATGCTAATTCTTATAAGAAACAGTTTAAGAGGCAAGACGACTTCTTCCTGCCAAGTCCAAGCCCGCGTCTGCCAAACTAATGGGCGTGCTTCAGACACAATTTACAGTATAAGAAATAAGAAGGTCTGTCCATCGGTGTGTGGATCGAACTTGTGGGTATGATAGACACGGACTTCTGTGATTAAACCTTGAGCTAGCCACGATAAAGATGGTTAGTATTACGCAGTGATATATGAGACGCACTGAATGAAGGTTTAGCGGCTCGTTGGCAGCTTCTTCCGGCGTCGTGTCAGGATTCTGATCCTCGCAAAAACGACGAATTAGAGAGAAATAACAAGCGATGGAAGATTAATAACTTAGGCGCTGTCTACCTATAATTATAGCTTGCGTCATTTTTTAAGGAGAGCAAGGACGTCTTCGATCATTTGAAGACGTGTTTCAACCTCCAAAATGCCAGGAGCACGATGGATCCCGCTCCACACGTAGCTCAGCGCCGGATAATCATATAGATTAGGACATGGAACGACCGTTTGAAAATCAACCACGGCTACACAGGTAGCAAGCATGAGTTTTTCGAACATGGGCTGGCAATGTTCGGCCTGGTGTATCTGGCAAAGCTTGAGGCCCTTGCGGATATGATCAAAAACAATCATCCCATAATCAGCCTTGCAGCGTAGCTCAATCGTCCGACAATGCTATCATAGGCCATGTCGTAATTTATTTTCCTGTCATCGTGGCTAAGCGCAAAGGCTGGCCACTATTGATAAAGCTAAGTCCAGACATTTCAAGTCCTGGAAATGAAAACCCAAACCAGTTGGCAAATGCCCGTTCCTGGTCTTTTGAGACTACTTACCAGTGATCTATCTGAATAGAGTCAGTGGCAGCACAGTGATGTCGCCGCCAGGCGGTAATCCAGGAACAACCAGTAGATAAGTCGACAGAAAGGACTTGACCAAGCAAGTTGGAAAGCGGAGAGCAGTCCCAAACCCAGTCTGTGGTGGTCTTATCAATTAACATGCTCAGCATAGTCAGCCTTATACAGATTTCTAGTTTGACCATCATATAAAGGCTTTCCTTCTTCAAAAGGTCCGGAGGTTGTCGAACTCGACGGAAATTTAATATAGAGCGCTGGGGCTTTGGCGCAGGTGCCCAATGAATTTACCTTGCTCGGTTGTTATGTAAGGTCCAGCAGAGAGTACCTGTGTGTGCCCCAACACAAATCGAAGACATGGCTTATCCGACGGCTTTAGGCAATGACAGACTACTCAGAGGTCCGAAACAGAAGTGGTCATCGTACCATGTGAAGTTAGGACATGCTATTGATTCAAAGCAGGGTGTGCTACTGCAGTCTGGTTTGGCCTCTGGAGAAAGTCTGAATACGCAAAAACCTCATTGAAATGTTGTTGCCCCGAGACAAAATCGCAAGGCTGGCAATTGGGGGAACTCTGTCTCGAATGAATCTGTCCAGAGGTTGTCATAAATCACAGTCACGGGACACTTGGTCTAGCTCACGCCCATGTTTTCGAAAGCTGAAGACAAGTGAGTTCCAGAGCAGACTTTAAATGCTATATCTATGGTGGTCAACATACTTTTCGGCACGTGGATAAGTGTTTGGTGTATGCTGAATCGTGGGCGACAATAGAGTGGATGCGGCTTAGCAGTGATGTTGTGATTAAAGTGTGGAATGATGTCCTACCCCAGACCTGGAAGCCATGAGTACTCATGATGTAAGTCAGCTTCTTGAACGTTAGGAAAGAAAATCAGGGGAACATCTCAAATAAGAAGAAACAATGAGTTGCGCGACTTAGTTGGCATTAGGACAACACGATCGAAACCTTAATCGAGGCGAACATACCTGTCGTGTTGGATTAAAAATAGCAACACCAGCCCGTGCTCGGCGAAGATGCCTGTCCCACGGTTGGAGGAAATACGTTTGGCCGATTTTAAATACGAGACAAAGTGGAAGCAGAACGTCAGTGCCAGACTGAAAATCGGGCCCCCCGAATTGCTGATGTGGAGCCGCGTGGTGAACATTCCGCTCGGAATTCCTTGTCGTCTGCCCACGGCGACAAAAGGAGAACGATTTCAGACACATCCACTCAGCTCAGTGATGTCGACACAGAGAGCATTCGTGGGATGTCAGCTTCAAATGATGTCTTCTCAATTGAATCTGTCATATTTCCCCTTGCCAGCCTGATATTAGCAGTCGAGGACTTGGCCAGATTATGGGGCGTTGAAATTCTAAAAATAGCACCCTTGTTATCTCCCCTTGCTTCGAGCGCAAGGGCGAGTCTACGACAGCAGGGAGTAAAAGACGGGATGGGTAACGTCTTCAAATGTGGCTTTCCATGTGGCGGCTGAACGACCCGTTAGGCGAAAGCCGGGTTTCTCAAGTAGAACCCCTTTGCTCAGATCAAGGCGGGTTTCTGCTGACACTTGACACTCCTTGGCCTCAGTCTAACTTTTCTAGGATGTCCATTCCTTGCATGGAGTAAGCCCAACCAACATCAAATTACTCTTCTCTTCCCTTCCGGGCTTGACAAGGGTCCACCTCGTCAGCTCCCTGGCAACACTACGACGTGGATCGATGCGAGAGATCGTACAAAAGGACAGCAACGCGACTCCACAACCTCTAGCGTACCCTGATGCTGCGCTGCGCTCCTTATTTCACCACGAACCTCATCCGATCCCGGTACATCCTGTACAAGTCCCAGGACAGGTCGATGTCATAAGTCTCATCCTGTCCATTACTTTTCTACTCACCTCACTTCCCACACATCCGACATGTCAGCCCGTCCCTTTCTTCGCGGCGATCTTGTGACTTCAACCAAATTGGACGCATACCATAACCGGATATTGGAGGAAGATGAGACCAAGGAAAATAATGATAGCGATGGCGACTCTGACGACGACTCTGACGACGACATCAACTACGACTCTGACGATGACGACAAGCTAGCAAAGAAGCATGCCAATCAGCGGAGACAGCAAGAAGCTCACATCGCCGGCTATCGACAACAAATGATGAAGACTACCAATGGACCACCGCCGTCAATACAGCATGCGCGGCTCCCAACTTTACAGGCTCCCAGGATGAAGATCCCCAGTTACGGAAATGACGACGACGACGACGTTCCACTCGCCATGTTGCAAGCCCAACGACAAAGAGATCCAATGTCGCGGCTGGGCGGTGTGAGATCAAATCCAACCCTGCGCGCGACTGCTCAGCAACAAATCTCAAGACCTGGCTCCGCACAAAGCCAATCCCACAACAAAAGGGCGAATCTGCAGCTACCATCATTTGCGCGTGCTCTTCCCCAGGACCCATTCCAGGATTCATTCCAGAACCCATTCCAAGACCCGATCCCTTTAGGCCAGAACGGCCCCTTTCAGCAGCCCTTTGCTGGCGGCTTGGTAGGCGTGATTGCAAGCGAAGAGCGCGCCAAAGCATCGCGGCGCGGAGGCCCAAGTGGCAATTTTCAGCAAATTCCTTCACCCACCAACAGCACCTTTGGAAGGACGAATGGACCGTATCAGACCAGTCAAATGCCACATGGATTTCCTAGAATTCAGCAGTCATTCCGACCCCAGACTGCTGCTACTTCGGGGCCTCAAACCCACCTTTGGCAGATGTCGCATAATCTACAAGCTCAACCACAGTTTCTGCAAGCGGCGCCTTGGATGAGTCAACACAAGACCAGTCAATCGTGGAACCATTTTACTTCGCAGATGCCGGTACAGAAACATGCAATGGCTCCTCAAGGGACCGGCTGGGCCGTTCCTGCTTATGGAGCTTATGCGCCATCACTTGCACCGTCGGAACGGAGTACAATTGGTTTGCCGAGCCGGTACAGAGCAGTTTCAAGGGCTCACAATTGATTTGCTTCTGGGAACAGAAAAGACAGAGGATATAGATTGTACAACAGTGTAATTATATACTATTAGAATCTTGTAATGATGGGCACTCAACAGCGGGGGAAGCCGCAAGTGCTATTTCGTATCAACCAAATTTGAGATTGATTCACTCCAACTTGCTGCCCCCTCCTATAGGTACTTTGCAATACCGTATTCTGTGAAGAAGCGTATTTCCGACAGGCATCTCTAGTCTACCAGCGCCATCTCACGGATCATGTCCTCTTCAGTTTAAGCCATTCTTATATCGACCTTGGGTTTCTTGTTCTGGACATTTGGCCTATCATATCTTTTTCCGTTCGCCCGAAAGGCAAAGCGGCCCATCACGACAAGCTAGTTTATGTCTGGTGGCGAGCGTCAAAGAGATCAAGAGTCGAAGTCGCGACTACAATTAACACTTCTAGCGCGGCCTCGTTTCCCAAACTCGCTATGTATTCAGGTCGGCTGGTGCCAAACGAACGCAGACGAGTGCCATAGGAAAGAGAACGCAAGAATACGGCCGTCTCGTGCTATAAGGAACCCAAGGCAAGCGAGGGTGGGGGAGGGGTTTCCGGAGACACTTTTAAAGGGGTCTTGTGTTGAGTCCGTTGGCAGATATAGACGTCCACGCTCGACTCCAGGGTTTGGAGCGCCGCACAGGAAGCGCATACATATTATCATGCGCCTCATCGCTGGTTTAGTCACATTCCTTGCTACGACTTGCCTTTCGGTAGTCGTGAATGTGGACCTCATTTGCAGCAAAGGACTGTGTGATAAAAAAAAGCCATCTCACCTTGATGGTCCATGTGTTCTCAGGAATATCAGTCTCGTCTTCAAACACGGTCTTCATCTGGGAAACCTACTTTTTGGTTGACGCCCCTGAGCCGCCTTGGGCGTGTTTATTGCCTGGAAGAAGACAGCTCATGCAGTTGAAGAGAAAGGCCCGCGTGTTGTCCGGCTTGTCGCTTTTGGGGTCTCTTAAAGAGATCTGGAGTTCTACCTGCAGCATGATGGATGCCCCCTCTATACCCTGAAGGTGCCTTTCGTCATCGTACCCAGCGTAAACTCCACGACCTGAGGGCGGACACCCCCGAGGAGTTCAGCCGCGCCGTTGAACCAAAACTCGCAAGACGCCTAGGTGCTGTTCCTATACTTTTCTTCGGTTGTATGGCCCCTGGCATCTTCCTTTCCCTGATGGTTTGCGCAGCCTAGTGAAGAAGCTTGGAAAACTCTCCTTCTCCGGGACAGGAACATCTGGCTGGTGACGAAAGGTAACGCGGCTGTCGTCAGTGGTGACGAAGAGGCTAAAGTCGAAATCATCAAGGATAGCACCTTTGTCGAAAGTGATGCTTCCACGCGCCCCGGCCTCGGCGCTCTGGCTAGTCCTTGGTTTAGAGCGTTGGGTTTGTTCGCGAAGGCTTTCTTGTCCCCCCAAATCTTAACCCGACGTGGTAAGACGTTTCAAAACGTGCTACAAGGCCGACGCGAGTTACTTTGAGCTCGAATATTTTGGAGGTCAAGACGGGGAAAATATACGCATTGAAGTCTCCAGAGCACTTGTTCAAGAACCTGTGTCACACACGACTTTTTTTATTTTATATATGAGTAAGTACTGGAGCATTAAGGCATCAAGTTAACAAAACAACAACTGACATAATGAGGAAACAACCTAAAATCTCCGAATGCCACGCCTGTGGATGAGGATGCAATCAACGATACAACCCCGGCTAATCTCGACTCTGCATCCTGGCTGCGACTATAAAAATTTCTGCTCCACATACACTTCTCTGGGCCTTGATTTCGATCGCGTGAACCTGTGTTGGCTCTGAGGCCGCTGCCCGGACTTCTTCCGTGATCCTTGGTGTGGGCTTCTCCGCTTGGATCTACCGCGGTCTTGGAGTCCCCGAGACTGCTCCTTAAACCCATTGATTTCATTCTGAAGTTGCTTCAACATGGTGTCCTGGGCCACAGCACGGCCATCTTGCTTCTCAAGTTGCGTTGCTAAGCCTTCGATGAGGTGATTAAGATCAGAATGTATCAATCTGTCTCGTTCCTGGAGTTGCTCCGCGAAGTCATCGTGGCTTTTCGTTTGTTTCTGGAACTGCTTTTCTAACTCCTCATCCCTGAGCGCAACCTCGGCATGGATTAATTTGTCTTTTTCTTCAAGTTGCTTCTCCAAGGCATCGTGGCTTTTCGCTTGGTTGTGGAACCAATCTTCCAACTCCTCGACCTTGCCTTTTATGGCATCGCTCGCTGTCTTTTGTTCCCGAAGCTGAGATTCCAAGGCCTGGATATCTGCGACTTGTTTCCGAAGCTGAAGCAAGTCTTTGATCGTTCTATCTTGTTCCCGAAGCTGAGATTTCATGGTCTCGATCGTTGTATCTTGTGTCCGAAGCCGAGATTCCAAGTCCTGGATATCTGTATCTTGTCCCCGAAGCTGTGATTCCAAGTTCTCGATCGCTTCATCTTGTGTCTCAAGCTGAGACTCCAAGGCCTGGATGTCTGTGACTTGTTTCCGAAGATCAGGCAAGGTCTCGATGGCGTCTCTAGCTATAGCAGTCCGTTTCATCAAGTTGCGAATCTTCCTGGCTTGGGTGTTCAACTTCTGCTTCATTTTCTTATCCTGCTCCTCTTTTTCAGTCATCCTCCAGTTCAGTCCCTCATCCCCATTCTCTTTTTCATCCATCCTCCGCTCAAGTCTCCTATATTTCTCCTCTTGTTCAAGCATCCTCTGCTCGAGTTCTTGATTCGCCGGCCCTTGTTCGGCAACCTCCCTGTCCACCATTTCCTTTATTCTTGCCTCCAGCGCATCACACAAACCAGTGGTGTCTTGTTTTGTCTCTCCGTCTGGGGGCATCCCATTCTCGCCTTCAGATTCCACGACCTGAGCCCGTCGGGTCTCAGAGCCGATCTTGTCGCTATCGATCGATGTAGTTTGAATGGAATCGGAAACCGGGTAGACGACCGACGCAGGGAGTTGGCCGAGAGGGTAATGGGGGGATCGGCGGTGAATAGGCACCCCACCTGGTTCTGGGCTCGAGTAGGAGGGAGGGAACGGCAGTTCCTGGTTTGTTGGAATCGGTCCGAGCTGGTGGTCGCTTGAACTTCGCTCGCTTGTCGGCCGGAGCCTGGTCTGAGCATCGTCGAGCTGCTGTGCTCTCTCGTGCGGAACGTCGGCGTTCTCGAGGGGGGCCATTCTTAGCTGTAGAGAAGGTTGATAGCAAGCTCGTGCCTTCAGATGATATTGTAGGGTCCGATAGTCACGAAGAGAGGCCTACTGTGCGAAGTGTTTACTGAATGAGGATCTGTTAGAATTGAGACAGCCAGCCTTGGACATGTCATCGCCAACTGCATGGGTGCCTGAACAGGCCGCCCCGCCAATGCAGCCCATCGCCAAGGCAGTGATGGCCAATAGAACACTGCCAACACTACCCGTTGGTCCTCAGCCCATGTGTCAGCCGGGAAAATGCGTATCACCGAAATTTACCGGCCTCGTGTTGTGAAATCAATGATCATGATCTTTCGTGTGGCAGAACCGGGCTGGATTAGGGAAGGAGGGGAGGCCTAGGCTTGGACTTGGTCTCTGTAAGCGGCCGCTTTCGCTATCTTCATAACTGTTTCAGTTCTGAAGACGTGTGATTGTCTTGGCACAACCTTCGGTACGAAGTAAATACCTCAAGTTCCAAGATAGGGGCCATTTAGGCGGCCGGATCGCGAACAACCATAGTGAAGATGCAGTCGATTATTCGTTTTTGCGGGATAGCCACAATGATTGGTTGCTGATAGGTTGTCATTAGTTGTTAGGGCGGATTATGGGATCGGAAAGGCAGCAGAAGACATGGTAGAGCGGGTGGGAGACGGGGTATAATTAGGGCCAAGACGATACGGGAGTACCACCGGAGGATCGAGCAGTTCCAGGAGCAGTTGTGGTTGGCCATCCACATGATATCAGGCCAGACGACGCTGTCTACGGGGTTATTGGGGGTGGTCCAGAGGAGATGTATGTGCTAATTGTGCTTTCGGAACAATTGGAATCGCATGTACTATAAGTTAAGCGCTCGCCGTAATATTTCACTTTCAGTTATCAAGAGTTCAGGGTGCCCTAGTACACACGTACCCAGAGGGGGGACTAGAAGCTCAACAGTAAAAAAAACACCAACAATAGTATCAACAATATCACTTTCAGTTATATAAGGTACAAACTATTAAGATTAGAGATGGCTACGTTGCGAATTGTATGTTATTACGCAGAAGCTTCCGCTTCCGCCGTACTCTTTTCACCTTAATTTCAGCTCGATTGAAAACAGAGCTAAAGGGTGGCAGGGCTCCCGCATATGAGACCCCAACAGACCTTACGAGCCTGGGTTGGTAAGGTCTTTGCGACGACCCCAAGTCCGAAAATGTTCAATTATGAAATTTAGCAGGATGTCCTTTCGAGAGACTGAGCCATCTTCTACACCATCACCACTCATCACCCAGAATATCATGCTTACCAAACTCACCTCGGGCCGCCATGGCCTCTGCTTTCAACAGAAACTATGTCTCCTAGAGGCGGTGGACTCGCTCTGTTCGCACAGCATTAGCTATTACACTCCTCTCCTACAGTTCATTGTTTGCGGCGACCAATCCTCGGGCAAAGCTCAGTTCTCGAGGCCATCCCCGGAGCACCTTTACCCGTTCGGAACAATGACTTCCCCATAGATTTAGTCCTCCGCAAGACAGCTCACGAGGTTGTCAAGGTCTCTATTATACCGTATAGCTCCTAGAATTGCTTTAATAACAATTGTTAATAAGAAGCTCTAGAAAAGGACCAGGGAGCATGACAGATCACCCAATTTCCGTCATCTTTTCGTCCCAAGCTCGCTTTCGCTTCGAGTGACGTCACATAGCCTATGATTTAGATTAGAGTTGGCAGGGTCTATGATCCCGTTTCCCAGCAGGCAGGGGTGTATGCCTCGGAACAGCCGGGGCTTCGGAAACCTCGGTATCCGGCAGTTGATATCAAGCCCTTTGCACTCAACGGTTATAAAAGGGGCATCACTAAACCTCAATCAAGTAAGCCACCCTGCCCTTACTTCCTCCACCATGTATTTGCCTCAGATCATACAGCGAGGCTGGCCCTTCTTAGCCCTCTTCACCCCCTGGGACAAGAGCCAGTGGATTGCCTCTGACGACACTGTTCGCGGAGGGAAGAGCCGTTCCACTCTAGAGGTTATCCAGCCCAAGACACCCGACAATCTTTGTTGGGTACCCATTGCTAAGTTCTCTGGTCATCTGGATTATTCCACTCTTGGGGGGGCTGGCTTCGCTTCTCAACGCACCGTCGACGATTGGCCAGGACTTGATTTATCCGACTACGATAGCATTCTGCTTGAAATACCGTATACAGATGGAAAGAAGTATTCATTCAATCTCAAAGACACTGTGCTTCCTCCAACGGAAGACGGCAGAGAGCAGGCCACCATCAGCTGGGAATTTGACTTCCAGCTTCCTCCCACAGATGCAAGCAAGAAATCAGGATCCTTTAACCAAGTCGTCATCAAATTTGCAGACCTAGTACCGACCTTTCGAGGCACGGTACAAAATGACACCGAACCTCTTGACTTGGCGAATATCAAGAGAGTCAATATCATGATCCGCAGGTGAGGACGGTTTCTTTGATACACAAGGGTATGCGAGTTACTGACGGGCTACAGCTTCTTTGCGCAGCAGGACGGAGATTTCGACCTGCGTATCAAGTCGATTGTTGCTAGGAACGAGGCCTCGTCGCAGGCAAAGCCGAGATCATTATTGTAGACCCAACCGTTGAGGAGAACGAGGGAAGAGCCAGTACATTGAGACAGCTCGGATCCACGAAAAAAACCACAATTGCAGAAGAGCATGAATTTAATCAATCCTGAGTTGAGTACCGAGGGGAGCCTCCTTTTTCTGATGGCGGCTCTCTAATTCCAATAATACATACATTCAGTTGTATGGCCGAACTTAACACAATCACCGGGGAATCATGCGTCGCGACGTCTATGTATGTTGGCATGGGTTCAAATCTTACGGTTTTGCCCGTGCGTAGTCTCGTTGCCATGTATTCGAGCGGCCGTTATCCTCTTTTACCCTCACCTAAGGGATTCAGTACTCGCCAAAAAATTGTCCCTGCAGCCACCGTTAGTTATTCTTCTGGTGAGATGTCTGTTGTATTTTTCGCGTTCTCTTATCTGTATCTGTGACTATGTGGCTATTTAACTAAGAGAGGATTAATTTTCCCAGCTCAAAGGTCTAAGCGACATGAGAGATCTTGAATCCTCCCGGCAATCGGTCCTGGAAAACCTCATCCGGGTCGTACTTAGCAGCGACCTCACGAATAAACGCGACATTCTTCTTGCCGTACGTCTTCAGGGGATCTTGCGTGAAGTCTGCATAGTTGAGGTACTCCCAGTCGACCGCGCCTCCCTTCTTGACGCTGTATTTCTTGATCGTCTCTCGGAACTTGACCATGCGCTTCCGTGCGATCTTCTCTTGCTCAACGCCGTTGATCATCAGCTGCACCTGGAACATGACGGCGTTATCTTTTACGCGGTCTAGACCCATGACGTTGCCGCCCTTTTCGACAGAGTGTTTGGAGAAAATAGTCGGGATCGCTTGGAAGATGCCGTGGCAGATGAAGTCGCCGTCGGGGGATTGGGCCTTCCAGTCGCTGACGAATTGCCTGTGTAGGTCCAAGGCCTTCTTGTATAGGGCCTTGTCGTTCTTGAAAGTAATGGCGAACCAGACGTTACTCGGGCATGTCAGTATTCTAGCCTTCAGGCAGATGGGGGGAAGCCTACCGGTAGCCACTGATCAGCTCGAGCTCAACGGCCAAGTTTCGGTGCGAGTCTTTGCGCATTGAAGACGTCGCCTGGGGGATTTTCATGAACTGATCAAAAGCAGGCGGCGACACAGCGCCCGTCGTGTCCTCGTAAGCAACTGTGATGGAAATATCCTTGGTCTGCGGACTGTAGGTCCAGAAAGGAATAGCCGAGCCATCCATGTAGTTCTCGATATTGTTCGTCCAGTCGTGGTAGGCGTCGATATGCTCGTCGGTGGTGTTCTTATCGTAGGTGACGAGCCCTCCCCAGAGCAGAGGAGAGTCAAAGGCTTGCATGTCGAAGCGAGTCACGATGCCAAAGTTCGCAGAGCCGCCCTTGAGGGCCTTGAACAGGTCGCTGTTCTCTTTGGCATTGGCGTTGACGATGTCCCTGACACGACCGATTGTTAGCGAATGTCTTCTTTAGACTGTGATGGCCACTCTTACCCGCTGGCGAGAACGACCTCAAAGTTGACGACGTTATCACACCCAAACCCATGGCGGCCTGTATAGAAAGTATTACCACCTCCGGTCAGGAATCCGGCTACACCGACAGTAGCAGTACGGCCGCCAGGCACGGTCACGCCGTACGCTTCAAGGGCGCCGTAAACCTCCTTCCACCTGGCTCCGGCTTGAATCTTTGCAACCTTGGTGTCCGGGATGTAGGTGGTTTTGTTCATCAGTCCTGAAACAGCTGATGTGAGCATACGGTCGGTTCAAGAAAAGGTTATTCATACCCATGTCGATTGTGACACCATCATTGACTGTAGCCTGTTAGTAATCTGCACTCGTTAAAGCGATACACGGGAGTGTAATTACTGTTGTTGGCCGGCCAGACGGTGTGGCCGCCACTTCGGATGGCAAATTGGCAATCCGCGACAGGAGTCAAAGTTGTCAGGATGACGGCCACGTCTTCAGCCGTCTCAGGCTGGACAATGCAATAAGGCTGCAACTGGGAAGACACGGAAAAGTACGATTCCGTGCGGACTTGGTAAGTGTCACTGGCCGGATAGAAGACGTTCCTCAAGCCAGCAGTCTCCAACGAAGCGCACTGTGACACAAGCAGGTCGTCAGCCCGGGAGAGTTTCGCTGGGATAGACCGGTCCACTTACGCAAGTTTCCAGGACGTCCCTCATTTCGATCTTGGCGGCCTGTGCCACCGATGCCGAGGCAGCCATTATGGCAAAGACCTGGGCACCAATGGGGGTGTCGAAGCGCATAATGCTACAATAAAGTGAAACCAAATGGCCACCTTCAACGCCTTGGGGGATGTAGGGGCAGAAGCGTCACGACGGGGTGTGGAAAATAGCATAACGTCCGTGGGAACGTTTTACTTTTTGTCGACGGCAACGATCAGCCTCTTTTCCTCTTTGGGAACAAGCACTTGGACGCGGTTGGATCTGAAGTTGATGAAAATCGCGCAGGTGGTCCAGTGCTTTGGGATCAAGGATATAAGTCCACGGAAACCTAGGGTCGGCCATCCGGTAGAATGCGATTGGCTGTCTGCGTACAATAAGAGGTTCATGCAGGGTCAATTCCATGACCGTGAGATGCCAAGGCAAGTAACGAGGAATCCTACGCTGTGTTGGCCGTGTAGTTCGCTGATCTTGCTTATTCGCGGCTTCGGTGGCTCCGGTACTGCAGGGCTTCTCCGGGGCCTTGCAGGTGTTACGCAACCCCGGCGAGTTGAAGGATTCGGGTGGCACAGCGCATCTCATGTGCCGTCTGGGGTCCAAGAACCGGGATTTGGGGGTCAATGTGACGCTGTGTTGGCTGTGGGTTCATGCGACCAACTTCGGTCTGGGATACGTACGTACGAATACAGCGATAAGCCGATATCATCGCTCCTTGCCTCACGACTCCTCTTCAATATCCTACATCGTTGTAGCATCTACAATAATAAGTTTTAGTGAAAACTTCAGGGTGCGATAATCTAAAATTGTTGCGAAAAGCTAATGATTGGAGGAAACGGTTCGGCTTCCCATGACCCCTTTCTCTAGCTGCTCGGTGAGTGGCTTGGCTCTCCGCACGGCTCGACCTCGAGTGGAAAAGATCTGCTGTTTATGCTTACTGGAGGCGTATTAAGTTCCGCAGTAGACCTAGAACTGAGTTCCTCCGCCTTCTGTTAACTTACACACGGTTGCACAATTATGACAGGTTACCTAATAGACCTCACCGGTCTTTCTGTGAGCACTATGCCGTCCCGCCACACTCTTGCAGTCTTGCCTCGCGGCCGCAATGGCAAAACGCTTCACGTTCAGTTGCTTCGGATCTCAATCGGGGAGGAGATGAACTCCATGATGCATTTGTCCCGCAATCGAGATTCCCATGTAGGATAACTTGCGCGGAACAGCCAGGTTACATCGGCAGGTATAAATAAAGCGTCGAGTCCAGCGGAACTATTGCCCATCTTGCCCGCGAGTCATCATCGTCAGGGATTAGTCTCGGGCCGAGACAAGCTTACCCGCAAAACCCGCCCTGTTGCTGCTGGAGTTTGCCCTGTCAGTCTCGTAATTAAGGTTTTTAGCCCTTGTCGAGCCCCAATGCCTGTCCCTGATCCCCGCGTTGTTCTCGCGGCCCGTGGTGTTGTCTCGGCCTAAATGTTGGTCGGTTGTGGGACGGACTTCTGGACTTTTTCACAAATTGTGCACAAGATATCCTTGCTAAGAGTCTGTGCAACGATCGCTGTCTAATTTCACCGAGATCGTGGCGACGGGTTGGAGCCCGATCTGTCACCTTATGCTTAAAAGCTAGGCGTCCCTTTGGCCGCTTTGGCATCTAACATTTCGTCAATTTCACCTTCTCGCTAGTTGGGCTGCCGTCCATCAGCTAGGCTCTCCGCCATGTCGTTCCCCGTTGTCGATGGCGTTGAAGTGTCGGTTGAGCCGCCTGCGGGCTACCAGGTCGACTTCGAAAACCCGCAGACGGCTGAATCGACGATACGAAATGCGTACTGGATTTTCGGCCTCGAATTCGCAATTGCCACGATATTCTTGGGACAGCGCATGTACACCAATGCCGTGTTGATACGCAAGTTTCTGATAGATGACTGTGCGTTGATCAAATGTCAAGACGCGTTGGGTGTTCTAAACTGACTTGATCGTTGATAGATCTAATTCTGTTCGCCTGGGTATTGCTTCTGCAATCGAGCGCCGAAAAATACTGACAGTTAACTTATACAGGTTCTTTCGATAGCTGCCCAGTCATGCTTGCTCCACGCCTACACCCACAACCTCCTCGGAGTCCATGCGTGGGAGATGCCTGTCGATAGCAACACACAGTCTTCCCTCGTGCGTGCTATCTCTTCACTATTGTAACCAACGAATATCGCTGATACAACTTACGCAGCTCGTCATGTCGACAACACTCACATACATCCCGACCACGATTCTATCGAAACTGACGCTCTGCTTCTTCTACTTCCGCCTTTCGCCGTCCACGTGGTACCAATACACTGTCTACTTCACTGGCTTCATCTGCTCTGGCAGCTTGATTGGCATCTGGTTCAGCGTGCTCTTCGCTTGCAAGCCCATTGCTGCCACGTGGGATGTTCGGCTCGCCACCAACGCCACCTGCATCAACCGACCTCCCATTTACATCACCCAGGCGGCGTTCGGCTGCGTTACCGATTTAATGCTCTTGATGCTTCCTGTTCCGACCATCTTGGGACTTCAGATGTCTACGCGACAAAAGATTGCCTTGCTTGGCGTGTTCGCCATTGGTTCCATTACCCTCGTCACGTCCATCGTTCGGTTGGTTCTTCTGCTACCCAGCCTTTCGAACCCGGACCAAAGCTGGTCGTTGGCTGAGGGTTGTCTTTGGGTGTAAGTTATCCTCTGCGACGATACATCCGTTCCGCGAGTGGTTTATTAACGTGACTTGAAGTATTATCGAGGCCAATCTTCTCATAATGTGCGGCTCATTGCCCACGTTACGAGTCTTCCTTAGGCATGTAGCGCCCAAGATACTCGGCGAAAGCAACGCCAGCCTATCAAGCGCGCAGAAAAGCGGCAGCAGAAACTATGGGCTGCGTACATTCGGCGGTTCCAACTATTCCCGCAAGAACTTTGGCACGCTGGTCGAGCTTGAACACGGCACCCACTTCAACCGTCAAAGCTTACGGCCAGACGGTCTGGTCAAAACCGACGTCAATATCCACGGCGGGCGATCAGAAGAGTCAGTGGAAGGGCATGTTACTGGGGAGACGGACAGTGAGGATGGGATTTTGCAGACTCGCACGACTACAATTCAGTACACACAGAAATGAAGCTGTTATTAGAGCATAATGAAGTCACGGTTGGAATATTGAATCAGCATCTATGAGCCATACGACGTACCCAGCATCAAAGAGAGGTAGCTCATGTGTACTAGGCAGAGCCACACGTGCTCTGGGTCGACGCGCATTCGCGTCTCGGGTCCGAGATACTTCGAACACGGCGAGCTGACGCCATCTTCATTCTCTACCCACGATGCGGATGCTGCGCAGACTCATCTTCTGTGCTATCGTCATTGTCCGCGGAGAACGAGCCACGAGCAGCAAAGTGGGGGAGCTCATCTTTATAGAGGGACGAGATCATGAGCTGTCTCGACCAGGAAAGCCATGTATCCTTAATAGATCAGGCCTGCCTCTACCCCAGGTAGCTCCGGCTTCCCTAGCCCCTCTCCTCAGCGACAAAATCCCGCTCTAATAGCCCAGGAATTAAACTGTAGTAGGGCAGAACTAGTCCGCTCTGCGCAGATTATTTAGAGCTGACTAAATAATCTGCATTTCCTCTTTGCTATTAGAGGAGCAAAGTTGCTGTTGCATACTGGGGGATGCCTGCATATGCTACGGCTTGAGCTAAGCCAACGCTCACCTATCAGATTGCACCACATGGCCTGGCCGACCCCACGCGTCGATTTTGAGGCCCTCGTGGGCACAGCTCAGCTCGGCGATGCGTGCGGTGTTGGTGGACTTTTCACTGCATACCTATGCACTGGCGGTGGGGAAACGTATCTTGAACCAATTAACTCATCCCCTTGCTGGCGAGTCTACCATGTAAGCACTCGAACGGGTTTCGCACATGCACCAGAAAGCAAGGATTTGACAGATGACTGACGAGCAGAGTGCACTCCGTATTGCCGAGAACCTGCGACTTTGAAGTACTACATATACCCTTGCCTCTGCTATGTATCCATACATACACTGGAATGCTTGCTGGTGTGTGTACTTTGGAACTGCTTTCCCCCCAACCGTGGCCTCCATATAACCTCATCTTCAGGGCCCATCGTTGGCTTGTTAATGACGAATCCCCGCCGCTTCCACCAAACACGACGCCGACGCCTGTCCAAGCTTCATCATGGCCCAACCTCCAGCGATGGATCCGGTAATGGATTTGCAATGGCGCACCGATATTGGCAAATTGTGGACTGCGGCGGTGGCTAAACACAACCAGAAAGTCGGCATCAAGTTCAAACTCGACCAATCCAAAGCCATGAACACGCCATGAACACGCCATGGAACAATTCCACCATGCAAGACACCCTGAATCAGCTGGCTGGAGAGTTTGAAAAAGAGCGTATCCGAGGCCTGTCTAACAGCAGCACTGTCAAGGTTGCCAAGGCCGCGACGCAGGTCATTCTCCATACTGCGAGCACCATCGGTGCCATTGCAGGCACCGTATTTGCACCGGCGCCCGTCATCGCGGAAGGGCTCCTCTTTGTTTTGCGTGCGACGGAGAAAGTATCGGATCAACTCGACCAAATCGAAAAGTTCTTCAAACTCACGGCAAGCTTCTTCAAACGCCTCGCCATCCTCGAAGGGAGGTTGCCAGATGGACCTCAATTTGCCGAGCAGATTTTGAATGTGTTCGATAGGCTTCTTGGCTTCATTGTCGATGCCCAGGTGTATGTCGCCCGCGGGAAATTCAAGAACTTCATCAAAGAGCTCGCCAAGCCATCTACACCCTTATCTGATACGCATGCCATGTTTCAGGATCAGCTAAACCGGCTCGACTCGGCGGCAATGTTTTGCACACTGGGTATCTCCGTCGACGTCGACAGAAACGTTAAAGATATTAGAGATTCGGTGGACGTCATCGCCAAGGATACACACCACATTGTGGGGAAGATAGATGGGCTAAGTACGAACATCGTTGACCTGCACATGCAGCTCGGTAATTTCAGACAAGACTTCCGCAGTTTCTCCTACGAGGTACGATACAAACCTGCGACGGAGAAGGTCCGTAACCAGATAGGGGATACCGTCACGGTGGACCGCGTCACCTATCAAGCTCACGTTCTGGGAACCCTGAGGGCGTCGTTCGATATCGGGGATACGGAGAGCCTACACCGAAGGCGACTGGCCAAGATGTTGTCGTCACGCCTCCTCGGCACCTGCGAGTGGATCTACCACCAAGAGGCTTACCAGACCCTACTAGATGGAAGCTCTCAGACCCTTCTCATAAAAGGTAACCGTCACACTGGGAGAAGCATGCTGTTGTCCTTTATTTTCGAACATATCAAGAACTACAAACGTCAGCTTCCCATCAATCGAACCAAAACCCCCATCGAACCAGCGTGCATATCAGTTGCCTACTTTTGCTTCGGCCAGGAGTGTGGAGGCAGGAACTCTGTTGACGACATGATTCGTTGCTGCGTTATCCAGATCGTCGAACAAGAAGACCACGCGTATCGGAAGTGGGCCATGGATCACTGCCTCCGGGAGAAATCTCAAAATACCAATCCCACATGGACAGATTACTTCGTAAAGGGATTCTCATCACTAGAGAGCGACTCGCCGCAGCCCTGGCTATTCCTGATTCTGGACGATGTCGATATTGTTGAGTCGAGGGAGAGCCTCAACGATTTCCGACAAAGCATCAAAGACAGAAAATTACGGATTAGTCTTATCCTCACCGCCGCTTCAAACCTGGATCGCATGATTCCAAAAGGGTCTACGATTGCCCTAGGGGATGGCAACACAAACGCTGGCAACGACCTCCGTACCTTCACCAAGCATCTCGCCATGAGCCTGCCGCGACTTAGCGACTTTCCACAGAAAACACACGAAACGCTTGTCAATGAAGTGTGTAAGAAGGCGACGAGTAAGTTGAAAGCTCAAGCGCCGATATATTGTCCGGGTCCTTGTCTCCTGCTGACCATCCCCATGATAGCCTACCTGTACGTAGATTACGCTCTGCGGCGGTTCGACGTGGATGGCGGCAGCAATTTGTCTCTGTTAGAAACGTTCCAAACAGATTGCAAGGATATATACAAAGACCTCTTTCACACATGCACCAAAGACCGAAACGCGCAAGAAGGAGCACAGCTTCAGTGTCTGTTCACCTGGCTCGCTTTCTGCAAAAACCACTATATAAGCCTTGGGGCAGCAAAATTGCTGCTCGAGTTGGTTTTTCAATGGCCTATCTTCCAAGAACCGAAGGAAGACGGCAAATCAAGTCACGAGACGCCAGCCAACCCGGAGAATCAACACCATTCCAACCGCCAATTAGGCCTTGCGGCCGGCGATAGACTGAAAGTGGAACTCGCCGGCAACCTGTCCCTGTGAGTCAGACGAGCTCGGCCAGCTCTCGTATGGAAGTGCACATGCTGATCAAATGAATAGTCTTCTTTCCCGGTCAGCCCCTGTATCCAGGCCAACGAAAAAGCATCAGGAGGATGCTGGTCATGAGGGCGACGACGATCTAATTCAGTTTCGACATTCTATGCTCCAGGCATTCTGGTCCACAGGAAAGTCTTCTCTTCCATCATCATCGGCCGAAGTTCTCATGTTCAAGATGCTCTCCCATATTCTCAGCTGGAAGAGCGACGTCGGGAAACACATGGCGAAGAGTCGGGATGAACTCAAGTGTCAAGCTGCTACACTTTGGTTCGAGATCTTACGGACGGCCTCATCACCCTACGTAGCACGAGTCAAGGCCCCAGACAATGCTCCAGTGAAACAAAGTAGAAAGAAATCGGAAAGGACACGCGAAGGCTCCAGCCGTAAGAACAAACCGGGATCGTCATCGGATAAAAATCAGCAAACAGCTACCACAGGAGACACAAGGAAGCGTAACAAGCCGGCTACTACCACCCCAGGCAGGAAAAAGACACAAGCGTCCCTGTTCATCGCAAAGACCATGGTAGAAGGAATAGCTCATGTCTTCAGCAACGAGAATAACGCATTAAAACTCCTGGAAGCTGAAGTAGATTGGGAAGCTTGTCAATCCCTACTGGGAACGAACGACGAGGAGGTGGATAACACCTTGGAAATGATTTCTTACTGGCTGTATTCAGTACAGTACAGTCAAATGGCCCATTTGCCCGAAGGTACAGCTGCTCGTACGTGGCTCAAGATACGAGAGGGCGGAGTTGAGGACAAGCTTCCCTGTAGGGTCCTTGAAGAATTGGCAAAGAGTCACAGAGCCAACTGGTTGGCGGCACAGTTCCCGAGCGCCGCATATATATCCTTTCGATTCGCCTACCAAGCGCAGCGCGATTGGGAAAGACACGATGCATCAGTGGAAGTCAGAGGGAACGCACTCGACGAAACTACTCCGAAAAACCGCGCAGAAACAATCCTCAAAGTGGCAAGGGACTTGACAAACGTGTCAATGAATCAAGACAACAGGCTCTTACCTAGTATTGCCACCGCGATGGCTTTGCGGTATGATGGATTGCATCAATTCGCCTTGGAAGAGGTTCTCAAAGGGGCTGAGATGATCGAGGCACCAGACAACAAGAAAGTGTTCAAAGTTTTCAAAGACGCCTTTGACAAGGCTATTGAAGCGCAAAACGGCGAGCCTGGTCCGAGCATCAGTGGGTACGAAGATGATCTACAAAAACACATGTTCTCTGCGGCGGAGGCCAAGCATGGGTTTGAAGTTTATAACCGGATTGGGCGAATCTGTTATGGGCAGGGAGAGGACAAAACAGACATGGCAATTGAGGATGGTGCTCTTTCACTACCGCCAACGACATCGAGAATGGAGGGATATCTCAAAGCAGCCCGGATAGCATTCGTCACGGCGCTCCAAATGAAGCCCGGCGACATGACTTCAATGTTACCTGAGGAGAGGCGGAACATCTTGCGAACTTATTGGTTGAAGGCGAAGGTGGAAGCAGTCCTCGGAGATCACGAACGAGCTTTGCGGAGTATAATGGAAGCCGTGAACTGTGCGAAGGCTACCAATCAGGAGACCACGACGGGCTTTTTCGACGAGCTAGTTTACGAGCTGGGTGGAAACCAGAATGGGTCAAAGAAGGACGGGTCAAAGAACGTTCTTGAACTTCTGGAAAACGTGGGGCATATGCAGTTTATCAAGGGATGCATGGCTGAAACACATAGACGAATCCACAAAGCAGCGAAGAGAGAGGGCGAGTCAGCTGCCCGAAGGGTCAACGAGACTTACAAGAAGGCAGTCGACCACCTGGTTGAAGAGAATGATGCAGCAGCGCAGACGCTGTCTATTTGGTGGGCTGATTTTGTGCGGTTTGTGTTGGCAGAGTTGAAGGTGGACGAGGTCAAAGAGGTGGGCGAGGCCAAAGATGCGGAGCACATTCTTCGCCGAGCACTCAACGTGAAAGCAGTCGGCAACATCGATACTATATTTCGCATCAGCTGGCGGCTCTCAGACATACTTCTTAATCAGTTCCTGGATGCTACGACAAAGAAACAGGAACTCGTCGACAAGAAAGATACCCTCGTCAAGAAGCAGGCAGCCCTCGATAAGATGATGGAGGTGATGTCCCAGTTGGAGGGAATCCGGCCCGAGTTTGAGGGCAACCAGTCTCAAATGAGCATCCCATTGTCCATCATGCGACGCAAACTCGGCCCAGCATTGGCCTTCTTCGAGGGTGCCGACATGGCCTTCCGCGGATGCATCAAGGCGCTGACGGACGAGCGGCAGGACAACGACGCCCCAAGCTTCCAGATACTTGCCAAGGTCCTGTGCTTGGTGCCTGATCTCGAGGAGCATGCAGAGATCGCCGCTTCCTGTCAGTTCTACGTCATCAACGACGGGTTGTTCACAAACAAATACCAGTCCCCTGTGAGCTGCAGTTACTGCGAGAGAGTAGTCGCTGGCGATGTCCAGACAGAGGCCGTTTATCTATGCTGTTATTGCACCAACACATTCGCCTGCCAGAGTTGTCACAAAAAGAACCAGACCGCCAGGAACCGGGCAATAGAAGCCGCGGACACGAGCGAGGCAGAGGCAGATACAATCGTGCTGCAAGTTCCGTGTCGCAGAGAGCACATGTATATAGCAGCCCGGGGCGACAGCTGGAGTGGCGTGAGGAATGGCAAAATGATCCGCAAAGGCGAACCTGAGAAAGAATTATCATTTACGGATTGGTTACGCGAGCTCGAACAAACATGGGAGGCTGCATGGCAGGAGTTTTGGAGCGAGCGTCCTCCTCTAGTATAATTGTCGTGTCCCCTTTCATTGCCGGAACCCCTCTGTTCAAAATACCATTACCACCCAGCTCCGTTTTATTCCTGCTTCATTCTCGCAACCGTTGCCATCAAATATTTTCCCAGACCAAGAGTGTCAGCAGTGAACTGCCGCAAATCACAATCCGGCCAATGTTCAGACTGCAACGAGAATATGGTAGCAGAAGCCTTATCCTTAGATTAAGATAAAGACAACGGATCCCCCTCTACCGTTGCGGGCCCCATACCGTTGAGCCAGGCGTAGCATAGACCCTTGGGGCATTCTTACGAATGGAATGGTATGAGAGCTTTAAGATACTCCTGTAGCCCAGGATCGCACGCGTACACGTAGGTCCCCCGGATGCCGCGCGTCATGAGCACGGCATAGATCTGTGTGATGAACCGCAGCAGGTCATCATCCGAGTAGGTCCTGCCGAGAGCTGGGTTATTCTCCTTGCCCTTCCTGTCGAAGTACGAGTCTCGATCGATGAAGAGGCGACGCCGCACAGGGTCGAACCGCAGATCCAGACCAATAATAACTCCGACGTAGTTCAGGTCGTAGCCTTGCACCGTGTGAATCGATCCCACTTCCTCGAGGGCGTTGCTGGATGATATCCAGTCGGTGGGCGTGCTGTTCCACCGGAGCCTCGTGTCGCCGATCTCAATGTCGAAGAGCGTCCTGTCCCTCCTCGTCCGCCACTCCCACGCGTAGCCGGCGACCATACGTGAGAGACCGACCTCCGCATCGCGCTGGAAGATTTCATCTCTCATGCGCGCGACGCTGTCAAAGGTGCGGAAGTCGTAGTCCCCGAAGTCGCGTCGCACCCGCGGAAGCGAGAGAGGACGAGGGTCGAGGATCCAGCGGACGTACGACACAAAGTCAGATCCCGCTCGCACGCGCATCTGCGTCTGGAGTTGGAAGTGCTGCTGAGACGCGCGAGCATCAGCTACGAGATCCGATAACATCTCGGATGGTAGATCGGCGGGGCGGACGCTCTGCGCTGCGTCCAGCAGGAAGATCTGGTGCCGGCTCTTGGCCCGTATCCAGTCCAGTTGGGTCTTGCTGGTGTCGTCGCTGCCAAAGAGCGCTCTCGTGATGGTTGTAAACTTGGCGTTGAGCACTCCTGAAGGCTGGTTGGCACGTTGATTGAGCCGATGAGTCTCGTCGACGAGCAGCAGGTCGAACATTCTGTCTGCCTGTCCCACGTCAAAGGGCGTCATGACCATGGACGGATGCAGTCCGGGCGTTTTCTTAAAGACGGCCTTGATGGAAGATCGCAGCGACTGCTGTGGCACGACCAAGCCGATACGCAGACCCTGGAGCAGCCTCTGGTTGGCGTCGGTGAAGAATGTCGCGAACCGCGCGTCGCTGTCCAAATCTTCCAGTGTGGTGAAGGTTTGGATGTCGACGAGCAGCTTGATCAAGTATATGGCCGCCACCGTCTTGCCCGTGCCTGGATCGCCCTGGATCACCATCATGCTGTTGGTGTCGCTCTCGAGATCAGCGAGGAGCCCCCTGACAATCTCGTCCACCGAGGCTGCTTGGTCGTCGGTCAGCGCTTTAAACGGCGACAACTTGAACAGATCGCTGTTTTCAATCTCATCAAGGCCCCGCGTGAAGACGCCATCGGCTCGAAGACGCTCGAAGATGGTGCGGAAGCCCTCGCGATACATGTCGCGTTGGAAGTATCTCGACTCGGTGATGCCGTTGTTCCGGTTGAGCACCCGGTTGGCGCCGTCGCCGGCCAGCATCTTGATGAGGTAGGATTCCAAATCAAGGCAGACCGACTTGTTGAATCTTTCATCCAAGATGACGTGGATGTTCTTGAGATGATCTTTCTCGGGCGTATCGAGGTGCTGCCGCAGTCGGCTGGCTGCGTTGAGCGACTCCCCGACGTAGATGTCCCTCAGCCGGTTCGAATTTGCCCTGGTGGTGTTGCGGCCATCACCCAACACGTATACGACAGGCCAGCTGCTGTGCCCCTCGCCATGGGCCCTCCACGCCGCGACGGCATCCCTGGAGAACTCAAGCTGGGCGATCCTCAAGTTGGTCATACTTCTTGCTGCTGCCCCGCGCCTTGTCGACGGGGTACTTCTTGCGCGTGATTTCAAGCTTCTCCAACACGATCTGCCCCGGGTCGACTCCGATGCGGTCGGCGAGGAGCAGACAGTAGGTCAAGACGTCGGCAAGCTCTTCACGCACGCGCTTGGGGTCGGCTTCGGCGCTCCACTGGAAGCACTCGAGGAGCTCGCCGGCTTCGATGGCGACGCTCTTGGCAAGGTTCTCCGGAGTGTGGAACTGCGCCCAGTCTCGCTCGGCGACGAAGGCCGCGAGCGCGTCGTGGACTTCCTTGTTAACCATGAGTAGGCAAGTAAAAGCAGGCTATCACGCTGCGACAAAACCAGGTGCCCCTATTAATTTTGGGATGGTGATGTTAAAGGAGGGGTCAGTGTAAGACAACGTGGTTCGGTAATAAAGTTGCTGTTTAAAATGCATCGTCACAATTCCAATGGCGAGACTGGGACTTGAGGCATAATATAGTCCAGCAGAAACAGTGATGCTCCGCTACTTCGTCAAACCAGAAAATCACGCACCTCTCCAAGCCCGCTACCTCGGTGTGATAGTTTCTGGCGCTTAGGCATCAGCTGGGCGGTTGGAAACAGGAACCCGGCTCTTTTGCTTTGCTGTTATTGGGCTGGATAGTGCCGTCCTCCACCTGCGTGGGGCAGCTGATTCTTTGTCTCGCAATTCACAGCCAACGGATTTCCAGCTTGATTTTATTTTTATATCAGCGACGTTTAGTGCCAATCCTAGCTATCTAAGATCAGCTGTTAACCCCCTGTCACAAGAATGGTAGGCGATGTAAAAGGGGGTGTGTCTCCATTTCTCATAGGATATTGTTGGACTTGACCCTCGGGTGGCGGACTAAGGTCTGGATAAGAAAAACCCTCTGATACATTAATATCCTGTCTTAGTCATGGGGCGCGAGATTGACCAAAAAATACCTCACAGGAAAGAGGAGCCGGGGAGAACAAGGAACATCATCATCAATATGATAGCAAGCTAATGTATCCTGGCTCTGAGTCTCTTCCGCTGGCGCTGGTTGTAGCTGTAAGAAACCAGGCCTAGCTACTGTCTTGATTTAGAAGGTAAGACCAGTTGAGAAGATCGACTGGAGCTGTGAGGTCTGCTCCCTGACGCCCTGGAGCTCGGCTTGAAGGTCGGCCCGTAGGCTGGTGATCCTCGTATCATTGCGGGCATCGACAGACTCGAGGTAGTTTGCAAGGGCTGGGACGGCATAGGCTAGGAGGGCTAGCTGGCTTGGCCTCTCGCCCTCTTCTGCACGAGAGACGATACTTCTTCTGCGAACAGCAAGTAAGCCTTATTCTGAAAGACTGGGTGGTTCCAAACCGGGCTCCTTGGGAACTTCTTGATCAGAAAGACTGAGTCTTGTAAAATAACCTCGCGGAGGCAAAAGAGCAAGTTCGTAAGTCCCATGGTCACAAGGTTATTAATCTGACTGGGGGTAGGGCCGAACTGGCCCTTCCAACGGTTAAGGTCTGGCCATATTAGAGAGAGGAGCGTCTCTGGCGGCATGATGCTGGCACGGCGTGTCTCGAAGCACCCCTTCTGTAGCAGATGCCTGGCCATTGTGCGCATAAACTTGCGAGGCAGGCAGTTCAGGTAGCAGCCGATCATCTGCTCCTGATTCCAGCGGCCTGCTCGGCGGATCTGGTCCTCACTGATCCCCTTCAGTTCGGCTATCTTAGCCCCTGAGCTTCAGTCAACATTTATTTTATTCCTCGAGGTAATGCCGGTATTTTTAAATACCTTGACGACGCACCTTCTCCGAGCGCGGGTACCGAATGGATTTGTTCAGCCAGTCCTCCAGACTGGGGTGTTGAACATGTGATCTGGCATTGAAAAATCACCAAGAGCTCGCCTGATGATATAGCCATTCTCAAGGGCCTGTACAGCCCCGTTTACTAAGTAGAGAGAAGTTAGTTAATTTGAACCTTACGACTCGACAATGGGGGAGGGGGGTAGCTTGGCATGCCTTGATGTGGACAGATTGCGTTGGCTGCATCTTCAAGCAGCGCCACCTTGCCCCCTGAGAAATTCCAACGAGATGAAGACGGCCAGTCGAACAAGACCCACTTCAGAGGATCTTGGTCCATGTTCTGTATGACAGTCTGAACTTCAGGTGCGAAGTTGTCGTCCCGTCCGCGAAGGTGACCAGCATGGTGTCGCCCTTGTCCATGAGCAATGTCAGCCTGGATTCAAGATTGTAAAACATGAAAAATGGACGTACATCCAATGACCGATTCTCCTCCCGCTTAATCCAGTAGCGTCTCTTAGCGGATTAGCAGGACAAGACTTTTAAAAGAGCCCTCTGTAGTAGTCCGCAAGTATCAGCGTTGCAACACCGGACTCTTGGCAAATAACAAGACCCCGAGCTATAACCTATTACCCAAAGTTAATTGAGGTAGTGTGTCAATTATCCCCTGTACTCGAACCACTTAGTTAGTACGAACGACTACAGTGGTAAGTGATGTGTTATGTAGACGAGGGGTAAGCTGTAAGTCGTTTCGGAGATTCCGTGGAGTCCCTGAAGGGTGGAGTCTAGCGTCTAGACTTTCTTTACCGATGTCAGATCACGGTCAACTTCGTGGCGGGTTTTCTTTTAGGCGTCATTGTATTTCAACCTACTATATATTCAACATGAATTGCCCTATTCTTTGGACACTCTTGGTCGAATAACCCATACTTGACCTATCGTGCCTTGAAATCTTATCATCGTTGCTCAAACATGGCGCCCTCACCTACTTCATGGGCTCCTCCCAACTATCCACCAACGACGATTGAAAATGACGGGGTGCGATGGCAAAAAAAAAACCCTTGATTAGTTCCATGACTGATCGACTTAGACATATGTCAATCGATACGACGCCCGAAAAACTCTGGCTCATGTTACATCTGATCGGAACAATGTCAATAAGTAATTATGCACAGCATCATCACACAGGAACAGATTCATTAATTGGACCAGCGTTTTCATGCTTCATTGGATCACTACGGAAGATGGAAAGAAGTACCACCTCACAACTAATGCTGGCCTTAACGGATCTGAGCTCTTTGGTACTTTTTTGTCTTTGAATGATCTTCAGGATTTGACGTCTCGCGGGGGTTCCATTATAGAGCCTGGTTCCGGCAGTTCCGAGCATCTGAATCTGCGCAGCACCACTCTGACCATCTTGAGCCCAACAGACGGAGACAAATGGACCAATACGCGCCTTGTATTGAACCTTGCAGGTGTTCAATTGGATGTGAAGATCCAGCCAACTGGTGGTAACTTCTACTATGGTGGAGGTGGTGGGCTTCAACTCGTCAATAGGGGCCCTGATCCAGATTACTCTACTTGCCTCCCTGGATGGTCTTGGTACTGGGTGAGTTTCATAAAATGACGCAAAATTTCAACAAAACTCATTTGCATATCTCTAGGCCAACCCAACTACGCGTCTGACTGGCACACTGACCATTAACGGAAAATGTGCAAAGATCAACCCCGATGAGTCTTATGCCCTGTTCGAGAGGCAATGGGGTAATTTCGGCATCGGAGAAGGTTACTACGCCCTCTGGTTCTACCTTGAGACCGGGGAAGTTCTCATCTCATGGTGTATGACACCAGATCTGGATGGCATCACTAAGATTGCCTTCGCGTCCGTCTGGCACCCTAACGGCCTTCATGAAATGATTCCAGTTGGCCCAAAAACCCGTGCCTCGGACATTAGCACGAGTCCAACCACAGGGTTGAAATATTTCAACAAATTTTACCTCGACCTCCCAGCTAGAAATGCCAGTTTTACATTTGAGAAATGGTGTCGGGATGGGGAGCTAACTCCCATCCTGCCAGAGCAAAAGGATCGGTACATCACGATTTCGGAATCATACGGAGAAGGTGTTGCTCAATGGAATAATCAAGAAATTAAGATGCAGGGACATGTCGAGCAGTTATCGACGCTTAAATAACATCAATATGATGGTAGAATAGCACGAAGCCTGGGCAGCCTCGACGGGGCTAAGAATTGAGTTACATTTATCTGCTATCCCCAATATACCCTAAAGATACACCGCGTATTCATCGTAATGTCAAGATATGAATCTATCAAAGGTTTCGTAATACAGGGTCTCAATTCAACAATTTAATATTCGGAAGGCTGTGTCATATTGTCAACATCCCATTGCCCTCGGCGCATGTGTGGGTCGACTCCTAGGCCCATTCAAAATGACGCACACTACGATACTACATATTACATGTCACGGAAATTCCGCGCAAATTCCGGAGGGCTCCACTCATCCATCATGTGTTTCTTGGGCTCCGCGGGAAACCCGCGGCTCTCGGCTTCCACAATGTTTTCTTCCGTTCTTCCACAACGCCGCCATCTGATTCTTGAGTTGTATACGAGACCTTGCCCATTTTCGTTCCTACAATGGGCCGCGAGTCACGTCCGGTTTCGTGTCACTTTTGCAGGGACCGAAAGCTACGCTGCAGCCGCGTGTTCCCCTGCACTAACTGCACGGCTCGTGGAGTTCCCTGTCCACCCGTCCAACGTGCGGTGAGCAGGAAATCATCGCCGCCTGACATCCATCCCGAAGTTTTGCGCCGGCTAGAGAGATTGGAATCTCTTCTACCTTTGCAAACCAACGGCCCTCCTCCTATCAGTGCGGCGCCGACCATTGTGGCACCAAGTAGTACTGCCAATTCCCAGCACCGCCTCCCCCCAAGGCTCCAAAACTCAGTGAAGGATGCCATGTTTATCGACTGATCATGTTTCAGTACACTGCTTATTGTAAGTACGTTCATAGATTTACTGCGTGATCGCAAGATTGAGAACACCGGCTTACTGCGCCTACTAGGATTCAGCCTTCAACAACGAGTTACTCGTCCGTACACACCCCATAAAACTGCTTCTCCACCTCCCTTCCAATAGATTTTATAGCCCTACTCTATCGGTATCCGGAATGGCAGATGCCACAAAATGTGTCTGGCTACCGAGTCCAGATGAGGCAGAAGTCTTGGTCCGTAAATATCTCGCCGACACTAGCTACACGCACCACGTCGTTCATGGGCCCTCCCTGTGCAGGCTAGTGGCTGGAGTTTTTGAGCATCTCCAACTAGGCTTCACATCGATTCCGAAAGGAATTCTTATTCTTTTACTTGCCATTTTTGCTGCTGTTACCCACTCTTGGACCACTTATGATGATAGGTTAAATATGTTCTCAGACTGCAAAGAAGCCAACACGCAGTCAGTGTTCTGGATCAAGCTCGCATTTGATGTGCTGGGAGGTGTCCAGAAAAAGTCTGATATTTCGCTGGAATGCATACAGGGACTTATAATCCTGAACGGTACCATCCATAATATCGAGGGCATCTCTCCGCGGGCAAGCGCGACCCTCAGCAGAGCTATCGCGATGTCTCGCGAACTTGGCCTACATCGTCTTGACTACAACCAACACGATTCTACTTCGTCATTTGTTCCTGTCTTTACTGGTGTGAAAGCAGAAGTCGGGAGGCGAGTCTGGTGGCATCTTGTTGCCACCGATTGGTATGCTTTCTTTTTCAACTTAGTATGCTTCCCTAGTGTTTTCATTAACTCAAGATGCAGGATGATGGCTTGCTTTTCTGGTCCTCAAAAAGGTACATACTCAATCAACCCACATCATATGGCTGTGAGGAAGCCTTTAAATCTCAACGACGAGGATATGACGGACGAACACCTGATACCGCAAGCAATCGAACGGCCAACCTCCATGTCGTATTTCCTGCAACGAATCCGCTTGTCCGAAGCAATCCGATCCTTCAATGATCGCGCTCCACTCATAGGATTCGATCCATATGCCGTGGGATATGATCATGTTCTGGAGATGGACGTAATGATCCAATCTTTCTTACAAGATGTCCCTCCTTTCTTTTTCGGGGATTCTAGGGCACCCGACCAGTTCCTATCCATGGAATTCGAGCAATCTCGGAGCTATATCTTTCAGAGGCATGTGCTCATTCTACTCGTACACGGCCTGCGCTGCAGGCTACACCTCCCGTATTTAGCCCGTGGAACACTTGAACCAACATTCACGCCTTCGCTGGAGGCCGCTCTTGAGAGTGCCAGGCTTATTATCGATGCAGAAAAACTGCTACGAAATGAAGCGTATGATTTCACTAGGGGACGGTTCAGGTTAGGAGCAGTTGCATATGGGTACTTCTTAGCCTTGGCAGTTTTGGTATTGAACTTATCCCATGGAGCAAACAGGGATGAGAATGAGCAGGCAAGTAAGCGAAAAGAAATTGAGAGCGCATGGAGTATTTTGGAGGAGGCAGAAGCACAGTCAACTCTCATTAACGGAGCTGTCGAGATGTTGAAATTGGTGATGAACAGGCACAATGTGGTGCTGTTTGTGAACAGTGGGACAGGTCCCCAGCCGTCGGAGAACGAGACTCCGGAATTGGGGAGAATTATCAGATCTGAGGAGGGCGATCTGTCCAGCTTGAAGGTATCAAACGCCTTTAATTCTGAGCAACATTTCGAAGGGCTAGAATCAGGCATGAATGTTAATGATGGTTCTTGGGAGAATTTGCTCGGAATAATAGATGCATCTTTTATATCATAAATGAAGAAAATATACTGTTGACTTTGAGACAAAAGTTACAGCTGTATATTTAATCATCTAATGAATTCCACTTGCTACATAATTTCCGTGATTTCATATACGATTCTCAGATTTAATTAATTAAGTTAAATTTATAGTTATTGAAGTCGTCTGCTCTGTGCGCATTGATGCCATCGGCCTTCCATTTGCTTCTGAAATAATAATTGCCTCGAAGCAGTTAAGAGTCAACACTCTAAACTAGAAGCGTTGGAGCAACTGGACCCTTTTTAAGGATTGGTTCATTTTCTTAGATGGATTGACGATTTTCATCCCAGCGAACAAGATCAGTTGTGCCAATTTCTATCGCGCTGCACGAAAACACGTCAAAGTCGCAAAACATCCAAATTTGGGCAACTAGCCAAGAGACGACAAGGGTGTCTATTGATCACTATTTGGCTCATGTGTCGCGGTTTGTCACGGGGTCGATCCAGAAGAGCTCAGACATAAAGGTGTATACAGAAGATATGCTATACACCCGGTGGAATTAGGTAGGCTATGAGTAGTAGGTTATAGTCATTCAGATACACCCCAGTGAACCCCCGAGATTTCCTTCTGCAGCCAGTCTTGGTGTTGTTTATGCTTGTTGGCACCACCGCCGAGCATTCGAGGAATTTTCGCCTTGAAAGACGTCCACAAATGTGCTTTGGAAGATTAGGCACATAATGGTAGATGGGCTACTGTCGGTTAAGCTTGTATACATGGGGGTCGTTTCTCAAGTGACGGTGCTCGTTTAGAGCGTTCCTAGCAAGGGGCTGTGGCCCTCGTCCATTCCTCTCATTTCTGTTAGAACATCTACCATGGAACCTAAATAATAAACTATTTGTTTCTAATGATGCGCATGTGAACGAGAGTGGTCGAAGTGAAAGTGAATCTACGCTCAATGCACAAGTCCTACCAGATAGAGGGATTAAATGGCACAGAGGGATTGCGATGAAACATGTTGTATTTTCTGCTGCTTCGGAGGGGAAGAAGCTAGCTATTTATACCCGGCGATCCCGTTGGAAGTTGAAGATCTAGGTTGTTGAGGTTGATCTAGGTTTGATCGGAGCCACTGTACGGATCCGGGCCTATACAGGCTTGACCTTTCCTATCGGACCTATTCGTTTGACAAGTCCTTCGCATTGTGCTAGGTAGATTTGCCGGCCTTTTGCTGAGCCTGCCATTCCACCTCCGCATCGCGGCGACGCTTCGAAACCAGGTCCCAGCGGGTTCCGAACATCCAGTCACAGATTCCTGGACTACCAAAGCCGTCGGAGAAAGACACGTTTGCGCGAATATGATGCTCGCTATGTGCGCGATTGTCCAAAGCGGCAGCGGCAACGCTTGACACGACCATCCAGAGTGACCTCTTGCCATCGTGGCCTTGAGGCGGAGGCTGCCTCAGTTCTGTCCCAAAATCATACCCTGAGTGTTCGTAAACTCCACCTAACGCGCCGAGCCCGGCAACGAGCGTGTGGAACAGGATATCAGAGCCGCCGCCTCCGACAATCGCGAGCGGGAGCAGGTATGGTAGGACAATCGTAAGAAAGAAATCTGGTGCTGACATGTAGCAGGCACTGATGCCTCGAGTGGCCCCCGTGGAATGGTGAACGGAGTGTCGAAGTGTACGCATGAGCGGAACAGAGGATTGATGTAGTAAGTATCGATGAGTCGAGTACTGAACGAAATCATGACCGACTGCCATGACCAGAAGTGAGCACAAGAAACGCCCCACGTTGAGCGATATTTCGCCAGTGAAACATAATCCAATCGCCTCTGCTATCACCATACTTGGCAGAAGAATAAAACACTGGTTGAAGAGCACTCGCGGTAAAAGTCCAAGGTACGACTTCTCATTTACGGGACGAACCCTATACCGTCGAAGTGTGCCGCTATGGTCGCAATATTCGAGAGCAAGCCCGGTTGCGTGGAAGAAAAGCTGTTGAATGGCCCAAGAATACACAGAAAGCGGGAGCCCGGGCAAAAACCTCAACGGCGAAGTAGGCGTAGGCATCGTGATCTTGGAGACAGCCGCGGTGATCAGGATTGATGTCTTCATATTGAATAAGAGATGGCAAAATGGAGAATAAGGTGTCTTCGAATAAGTGAAGTTCAATTCTGAGAGCATGAGGAAGGGTTTATATCCGTAACCTAGGACGTTGAGTCGTCTTTTTTTCAATGATGGAAATCTCGCCATTTGCCTTGCCATGCTTTTCAACTTACGCGTCGCAGGTGACGAACGGTCACATACGTAAATGGAAAGTTGATTGCGACGGCGATCTGAGATGCGCAACCTTCCCTCAGTCCACCTATGTACCGTACATAATAGAGAGTCGCAAGACACAGCCACAATATTGTCTTGGCATTTGCTTACTGGGCGGATCCTGCGGCTTTTCTACTCTCGGTCTCCCACGGGCAGGCTTGGCTTATACGCTAGACATGGGGCGACGAATGACTCTTCCAACCAAAAAGAAAAGGAGTTCTGCCGTCGCAAAATTGTGTCTCTTTTGGGCTCTCAACGTCAGTCGACATCATCAGTCGTCATAGTCAACCGGAAAGGAAAACAGGCACTGGATCCTGAAATAACGACCAAAGCTAACGTCAGAGCTGCCTAGTTCTCCGCAGCCACTTAATTTCGTCGAGCGGATGTGGATGAGCTACGCATCAGTAGTTATTAGGATAAGCAAGAAGCGGCCTTTCTTTGATTAGGCCATAGCCGCCCTACCAACTCTGGTCCAACATATTCAAATACCTACTCATAACTTCCATCAAGGCCATTTCGTATTCACAACTATGTACCAGCAGCTCTACTCAGCGTTTGCCAAAGTTAATACTTGGTTAAGGTTACAACGCGGCTCAAGAGGAAGTCGGAGTCACAATAATTACTCGTCCTCAATAACGGCGAGGACCCAGCGCTCTTCATCGTCAGCCAGACATCGAATGAGTCTGCGAGACCGTATAGACAAGGTACGCTGTTGTAACCTACAGTATTAAAAGCACCCCGATCCCAGGAAAGTTGACCCACTGTCCCGTTGACGAGACCAGACTACCAGGAGTCATTTCCAGTCAATGAGCTCCTACACATGCTAAAGTATACTTATGGTCCACAACCTTCGCCGAATAGTACTGGCCATAGCTTCAACCTTTGAAACCTCCATGTCACCAAATTGAGTCTCAACTGCGCGATCATAGTGGGCAGTATCAAGCGAAGGCCCTTCGGGAATCAGTCGTAATAAGTAGGCCGATCGGAGAAACTGCTCTGAAATCCAATTCTTTTGCTCATGGCCGAAAGTTTCGGTTAGCCGCAAACTTCGCGCTTCGGCAAACAATCCTATGTGGTAGGCCAATATGCTCATGATATGTAAGGCGCCGTGGAGAACGACATGACGACGATGATCAGCGCTGGAAACGTAGCAATCGCTTTCCAGGTAACTCAGAAAAGCGTCATCGGTGGACTGTAGGTTGTGATAGCTAGGGAATATAAGTTCTGAGTTTTCCATGTCGGAAAAAACTGCAGGGACTCTCCGGTTACCGAGGTAAAACGGGACGCTGTGGCAGAGAGAATCAAGCAGTTCTTGATTCTCACGGATGTGCCTAGTGGTGTCCATAATGTCGTCCATATTTCTGTCTTCCTGTATAGCATGCTTTTGGTCACAAGCAAGTTTGCGAAAGCTGGCTGCAAGTTGGAGCTTGATTTGTATGAGAAGAAGGCGATAGATGCGCCACACGCTCCATATGTTCGCAATCTGGACAGTTGGGTACACATCACAAGCACCCTGATACACGATATTGGGTGACTTGATGTATTTTTCGCTCGGTATTCGTCTTGGGTGCCAATGATGTGGTACATCTTGTTGCCACATCCAGAGCCGGGTATCCAAAGTCCGAACGCATTGGGACCACTCCTCCAGTTCAAAATATGACACATTTTCTTGGAGCGGCAATGGCCGAAGGAATTGATGTTGAAGGTTGGCAACTGAAATGCCAATAACATCGAGCAGATAGCTTGGATTGACGGGTACTTGAGGAATGACTTTAGTCTGAACCCATTCAACCCAGTGCACAGGAAACGGTCTTTTCTCTCTGACGCACAAGGAGACTTTGGCGTGCAAAATGTTGCCTAAAAGGCTACCATGGTACTTTGAACCTCCTGCATCGGGGCCTCGATGTAATAGCAGGGCCAATGCGCCGTCGCGGTGTGTGCCGTCAGCTCGGTGTTGACCAAGTACGGCCGATATCGTTTCATACGCCTGAAGCACCAAGGCCGCGAGCACCGTGGCGTCGCGTCCTCGATCCTCCGGGTCCCCGATTGCCTTCTGAAGTCGCAGCAAAGCCTTGTTGAGTAAGTGTGTTGGTCGTGAAATAGAAGGGCTGGAATGTCCCAGTAGCACCCACAACAGGGTTGCTACGGCGTTGACGGCGGCGAATAAAGCTGAATTGTGATGTTCAGAAGCGAGGGCTGGGCGAACGAACTCTATGAATCCGCGAGTCGACTCCAAGTTACGGCCAATGCCAGTAACATAGGTGAGAAAGAAGGAGAGAGCGAGATCCTGTTGGATAATTGACGGAGACGACAACATTGCCGTGTAGTTGTGAGATGCTGATGGGGCCAGTTGAGTTGGTGTCGTCGTCGCCTTCGTCGTCGCCTTCGTCGTCATCGTTGCTGCCGTCGTCTTGGTCAGGCTTCTATTACTGACACGTATTCTTTGATGGCTTGGCCTCCCGGAAAACCGGCCACTCTCATCCTTGAATCTCACCAGAAGACCCTTTTTTCCGTAGCCTGCGCATTCGCGTCCGAGGCGAAGACATGTCTTGCACTGCGGCTTGCTTTCGTCACACTTAACATGCCGCTGTCTGCAGGTGATGCAGCCTTGGGAAGCGCCTCGGTTGACCATGATTGCTTCCGACGCCGTCTACCGTGATTAAGACCCAAAGAAGAAACTGCGTTGCGAGCGAGGACTCTTGTAATTTATTGATACCTTGCGTCCGCATGTCCGGCTAGCTTACGCAAAGGACAATCGTGGTGACGACAGCATTGTGGCGGTGTTCCAACGTGCATGGATTCATTTGCTTGGACAATACGTCACAATCTAAAATCTCACTCGCAACAAACTTGCCATTCTTGGCTTAGACCCAGTAAAGTGTTGGAAAATTACGACACGATGCTAAGCAGCAAATTAATCCACATTACTCCGTATGCAATGCGACTATTCTATCCGGCACAGCCGGCTTTCAACAACAAAGATACTGGTAATCTAGCAGCGGCTGCTAATCTGTCCGCCTCCAGTGGCCAGGCGTCGCAAAGAATGCGCTTATTTCAGCTTAGCTTACTTCGGCCGTATTTCTCCTAATTATGCGGATATCTGTCTGCACCGTGATCGAATTGTGTACCTCTAAAAGCACGTCGAAGTATAAGTAAAGACGAAACGACCGCAATAAAGAGGAAATATTAGTCGGTAGACACAAGCTTCTTCCACAGCAACAAACTTGCAAACATTCTAGAGAGATCTCTTTTATCCATTCTCCGCCATGAAACTTTTCTTCTACACCCGCCCTCTTTTGGCTGCGTTGGCACTTTGTTCTCAAGCAGCCGGGGCCAACAGCACCGACAATTTGCCAACACTGCCATTGAGCACCGATTCCGCGTTCAACTTCAATCTTCTCATTGCGCTTAGCGACGCCCTTACGGGAGGGTCGGATATCGCTCCTGTCCTGGCCGCTGCTAAAGACCTCAAAGCCGGGGATATGGCTTCTTTCAGCGAGCGGTTCTACAAGCTCGCAAACCACACCAAGGCCCAGGCTGAGAGCCCACAAAACGCTGGCGACCCTATCAATGTTCGAGACACTTGGTTCTCTGCCTCGCAGTATTTCCGTCGAGCCGACTTCTACCTGCATGGCAACTGGAGCAACCCGCTTATAAATAGCCTATGGACAGAGCAAACCGCAGCATTCAACAAAGCAATTGCTGCCTTACCTATTCCTGGTCAGCGCGTTCGTATTCCAGCTATAGAGGGCAATTTCACCATTGAGGCTATCTGGTACGCCGCATCTGAGAGTAAAGACCGCAAACTGCCAACGTTGGTTATTGGGAATGGCTTTGATGCTGCGCAAGAGGATTCCTACCACTACTTCGTGGCGACGGCCCTGGCTCGGGGGTGGAATTGTATAACTTATGAAGGCCCAGGCCATCCTACTATTCGCCGAGAGCAGGATATTGGGTATATTCCGGAGTGGGAGCACGTTGTTACCCCTGTAGTAGACTATGTTCTCTCGGAAAAGTCGGACGTTGTGGATAAAGACCGGCTTGCACTTATCGGTAACTCTTGGGGCGGGTTCCTGGCTGCCCGCGCAGCAGCGTTTGAGCCCCGACTTTCCGCGGCGATTCTCATCGACGGTGTCTGGGACACTTATGCTGGGTTCTCGACGATGCTGCCCCCTGATCTGATGGCCATGTATGAGGCCGGCAACTACACGCAATTCGACCAGGAGGTCCTTTCGCAGCGCGAGGCCGGGAAACTCGCCACCGATTCGGCCTGGGCCCTGGATTATGGCCTGTGGGCGTTCCACACACACCTGCCCTCTAGCCTTTTCAACCAGAGCAAGGAGTATGAACTGAAAGATGTTGTGGATAAGATCAATATGCCCGTTTTCGTTGGCGATGCTGAGTTTGAGACCACTTGGATAGGGCAGCCGAAGCAGGTAGCAGATGCTCTAGGCGATAAGGCTACTCTGCACCGTTTTACTGGGGCTGCTGGCTATCATTGCCAAACTGGAGCTTACCAGGAGCTGACGAGGGCCATTTTTGCCTGGCTGAATAAGACTCTGGGCAAAGTGGAAGACAAGTCCTGAGATTATCACGATAATTGTGCTCACTCCTCGAAATCAACTTTCAGATTGAATGGTGTCACAGTTTGTACAGTGAGCAAAGGGTACCGTGACAGATCAACAAGTCTAGTAAAGGACTACTAGACTTTTAGTAGACAATTAGATCAATACTATCCCCAGTTGCCTCAATCCAGATACTATTCGTAACTGCTCTATGTACGTTGACCACTATTGAGGGGTTTCGGGGATCCTTCCGCGTCTATGAAAAAAAGCCTATAATCGCAATATTCGTTTATGCTAACAGCAGATGATATCACATTATGCAGCTGCTCACTTAAGTATAGGAAACGGATATAATAAACTTTCATAGGACACAGGATCTAGTACAACATTATTAACCAGCATGATAGATGACGTAGAAACGACAAACCCTCCATTAATTGCCGATCGGCAAGCCTTGTATACGAAGAATCGAAGATTTTTATGATCTCTTTCGTGCCGGAAAATGTACTGTATTCTTTTATAAGATCAACCACAACCAACGTAGGAGATGGGAACCTCTTGGTATCCTGCGACATAATTGGATCCCGGAAAGAAGCCGGCCGGATCAATTGCCAGCGGTCTAGTAGCTATGTAGACAGCTGAATGCAGGGAGCCCTATGCCTAGGAGCATCTCAGGGCTTTTGATTCGTGGACTCGGAAGATGAACACGAGGCGCAATGCGGGATTTGGAGGGTAAGAGGATGTTCTCCTGGGTTTATACCTCCCCTGTCTTTCAAGTTGAAAAGCTTGATATTTGGTCATCGTGGTAGCATTGGGTCCACGAGAAGACTGGTTGCTGTCGTGACAAAACCACAGCTTTTATGGTGTAGGAGACGGGAATAGTGGAAGGTACATAGGGTACTCATCTAATCTAACTTCTGTCTGCTCCCTCAAGGTGAGCAGGTTGCTGGCACAAGGTCCAAAAAAAACACACAGTTTTATCCACAATTCAAGCATTTCCCACCACCTAGAAAAGGTGCGCTGCTCGACTCTGCATAACTTTTAGATGGAACACTAGACAAGGACACCCCGGTCGCGCCAAGAGTTCTTTTAGTGTACAGACCCTTGTCATTTTTATTGAAAAAACATCGTGCGATTATGGCCGATCTGGGCATGATCGATAAAGACAGGCTAGCGGAGACGAAAGTTAAACCCGATGCCGATGATGCATCAGGGTCGGATTTACCGGCAAGTAGATACAGTCCGAGAGTGGTTGACTCGACCAGTCTATTTGTATTATTGTGGCTATATAAGTCCAAGTACAGCATCAAGTTCACACATCTAGGACACCTGCAATCCAAACCACGAAGTTATTCAGTACCGTTCTCCATCATCTCAGTCACCATGTTCGTTGTAGCCGTGGCAGGAGGTACCGAAGGTATCGGAAGAACTGTCTTCGATGCAATCAAAGCTCAGGGAAAATTTGAGCCCATTGTGTTGAGCCGAAAGGTTGGAATTACGGAATGCCGTGACTCTTTGCAAGCTGACACATGTCATAGGCAGACAAGGCGACAGAGGAGCTCATCGGAGCCCGAATCATTGCCGTCGATTATGCCGACGTCGATGAACTTGTGAAGGTCCTGGAGACCAACAACGTTCACACGGTCATTTCTGGTATCGGTGCTGCAGCACCTGGGGAACCTGAGATAAATCTCATTCTCGCCGCGGACAAGGCAACTTCAACTAAGAGATTCATCCCCAGTGTGTTTGGTATCAGATACGAGCAAGAGTAAGCCAATGCTCGATATGGTGTTGTTCCCCCAGGGCCCCACTGCCTCCGCTAATGCCATCAACAGTCAGGCAGGACTCGAAACGGCTGTTAACAAGTTGTCTTCCAGGGCTGCTCTTGAAGACACAAATCTAGAATGGACAATGATCTTCAATGGGTACTTTCTGGATTATTGGGGTATGCCCAAGGTGAAGACCTATCTTAAGCCTTTCACCGTATTTGTTGATATTGCTGCGGGGAAAGCCAGCATCCCAGGATCTGGAGACACCCCAGGCGTTTTTACGTACAGTCATGATGCGGCCAAGTTCACTGCAGCAGCACTCACGCTTGATAAGTGGGAGAAGGAGTCGTACGTGATCGGCACCAGGATAACACTGAACGACCTACTCAAGGTCGCGGAAGATGTGCGAGGTGCGTATCTAATTGTTACACTTGGGCGCTGGAACAGGCTAATAATTGCTCACAGGGATCAAATTCGATGTCTCCTACGACTCTCTTGAGACTCTTCGCTCAGGAAATATCACGGTGCTCCCTGGGCAAGTCTCCAACTATGCCCACTTCCCTAAGGAAGAGCTTCACCGCAGATTTGCCGGCTTTGGCCTGATGTTTGAAGAAGGCCGCCTTAACTTCGAACCGAAGCAGACCTTGAACGATTTGTTCCCGGAAATTAAGCCAGTTTCCGTTAAGGAGATAGTTGAAATTGGCTGGAAATGATGTTGAGAGATGAGATAGCAATACTTTTCACTACAGGTGTGGTGCTAAGATGGAATAAAAATAGATTTGTCGTGTGAATAATATTGGTTGTTTCACCTGTCCTACCGACCTGCAGTGGACGTAGATCTGACATGTCCGCAACGTGTTCCTGGATGGTCTGTAGGTGTCAGAGCGACTTCAATGACCTTGTGTCGGCCGTCCATGAGATCCGTTCTGCTTCATCGTGAGGATTTCACGTATCATGTCAGGGCTCTGGAGATGTCAGGGTTGACTTTATGTATTTTCAGGTGTCAGGCAAGTCGAGAGGAGAGTCGGCTGTTGCGTTTTCGCCAGGGCTCGTTTTGGGCTCCGTTCACTACGGATAAAACATTCGACAGGTGGTAACACAGGACAACCAAACTTGATGTACGGCACGGTATTCCCCTTGCGCTACTGCATTCGTAGCTTCCTCCAGCCATGAGTCTGAGAGCCGTAACGGTTGCAACGATTCCCAGTCCTGCCGGGAGCTCAAACGACTTCAAAGTCCCAAACCAACATGGTATTTTCCAGCATCCAAACCCCAAATTACAATTGCCCGGAAAGTTGGATTCACGTCCCACACATGCAGGTCCAGGTCTATTGGAACACGCCTGTATTCAAGAGCCAAGCTCAGGGGACTCAGCCATTTGTCCTCTCCAACGGTGATGTGTCAGGCTATGGTTCTCACTTACTAACATCCCACATCAACTTCGACCCCTGTCTTCCAGCTTAAGTCCTGTCCGGAGATAGGGACTAGTCCATATATTAACGCCGTCCTTTCAATAATGCTTCATGGACAAGAATTAATCATCACCATCTCGAGTATAGCCTGACCCGGCGTGATGACATTTTCACCCTTTGCGGCCTAGTTCGTCTCTAACCAAAGTTTAATATGAGGACCCGCATTCGATCTTTCAAGTTTAAATCAAACCACCCCCGGTCAAGCCGGTGATTTTTAGTGTACAAGCCGATTCAAGCTAGCTGTGTGACGACCCAAACCCCTGAACAAGTCGGCTTGAGTTGAATTGTTGGATACGTTGCCTTTGGTGTTATCCCAGCCCCGCTCGACATTTAGCATAGTCCACGGGGCGCGGCTCACCCATAGTTAATGCCCTTGTCTCGATCACCGCGGGTGGAGTTTAGTGCCACCTTTCGACTTCAAGACCAGACCTGTTCCAAGTTAGGTGCTGGCGCCTCGATGGATCCAATGACATCCAAGGCACGATCACCACAGACATGGCCTTACCATCATCCTGCCCTTACGTCAGTACATCAACCATTCGCCCCCGAACGTGCCGGAGTCCTTCAAGGGCCACCTCCCGCCGCCCCAGTCTATGCCCAGAAGTCCCGAACCCCCCACGTCTATCATCTTCCTCCTCTCAACCGACCACCTCCTCCATCTTATCCGGTACAATGTCTTCCGCGTCTTCGTCTCCAACAAGCTCACTCTCAATACCTGTCCAGCAAACCTCTTCACACTCCTCGCCTTTCTCTTCCCCTGCGTCCATGTTCCCCGCAAGGGACTTATGGTTTGGGGCTAACCGTACGATAAGCAGAGCTGGGAGGCCACCCTCGGCTTTCTTACCAAGTGGTCGTATACTGCGGAGCATGCGACGATTTAGTTGGATCTAGTAACCGCTGGAGGCTGATGATGATGAGGGGAGAGGATTCTATACGCTTCTCTGAATCGAAAAAGTTGCCACAATGGAAGCCGGCATCCCACCAAATCGCCCCGTCTGTCAGAAAGGCGGCCGACAATGGCATTCAATTTTACGGAACATAGCAGGCGCCAAGATTTCGAAGGCCAATCAATGTAAAATAGAAGTCGCCCTTTCGTAGAGGCGTTTCTTCACACCAACCAGCGCTGATATCAATCCAAATTACTTCCAGTCAAATTAATTTAAATCAATTTCAGTTTAAGAATCTTTTAACTTATGGACTTAAGTTAAAATATTCAGATTGAGAAATTATTAAAATTATTAGATTCTTAATTTATTCTTCACTGTAGGGTAGGAAGAACAATATTTCACAGTATTGCCTAGGAAACATCTTGTTAAACCCTACTATTTATAATTCTCTCGTTTGTTAGAAGTCTAGAGTTAGTACAGCCTAGTTTCACTTTAATATAGCTTTTCCGGCCTTCTTACTAATTCTTTTGATGAGTAACAGGCGACAGAATGTGAGCGCCTATATAACCGTATACAACTTTCCTTGAGTTGTGAATAGCTCACCCACCTCTCAAGTCACATAATCGGAAAAGTCGGCTCGATTTGAAATAATAGCAGCGCTAGTATCGTTTTGAGAAGTGGAATTTGCTGGCACGCACGATGAACGGCGGCACACCAGCCTCGGGAAATCATACCCCGGATTTCTGTAACGAGGCTGGCAGGATCTTCTACAATTGTCCCACAAAACCTTCCGCCCCAATAAGGATAAGCAAGGTCGTGTAGCACCGAAGATCTAGCCAAATTAACGCCCCCACCGGCCGAACCGAAGCGGCGACAATAGAATAACTTACAAATCACGGTCCACTTTGAAGACCTTTAGCAGGAATTGGAGTAAACCCAATAGGTAATTAGCGTCGTCCTTTGAATGATAATTCACGGACAAAGGTCAATCAATATGATGTCATGTACTGCCATTCACCATTCCCGTCACAGATCTATGACCGGCCGTGATGATATTTCCCTCCTTCCGGCCTGGTGTGTCTCACTAAAATTTAACATCAGGTCCGGAGCTCCCTTGATTTTATCTTAGGTCCGCTCGATGACATTATTCTCCTCCTTCAGTCTAGCTTGCGGGACGGGTGAATTTGAGCGCGTGCTGCTAAGGTGGAGGAGTGCAAAGAGGATGAGGGCGTGGTCAAGCTGCATGACGTTTTCAAGGAGAGCCCCCGGACCAAGGAACATCTTGCAAGCAATCTGAGATTGAAGTACGGGAATGGCCTCTGGAGGCACCACCCAGGGCTTGACTCGGAGTCGGTTTCACCTTGACTATCGGTGATAATTTCCATACTGATGTGGCACAACCAGATCATGTGAGGAAGAAGCGGATGAGAAAAACGCTATGGGTCTAGCCAATTTCCCAAATACATGTGTTATTGCTGGAAGAACCTCCAAGACGGCTGCAACAGTGGCTAGGAAGGCTCCCTTCCGGCGCTGCCGACCAGTCATTCTGACCATTATTGAGCTGATCGTGCCTGTATCGTCAAGATGATCTGATTGGCCAAACCCGATTCTGCTGCAGAACTGTCGGTCTTAGATGTACCTCATCCCTTTTCAGGCTCAAAGGGATGATTCTGTTCTGCTAGTCGCCGGATTTATGCAGGGCCCTGCCTCCTCTAGGCTAACATGGAGACATCCTTGTCAACCGATACAATGGGACAAATGTTACCGCTACGATATAATAGGATAAAATGTCATCGAACTGCAGTGGCAAAACGACTCGGCTTAGTCAGAGCCTTGACACATCGATTTAATAAGCTTGGAGTGCAGAGCCAAACTGAGGAACAGTTGAACCATTTAAGACTTGGCTGAATCGCTATTTGTAACAACAGCCATAAAAAAACTACTGCCTCCATTCCACTTGACAATTCAACTACAATCTGATCATAAGATGGTTTCGCCCACCTTGTCGCTCTTCCTTTTGGCGGCATCGGAGTTGGTCTCCGCCGTTGACCCATCTTCAATTCTATTTACTTCTGGCACCATTATCGCTTTCGATCAAGAAGCAAATGACCTGAACGTCATCCGCAATGGAAGCATTCTCATTCAGCAAGACCGTATAACCGGTATATGGTCGAATCAGGAAACTCCCCCGGTGTCGATTCCTTCAAACACCACGGTTGTAGATGCAGCAGGCAAGATCATCGCCCCTGGCTTCGTCGATACACACCGTCATGGGTGGCAAACATTGTTCAAAACCATGTTCTCCAACATCACTCTCATCGAATATTTCGGCCGCTTTGGAGAGGGAGCTTCTGCCGGACGCGTTGATGCGGAGCAGGTATACATCGGCCAGCTCGCTGACCTGTACGAAGCACTGAACGCGGGAACTACCACATCACTCGATCACGCTCACCACACCTGGTCAGATGAAACATCTTGGGCGGGCTTGAATGCCAGTATAGACAGCGGCGCACGTGTATTCTGGTCGTACACCTTCCACGACGTTGCCAACTATACCATCGAGCAGCAGCTTGTAAACTATCGCGATATAGTGAACGCTGCCCCACAGACAGATACAGCTGTCGAACTAGGTATCGCTTTTGATAGCTTCGACAACAGCTCTGTGGATCCAGAAACGATTGCCTCGATAATCGACTTGGCTAAGTAAGTTCTCTCAGTACTTTAGTGGTGTGACTTGATTGTTGGTGGGTCTAATAAAAGCGTCGTATTAGAGAAGTCAACACCTCGGTACTCACAACCCACAGTGGGGGAGGCGTGTATGGAAGTAAGTTTCTGAGTCTCCGTCTCATCTGCACTACCTTGGTGCGTTTGAAAACTAACCTAAGTTTAACTTGCAGACTATAACTCTCCGACCACTCTACAATCTCTTGGTATACTCAACACAAGCATCCCTGTCGTGTTTTCGCACGCGTCGTACGTCACTTTGCGGGACACGATGCTGTTGCGAAGCACGAATCAATATGTCTCTATCACGCCGGAGTCAGAGATGGGTTTTGGTCTCGGACGTCCGACCAGCAATATGATCATCGACCAGGCCGCCCTAGGTATTGACACGCACGCTTTTCAGTCGAGCGATCTGGTCACTCAAGCGCGCGTATTTCTTCAGACCACGCGGTCAGCAGTCACCGACCAGCTATTCAAAAAATGGCAGGCTCCTAGGTCGAACCCTATGAGCGTCGTCCAGGCCTTTCTCCTTGCCACACGTCACGGAGGCCTCGCACTTCGCCGTCCAGATCTTGGAGTTCTCAGTGTAGGTGCTAAAGCTGACGTTGTTGTGTGGGACGGGACCAGCCCCAGCTTGCTAGGTTGGCTTGACCCCGTGGCGGCGATCATTCTGCACTCCAACGTGGGTGATGTGGAGCATGTTCTTGTCGATGGCAAGTTCGTGAAACGGGATCACAGGCTGGTTGTTGGAGACTACGGCAGCATCAAGTTAAGATTCTTGGAAGCTTCGAAGCGTATCCAGGAGGACTGGCGGCAAATTCCCCATCCTAAGCTCGATCAATACACTCCAGCGGGTGCTCCTATTGTTGACCCCGACCAGGTGGATGTTATGGCCGGAAATGGCACGGGGTATGGCCAATTGTATGTTTAGGGTTGGCTCTTGTTGCAGAGTGGTTAACTGGTAAGGTTACTTTTAAAAAGGTTGTTAGTTTAATTCCAGCTGGAAGCTTTATCCATGAATTAAACTGTAACTGAAATTGAGTTCCCTGGACAAGGTAGCTACCTCAGATAATAATTGTACCTCGGCGAGTGCAATGAGGGCCGAAATGGAGTCAATGACGATGCCGGCGATGTTCGATGAGGACAGCTTGTCATCACGAGCCATTTTTAGGGGGATCGACGGGCCGGTATAGAAATGAGATGTGGAGGTTGAAATAATCGTTATTTAAAGGGTGAATGAACGGGCCAAGTTTAACTTATCGCGTAGCTTGTTAATCTATTCAGCTTTGAGAAGGTGCTTGAGGTTGATAATGACAGCGATGCCCCCGCTGGCATCACTGTCGTCCAAGTCCGTCTTCCTGTGTCGTCTTGGGCGGCTCAATTGTCGCCGTCGTCGGGGGCGACGTCTTGAACCCCGTCCCAAACACGGGTGAAGCTTGGGGCTGCCCTCGGATCGGTAGAGAAAGGCCAGGGATACGAGCATTGAGATGCCAAGGACCACGCCCATGATGATGACGCCCACACTGCTGGAAGATATTTGGACCTCTTCTGCGCCCTTCTCAGTCAAGGGGCCGGCAACGAGCCTGACCCATGCGACAACCCTCTTGATGTGCCGACTAGGAGTCAAGGGCCAACAGGAGCCGACATCCTCATCGACTGGGTCCATATCGGTCAGGGACCACTATGTTGTCGAGTGCGACGCCAGATCTACTGGGGCCGCAGGTATGTTTGGCGGAGGGCATCAGCACGACGGCAACTGACAGGGGGATACCGGGTGGTAGACATATCCTGAGAAGCTTCGCAACCTTGGGGAGCTTTGCCACCTAGATATATTCTCCAGGGCCGTGCTCGCCAGCCATAACGGTGACGACTACTGTTGCACCGCAGTAAAACTAGCATCGTGCATGTCAGCCACTGTTCCCATGCACAAATCATCGCCGGCCGTCTCTGGTACCACGATGTGTGGTCGTACCCGCCGATCCCTTCCCAACAACACGACTGTTGCAGCAGAGTCAAATCAGCGCGGACTCATGCAACAACACCTAAGGTATCTAGCACCTAATGAAAAAGCAAAGTCCCGATGTGTAAGACAATGGTGTCAACCCACATCGCTCTAGCGGATTGATACCCATGCCAAAACCGGGACGGCCAGTGTGATGTAGAATGCAAAAAGAGGACAGGCTGGGAGTCCCTGGACCAGTGGGAAGTGTCACAAGTAGCCGGGCGAGGCGGGAATGTTTGCGCCTGACGGCATCTCTGACATACATAAAGCCATCGCCGGCCGAAACCCTCCTCGGGGCATGATACGAGGCACCGGAAAGCCAAAAAGCCATTGTCATCTCTTCTGATTGAAACCCCACACATATGTACCTTCAATACCGTCATTTGAGTAATATATTATACCATATGGGCACCCCCGCTAGCATGCATAGTCTGACCAGTGATCCACTGAGCCTCAGGGCTAGCCAACAGAGCAACCACACCAGCAATATCTGCAGGGAGGCCTGGTCGGCCCATCGGACTCCATTCAGAGATTTTTACATCAATCTCTTCCAGGGTCATGTTTTCACCTCCGGGCAGGTACTTGGCCGCGGCCTCCGCATACATGTCTGTCTTTACACCGCCTGGAGCAATACAGTTGACTGTGATATTGCGCTTTCCGAAATCCCAGGCTAGACATTTAACCATGCCTTGAATTGCTGCCTTGGAAGCAGAATAAAGAGCATGGTTTGGAATACCCTTGATTGTATTAGTCGTGATATAATCCTCGGCGAAAACAGGGACGTTATGCGTGCATACCATGACTGCAGAAATCGAAGAAATCAGGATCAATCGACCCGAGTCGTTGAGATGCTTGTGCGCCTGCTGAGCCACAATGAACTGCGCCTTAACGTTGACACCCAAGACTCGATCGATTTCCTCCTCCTTAACCTCGTCCAAGTTTCCAAAGTGCTCTATCCCAGAGTTGCTCATGACGATGTCAATTCCGCCAAACTCAGTCTTTGCTTTCTGAAACATGGCCGCAATTTCCTGACCGCTGGAGACATCAGCTTTGATGGTGATGGCCTCAACTCCCAAGTTGCGTGCCTTGGAGGCCACAACCTCAGCTGCCGCAGCGGAGGAGACATAATTGACGACAATGTTGGCCCCATGCTCAGCAAGACGCAATGCAATGGCAGCACCAATCCCACGGCTAGATCCAGTGACATGGACGCATTAGCACTAGTGAATGGCATCACTGACTAGTCATCAGCAACAAGACTCACCTAGTGCAACCTTGCCTGCCAAGGACTTAGTCTCAGAAGTGGGGCTCATGATGTTGAGTTTTGAAGGGGTTTGTAAGACGAGATGGTGGTGCTTGAATGATGATGATGTGTGGTTGTTGATTCCCCATTCAGTAACACACTGAGTTGTACTTTATAAGTGTTTTCGATTTTTCTGAAAATCTTTAGCATTTCGTTATTTGTCTGTACTTCACACCGGCTCCGTTGACCGACTGTCGGCACGTCGGTCGGTCTTTAGGTCGCCGATCAGCAGAGTCTGAATCGCGACGACCACTCCGTCAACTCCACTGTTTGTCTCACACCCACCAGAGTCTTAATTGGCGTTGGATATTTTCTCGCTCTTCGGCCTTAAACCCTCGGCACATCGGGCGGCCTTGTCACGTCACCAACCAGCAGAGTCTCAATCGCGAACGACCATCCCGTCAACTCCACTCTTAGTCCTACATCCATCATCCTATTTTCTCGCTCCTCGGCCTTGAAGCCTTAGCGACTTTGCCATCTCGCGGTTCCGAACTACCGTTTCACAAAGGGTGAGTCCCGAAGTGTGCTGAGCGACTGGAACCAATCCTGCTTCTCCGATCCTACGACTGGAGAGAACTACGATGGCAGGTCATCTTCCTACATATAAGAAGTCCTCGGGTTGACCTTTGTATATGTTATCGCTGCTTTCCCCAATGTTGCGGATCTCTCTAACCCACATTCACACACATAACAACCGCTGTGGCCTCTCCTACTGGGATGTTTTGCCATACCACCTTTTGTACGTTGTTGACGGTATCAGGGGTGGTGACTAGCTGCTCGCCTATCAATGTCAGCACATGCCCTAACTCGATCACTCGTATTTCCTCCCGTTGCCTCCACTCTTGGCCCCTGCTAGTGAGTGGCCTTCACCACGCGACCCTGAGGTCTTGGTGACAGGGCTTGGACAGCACCACGGTCTCGGCCCGGACCGGATCCTCCGATACTCCTGGTTAAAAGTGGATTGGGTCTTGAGACTATCAGAAACATGGATCGCTGGCTAACTTCGCTTGGGGAAGGGTCCTGAGACATGCATCACTAGCTTACTTCGCTCAGGGAAGGTTCTGAGACTATCAGAAATGTGCATCGCTAGCTCACCGTTTCTGTGCCTTCATCTCTCCATATCCGTTCATTCGGCCGACGCGAAATGGCATCCATCTCCATATTCCATTCCGTGGGCTCCAGGCTTTACAGGAGCACTCTGGAAGTTAGTCCCGCGAGCCAATCACCGGACGTAGGTACTGCAATATGTTCTCTTAATGTAGAAGAGAGTGCGAGTCAAGTAGATACGCTACGGTACATAAATATCTGCACCAATGCTCGAGATCGAACAGCCTACTTTACCCTCAACACACCTGGTATTTGCCTTGCACGTCCTACTAGGGCTCAGTAGAGTCAATCATGGCGGATGATCGCGGCAAGCTCGTTGATCGCAACGTGGTCGACTCATCCCTCTTCCGCACGGTCACGTCACTTGACGGCAAAACAACAAGCTTCGTGATCGGTCATCGCTGCGCGACATTGATCCCAACTAGTCACCAGGGGCAATGGGGCGCTTTCCCAGACAACATTGACGATGATGAGATCACGACCACGCTCAAAAAGGATCCACCGGCGCCTATCAGACGCGAGGCGGATCATGCCGCCAGCAGCGTGATCCAGAATGGCCTTGCAAAGAGTCGCGGCACGGCTGCCGTTGTACTTCCGGAGGGCGCCGCTGTCACCGATAACATCATCATCTTTGCCGAAGACCTGGTCATCTACCGCGGCAGCAAGTTTGAGTGGCCGTGCAAAAACGTCACCATCTTTGCTAGGCGCGTGATTGTCGCTCCGCGCGCATCAGAGACGTTTGCCAGCGACTCGGACCATTGGATCACATTCGACGTTTCAGCCCCGCCTGCCAACGACAAGTACGTCAATCAATCGACGAATCCAGGCGCGGCTGGTTCCAAGGGGGACGATGGCCAGTCTCCCGGTGTCGGCACCGAGGCGGTGGCGGGAGGTGACGGAACGGCTGGCGAGAACGGAGGGAATGCGGCATCGGGAGGTACTATCCGCTTCTGCGCTCGTCTGATGACGCTTCTGACTGAGCAGGAGGAGAAGAGCGTCAAGGTGTGTTGGCTGTCAAAGGGCGGCAACGGCGGTCGAGGACAACAGGGCGGCGCGGGTGGTAATGGCGGCAGCGGCGTCCAGGCTACCGACACCTGGCATACCCCTCGAGATTCCTGCGCAGATGCCAAGAAAGGTGGGAATGGAGGCAAGGGAGGCAAAGGCGGCAATGGAGGAGACGGCGGACACATTGAGCTGTGTCTCCTGAAGCCGTCGGCCACTGCAGCCGAGAAGACCAAGTTCCGTGAGGTTGAGAACACTTTCGACGTCTCGGCAGGCAGTAATGGCTCATCTGGGGGTGGAGGAGCCAAAGGATCCGCTGGATCAGCCGGCCATATCCACACTGGTTTGGGTATGGGTGATCACTATTATGGAGGCCAGGGCGCCTCGGATGGCGACGCAGGAGACCCAGGCGACGCCAACAACAGCACGAGGACGCCAGGCAGTTCACATACGGCCTCGTTCGGCGAGGACAATGTCGAAGCATGGGCTCTCTGCGTCAGCCCAGGGTTCCTCCAGATGCTCGTCCAGCGCCTGCTCTTCGAATACGATGTGCTTTTCGGCAGCTTCTTCGATGTCAAGCCCATCAAGGGTAAGTCGGCGCACAGGCTTCGCTTCGAGCTCAGTCTGCAATGGCTGGTGAACCTGAACGATACCATTCAGAGGTTCGAGAACTCCCCTGAGCTGGCGGATAAGCCATCCGAGACTGAGACGAACTTCACCGATGATCAAAAGACTCAACAGCAGCTTATACGGAGTGTCTTTGGTGGCGACCTATGGAAGTCTAGTCCCGAGCTGCGTGCCGCTCGTCAGATCTATCGCATCGGATATGATAAGCTATTCTCCCTCCGCGGATCCCAGCTTCCTCCTATTCCGTCGACAGACTCCTACAATCAGTCCTTTCGCCTGATTCCTACCACCTCCTTCTCTATCAAACGCCTTGAACTGGCCGCCCAAGAGATGGAGGTAGCTGAGGCAAGACGGGCAGTCCTGGCTGAAGAAATTGCGGCGGCCAACTGGACTTCATCTCAAACTGCCGACAAGGTCCAGCAGCTTTCTGACTTTGTTGCTTCCATCGAACCGAGAAGAGCTGCGGCCAAGGCCAAGGTTGACTCTGCGTTGGAGAAGGTGAAAAAGGACCGGGATGCCCTCAATAAGCGAATCGACCAAGCCAAGGCGGAACTCCAGAACCTCAAGCCAAACAATCCTCTCAACCTGTCCTGCGATAACGTTGTCAAAATCATCGAGTCGGCTGCCGTCTGCATGATGTTCACATCAGAAGCTGCTGGCATGGTCTTGGCAGGAAACGTTATGTCCGTGGGCGGCTCAGCGATGAGTCTTGTCACCACGGTTCATACTGCGCAAGGAAACGTGAGCAAGGACGAGCTCATGGGCAAGTTCTACAGTATCGAAGCCAAACTCGGTGGCAAAGAGCTCTCCCAAGAGATTGCAAAGCTGTCTCAAGGAGGAGAGGCCACCGAATTTATGAAGGTCATCGTGGTTGCAAAGTCCAAGTTTGACGCACTCGTCGACTCTCATTTCCCGGGGGATGCTTCAGAAGAGGCAAGGGCCGTGTGGGATCTCATGATGAAACAGGCCAAGGCAACGCACAAGTCCCTTATTGAGTATCAGGAAGCCCTACTGAAACAGGCTCAAGTCGAGGCCTACTTTGTACAGAGCCAGGTGGCCAAGGCGACTTTGCAGGAGAACACCTCGGCAACGGCATCGATCAAGTCTCAACTATTCTACCAGGTCTACGACGACTCATACGCGCAACAGAAGGCCATGGTCGTCAAGTACTATCTTGACGCCATCAGGGCGATTGTGGCCATCACACTGGAGCCCACGTCTCTGTCGCATTCTCTGATCGCTCTCGGATGCTGGGATAATGTTACCGGCTCTCTTTTCAACGAGGTCATTCTTCCACAACTTCGTGCCGAGAACGACTACCTTGTCAGCAAGGACAGCCGCGCCAATCGGCAGACGACGACGTACAGCGGATGGATCACCAAGGACCAGTATCCGGTCGTCTTCGGCTACGAGAACGGGCCACCAGAGAAACCTGGTGATCCTCCATCGCTCATCAAGAAAGAAACTCTGAAGCCTTTCTCCTTCGACATAACCTCTACGAACTGCCAGAAAGTGTTGAACATCAACCTTGCGATGGAATGTGACATTCGAATGATCGAGTGTCACGTCGCGCTTGAGGGAGCCAAACTCAAGGAAGAGAAGGACATGGATCCTGTAATCAGCATCAATACCTCTTTCGCTGGCGGTTTCTATGTGACCACGGGAGACACCGAGACCATCATCGATGGCCTGACCGGCGAGAGTCGAAAGCAGGACGTGGAATACATGTTTGAGATTGACGAGGTCATCACTGGTTGTCGATATCAGTACGACAGCAAAGACCCAAAGAGCATCACCTGGCGCACAGAGAACAGCAATCCGTTCGCCAGGATGGTCGACCTAGACGATATCCAGACCGTGCGACGAGCCGTTCAAAGCCCTTTCACCACGTGGAACATTAGCTGGGATGAAAAGGCTTACGATGTCTCCAGCGTCGAACGAATCCGCCTGGAAGTGAAATGTGACTATCGCCCCCGACGGACAGTCCACCAAGACACTTTCCAAGCTATGGAATCCGAGGGCGCAGACAGCACCCCTTTCACCGCGATGGGATCTATGCCAACCCTGTCAGCTATCCAACTCGTGTCGCCCGCGGTGCGGACCCTTGTTACCACTGCGCAGCCTCTGAATATGCGAATGGACCAGGTTGCTGCTATCCACGACTACACAGACTCTGGGTCGGGCGACTTGTTGACCAGCTTTCCTCCGCTACCCATCAGCCCCTTCATCGGCCTGGTCAAATGGCCAGAGGCCGGCGGTCTTGCTGTCAATGGCATCCGCCTTCGTGTGAAGAATATGCGGACCTTTACTCGTTCAAGCTCCACGAGCAGGGCCGTCAATGGCATCATGGGCTGGCTCATTCCAACGGGGTACACCCAGACCCGCGGTCTGCATGCCAGCGTTCGGAGAGTCTACGACCGCCTTGGCGAGTCTCCTCAGGCGCGCATAGATGCCAGAGCGAAGAACCCCAACTCCGATGACGTGATCCAGGGGACCAAGGACCTCTGTCAGGCGGTCCTCGATATGTACAACAGCCTTCCAGAAGATCAGCGTTTGGGGACCTCACTCGGAGACTGGGCGTCCGAGATAGATCACTCGGCAGTCAATGCTTCCATGACGGAGATTCCCAAGGAGGTCGCAGACAAAATTGGTGGAGATTATGCCAAGTATGGAGAGGCCATCTTCTTGTCAAGGATCAAAGCTATTGGAGTCGGCGCAACAGTCCTTACTGGAAAGCATGCCGACACGGTCCGAAAACTTCCATACGCGAGTGACAAGATCGCCTACTGCTGGTTGTTCAGGACGCAGATCCTGGAGGACGAGCAGGCGTGGCTGAAAGAGGGCAAAAGCATCAAAGGCTGCGTGGTTCAGCTCGGCAACTCTGGGCTGATTGCTTATGATGACTGCAAGGTTATCCAGCATGGAGACATGATCATTATCGAAGCCTGCGCTTACACCATGTCGTGGCATACGCTGTACGGCGGCAACAGCTGGATTACCATCTTCGACAAGAACAACCCCTACAGGGTCACCACTGTCAACTTTATGGAAGGGCAAGGCAAGATCCGACTTGGAGAAAAGGTCAACTGCATGATCGGTGAGCCGTTGATGCTGCGGACTCAAATCGATTTCCCTGTCTGGCTAGAAGCCATCGTACTAGGCAAGCAGGCTTCCGATGTTGTCAAGACCAAGTCGCAGGAATTCCAGGATGGATATAATAATGCGAGAAAATGGTTCGCTGTTCTTGACCTTGGCGGAATCGGCATGGCTGGATACCGAGCCTGGAAAGGCGGCAACGCAATATATGATCACTATAACTCTATCGAGGTCGAGGCTAAAGACGATGTCGACTTGCAGGAGAAGCTCAAAGGCAAATCGCCTGAGGATGTCGCCAAGGATGCTGCAGGCAAGGGGTTCTCCAAAGCCGAGCCTGGCATGTTCATTGGTGGCGTCTTGGTCACTCCCAATGCATATGTGCTCGGCAGAGTCAGCCCTGACATCTATGGCCCATTAACAAACGGAGGCCTCAACGAGGCTCAGACTTTGCTTGCGAGGACAAAGACACAGCATGCTCTGGGACTTTTCTTCACCATGGAGGCCAACCGCACCGCGCTGCGCGAGGCTCTGGTCAAGATTGCGAAGGACATGGAGGCGGACTACCTTGCCAAGGATCCATCTCTCGCCAAGCTGTCTCCCAGACAGCTTTTCGATATGATCAGGGCGGACATTGTGTACGACATCAAGGGTCGAGCCGCTATCCAACAGCTCGTGATTGACAGCGCCAGTTTCGGACAGCAGATCACGGCGGAACTGCAAAATGACCAGAGCTTCAAGGACGTCAACGTGTACGATCTCGACATGACCATCAGCTCTGTCAACAACGTGGAAGTGCAAGATCGCATCTTCGAGGCAGATGGTGTAGCTGACACGTACGTGCGAAATGAACTGGTATCGTCGACCGTCAGCCGCCTGACGTCCGCCGACTGTGTCCAGATGATCAACGAGTGCAAGGCCAAGGTCGATGCGGAGACCAAGGCTCTCGTTGACGCCAAGGCGAAACGGGATGCCGTTGATCCGACGAAGAAAGACGAAGTCGATGAGGCTCAGAGAAAGGTGGACGAGTTTGAGAGGAAGGTGGAGGATCTAAAAAAGGACCAGAAGAGCTATGAAGATGCTGAGGCGGAGAGGAAGGATGTGGAGGGTGTAAAGAAGATAAAGAAAGATAGGGAGCGGGATAAGGAGAAGGATATGGAGAAGTTGGCTGGGAAATAATAGTTATATTAATTACTATTAGCAATTTGTATAAAATACATAAGGTAGGAGAATTCCAAGTTAGCTTAATAGATAAATAGTAGCCACTGTGATTAATAAAGTGTTATCTGTCCTATAGCAGATGCAGATAGCCGGACTCGGGTTACTCATACCTAGAATGAGCGCAGGGAGTCGCAGATTATCTCACCTAAGAGTAAAGGAGTCAGTCCTTCTAAGATTATATTTACGTCTTTCTCCATTTATGATTGCGTAGTCAGCCTTGATAACCTCCCGGCGGTACTTAAAGTGCAACACTGAAAGACCGTCCAGTCACCTAGATGGGGCAACCGAGATGGCGGCTTATTAGATATATAACAGCACCCGCAATACTTGCCCCGACAGATGCGCCGCCAATGAATAAGGCTGCATGACGGGGATGCACATAAGTGAGCTTGACTTGAATTCTTGAAGAGAAGAGTTCTGACGTATTGTTTAGTCATAGGTGAGTCCTCTGATTGTGTGATGATGAAGTTGTGACATGCCCAATGTAAGGCATCAAGTCCGTTATAAATAGTCTAAAGTAAAAGAGTACCCTAGAGGAAGACGGTACTTAAGTCGATGATAATGACACCAGCCTTGGAAGTCAAGACTCTGTTTGACTCTAAATAGTAATGGCATTTACTGATGCAGAATCCGCCCCTGTGGGAAAGTAGAAACATCGATAATTCATCTTTTGGGATGCACTTAGAGTATAGATGTTATCGAGGATGCTGCCGCCGTCACAAACAGGTATTCAGATGTATCGCTCCGCCGAGTTTATAGGAGCATCCCCTAATGCCTCGCGTCAAGCCAGTTTACTTCAATTCGAAGCGTCAGTATGTCGATAGTGTCGGACAGCGATGGATGGTCCCCGTTTTGCGATCTGCTGTTCTGAAGGGTCATGTTGACTCTGAACCAGTCGTGGTGTGCTCAAACTCATTGATATGCACTCTTTCAAACGTAATTTCATCTCGGTAAGTCTTTTTAAAGTGATATGTGCTCAAATTGTGTTCTTTCCACTGTCCATTTAGCCAGCTAGGTTGCTCTCAGGCCTAGTTGTGCTTCAATGTGAAATTCCTAGGTTTACGGGAAATAAATATGCGAGGAGCAAGCGCAATGAATGCATACAAACACAGGAGATCGCGACGTTTATCTCAATAATGGACTACCTAATATTGAATATGCAGTGCTAAGTGAGATTTTCGATATCTGGTGCAAATCGGACGAGTGCACTAAGTGGAATGCTACAAGCAAGTATACTAGTAGAAACGGCCTACCCCCAAGTCTCATATACCCAAAGCCAATCCGAAATCCAATGTACGAACAGCTGAGGTGTGGCAGGGCAAGCGACGACGAATCGGGACTTTGTGGTGTTCTGAGCCACTTCAGTTCACGTTGGAAGTAACGACAGAAAAGACTTAACGTCTCGCGGCGAGGCCTATTATGAAACTGCCTTTAGTATTGACCTTGACAGTTCTCATGATACATCTTTCCCACCGTTGGTCGGGAGTTGATACTGCCCGTCGCCGCCGCCTTATAAGCCTGTATACGTTTTGATCGTCGAGTACAGTTATGACGCTGATCCTCGTTATTATAGGGGAACCTTTACAGTGACGAGTCTCGAATGGGCCTGTTTCGAGCTCTGTCCATCACTATTCTTATCGTTATTGCATTGATACGACTCGACAAGAGAAGGCATCTAAAGGATGATACGTCTTAGCTAGATATCAGCTTGTACTACCTAGTATGTTGGCGCTACTTGTGACCATACTATGATACCTTCATACTTCGTCACTGGATGTGGACAAGCTCTAATGAGTCAATCAACGGCATCTGATCCCGCTGCTAAACCGGCGCGGAGACTAGCAGCCCAGTTCACTTTGCGGTGAGCTCCCTCGCCTCCCATCCAATTCGTCAATAATCCCAGGCTCAAGCTTTTTCGGACGACGATATTGACGCCTATCCAAACTACTATTCCAAGAACAGGAAAGATGAAGCAGTCGAACGTCGTCAACCGTAATTAATCGATGCGTACTTTAAATACGCTCACCCGTCATCTCCACTCCTAGGGCCACAGCGACGCTCGACGACAAGTCACACAACACTTTAATAATAAAAGTAAAATTATATAAAATAAAAGCTATATTGATTCTAAATTTTAAAATCAGATAGTATATAAAAAGCTATATAAGCTGGTACAGCTTCTACAGAATAAACCCGCATAGTATTATAAATAGAAAGAAGAGGTGCCCGCCTCGCTATACACCCAACTGGACATAAGTAGCTAGCGCCTCGAGGGCTGTACACTTGATTGCAAGTAGCTGACAGTCTCGTCGGGCTGTCTTTCCTCGTCGGGGCTCTAGTTTCGTCTTAGCGTGGGTCTGCGTCCTGATCACCTGGTCCGAGTGGCGCCGACCCTTGTTATGAGGGTAATACGTACTACGTACTTAGTAGAGCCATTTTCACCCCAACCCGGTCTCCGCGGGAAGGGACTAGGTAAGTTGATCCATGCCATGCCGTATTTTCAGAAGCTAGAAGCGAGAAGGGGCTTTGCACTCGGGTGGGCCGGCCCGGTGACTCACGGCGGCAGGGTCATTCCCTGGCAGGCCTCGCGTGATAAGCGGCACTCAGTCCAGAGCTAGCAATCGCTGGGACTCATTGTGGCCCAAAGGTCCTCTTTTGTCAGCGGGTTTCAGGCTCTCGCAATATGGTTTATCGCAGGCTAATAGCTAATGGCTTGTAGCAGAAACGATAAGCAAGAATCGCCTTCTTACATCTCTCAAAGTTGTGTCAGTTTCCGGGCATTATACAAACGTTTTGCGATAAAAAGCTCTGAAAATCACTAGGGCCATGGCTGAGCCAATCTGGAAATCGATTGTTGCCCAGAAGCAGGCGGAGAGGCTGTCCAAAATCCCGACAGAATGGATAATCCCCGAGGGCATCTTACCCCCTGCGAAGGATCAATTCGTGCAGGACTTTCCCCAAAAGTCGGGATTTTTCACCGAGCGTGAGCTGCAACTGACCGACGCCACGGCCTCTGAAGTGGTGGCTATGATTGCCTCTGGGGAGTGGACTGCGACCGAGGTCACTACAGCGGTGTGCAAGCGCACGGCTGTGGCACAGCAGCTGATTAATTGCGTGACCGAGATTTGCTTCGAAGAAGGTATCGCGAGAGCGAAGGAGCTGGACGAGTATTTGAAGAGAGAGGGCAAAACAGTTGGGCCTTTGCATGGACTTCCCATAAGGTGAGCCTAACGGACCAATCACCAAGAATACGAGCAACGGCTGACAATAAGAGCAGCCTCAAAGACCAGTTTAATCTCAAAGGTGAGCCATTTGCTTTTAAATGAGCGTTCTTGAACTTTGTGGGCTAACGACTGGCAGGTCTCGACTCAACCATCGGCTACTGCTCATATGCCAACAAACCAGCAGAGACGGACTCGACTCTCGTCACTCTTCTGGCCGAGGCAGGCGCCATATTCTACGTCAAGTCCAATGTGCCATCGACTCTTATGATGGGAGAGACGGTCAACAACATATTTGGCCGGACCCTCAACCCGCGGAATCGAGAGCTCACAACCGGTGGATCATCTGGTGGTGAGTCTGCACTGGTGACCTTCCGCGCCAGCTTCCTGGGCGTCGGCACCGACATTGGGGGCTCCATTCGACATCCGAGCTCGTACACGGGGTTGTACGCCTTGCGGCCGTCACACGGAAGGGTCTCGTACCAGAATGTGACAAACACGTACTTGGGCCAAGAGGCAGTGCGATCATGCGCCGGACCCTTGTGCAGGAGTCCCGAGGACGTGCGGCTGTTTATGTCGAGTCTTGTTGGAACGAAGCCGTGGCTGTATGATCCCCAGTGTCTGCCACTGCCGTGGCGGACGGAGGAGGAGAAGCTGCCATCCAAGCTATCGTTTGGCTTCGCTATGGGAGACGGCCATGTTACGCCTTCGTGAGTCTGCCGCGTCTCCTTGTCGAATGGCTCTCGACTGCTTCTCTGGGGCCGAAGAACTAACCGTGTGCGCGACAGACCACCCCTCCGTCGCGCGATGGACATTACCAAAGCCAAACTCCTGGCTGCTGGACACGAGATCGTCGAGTTCGTTCCTTATGAGATGGCCACGGCGGCTGAGATCATATATAAAATGTGGGAGGCGGACGGTGGATATGAGTTTCAGCGCGATACCGATGCCACAGGCGAACCGCTCCAGGACTTCGTCGAAAAATGGGTGGGACACAGCGCGGGAGTGAAGCCACAGACGGCATTTGAGTCGTGGCAGAACCAACACCAACGGACTCTGCTGGCCGAGAAGTTCCTCAATCGCTGGCAGAGAACGGCGGAACAGACAAGCTCCGGGCGGCCCATTGACGCGCTGATCATGCCGTCGACGCCGTTCCCGGCTATCAGGCACGGCGGTGGCTACCCATGGCAGTATGGCACGCTGTCTCCGCTGCTAGACCTGACAACCGGCGTGTTCCCCGTGACGAAGGTGGACTTGGAGAAAGATCGGGTGCCGGAAGATTGGCAACCAATCTCAGCAAAGGACAAGGAGGTTATGGATTACTGTGAGTTCGAAACAGCTGGCTTGGATGCCATGGAAATCTCGCGATACTGACAACTGCTAGATGGGAAGCCGGAGAATCATGAGGATGCCCTTATCGGGCTGACGCTGATTGCCAGGAGATTAGAGGAGGAGAAGGTCACTGCCATGTTGCATGTCATCAGGAACGTGGTAGGTGTTGACTACTGAGAATTGCGTTGATCTATCTCAATATACGTTGCTTTTTAAGTCGTTGTAAATGAGGCCCTATGGTACCTTTCCTCGGCTCACTCAATAGCGACACACCATCCTAAGTCTAGGTCGTCGTTGTCTTGGTGGCGGGCCCGCCAGAGGACATCTTGACGTTTTTACGGGAAGAGGGAAGAGAGAAGAGAGAACCGCTATTCTCGTTGGGACCCTGTGTGCCAATGGGGGATGCGCGAGACTCGGTGTGTGCGGAGTTCGCATCCCGCGAGAAACGAAGCATCCCACCTGTTCCGTTACCCCGCCCCAACGTTGCATTGAAGGATTCTTAGTGCATGTTGGTGGTCACACCATGACCACAGAGCCGGAACAGCACGCAGTGTGCTTAAGCGATGCTGCAATCATGGCAGTCTCAGGGATTGAATCACACCAGTTTGCAGCGGCAGTCGATGCCCATCACGGCAACGTCGGAACTTGCGGATGACGACGACTGGGACCTAGCCTAGAAAACAGCTGCGAATCTCACCCACACATTTCTCTCGGGAAACGCGGATGGAATAAAATAACTTGTACCGCGGGGTAGGGCGAGGGCTTGAGTCTAGGGGGCAGAAGAAATAGATAAGAATGGCGCCGTTCTGGAGACCAGACGGACAGACCCGACTCCCGCGATTTAGTCACAGTAGTCGAAAGGAGCAGGGATCAGCGGCAGAGCAGGGGTCATCAATCACAGAGCAGGGGTCAACTGCAGTGCAGCATTGCATTACCAGTCAGTCGGTGAAGAACCTTGATCTCGCTCCTGTCCCTCGGGTCCAACAAGTTTAGGCCACGTCAGGCGTAGGAATGATAGTCAATTTGTAGGCCTCGAAGGCGTCATGACAGGGCGTATTAAACTATTGTAAAAAAGGAAAAAGCACGTTGCCAGGCGCAGAGCTGACAACACCATCCAAGTAGCGCTAAGCGAAGCCAGGTTCATCCAAAGGTCAACTCATGAATGCATAATTCATGCTACTGGCTGCGTCTCACCCGTCGACACGCGATCCTTCTCTGAGACTTCATTTTCATTCCTGCTGTCCGGTGGTGATATCGCGCGTTTCTCAGATTTGCCAGCCAGCCCCTTCAGAACGGCCATCCATGTATGTCTTGCCTCCCAGATCGGCAAGCACCAGATGAGGAGGGCGGCAACCCAGGACCAGATAAACACGAGAACCGTCCAGCCAGTGAAGAACTTTCGGCTGAACTTGTATCCTGTTCCGTAGAGCGAAAAGGGTATGATGATGAGGAAGATGAGAACCATGATTGTAGAGATGATCTTGGCATCGCGGCTAGCCTTCGCCAGCGCCTTCGGATCCCAATCATCGCCAATATCACTGAGGTCGTCCATGGTGTACTCCTTGTCGCCAGGTCGAGGCTCCCGCGCCTGCATGAGAAAGAGACGGTCCCAGTCATATGGCTTCCTCTGGCCGGGAAAGACAAACATGACTGCCCAGATCAGAAGAGGCAACAGCAACGCGACGGTGCAGCCTGCGAACATTGGCCAATTGTCGTACAGCGTGTCTACTGTAACCTCCCCGAACTTGCCCTTGGCGGTGCCGATCCACGCGCAGACCGCGCAGACCGTGCCAATTGGGGCAGCCCAGGTCATATACAATGGAGAGACGTAAGCCGAGTTGACACCCAGCGTGATGGGGACGACGGCCGACCCGAGAATGACTCCGGAGAACTCTAGTATCCAGCCCATAGAAATACCACTGTAGTTGAGCGCCGTAGCGAATGACGCTGAGAAGATGGCAAAGAATGTAAGAGCCGCGTGTGAGACGAGTTTCAGTCGCTTGTCGTCAGCCTTGGGGTTGATGTAGGGCTGGTAGATGTCGAACGTGACGATGGAGGCGTGGGCAATGATTTCGGCACTGAAAGACGATGTGACGGCCATGAAGATCATGACGACGACCGCAGCCGCGCCGCCCTTACCCATGACGGCCTCGGCAGCGAGAGGAAGGATCAAGGCATTACTGATCTGGTACATCGTCACGCCACCGGCCACCGGCCAGTACTCGGTGTTTGCGAGTCCGACGGCCACGAAGCTCAAAGTGGCGCAAAGCCCGAGAGGGATCGCGAACCACGCGAAAGCTCCGTAAAAGTAACCGCGCACGACGGCGTTGGGCTCGCCGGCGATGGCCTTCTGACCGTAGCTGGGGTCGACAAACACACATCCAAAGCTTGAGACCAAGATGACTCCGGCGAGTAGAAGTGCCTCGCCAGATTGCATGGTTAGATATGAGCCATCCTTGGCTCCAATAGCACCACCGGTAGCCATGGCGGCGTCTGTCTGCAGCAAGTCCCAGAGCGCGCCGGGAGACCCCAGAACGGGCAGCGACTTCACCGCCATGACTTTGAACATGAAGATGAAGAGAATGATGTATATGACGAGAGTGCTGCGAAACGTATGTAGTCAGTATCGGACGATGCCAACACCCAAGTTCAATTCGGAGCCGGGCTTACTGAATGTAATCGGACAAGATGGTGGACTTCAGGCCTCCGAGATACGTGTAGATGACCACGCCGAGGGGGATCAGATAGTTCATGGCAACCTGACGAGTGCATTGTTATTAGCCTCATCCAATTCAAGGTGAAGTCCGGGCACAGGCTCTTACAATGTTCGCGCCGGTCGTCACTGAGAAGGCCGCCGAGCCGCCAAGCAACAACGCCGCTGTGATGATGATTTGCACCGACACGCCGTATGCAAAGTAGACGAGGTGCGTATTGGTCCCGAAGCGAATGCGCAGAGCCTCAAGGATGGTGTTGGCGCGGGGTGCGCGTCTCTTGAGTTCGATGGCCATGATGGCGAACAGCACAATCTGGACCGAGACGCCTGAGACAAACCACCAGAGACCCGCGAAGCCGTAGAGATAGGTGATGCGAACCGAGTTCAGGAGCGTGGCCGCATAGCACCATGACGACACGACGGCGGCGGCGACCAAGCCGGTCTTGACGCTCTTTTTGGCCGTCATGAGCATGTTGGTGTCGTTGGATTCATTGAGATACTTCCTCGATACCCAGGTGATCAAGTTCATCATCAGTGCGAAGGCGATGCCAAAGCCAATGACCAGCCCGTAGGCCACGCCCTGGGAAAGCGGCGGCGTTGCATCTGTCGATGCCATATCGATTGTGGCCGAGCGAGACTGCTGCTGCTGGTGCTGCTGCTATCCAAAGGCCTTACGAAAACAACGGCAAAAGGGCTGGTCCCATTTATCAGACGCGGAAAATCAGAAGTGGATGTCCGGGACAACGAGAGGATGTATGAGCGAGCGATGCCACCGCCCAATTAGTACTAGAATCCCGCTCCCGGCCAAATAATAGGGGTTCCTGGGGCACGAAAAAAAAGGCAAGGGGTCAAGGTTGCAACAAGAGTCTTGACAGGGAGGAGGGATTGTAGAGCAGGGTTGAAATTGTGATTACAGGTGACCTGTCGATTTGAAGCAACAAGGACCAGCCGCCAATAACGTGAGAATCCCGCCCCCCTCTAAACCAGACGGAGCGCGGAGCTTTCCGCGTGCGGGGCCAGAACAATGCAGAAGCAGGGGTGTTCATCTGCCGACAGACGCCTTCATTCCAGTTCAGTTGTTAGCTTGCCAAGGGTATTGTGACTATTTGGCCAGGGTCTCGCTACACGTGTACTTTTAGTGAGGCGAAGCAACAATCAGGTATCATAACGCACACTATCTGGTATCTTCAACAGTACCCAGCCAACAATAAATTTCAAGGCGAAACGGTGGAAGTGAGGTGGCCAGCCAGATTCAGGCGAAGGTCTGGACGGGCATTCACACCCTGCCGCCCTGCCGGTATGAGTCCACCTCGAAAGTTCCCATTCGTCCCAATTGGAAAAAAGTGTGGAAATTATCGACCCATCCACGGCAGTGTTGCAGTGTGATAAATGACTACAGGCCCAGCCTGGTCAAGCTTTCCAGCTCGGTTGCGCCCACAACTCGGAGCATGCACTCAGAGTCCGCCAACGCGCAGAAGCATCACAGCGGCATAGCCACCGCGACATGGCCCAGCTGAATTATTTGACCTATTAATCCATTACCCATTATGCAGCCAAGGCCACAATGAGTCAATGGGAGGACTTTCTTCCACTGCACACTGCACACTGCACCAGGGTATTGAACGTACGACGCGGCTCGAGCTGATCAAGGCTTTCTCCCCCAGACAAAAACGACTGGCAGATAGATGTGGATTGCCGGGTTCCTGAAGTCGTTCTTTACCTTGGCCTTGAACACCTCTATCTCTATGTTATCCCACCCGAGTACGCGAGAATAGATTCCGTGTGTGTAGGATTCTACGACTTGTAGCTCTTGCCAATACTGCCAAGTCCCAATCTCCTTGAGTTTTGGGTCTTTGGGCCAAGGTCCGATCGGGAACTGCGTTCTACCATTAGCATTGACAAGACCACCGAGACCCAGACTTCACAAAATTTCCCAAAATAGCTGCTGACCTTGAAAACTTCTTGCTGAACATCCACAAAGCCTGCAGCCTCCATTTGCTGCTTCCACTCGGAGCAAGTATCCAAAGGTTTGCCAAATTGCCTCGCGCCGTCAAGCATGCTCCTTATCCAGGCTTGAGCATGGACGGCCAGTTCGGCAGTGCCGTCATCGGACTCAAAAAACCCATCAACGGCTTGCATTTCAAGGTATCCGCCAGGTGCCAGATGCTCGAGTGCCTGCCGAAAGAGTCGATCCGGGTTTGCTATGCATCCTTCTAATTCCCGGGCGTGTATGTAGTCGAACGGCTGGCGATAAAGCCAGTTGGACTCAAAATCGTCGACTTCGAAAATACAATTAGGCGGGGTCCTGCATGTCATTGTTACTGACATTCAAGAAGAGGAGGGGGACTCTCCGTACCATACAGGTTGGATGGGGCTCAGGTCAATCCCAAGAACCTCTGCGCCTGGATGTTCGCTGGATTCCAATGATCAGCTGTTTATCTTCGAGGCTGAAGTGGTAGCGACGGATGGACACTCACTCTGCAAAATCCATTGCCCAGATTCCTGTCCCGGTACCGAGGTCAAGCACGCGCTGGACGTTATCACCAATCGGAGCAAGATACAATTTACCTCCCAGTAACAGAGAAAATATGTGATGTACCATGTCCATGCGATCTTGCTCCTGTTCGTCATTCGGCTGTTGATGGTCCAGTGAGCATTTTTTTTCCTTTCTCACCAAACAGACTTTTGTTTGGGGCAAATACCACTGGATATGTCCCTTCTCTGAATGCATGATAGCGGCGTCCGTTCTACGACGCTGTTAGCAAGCCGCCCGGAGGACAATATTCCTCTCCGACACTGACCTCGTATCTGATCAATCATACGACACAGCTTGTTAGATATCTTCCAGATATCAGAGCCAAGTAGCGCAACCATACTTGTAATTTACGATGCTAGACTTCAGGGACGTTAACTGGCTGGATGTTTCTCCTTCTCTGGAGCAAGCCTGTCAGTCTCTGTCCACCGCCAGAATCAAGGGTTGGGGGGATCTTACGACTCGTCCAAGACAGAATCGTGATCTGGTATAGCGTCCTACAACAACAACAACGAGAGCTTGTCAACAGTGATCTACATTGCTTGGCTCGGGGGTAGTGCAGAGTACACTCACGTCCACCTGTACAGGGTTCTCCGCTAGGATGTCTTGCAATGGTGACGGTGGATCCTGCGGGCTCGAGCCCCGCTCCGGGGTCGCGTCGTCAGCCATCTCGTCGCGGGTTGCGCTTGGAACCGAAGTGCTGGGGATGAAGAGGGAAGGAAATAAAGAAGAAAAGTGTGGTCTCAATCAATCAATTTATTAACGCCATGGGGCTTAAACCGAAAGGGCCGCGATTACTAATATACATGTGAATGGCTCAAATTGTGTCCCGGTCTCCTTAAGCCAATACTGTGTGCTACCTTGCCTAACCTGTGTCCTTATTTCCTTAAGCGCGTGCTGTGTCGTGCATTTCTCAAATTGAGTCCTTGTCCCCTTGAGCCCATACTGCTCCTCGCAGTTCTAGGTACTCTGATTGATGGTCTTCAGCGGACGCATTTCCGCATGCTCGTGATGTGTTGGCACCGACCGGCACAGGGCTTGCGGGCGCAATGTTGGTTGGTTGAAACCAGGCTTGCACCAGGTGATGTCTAGCGGTGTCTACCTATGAACGGAAACAGCTAATGCAGTCCCTCGTATCTATCTACGGCCAATAGGATCGGGTACCGGCCGCATCCAGCTGTGCTGTATTGGTGGTGTATGCTGACTTTTGAGCTCGGCTCGGTCCTTACTAACCTTAACGGGGTGCAGCGCCGCTACACTACTGCACCACAGCACCACGGCACACTGATACATAATTGCGTGGGGTTATTAGCGCTGGGTGCTGCTGAAGAATTGCTTGACTTCGGCATTGGTCATGTCGGAAAGCTTGCGTGACACTCAGTTGACTTAGCCAGTCATCACTGTGTGTATTGTGTGTCTTCCTCTCTAAGCTATCTCTGCCGCGGTAACGTGTTATTGGTCTCTGTGACCGCCTTCCTATTCGGACGGCGCCCGCTAAAGGCTCGGTGAGCCCTCGGCCGAACCCCTGGTCACCGCGTAACCACCCGATCGGATGCTTTGTACATAATCCAATCTAACAGCAATACCTAGGGTATTCTATTCTTCTGGCTCAGCAGTTAATTTAGGGGTCATCCAACAGGAAGTATTTTCCTGGATATCAGACTTGTTACGGTGTGTATTTTGGATAACTAGGCGTGTTAGATTAGCCAGCTGCACTATTTTAAGTAAAAGTTCAGAGTACTCTAATTATTATTATAGCCAGTAGTACTCAGGTACATAATCTAACAGGGCGTGTAATTATTATAGTAATATCCTTCTAGCTACTTTAGTATAAAGGATATACAGGAACTCAAAGCGGGGACCTGACGCAATTAAGAACAGACATACACCCAACCAGACACTTCAGATAATCTAAGCTCGTAACACAACACTTCTTCGACGAGCAAGATCGCAAAGGGATCTTCAAGATGCGCGAACGACGCATGCATATAATCAATCCTTTAGCGAGGGGTGGGTTGGCACCATGATTGACATAAAGATCGCGGCTTCAACCGAAAAGCTCGGACACAGAAGGGGCGGGCCTGACTGTTAAGTCTGAACCCCGGACATCCGGGCTTCTGCAGATGACAAGGCGTGAAGACGGGTATAGTACGAAATCCGTAAAATTGCATTATTCGAACATGGTTCCTTGACTTCCGGGAGGCACGGAGGGTGATGGATCTTTTGCAACCTGCATAGCCAACGCATGGTCGCATTTACAAGGCACCTTCAGCCGAGCCAGTCAATTCCTGAAAGCCTGCCGCAGAGCTGAGGCAGGCGTGTCGGAGGAATCCCTGTGCCTGTAACCTTGCTGAAGTTTATCTGCCCCCTCCACCTGTTGGTCCTTGCTTTTGAGTGCGTCACCTACTATACCTAGCCAGGGTACCTTGCTCTCCACCGAACTAGTAGTAACAATTTGTGTCACTCATGGATTACCGAGCTCGGGAGATGCTTTGTTGCAAGACAACCCCGCATCAGCTGCATGCGTCCTGCATAAATTCAAACGGTTCCTGGGACGAACTGGAAACAGAATTTCTTGTGTTTTAGATGATATCTTTGCCTTAGTAGCTGGAAGCCGAGAAGCAACACAATTGGTAAGAATGTATTCCAGGGCGCTACTCACTCTACTCGCCACCATCCCCACGGGATCTGGAGTTAAGAACTGATCGACCGATCAGGGATCGACAGCTTTCTTCCCAAATACAAATGTGTGAGCAGGAAGACTGATGAGTTGTTTTCTGATGCCCAGGAGGCGATATCTTGGCTCCGGTTTGTAGTCTGTCCCGTCTGCCAAGTATGATGTCTGGCGTTGAAGTCGCCGGCCACGAGGCAGCGTTCCGGAACAGGCTATCGTAACAGAGTATCCAGAGCATCGTTTTCGTCGTTCTGGCAGTAGAAATTGACTATTATTATATCGTTGACTGTGAGCTACAGAGTGTTTCGGGTTTGATAGGGTCGGTTCTGGTCTGCTAGAAGTCTTGGATCTCGCCGGACATACGTCATGACTCTAGGTCGAGTGCTCTTACTATTCTACATTTTAACAGGCATGAAGGTATCACACGCCGGATGAGTTTTTGTAAGATACCGGGAGTCTGTAAAAGTTATCTAAGATTCCTATAGAAGGACAATATTATATTACTCGGAATCTGCTAACGCAAGGGTACAGTCGTAGACAGGGGAAATCTTGCCGATATTAGCCTAAAAGACCCTAAGCGGCTTTTTATCACTTCTCCGTGTTCGCCGGTGTCTGCTCATATTCGTTGGGAGGGTGATAAGGACAATGCGACGCTTTCTCGGTGAGCCAGGTCTAGGATGTTCAGGTTCCTCTTCTGCTTCAGGGGTTGTAGCCACCATTATACATTAGGGCGCTCTTGATGCAGCTGGGCTAGGAGCACGAACACTTCGCTGCTCTTGGGGCGCGGTGTTGTCTGTTTGTGGTTCAGGTGCGTATTGTTGCGGAAAGATCTTAGGATGACCATTCGCATTTTGTGTATAGGGTAAGACTCCTTTAGGTGGAGGTAAAAGTAGGACTAATCCGCAACGACACCTATACTCCGTCTACAAATACAAATATGTTCAATTTTAATTACGCATCTTTCATAGTTACTTTCCCAGTTAAGACTTTTGAAGTTTCAAGAAGGAGGTCATAGGTGCATTGATTCTCGTGGTGACATTAACTGACGAATGCGAATTAGATAACTAACCAACCTGCCAACCTTGCATCTTTCCTCGTCCCCACCTCAAGAATACCAAAATAGTGCAAGCCGAAAACACAAAGGTGAGCAAAACTGCAACACAGATCTCGCGGTGAATCCGCAGAGCAAACTCGGACGAAGAACTACCGTTGATCTCGCTGGCACTATCAAACCAGACCAGAGCGAAGCTGCAGAACGACTGGGGAAGAGAATCAGCCATGAATTGCTAAGGAACTGGCTCCCTTACTCAACGGATAGCGGCATGGTTGGCACCAGACTCGGCCCCAAACTCACCATGACAAAGTTGGCCACGTTAGACGACAGACATAATGTTTACCAGAATGCTGTAGCAAAGAATGATGAACTAGGGGGAAATAACTCTGAAACTGCTTGAAAGCTTTTATAAATAGAGATATGTCATTATCTATTTGCTAGTCCGGCTTTTGTTTTACTAGAACAATGCTCTTCATGGCCGCGATATCCTCAAGATCAAGAGCGCTAAGAACAAGACCCGCATGGAAAATCAGTAAAATCAAGAGTCGAACTTACTGCCGAAGGGAAACACGCACGACATGACGAACGCAAGACTAAGAGTTAAAGCTATAAAGTGCACACCAGAACGCTCGCCCTCTATATGCATCCGTCGGCTGCTTGGACAAACAGCCCCAGAAACTAGCCTAACTCAAACCTAGGTCCTTAGAGCTATATCACAGAAGCCGCCACGTCCGCCGTTCCAATATACTGCCCTTGAGTGTGCAGTTTTTAAGACTGAGCAGGCCGATACGTTCGCAATTTGCGTGTTCCTGCCCCTCCTCCTGCTTCTGCTTCTGCTTTTGTTCTCGGACGACGAGCACAGTCGTGTCGTGCCTGTCGTGCCTGGTACACCACGATTCACTCTTCGAATTCCCTAACACGATGCCTGTCCACGGCTCTTGCAGCAGCGAGTTGTCATCGTCACCTTCGCCCTTGCGAGTGGGGAAGAACTCACCCTGCCACACGCCATCGCCAGCGCACACGGTACCGATCCACGTATCGGGGCGACTCTCGTACTCCCCCTTGCGAAACCGGACCGTGACGGCGCTGGCTGTGATCTCGAGGACATGTTGCTGGCCGGACCGGATGTCCCGGTTGCTGTCGTCCGCCGTTCGGAGTTGATCGTAGCAGCAGTTCCATGTCACTGCAGCGCCGCCGTCTTGGCTGCAAGGAATGATCGATATATCTACGCCAAATCCATGAATTTGCTTGACGGTAGGCCAATAGTTACTCACGCTATCGACTACGCCCTGCCATCCTGTCCACGACCAGCTCGGAAAGCCGGGCTGCCGATGGGCAGGCTCTTGAAGCCGCCAGCAGAGGCCGTTGAGGAAACCATTAAGGGTTACACGTGCGGCCATGTCACCATCGCTGTTGCTATTTGATTTGAGGCGCAGAATGGGGACGCCGCAAACATGGTAAACGGGCCTTCTCTTGTGTTGGGCAAGTAGATTGAGGATGCCGAGCATAGCGTTGAGGGTATCTGAGGGTATAGACAGCTGTCGCGTCAAATAGGCCGCCAAGAGGCCAAAAAGGCCGATGCCAGTATGAGAGGCATCCATGCCTGGCAGCTTGTATGGCTCGTACATCCAAAGAGGCTCCATCATACGCGGTTTATACCCGGAAATGCGATGTTCTATGTCGGGAGGCAAGCGCATGGCCTCACGGCAGAGCATGTGACGGCACTCATAAGACATCTCATGCTCGGAGAAAAAGAGACGGCGGCGTGCCAGCAGGCCCTCCTGGTATATCCATCCCCGCGTGGCCCAGGTTGAGCCCGAGCGGATGTGGAGGGTTGGGTCTGGTGGGATGCACATGAGGGCGTGGCCCAGGACAAGAGCACTGAGTTGCAGGTTCCTTGGACGTCCCCGGACACCGGGCAGGCCTACTGACGCGTCCTTGCCGGCTGCGGCTATCAGCGTTACCTCAGCGTTAGCATAGACGGTGTGCATGTGCTGCAGTTGTATCTGCTGCATGGCCTCGTTGCCCGTCTGCACGATGCAGTACCGGTCCACCTATAAGTGTCGGTAGCTAAGCTCTAGTATTACCCGGATTGCGTTTTTAATAACTGCCTTAATAATATTACTTTCCTTTTTATTAAGGCTTTGCTGCTGCTGTTACTACTATTATTATTATTACTAACTAGGCAGTTTTATATAGAAAAATCCAGCTTAAAGTTAGAGAAGTTTTATTAGAAAAGTTTTTTTATTATTAAATAAATAAAATCTCTAATTTATTTGAGAATTTTAAAAAGCTTTTTATTATTATATTTATTTTATAAAATTAATTATAAATTATTATTATAAAATTTCTAAATTAAATTAATATAAGTTTTAATTAATTAAAAATTATAATTAGCTAAATTTATTACTTTTTATATAATTAAAAATTATAATTAGTTAAATTTATTATTTTTTATTTAATTAAAAATTATAATTAATTAAATTTATATAATTATTTTAGTTTAAATTTATTATATATATAATATAAAATAAATAAGAAATTAATTATTAATAAATAAATTATAAGTTTATATTAATAAATTACTTATAGTATTATTTATTAAGATAAATATTATATTTAATAATAGTTAAATATAATAATATATAGTAAATTAATGTAATTAAAGTAATTAAATTATATTAAAAGTTAAGTAATTATATTTAGTAAATATATAATATTTATATATTTATATATTTATTTAAATACTTAAATATAATTCTTATATAAGTAATTATATATAGCTAAATTATATTTTATTTTAAATAATTAAAAAAAGTAAAGTATTATTTAAAGTTTAATATAAGCTATAATTAAGTTGTAATATAATATTCTCTTTTTAATAAATCTTATTTTAAAATTTTAAAATTTTATTATTTATTAATTAATTTTATTTTTAATAAATTTAATTTACTTTTTAATTATTATAAATAAATTAATAGTATATTTAGTTATATTATATAATATTATATAGTTTTTTTTATATTATATAAATTATTAGATATTATATTATATTATATTTTTTTTATTTTAAGTAAAGTTTATTATATAAAATAATAAAAATATTATTTTAATATAGTAAATATACTTATTAAGGCTATTTTTATAATATTTTTAATATTTTTAATATTTTTATTAAAGTATATATATTTAGTTTTTTTTTAGCTTTATTTAATATTATTAAATAAATTAAAATTATATAGTAATCTTAAATAGTAGGAATAAATAATAAATACTATATCTAATACTAAAAGAAATAGTAGCTAAATAATAAGATTATTACCTACTAATTTCTATTTAAAGCTTTTATTTAACTTCTCTAATTTTAATTTTATTATTTACAGTTAATAATTTTACTATTTCCAGTTAATAACCTTAAGATAGTAATCTTATTTTAAGTAATAGAATATAAAAGAGATATCTTTTATTATTAAAAAACTAACTTCCCTTTTAATACTTATACTATTATAACTAATTTTTAATATAGTAAATTTTATTTAAGAAGCTTTTATTAAAAGTAACTTATTATATTTATATTATAAATTTAAACTCTAATATAATCTTAAATTCTCTTAAAATTTAAAAAATAAATTAGAAAAATAAAAGCTAAATTTCCTCTTAAACTTTCTTAAAAAAGAAAATATATTTAAGCTATTATTATACTATTTATAATATCTAAATAGAAAATAATAAATTATATTAGCTATTTTTAAATACTATTTACTTCTTTATAATAAAAATAAAAATAATAAATAAGAAAATTAAATTTTAATAGTAATTTTATTTTATATATTTAAATAGAAATAGCTATATTTTATAACTTAATAAAGAATTGTAACGGTTGTGCTAGACCGCTGTACCAGGGGGCAAAAGATTGGTCAATAATCGCTGTGATGGCGATCATCCGGGCACATTACTGCACTATAGGGCCCCTATCGCTGTTCGGTGAACCAAGCCGTAACAAGAATATTAATATTATTAATTTAAAGAGTTAAATCTTTTTTAAGATATTATCGGGGCCTAATATAACCTCTAATTTTAAAAGCTATTATATTATATTAAGTTAGTATAAATACTAGCTATATAAAGTGCTGGTTAGAGGGGGGATTTAAATAAA